AACCGCTAAAGTGAATTCGGTAATCGCACTCTCGCCTAGAGATTTAGGATTATAAATTAGAATACCGTAATATTTAGCGTTAAGGAATACGAACAGTAAACTAACTTACTTCTCGCGGATAAGCCCCTAACTCTAATAACTAATTATATTAACGAAAGAAACCTCTTTAACCTACGCTAGTTATAGTGGATTCGACGATTCCTCCTCACCCGTCCTGCGGATCTAGGTATACGATCTAATTTATAGAATATACTATTTAAATTCGATACTAAGGAAACCTTCCTAGCGTAGAAGGTATTAGTCTATTTTATAATCTAGTTATATAAGAACTCTAACTTTTTGGCAGATTATTCCTAGAATAATAAGGCGATTCCACTATAATTAATTACCTCTGACCCTTTAACTAAGATCTAGATAGTCTAACTCGGTACGGAAGTTACGAAGATCTCCGAACTAAAGAATATACTAGCTAGGTTTAGTATAGTCCGCGATAAGTATAACTTAGATAACCTTATAAACCTAGACGCTCTTAGTTAGGATATAATCTCGGATTTTTAGTATAGTTAGCTAGTAGCGGATATTAGTGATTCGCTTAAGAAGCCTAATATCGCCTATCTTAGTTATCTTATCTTATCCTAGGCGGACGTCTAAGTACTCTATAACTTCTTATATAGCCCGGTCTTCTAGAATAGGACTGTATTAATCTATAAGGACCCGATCGCTATAACCGAGGAAATAACTATTAGTTACACTTTAGGGATAATCGTAATTAGTAAGGCGATTAGGACCGCTATTAATAATAACGATAAACTCGCCGAAGACCCTAAGTCGGTTAACCTAGAGGGCCCTAAAAACCTTACGATAAAGATTATATAGTAATAGCTATAACTATAGGTCTCCGCTACTATACCCTCTTTTAACGAGGCACTCTATTCCCTCTAACTCGATATAGATATTAATAATTAGGCTATCCTCTAGCCCGCCTCGACCTTCTGAGTTAATTGTATCTTACTTAAGCCCTAGTAAGTCACTAGCGTAACGTGGATAATCGCCTAAGAGCAAACCCCTCTTAAAGGGGGCCTTCTCGCTAACGTATATAGTCTAGGAAAGATATTAATTACCCTTACCCTAATCTAGGTAGCGACTAATCTCACTCTAATAGGGCCCTAGGAACCCCCCCGTACGTTTACCTTATCGTTAATCTTAGTCCCGAATACCCTTATAGATATATAGATAACAGAGATTAATCGGTATTTTAGCGATACGCTAACTATTCTTCTATTCTTTAGGTCTAGTACCTAGATTAGTTATAGCTATCGAAAGGAGTAAACGATTAGTGAACTTCCTAATCTAAAGGAGGCTCTACGTAAGCTCGACCCTTACGCCCCTTCTATAGGGAATACGATCGTTCTCTTCTCCTACTAGATATAGGCCTAGCGTACCACTAGACCGGTAGATAAGGAAGGTAACCCTATTCGCTAAACCTATTTATAGATTAGGACCTCTCGACTAATAGCTAATCCTAAGGCACGGAATCTGGCTAGGGAGGAGGAGCGATTTAATAAGGATATTTTAACGGATATAAAGGAGGGAGGTAGAGGAGAAGGAGGTAGAGAAGGAGGAGATAAAGAAGGAGGAGAAGGAGGAGGAGGAGGAGGAGGAGGCCTTACTAATCTACGGCTCTTAGCGCTCTAAATCTTATACTAATATCTCGTAAGCTATACGGGACTAGCTAGCTAAACTCTAGGACGCTAACTCCGCTAATATAATGATTATGTCTACCGCTAAGCCTATTACTCGCCGGAAGTTCTTTAAGGGTTATATCTTAAATACGACTTTTTAGCGCGTTATCTGCGACGAGAGATACTAAGTTAAGACTATCTCCTCCCGCTAATATTAGTCTATCGCTTTTATAGCCCGCTAGGTAACCTAGTTCCTAACTACTACGCTAATATAGAATAAGCCTCTTAACTTCTATAGCTATCTCTCGCTCTTATAGACCGATAAAATTAATACCTAAGATATTAATAATAGCTTAGAGGAGGAGACCTTAACTAAGTTAGACGACTATAAGATATAGTCTAAGTGCGCCTACCTACCTAAAGAGGGCCTACCGTAGTATCTCCTCTTACCTAAGGGCCTACTCTCGCTTAGCCAGAAGGGCTACCTCACTAGCTAGGTTAGCTATAAGTGTCTTCCGATTATCCTTTATCTAACCTACTTATACTAGGAGCCTAGCTATAAGATACTTAGTGCGAAGGGGGTCCTAATTATAATCGGTAAGGATATCCCCCCTCTAAGGATTATAATAGTGGAGCTTCGCTATATCTATACTACCTAGGTTAGTTACGACTAGATCTACGGGCAAATTATCTATAATCTATACGGTTAGTAGGTAACTAAGGATATAGCGAGGGGTAAGAGTATTATCCCTATTAATTAGGCGATATTCCGCTAGCTCTGCTATCTAGCTATAAATCCGAAGCTTAATATATTCCTCCGGCGATCTATAAGTCGCGTTCTCTTAGCAGATATTAGCGTCTTTAGCGAGTATAGTAACGACCGTAGGTTCGGTCTATTCTTTGCCCGTACTATTAAGGATTAGGCCTTTACTCTCCTAATAAACTAAATAGCCGTCGCTTAGTATTTAGCCTATAACTGTCCCTGGCTCTAGTTCTTATTCTACCTACTCTAGACCGAGGGCACGCTTACTATATCTGGCCCCACCACTCGCCCTCGCTTCCTAATATACTGTAACTAGCTATTTACCCGCTAGATAGTGGAGATATTCCTCGCCGCCCTTAGCGTAAATTTCTAAGTAATCCGCGCGGGTATATCGCTTAAGGCGCGGTCTACGGCTATTAAGTAATTCACGAACCCAGACAGTGCTACTATAGTCCTTCTTACTACGTTTAATTACGGCGCGCTAGGGCTTAATATATATATATATTGTAGCTATATTATGCTTATAGAGGGAAGCTAGAACTATAATAGTGTCTTTTAGATAATCGGCCGGATTTACCGACTTAGGCAGATAGAGCTATAAAGGGCTTAGATCCTCTTCTAGGACTATACTATTTAGCGCTTTATAGAATATAACTGTACTAAAAAGATCCTGCCACAGATCGCCGCCTAGTTCCGCCCCTAGCTAGAAACCTAGATCGCCGCCGACACCCTTAAACCCACGGATAGTAAATCGGACAAGGGTAAAGGCTAGTAGAGCGACCCTAAGATAGAAGGTAATAAGACCGAAACAGTGGATAAGGCGAGGGAAGCGCTCCTTAACTAGCTCTCCTATCGGATCCTTAAGGATATATTAGGCCTACCTAAGGAGGCCCCTTCATAGCTAAAGATACTAGATTATACTAATCTCGGCCTAGAAGGCTCTACTAACCGCGGCTAAGTATACTCTACTTATAGACTATCGAGCTCGGCCCCGCCTCCTATAATCCCGAATAAGCCTAATCGTTCGCGGAAGCGCGACTTATCGCTATCTATACGGGATAGCCTAAGTAAGAGGGGTCGTGTGTGATCGGACTTCGTGTAAATAAGCCTATGGCGCCTGGGTTCTTTAGTGTTTTTTGGTGTTTTTTAGTGTTTTTTTGGTCTTCGTCTGTGTATAGAGATAGATCTCTATAGAATTTATGATTTTGGCTACTATAAAGAAAGGGGAATAAGAGGTAATACTAGGATAGAGATAATTTACGAAATATATATGAATCTAGGCTCTAATTTCCGTATGAATTTCTGATATCTATCAAAAATATCCCCTCTTATAATCCTATATACTATCCTAATAATAGCCTATATATACTAACGGATATCAGAAATCCCCTCTCTTATAATCCTATATACTATCCTAATAATAGCCTATATATACTAACGGATATCAGAAATCCCCCCTCTTATAATCCTATATACTATCCTAATAATAGCCTATATATACTAACGGATATTAGAAATACCCTCTCTTATTAAACTATATACTATCCTAATAATAGCCTATATATACTAATATCTGTCAGAAATATCCTCCCTATTATATTATTAACCCTCCGTACGTAGAGGGAATGTCTTAAATGTCTCTATACTACGCACAGTCGGATCTATATACGGTTAACCTAACGTAAGAATTCTGGGCTATTATTAACTTTAGCCTTAAAGACGGCGAGATAGGCCTTAAGCACAGTAGCTACTCTTATATAGGTATATTCCGTGATGACCGTATTAAGATTATCGCTAATAACTAAGGTAACCGAACTACCCTATCGTTTGTTACCTTCACTAACTCTAAGTGTCTTATTAGTGACGCCGCTAAGAACTAAGTCGCTATAGACCCTTATAATAATATATATTTATAATGGCTCCCGCTGTCGGTATTAATTTAGGTACTACCTACTCTTATATAGGTGTGTTCCGTGATAACCGTATTGAGATTATCGCTAACGATTAAGGTAACCGAACTACCCTATTATTCGTTACCTTTACCGACTTATTAGTGACGCCGCTAAGAACTAGGTCGCTATAAACCCTTATAATAATATATATTTATAATAGCTCCCGCCGTCGGTATTGATTTAGGTACCACCTACTCTTATATAGGTATGTTCCGTGATGACCGTATTGAGATTATCGCTAACGATTAGGGTAACCGAACTACCCTATTATTCGTTGCCTTTACCGACTTATCGGTGACGCCGCTAAGAACTAGGTCGCTATAGACCCTTATAATAATATATATTTATAATAGCTCCCGCCGTCGGTATTAATTTAGGTATTACCTACTCTTATATAGGTGTGTTCCGTGATGACCGCATTAAGATTATCGCTAACGATTAGGGTAACCGAACTACCCTATTATTTGTTACCTTTACCGACTTATCGGTGACGCCGCTAAGAACTAGGTCGCTATAGACCCTTATAGTAATATATATTTATAATAGCTCCCGCTATCGGTATTGAGTTAGGTACTACCTACTCTTATATAGGTGTGTTCCGTGATGACCGTATTGAGATTATCGCTAATAATTAGGGTAACCGAACTACCCTATTATTCATTGCCTTTACCGACTTATCGGTGACGCCGCTAAGAACTAGGTCACTATAAAACCCTTATAATACTGTCTTCGATGCTAAGTGTCTTATTAATCGTCGTTTTAACGACGCTAAGGTTTAGGCTAATATAAAGTACTGCCCCTTTAAGGTTATTAATAAGCCCACTAAGCCTATTCTTGAGGTTAAGTTTAAGGGTAAGACTAAGTAATTTACTCCTAAGGAAATCTCCTCTATAATCCTTACTAAGATATATAAGACCGCTAAGACTTACCTTAGTGATACTATTAATAACGCTATTATTACTATCCCTACCTACTTTAACGACTCCTAGCGCTAGGCTACTAAGGACGCTAGTCTTATTACCGATCTTAATATCCTCTATATTATTAATAAGCCTACCGCTACTACTATACCTACGGTCTTAATAAGAAGTAGGAGGGTGAGCGTAATATCCTTATTTTTGATCTCGGTAATAGTATCTTCGATATATCTCTTCTAACTATTAAGGAGGGTATCTTCGAGGTTAAGGCTACCGCTAGTAATACTTACCTTAGTGATAAGGACTTCGATAACCGTCTTATTAACTACTTCGTTAATAAGTTTAAGCGTAAATATAATAAGGACCTAACCACGAACGCTTATACTCTCCGCTATCTTTATATTATTTATAAGCGTGCTAAGGGCACCCTATCTTCTATTACTTAGACTTCTATCGAGATTAACTCTCTTTTTAAGGGTATTAACTTCTATACCTCTATTATCTATATCTATTTTAAGGAGCTCTGCTAGGACCTCTTCCGCGGTACTATAAAGCTCGTTAAGCGTGTCCTCCGTGACGCTAAGATCGATAAGGCTTTTATCTACGAGATTGTCTTTATTGGTAGTTCTACCTATATCCCTAAGATCCAGAAGCTTATCTCCGACCTCTTTAATAAGGACGCTAATAAGTCTATTAATCCCGATAAGGCCGTCGCTTATAGTACCGTTATCTAGGCCGCTATCCTCTTAGGTGACACTTTCTCTAAGTCTACTAATAAGATCCTACTTCTTAATATCGCTCCCCTCTCTCTTAGTATTAAGACCGCTAGTAATATTATAACTGCTCTTATTTAAGCGTAACACTACTATCCCTACTAAGAAGTTCGAGACCTTCTCTACTTATTTTAATAACTAGCTTAGTATCCTAATTTAGGTCTTTAAGGGTAAGCGTATCTATACTAAGGATAATAACCTCTTTAATAAGTTTAAGCTTACTAATATTCCCCCGCCCCTCGCGATATACCCTAGATTAAGGTTACCTACGATCTTAATACTAATAATATTATAAATATCTCCGCTATTAAGAAGGGTATAGGAAAGACCTATAAGATCACTATCTCTAATAATAAGGGTTATCTCTCTAAGGAGGAGATCGAATATATACTCTCTAAGGCTAAGAAATATAAGGAGGAGGATAAAGCTAAGGCTAGCTATATTTAGGCTAAGAATGGCCTTAAGTCCTACGCCTACTCCCTTAAATCTACTATTAATAAGGGTAAGCTCCCTCTCTCCGATAAGGATAAAAAGAAGATCGAGGAGAAAGTCTCTAAGGTTATCTCTTAGCTCGATAATAACTAGACTGCTTAGCGTATCTAATACTTATATATAGATTATAAGGACTTTTAACTTAGCTAAGCTAATTTCGGATAGCTAGCAGAATAAGTAATTAAGGGCTCGGAGCTATAATATAAGTAAACTCTAATAGCTATCAGAGTTTACCTAGAATAAGCTCTAAGGACTAAGCTCTCGTACTAAGCTTTTTAGACGGCTATCAGAAATTATCACTATCTAATTTATACTATATATTTACTCCGGCTAAACAGATAATATAACTACTTATTATCGCTTAAATTAATATTAATATCCTTACGACTACGTTTTTGCTACTAATCCCCTTTACTGCTATATCACTAGCGCCTAGAAGTTTAAGAAATTAATATAACTCTGGCTAAGTCGACCTTATGCATTTCCGACTAAGTGGACCTTATATATTTCTGACTAAGTCGACCTTATGTATTTCTGACTAAGTCGACCTTATATATTTCTGACTAAGTCGACCTTATATATATCTGACTAAGTCGACCTTATATATTTCCGACTAAGTTAACCTAACGCCTATTTACCCTACTTAATATTATGTCGCTTATATTATTATAATATAAAATCTAAGGCTCTTATACTCTAACTCTAGTTAGTGCTTAGCTTAAAAAGACTATACTTAAACTTTCGCGTAAGGCGCTAGAAGGTCGTTATATATTATAGGAGGGGAGGCCGTAACGCTAATTACTTAATATATTTTGTGGCTTTTAACGCCCGTAACCGAGCGATAAGTATCTCCTTAGTGGCCGAGAGTTTAATATCGGCGAGATAGAGTAGGACTTCCTCTTACTCCCTAAAGTATAATAATTAATATCTTTACCCTATCGGAGAATCCGGTTAGGACTAATAATATAAGCTTAATCTTAAGATTTCTCGCCTTATAGCGGTATTTCTTTATATCTCGCCTAAGATAGATCTATTCTTACTTCGGACCGATTATCTATCTAATATAATTAGTATTCTAGATTATCTACTAAGCGGTACTAAACTTTTATAGAAGCTTATAAAACTTAGCTACTTCGGCGGGGCGCTAATAACCTAGCGCCGGTCTAAACGGAATAATTAGGGGAGGTATACCTCGCTATCCCTTCCTTAGCGCCTTAGTTATCTCTAAGTCTAATTAAGTAATTATAGCTTATATATTTTGCTCCTATTAGTGTAACTAGGCCTAAGAGACAATATAGTCAAAATCTATATTACTCTAGTCTTATTATAAGGGGGTAGGAGATAAAGGATAGCTATCTATAATATTATTCGCTACGTTACTCTCTAGGTAGGAGAGGGCGCGCGGAGGGAGCTTAATATTATATAATAGTAGTTAACTTAGATAAAGCTTAGGTAGCTAAGGGATATTAGGTAGCGATATAAGGAGCTTAGCGATAGATACCTATATAGGGTTACTATCTTACTTAGTAGTAAGAGTAATACTCTATAAGAGAGTAGGTATCGCGAGGAAGCCTAGGCTAAGTGACCCTTAGCTAAGAGTTAGTGTTAGCTAGGTCTTATTAATAGTAGATAAGGCCTAAAGAGAAAAAGATAGCACTAGCTAACTCTCCGATATTAGGGGGAGACTTAGGGTTAGTTAAGGTAATATCTAGATAGTGGCCTATAGAGGGTATTATCCTTAATAAGGGGGTCTATAGCTTAAAGATATAACAGATAAAGTCCGGGTCTGCGACGCTCTAACCCTTAATAGAGAAGGATTAATAGGATAGAATATAGTTAAAGGACGCTAAATATAAGGTATTAGCGATTATAACTATAGGGGTAAGGACGGCGAATCAGAGATATTAGGCGGTACTAAGCGTAGGATAATTATAGCGAAACCTTCGGGTCTAAGAGTAAGACTAGGACTAAGCGCTAGTTAAATACTTCTTTACTTAGTTATCGGACTCGCCTTAATTTAGGGCGGGGAATACTAGAGCTAGTTAATCTAAGTCTAGTTTAAGCTTATTATATTAGCCTATCGTTGAGGGATAGTAGATCTCTAGCGGGATCGCCACGGAGGCTTACGACTAGGCTTAATTAGATAACCTTTACCTTTATCTCGTAAAGTTAAGCTCTGCTACTTAGGGCTCTCTAAGCCTAATAAAGGCCGGGGGAGTATAATAGGTATCTAGGATAATAGCGAGGGGATAACTTAGAGGACGATATAGTACTCGCCTACGTCTATTATAACTCTTTAAAGTAAGCTTAAGCTAGTTAGTACGTAAGATTAATTATACTCGCTTCCTTAACCTAACTATCGATAACCTAGAGCTAGTCTGTTCGATACTATCGCGTATAATATAATCTAATTATTATCTAAAAACTAAGGTAGGGTCCCTACTATTAATATAGTCTCGTATTTTTAGAGACTAAGGAATTAAGGGGGATATTAATTATGCGGGAACTACCTATCCTGAGTACTATAACCCTAATCTCGAGATACTAAAGTAGGTCTATTAGACGCTACTATATATAAGTAGATCTAATAATAATTAAGAGTAATATATAAGATATAAATAAATCGAAGCTATCTACTCTATTATATATTATTAAGGAGGTATAGGGGTCAGACCTAAAGGACCTAAAATAATTTAAGGAAAAATAAAGCTAAGGACTTTTGGCTCTACCTACTAAGATTAAAGTATAAGTTAGCCTATATTTTCTCTCCCTCGCACAATTTCTATTACTATAGATAGCTAGCTATCTACGGAAATATCTAGATTAAGCGATATAGCTAGCGGCCTATCGAGAGCGATATTATTAACGGTAGTAGACTACTTAGGTTAAGCCCACTCCGTTCGAAGTGTACCCTAACCCTAAGCTAATAACCTAGTTTAAGTATACCTATCTCTTACTATTATAGGTAGATCTTAGTATAGTGCCACTACGAACAGTAACTACCTATAATACCTTTACCGCTCTTTAGGCTAAGATTAAGCCTAAAGAATTAGCCCTAAGCGATAAGCCCGAGATTAAGATTAGGATAGAGGAGTAGAGAGACGCTTTCGCTAATAATAAGAATATAGTATCGCTATCCCTTCCTATATATCCTATAATATAATCGCGATATAAAGTTACCTAGTCTAGACCGATCCTACCCTTAGTCCGATAAATCGCCCGTGGGCTAACAGACTAGCTCCTAAATCACTATAGCTACTTAGAGGGGTATCCTAAAGCGGCGCCCCTACGCGATAAAGATAGTATTAGCCTTCGGGAACTAACGTAGTAGGCTATTATACCGAATATCCTAGACTAGCCTATATTTTAGTAATACCTAGCTCTATAGGCTAAGTCCCTAATATTAGTATATTATCGGTAGCTCCTTTATAGCCTAGGCCTTAGGCTAACCGCGGGCTAAGCTAAGTCTATACCCCCTACTATTAATCCCGTAATTAATAACGTAGACTTACCGACCTCGCTCCTACGCGCCTTTAATATTAATAGTAGCGGAGGGTAGGCCACTAATCTCGCGGTCGCGCGCTAAGGACTCTAGTGGCTCGCGATATAGCCGTCCACGAGCACCTTAATAACTTCCTTATACCTTAATTCGCTATACGTTAAATAGCGGGATCCCGAGAGCTAGCGGTTATATTACTATTTAGTCCTAATTTATTATATCCCGTACCTATCGCTAAGGCGGCTCCGTAGCTTTAAGGCTATAGAGCTATTCGTACTATTCCTAAGGCTATATTATCCTTAGCGTACCTCGTAAGTATTAAGTAATAATAAGTACTCGAAATAGATAGACTATTTATTGCTTCTAGCCCTACGCTAGATATTACCGCCTAAAACTATAACCCACTTATTAGGGAGTGGATAAGAAGCGATTCTCCGGGGTTCTACCACCGCGATAGAAGGGGCTATAGGGTTAGGTAGCTAGCTCCCGCGAATCTAGCTACTTACTCACTTTCTCCTACCCAGAAACCTAACTAGGATATAGGGCGTAATCTAAGAATAACTCGCTCTGGGTCTCTATATAGCGAATAAATATAGTTAGGCAAGGCTACTCCTCACGTTAAAGAACCTAAAGGGGGAGACCCGCTAGTATTCGTAGTCGGAGATAATATAGGGCTAGAACCGTCTCTAGCACTTCGCGGTTAATAATTAGTTCCTAATAAGCTTCTTTTTCGATATAATATAAGAGATTTACCTCTCTAATAAGATTCCTTAAGAGGCGCTTAAGCTAATATAGCGATAATATTACCTAAGTCGGTTTAAGGGGTGGCTAATTAAGCTCGATATTACCTTAGAGACCTCTTTTACGTAGCCTCCCTTAGCGGAATCCGAAGGAATTCCTTTAACGCAGATATCCTTAGTGCTAACTAAGGTAATTCCCGATTTGTAGCCCCCGATATCCTCAGTGGCGACAGAGGTAATTCCCGATATATAGCCCCCGATAGCGCTAATATTATCGATAGCGCGAATCGACTAGGTCCTACCTACGCAGACCCCGACTAGCTATATACTGCGATTAAGAAAACTAGTATAGTTATAATTCTGGCCTTAGACGCTTCTCCGTAATATAGGGAGCCTTACTATTGAGCTAAAACCTTAGTGCGCTCTTTGATAGGCCGGTCTCCTCTATATATAACTCTATAATATCTCTAAGGAGATCTTTACGGTCAGGAAGATATACCCATTCGGGAACCTAGCGCTAGATACCCTCGCACTATTAGCTACCTTAGTCTGGGTCTTATAGTATATAGGAGGTACCTACGCGTACTCCCGTGCGACCCTACTCCGTGGGTATCTCTATACTAAGGCGCGATACTATATAGCGCTTAAGGGGGCTTAGGGCCGCTCCTATAGCGCCTGAGAGGAATACTAAGTTATAGCGGAGTTACTCGAGGCCTTAAATAATAAGATAGTGGCATAGGAGGAGGACAAGCACTATATCTAACCTTAAACGCTATAGTCGTTCTACTACTATTATACCGATAACGCGCTCACTTAGCTTCGGTAGAATTTAAACCGCCTTTGCCTAGCTATTAAACTCGTCTATAGTCTCCGCCCCGCCCGGTATCTTCACTAAGAGTATTCGTAGGTAGCGATAGTGATAATCCGCGCCTTATATTACGGATTTAGCGGCTAAGGCGCCTCCCCCTTATATTATCGGGAGTTATAGATTAGTGAGCGAGAGTAGTCTCCCGCTAAGGGCGAGGAGGTCGGTAAGAGGATTAAAGGTCTTAGATAGGGCGAGACAATAGAGCGATATAGTTATACCTAGTTCTTAGATAAGTTTAACTAGGAATTAATACTCTTCTAGGAACTGTACTAGCTTAGGCTAGCTATCTGTCTCTTATCCCTCCTTAGAGCCTATTACCTACGGTATTAATTAGTGCGGTATACCTTAGACGACTAGGTCTTTCTCTACAATATATTCCGCTAGCTTAAGACAGATCGTGGGCACCGCGTAAGGTCTCGTAAAATCCTCGATCTATTAGCTAATCTCTACCTTACTACCTTTTATCGAGAAGTATTCTAACGCCTATTGGCAGTCTAACGCCTTTATAGGCCTTATATCGCTAAGGCGCTCGAAGGCTAGCGACCTCTCACAATATAGACCTTTCGCGATATACTACTAGATAGATAGCTCGAGAGATATATATATCTATTTAGGCCTAAGGGGACCTATATCCGGTATATCGATATAATATTCGCGGTACTTTAGGGTTAGGATAGCGATAGTCAATAAGGGGAGCTAGTCTAACGGACGCACTAGAATATAAAGCTATATCGGGAACTCTTCCGCCGTAGCTTTAACGCGATCGTCGCGACCCACTCTTACTAGGTAGCGTAGGAGTAGCGTAAGTTAGTCTATATAACCTTTATATGTATATATTAGGTACTCCCTAATCTGACCGAACGCGACTTCTAGCCTAAGGGTATAGGGAATTAGCTCCCCCTCTAGTGTACGTCCTATCTTACGCTTCTCTAATACCTAGGCCGGGATCTTATAGGGTATACTATCGGTAGGTAGGTTAAGTACCGCTAGATATAGGTAGACCTCCTAACGCTACCTTAGGTAGGGTAAGAGAGGAGCGAAGCGGTATTTACTATAACCCTCCTACCTAGGTATTACGTTAAGCTAATCCTACTATCGCTACCGACCGGCTTAATCTCGGAGTAGGTATCGGAAGATATCTAGGATAGTGCTAAGGATAATAGGCCGCTAATCCTAGCACTTAACGAGAATAGGGAGATTTCTTAGTGAATCTACGCGAACTTCTCTCCTCGTTATACACTTTAGTAGCTCACCTAGCGAGCCACGTAGAGCCCCAAGAATCTTATTAAGTAACTATAGCTTATTACTAACTATAGCGACTCGCTTAGGCGAAAGCTAGCTACCGAAGATCGCGCGTTATACGACGCGTTATTAACGGACGGCTTTTAGCGCTTAGTGATTAAAGATAAGGAGCTTAAGGAGCTTAAGGAGCTTACTAACCATAACTCGCTCTATAATAAATAGCGACGGGCCCGTTAGTAGGCCTAGCAGTATTAGGAGCGCGGGGTTTATACTTAAAAGGCGCTTAATCGAATATAGAAGTACGATACCCAGATAAAGGATTTACAGAATAAGAAGAAGCTAGTCCTTAAGGGGAGGGTCTTCGAAGGTTAAGAGGATTATAATTATATCGCGGAGAAACGGGCGGTCGCATAGGAGGAATTCTCTTAATAGATTAAGAAAACCTTAATAAAGCTAGATCTAGAGTATTTCTCTAAAGAGAAGTTTAGCGAGGCAAGGCGATAGTGAGAGATAGTAAGGGAGAGAAAGAAGAAAGTGCGGGAGCTTAGTTTATCTCAAAGTAGATACTAATAAGATAATATTTAATATAATAGTCTCTAGAAGTAATAGGTAGCCTTTACTATTTACTAATAGCCGTTAAACGTATTAAGTTAATAAGGTTCGACGGCTGTCAGTATTCCCCTACCCCCTTTAAGGCTATTAATAGCCATTATAAACCACTAAGGCTATATTTACTGATACCTATTAAACCTTATATATTTTTAATAGGTATCAGTAAATAGCCTGCTTTATATAGATTATATATTATATATATTATAAATATATAGACGCTTACTAAAGATAGCGTTGGTAGTTAATAGAGTAAATATAAGGGGTAATATATATAAGTCACTAGAGAAGATATATCTTAAGAGTAGGCCTAAGAGAGTCGTGAACTTATACCCTTTACCACACACTAAATCTATAGATAATAGGGAGTTTAAAGAAATTATTAAATAAGGTAGTACGTAAATAATATTGTGTATTCACTAAGATACCTATAGTGCGTAGGGAAAATATAGAAGCCGAGTATAGTTTAAAATACAGAGGGTAGCCTTAGTCGCAAATACAGAGGGTCGCCTTAGTCAAAAATATATAGGGTTAGGTTAGTCAAAAATATATAGGGTCGGGTTAGTCCAAAATACAGACCTAACCTTATATATTTCCGACTAAGTCGACCCTATATATTTCCGACTAAGTCAATCCTATGTATTTCCGACTAAGTCGATCCTATATATTTTCGACTAAGTCGATACTATATATTTTCGACTAAGTTAATCCTATATATTTTCGACTAAGTTCGACCTTATGTATTTCCGACTAACTCAACTAAGTCGACCCTATCCCCTCTAAAGCCGCTTACACTTATATCTATCGCAGACTTTATAATAGCCTCAGATTGCGATACCAGTGACTTTAATTTAATTTAATTTAAATTCTATTAACCTAATCGAGCCTAACTAGCGTCGTTAAGGCTATATAGGCGCTTTGTCTAAATCCGAAGCAGAACTTATTGTCCGTAACTCCAGACGCGCGGCTTATAGTAAATAATATATATAAAGGAAAACCGGCCTCTGTAAGAGGCCGGCATAGAAAAGAGTGTCAGAATATCTATATCCTATATATAATTAAGCCTATATAAAAGTCAAACCTAAAAGATAATGCCTATAGTCTTTCACTTCTTCTGTGTCCCCTTATCCCCGCTGTATACTCCCGCCTCTCTAGTGTTAGTTCTCTATTCCCCTAATAAGGAAGAATACTAAGTGCTTCGGTTCTTAGTTAATTACGGTGTGTAGTAAATTAATAATTATTTCGGTAGCCTAACTATTCTCGGTGACCCAGTCTTATCGTTCGGTAGTGTATACGTAGCGTCTTTATAACCTTCCTATAGCCGTAAGGCTAATTTATTTATGGCCGTCGTCTGGTTCCGGCTCGATATATCGGAATTATCCTAAGAGACCTATTTAATATATTATTGTAACGGCGTAGCGGGCCGCGCGCGGGTGGGACATAATAGTATCGTAGTTTATAGTGTTACTAAGGTCGGTACGAGCGACCTTATTAAGTATGATTCTTCGCAGATTACTATATAGCGGGTATTAGAGTAAGATATATCTCGGCGTTTAAGATCCTTACTCGCAATAATAGCGGTCTGATTCCCTTCTTTAATTTCGTATAAGAAGTGACCTAGTCTAATATATATTAACCTTATTTGGATAAGGATAGATACGTATAGCTTTGATAGCCCCTCGTATAGCTCTAAGACCTTCCGCGTCGGCGCCTTAATAAGGCACTTCGTCGGCTGGCCCGTCTTCTCCCTCTCCTATTATTTCTTCTATCTCTCCTTAATACGCTTACGGGTATTACGCTTCGCCGCGGAGGCCAGGCGGACAAAGTGTTTCTCCGAACCTATACCCGCACGATACTAGCAGTTTTTTTGAAAATAAACCCTACTAACGCGATATATAGCGGAGATAGGGTTCGAGAAAATAAGGCTCCTAATTACTATTTATTAAATTCTATATTAAGGCGATAAAGATAAAATATAAGGAATAGTAATCGAAAAAAAGGGAGATAGGCGTAATAAGAAATGCATAGGGTCGGGTTAGTCCAAAATACATATAGTCGGGTTAGGTCGGGTTGGTCCAAAATGCATAGGGTTGGGTTGGTCCGAAATGCACAGGGTCGGGTTGGTCCAAAATGCAGGTCTGACCTTATACATTTTCGACCAAGCCGATCCTATGCATTTCGGACTATATCCCCTTTTGGGAATTTCGGACCAAACGCTAACCTCTTTCGGAATTTTGGACCATCCATACCCACGCAAGGAGAGCAACTTTAAACCCCCCTATAAAATTCAATAAAATAGATAAAAATATTCTGATTTAATATATAATATCTGAAGCACTTTTACTTGTAGGGAAAAATATAATATAACCTAGTTTCGCTTATATAAGCGTATCGTTTGTGCCGGTTTTTGCCTACTAGATATGCATCGGACTTTATGACTCGGAACTGACATAACCCGCAGGCGGATTGTGCACACAACACGCAACCCCTTAAGCGTGGTCGCGCTCAGCAGAATATTTGGGCAACTCAAGGCAAAACCGCACTGGATATTATCCAAAAATTGATTCGTATTTATTTTATAGTAGGAGGATGTCTTCCCATGTGGGTAGTTGACTTCGTATAAACCATGTTGGGCCGGCCTAAAAAGCGAGGTCCATTTACCAGAGATACTTGTATCTAATCTGACCATCCTCGTCCTCCTCCCGCAGAGTCTTTTTGTTGATATTTCGCAGCCAGAGACCCAGTGCAGCTGCCAAGGTAATACCCCCTGCGGCAAATGAAGACAAAATAATTCCGCCCATGCGATACTGGGGAGCGTGGGAAGAAGGGAAAAAGTAGGATCCGTAAATGTTCGACGAATTGCCGAACAAGTTGACCAATGCATAGACAATAGCACGTTTTGTTCTGGTTGTGGGGATAGTACTGGCAATCCAGGCTTAAACAACATTGAATGCGGAGTATGAGCCTGCACACATCAGGAACATGCCCACATAGCGCGGGGCTGTCGAAATCGTGCTAACAACCAACACGTTGCCGATGATGTCGACGAGCAGAGGCCACATGCTCAAAATAGCACGCTTGTTTGTGTACTGTGCAGTAAAAGAGTTTCCGAGCGAGGTAAAGAATCCGAAAACATAGACGGGAACGGTAATGAGCAGGGTTATTGTGTTGTCGAAACCGAGGGTCTTAACAATAGACTGTTTTTAAGACAGTGGTTAGGGACCGCTTCGTGGTGCGACAAAAGTGTACTAATTGCACTCACTGGGAAGAAGTATGTCCATATCTGCGATGTGAGCTGGCAGACCTGGATTCCGACTAGAATCCAGGCCTTCGGATCGGTGAAGGCATCAACAAGGGCTTGCTTAATCGATCCATTCTCATCGGCCTTATCGTTCACAGCTTGAGCTAATCGCCACTGTGCAAAGCGCTGCTCTTGCTGCGAGAGCCACTTTCGTTGGCCTGACTCAGGGAAATCAGGAAGAAGCAGGACTGCAAGCACTCCAGCAACCATGGTACCAGCACCCTCGATGATACAGAGCCATCTGTGTCATTTCTAGTCAGCGGCATACTCTCAAATGCAGGTAGGACAAAGGGGCAGTACCGACCTCCATCCTGCTAATCCGCCAGCTCCGTCCATTCCATCCAAAATACCTGCGGCAATAAGACCGCCAAATCCGTTGGCGATTGTGTTACCACAGTAAAGCACTGCCACACGAGGAGCAATCTCCTGAGGCTTATACCAGGAGCTGACCAAGAGACTAATGGTTCCGTCAGTACTTAGATGTAGGCAGAGAGAAGCCACTCTTATCTTACAGGGCACCTGGAAAAAAGGGAGACTCGGCAAATCCAATAGAACCCGAACCACCATGATATGAGCAAAGTTTTTCGTCCCCGCAGCAGCCATCGAGATTCCACCCCAGATGAAGATAGCAGCGGGGATATACCGAGACGGTTTCACGCGAGTGAGCACGATATTGCTAGGAATTTGGCCAAGAAGGTATCCCACGAACTATACAGAAAAGCGTTAATTGCCAAGCTCAGACACCAAGAGGGGCCAAGCTCACCATAATAGCCACGGCGGTTTGGTATTAAGTGTCGCTGAGGCCAAGATCATTCTCCATGCCGCCAAGCCGCGCATTGGCGATGTTTGAGCGATCAAGAATATTGAATATGAAAAGCAGACATAGCGACGAAATAAGGTGCAGGTCAACTTTCCACACAACTATCTCTTGTCGTCAGTAGCCATAGGCAATAGTGCCACAGTGTTGGTGGCGGGCTGACTACTCACGTCGCTTTTCAAGTTCTCTACACTCCTCTGGAGTCAGACCTTCAAATGTAGGCTCCTGATAAGTAGCCTTTGGAGAAATCTCCAAGTGACTGGTCTCGTTCTCCTTAGTTTTTTCCACCTCCATGGTTGCTTGCAGATATGTGGGAATTTTGCAAAGAAACAAAAAGCACACAGAGTGGGAGACCGAATTAGACTCACAATATTGCTGCCAAGTTATATCTAAACCACCGTCTCCCAATGTCCCTAGACCCCTCTCTTTCGCCTCGAGCTAATTCCTAAGTCCCCGAGCAGGCGATACCCCGGGTGTCGAGAACCGCGTCTCCCCGGATTCCGGTCGGATATCCCTATGGGCGCGGAAAAGGTCAGCGGATTCTGACCAAATGGCGCAAAGGGTCCCACAGATCAGCATTTGCCCCTCAAATAAGTCACACGAAGACATTCCGTAATATAGGTCTTATTACTGCTAGTGTTAATTCAATTTTCAGTTTACTACGAGAGAAATCCAAGTAATTGGGAACATAGTTCGTTCCAAGTGATTATCATTCATTCATGGGTGCGGGTTTTAAAGGGTATACTTGAACAGAGGGGATTTATCTCCCATGTCCAGCAGTTGCTCATCGGTATATTTCGAGCGAATGTCGACATCGCTCATCGCAGCATTCTTCTTATTAGCCCACATAAAGGAGAGCTCCAGGATGACGGCTGCCACAAAGGCTGATCCACCAAAGGCCAATGACAAGCCAAAGCCGGTGGGGTAGGTAGGGTATTCCTTATCAATGTACATGTAGCTGCCAATGATTCCTCCAATATTTCCGACACAGATATTGAAAGCGCTGCCAATAGCGCGGCGATTGGAAGGGGCCAGGTTGTTCATGGTCCATGAGGTCGTGGCCGGGTGGGTAGGGTAAATACCCATGGTGGTCAGAATAATAGCGAAGAATCCCGGGCCGATATTGGCTTTCAGGTTGCCATTTAGGCCCATGATAATAGAGTATCCAACCACAATGATTAGCAGTGGGGTCACAACAAATGGCGCACGCCAGTAGAATCGGTCGGACAGCATAGAGAAAAAGACAGCGGAAATAGCGCCCGCCACGTAAGGGGGGGACGGTCATGAGCTGCGCGGCTGTGTCTTGGAAACCCATACCCTTTGTAATGGTTGGGAGAGTGAATTTTGTTCCTTTTTATGAAAATTAGCAATGTTCGTCGTCTTCGATGAGAGAAGAAACGTACCATAAGAACAGGCTGACTGAGCAAGCAAAATGTATGCCAACAGGTACATTCTCCAGTTGCCCAAAACAGCCGTAATATCCTTCCATGAAGTCGACTTCCTCTCCTCCTGGAATTGTCCACCGTCTTTGATGAAGTGCTGCAACTCCAAGAAGCGAATCTCATCCTGGTTTAACCACTTTCCGGACAACTTTGGCGAGTTGATAAGGAAGAAGAAACAAAGGACACCCAGGACAACAGTGGCGATCCCCTCCAGAATGAAAATCCAACGCCAGCCTTCTAGTCCACCGACTCCGCTCATCTTCGCAATACCGGCTGCCAGTAAGCCTGAGAATGCACCCGAAAGGGCACTAGCACAGTAGAAGACAGCCAGGCGAGTTGCTAGGTGCTTTGGCATATACCAAAAAGAGCACAGGTACACTGCACCGGGGAAAAAGCCAGCTCTATCATCAGATGTCAGCGCGATGAATCTATGGCCATACAATTGGACCGCCAACTTACTCAAAAACACCTAGCAGAATGCGCACCACGAGCAAACCAGCAAAATTCTGGACGATTCCAGTCAGAGTCATTATAATCCCCCAGCAGATGATAAGAATTCCGAGGTAGACTGAAGGCCGCTTGAAGTTCTTCAGAAGCATGTTACTTGGGACCTCTGTCAATCGATTAGCGATGGATTGAAGAATCAGTTCAGGTCGATTCTTACCTAGCAAGACATATGGAATAAAGAAGAGACTAAGGGCAATGTTATACTGGATTCCAGTCAATCCCAGGTCTTTTGTCAGCCCTGCAATTTTCGCATTGCCGATATTTGCTCTGTCGAGATGTGAAATCAAATAGAGTACAGCTAGCATGGGCACCAAGCGAATGTCAACCTGGTAGGCGTTAATAATTCGGCCGTAGTGAGAGAGAAGGATGGGTGTTACCTTGTGCAAAACGGTTTTTCTCTGCTCGGGCGTGAAGTTATGGTAGAAATCGGCATCCTCGGGAGACAATCCAAGCACATGAATACCATCCATTACTGTCACATTGCTGTAGTCCTCGACATGGTCTGGAGAGCGCTGTTTCTCATCCGTCACATACTCAAACGAGGTACGTTCCGATTGTGAAGGAGGCATGATTGAAAAGTCTGACCCAGTACACGAGTATTATGCAGGGCGTCGAAAGTCGTTCCAGCTCTGAAAGCTCCAGCGGGACAAGAAGAGAGCTTTATAGCGCGTATGAGAACTGTCAAGTCTCGGCGTCTGGAGGACGATAGAGCTTGAGCACCTAGCCAAGCCTCCAGGAAGGGCCATTTGACGCATCGTCTGGGGTTTCTCCTCTCTCCCTAAACCTCCTAGTCCTCTTGGCGACGGCGATGTTTGGATGAGTTGTCCAGAGCCAAGAAATCCCCATGTCCAGAGGGATTCGCCCCGCAATTTGGTTGGAAGGGAGATCCGGGGTGCAGTCCACTTCTCCATTCAAGCTCGAGCATATTACACGATGTTCGGTTGCCATCCTGGCTTGCATTCAGCCCCCAAACAGTGACTCGGATTGCTCCACAAGTCTTTCCGCTACTTCGTTCTTTCTCCGGGATTTATCCGCCGGGTATTCGTTCTCCGGCGTTCACTTCTCCGCCAGTCGCACATTGAATTCCACTTTTGCTCCCCACTCGTTGTTGATCTGTAATCTCCAGGATACTGAGTGCATAGAATTGACCGTGGATGGAATTTGCGTTTGAATTTCAAGCTTTCATCATAGTATATCTCTGTGCATGTAGAAATAGTATCCCATCAACAACAAAACACCTGTCCCAGAGCGACGATACATCGGACTTGCAGGTAAAATCAAAGTTGAGTCATCGGATTTCCCCAATAATTTCCGCCGACATCTCGCTTTATCACACACATCTCTCCGGATAAACAAGAAATCATACCACCAACATCCCACCAACTCAAAATGTCCCCCGTACAAATCCGCCCGGCCCAAGATTCCGATCTGCCCCAGATTCGCGCCATCAACGCCCACTACATTCTCCACACAGCACTCACATTCGCGGAGACTCCGCCTCCACACGAGACATACCATGCCAAGTTTACCGAACTGGCCGCACGTGAACTCCCGTACCTCGTTGCCGTGGCCAAGAAGTCGACCAATGATGTCCTCTCACAAGCCCAAGCCGATAATGATAATCAGCTAGTTGTACTGGGATATGTCTATCTCTCGCCTTTCCGCGGCCATCTGACTGCGTATGCACCGACCGTAGAGTTGAGTTTCTTTTTGCATCCAACCTACCATTCCCAGGGAATTGGATCGAGACTACTTGCGGAGATTGTGGCGCATTTGCGGGAAAGAAGGATCCGCCACATATCCAGCTGACCGTGTAATCGTCATGGGATAGGGGGATCCTAGCTCCCATAATGGCCTATGTTACGATCGAATCGTTGCCTTGAAATGTCTAGCTTGTTAACTCGCATGGAATATAGGAGAAACAAAGATATTCTAAAGCGCAGGCCGTGGGAATGATGTCGATGTTCGTCAGGAGAGGGCGGGGTTGTGGTGAGGCTGCATATATGCCCCCGGGCTGCCAGTCCAGAATCCACGTCTCGTACTTCATTGTACCATAGAAGGACCAGTAGTACTGTACCTATGGTTCCCAGTCCACCCACACCGCGGTATTGTGTCGTGCTATCGCAACAACGAATTACGGACCAGGTATCTGGCCAGATCTATTGCGTTACGGTCTAGGCTAAATGACTCAGCCAGGGCGGTAGGAAAATAGGGTTTTATATCTATATAGACTTAGCTAGGACTTAGTATCCTTACTAATCTTATAAGTTATTTTTTATAACCTTAGGGTTCTTTACTATATAAGTTATATATCTTATATTATTTTATATTAGCCTATAGGATCTTACTTTAGTAGTAACCGACGTAGGGGCTCTATATAAATAGCCTATATCTCCGCCGGGAGCTCGGGTAGGCATAGTTAACTTATTCCTAAGAGGAAAGTATTCGCGAGCTAAGCTAAGTCTTAGTAGACACTTACAGTCACATATCATTAGTATTTGCACCCCAGTACTTCGGTAGGCTAGACCCACATATATTCTGCCGGTAGAATAGAAGTTCTATTTCTAATAACTAGTATGCCACCCTTTATACCGAATCACTTCCTCTACACGATAAGGCATAGTCTTAGCTAGATTAATAAAGTGCCTAATCGTAAGCTATTCCCACGTAGCCTATACTATATCTACTAGCTCTGCCTAAGTAGTATCATTATTAGGCATCTCGCGAAGCCACGGCCGTAGCTTTAATATATTAGCCTTTAATAGCCCCCAGAGGTTCTCAATTAGGTTTAAATCTGGCGAATAAGGCGGCCAATCTATTATAGTGATATTTAACTCGCGGAGAAGGGCTTAGACGATATATATAGTATATATTAGTGTATTATTATATTAAAAGATAGCATCCTCGTTCGTAAGTAAGGTAGGTAGGATACCACAATAAAGATTATAAATAACCTCTTTTATAATACCCTTACAATCCGTGGTAGGATCTCTGAATAAAGGAATTAAGCCAGTCTTTCGCGGAGCGCCTAAGAAATAAGCCCAGAATATCTGCTTTATCTATTTCCCTTTTAATAGAGTTATTTGGATATCAGACTCGCGCTCTTAAAGCTAATTTTTAGGAGGAATATCTATCTACTCCTTCTGAGCACCTTATCCGTATTTAATAGTCGTTTTATCCGACCAAAAAACCCTTTTTTTAGTCCTCTGGTATAAAATAGCGATAGGCTAAATGTGGGAGATCCAGTGGGAGATCTAATGGGAGATCAAGTCTTTTATCCTTCGATGAATAAAAGAATATTTCCTTAATAGGAAACCTCAGGGTATGATATGATGATTGAAGAAGAATTATATTTTTCTTGTAGGGAATTGCGGACATATTTATATCCAATCAACAATATTCTAGGCCTATATTAGAATTGCATTGTTTTAAGTCTAGGCCTGTCTTGCTTTGAAATCAATTATAGTCTAGGCATCATTTTTAGTCTAGACCTATTGTCAAGGCATCATTAATAGTCTAGACCTATGTCAAGGTATCATCAATAGTCTAGACCTATATCAAGGCATCATTAATAGTCTATCCATAGAACACCTTTTAATAGACCTATTGGAATATAGACCAATGCTACATAGAAAGATCTACTCTTATATTCAACATATAAGACCAGATTGCATTGATCACGTGACCAGATTTTTCTTCTATCAACATGATGTTTTGACCACTTCTGATTCTGGTCCGCGGCCCTCCCCCGAACGATAGGCGGGACCATTTTCCTTTAGGGGTAAATGGTCCGCCTTCAGCATGAATGGTCCGTTCCTTCGGGGGTGCTTTCGGGCATGCCCTGCCCGCGGACTTCGACCATGGTCTTCGGACCCCGGTGAACAGACTTCGACCCTCGGTCCCCTTAAGGATAGGCGGACCACTTTCCCTTAGGGGTAAAATGGTCCACCTTTAGGCATGCATAGCCTGATCCTGCGGGGGTGCTTTCGGGGTGGCTTAGACCGTCGATCCTTGACATCATTCTTTTCGCTTCTCTTCGGTTCCCTTCTTTGCCACCTTCATTATGTTGCTGCCTAGTGTTTGTACGTCATTTGTATGTTATTCTAGACGTCATTTCTAGGCTATCCTAGCCTATAAATACGTCCTTCTTGTCTAGCAGATAGAATCAAGTCATTTCTACTTTCCTGAAGTCAGTTCTACTTTCCAAAAGTCATCTCTACCTTCTTCCTTTGATCCTCAGGACTGTGGTTCTGCCTTCGTTTAGGCTATATCTGCTTATAGTCTCTCCTCAACCTTTGACCTTCTACCTTTGTCTGGCATCGACTGACCCAGCCGGATTAAGGTTGATCCCACGGACTTAAGGGGCCACGATCTGCTTCGTGGTAGCTTTCCCCTTATATCCCAACAGATAATATATAAACTAGCTTCGATAATTAATAGCGTAACTATTAAAGACGCGAACGAAGAAAAGATATTATACGAGATATATTAGCTAGATAATATATCTTAATAGATATTGTTGGAGCATAAGGGGAAAGCTACCACGAAGCAGATCGTGGCCCCTTAAGTCCGTGGGATCAACCTTAGTCCGGCCAGGTCAGTCGGTGCCAGACAAAGGAAGAAGGTCAAAGGTCGTAGGATAGACTATAAGCAGATATAGCCTAAACGAAGGCAGAACCACAGTCCTGAGGATCAAAGGAAGAAAGTAGAACTGACTTTGGAAAGTGGAAAATGACTTGATTCTTTCTGCTAGAAAAGAAGGACATATTTCTAGGCTAAAGTAGCCTAGAAATGACGTCTAGAATAACATACAAATACTAGACAGCAACATAATAAAGGTGGCAAAGAAGGGAACCGAAGAAAAGCCAAAAGAATGATGTCAAGAATCGACGGTTTCAGCCACCCCGAAAGCTTCCCCGCAGTATCAGGTTATGCATGCCCAAAGGTGGACCATTTTATCCCCTAAGGGAAAGTGGTCCGCCTATCCTTGAGGGGACTGAGGGTTGAAGTCTGTTCACCGAGGTTTGAAGACCATGGTCGAAGTCCGCAGGCAAGATATGCCCGAAGGCACCTCCGAAGGAACGGACCATTCATGCCTGAAGGCGGACCATTTACCTCTGAAGGAAAATGGTCCTGCCTATCATTCGGGAGAGGGCCGCGGACCAGAATCAGAAGTGGTCAAAATATCATTTTGATAGAAGAAAAAATCTGGTCACGTGATTAATACAATGCTGATCTTATATGTTGAATATAAGGATAGATCTTTCTTTGTAGCATTGGTCTATATTCCAATAGATATTAAGAAGGCTAATTAGACGTACCTTTAGGCGCTTTAGATAAGTATATTTTAATCTAATCTAATTATCAGTAGCGTATAATAGTTATTAATAGATACCGTACTTTATTATTAAAGGTATCAGGTTTCACTAGATATCTACCTATAAGCTAAAGAGTTAATATTAGCTCGTAATTAATTAGTTTATCTAACTTGTAAAGAATTAGTAAGACTTACTAATTAAAATATTCTAATATAATAATAAGAAAGCTATAGGACAGTCCGTGGAATAGAGCCTTACCTCTAATAGAATTATTATATATTATAGCCTACCTATATACCTAGAGATAAATAGATACGCCGAGAGAGTACTCGATTCTACCGGCAGAATATATGTGGGTCGAAGTACTGGGTTGCAAATACTAATGATATGTGACTGTATACTAGTATGGTGGCATCAAGTAGCATTCAGTCTGTTACAGAAAGGCCTCACCGCTTCCTAATGGACACCATATTGTCAGGTTTTATAAGGTAGAGATATCAGGTTTTATAGGGTAGAGATATTACTGAATTACTTTGCAATATAATACATACTGTATCTACCTGGCTCTAACATCGTCTTCCAGGGGAAAGGTGTGTACGCATGAGATATATTGGCGACTGCATACAAGGTTAAGAGAAACAATCAACATCCACCCCTCCTGACTTGGAATGTTCTGAAGATCTCAAACACAGATAGATAAATTTGCTAGAGCGAGCGTCAAATCAGATAATCGTTGGATGCCATCATGAGACATTGTGCCAAGGTAGCCCTTTGGTAGTCTCTAAATATGTCCGAGTTAGCTTGAAAATATTTAAGGGTCTATCCTCCAATTTCTTCAAACTCATATTATGTTAGTAAACTCGAATACTCACATTTAGTTTGATGGTTTGCAGTGACTGCAGAGGAGTTTCAGGACGGACTGGGTGCCCGTGTTTACTCTCATAAGTTGTGCATTCGCGCAATTTGTCACATCCGTTGCACCTGACGAGGGCCATGATGTCTCTTTTGAGATGATAGTCAAGGTTGATGGAGAAGGTTGATGGAGAAGCTAGTATTTGCTAGGAGTGTGCAATATTTAGAGAGTAATTAATGAGGCGAGGAGAAAGAATTTATAGCCCTGTGAGCAAAGGCCAATGCGCTATTTTCATTTTCATTTTCATTCTCATAAGGGCAGTGCAGCTTCATAAAAGCCTCCAAGGGCCTTCATTGGTACCTTGGTGTATATGCAAAATTGATTGAGTACAACGATACCCACGTATTCAGATGCGGCTATTGACACGTAATAGGCACACTTTGACGAGACTCTAGTTCGAGCACTACAATAGTCCTAGAATTAAACGATCCATGATTGACACTTGTGACTTCCCGGGCTCATTGAGGATTTCTATCGCAAATGATATTTAAAGATACTGAATTAATCAACGGTTGTTTTTATCCATGTTTAACCGTTCTGGTATCTTCATCTGAGGATTCAAGCGACGGTTAACGTTAAAGACAAAAATGGCACGGTCAAATTGCCGGAATACTGTCTTACAACAAAAAATGATTGGCTAATCGATCCGCCCAATACGCAGGTCCGTGCATTTCCTAATACCTCCGCACCCCCCCAGGCCTTCGACAAAAAACCATTTCAACCTATTTTGTGAGAACTACCTCCGACCCATTCCGAGTTCGGGCTAGACCGGGAAGATTCATAACGGGGCTGTCTAAGGTTGCAGTATAGCCCAAAAAATCAGGTATCAAGGATGAAAGGTTAAAAAAATTTCTGGTGGCGATCTAGGGGCTCGCAAACGATTAGCAAATGTACGTGATCTAGAGGCTACGTTGATTGGTTTTGCAATATCCGTTTTTAGAAGGGGGTTGTTCAATCAACGTCCCCCTAACAGTGCTTTCCTCATTTCTTGGGTGAACACTCGATGGAATTTCCTTATAGTATCGCGCTGCTGTCTTCCCACGTTCAACACATAATGAAGCATGTAAGCGTTGAATTTGACTCGTTGACGTTGTTATTTATTATTTATTAATTCAACCTATTTTCATGTATTACTTTCTTTAAAAAAAAAAATAATAATAATAAAGGGTAGGAAAGGTAAGGAACACACTGTAGGTTGATCTTCAACGGAACTCATAACCTTAATTCCTCAACTGAGAGTCCTAAAAAATAAAAATAGTGGAAATGAAATAAGCTGGACCTCACAAAGATGATATATGATGAGGTCGAATCAATTGATAAGTGTGGCCACATCGTATTGGAATATAGACCAATGCTACATAGAAAGATCTATCCTTATATTCAACATATAAGACCAGATTGCATTGATCACGTGACCAGATTTCTCTTCTATCAAAATGATGTTTTGACCACTTCTGATTCTGGTCCGCGGCCCTCCCCCGAACGATAGGCGGGACCATTTTCCTTTAGGGGTAAAATGGTCTACCTTTAAGCATGCATAGCCTGATCCTACGGGGATGCCTTCAGGGTGGCTTAGACCGTCGATCCTTGATATCATTCTTTTCGCTTCTCTTCGGTTCCCTTCTTTGCCACCTTCATTATGTTGCTGCCTAGTGTTTGTACGTCATTTGTATGTCATTCTAGACGTCATTTCTAGGCTATCCTAGCCTATAAATACGTCCTTCTTTTCTAGCAGATAGAATCAAGTCATTTCTACTTTCCTGAAGTCAGTTCTACTTTCCAAAGTTATCTCTACCTTCTTCCTTTGATCCTCAGGACTGTGGTTCTGCCTTCGTTTAGGCTATATCTGCTTATAGTCTATCCTACGACCTTTGACCTTCTACCTTTGTCTGCACCGACTGACCTAGTCAGACTAAGGTTGATCCCACGGACTTAAGGGGCCACGATCTGCTTCGTGGTAGCTTTACCCTTATATCCCAACACATCGCACTACCGTTAGAGAGAGGTGAAAGGATAATCCGAGATGGTTCTGCTTTCGGACTATACTTTTACCCATCCTTGTTTCCGCCTTCGGCTCGAATCGCGGGCCGGCCTAGCTACGGCCCCCCCTTGTCCGCAATCAACATCCCGTAGAAGATAAATGAAGTATCCAGCTCATATAGTAGTAGTAGTAGTAGTAGTAGTAGTAGTAGACCTGGCACTCACCCGCCCCGCGGGTCTAAGATCAGGAACCTCCACCCGTACCTCCGAGGGTTAGGGTCTAACCTCACCGACCCTGACCCTGACCCTGACCCTCTAAGGGTCCCTTAAGGGTTACCCGCGGAGGGTCCGTCAGACCCTTAAATATATAATTTCTCCGCGCCTTTCCTAATTCGGACGTATAAAATTAATGATTTAGCTTATAAAAATACTATTATTTATAGCTATTCTGGTATCTATTTCTATTATTCCTTAATTATATACTAATATCTACGAAATTTAAAGAAATTAGATTATAAATAGATAAGTTATATATTATTATCTTAGTATTCTGAAATTTAACTTAAATTATATAGTGGGTGGCTAGTTTTTAAGGGGGGTTATAGAAAGTTAAGAGTTTCGTTACGGAAATATATATTAAAGGTAAAGTGAGAGTGCTATATTTATATAATAGTAAATATATCTTTTTTTTAAGACTAAAAATACCCTAAATCGAAAGCTTTCTTCGGTTATAAAATAAATAAAGACTTATTTAAATAATTATTAATTTAGATTCCTTATAGATATTTTAGTTATTATATAAAATAAGTTTAAAGATCTAGATTATTAGACTTAGATATTTTTAATTACGAAACTTAAGACTATATAACTAAAGGGTTACTCTAAGAGTCTTAAGGGTTACCCTAAGGGTCTTAAGGGTTACCCTCTCCGCGACCTAATTAGATAAGAGAATTTTAGCTAAGTGAGGGCCTATAAGATAATATATTAACTTATATCTTCGCGCGACTAGGGTAAATAGATTCCCCTTATATAATAGCTTTTTTTTTGTCTAAAACCTTTATAAGTCCTTTCATTCTACCTTTTTATAACCTATATATCTACTATATCCTAAATCTCTAATATATATTTATTCTTAGTAATTAAGGGTATTAAAATAGATAAATTATAATATCTTATCTTAGATAATATTATATTTATAAGCCTATTCCTATTAAGCTAGCTTACCTTCGATATAATACTTAATACTCTATAGAGAGTACCTTTAGCGCCTAAGAGCCTTATATAAATTAAACCTAACTAAGTAAATTAATTCTTATTATATAAAGATAAAATAAGTAAGGAGTTTATAAATTAGTAGCTCTAAATAGACTAAAGGAAAGGAATAGATTAATTAAGACAGAAAGTATTAAGTAAGTTATTAGGATAGCTTCGAGTAAGTAGCTTATATAAAGGATAAAAAGCCTAATATAATATATATAAGATATTAAAAGGTTCTTAACTATCTAGCTACTAAATATATTAGTACCTTATTAATATATAAATATCTGAAAGGGCTATAATATTAAAAAGGGATAAGTAAACTAAGTATTTATAAGTTACTTATATAAGCTACAGTCACATTTCATAAGTATTTGCACCCTGGTACTTCGGTAGACTAGGACCCACATAGATTCTGCCGGTAGAACTTCCATTTCTAATAACTAGTATGCCATCCTTCATACTTGATAACATCCTCTATACGATGAGGCATGGTCTCAGCTAGATTGATGAAATGCCTAATTGTAAGCTGTTCCCACGCAGCCTGCGCTGCATCCACTAGCTCTGCCCAAGTAGTAGCATTATTAGGCATCTCGCGAAGCCACGGCCGTAGCTTTAATATATCAGCTTTTAATAAGCCCCATAGGTTCTCAATTGGGTTTAAATCGGGCGAATATGGCGGCCAATCCATTACGGTAATATTCAGCTCGCGTAGAAGGGCTTGGACGATATATGCAGTATGCGTCGGTGCATTATCGTGCTGGAAAATAGCATCCTCGTTCGCAAGTAATGTAGGTAGGATACCACGATAGAGATTATGAATAACCTCTTTTGTAATACCTTTGCGATCAGCAGTAGGATCACCGAATAAAGGAATTAAGCCAGTCTTGCGCGGAGCACCTGAAAAACAAGCCCAGAACATTTGCTTTGTCTGTTTCCCTTTTGATAGCGTCATTTGAATACTAGAATCACGCTCTTGAAGCTGGTTTTTAGGAGGAATAAATGTCCATTCCTTCCGAGCACCTTGTCCGCGTTCAACGGTCGTTTCATCAGACCAAAAAACCCGTTTCCAATCCTCTGGTGTAAAGTGGCGATAGACTAAAGCCCAGGCAAGACGCTTCGCAGCGTGAATAGGCAGAAGATAAGGTCGGTCCATCTTTCGCCACTTCCGGAGGCCCATCTCGTGCGTTAAACGCCAGATTGAGGTAGCTTTGACCTTATAATCTACCTCAGCAAGCAGATCTTCGCGGGTAATATCAGGACGGGTTTGAATAGCATCATACACACGGTCTCGGTCCTCCGCAGTAAGCTTGCGAGGTGCGCCAGAGCGAGGTAGGGAAACACCTTTAGAACGCTTTAGATCTTGCCGAAGGGTATAGTGGATAGTCGATAGAGGGATGTCAGGGAACGCATTCTTTTGAATACGCTTAGCACCCCATTTTGCTGATCTTTTTAACTCACATATACGTTCGCGTATATATGGTTCAAGCTCAGGCCCGCGAGCCATAATAGAAGAAGGATTATAGGAAGACGTATATAAGAAGACAATAATAGGGGTAAGATACGTAGATAAGCGAGTTGTAGATGGATATAAAAGGTAGGCGGTGTACAAAGAGCGGTCAGAGTCTATTGTACTAGGGTGCAAATACTAATGGAACGCCACTGTATATATATAACCTAGATTATCCCTTAGCTTCAAATTAATTAATTATTAACCTACTAAGGTTAGCGAGCGCTTACCTAGGTATTTAATTAGAATACCTAGGAATAAAAACTTCTAAATCTAATTACTATATTATATTTATTTTTTCTTTTCCTTAAGTATTAAGAGTTCTATAATCTTATCTTATATATATAACTAGCTCTAATAATACTAATTATTCCTTCTTAGAAAATAATATATATAAGGCTCTATTAATTTATTACTAAAAACTAAATAATTATTCTCTAAAATCTACTATTAGGTATAAAGTTATCTCTAATACTTAATTATTAGATATTGTCAGGACATAAGGGTAAAGCTACCACGAAGCAGATCGTGGCCCCTTAAGTCCGTGGGATCAACCTTAGTCCGGCTAGGTCAGTCGGTGCCAGACAAAGGTGGAAGGTCAAAGGTCGTAGGATGAGACTATAAACAGATATAGCCTAAACGAAGGCAGAACCACAGTCCTGAGGATCAAAGGAAGAAGGTAGAGATGACTTTGGAAAGTGGAAAATGACTTGATTCTATCTGCTAGAAAAGAAGGACGTATTTATAGGCTAGGATAGCCTAGAAATGACGTCTAGAATGACATTCAAATGACGTACAAACACTAGGCAGCAACATAATGAAGGTGGCAAAGAAGGGAACCGAAGAGAAGCGAAAAGAATGATATCAAGGATCGACGGTCTAAGCCACCCCGAAGGCATCCCCATAGGATCAGGCTATGCATGCCCAAAGGTAGACCATTTTACCCCTAAGGGAAAGTGGTCCGCCTATCCTTAAGGGGACCGAGGGTCGAAGTCTGTTCACCGAGGTCCGAAGACTATGGTCGAAGTCCGCGGGCAAGGCATGCCCGAAGGCACCCCCGAAGGAACGGACCATTCATGCCTGAAGGCGGACCATTTACCCCTAAAGGAAAATGGTCCCGCCTATCGTTCGGGGGAGGGCCGCGGACCAGAATCAGAAGTGGTCAACATATCATGTTGATAGAAGAAAAATCTGGTCACGTGATCAATGCAATCTGGTCTTATATGTTGAATATAAGAGTAGATCTTTCTATGTAGCATTGGTCTATATTCCAATATTATCTTATAATTTATATACGCGAAATAATAATACTAAAGGTTTACTAAAGCCCTCGCTTTAAGTAGTTTCTCTAAAGATCGTATAGTATATATATAGGAATATATAACTTCTTTTAGTTTATCGAAAAGCTAGAGATTTATACTATTCTATAGATATATACTTAATATAGGTCGGCTATCGATATCAATAATATAGTTAGATTTCTAGTACTATCTTCCGCCCTTTTTTTAATAGTACGGTATATAATACTAAGTTAGTATAGAAGCCTAGAGAATAGAGTATATCGCTTAGGGATATTACTCTTTTCTTATCTATTTTAGGGTTTCTTCTAATAAGTTTAACTATACTATATCCGGTAATATTTATATTACTATCTCCTATTATAAGGGTAGTCTCGTACGGTTTAAGGCTAATAAAAAGACTCTTATTATTATAGATATACCTTAATACTCCTATATCTAATATCTAATAGTCTTAGATAGTTAACTTAGCCTTATAGCTTACTAAGAATACCTCTATACTAATATATAGTGACTATATTAGGAAATATATATTAATTAGATCTTCTTTTAGGATATCTATATAGGTATAGTCTATCCGTATATTTATTATATTTATAGAGACTTAAGGCTTTTATTTAGCCTCTATCGCTTCCTTAACGGCCTTTTTAACCTATTTCTTCTATATAGGATCTGCTACGAGGCTCTTCTTAATCTTCTAAAGTACCTTATTAGCTAGCTTAAATTAAGAGGGTTAGATTACCTTATTGAGGATATAGTATATTATAACCTAGTAATAATAGTTCGTACGTCCGTATAGGTATAGCCGCTTATCGAAGGGAATAGATATTAGTGTCGGTACCTCTTCTAATACTTCCTTATAATCTTACTAGGTAAAGAATAATCCCTTTAGTTCTAATAATAATAATTATTTAGGACCGATCTCTTAATATATTACGCGGAATAATTTAATTAGGTCTTTAGTATTACACAGCTTTCTATCTATAATAATCTCTAAATATCTAGCCTACTACTAAATAAGTAATATCTCTTTTATCGCTTATAGGAAATCCCTCTTTATACTTTTAACTTCTTTAAGATAAAGGCTAATAGCTTACTCTCATAGGGTATCTTATATTAATAGCTACTAATTAATATTTCTCTTTAGCTTCTATATAATAAATAATCTTTACTTTATACGAATTTCTTCCTTATATACACTAGAGCGGGCAAAGCGAGACTTTAGGTATAAGCGATCGTATAGTGTCTTATAGTTAATTAATATAAGGTAGTAGATAGAATTAAGGAAGAATATAATATATCGAAATGGGAACGGCTCGATGGCTGTCTGGCGATGCAGACTGGACAACACACAAACACACACTACCTGTCTGGGGTAGAGGATGCTGGATGAGGCCGTACTGATACCCTGTTGCGGCCGTGCGGGATAATCTTAATACTATATTATAGATAGAAGAAATTAGGTGAATCCTGAATGAATTAGGTAGATAACTTATCTCTCTCTAAGTGTGTCTAGAGATATACTATGCACTGCAGACATTAAATCATGCCTGAGGCCACACATAGGCTCATTATGTCACCAGTTCTCCCACTACAATATTTATTTATATTATTTAGTTCCTTAATCTATTTCTCCTAGTTTATATATATAATCTTATAGATATCTATATAGTCTTATTACTCTTTCTTCTCCTCTATATCCCTTTTTTTAGGGTACTCTGGCTTATATAGCTCTCTTAGACCTCTTAGACGGTCTTCTTTCGCGATATCTGGGTTATATAGGTCTTAGACTCGCTTCTGCTTTATATATAGCTTTATATAGGCAAACTACGTACGCTACTACGATAAATCCTTTAGTTTATCGCCCTTTATAGCGGAGAGTATAGATATTACCTCTATAGCCGTGTTCCGGCGGAAGGGATACCCTTAGGGGGGGTTATCTATAGACCTGGCACTCACCCTCAATTTGGACCCGCCAAGACGCCAAGGAGGGTCCAAATTCTGACCTTGGACCCTCTTAGGTAATATTTTAAGGCATAAATAGGCCTTAATAGGCAATTTTCTGCTGATAAAGAGTGTTTTATACACGCTTATGCAAAAAGGGACCCTCATTGAGGGTCCCTTGGCGGGTGGAGGTTCCAGACCTTGGACCCTCCGGCCAGGTCTAGTTATCTATTATATTAGTTTATTAATTTAGGGGTAGAGGGTCGAAATAATCGACGGATATATTTCCTAGTGATATAGCAATATTAATTGCTTCCTTATTCACACATAAATGCCTCTATATAATGCGAACCGGGCTCATAACTGTCGGAGTATTTTCTACGCAACCAATCAATGATATCTGAAGCTCTGTTTCTGTATTACCCCTGATTCTGCCACTTTATAGGGGGATTCTAGATTATATAAGAAATAAACATGAAGGATAATTGTATCTCCGGTCCACCGCGGTATTCGTACTGACAATATTGCATTATGTCACCGGTTCTCCCACCACACTGTCTGTTATAAGCCACGCGTCTGAGATTTAGGATATTAGGTTCTGCTTCCGATTCAGACGAAGCGCCTACATAGCCTCGACGCATCTAATTAGCCTTTTTCAGGTTGGGAGAACTTTGGTTGATTGATTGATTTATTGGGTCAAGCGTTAACGACGGACCCGCGTTAAAATTATGGGAATCGCCAGAAGTGAAATGAGGCCCACCAGCATAGCGTATACGCAAAAGCTAGTCGCGCATCCTGTCTTGATGGAAAAGTCAAAGGTCCCGTAGCTGATACCAAAGGCCGCAATGTCGCGGATCACAGTTACTGCAGTCATTGTAGCTAGCGACTGATCAGGGTCGGTAAAGGATCCCAAATAAGTAAGGACGACTTCGAGGACTGCGCCAAACCCAATGAACTGCAGGCAACTGATCAAAACTAAAGCAAACCAATGCACTTGTGGCCCTCCAGGGTGGGTAACGAAGTAATGTTGTGCCAGGCACCCAAATGTAGTGTGACCAATGATGGCACAAACGGCGGGGAATATAAGCGGAATCAAGCGATACTCGGGAAGAATTGCCTCTGTGTTGCCTCGAACAGACTTTATGATCAGCCGATCGGATGCCTATCCTGTGATAAGCCATTTTACTACGGAAAATTGGAAGATAAAGAGTCAGCTCTGATATTTCTACTTGCCAAATGCCGGGATTAATTCTGAATCATGAAATGCTTGGAATGAAACTTACACAATGCAGCTGGGAAGATAGTCTAATCAAAGCAACATCAGCGCTCGGCCAATTGTACGGCGCCTCGGTCAAAATTGTAGCAAAGAAATTGCAATAGCCAATATACGCTCTGTGTCAACCATTATCAGTAATTTCATCCAAATTTTCTTTTTCATGCCATGTTCCATATCCTTACCTCGTAGCAACCGTTGTCAAGAGAATGCACCACCAATATACCGGCCGTGTTAAAGCCGTGATGACTTTTCTGTAAAGGTAAATAAATCCAGCTTCATTGCTTTGCTCTCGAGGACACCAAATGGTGAGTGACTCTTTCCAAGCCATTCGGGTTATATCTTGACGCCAGTGCTTGTGCTCGAAAACTGTGAGTGGGTCTTGGTTGTTGTTCTGGAACAAGTTTCGATTGGATTCTGGCATGGTGAAAAACATTCAGATTAAGCAAAATCCGATTAAACATGCATAAAAAATGTCGTGGTTGACATGAACAGAGACGTATGTTACCACGATGGGTAATGTGGCCTGTAACGCCAGTTGGAGCATTACCATTGCTCCTAGCATCCCACCACGCTCATGGATAAACGTGCAATCTTGAATGAAACTCAAAAATTACGCGTCCGTTGGGCCACATGCTAATCCTTGAATGATCCGGGCTGCATATAGTGAGTCGAAGGACGTGGTGAGGCCGGCCCACAAAGTTGACGCGAATAGTATGATAGGTGAAAGCAATAACGCTAGCCTTCGGCCGTAGATTAAACCTATTGGCACAAATATCAAGGCTCCGGGCCCAACCATAGGGACTATCACGTTCAGGGGCGATGAATCGCTGATTCAGATTCGTTTGGGAATTTCGTGTACAATTCTGGCGCCAAATTCCCGAGAAAATTCTCAACGGACAAAGCTGTGCTTGTCGCAAATGCGAGAAGAAACATGATGTTCCATTTTCTGGCAAGACTGCAATTTAGCGGATCGGCCGCTTGGTGGCTGGGGATTGGACTTAAATAGATGAGATAAATTATCGACCGTTCCTTCGCGATCATCTGCTTTGCTCTCAAACTTTTCGCGCTGTTTCTTCCCTGAACTATCACGTTCGTGATTCATTTCAAAAGAAACAAAGTTAGACAATTCGAAAATCAATGAAAGGGCTTCTTAGCCAAATCGCAATCAGATACATTCTAATAGTACAAAGTGTCTAGTACGGCCTATCTTATATCTTCCTCAGGAATTAAGGTCCCATATATAAATTCCAGAATAGCATGTCAAAAGTTCATTTCCAAATATGCCGATCATTATTACTGGTCGAATATTTGAAGTATATTCAATCAGACGTCTGTGCACACCAGATTCCGGTCAGCGTACCGGCCACCGGCTGTTTACCCGGTCACAGAATTGATAGGAGCGTTTCAGTCGCGATGCGGGGAAGCTCCATAACAAGTCGTTTACTTCCTCTTCTGGATGAAAAGCTGTTCCATACTGGAGCCCAAGTTGGGATTATCATTCACCTACCAAACTCATCTTCGCCACAATGTTGGCCTTAGCCATCTTGATCAAAAATCATTATTATTGAAACAATTGAAAAAAAACTAAATAGCGAACGCTTTCACCGCATGATTAAACATTATCTATGCGACGGCGTCGGAGTTTGAGGCTCCTCCACATCCCGAAATATCAGATAAGCGACGCGTGCTAACGCAACCAAGCTGGTTAGATGATTTCACAGCCGACCCAGCCAGTCAATCTGATTGGCTTCTTTTTTTTGTATTAATCATTGCGGCCGAGTCATGCTTTACTTATCCCACCTTTCAAAGCGTCGTAGAAGGTGCCCAACGAGTCAGTTGATCCGAGTCGCTATCTGGCGCGCTAATCATCAGCATTGGACCGGCCCGGCTTGAATCTAGGTTTCGAATTTTCGTGAAAAGCGAGCACTGGTGGGGTTCTATGATGATAAATGGTTTCCCATCCTTCAGATCAACTTGTATATCGGAAGTTTTTCCTGCTCTTTCTGTTCGTTACTCAGAATGGAGAATAAAGTTATTTGAGCTGAGAACTTTAAAGTTCTTGAGGAATATCTGGAAAGGCCTTTTTGGGAAAACGATGAGCATGTGAACCGTCTTTTCCCGTCGACTTGCCTTTGGGAATTCCCTTATGCGCCGCCTGGAATGCCTCAAGTCTTTTCTCGGCATAGAAGACCGGTTCTAGTCCAGTGGCTGCGACGTACCATGCGTCAATGGGTTCGGTCACAAATACGACAGTATCCAACACAGAACCTCAACCGATTCTGGGTCGAGTCCTCTACAAAGGCTATGGTGACATGGGGCGACACTTACATGGGGCGACAGTTTTGAGCGCAAATTCGAGTGTTAACACATCGAGCTGATCGAGATTAACAACGGTAAAATATCAAGCTTGAAAATCTGGAGCGATCCTGTCGCCTATTATAGGGCCGCGGGGATCGTTCTCCCTTCTTTCTCCTTCAACAGGCAACCAGCCACTCCGCCTGAATACGTCGATACACCTTTTCCGAATCCTCCCACGACAGAGCCTGAATTGTCCGAGACAAAAGAAAGGCTGTTCACCTGGTATCTTCGCCCATCTCCAGACAATCCTCTGGAGATAATAGAGAAGAACAAAACGGCGATTTATTTTGATCCCGAATTTCGGTTTGTCATACCTTTCATGCCGACTAGCTTGACGAATGGTGGCAATCACAATTTGGAGGCGACGATGATCAAATGGGTGGAAGAAACAATAGTTGAATGGCATCAGGTAAGTTTATTACAGCCAAACCAATCAGAGTGAAATTTTGGCCTTGACACGAAAGCAACAGAACAAAGCCTTTGAACGAGCGAAGTTTCTCGATCCCAATGTTCCCATTGTTGAGAGTTTCGGCAACTGGGGCTGTTTCAGATGGGGAGCTTACAACAACCCGTCTGGGTATCATAATGACTATGTGAGACGTTCATCAATCAACCAACATGCCATATTTGTGCATCTTTCTAATTGTCCTCTGGCTAGGTGATTCTTGTGCGGCTGAAAGATTTGCGAGTTGTGGAAATTAAAGAATATCTGAATCCGAACCCTCACCTCCTCGTCACGAATGTCTCTTTCCCCGTGTTTCCTTTCTTCATTTAGGTTCAAAAGCTGTTTTGAGGAAGGAATAGTACACAGAAATGGGAGTCTGAAGATAATAGAAAGGAAACAACTCGCAATGTATTTACTTTGAACGAACGCAAGTATGGCTCTTGTCATTGTGGCTGAGATCAGGCTTGGAGCTGTTCGTCAGAATGTTTCACCCCCCTGGCTCCACCACTCACGTCTGACTTTGTTTCTTTTGCCACACTTTCAGGGACCTCTTCTACATCGCCCATATGTCAATTCTCCTCTTAGCTCTCTAAATCTTCAGCTGAATCAATGGTTGCTATGACTGGTGCAAAGACCACGCTCTTCGTTGCATGGCATATCGCGGGGCCATTCACAAAATACTCAGACTCTTCCCATACCAGACTGAACTTCTCGCGATCGATTCTCGCTAGACCTCGCCTCCTGCGGCGACTCTTTTCTCTTCAAGGTTTCTTTGGCCTTAGCTGGCAGGAATTGATAAATGAAATAAAAAATGACCATTTATCTTCGCGTTTTTCATTGACCTAGAACGCATTTATAAGGAAGAATACATTGGTGATTGACACTTGTATAAATACAAGTCTCCGCACACGCCTATGTGGAATTTCCTGGCGGCAAAATGATTTACGAGTTGTGAGTTGCAGATATTATAATTATAGCACGTAGAATGGAAGCAGCACAAAGACCCTCGAAAGTAAAGCACTGAACAATACTACATCATTTGAAGCACTCCTAGGCCACCAAATCCAGTATTTACATTGCATTGTACTCATTTATATTGTAAGAAAAGACACTATTGCTACAGAGCACACTTCCACATAGTCTGTTTTTAGTTTGAATTGACTCTTTATATCAATGATCGTGATTTTGTGCAATTTGTTTCGCACTTACCTTGGAATCGCGGGCTGCAACATCCAGGTAAGGCTGCTCGATCACACAACCAGCCTGAGTTCTCTGCAAATATTACTCCTTTCTTTCAAGCGAGCCTTGAATTTAGTTCTGATTACCTTACATGCACTATTGCATATCCTGTAAAAGCTAAAATTTTAGATTCATTTGTGCTTGTCTAGAACCCTCCCACGCCTCGCACTCGCTTCACGGCACCAACAACACCCTTTGCCCAGCTCAATCGTCCTGGGTCAGTGCCGATAGACCCTTGAGGCATTTCATTGGTTTCCGGATCATGCCAACAACCATCTTTGCTACTCGCAGCACCATATTTTCCCGTATTCTGGTTCCTATCGATTGCGCCAAGCCATTGCTTGCAAATTAGCTGTGAGTCCAGCAGTATATTAATCTCTTGACTGTGGAAGAAGGACTGTGTATCGAGATTTCCGTTTCCTATAGACGGATTGTTAGTGAGACTGACGGGGTGTTCAAAGAACCTTACTTTCTTACCTTGGATCGCAATCTGCTCGTCAACAATCAGCAGCTTAATGTGACAGCTTCGCATTTTGAATGAATTGTGGATCGGTCGAGTTTGATCTTTGCCAACATAGTAATGAACCCGGAGCCTGGCCTTTTCTTCTTCGGATTCAAGTGCTTTGTACAGCCTGTTCGCAATCATTTCGTTTGTTCCATTCTGGAATGGCAGTAACTCGCCAGCGTCATTATAGCCAAGGCATAGATAGGCGGTGATGATTACACCGCGACGAACGGCTTCAATCATTGGCTCTAGGAGTGGCTCCGCATTCAGATTGGGTGTTTGTATGAAGATTGAGTGTTTAGCATGCTTGATTGCAGCAAGCCACGCGGCATTCTGAGGAGTGTGAACGCTACTGTGGTTTGGAGCTACACCGCCAGAAAGTCAGTCTATTGATTATGTCCAATCACATTTCTTCTGATAGCAGAGCCATTCACTCACCGCCAAAAGGCTCCCCGACTGACCAAAGCCATAGGCACAGGTCCATGGGGAGGTAGCACGATATAGGGAGTCATTCGGGGCTCCTGGTCAGAGTCTGGCGCATCACCCAGCGTATCAGGCTGAATTGTTGTATCTGTCGGCAACCTTAGTAGATATAGTGCAAGATCCAGTTCAAAACTTACTCAAGTGTCGTGTCACAGCGCGGGTTGGAGATTCCTCTCCTCGTGGGATCGTACTACTGTTCACCCGCTGTGCTTCATCTTCGTAGCCGATGTCGTAATTCTCTTCGCTTGTGGTATGTTGAGGCATATTCAACAAACTTCGAGATGCATCCTCGCAAACGTCCTCGGTGGAATCTGAATTGCAATTTGGACACTGCGGAGTCCCCGCGGGCGTGCTTAATAATGGCAATGGTGGATCTAGTGGCTTGCCCCATGAGAGCAGAGCTGCATCATAGAAACCATCAACAATCGGACCTTCAATATGAGACAGCATCTCAAGATTGTCGTTATCTTGAATGTTACTGCTTTGCAACAGAGCTATCTTCCTATCAATCACCGTGAATTTTGCATGAAATGTTCCAAAGACAGGGCGGTGAAAATTGATGACCTGAAGATCGACGTTGGGAATCTCCTTAGCAGATGGAAGTTTAACTTTTTCGCTGGTGTATTGGTCTTCAGAAACATTCAACCGATTCTCCAAAACCTTGCGCAGATATCAGTCTTGCGGATGAAAATTGCAAGAGTTTGACAAGGAGCTTACCTGACGCGGATCGCCGCGATCATAGACCATCTTCATAATGACCTTTCTCTCCTCTTGCCCAGCTCTTTTAGACAGTTCTCGGATTGCGTTTGTGACCAGCGTCGCTGCATCCGAGTGAATCCAGAAATTAGTTCCTAAGAAGATTTCGTGCTTCGCTCGCACTATGCAGTTGGCTAGGTGACGGCAAAGATCAGGTAAGGGTGCCACAATCGTTAGAGGAAGGACACCTGTGCTGCCCATCACAGGGGGTGAGACAACACCAGCCATCGGGTTTTTTTCTAAGGTACAAAGCGCATCGTGGTAGACCTGTTACTTGTGTAAATGATTGAAGATTGTGTAGCATGTGAAGGGGATATCTAACATGGAGGAATAGCTCGCTTGGCTCTGATGAACCCCAGTTCCCACAGGCATGCGCTCTTTGCAATTTGTTCTTCTCGTGGAACTCTTCTGCTGAAAGGCCTTTAAAAGTATCCCGTGATATCGACAAGACATGATGGTGATTTCCGTAAAGCTTTTTGAAGACCGCTGCTGGACACTGGGATGGCTGTCGTGCCAACTCAGAAGTAACAGTCTGCGATTGTTTGCAAAGTGCGTATATATCCCACGAAAGCATGACGCAACGGCCGCAATTGACCTTGGACGTTGAAGATGAACCTAGAAAACAATTATGATGAGTGAAAGCAAGACAAGTACATCTAGTGGGTGGATGATGGAGGAGTATATGAATTCAAAAAGAGGGGTTGAGGGGAACACCGGATCGCTTATTATATGCCCCATGGTTGGCGGGCGTTCCATGACGTCGGACGGCTAGAGAAAAGTCATTTCAAGGCTCGCAGAGCGAACGATAAATTCTATTATCGTGGATGCCTAGAGCCGTCGCAAACGTTTCCTTGCTCAGCCCTACCAGGACGACGTCATTAGCACGTGTGCTGTCTCCAGCGTGGCTGTCTGCTTAAAATAGCCGATTATGACGTAATGGCCCGGGTCGACAAAGCTTAGCAAGGCTTGTTTGATTTCTTGTCCTTGGCACAGGAGACCAACCAATAAATCAATACTCATAGCAGTACTCTGTCATGACCCCTCGTGGGGCGTGTTGTGATGAATGGCTCTATCAACCAGCTTGGTGACCGCGACCACTCACTGTTCAATCACGATGAAAGTAAATATCTGTTGAAGACTGTTGTTTCAATAGCGGAAGATACCAAGCTTAGTGTCTTTGTATTTTGGGGATTGTCAAAATATGTTTCCGGGATGCGTTCAGATTCCTTCAATGACGCTGAGGCAACAGCCAGGAAGGATTTCCCGTGGACACAGCCGGGATCTCCTCAATTTGCCAACAAGATATTTCACTTGTATTTATGTCATGTTCGTGACCTTTCATAAGCAGACTTTTTTGTCCTATTGAAATATGTCATGCCATCAAGTTATGCCTTCTCTCTATTTTATTTCTTTCGACTTGCATCTCTTGTGCAGTGGTGTTCGTGCTGAGAATGTGGGCCTCCCAAGCGTGACGGCTGCCCCTGGCCGTTATTTTTTGCGATTTCTATCATTCTTCCCGGAGTATCCGCACAATAATCCTTTCAGTCACTTGATAATATTAAGAGCCTTCGCCCAAGAATATATGTGTTTCGAAAGAAGTAAAATATCCTTTGTTTAAGCCCTTGATAGAATCGCCCATGACTAAGCTCCCTGTCCATCTTCCGCCACCTCCACTTCCACAAATCAGCCACAAGCAACCATTTCTTGGCTTGAAGAATCTATTGGCCTTCATAAGCCATGCAAGTGTTTACTCAACTGCCTATATGTCCAATTTACATGCTATATATTTCAGATTTGTGTCAATTGCTTTTGAGATGGAGACGAGGCCGCAAAGGATACATGATGTAGTCAAATGCTCGCTTAGTTTCTCCCAACAAAAGATTTTTACTGTCATCTTCTTTTGAGTTGAAATTCGAAAACTTGGCTGTTACTAATGCATAATTTGAAATAAGTCACCACCTTGGCAACTGGTCTTATGAGCCGTACCACTCAGGGCGTCAGAAACAACAAAATCAACTCGCAGATCAACACTGCGCTAAGTAGTGACATTGCTCAAGCCATCGGCAGAATTTCTCCCTTCGCTTTATTACTGGCTCCTGATCTGAATGTTGATCATGGCATTCTGAGTTGTTTGGTATAACGTTGTTCGAGATCAAGTTCATTGTTATGGCGTGCCATGTAGGCACTGGTTTGGAATAAGCACTTCGCATGCATGCACGGCCATGCTTTGCAAAAGATTGTAGTTTTTACGCTGCTATTAAGAGCAACTTGCAACACTCGGGACATTCTCACAGTCTCCATATGTCTTGCCAGCCGTGACATCGACATCGCTCCAAGTCCAGTCGGAGCAACCAGAGCTACCACACACAATAACAATATTGTAACCATCAGAGGAGACAGCATCTGCTCCGGAGATATTCTCAATAATCAAATTGGTGATGGGAATACCGCTCGTTGGTGTACCACCATCAAGGTCTCCACCATCATAATTCTGTTCAATGAGAATGCCATAACTACAATACCAGTCAGTTTGTGTTTCCAGGGGAGCATAATACGTTGTTCAGAGCGTACTCGGAAATATCTGAAAGTGTGATCTCAGAATAAGTGACACCTTTTATCTCGCCGGTATCGCCCTCTGTAGCCTTAATGCGGATACCTGATTGCCAAAATCATCAGTTTTCTGAGTGATTGCAGAGAATTGAAGGTGGTCCATACCATTGGTAGAACTCTTAACTTCGTTGTTGTAGAAGGTGACAGTGTCAACTGTATTATCGCTACGGCCGCCCACGCTTCCGATAGAGAGTCCGTGGCCGCCGGAGCAAATTCCGCCGCTGAAAGTGATTTCCTGGGAATTAGGTTTGTCAGCATTCCAATACTGCCATGAGAAGTTATACTGTGAGCTCAGAATCTCCGTACCGTTCCAGAATTCACAGCAACACAATCATCTTGATTGTACACCTCGGCTCCCGTGATAACAACATTGGTACTATCGCCGATGTCAAACCCATCTGTATTATGACCACCCTCGTCATCGCCAGCTTCATTGTTGATGGTCATATCAGTAATGGTCAGGCCGTCACAGCCATTAATGCTCACAGCCTGGACCGGGGTATTCTCGATATACAGATCAGTGATCGTAGAATCGGTAAGGTCATGGGCGTAGAAGAACTTGGGTTTCGTTTTTCCACCGTTGCTTCCCTCACCATCCCACCAGCGTGCACCGTCAGGGTTCAGATATGCACCACTCGCTCCCTTCACAGTGATACCGGTGCCTGAGATTTGGAGCATAGGCCCATCCCATTCCTCGTAGCCCCAGGTGGTCTGACCTTCGAAAATGACCTAAATAGCCAAATTCAGCATGTCATTCGAGAGATGTCATGACGATACAGAGAATGTTTGATTACCGTAGTGTCATCCTCAAGATCACTGAGATCGAGAGTTGTACCAGAAGGAACAGCCACGTCAGAAAGAATGATGGTTGAGCAGGATTTTTGGGACTTGCTAGCACTTGATGCGCCAGAAGAACCAGAAAACGTGCAGCTTGTTGCTCTCTTCGCAATATCGGGTGCGTTGGTGATGGCAGGCTCGGCAATAGGCGTGCATACGACGCGCCCTGCAAAAGTCGCAAGTACAAAAGGAACTAACAGCCGAGTCATCCTTCTTTAAATATTCAAGAAGCAGGATTTGTTCTGAGTTCTTCAAGGCTCAACCTCAATATATATTTTGTTCTCCATTTTTCGGGCATACTCGCAATCAATAAAGCCGGATGACAGGTCGTTTCAGGAGCTTCGGGTGCGAGAATAATGGATTCAAGAATACCCATTTGTCCGCCAATGATTTCTCACGTTCCTTTCCCCGCTTCAATGCTCATTGATGGTGGCCGCACTAATTTGTGGACATAGCGGAGGAACGCCGGTGGCGTTCGAGTGAGGCTTTTATAAAGCCAGTTTTGATTAAAGGTGCCCCGCTGAGTTACCGAAGTTAACAGCGAATAAGAGATCAAACGCAGGCACGGGCATGACAGGCAGGGACTCTCGTCATTCTTTCAGTCTTCGGACAACGGGGTTCCTTCTTCTTTTAGCCATGGTCGGGGGCTTTTCGCTGGAATCTTAGGGTCTGCGGGTTTCAGATTTGCGTATGGCTTATCTCGGTGATATTGTGTATTCGCAGCATGCTCTAGGTCTACTGATCAAAGTTTGATTTTTTCTGGTAGCTCAAGGCCTGTGGTCCTCAAGTTACCAGTTGTGACTACGTCTCTTAGGCTTCATAAACAAGCGTAGCATCGAAATTTCTTTTAAATAATTTATCAGGGGAAAATTCAAAGCTGTGACTAAACGTTATTCGCCGCCGAGAAGAAATAGAAAGACCGACTGAATGAAGGACCATAGTCACACGATATGTTTTCAAGAATTACGCGTCGTTTCAGCGCTACATCTCCTCGGTCAGTAATAGGCTAGTAAGCACGATACAACGCGCGCTAAGCCCAGCAAGGGTGGAGCTTGCGGCAAGTTTAGTGGGTGTGGGTGGATAAGTGGACTCTGCACGGAAAATGAGAAGAATCGGAGATAGAAGGAACCGGACGGAAATAAGCTCTTTCAACTTGTGTAAGCCTTCAAAAGCCATCAATCATCATGTAAAGTACCAGCTTCTTACGTGTTTTCGGCAAAGGCCATAATTTCTGTGAGGCCCCAGCCCCTTCGCCAGCCTCTCTAGGATCTGCATCACACTGCTGGCTCAACCGTCCTGCTTAGCACTCGAGTAAAAAGGCCACACTGAATCAGTGAAATAGGACAAAAAACAGGTCTTTTCTATGCCTCAAGTCCTTGGTGAATGTATCTTTTGGTCTCCAGGATTGTATCATAACAGCTCAGCCCCTGGTTCGAAGACACGATATCTAAACCCCTGACTTGACCCGCCAAGGAGGGAAACCTAGCTCGTGCTTTCTATGGTGGACATACGAATTCCCGGGCGGAGAAGTTAATTTCTACCGTCGTCATTAAGTGTTTCCATGTTCTGTAATTGTCTGATCGGCTTGAATCTTACCCACCAATGAGAAAATTGAGATGGATACACAGCTACTGTGGCCGAAGATTCCTTGATACGCCGTTCACCTTTTGCTCCAAGCAGCTTAATCCTTGTCCATCATCTTGTGGAGATGTTGCTAGACTGATTAATCAATCTTTGCAAACAAGGAGCCACCTTAGCATGTTTTGGTGTCGATAGAGCAATCAGCATCCCATGCTTTAGAAACGGCGATCAGGAAACGAGACAACTACGACTGCGGTTGAGTGAATGATGTGTGCAACAATTGCCGCTCAAATGATACAGCCAAGCACAAACACCTTCGTCGTTAAAAATTTACGCCGGTAGAAGGCATGTCAATCAGGTAGGAAAGTCTACCTGGAACAGATGACCAATACTATAAATCGTTACAAAGACTGATTAGTGCATAATATGAGATTTTTGATCCTTACACGGTTTAACTACACGATTTAAGACCGCATCGTGCCTGACTCTCGCTCATGCCCTTGAGAAGCTGATCCTCCACTATCCTCTCAGCATTCCCCTACATTTAGGCACATTTCCACCAATATGGAGTCAAGACGATGTACCAGTTGACCCGTGGGTTTAATTTATTTCAATCTTGACCCTGAATGATACGACATAGAGCTATTGAGTGTGGTGACCATCATTTGTAAGGATCATGTCAAAGTTTTCATATTAAAGAATGAGCTCATTAATAACCCGAGACCATCTCGCGAGTGCTACTTTGCGAGTCATGGATGGCTTTCTTATCCAGCCCACCCTAGCCCCCCTAGTCGTGACACAACTCTACTTATCTCAGGTTACGAAAAAAATAGAATTGCGAATGCATACGGGTCGACTGCTAGATACAGAAATGGGGACGGCTCGGTGGCAGTCTGTCAGTGCAGACTAGACAATATCAACGTAAAGACACCCACACAAACCCATGTACGGAGGGTAGAACATGAAAGTTGTTAAGGCAATGCAATATGAATGATCTTTATCCGAGCATGTTGAATCGTAGAGTATGGTGAGAACCTGGAACGAAATGTTGGTTGCTTAATCTATTTCCACCTCTGTGATGAAGGTGCAGCATGAATTTCAGGCGTTCGTCATGCTTGGAGGCCACACATATGCTATATTATCACAGGTTCTCCCACTACGACACATAATTTCTTTCTTGCAGTGGGCTACTCGTCTCTTCTTTGCTAGTATCTTTATCCAAGCTCGGAAAAGAAAGTTCACTCAGATGCTTGAGCTTATGCTTGTGCTTGATTATTCATATTGTAGTGGGAGAACCGATGACATAGTGGAATATATGTGTGGCCTTGGGCATAATGAATGCCTGAAGCGCATGATGATGCATCTTCAAGACAGAGTTGGAGATAGACTAAGCAACTACCCCATTCAATACCGGTTGTCAACATATTTCCCAATTCATGATGCAGCATTAGGCATAGTCCCTACGGTCTCGACAGAGTATCCGTACGGCATCATTCAGACCGCTCACTACGCCTACCAGGGTGTGTGTGTGTGTCGTCCAGTCTGCATTGTCAGACAGCCATCGAGCCGTCCCCTTTTCAATATGTAACTATCTCCATAGCTTGAAGCTGAGACTTTACGGTACTTGGGTTATCAGTCAAGTTTGTATCTAAGATAACATACGCACAAGGCCCCACTAGGTAAAGAGAGCAAACCGTCTACTTATAACTATTGTGATCCAGAACTGATCATGTCATAACGAGGAAAGGTCATGACCTCAATAAAATGCAACATACCGTGGAGTCCATGCGAAAGCCACAACAAGTAAACAGCCAGTGTCGTAACAACTATCCTCACAATACAGTCCAGCCCATCAATACGACCCACGCTGCGATAAAAAGAGCAAATACAATACCACACCAGCTCTATCCGCAGTAGTTATGGTTGTTTCTGACGTCGTATTGGAGCTGGTGTCATTCTCGCCTGCCGTAGGATTGCTTACTGTTACCCCGTTGCGCGAAAGGACGGGCGACTTGCTCACATAAGGGATCATGTTCGCAAGAAAAATGTTGGACGCGCTGATCTCCTGTTCCATTCCGATCCAGCCGTCCCATTTACTTATACCAACTAATACGACATGTGTTGTTGTCGTGTCCCGTGCAAGAAAACGCAGCGGCTGAAGCAGACGTTCGTAATCTGGCCAGAATGGCGTCGTAGGTTGATGGAACCAAGAGAGCTGTGAACGCTAGCCAGGGATACACAGGTCCTTTGAAGTGGATCTCGTTATCATTGCATACCTCTGACGGTTCACAAATGACCTCCTCGAAGATTCCACCGTTGATTGCGGGGAAATATGGTCAAAAGTTTGAGTCATCAAGCCATTTACGGCCCTGAGCCAGACGACGCTACCGTTGGTCTATGTGTCGGAGATAAATGGTGAGTCTTTCGTCCTGAGAACAAAACACTGCCAGTAGCTTGAAGCTTCAATGACAAATCCCTGCAAGCAATTTATGACAGACTTGTATAGTTGTACATGTAAGCGGTACCCACTAAGAAAGTTCCATAGTTATATGACCATTGCGTGTTCCCCTGAGTGGCACAATCATTATCGGTGTTGGCGGAGTCGGCAACATTCCAGGTCAAATTACTCATTGAAGGTATAGTTAATGTCCAGTCCCAGATCTTCTCTGCCCATTTAGCATAATTATCCGGGCCAGTGTAGCGGGCAAGACGACCAGAGATTTGGAAAAGATCACTGTTCGAAATTGAATTCTTCATTGTGTAGCCGGACTCGTAAGGCCAGATCTGCCACTGCTTTCCTCCGTCGCAAGAACTTGTGTCCCATCGATTGGTGTGGGTATTGAAGACACCCTCCGCAAGAGCAAGCCATAAACAACCGGTGAAGGAGTCTGCAACTTGCAATTCGGCCGCCATTATTGCTGCATGTCCCGAGAACGTTTGGTCGTCATTGCCCTTCCACATATGTCAGCCAGCTTTCCAGTTCGGTTCCGTGGAGCGACTTCTGACTAGGCAGCTACTCTAATTAGCTGGCATATAATCACCACCGTTACAAGACTGCCACTCTAATGCAACGCGTAGCTCGTCATTGAATGTGGTATCGCCAGGAAAATGCCAGTATCGAAGCAACTCCATGAGAAGCGCCGACCTTTCCCACCATTTACTTGTAAACGCTCCCGGGATAGTTTCCTTTGTAGTAGGTCATCATCGCGTAGATTATCGTGCTGGCGGCATCTTAGAAAGGTCCTGCAGTGAGAGGACCGTGAGTACAATTCCACAGGGGGAGGTTGTTCAAGGCAGTACCACTTACGCTCATCGCTGAGATCCCGGTCAATGGCATTTACGAAGCCGAAGGAAAGGAATGACCGTAGAGCTCCTTTTACCAACATCCAAAAGCCAAGGAAACGCATCTTGACTGGTTCGGTCAGCTGAAAAGAATGGGAAGTTGGCCAGCCTATCACAAATCAAGGCGGATCGTCCAACGATTACACGGAATAATTTCGATAGACAAGTAATTTGAGGTACCTGGAAATTTACTGATTGATCCTCAGTTATTACCACCTTGGATGAAGTAAAAGTTCATCTCTACGAATCTTACGCGGGCGCCCCATTTCGCGCTCGTGGCGTTCAAATGAAGTGTCAGAGGCATGCATAATCCTCAGCGCTAGCGTCTTCAACTTTTATTGTGGGGCATGGGATGGCATTGAACGCCTCCCAGTAGTGCGGGTTGGGCTTGAAGGTGGGGCCTGCCAAGACCAGTCAAGCTTGCCCAGGGAACTGTACGAATCATAAGAATGTAGAAGCACCATTGCTCTCGACAATATGACTGGTTCAGGGCTGTTTTTGACATCTGTTGTTGAAATCGATCAAGATATGTGCATCCTAATTGACCGGAACCAGACTCGCCGGTCGTAGGGCCAACACAGATATCATCCTGACCTTTGGGTGTAAGTCCCCGAGAAACCAGGGGGAAGGTTTGACACGCTTCATCGGTCATTGTGTGGTATTTGACAGGATAGGGTTTGAAATTTATCGGGGTCAGAAGCCATTACCTTTCAACCATCTCGCCTCTTCGGCCAGCTCGTTCCCAGGACTGGCCTCGGAAGACCCACACTTTCGGAGTTTCACCCAGGTACACCGAGGAAATGAATTCATAGAGAATCAATGAAGCCATACCTTCTGCATTTACAATGTGTCGATGGAATCTTTCAGAGGAGTGCAAATGTCCTTTGATTGTCTCAAGCACTGAAAACAGAAGGTATGACTATAAGACTAAGGGTAGACTGTGATTTCAACTGGTAAAATTTGATTTCTAATCCCTAGTCATGCCTGTGAAGACCTCGAGAGGAGATGCGCAATACTTGCTTGGCCATTGAATAAAAGACCCATACTTTGGAGGCTTTGGACTCAAAGTTTCACCAAGGGCTACATTCAAATTATAATTATTTGCCTTCAGGGTCTCCACCGGAAAGCTGGATTTCGCCAGTCAAGATCCTGAATTTGTTTCTGCGAGAGACCCGAGAGAGCATCGTCGATGTCGATCTGACTCCGTCTGCGATTGTCCCACACCATCCAGATCCATAGTCCAGCACCCAGAGCCAGAGTTGTGGTCGCCGTTGCCAGGTTCAATCCGTTACCAATATGATAGTTGGGCCCATCAAAGGGCAGAAATGACCACGTTGAGATCAGACCGCCAACATTGCCGAACATGACGGTCGTTCCAATGGCGGATGATCTCGCAGTGTCTGACACGACATTAGCGGAGGAGTTGGCGGTGCAAAGAGCACCAAAGGCAAAAGCGCCACTTGCGATAACAAATGTAGCTCCATAGCGAACCATGTTGTCTTCGCTGGCTAGGAACATTATGTAACCGGTAATCATCAGAGGGGGACTGACGATGAAGAAAATCAACCGATGATCAAAGCGCCAGCTTAGGTATGGGAACAGAACCGTGAAAAAGGCGCCGACAATATACGGTGGGACCGTATGAAGTTGTTGGGAAACAACGGTGGCATCCGGGTAGATTGTCTGAACGATTGTGGGCGCAAAGAATCCAAGACCCTGAACGGTAATGTTGTTGAGCAGGAAGATGAACGCAGTAATGAGTGTGACCGGGCTGAAAATGCCTCGTAGGGTCTTCCGAACATCCAACTGGTCAAGTACTTCAGTAGTTCCCACTCGTTCGGATTTAACTCGAGCAATAGCCAAATCCTTTTCCTTCTGTGAGAGCCAGCGTGCAGTCTCGGGGCGATCGGTCAGCGTGAAAAATGCAATGATGGCTACTCCGATAGTAATTATTCCTTCGATCGCGAATAGCATACGCCAGCTGCGAAGACCTCCAAAATGATCAAGGGTGAGGATACCGGATGCTAGAAGGCCACCGAATGCCCCGGCAAGAGGTGCCATAACAATGTACAGGGACAAGCGAAAGGTGAGCTGGAATGTGTATTAGCGAGCGAGTCTTCGGTCTGGAGTCAAGGATGTGTACTTCACTGCGACGGTACCAGCGACTGAGATAGTAAGCAATGCCCGGCAAGAGGCCAGCCTCAAACATGCCTAGAAGAAATCGAACACCAGATGCACTCTGAATATCTTTCACGAAGGCCATAGCAACGGAGCAAACGCCGAAGCCAAGAGTAACTGCCGGCAAGAACCATCCAGGTCCAATCCACTTGCATGCAATCTAGACACCATTAGCGATGTCTCCACCGTATTCCGGGCCAAAGCCGTACTCACATTGCTAGGGATTTCAAAGATGATATAAGCCACGAAGAAGATAGATAGCACTGCATTATAGTCGTACTTGACCAATCCCAGGTCTTTACTGAAACCGGCCAATTTTGCGTTCCCTATACCACCCGGTCAGCAAGACATGGCCCGAGGGGAAGAGGACACAAGCCCTGCAGGTGACTCACCGATGTTGGCTCGATCAATGAAGCAAAAGAGGTACATGAGCGCCACAGTCGGCACAATACACAAGTCAATTTTCAAGCGAAGCCGAGATTCGGCAGCCTGATCAAACTCCACCAAGGCATGACCATACTGATCGGTCGCCAGATGACCACGCTCGGCCGCAACATGTGCAACATCCGTCATGAAACCCTCCTTGGGTTGTGTATCATCTTGCCCGTCCACGGCAGAGTCGGTGCAAGCTGAGGGAGCAGCCATGTGCCTTAAATATGACGACAAGTGACGAGTAAACAGGAACCAGCGAGCCAAAGAGATGATCGACTTAAAAGGGCGTTACATTCAAAGTAGGGGCCCTGGGTGCATTTATAGTCGGGAGTCATCGCGCAACAGCCAGAATTTGCTGGAAAGTCACGAGAAGCGAGATCTCCGGGGTTGCGGGAAACAAGAGACAAGGGGATGATTCCCGGCTCCTGGTGCGCGTTTTCTGGGGATCAAATTTGCCGTCGCCAAGACAAGCACAAGTCTAGAGAAATGGGGAATCGCTTGGCATCCACGAGCCGATGCTGGCAGAGGCAGAGACACCTTTTTTCATACCGCCAACGGTGTGCGATGGTACATAGACAGCACGCACGACAGCAGAGACAATTAGATGTGTATGGCCTAATCGGAAGGAATCCTCATAAACATCGAGTCCGCGTATGATGCCCAATGTACTATTGAATTCTTGTGAAAGGACTAGACGGCCATTGCCAAGTCCTCAAACAGAGAGTTGAGAAGTCGCGGACGGCAAAAGATACGCGTATCCATGATTCGTCGCGGTCATTGCGCTTCCTCATGCTTCGGAGCCCAGGCGAATGCTAAACGCTCGGATTTACTTCGCCCAGGCCGAAGGCGGTTGTCGCGATCGCGTTCAACGCTGGCTCAAGTGCCGACAACTCCAGCCGACTAATCCTGGGCAAAGCCACGAAACATTGCAGTCAACCAATCCTCGGGTTATCACCAAGTTGCTTTGAGCGCAGTATGACTGCCAAGCTGTGTCTTGGCTTTGTGCGGGGGTCCGAGGGTTGTCAAGAGAGTATCGTAAGCCGATCGGATCGAGGAACGAGACGTTGTCGCTGAGTGACGACGCGCGGTCAGCTGTTTGAACCGGGGGGGAATGGGCTGGGCTGTGAGATGATGTGGAGGAAGGTAAACAAATAGTTGGACTTTTGAACACTAGCTCGTGTTCTGACGACCAGAAAGCGGTCATGCCAGGCGAAGGGTCGCTCCAGGCGAAGGGTCGCTTTCAATGTAGATCCAAGCGTTTAGTGATCTCTTGAATTATGATGACACAGTGTACCAGACATCATTCACAAGCAAAATCCCCATTGTTCCACTTGTTCCACTTGTTGATGCGTAGGAGCTGGAAATGATACGGAGAGGATAATATCACGTGACCCTCGGATATACGTCCCCGGATGTAAACGGATATCCCGCGTCAAAGATCTCCAGTACAGAAAGAATTCAAGAGCACGATCAGGGCCGAGAATACCCTACGTTCGGATATGGGTGAATCCTCGAGTTCCCCCAAAACGGGCTGGCGGATCCCCAAGGCCTGCCAGGAGTGCCGCAAGCGCAAGATCCGCTGCAACGGTCTAAATCCGTGAGATCACTCGAGCCGCTCCCCCCCCCCGGCGGCAGCGTCACTAACGGTTGAACCTCAAAGTTGCCAAACCTGCGAAAAACGGAGTACACCGTGCGTTTACAGAGACGTCACCAGGCATCGTAGGAAGAAACATGAGTATCAAGAGTCTCGTCACATAAGCCAATCCCCTCGGGGTTCTCCTGGCTTGACCCATCACTCTACTCAGCGGAATCCATCTGTCTTGCGTAATATTCCTAATAGTGTGAGCGCAACGCACATGGCATCGCCCTCGTGTCAGATGCAGCTCTATTATGGACCCACCTCACACTTTGCTCTTATGCAACATGTTTATCGGGATCTCATCTCCAATCCTGTTGTTCAACCAGAACCCTCGGGCGGAGTTGACGAAGCCGGAGCTGGCTTGGATCTCTTCAGTTTCCGCCGCATTTTTTTCGGAACTCCGGATGAAAGTTCGAAGGCGTCGACAGTGGGGGATGTCCCGGTGATGTTTTTACCACATGAATTGGCGAAAGTGTTCCTTTCACGATTCCTGACGACGCTGTATCATATGATGCCACATCGACCCAAGTCATGGTGGGAGCTGTGTCTAGAGGAACTCTACAATCCGTCCCCCTCGACTCACTCGGATATTTTAAACCAGGCACTCTTACTACTGGCTTTGGGAACAGGTTCTCTCGGGACCGAGTATTTTGCTTGGGGTGATGTGCTCCTAGACCGTGTCAAAGCATCGCTCCCTTCCTTTGATGACGTTGTGAATCTCCAAACGATTCAAATATCTCTCCTCATGATAAGTCTTCCCTCTGACCGTATCTGGATCCGACTCATGTGCTGAGTAACCCGAACGCGAATTTCCAGAACGAACAGGGCCGACCGAATGCGGCTTTCTTATGTCTGGGAACTGCTTCTCGAAAGGCTCTATCTGCTGGCTTACACAAGGATGTTCCCTATGACATTGCGCAAACGCCTGAGAACATCGAAGAACGTCGGGTTACGTTCTGGTCTGTGTATGTCTATGAAACGTAAGTAATCATACTCAATACGTCAAAGGATTCTCGCTCATCTGGCTCTGGCTTTCAAGGTGGTTCTGTTTTCACTCGGGTCGTCCTAGCTCGTTATCCCTCAAAGATTTTGCCATTGAACAACCGAAGGACTCTTTTCTTGAGACTTTTGGTGCAACTTTGCATGGTTATATCTCGGTCTTCTAACGAGATCTATGGTGAGCACCATGAATCTTTACTCCACATGTGGCGGGTAGCGCGCTCCATTTCGGATGATCTTCGTGAGCTTCAATCGTCCATGCAGCATGCATTGGGTTTTGGTTTGGATGCCGAGGTTCACGGGGGAAGTACTGGTGTGAAACAAATTATTTTCACGACTTGTGAGTGAGAGGAATCTGTTCGGAAAGCTTAATACTAACCTGTGGAAGTGTACTACCACACTCTTCTACTGACTTTTCGTCCTTTTTTGATTTTCCGCGGTCATTGGAAACGTGACATGAAGGCGTCATTTCATCACCCAGTTGGCGACACATCTAATCGCCCGACTGAGATGCCATCTTGGCTCAATGAAGCCTGTAAACATGCCCTTACAGCAGCCCGGCAGACAATTCACCATCTTTGTGACGCGTCGCGTACCAATGATCATGTCAAAGTATCGGAATTCCTTTCAATTGTCAACCCTTTTGAACACCTGCTAACTTGTGTCAGCAATTACGATACCATGGTTACTTCATCGCCAGTTCAGCCTTCAGTCTGATATATGATTTCCTGCACGATCCTAGTGCAGCAGCGAGCCATCTTCCTTGGGTGTATGCCTCGTTGCAGAATCTTTCGTCCATGCGTGAGGGAGATCCAATAACAAGCACTATATCAGCTATCCAAACAGTCTTACGAAACCTTAGCCCGACTTACGAATGGCTACCATATCCAAAGCCTGACAACGCATTTTCAAATGAATCAGGCATTCAAACGGCCGGATCTCTGGGATCTGGTATCTCAGGCAGCCAGCAAGGAATTCTTAATGAACATGCCTTTTCTCCCAACGCCTTGTTCGGTTCAACGTCTAATGTATCGCCTTCTAAGTGGAATCCACCGCAACTTGAAGGGCCAGAGACTGGTAGATCCGGTGGATCGAGCGAAGATCTTCTTGACCTCACTCAATCCGACATGGGATGGAATTTCGACTTTTCCACCATGGATCTGGAGGCCTTTTTCTCCGTGTACCAGTCAGCCGATGCTTCTTTTCCTTGACGAATCGACTTTGGTCGTCTGAGCCTATTCTATTCGTCCATTTATCTTCTTTTAATGTCTTTGTGTGAAAAAATACGTGTTTTTGCAGCCATAGTTGCTTTATTGAGTTGTTACCATCTCTGATACGTGTGTTTTCTACCCTCATCTATCGCAATCATGTTAGGTGAGGTCTTAATTTCACGGGCGGCCGAAATTCTTCACTCATAGAACAATACCATCTCCATCTGGCAGCGATTTTCCAAGACTAAATAGCCCGAGATGATTAGTAGATACCGTTGGAATTTCTCTGCCGGATTTTACAGCTATATCGGAATCGGTGTTTGAGGGGAAAGCCTGAGGAAAGACGCCTGGGAACTTGATATGTAAGCTGAGAAGCAAGCACTGATACATTGGCTTGCTGGAATCAATCTCTACTGTTGTATATTGGATAGAAACCGCGTAGTCTGAAGACCCACATTCTATCAGTTGCAGGCGCTGGGATGGGCAAAACTCTAGAACAGGCTCTTTAGCTCGGGTGTAAAAGCTTAGCAAAACTCCATACAGCTTTGCATATTGACCCACAGGGGGAGTACCATTTGTCTTATATCCGACAATTTTGCAGATTCTACCGCAATCCTTGACGCGATGAACACTAATTTTAAGAGTTTGATTCGTCAACGACAAGGTGAGATGTGACGAAGCCGATGAGATAGAAAAGATTATGCCGTAAAATCTCTTAATTTCATCCAGCTAGCAAGGCGATCCATGTCATGCAATCTGCTAGAGCGAATGAAAACATGGAGCCAAGATGATTTTCTCACTCTCACCCAGCAAGATCATGCGGATATATGTTCAGGAGCTCCACTCGGCCACATTTCGGTAATCCGGATATAGCCTTCCATCAATTACTTCCCCTACCTTTGAAGCATGGGATTTGCTCATATATCGGTGCAGTGCCTCTCGAATAGATGTTTCGTTCCAAAAAAAAAACGCCCGTCCAGCCTCCCTCCCCGAAAGAACGCTCATCACTTTCTTGTTGATTGGCCAGTCGTTTTGGTCACAACAGCGCCTAAATCCTGCGATTGCGATGGACACTCCATTATCAGGCACGGCCACCCCGGTCGATGTGGAAAATGGCTCTTTCAATATTCGAAAACGTCTTACAGTGACTTTCTGTGACCTTAATGTTCGAGTAACTGCACCCAATGCTGCACTAGGAAGCACAATGTGGTCAGATATCGATCCCCGTCAGCTCGGCAGCTTTTTCCATCGAACGAAAATGGCGAAGAGGGTAAGAAAGAGAACAAGAAAAATACATATAAAATAGAATGGTTCAATAATAATGGTGATATAGACAATTCTGAAAGATGTTTCTGGTCAAGTGAAACCAGGAGAGATGGTGAGCACCGAGTTGATTGTCTCTCTGACATGTTTCAAGCTAATGAATGAAGCTTCTTGTCCTCGGGCGCCCTGGCTCGGGCTGCACCTCGCTTCTCCGGGTCTTGTCTAATGACAGAGACACTTTTGATGAAGTTTCCGGGGACACACGATACGGAAGCATGGACCACATGGCTGCGAAAAGATTCCGCCAGCAAATCATGTTCAATAACGAAGGTGTGTCATGCTGAAGTAGGTCTAGAAGCTCATCACTCACCTATTCCAGATGACCTTCACTTCCCTACCCTGACTGTGAACCGAACCATGAAATTTGCTCTCAAAAACAAAATTCCCAATGAGCGGCCAGATGAGTTAGCAGATCCCAAGAACTTCGTGCTGGAGAAGCGAAACGAAATTCTCAACTCGTTGGGAATCGGGCACACGAAGAAGACCAAAGTTGGAAATGAATTTATTCGTGGTGTTTCTGGAGGTGAAAGGAAGCGTGTTTCTTTGGCCGAGGTCCTGGCTGGACAGGTAAGGAACTCAACCTTCTCATCGATTGTTGAACCACAACTCATATAAGTGAAATTTAGAGCCCAGTTCAGATGTGGGATAACCCAACACGTGGCTTGGATTCGAAAGCTGCGTTAGAGTTTGCTCGCATGCTTCGACGCGAGGCGGATCAAAACAAGAAAACCATGGTTATGACAACATACCAAGCTGGTAACGGCATCTATGATCAATTCGACAAGGTTCTTGTTCTTGCTGAGGGCAAAGTGACGTACTACGGTCCCCGTAGTATGGCAAAAGGCTATTTTGAGTCCTTGGGTTTCATGTGTCCTAAAGGTGCCAACATTGCGGATTATCTCACCTCGGTTACTGTCCTCACAGAGAGAACCGTTCGCCCAGGATGGGAAGGAAAAGTCCCAAGTACCCCCGAGGAGTTCGAAAGCTTCTATCATGGAAGCTCTATCTACACCACTCAGATGAGTGCCATTCAGTCTCCGGAGAAGTTATCCCATGAAACCGAAGATCTTGAGATCGCCGTGGCAGCCGAAAAGAAAAGGCAACATCTCCCTCGCACGCAGAGTGTGTACACAGCTGGGTTCTGGAACCAGGTTGCTTCCTGCACCGTTCGGCAAATGCAAATCATGTGGGGTGACAAATTCTCGCTAATTGTCAAGGTAGTTTCGGCCATCATCCAGGCTCTAGTTTGTGGATCTCTCTTCTACAATCTACCAAATGACAGCTCCTCTATCTTCTTGCGCCCGGGAGTACTTTTCTTCCCGATTCTTTATTTCCTGCTAGAGTCAATGTCCGAGACAACCGCATCATTCATGGGGCGACCTATTCTATCTCGTCAGAAGCGATTTGGATTCTATCGGCCGACAGCATATTGCATTGCCAACGCGATTACCGACGTCCCCGTTGTGATGATTCAAGTAACCTGCTTTTCCTTGATACTTTATTTTATGGCGGCGTTGCAGATGGACGCTGGTCGTTTTTTCACATTCTGGATCATCATCATTATTCAAACGCTTTGCTTCATTCAGCTCTTCCGAGCCGTTGGTGCCGTCTGCAAAAAATTTGGAAACGCGTCCAAAATCTCCGGTCTTCTGTCTACGATATTTTTTGTCTATGGAGGTATGAAAGTAAGCGCTTTGCCTGACTGAAATCCGTGCTGATGAAGACTTCGACAGGCTATCTGATCCCTTTCCACAAAATGCATGTCTGGTTCCGCTGGATTTTCTACCTGAATCCTGGAGCGTACGCGTTCGAGGCTCTTATGGCAAATGAATTTGTTGGACGTGAATTCAAATGCGTTGAGCCTGATTACATTCCCTACGGTGAAGGCTACCCAAGTTCTGCATCACCATACCGAGGGTGTTCTGTTCTTGGGAGCAATGAAAATGGAATCATCAATGGCGCGGCTTACATCCGGGAACAATATAATTACTCTTATCATCACATCTGGCGCAGCTTCGGTATCATTGCTGGCTTTTGGATATTCTTTCTCGGCCTGACATCGCTCGGTTTTGAGCTGCGAAACAGCCAGGCTGGCTCTTCTATCTTACTTTACAAACGCGACGGGAAGAAGAAACATCCAAATGATGAAAAAATGGATTCCGGCCGAAATACTACAGACCTGGGCTTACTTCCAGGTTCTGTTAAACAATCAACGTTCACCTGGAACAATCTCGATTACTTTGTACAATTCAATGGAGAAAAAAAGCAGCTTCTCGACAAAATCTTTGGCTTTGTAAAGCCTGGAAGTCTGGTTGCTCTAATGGGAGCTTCTGGTGCCGGAAAGACGACGTGAGTTTCAACAGGGTCTCTACATCCTATTACTGGTACTAACATTAGAGATTGCAGATTGCTGGATGTTCTGGCCCAGCGAAAGGACGCTGGGGAAATATTTGGGTCAATCCTCATCGATGGACGCCCACAAGGTATAAGCTTCCAGCGTACAACTGGTTATTGTGAGCAGCTGGACGTGCACGAGTCGACTGCAACTGTCAGAGAAGCCCTCATTTTCTCCGCGCTGCTCCGTCAACCCTCGCATATCTCGCAAGAAGAAAAAATCGACTACGTGGATCATATTATCAACTTACTGGAGCTTGGTGACATTAGTGACGCCCTCATTGGAGGTGAGTCTGGGAGTTGACATCTAAGTATCTTTACTGACCATCACAAGGTCCCGGGGCAGGCCTTAGTATCGAGCAACGGAAACGTGTGACTTTGGGTGTTGAGCTTGTGGCAAAACCTACTCTGCTTTTCTTGGACGAGCCTACCTCGGGACTCGACGGACAAAGCGCATACAACATTGTCAGATTCTTGAGAAAGCTCGTTGATGGTGGACAAGCCATTCTGGTGAGTAAAACATATGGCGTAAGCAACCTCATACTGAAAAAGCATAGTGTACAATTCACCAACCTTCTGCTGTTTTGTTTGATTCGTTCGATGGTCTTCTATTGCTTGCCAAGGGCGGTAAAATGACATACTTTGGAGAAAGTAAGTTCTATTGAAGATGGGCTGTCCGTTTGGTACGCTAACACTAGACCACAGCCGGTAAAGATTCAAGCAAAATTCTGGGATATTTCGAACGAAATGGTGCACCCTGCCCACCGGATGCGAACCCAGCCGAACACATTATCGAAGTGATTCAAGGTGCTACGACCGAAAAGGTCGACTGGGTTAATGTATGGCGGGAATCTGATGAGCGAAAAATGGCACTTCAGGAGTTAGAAGCTCTCAATGAGTCTGGTCGAGCCGATCCCAATTATGCGGAGGACACCGCGGACTACGCCACCTCGCACTGGTTCCAGTTCACGATGGTTTCCAAACGCCTCACTGTTCAGATTTGGAGGTCACCGGTAGGCCATACAGATAGAGTTTTCTTCTATATCGTTAAGCTAATACCCTTGACAGGATTACATGTGGAACAAGATCATACTTCACATCTTCGCGGCATTGTTCAGCGGCTTCACATTCTGGAAGATTGGTGACGGCACTTTTTCTCTACAATTGCGACTATTTGCCATTTTTAATTTCATTTTCGTTGCTCCGGGCTGTATTAATCAGATGCAGCCTTTCTTTTTGCACAATCGAGACATTTTCGAGACTCGTGAAAAAAAGGTCAGTCTATTCCCATCTTCAAGGGTAGCAACCCTAGGACTGATAATTTCGTTTTTCTTTGAAGTCCAAAACCTACCATTGGATTGCCTTTATCGGCGCTCAAACAGTCACCGAAATTCCATACTTGATCATCTGCGCCACCATCTACTTCTTGTGCTTCTACTTCACTGCGGGCTTTCAGAGCATCCCTAGTGTTTCCGGTCATTTCTATCTCCAGATGATTTGTAGGTCACACAATGAGTCTGATTATTTTCCTGGCGATAGGTATGGATATTAATTCTTATTACAGTCTACGAGCTTCTGTACACGTCCATTGGTCAGGCCATTGCAGCATACGCGCCGAACGAGTATTTCGCAGCCGTTATGAATCCTGTTTTGATCGGAGCTGGCTTGATCAGTTTCTGTGGCGTGGTTGTTCCATACAGCCAGATGCAACCATTTTGGCGCTACTGGATATATTATCTCGATCCTTTCACCTATCTCGTGGGTGGCTTACTTGGAGAAGTCCTGTGGGATGTCAAAGTCCGATGTGAGCCATCCGAATACGTCCAATTCAGCGCGCCCTCTGGACAGACGTGTGGAGCATACATGGCAGATTTCCTGTCTTCTCAAGCTGGCTATCTGCTGGATGCAGAATCTACTGAAATTTGTTCGTTCTGTCAGTATTCCCAGGGCGCTGACTACGCCAAAGCTTTTAACTTACGCGAAAAGTATTACTCATGGAGAGATGTAAGCTCCCACGGTTATTTCACCCCCAACAGAAATCGAACTAATAGACTGAATTTTCACCCTAGACTGGCATCACAGCACTCTTTTGCATCTCATCATACGCCCTGGTCTTCCTGATGATGAAACTTCGCAGCAAGAAGACCAAAAGTGCTCGGTCCGAGTAATCAAGCCTCAACCAACGATTCTCTACCCTACCCAGATCTTGAATGCGAATTAATCCAGACTCCTTTGACTGATTGTACCAACGACCTGAGAGACTGTCAAGTCTTCGTTTTGATTGGTGTTTGGCGTATCGTGCGCTTTTTCCTGGTCTCGCTCTTATCGAGGTAATCGTGATTTCTGCGGAAGCTCGCATTAATAGGACTTTGGTTCCTTGAAACTCAAATGGACATAGAAATTTGACTAAGCATTGTTTTTTTAAAAATGCTTTTGGGCACTTCCATGACTAAACACGGTCACTAAATACTACCTAGAAAGTCCAACTCATGTAAATTGCTTGACACTCACGATACGTGGTCAAGAGATGGAGCTAACATGCAAGAATCACTTTTGTAGCCTCAAAAGGTGGCATCTGCCAGGTTTGTATCAAAATGAGCATCAATGAACGGCACTATGGCAGATCCGAAATCTGTGGTGTCCAACGCGTCCTGAGCAACCGTCGGGAGCGACTCTCAGGCGATCAAGGGCTGCGTGCCCCCAACAGTGGTGGTCAAGCCACATTGGTGATCAACTGGCCAAATGCTATAGTACTTGATCAATGCAGCAGTGCCATCCAGGGTGTATCCATATGTGCTACAATCCCAGCCACCATGGGCAGATGGGCATACAGCAACGACGTTATCCGCCGTCGTGCTCGTCGAGTCCGAAAGCCAGACAATAACACCTTCCCAGTCATGGCGGTGACCAAGTCCATCTGAGGGCTCATCTTTCGGCATGTACCAGGCATACATCAACGCGTAGTAATCTGGTGCCTCGGACATATATTTGGCCAGTGCTGCTGCTGCAGTCGCCATCGGAAGCACCAGTAGGGGCCAACCCCGCGCTATCATTGTCAGCTTCGGGTTCACTGCTGTGATAACACATGCTTACTTGGTGTCGCCCTCTGTATTCACGGCTGGAAATGGGACGCAACCATTGACAACGTATAGATAGGGCTGGTAGGCAAGATAAAGATCCCCCACGGTGCCGGAAGAACAGTCTGGTCGAATCCCACGATCTCATCGGAAGCAATAGTGCCTCGGCGCGACAAGCTGGGTCGAGCGATTGCCAAAGGTAGAGTCGAAAGGGCCAAGAAGCCCGCTAAAAGTTTCGCGACCATTTATTGTGAAAGGAATATTAAAATTGAGCATCAATTGAGATTTCGGGGACGATATCGTGCCACACAGTCCTTTTTATGTCTCACCCGTCAGAACGGCTTGGTCCCGTTCGAGCTACGGAAGAACATTCAAGCTTCGGCCCGGAGATTTACCCACATTGATAACCGGTCTTCAGTCCAGAGACAGAACGATGGCCAAAGAGCACTCCACTTGGATGCGGGCTATCCTTGCAACTATTATTGTCGTGGATTTTGCAAAATTTCTGATTCGCCATGACGATCGGAGATCACATCTTAGTTCATCAGCCGGCCCCTAGACATTCGCACTAAATGCTTGCGAACACGACCCATTTACCAAATCTTAACATGTCAGGAAATCTAAAGCAGTGAGAGGAGCTGGTTTGCACAGGCTTATCTTAGCAGCTATGATCCGCCGCCGTAATTGTTTTCAGAGAACTATTTATCGATTTGATAATTTGATCATGTATTTGAAGTATTCTATACATGACATACATGGATCAAGCATTTTCCCACCAATCAAGAAAGACAGGTGAGCAGATTACTTAGCTTTTTCAGAATAACCGCTTGCACTGTGGCATTAGCATCCCCCTTAGTATCAGCCATCCCTACAGACACGCTAGCATAGCAGCCGGACTTCGCCGAAATCTCAAGCTCACTGGGGAGACGCGAGCTACCGCATGTTGTCACGTCTTCAGGTGTAAGGAGAGGCAACGCAACATGGATACGCGAAAGGATGAAGGAAAAGTCATCTGCCGTGACACAATCAGACGTAACAGAGTTGTAGTTGACATTGAGCCAGACCTAGCAAATAAGCTGCATCAGTACACAAGAACAGTCTCAGGTGTTGAATACATACGCCGTCTGGAAGACACGGCGTCCCCGAAGCCACCAAAGTATCAGTCAGATTGAGCGAAAGCTCAGCATATACCTGACTGTAGGCTGGGAAAGTCGACGATGCATTCCATGCAGTCTGTGAGCCAGTTGCCCCAGAGAACGCGATGGCGGGGATTCCTGCATTATGCGCAGCATAGGTAGCAGCTCCTACAGTACCGGAGAGCAAAACCTCTAAGCCAATGTTGTTGCCCACCTAGAAGAATAAGTATATTTTTCACTGTCCCACTATTTCAGGCTCACATTAGGGCCAGTCACGGCAAGATCTGGAGCACCATCGAAGAATTTAGGGCCGATGGAGTTGATTCCATATTTTATCGAAGTTGCCGGATAAGTATTGACATAGTTAAGACGAGGTTCCGACGCATTGTATCCAACGGCCGGGCTGCCAGCTGGACAGCTATCGAATTCACAAGGTTCGGTAAGGACAGTCGGGGTCTTTTGAGAGGAGCCTGCAACGACCACGCGAACGATCAGCAGAGTGTAGCAGGTGAGGCACGCAACTGACCAGTTCCGCTCTCATCTTGGGCAGGCGCCGAGACGACAACGGAGTGACCCCCGTCTACCAGTGACTGGAAGAGGGCACGAATGTTGACTTCAGCCCAGCCGTCGTCATTGGAAGAGATAATGTTGATCGCACTTGTAGGTCCGAATCCAAGGGATGCCACAAGGGCAGTCGCTGGATTGATGCGCATGGCGGGAGAAGTGTAAGATGTGTGGTCCCGAAGACTGCAACACTTTATTCATTGATCTTCATGTCATAGATGTCTTCATATCCGTGGGGCGGACCGAATCGGTTCCAAAGTTCCACCCTTTCCAATGTCCCACAATGGCGATCATCTACCGGATTTAGGGAGACATCCACAGGGCGCGTTTTAAGCGATCCCACCCAAGGAATAGCCCGGATGGCAACGGCTGGGTTCCTGCACACGATTTTTGACTTGTGCAGCTGCCATCCAACAGAAATCCTAGAGGTAGCCATGTGGTCGATCACTACGACTGTGGGTCTCCACCCCGCAATGGCCCGTCTTTTAGCCGACACTCTTTCAAATTGCCCCTGGCCTGCGTGGTTGCTTCGCCTCAAGGCGCACCATTTCAAGCTTTGCGATTGGGACTAGAGCTTGGGCAATCCAAACAGTCTCAACTCACTCAAGTGCTGGAAACGTATTGGGGGTTCCTAAACCGTCACTGGGCATGGATTGTGGAAAGAAATTTTGACTTACTCGGGTGGATAGACAACAAGATCGCAACAATGGCAAGACAGAGAGCCAATTCCATGGCGATACTATCAAGAGACCCCACGCGGACCGAAACAATCCCTCCATGAGAAGAAGAAAAGCGGAGCCGACTTAACGGGCGTGGGAGGCGCTCCTCGTAGGAATAAAAAAAAAATAGCGAGATGTGTGCAATGCACATTCGCACACCTTGGGGGCTATAGAGTCTCTGATATGTGTCACCTGAAGTAAATTTGAACTTTATAAGAGAGGTGCATGCCGTGTCAGATTTTGTAACCTGCTGCAAATCTCTCTCAAAATAATGAGAAACATTTTTCGGCATCTTGTGATGGACCGTGGGCGACAAACTCTCGCCAGTGCACACTTTAACCCCGCCGTGAATGCTGAAGATGGGCCCGCAAAGAGTCAAAGTGGCCCAGACTGCTGACTCGGTCCTTTTGCTCCGTTTGGTAGCAACGGACGGAGCCGTCTCCACTCGTTCAAGATGACACCACAGAGATAGAGCCGGCGCCATGTTGCATTGTGATAAAGTAGAGGTGTAAAATATTGAGTTTCGATAAATGTTAGATTATGTGACATTGTAAATGAAACTAGAGTTGTAGACTCCCGTCATGCTTTGCATTGTTCTTGACTTGCTATGATTTGAGAATCATGCCCAGCTCAGAGGGCGCCGAGTCCTCGAATCCGTTTTATGATATAAGCGTCGCCCAGCCTCATCAGCGAACAATGAAATGTACGTTTTCCCATCGGAAGGAGCTTCCTGTTTGATTTTCCGGAGTGATTTTAATATCATGTCTCCAAGTCCTTTTCTTTGGTGTTTAGGGTGAACAGCCATGTCAGCGATGTGAAAATACCAGCCGCCGTCCCCAATCACGCGTCCCATTCCCACAAACTGCGGCTCGCCATTTGCCCCGTCGAAGGTGATGTAACAGCCATACCAGCTTCCTGAGGGAACAGCGGCCGCTTGAGACCGGATTTTCCTCGAGAGTCCGGCAGTCGATCGTAGGTGCAGGTACTCGGCGATGGAAGGATGGCCGGAATGAAGCGTATAACCAGTGGGCAGAGTGTTCTCCATTTGAGAGTTCATTTCCGCGTCGGAATGCCAGAATTACGGGATTTGGACGCGTTGAAGATCCCATCGCGTCGAAAAACAACCTGGCGGGGTAAGCTCCCTTCAGAGGGATCGTAACCAATCAGAGCGCGATGAATACAACTAATGTCGGACAGATGTCCGACGAGTATGATTGATGCACAAACTGCTTTTTAGATTGTGTACAACTAATTCGTTACTTTGTTTGCGGTCGTTTGATTTCAGACTAAAAAAGACAGTTCAAGGCATCGTCTATCTAATCTTTGTTCTAAACAGCAGTTGCAACACATTGGTAGTAATACGGATTCATCGAAGAGCAAATCGCCTGTGCGGTACACACAGTAGCTCCAGTCCAGTCTATTCCTCTGCATTGACCGTAGAGTGACTGCATTGAGGTCTCGGGAGGTGCGGTAGCGATTACCGAAGGAGTGCTGGTGTTATTCGCGATATTGACAGTGTAGGTGCTGATATCGGTGGCGCTGACGGTTTTCACTGTAGTGGCCAAAAAAGCTTCCTGAATGACCAAGGCAGCTGAGCTTAAGATGGGCACTACCCTTGATAGAGTGCTTGACTCAGCAGATAGCCCCCTACTAGTACATGAGCCATCCGACCCTATGTAAGCGTGCCAGTCACAGTAACACTCGAGCTCGATTGGGTGATAGGAACAGCACCGCTGTGGATGGTTGATCCAGGACTAGCGCATGTTAAGAGTGAAGAGTAGATATTCACAACGATACCCGCCTCTTTCTCCGTGTAAAGCCTAGCCCGAATTTGAGGGGTAAAACGGGTAGTAAACATATGGACCTGACTGGTAGAAAATTCGAGACAATCTTGTCTATGATTGACACTCGTCCACTCAGTGGACCTCTCGTCCATAGCAAATTGCCACTCATATTGAGCATAAAGAGTCGAGAATATTTATTTTTTTGTATTTATTTCCACGTCAGATGATGTTTGTGTCATATGCACTTCCTCTTCATGACCACTCAATTGAACCCTGTGTCTCCTGCATGGGCCTCATGGGCGATCGATGGTCGGCTCTGAGAACTGCTTCAACCCCTGGTACGCTTGCTCTAGATGAACGAGGCGAAGACTTGGGTAAGACCATTTCGCTGGCATCACCAGGGCGGAAACCATATCTCAATCTTGTGACACTTTTCCGGACTGCTCCCATACAGACATGGAATATGGGTTTCATCAGTGGCAGACAGCCACAAATGATGGCCATATCTAATTCCAAGACAGTCCAGATCAGGGTTAAAGAGCTGTGTACTAGTCGTGACATCAGCAGATTGCTTTTCAAATGACATAAAAAGCACATACTAGTCAAATTGTCGGTCTGATAATGTTTGAGTGCCACTACTCGCAGGATACTGAATATGCAAACTCTGCGCGGTTAGCTCCATTATCAACACATATTATTTTGAATCATCTCACAAGCAGCCGATTGAGAAAAGAAGACTCAATTCTACCTTGTCCCGTACGGGCATATGCAGCCCCCATACTATTGGCAAGGGGAGGCAGAGAATGACCACATCCTCTACCATTGACACGGATCCAATGATGAGATAGAAGGTGTTTTGTCCACTCATACAGTGTCCTTGGATATGTTTTATCCAAGCATATTGAATAGGCCAACACTGAAACGTATTTCCAATGATAGCAGTTAGTCCCCAGGCAACAGAAAACACCATGACGGCAATGGTCGCACGTCGAAAACGCTGATTACAGCCAAGTAATCGGCGGAGAAAGAGCACAATCGAGAGTTTCACGAAGACTTGGGCAGAAGGCCAGAATTTAATAAGAATCCAGTTGGCCTGAGTCATCGAAGTTAGAACTCGCTTCGTGCGAAGGGAGGGAGTCGCCTACCAGGGTGATCCGCAATCTCTTTTCGGGAGGCAACACCCATATTGTTTCACCGATCCCAATGCCGAGTATGGCGGCTATATTTTGGTTACAACACCACCTAGCGCAAAAAAAAATCGAATACTTACAGTATACCTCACAGATGGCCACACCATATGTACAGAGCAGCCCCATGCCCATCAGAAGGTCCTCGATACGAAGCTTGTGTGCCACAAAGTAACGACAGGACAGACGAAGGATGAAAAATACTGTTGCAATGGTTGTTCCGACAATCGGAACGACAATCAAAACATTTCTCCAATAGTGTGATAGTGGCATCATGTTTCAAAGGAAGAAAGCGACCGCGCGAGATCGCAGATCAGTTCGCAGTTCTCATCTGGACTTCGAGGATCCAATCTCAAAGCCTGTGTGATACCATGGCAATGCGCCGTGTGACGGATTGTCTTTCTAAATCAGAGCAGGTATTGATTTCGTCCGATCAACTCAAATGGCCGAAAGCATTTTCGTCAGAAGAGCTCGTGACATGGCCGAAATTAATGACGGAAGAAGAGTGGCAATTCGTGAGAAGCGCGACATTGCCTCAAGAAATATAAACTTTGCGTTCGTAGACGTCATCTCGTCGTCCGCCACAACTCAATCGCGCCGTGGCGAGGATCGGCCGAGCCCGCCAGTTTGGCCGAATGCGGACAAAAAAGCCACCAAAAGAAGCCAATCAGCTTAGAAGTTACGAAGAGAAATACAAGAGATGATCAATGATTGATTTTAGAGATGAAGCTATGGGTCTACATGTCATGGAGGCTGAGGCAAGGATGCGGTGAAAATGGGCAGTATCCCTAATTCAATGCGAACAAAAACAAAGAACTTGACAGTCCACCTTTCCCCCCTTTCACCAAAATGGCATCCTCAGAGCGACTAAAGAGATACCCGCCCGATCTAAGTGATGAGCAACTATACTCTCTAGTCACCGAAATCAAGGTTTTTCAAATGTTTTTGCGGAAGATCTTGTAATTGAAAGCTAACTTGCGGGCAGGATTGGCAGATCAATCATGGTTCGATGTTGAAGGTCATTGAGACGGAGATAGAACAGACGGTTCTGACTCGTCCTCTCGGAGTCACCGTCAGTTTGGACGATTAATCCAATATTTCAGAGGCCACTAACGCTGTGACGAAATACATCAGTGCTTCCCTACCCTATTTCCTCGAACAAGATTCTCACAGGCGCTGGACATCCAAAGAATCTATAACCAGCTTTATTGTTCTGTTGCAGAAGATGAAGGTTGGATCTGCAATGCCATCCAAGATCTCTTACCCGTTGAGCATCTCGCTGGTGTCCTCTGGGAAATTCATCAAGCCGCGAAGAAAGCAGGATCTGTTCAAGATGTGTCTATGGGTATATTCCGATCAGACTACATGCTTCATCTGACCGATGGCGACAGCGACATAGTACCATCCCCGAAAAGTTTCCCTGAAACAACTCTGAAACAGGTCGAGTTTAACAGTTTCTCCTGCTCGGGTGGATCGCATGCCAACAAAGTAGCAAACATGCATCGCTATCTGACTCAGAAGGGTGTTTACAACTTTGATGACAGCTCCTTTGGCGTCGAGTATCTTCCCGCGAATGAAAATATCGAGTCAATCGCGTCTGGCCTTGCATTGGCCCATAAGATCTATGGCCCGCCAAGAAACGAACAAGCAAAATCGACAGCGGTGCTATTCATTGTACAGCCCTATAACGTGTGTCACTACAATTAAGCGTCAAGGTCTCGTTTAACAAATTTTCAAGTTCAATATTGCAGACGAGCGGCCGATTGAGTATGCTCTGTGGAACCGAAAAGAGCCGGTACCAACCTATCGGCTCGACTGGGGCCCAGAAATACTTCACTTCACACGTTTGACCGAAGATAGGGAACTCCTATTTCAGCCACCGTGGTTACCATCGAAAGATCCCATTGAGATTTCGGTAATTTACCTACGGGCCGGCTATGAATCAAAGGAGTACAATGTGACCGGCTATGAAGCACGTCTTCAGCTGGAGAAATCAGCTGCCATCAAATGCCCCTCAATTCTGGGACATATCTCCACTTTCAAAAAGGTACAGCAGGCTCTCACTCTGCCCGGTGCTCTTGAACATTTTCTCTCCATGTCAGACGCTGCTACTCTTCGTGAGACATTCGTCCCCATGTATCCATTCGACAAAACGAAGGCTGGTCTGAATGCTCGCGAACTGGTTCGCGATAAAGAACATTCCGTTGGCTACATTCTCAAACCGTCTCTGGAAGGAGGGGGCAACAATGTCTACGGGGAAGAAATTCCTGGCTTCTTGGCAACGGTTCCTGAGTCCCAGTGGTTGAGGTACATTCTCATGAAGCGGATCGATCCTCCAAAGTTGCCCAATATTCTGATGAGCTCCGCAGGAATTGGCAGTGGAGACGTGGTCTCGGAGCTCGGTGTCCTCGGATACTGTCTATGGAAAGCGAATCCGAGCGATGGCGGCTGTGTCATGCTGCATAATTCAGTTGCAGGTTGGACTTTTAAAGCCAAGTACGCCGAGATTGACGAGATAAGTGTGGTGAAGGGGTATGGCTGCTTTGACACCCCACGCTTGGTTGACATTTGACCACTTGATTGGAAATCCATCTGACTGCTACCGCTTGAGAATATCCCAAGATAGCGTAACCAGTATTCACTCATCTCACATACTGCTCTCGTCTCTCTTGGATTCGAGCAACTCAAATTTGCTTCAAACAAGTTGATCGGAGATATCAGGCTGATATGTCCAGTTGACGAATCATTTATTTAGACAACTTGCGAGACTGTACGACGCATTGTCAAGATCGACAACGCGAATTTAACTTGGGCAGCATCAGGACAGAAACCATTTGAACTTTTCCAAATCCGAATCTCTGCACACCTTCTGTAACCGCGGAAACTTTCTGCCAAGGAGGAAATTGGGTGTTTCTGATAGATGAACATAATTACTAGCTTGGTAATCCCTTGATAAATTTCGCATGTTTTATCTGATTTAAACTGATAGCTATCTTCTTAGAGCGATACAGAAATCAACTGGCCTCACAATGTTGATCTGCATTAGTACAAGCCTTGGATGTTGGACAGATACGTGCTTCTATATGAGGCGTCTGACTCGGTTGAATGCAAGGTTCAAAAAGGATTAGCTGATTGTAGCAACGAAGCACACGGCCAGCCAAAGGTTTTGGCCTACCCCTGTGTGCCCACCGTGTCTGCGTTCTGTACGATGCGCGGGCTATTGCCATTGAATTCGCTTTATCTCTCCAAAGTGTCTAAGGCTGTTAGTTTTTCGATTTTCCTAGGGTACCCGGTGTGCATACCGCACAGATGAGTGTGTAGTGGGGGCCATCGGCGACTCCGAGCGCGAACATTTGGGCACTAAAGCTTCCGGTTCACGGATGCAGCGCAGGGAGCATGAATTCCGGTACCGGCAATAGGACAGGGGATTGACCGGCGAAAAACGCCAGTATCGCTGGGACATATATGTCTGGGTGACCGTCAGTGCCAAGGTCGACGCCCATAACTCTATCCCGATGGTTTAGCCCCCGCGCAGGATGGATCTCTGGGCGATGGACCTTGCGTTAAAGCCCCTCTCCTCACCCCACGCCAAGAACACCCAGCAAGCTACAGGCACGCGGCTTAAGTTCCTTTGTCCAATCTATGGATAAGTTATGTCATGTGAAGTCAATGGTCATCTCAACATCTGCCATGGCTGGCTTTACCCCAGTTTCGCCCCCGCAGAGACCAAGTCTTGGCAAAGCGGCTCGCTTTGCGCCTCCCAACGGACGTTCCCCGAGCCCCCAGGTTACTCTAGATGGGTTCATCTTCCTGACTCAAATTCCGTGTTGAGCCGGAAGCATGACACTTTCATATCGTAACCTCCTGACAATGTCGGTTCAATGTCGGTCGATTGAGGTGAGGGCTGGGACGTGACTCCCGAGCTCTTATGTGGCCAAGGCATCAACCATGTGGTCGATTTGATGCAATATCCTTGCCTACCGCGAAAAGGGCCGCTAAAGTCTGACGGCGGAAGCATCGAATAAGATGTCCAGTGCTAAGTAGCTCGGGATCCAAGCTCCCTTGGCACTGCCACCCTGTCCTTGGCCGATTCCATTCCTGGTTCCACCGAAAGTCGGTTTGGGAGACCGAGAGTTTCTTTCCCGGGGTGCATTGCACGTAAAGTACCATCTAGAATGTCAATCACCGGCACCGAGGCTTCTGCCTTCGTCCGTAGTATTATTGTGCGACCTGTTTCCTTCCAATCGCCCTTTCTTCTCCGCCGATTCCTTTGAGCTTTCCCCGTAGCGCGCCGAGAGGTTTCTCCAGGATTGTGCAGCTATTAAAAGGTGTCGTACTTCGTGAACTCCTTTCCCACTCCTCCTTCCCACCTCCTCTTCCGTCTCCTACGCTCTTATCTTGTGCTCTTTCATTATCCTTCTTCCGTGGTACATATTCTGCACGTGTAATCATGGCAGGTGGAGCCAAAAAACCCGTCAATATCTTCCGGTTGAGGAACTTGGGAGAGCCCAAGGAAGTGTTCAATTGGAGATTGTGGTTTGCCGTCATCTCCTTTGGTTTGATGGGAGCTGCGCGAGGTATAGACGAGGGTCTGATATCCGGTGCTTTCAACTCCAAGGATTTCCAGCGATACATCGACTACAGTTCCTACAGCAAGGTCGAGCAGACCAATATCAAGGCGAATGTCTCTGCGATGGTCCAGATCGGATCTGTTGGAGGGGCTCTCTTGTAAGTGAAAGAATCTCATATTCTCTCACGTCTTTCTCTTATCCCCCATGCTTACCATCACAGTGCATTTGTAGTCTGTGACCGCATTGGCCGTATCTGGGCAACTCGTCAACTGTGCCTGCTATGGATCCTTGGTATTGCTATCTTCATGGGAAACAACGGTAGCCTCGGGGCTGTATACGCAGGGCGCTTCATCGCTGGTCTCGGTGTTGGACAGACCGTGGTGGTGGCTCCTGTCTATCTTGCAGAGATTGTGAGTGCCAGATCGCGTAAACTAACAACTCAAATCGAGTTCACTTCACAGTGCTAACAATCCCAGTCTCCTGCCTCTATCAGAGGTCTTTGCACCTGCGTGTTCACGGGTTTTGTCTACCTTGGTGTGTACACCCAGACAACAATATACCCCCTGTCAATTTGCTTCATTTTTAGAGGCACTTTGTTTGCTAAAATAGTCTTTAGGTATCGTTTTGGCCTACTTCGCAAACTATGGATGCCAAGTCAACATGGGCGACCACACTCACAGGAGATGGGTAAGTGAGACCGTTCGAGAGCATATCCAAAGCATGATGCTCACAAGATGCAGGAGGTTCCCACCAGTCTCCATATCATTTTTGCCGGCCTGATCTTCATTCTGTCATTCCTCCAGTACGAGTCCCCGCGATATCTCATCAAAAAAGGCCAGCAAGAAAAGGCGCTGGTGAATTTGGCTCGTGTGCGTGGTCTCCCCGCCGACCACGAATACGTTGTCCGTGAATTCAACGCCATTCAAACGGCGCACCAAACTGAGATGGAAGCAACCATGGGGTCTGGTCCTTTGGGGGTCATCAAGGAGACTTTCTTGATTCCCTCCAACCTCTATCGTCTCTATCTTGCCCTGACGGCCCAGCTCCTGTCGCAGTGGTCCGGTGCTGGTTCCATTACCGTGTACGCCACAGATCTCTTCAAACTGTTGGGCATCACGGGAAGCAACGAGAACCTACTCGTGACTGCGATTTTTGGCATTGTCAAATTGATTGCTGCCGTTCTCTGTGCACTCTTCCTGGTCGACGTCATCGGTCGGAAGCGCGCGTTGCTCCTGGGAATCACCCTGCAGGCCATTTCAATGATCTACATTGCCGGTTTCTTAACGGCAGTGCCTGAGATAGGTACTGTTAATGGTTACAAGATCCCCGCCAACAAGAAGGGTGCGAGCGAGGGCGCGATCGCCATGATCTACGTATCCGGCTTTGGATGGGCGCTGGGTTGGAATTCGATGCAGTACCTATTGACCGCCGAGCTTTTCCCTCTCCGTATTCGGGCGCTTGCAACCTCGCTAGCCATGACCCTGCACTTTGCCAACCAATACGGCAACTCTCGCGCCGTGCCCAACATGCTTCTTCCCGTCGCAGATGGCGGCATCAGCCCCAAGGGAACCTTCTGGTTTTTCGGCGTGGTGACCTTCATCGGTGGACTCTGGGTCTGGTTCAGTGTGCCAGAAACCGCAGGCCGGAGCCTTGAGAGCATGGATCAGCTATTTGCTCTACCGTGGTACAGGATTGGTTTGCACGGTAATCAGGATGCCGAAGAGCGTGATCTGGTCATCAACGAAAAGAGGGAAGCAATCGAGGCCCAGGGAACGACCCAGCACGTTGAGAAACAGGATGTAGCCGCCCGAGTCTGAATGCCATGTTTTAACGAATTCATTCGAACTTTCACGTCCTTCTTCTACATGATATGCAGCATATGGTTATGAGAAATGCAAAAGAGACGTTTAATTGCGCTATGTAAAAGGATCCACCATCCATTACTCGTTACTCGTTACCCATCTTATGCCTTTTTTTTTTTTAAATCCAATCATGATCAACAGCAACCTCTCATATCATGACAGCAATGTAATCTTGGTGCTCTATTTATGCATATGAAAGTCTTCTTGAAGTGCTCCCAGATGCCACCGGGGATCTTTCTAGGGGAATAATCACGATCCGTGCCTTTAGAGCTGCTTTCTCGCGTGCCTCTTGATCCGATCGAGGCTTCTTTTTATTCGTATGAAGATTCATACTCGTCATGTCGTCGAGATACTCATTTGGCAGGTCGACGCGAATCAAGACCCCGCGAGGTCGGAAGAAAGTCTGATTCCAATGCGAGATATGGCGTGTCAAATGCTGTCCACGCGCACCGGCCATACTGGCGATCAAATTTCGTCGTTCTTGGTTTTTTTGAGATTTGCGAGCGACCAGCAGAGCCGGGAAGGCGCTAAGGAAGCCGATCATGAGCCCGCCGACGGCAAGCGTTCCGAGACCTCGGCCGATCACGGTGGTCCACTGTTGCCGAGAGAGCTTGGCTTCATCTTGAATTGCTTGTGTGAATTGGCACCAATGCTCGGGGGATACCCCATAGCGTGTGAGTTCTTCCGGGTAGTCAAATCCAGAGCTGGTGACTGAAGTTCGTGAAGGCACCTGGAGTCCTCTTGACAAAGTGGATGAAACTGCGAAACCAGGCTCATCTGATTCTTGTGGAAGGACAAAGTCGGCGTCGAACTTTTCATCCGCGGTGTATTCAAATGCGGAATCATATGGCGGTGGCGCCTCCGAGTAGTCGTTGTGAGCCATTGCGAATGATATGGTGGGTGGACGTAGTGATGAGGCCGACATAATAGATTATAAAGAAGCGACAAAAAAGCAGGCAACTGCGTGTTTATCTGGACGATCTATGCTATCTGGAAGTCCCACCAATCTGCATACGAATAACGTCCTTGCCTAACGAAATAGATATAGGAAGTCCCAGGCCCCCATCACACATGGGCAGCGTCATGATTTTTCCCGGGTAAATTTCTCACCAGGTGGAGGCAGTGCGGCCTGAGTCACCCATTGTCATCCTGAGCCTTGTCCTTAGAGCCTCTCGTATCTCACATGTAGACTCAGCCCTAAAGTTTGAGGAAGTGCAACCCCAATTCCGCCCAAGCGCTAGACGGGCCTCGCCGATATCCTAGGCACCTATTTTCGCAGGTTAGCACAGATGAAGAGTCCCATATTCGTATAGTATAGTATACCGAATCGGAAGCAATCAACAAGGTGCCAAAGTTACGCAGTTTGGCGGGGCTCAGTTCCACGGTCATCGGTGAGGCGAGGTGACTCATGAGAAGGGGAACGTGCGGGGATTTGGAGACGTGGAGATTGTGTTGTCGACAACCATCTTGGGCTGATTTGCCAAACACCATGACCACCCGTTATCGCGTCGAATGTAAGCTATCCCCATCTTTGGTCTCCGTGCGTCTTGCTGACTTGTCTAGATGCGCTCAAGGTACGCGCTCTCGTTTTTGCCCTGACGATCGCCCTTCTCACTAACTCCGCCAGACCCATCGCCGGGATCAACTGGTAAGCATGTTCAATCCCTGCGAAAAACTAGCGTCTGACGTGAGTTAGATCGAATGGATCAAGGCAGGCCGAGATCTCGCAGCTTAGAAGACTGTGAGCCGCTGCTAAGCAATTTCAGGGTTTGCTGGCGGTGCCCTTTGTGCTGCATTCCCAGCCGACGGTGATCTACCAGGAACATAGCGAGGGCCTCAAGCGTGTCGCGGCAGACACTCATCAGCGCTATGCTGAGATTTTGCGGGATGTTGAGAATCTAATCAACGATCACAGTAAGTCACAGGTCGCGCCTCGCAGGCAACAATTTCTTTCTCCCCGCTCATCACCCCGCAGTTCTACATCACCAACGAAATGACCCCGGTAAATCCAAACTCAAGCTGCTGGTGCCTACAGTCGGGTACTTTTTTACCCAGCTGCATTTAGAGGATGCCTTCAATTACCAGGATGAGCAGAGATTTATCAGCCGACGAAGATTCGTCGCCCCCTCATTTAACGATATCCGCCTCATCTTGAATTCGGCCCAACTACTGGGCCTAGTCCGCTCTAGTGAGGTCCAACTTGTGACATTCGACGGTGACGTGACCCTCTATGATGACGGAGCCTGTCTGACTCCGCAAAACCCCGTCATCCCGCAGATCCTTCGTCTTCTAGAGCAGGGGCGCAAGGTCGGCATCGTCACCGCTGCCGGGTACGAAGAGGCTCCCAAGTATTACGGCCGTCTATACGGCCTCCTTGACGCCGTGCATGACTCCAAGACATTGACCACGTCTCAGAAGGAGGGAATTATCGTGATGGGCGGGGAGAGCAATTTCCTGTTCCGCTTCGATCAGGAGTCAGAGTCTCGGCTGGCCTACGTACCCCGCAAGGAATGGTTACTAGAGGAGATGCGCGCATGGCATGATGAAGACATTAAACAGTTGCTGGATATTGCCGAGGATTCGCTACGTGCTTGTGCGTCCAACCTTGGCCTGCCGGCTGCGGTGCTCCGCAAAGACCGAGCAGTCGGCGTCTATCCCGTTAACGGGGTCCGTATCGATCGTGAGCTGTTGGAGGAGACCGTGCTGGTTGTTCAGAATACTGTGGAGCGGTCGGCTGTAGGCTCGCGCCTCCCATTCTGTGCATTCAATGGTACGCCTGAGATCACGTCCATGAATACGGTCGTACTAAGTCTTACTTTTGATAGGTGGCAATGACGTTTTCGTGGACATTGGCGATAAGTCGTGGGGTGTTCGGGTATGTCAAGAATACTTTGGTGGCATTGCCCCCTCAAAGACCCTCCACATTGGCGATCAATTCTTGTCCGCTGGTGCGAACGACTTCAAGGTAAGGAAAGCAATCTACGTTCAAGAACTTGCAAACTGACTTTGCGCTTTCAATAGGCTCGCCTGGCTTCCACAACTGCTTGGATCGCCAGCCCCAGGGAGACTGTCGAGCTCTTGGATGAATTGGAAGCAGCCATCAGCAAGTGATCTTTACATACATTGAGTGTGTTTTGCATCACAAGATGCCTTCCAGGCGATTGATAAGACGCATACGTCGTTTCTGGGTAGCATAATTCTCTTCCAATAATCAATCCATGACAACCACTCTTTGGTAGCCCAGGTACGCAAAAAGGATCTACTGCGTGGAATTTAGATGCCCAGGGTTAAGAAAGCGTAGATCATACAATTCATTGGCTAAAAGTGATGCGATCTGGTTCAGTTGTGACAAAATGGAGGCGTCTGATCTAGCATCAATCTAAGCGCTTGTGTCGCGTAGCATCGTCCGAGCGTGAGAGGGCGTCCAGTGGGCACTCATTGTTTTTAATTTCGGCCGTCATGGGCGAGAGTCCTGGTGGGCAACATCAGTCTTGATAAGGAGACTTCAACGTGGCGGCAAAAGACTCGCGGCGGCAATGCGAGTCTTGAAATGAAACGGCTGCATAAAGCAATGAGGCGGTTCCTCAAGGCGAGTTGGGGACCGACGGAATGGATTGGACCGAAGAGGGATCTGAATGGGTGAAAAGAAAGTTTGTCAATATCCAGGTTCCAAGGAAATTAGGGAAAACACCAGGGTCGCACGCAGAAGCAAGTTGATCAGTCGAAACAGGCCGATGCGTGGATTCAACGTGATGATGATGCAAAGTCCAGGGATTGTCGCAATTACGTACTCTCATAGCAGAACCAGCCCTCCTGGGTGCGGGAGGCCGAACGACCGGAAAGAGTGTTAACAACTTCCTGCAGCTCCAGCCAGAAATCGGACTTGGGCCGACGGCGCTTCCAGTCGGTCTCGGTCTCTTCTAAGCCACTCTCACCGCCCATGGGCGAGAATAGAACCTGTGAACCCTTGACACCGATGACGGCACTCGACAGAGGGTCGTTGGCGATAGCATCGCGGCTTCGGCCGGCGTAGGATTCGATGTGGTGCATGCACTTGATGGCCATACGCAGTGCACGCACACGGTCCATCGGGGATGGCTTACCACCCTGCTGGAAATGACCGGGCACCGCCGAACGCGACTCGAAACGGCCATTGGCCTCCTCCTTGATCATATCAGCAATAAACTGGGTGGTATAAGTGCTGGAAGCACATTCATTGCGCAGAATGATTTTTCCAGCGCGGTTCGCACCCTTGTCACGAATGAAGTTGTCGCGCAGGAAGTCAATATCACGAGACAGCATCTTAATGTTGATGCCCTCCTCGGGAATGTACACGGCGACGGCACCAACGGCCAAACCGGCGGTGGTCGCAATGTAACCCGACTTGCCACCCTGGGTCTCGATGACAAAGACGCGACGACGAGAAGAGGAGGCAGACTGGCGGATAGCGTCACAGAAATCGATCAGGGTGTTTAAGCAGGTGTCACTGCCAAGGGAGTACTCGGTACCGGGAACATTGTTGGAAATGGTGGCGGGCAGAACAATGAGGGGTATCTTGAAGGCGTCGTACGTCTTGCGAGCCTGGCGCAATTGGCTGACAGCAGTGAACGCCTCGAAGCCACCGACCACAAACAGAGCATCGAACTTGTAGAGATCGAAGCATTTGGCCACGCCTTCCATATCCTCGGCGGGCAGACTGCGGTTAGTTCCGATATCAGAGCCACCCTCGTTCACCCAACTGTCGGACTCCAGCCATTGAACCTCCCGAACGGAGCTGATTGGTTTGTCATTGTGGTGTCGAACCAGACCGGGGAAACCATTGTGAATAGCAATGGGGGTGTGGCCACGGGTCAAACAGTAGGCCACGGCAGCTCGAGTAGCCGGGTTCATACCACCCGCGGGAGCACCGACGTGGATGATAGCAATACGCATTCTCTTGCCTTCGGGGAGGTGCAGCCTTGGGTGATCGGGGGTAGCAGTGTTGAGATAGGCATCGTAGTATTCCTTGAACTCGGCGTCGCGCATGTCCATTGCGGCGTCGAACTGCTTGCTCTGAATTTTCTCGGTGACATCCTTGGTGAGCTTCACCGCTTCCATCAGGGGAGTGCGCATGATCTTGTTCTCGCGGATGGTGATGACGGGGACGGGGGACTGAGGTGTCTGCTCTAGCACGGCCTTGACAGCCTCGACACCCTGCAGGGTCGAGAGCCAACGATCATAGGCACAAGCTGCGCCACCTCGCTGGGTGTGTCCCAGAACCGTCGTCCGAGTGTCGAGTCCTAGGCGGTCTGTGAGAATATCCTTGATCTTTGAGCTCGAAATCTTGTTGAGATGGCGGTCCTGTGCTCCCTCAGCGACAATCACGATCGTACGGCGCTTGCCTCGGTCTTTGCGATTCTATCATCGGGCCTCGTTAGATTCGGGACCACTGGCCTCTCAGGGTCCTATTCACGTACCTTGGTGATCATGGCGCACATCTCATCCTCCCAGCCATCCTTGGGGGGCATCTCGGGGATGAACAGCCAGTCGGCACCAGTGCTAATGGCCGACATCAAGGCCAGCCAACCGCAGTGGCGGCCCATAACTTCGATAACGAAGCCACGCTGGTGTGAAAATGCAGTATCGAAAACGTCATCAACGGCATCGCAAATACGGGTCAAGGATGAGTAGCAGCCGATCGTGGCATCGGTGCCGGACAGATCATTGTCGATGGAGCCAACCAGACCCACGATGTTCAACACTGTGTAAGGCTTCACCTGCTCCTCGGTTAATTCACCAGACGCAACCAGGTCTGACAGCAGCGAAGGCCATTCGGCGCGGAAGACATCGGCACCGGTCAAACTTCCATCACCACCGCAGACAACCAGGGCGTCGATACCACGCAGGATCATGTTCTTCGCAGCCTTCATACGACCAGCACGCTCACGGAAGGACATGCATCGAGCCGAGCCGATCAAGGTACCGCCACGCGAGAGCCAGCCACGAACATCCTCCCAGTGCAGTTGACGGATCATGTTACCGCCATTGACCAGTCCTTCGTATCCTTCGTAGACGGCGTAGGCCTCGCAGTCGCTGTGAATGGCCATGCGGACCACGGCGCGGACAGCGCCGTTCATACCGGGAGCATCACCACCGGAGGTGAGCACGCCGATGCGACGCTTCTTAGCTGGTTGGACGGGATTACTGACGGACTCCATGTTGGAATCAAGATGGACCGTGTCAGAGGTCACAAAGCCAACGAAAAGGGTATAAGGTTGGTCGAATTGGATTCAGAGAGCAAGTATGCAGCGCAGGGAGTTAAGAAGCCACTGGAGGGGTTGAACCCAATTCCGGTGAGATAAAACAGAAGTGGGGTGGTGAGGTCACCGACGACTGCGCGAAGGTTTTGGGTGGATGGAGAGGTTCGGTAATGAGGTGAGAAACCGGATGATCGAGAAGAAGCCTGAGAGCAGTGACGAAAGGTCAGTCCGAGCCGAGAGGCGGGATTCAACCGAACTGCCCCGATGTAAAACCAGTTAAACTGATTGACTCCCCTGAAGAGACGCCGTGATTCTGATGTCACCGAATGAGCTCCCAGTTACGGACTAGCGTCGAACTACTTTTGTACTGGAATGACCTCGTCCCGATGGGGGCGGTTAGGGCTTAGGGCTGTTATCTCCATGAGGCTTCGCCATTCGCATTCGAGCCATTAGTTACAGTAGCCTGCACCGCATCAAACAAGGAGGCCAATCATAAGATTTTCGTTGACAACGTGGGTGCGCCTTGCGAATGTTATTCTCAGGTAAAGAAGTCACCCAGAGAAGTCGGTACTGGATATTCATGGTCTTTGGCGAATGAATGGCCTGTGAAATCGCCTCATCTAGTCTGGTTTGCCTACACTATTCAGTCATTGGCAGTCGTGTGATACTCCGATGGATAACAATTGAGAAAGGGCTATCATCATCGCTATGCATTCTTCGAGAGGGTCTTTGGGTGGGTCATCCGGCGCTAGTACAAAGCCACGTAAAAGGGTGGAGCATGTCAACCTGAGGCGTTAGCTAGTTCTAAGCAATAGTCTCTCCGAGAGTCAATTGTGCTCAACAGGATATAGGAGATCCTTTAGCTTTGGTGAGAGTCCTGTATGCCCCAGTACCTTCAGGATATTTCCACCTCGTTTCATGGACTGGCTGCTCGAGCTGTCTAGAACTCCGCCGATCTCTCGGACATTGTCCTCATTTGGAAAGATGAGGGTTTGACATGACCCCCATTCGGCTCTACAACAAGCCCGAGGCCTATCGACAGCCTATGCTCATTCACTATACTTCATGGCCAATCGATTGAGGGACGGACTGACACAAGGGTGCTCCAATTATCCGCTTGGGGAATGGTCTGCCCTTTTGGCTGAACCCACCCACGCGCCCACCATGTGATGGGAGTGACGAGCTGGCTACAAAGTGACCAAGTATCTCATCCGTCAATTCATTTCAGTAATTAATAGACGGCTTCCATCATGATCTCCATTGACTGCACTACTCTCTGCGACCTCTGGAGCTTGCGCCTCCACTGGAGACCTTCAAAAGCGCGACTCCGCTAGCTCCACGGGAACCAGCAACGGCTCCTACTATTCCTAGTGGACAGACGGAACTGCTGAAAAAACCTGCACCAACGGAGATAGCGGTGAATACACAGCATCACTTGGACTGGTAATGTTGGCAACTTTAGTGGAGAATAGGGCTGGAATCCAGGTGGCTCACGGTAGATATTCTTTAAAATGCAATATCGAGCTATGACAACACCAGAAGTTCCTGTGAACTATACCCGGCTCCCGCTGTATGAATTAATTTACAAATCTATCAGTTGCAACTCGGACAAATATCGACGGAGCAAGACGAGATCCGCTGTCGCAACCTTAGAAACAGAATAATGTGAATTTGGATCAATTGCACCTCAACGCACTGAGGGAACTTATCTATTGTTGGCGAAAACCTCCAGCGATCGAGAACTTTCACGTGGATCTGTGACTGAATTGGAGTATTACGACAGACAATTGTAGACTTAGGAGAGGCCTCGATTAACTAGTTTACACAGTCGACATGGCTGGAGATGCCTTGGCCAATATGCTGTCAGTGGAAGATGGGAACTCGGGATCCCCCATGAGAAGGGCAGACTCACCATTTACACCCCGTCACACTGGTGGCTTCCCTCCGTCGCAGAGTCCTTGCACCCACTCGAGCAAAGCTTGGGGTGGCCAACGATGCCGGGGTTCGTGCAATGGAACAAAACATTGTTCAAGTCTTCGTTTTCGAGATCAGTTCCCTTCAGGACATCCTTCAGATCCGCTTCCGTGAAGCCTGAGTTGTTCGATTAGTCGAAAGTCATGCGTCCCAAGAAACAACCACTTACCCTTGGACTGGATCAGAATATCGGAGCAATAATCAAAGCTTGGGGTGCAAGACTTGTCAGCCAGGCCGGTGGAGACCAGGGCAAAGACGGTGAGAATGACTGAGGAGAATTTCATCGTGGCGCTGTTTCAGAGGAGTGTACAGGTCGTACGTGGTATTCCAACCGGAGCAGGAGCAAAGAGAGCTTATATCTCCTATCTAGAGAGTGAGATTGCGGGAATAACAAGGTTCTTACATTCCGTGCCCGAAGAGCTTGCTTCCGCATGTTCGTGCCTGAATGTGAACTGGCATGTACCCACGCCATGCCGCATGCCAGGGCATTGGCACTTGCTTCTCTCCCTCAACTCTTTCGCCCAATCAACGACACACACGCAAAGGAGAGTTGGGAAAGCTATCGAACCCATTGGTCGTCATTGGAAATATTTGAAGAACCTTGAATGGCTAGATCAACCTGCTTCGTTGACCGCGGGGAAATCTTGCCGACCATGCAAAAGTGTCATGCAAGGAACGGTCGATCCCAAGACAGAACGTCATGCATCATTCTTATGCCATATCCTCCCGCGTCGGCACTACCAAAAGGTCAGTCTTGCTCATTTGAGTCGAGGTCCCCTCATGCTGAGGCACTTTGCCGTAAATATCAGCTCTCGGGCAATTTCCCAACGAGGCAGTTCTAGCCGTAGCCTGCTCATGATAAGATAGACCCCGCACCTTCGAAGCAATAGCAAGACTTGCAGAAGTTCAATTCTACAATGACGAGGGCCAGTCTTTTCATATTCTCGGCAGACAGTTCGTGTTGCGATCGCAGGTTATTGACTGCACTTGGAACTCCATGATGGCCTCGCAAAAAGAGCTCGGTAGCTACTCCCCGTACCGGTCCGATTCTGCACGGATGGCCCCTTCACCTTCATTGCCAATTACTAGCTGACTCTCACAACTACATAGTCGCCAAGCTGGTCATGGTCGACCCAGGTCTGCCGCAGCCCAATCCAACTCAGTCATACTGGCAACACGTTCCCCATGCCCTCGCAAATACGCAATCGGCCTCTTTGCCTACGGAGAGAGACTTTGCCGTTATCGGTTCAGGCATCACGGGTCTTTCGGTGGCCAAGACTTTATTAGATCGTCACCCATCTGCGACTGTCACTATCTTAGAAGCTCGCACGCTCTGCTCTGGTGCAACGGGTCGCAATGGTGGCCAGATGGCCCCCAATGCGGGAGAAGAATACATGCATTTGGCCCAGACTCACGGATCCGAAATGGCAGGCAAGATTGCCAACTTCACATTTCAAAACCTGCAAAAGATGCAGGAGTTGATCAAGGAGTACGATGCAGTGGAGACAAGCGAGATGCAACTTCTCGAGAAGCTGCGAACCTTCTTGACCGATGGCACTTTCAACGATTTTCAAAAAAGTATTGAGCGTCTGAAAGCAGACCATCCCGCCTTGGGCGAGCTATACACAATTCTCGACAGGGAATCCGTGTTGAAGGTCAGGACCTACACTTTTGGAGGAATCGGGTATTCTAACAGACATAGGAACATGAAATTCATGGAGCAGCTGGAGGTGCTCTTGTTCCGGCTGGCACAGTGTGGCCATACCGACTGGTCACCAAAGTCTTCGCAGCTCTCATGGAAAAGTACCCAGATCGACTGACTATTGAGACAAACACGCCGGTGGAGTCGGTCGAATATAGCGAAAGCTTTGTGACTCCAGTCAGTTCTGTTTATCCTTACACCATCCGCACACCCCGCGGACCATTACGAGCGGAAAATGTGGTTTACTGCACCAATGGACATACCGGACATCTTCTCCCTAAGCTGCGTGGATGCGTTCATCCTTTCAAGGGCACAATGACAGTTCAAGATCCTGAGACCTCCGTGCCGAATCGAGGAGCATCTACGTCCTGGGGCTTCCACTACCCGGAACGATACGACCCCGCGACTGGTATCTGTGGCTATGGGCTGTATTACCTAGGCCAGAATGTTACATCAGGATACTTCTACTTCGGAGGTGAAGAAGCCCGAATGGACGAGACTATATCTGCCGATGATAGCTTTGTTGGGGAGCATTCGGTCACTCATCTACAGTCCGTGCTACCGCAGTTCTTTGGCAAGGCTGCTTCGAAGCCGTGGAAGTTGGTCAGCTCTTGGAGTGGAATCATGGGCTTCTCGTCCGATGGATTGCCTTTGGTCGGGCGTTTGTCAACGACCCTAACTGGTCGAAGCGGCACAGGAGAATGGATTGCTGCTGCTTTCAATGGCTACGGTATGGCCAATTGCCTGATGTGTGGCGAGGCGCTTGCCTTGGCGATATTGGGAGAGGATGTGAGCGACTGGCTTCCGGAGGCTTATGGACTTGGTGACAAGAGATTGCGAGAGACGTTGACGCCTCCTGAGGCACTTAAGGTGTTAACCGCAAAGCTGTAATTCTGATGTTGTCGTGCATTAATGCATTTTTGTATGGGGAATAAGTGGAAGTGGTAGATTAGACTGTTTTTATCCAGTCTTGGTAACATAGGGTATCTATCATTCTGGCGCACTGAAAACTCCGCTTCAATACGCCAAAAGATCTGTAGAAAATCTTTGAGAGAGGGCCCCACTTCGAAAGCCTCTCCACTCCTCGATCTGGAGCAGCAAAAAGACAAACGGCAAAAATATGGACTCGCGGGGAATCGAACCCCGGACCACTCCCATGCTAAGGGAGTATTATACCACTAAACCACAAGCCCAATTGATGTGGGTCGACGAGCTGGAATTGGTTGAGGGGGGCAGGGGAGTGAACTGTTCGGTCCGACCATGCTTGGTTTGCTTTCACTCGCCTTGGCATGCTTGAGCAACAATGAAGTCCATCATAGAAGACTTGTCGTCAGGACTGGTGGTCGAATTTGAGAATGATGTCCAAGTCGACGGCTGGGAATCGAGAGACGGCCGTTCTTGGGCACCTCGTCCAATGCCATCAATACTTCGCACAACGTAACTCGAAAGACTCAAGCCGGAACGAGTTAGGGAAACCTTCATCTTCTTGTGCTTTTCGGGTTTCTCTGAGCTCAGCAAAAGCTCTCCCAGGTGGGGATATACTACATTCCACTTGCACTTTTGAGAGACTGCCGAGTCAGGGCTCTCTGTTGTCTGTGCTGGAAGTTCTTTGGATGCGATATGAGAAATGACGTCCAGAAGCAGTAGATGAGTAATTGCGGATTCGACTTCATCTCTCATTCCAAGACAGCCAGGAGACTTGAGGTCCGAGACCGTTGGCAGCTTGAATGAGAGGTCAAAAAGTGTACCGAATGGCGGACCCGAGAGGTTGGTCCGAATAGTAACAGCGAAAGAGCCGTTTGGCGTGAGAAGCTGACCACGAAATACTGACTGAATTGGTCTCAGGAAGTTCTCAACAAGAGCCTCAATCGTAGGCGCTGAAGGAGACAGACAGATCTGTTGCCAGGTCGAGAATGTGTCCGAACTATATTCCGAAATTTCCAATCCAGACGACCGCAAAACACCAAACAGGTCACTAAAGTATGATTCTAACCATTTGACGCACGATAAGTGCTGCAGGTAAGCTAACGCGGGCCGAAGGAGTTGATACTCCGGAGTATGTCGCTTCTTGGAAGTGAGTGGCGGCGGGATTTGGGTTCGTCGGTGCAGATTCTGGCGATGGGCATATGCGAGAAGGACGCGTATTGAATGTGCCAGACCGTCCGCGAGAAGGCTGTCGCGCTGGAAGGAGTTTTGATCGGGCTGGAGGCTGTCATCGTTGCTATCCACTAAATCCAACTGAATTTCCATTTCATCAGAAGCAGGAATTCGAATGAGATTCTCACGCGTTGTGACGCCAGAGCTTGCCATAGACCGGGCTTCTCGGACCAGCTCATGAAACAGCTCTTCTTCAAATACGGAGTCGCGCGCCTGGAGAATACGTTGTTCAATCGTTTCGATGTCAATCGAGGTTGACTCAGTCGGATGTGAGCTTGTGGAGACAGTAGACCCTTGTTTCACACGAACTCGGACGTAGCGCGAACCAGAAGGAATCAAACCTTTGTCCAGGATCAAGCTTCCATTCTCGGCCCGTCGAAGGGAAGCCAGTCCACGGTCGCGGAAAACTGGTGTGGCTTCCAGGAATCCGTACTGTACACCCAACGCTTGCCTTTCACGAGGCAATCTGCAGATCTTCCAGCCATTCTCTTTAATGGCTAGAACCTCATTCCAGTATCGTGTCTCTGATATGATTTCGCCTTCGAGTCTCGTGGAGGCATTCAATAGCTTGTGAGCCGCCGAATTGAAGTTCTGCGTCCTCCACCCTCTGGATACAGTCGAAACATCTTTCGTAGTTGATTCGGGTTTCGGGGGAGGGTTCACGACTTCGGAGTTCAGGGAGCCGACAGGTGCAATTTGCTTCAGGTACGCGGACATGGAGGTTTCGGCCTGGCGTGGAGCATGCTTAGATAGCAACAAAGAGACGAAGTCAAGAGCAAACATGGTCTCCATGTGAGATTGCCTGGTCATTCAGTCAGCCATCGCGTTCTCACAAGATCATCAATGGCGGTGTTGTAACGAACATGGCAAATTGAGTGATGTCGGCACGCCGCTTGTACAGCTGCTCGAGGCGCTCAGTCGTGTCGACATCAGATGTCTCCCCTTTGTCATCCTCGGACAGCGCACCGTCTCGAGCTTCCTCTTCCGCAATCTTCGCGCGGAGGACTTCCTCGTTGACATCGCGAAAGGAACCCCACTGGCTGTTGATCTGGGCAATCTCCACGGGGAGAGTGTCAGGACGGTCTTGCCGCTCCACTACTGGGCGCAGTGGGAGAGTGAAGGAATCGGCCATGGTATGTATAGGCAGTGTTCCCCCAGCCGCGCTCCAGTATGACAATCGAAGAGAAAGTTAGAAGCCACGAAAGTCGAAGAGCACATGGACGAGCTGGCCCGCGGTGCTTGTCTACACGTGACTCGGCGATAAGAGCGACGATCGGCGTTTAATCGCACGTTCTTGTTTAGTTTGTTCTATTTTCAACTACGAGAGCAAAAACAGCTCAAACCTCAATCGATGTTTTGATTTTTTCTATGCAGTAGTGTGGTTTGCCCTATCGCCAGACTGGTTTTCACTAACGAGAGCGCTGGCGGGTCTTGACAAAGTCGACAAGATCGAAGAAACTCTTCTTGTAATACCTTTGCTGGGTAGTTCGATTCACCTGCGAAGCTTTTAGCCTGAATTCTGTTAATTGTGACTTCATAGTAGAACACACCTTTTGAATGCCGAATTGAGAGGCGTAGTCGCCAAATTCCCAGTTATCCATGAAGCTCCAGGCCAGTGCTCCCATAACGTGCACTCCGTCTTCATAGATAGATTTTAGAATCTCCTGCATGAAAGAAGCATAGTAGACACTTCGAGGTGAATCGAAGAGCTGGTCCGACAGCTCTTTGCTCGCCTCCCCGTAAACTGGGAATCCAAACTCACTCACAAACACTGGAGTCTTGAATGTATTCCACAGGTAGGAAAGATATTCTCGGAAGTATGTAGGCGTGATGTATACGTAGCTGACTGATCTATAGCCGATGTTCCAGCCAAATTGGTTCGTTGTCTCTTGATTGACGCAGAAGGGAAACAGAGAGTTGGACGCCGAGTGGTTTTTGGCACATGCTTCAATACCCTCGTCGGCAGGTGAAACGACAGTTGCAGTATATGGATCAATGCCGAAGAAGTCAGAGGTTCGGTTGATGTACGCCAGCTCCGCATGGTCCAATGGCCGGGCACCTGGCATGGTCTTCAAAACAGACTCCGGGTATTGTTTTCCCAGGAAGATAGGGTTCGCGAAGAATCCCTAGCTGCATTTCTTGAAATCTGTTGGCCGCTTCGATGTGTGAGGCGTTGTGTGGGTCTTTGGGCACACCAAAGTTATCATTAAACTTGATACCCATGCGGCCAGTCCCTTTCAAAACATCGTGATAGAAGTGGTACATTTCAGCATGCGCATGAACAACATTATCCACGCCTTGGAAATTGAAGGCGTAGAGCAAAGGCTCATTAAAGGTTATCCAAATCGGCACCTTTTCAGCATAGTGAGCTAGGAGAATCTTTCCGTAATTCACGAAAGCATCCACGAAAGTGGAATTCTGATAGCCGGCATTGTTGTACCCAATATCCGGGCGTTTCGCTACAGAGAATTAGAACCTTCGATACCTTGTCGCGCACGCAAACGAGAACTTACTCATGTTATCCCCCGCGATGAACATGAGAGGACTGTCAAAGTGTAACATAGTCACAATTGGCTGCATACCGGCCTTTAAAACGGTGTCAATCAAATCATCGTAGTGTTCAATGGCCTGCTTATTGACTGGTGATCCAGGCAATACGAACGGCAAAATACGGGTCCATGGGATCGTGAAGCTGTAGTACTCGACTCCCATGGCCGCCATGCGCTCAATGTCCTGTTTATACAGAAAGTAATTTTCGTTAGTGACGTAGTCCTTTGGCTCGCTGTCAGGGACCAAATTCTCTAGTAAAGATGGAGAGCGACCCTCGAGAGCGACCGCTCCTTCGATCTGGGCCGCACTTCCGGCAACGCCAAATACGAAGCCGTCTGGGAAGTCATAGCAGTCCTCTGGGACAAAATAATCGCTAGGAGGCAACACCAACTCGCTGCTTGGGACCGGAGTCGGGCTGACCGTGGTGGAATATAAGCCGGTCGTCGTCTGGAAGGCGTGAGTATGCGCTCACGTAAATTCAGGGAGAATTACGAACATAGTTGTGTAGATCAGCCTCGAGCCACATTGATGACCATGCGGCCTGTCCATACGGATCAGCAGTATCAGTGGCACTGATTTTTGAATGACCTGGAAGCCAACTCCCCCATATGGATGTTGATAAGGGAGTCAGGTGCTTCACTGCATCTGTATAAGCGGGTCCATACGACCTAGTCGTCGTTGGAGGGGGCATCGATGTTGCATATCTGGCACATCAGCAGGGAAGCACTAATCATTAGGGGCACTTACCGAACTGTTGTATTCAGGGAATAGTGAAACGGCTGAAAAAAATAGCTTGGCGATGCAGCTGCTTGTGTGCATTGCGGACGCGCCGAGTTGCCGGTGGTGGTGAGAAAAACCTCCTGTGCCTCAGCGGCCACAATCAGGGCAGTGAGACAGAGTGTTGTGCCTCGCATCATTTTTGTCTACGCTGTGTAGGTGACTTTTCCGGTACCTGGCACCCTTTAATAAATTTGGTGAATCCTTGGCTCATTCCCTAACGCCCCACCCTCAAATCATAATGTGTTTGATGTCGGTGAAATGTCAGTTGATCAGATCCTCGGCATTACGAGGTAGGCAGCGCCATTCAAGTTGTAGATTGGCCTTGGAAGTATGAATCGGTAGCTCGAAGCAGCCTGGTTACATGGCTCTTCGGGGAAATACTTACATTGCCCCACATCGGGATATCATGCAGAGCTGCATCGGGGAAATCTGTTTCCCCGCACTTGCGAACGGAGCGAAATGACCCGAATCATCCAAGACGATGACGCCCACGTAGGATTGATGGACCCCTCAATCGGTGGGAAAGGACTTTACGAAGAGGAGACGTGGGGTAGAAGGAGGATCGGGCGCGAAAATTACTATAACCTTAATCACCCCAAGGATCAAGATAGCAGTTCGTTGGTGAGCTTTGCTAAGTACCATTCAATACCCCCATCCAGGTAGTTCTAGGCACTTGACTGAACATTTTGATTACGCGGGATGACGATGCCTGCCACCAACGTCTCCTTCACCAAGGAACCTCGCCTCCAGGGTACTGGTTTTTTCCTTCTGCTTCCTCCCATCCCGGAACATGGATATTGACAAATTTTCCATTCTGCTCAGGGGTCACCTTCTGTATAATATCGAGAACTTTCTCCGCACCAGTCTCTACGGGGAGATCTGCATAAGAGCTTCCGAGGTCGGTACGCAGCCACTAAGTCAGTTAGCAAACAGGATCAGAGGACTACAGAGACTCTTTGTACTCACACCTGGACTAACAGCGAGGAAAGTGAAGCCTTCCTCGGCATATTCTTGGGCATATTGGACACTAAGCATGTTCAACGCTGCTTTGGAGATCTTGTAGGCGGGACAGCGTCCCTGCGCATAAACCTTGGCCCTGGCGATGGAGCCTAAAGTAGTAGATCTTCAATTCTGTTAGCTGCTACCACGATAGACATATGGGAGACGGTACTCACACGTTGATGACAACCCTCTTGTATCCCTTTCTAAGAAGAGGCAGGCAGGCTTGCGAGACCATGTGAACTGCAGTGACATTCGTGTTAAATATTTCATTCAGATCATTCCTAGTCCAACCGAATCAGAGAAATATCTAGACGGATGTATCGATTCGCTTACATCCCCTCCAGCCCATGGTTGGACGAATCCATCACGCCCGCGTTGTTGATGAGGTAGTCAAGCCCCTGGCCTTGTAATTTTTGCTCCACCGACTTCATGGCCTCCTCGACACTCGTCTTGTCGGTGACATCTAATTTCACGAATTCAACTCGTCCCGATGAGGCGTTCACGAGCTCCTGCAGCCGATGCGAGTTGTCTTGGCGCGCGGTTGCAATGATACGCGCGACTTCAGTCTTCGGCAGTGAGGCCAGTCGGGAGACGAGCGCCAGGCCGAGGCCGCGAGATGAGCCGGTAACTAAATATGAAGCCATAGCTTTGTATTTCAACCAAACCTCTGCGATGCTGGCTATTTAATACTCGCGGTACGAGAGTGGCGGGCGCTGGTTGGCCTTAATAAGTAAAGGGATCGTCTGCCGTAGAACGACGTAATCTCCGCGTTAAATCCGTTCTCAGCCAACTGGGGCCTCCTAGCTACAATTTGTAATCTTACACCTCGCACCCGACCTTTCCCTGGAGCTTGGAAATAATAAGACTGTGGTGACACGGACCGGGTGTAAATGAGTAAGTGCTGCTGTGTCTTGGGAAAACAAAACCCTGTTCACTCGCAAGAGGTGACGTATGGAGCCGAACAGAAACAAGTAAATTTATAGACATGACATGAGATGTCTCTTGCACAATTAAATGATCGATTAATGTATACATGCTCAGAGAACTGTGGCAGGGCTAGCGAGCTCTAGATCAAAAGCTGTCATCCGTAGGGCCTCGCTCCGGCCGGTCCCGCATCGGAATATTTTCCACATCCGTTTGGAAATGGACTCCGTTGCGCGTCTCATCGGTTTTCTGCGCATACGTCCAACTATCGACGCCTAGCGAACTAGGGAACCCAACACCGCGCAGAAAAGCCCTTCGTGGGCCTCTGGGTCCCCATGCCCAGCCCGCCCCACGTTGGATCGGGAGATGGTACATGCGGAAACCGATGTAAGCAAAGAATATCCCGATGGCAGAGCCGAAGAGAACATCGAACCCGTGATGCCGGTAGTTCATCCATCGAGAGGCGGCGATGAAGCAAGCCGTGGCCGTAGGCACGAATGCAAGAATCATCAACAGGACTGGAGGAGCCGCGCCTCGCGTACGGACGGAAGCACGTTCATCACTAAAGTCACGACCCTCCACCGGGTATTGCGGTAGATACGGGAAGGCGACGGAGAACTTCGAGGACAGCCAGAGGGTCAAGTAGCCCAACCCGGCGAAAGAGACTGCACAAGGAGGCAGTCAGTAATTGTTAGCCATTCCAGTTGGAGGCCAAGACATACAGGACGAGTGTCCGCTAGGGAAACTCGAGAATCCATCGACGCGCACCAGATCAGACTGGTCTCGGCAAATTGTCCAATCGACAAGCACTGCAGCACCCTGCAAACTCTCGCCAAGCCCACTGACCACATGAGAAGCAATGTCGCTCACATCAGGATTGCAGATCGCCAGCAGATCAGGGCGAGGTTTTCCGACGAGAGTCTTGAGTCCCTGTGTGGACGTCCAGGCGGCTGCCAGCGCCAACGCAAGACCCAGCCAGCCCGCATTCCACTCCCATATTTTGCGAGAAATCAATTGCGACTTGGAGGGTTTCGCTCCATTTTGAGTGGCGGTCCCGGGATGAGCACGAATGCTCCGAGAAGGATAATCACAGCCGGTGCTAAGAGTCCAACCAGGATCAGGGTTGCGGTCGTTACGGTCTCGTTCACCAAATACGGAAAGGATATGTTTGGGTCGGCGAGGGAGAAGGCGTGATGATTAGGTGTGACTTTATTGAAGCCATATCCGATCAAGGCTAGGCCGCTGGTTTCCAGAGTCCAGAAGTTAGTTGATGGTGGGGGGAACAGTCGCGGGTTGAACGTACACAACGAACACCCAGTCGACAATGTATGACAACACCAGCACCTTCGAGATATGCGCAATCGCGTCCTTGGTCGACATCTTGGTGGGCGCGCAGTGCGTTATGCAATGTAGCTGTTAGGAACGAAGACCTGCTATGGTTTTATGCGCGGTTGCCAACTGACGACCGAGAGTCAACAGCGCGTGCTTGATCGGCGCTAGGAATCGATCCCTTGGAATCGACGGATCCGCTCTTTTCTCAAGACCATCAATGACCGTCGAGGAAATCGGCCCAAAGCACATAAAGCAGGGGGAGGAGGAACGTGGAATCCCCAGCCTCGATCCAGGGGACAGAAGGTCACTGCCAACCGCTCAGTGGCTGAAGGCATGGGCAGAGTTTAATTCCCAACTTGGCAACTCGACAGGCGCTCATCTTGGCACGCTTGTGGCTGCCTCTGCATTTGCACCTCTATTTCAATGATGCGACAGAATTTTTGACTATTACATTACTTTACTTATGATAGGCCAGAAAGGAGACCCAGACCATTATTCTACCATATTACGCGCCACGTTCATGGGAATGATCGGTAACACGATCGGGGTGCCCCCGTCGGGGTACTCGTCACGATCGCAAACTAGTGAGACTAGTGGACGCCCCGCATCCACATTGCGCGCTTGCTCCTTGAGATCAATCACCAAGCCTGAGGGCGGATATAAGTACATGTTCTTCTAGGAGGGACATACAATACTATCATCATCAGCGTTGTAGACACGGTCCGTATAGTTTCCAGAGGTCATTGTGTAGGTTGCTCCTAAATTGCCCTCCAACACAATATGTCTACCCTCCCCTCCCAACTAGCCCAGATGGTCCTGGCGATGAAAGTAAGATCTTGCTGGGACCAAGAAATAATTTGGCATGTGTTGGAAACATCCGAAGCTTTGCTTTGACGCTGGAGAGGCATTCTAACCGCAAAGGTGGTGGTAGTGAAAGGTCACGCTCGGCAATGTATATATCTCCCATTCGAACTTGTTCATTACAAATTGCACGGAATTGAAGCGCTTGATGTGTGGCCCATTGAGGAATTCCAGAGGGGATCAGTCATAGAACTGACTAAAAGAAGGCCCTAGTGACCATTGGATTATATTGACTGACCATGCACTAGGAACAATAAGGAAAGCCATTACCTTTGATACTCGGTGAAAAACGGCAGTAGGTAAAGATAGGAAAATGAATATTCAGAAACATAGAGCATGTATTTGCCCAATACTACTATCAAGCGGGCTTGTGGTTTAGTGGTATAATACTCCCTTAGCATGGGAGTGGTCCGGGGTTCGATTCCCCGCGAGTCCATTTTTTGCTCTACCTCTGGACTTCAAACATCTATCTCATCTTTTTCTTTTCTTACGTGCATCACTGTATGTAATTCGCTAGCTAGGAAAACGAGGAAAAAGGCGAACTGCGGGAAATCTCACTCCTCCCAGTTAAAATTGACCACAATGCGCCCAGCAACTTGTCCTCGGCGCAATTTTTCCACGGCATCGGGCAATCGATTTATGGGTAGACTTCGCTGATTTGCCGGAGCAGGCCTATCCAGCCATTAGTAAACGGTATTCCATATTACAAAGATCTGCCATGGGCTTACCTCTTCTGGCAAAATCAAGAGCAGCTGCCGTGTCACGCCGGCTGCCCACCAAAGTCCCCTTGATGCTGAGGTTCTTGAAAATGTAGTCACAAGGGTCGGTACCCAGAATGACCGACCCCTTTTGTGGCAATCCAATACACATAACTATAGACCCGACTCGATCTCCAACGTAGGAGATAGCAGTTTTGTATGCGGCCGGAGCAGTGACGAATACGCCGTGAACCCCAACGCCATCTGCGATATCAATCACAGACTTGGAGGGATCCTCTGACTCCTTGAAGTCAACGAAGGCTTCTGCTCCCATCTCTATCGCTAACTTGCGTTTATCGGCCCCGGTATCAACAACGATAGGGCGCATACCAAAGGCCTTTGCTAGCTGCACGCCCTGTATTCCAACACCACCTCCACCCCCTGGGAAACATACCCAAGAACCAGCCATGAGATTGGATTCAACGATGGATCGGTAGATTGTACTTGCGCTGCACATGATAGGGGCGGCGATCTCATCGGGCACTCCGTCAGGAATTGGCGACGCGTACCGGGCAGGGGAGACAAGATACTGCTGGTAGGTACCTACCAGAAGTGAGACGCAGAGTCTATGAGAGAAACAATAACACTTAACTTACCGGCAGTCATAAGTCCAGTGTGAATAGCCTTCTTGCAGTAACATTCCTTGTCATCCCAGCACAGATGGCAGGCATGACATGTGTCTGTGAGCGGTTTAATACCAGCTCTGTCACCGAGCTGGAAGGTCTTCACGTTGGCACCGACTTTGACAACAACTCCCGCACCTTCATGGCCCGGCGATCGAACTCCAAAGGCGGACATAGGTGGTAGACCTAGATCACCTTGCATCATGTGAATGTCGGACGAGCAAAGACCCGTAAAGTTCAATCGCAATAAGATGTCATCTGGTCCTAAACGAAGATCTCAATGACTGTCCTGGGAGATAGACATGATCTGCAGATTTACCTGGTTCGGGGACTGGCACCATTTGCACCTCGACGCGAAAATCTGGTCCTTCATTGACGACCACGCCAGCCTTACAGTGGGTGGGAATTTCATATACCGGCATCTCTGTCACTGAACCCATCATGTTATGTTTCTGTTGTATGCTCTTGCTATTGACTAGCGAGGTTGGAGCGACATATGCCATCTCCTCAAGGCGAGAGGGGTTATATGAATGTCGGGACATAACCGATCCAGCACCGAGGTTGGCGGCGGAATACATCCGCTGTAGCTGCAACCCCTCTTTTCAGACGGGAGGTGCTGTCATTGAACTCTTTGGATTTGCCCCATCTTCTTCGGTGTAGTGGATATGGAGCGTCCCTTAATCGAAAAGTGGGGAAGTGCTTTTTCCGTATAGCCGGGGGGGAGAGCTGCAAGATTATCTATAACCTAACGGCTGCTCGGTTGTTCACCAAGTTTTCAGGATCGAGGCGTGTCAAAAATAGAACGGAACTATGTATTCAATCGCTATCTACAGAAACTCCAAACCACGCCAATCAATGAAAGGAAGCACCCTCGGCACGAGCACAGCGACCAAAAGAAAATAAATCAATCCCAGATCATCCATCCACATGATCCACCGATCAGGGCCATCGTCATCGCTGTCAAGATACCAGCACCTGCCCTGTCCGCGGTCGTGATTGAAAACGACAAGGCCTCGGGCTTTGGCTCCTTGGGCTTCCCACCGGCATTGGGATTTCCCTTGCTAGTACCACCGCTATCATCGGTGACGGGCGGAGCCACCTTGTTGATGAGGTTGGACTGAATGACATCAAGGGAAGCCATCTGTTGACCGAAGTCCTTGGTGTTGTCCCATTTCTGCTCTGTCCATTTCAGACCGCAGGTTGTTCCATCACTGCCACCAGTGCAGCTCTTGGCTACTGCCTTAGCGGTAGCCCTTAGCTTGGGCATGATTTGATCGTAAGTAAATGGTGCCATCTGAGTGGTGGCAGCCATCCATCTCGCGAGATAGCCCTTGAACGAGCGCTGATCCACCATACATGTATTCACCGTCTCGCATGCACGCTCGTACATGACGTTTTCAGGGTTTGTTGTGAAGAAGACGCCAGAAGCATCGAGGACCTTCTGTACCCGTTCTTTCCACTTAGGATCTTCAGTCTGCTTGAGATTTAGCTCACGATCGAAAGGTAAACAAGGCTGTATTGTACTTACTGCGTTGTACATGTTGGCTGCGCCGAGCAAGTAGACGCCGTTGTTATAAGTCCACTCGATTTTGTTCATCTCTTGGCAGTCGGTCAGGTCACTTGCGCCATCCCAGAAATGATACTCGTCGGTCATGAAACCGACTTGCCTCGTCCAGTCCCAGGCTTTCTCTGCCCAATCTGCGTATGTTTGGTTGCCTGTATACTTGTGCAGACGCGCAGCGATGTTGAAAAAGCCACCCGTGGAGATGGTGTTCTTGTAACTGTAGCCGTTGTTCCAGGTGAAAATCTGCCAGCGCAGTCCACCGCCACATGTCCCCGGGTCCCATCGCAATGCCTGAGTGTTGAAAACAGCCTGAGCCATTTCGAGCCATTGCGGCTGGTCGCTGGGAGGGTTGGGGAAATTGCGCTCGGCTGCAGACATCGCAGCGAATCCCCAAAATGCTTGATCGTCATTTCCTTCCGTCTTACTTTGGTTACTCGGCATGAAGGCAGCATTATCGCCAGCCTGCCACAGCATGCCCTGAGTGGTGATATTGACCCATTTTGTGTCGCCGGTGTAGTACCAATAGTCGATCAATGCGTTGAACATAGCACCGGCCTCCCACCAGTAGTATGGATCGGGCAGGTTACCCGGGTTATCGCCAGGATTCATACCGGTGTAGTAAGACATCATGTTGTTCGCGACTTGCTTCGCAGCCTTCTTTATGGAGACTGTGACATCGATTAGCCACCGATCACTAATTGCGTGACACCTTGTTGCACATACGCTCATCATCGAGGTCCAACTCAACAGCCCCAACTACATGTAAGCCCACAAAGGTGACCGTCACGAGGCCCGCCCATGAGGAGCAGGATGCCCGTCCAGCTAGGCGCATAATGGGCGATTGAGTCGTAAAAAACGAGGAAAGGTCAGACTCATGCGCCGAGTGAGTGCCAAATGTCGATGCTCGAAAAAACTCAAGATGTGATGGAATGTTTCTTGCCCAAAGATTGATGCTTGATATCTTGTTTGATGCTGTCAATTGTGACGACCATGCATCTCCAGACAGAAGAGAAGAGGAGGAAGAAGAGATTCAAGGCGCAACGTCAGTGCCATGATGAAGGTGAGAGGGGCTATATGGATCGACTCAGCGCATTCCACAATACTAGGAGTGCTGGCATGGTAACAGGGCGGGTATCCCTCGAATCACCTTGCCCTGAGACAGGAGAAAATGGGGCATTCGGGGCGGTAGTCCACCGCAAGAAGTATTTCATTTGCCATATCCTATCCTTGATGCCGGAAGAAGCTTGAAATCAGTTGAAAGTGCAACATTGGACCTGATGCCAATAGTTCGATCCATGGTTCTCTAGCCTTTCGGACCACGATAGGGATCGGCGAGGAATGCGCGCGGGGAGCTGTCAAGAGAGGAGCACGATCTATTTAGAACCGCAAGAAGAGGAGTGCGAGTAAGCGAGCCAATGAATCAGGCTGCTCAGGCTAAAATGGAGTCGATATTGGAGCGGTTCCTCGCCGAAAACGAACGGGATGCAACTATCGACGCATGCCGATGTTGTAACCTCCATCCCTTTCCGGCAGGAGAGGTCGAAGTCCCGAGCCCTGTCCATTTTCCGTCCCTGCCTGGCCAATAAATGGGCTTTCAAGGGGATACAATACAATTGTTGTCTGCTTCAACTGTACCTAGGTTGATGGTAAGACGTTCTCCCAGGCAAACTGGATCCCTGCATGGAAGGTGCATGGTCGAGCTTGGAACCACGGTGGAACATCGTGTCAAGGGGAGAATTTGTGATAACACTACAAATAGTAAAATACTCTTCGAGACTTAAAATGGAATCATCATCTGGGCCTTTGTAACTGTAAAATATGATGTTAAAATATTCGACACCTGGTCTTTCAGGCAATCAAGTATTTTTTGTTAAACAATGTTGTCGTGACGAGGCACATCGGAATGTAAGACTATTGATTTGATTATGTGACAGTGAATCACATTTGCAGGAGAAATGTGTAATAATGTATGATAAGGTCAGAGTTGGCTCTTTCTTTGAGTAACGTCCTTACTTGATAGCTTCGTCGCTAAGTGGGAGAAGTTTCACGTAGATCTGATTGAAAATAGTTGTCATCCGCTTCAAAGGTAGCTATCTGATCTGTCCTCAAGTCACTATTTTCTGCAATAAAGAGCACCTTCTAAAGGTAACATTCAACAAAGGTGAGCAATTAGATCCCTCTATCACGGTCTGCTAATTCTCACCTCGTGATAAAATAAGCTCTGTCTCGAGGTATATCGTGACCCACCCCTCAAGAGGTGGGGATATATTCGTCTGGCAAGACTCTGAAGGACCTCCGATGTGTTTTCGAGATCCCATGAGTATTTGCTGACAGCAGAATCTTGTACTATAAAGAAATACATTCGACTCGCGTTTGAATATTGAGTAGACGTCAATTTTTACCCCTATGCTCAGAGCGAGTCTGCCTTCCGGGACTTCCTCAGTCCCTCACCAGATACAGAACTGTCTTGGGTTGGTTGTCGGGTGACTCAGGAAATTCTAAACTGACGACTATGCCTGCTAAAAGAAGACAAGCCTCTTAAACTCATCTAAAGTCCAAGCTCGTACATATTATCAGCCCCTAGTGCCTGGACCTCGTCATCCAAATGAGAGAACAGCGTCTCTTGAAAACCATCCATCATCATCTTCAGCTTTTGAGCATCAAACAGTAGGTCACCCGGGCGGCACTGCATAAGATAATTCTGAACAGCTTGTATCCCGACGTCAATCTCTTCATGTTTCGCATTCAGATGAACCTCTTTTCGGAACTGAGGCATACATTTCGACAGTATAGGATAAATGTGGGTCTCCTCAAATCCATGATGCATCTGGATCTGCGTACAGAAGGATAATGCGGATTCTATCAAGTTCATCTGAGCCAATTTGCTGAGCTTGCGATCTTGTCGATATTTTCGGATATCTGGTGCCAATGCTGCCTGGCTGCCTGAAATTGTCGTGCTGGTGAGCTTGTTAGCTTGTTAGCTGCTAAAGATGTTTGGGGCTAGACTCAGACTCACGAACTTATCCATTCTCTCCGCCAAACTGTTGTAGACACGAAATTCCGCCGCGGAGAGTTTCTGCGATTTGATAACCGACGTGGTTTCTGCAGTATGTTGAGAATTTGACGAGCCCATTGTTCTCCGGTTCGAACAGAAAATATATTTGGAAAGGAAGATATCCCGTGGAAGGCTTAGGTCGTTCTTTTAGAATGTACGGGCACAAAACCAATCGGACCTAGAAGAGGGGAGACGCGGCTTTTTGTACATGTTGTGAGAGATGCAATTCAGACAAATTTACTGAGAATCATTGTGAATAATGAGAGCAGCGAGATAATTCGCATGTTTATCACGGAGTTCGACGACCTGGTATAGTCCTGGTGTTTGGTTACTTAGGGCGTGGCTGCGCTATTCTGCACCTTTACTCATCTCTCAAATTGACTATGGATACGTTGTTTCACCTGGCTCAGCATTGCTTTGAGTAATATTCTCGGAATGGGGCAAATTTCTTTTGACTGGACAGTGTGAAAAATTCGCCAGTTTCCTTCATACCGTCCATATGTGTTTCATGGATCGGGGCTCGATTGGGGCCCGACGAGAGATCCGGGTCTCTGCGGAGGGCTTAGCGGCAAGGAACAAGTCGCCAAAATAGGCACAACCTGGCTCACCTCACGGCTAATCGCGGGGAATACCACAGTTTGCCGGAATCACCGACTTAACTAGTCCTAACTGAGAAGGAATCTGCAGCCCAAAGGATGTATTGTAAGCCCTCATTCTACTACGGTCGTACAATCTCCTCTTCCGAGCGCTGCTCTACATTGCAACTCCCCTCAAAATAACACGCGGCAAAGATCAATAGCTATACTTATATGATAAAATTGAGCTCCCAACGGTCAGACTAACTAGCGCGATTAGCTTTCAGTAGCAGACAATCCACATGCGTGCAATTATACACCAACTTTGTGCCCTGGTAGTGGTGCTGGTGGGAACGCACCCAGCAACTGCCAAGACGGAAGCCCTCGTCTCATCGCCAGGTGATACAGCGATTGTTCCAGGATGGAGGCTCCAGTCTGTAACCCGTGTCGACGGCGACTTGTCCACCTTATCGAAGCCCGGGGCTCAACTCGATACATGGTACTCAGTGAGCTCCCGCGGAACCGTCATGTCGGGCCTGATTCAAAATGGAGTTTACAAGGAAGAAGAGATTTTCTTCTCCAATCATATGGACAAGATCGGAGGACAAGCCATCTTTGAAGCTCCGTGGATCTATCGCCGAGAGCTTACACTTCATCCGAAATCCGAGAACTACTTCACACTGAAGACGCATGGGATAACGTCGAAGGCGGACATTTGGGTCAATGGTGCTCTTGTTGCGTCAAGCGAAGAACAGCAAGGCTCGTATGGCGGTCATGCCTGCGACTTGACAAACCATGTGAAAGAGGGAATCAACTGTGTTCTGATCCAAGCTTATCCCACGAACTATCTTCGTGACTTTGCGATGGGCTTTGTGGACTGGAATCCGTATCCGGCAGACAATGGTACTGGCGTGTGGCGTAATGTGGAGCTTTCACAGACGGGTGCTGTCTCAATGTCACCGTTCAGAGTCATCACTGATTTTACCCAGCCTGGCATGGGCGACACGGTGAATGTGACTCTGAGGACCAAACTTATCAATCATGCCTCAAACCCCGTGAATGTGATAATAAAGGCAAGGATTCACTGTCCGGATGGTAACGAGGAAGGCTCGATCACACATACACTCAAGCTCGAGGCCGGTGAGCAAAAGACCGCCTCAGTGGAAGCTTCGATTCATAATCCACAAATTTGGTGGCCTGCCAGGTGGGGACCCCAGCCGCTCTATACCGTTCAAGCTGGCATTTTCACGGGGAACGGAGAGGGTGAGCTATCCGATATGTCCCCCTCCAGGAATTCGGTATCAGGCACGTCATATCGACGGTGAATCAACATAATGATACAGCCTTTAGCGTGAATGGTCACTCATTCCAGGTTCTGGGTGCAGGGTACAGCTCAGATATGTTCATGCGCTTTGATGAAAAGCGAGTTGAGAAGATGTTCCAATATGTGATTGACATGGGACTCAACACCGTCCGCCTGGAGGGAAAGCAGGAGCACCCGGAGCTGTACGCGCTAGCCGACCGTATGGGTATCATGGTGCTCGCAGGCTGGGAATGCTGTGATAAGTGGGAAGGTTGGGATTATAATCCTGATGCTGATGGTGTTAAATGGGGGGGAGTCCGACTATCCCATTGCCCGAGCTTCCATGCTTCATGAGGCGGAGATGATGCAGGCTCATCCGTCAATGCTCGGATTCCTGGTGGGATCGGACTACTGGCCTAACGACCATGCGACCAAGATCTACTTGGATGCCCTGAAGGAATTGGACTGGCGCAATCCCGTGATCGCATCAGCGAGCATGCGTGGGTTCCCAGAAGCTCTCGGACCATCTGGAATGAAGATGAATGGTCCTTATGACTGGGTACCTCCCAACTACTGGTACGGCGAGGACGAGGGTGCTGCGTTTGGCTTCGGGTCTGAGCTGGGCGCCGGAGTTGGAACCCCTGAAATGGAAAGCCTAAGGAAATTCCTCTCCCAACATGATATAGAACAGCTCTGGAAGGAGCCGAACGTCGGCCTCTACCACATGTCCAGCAACGTCTCAGCATTTCACGATCGAAAGATATACAACGAGGGCCTTTTCTCTCGATATGGGGAGCCCACAAGCATTGATGACTACATCACGAAATGTCAGATGGCAGACTACGAGGCCACTCGTGCGCAGTTCGAAGCATACTCTGCTCGTCAGAACGCGTCGCGTCCAGCCACCGGCTCGATCTACTGGATGTTGAATAGCGCCTGGCCTAATCTGCATTGGCAACTCTTCGACCACTATCTCAGTCCCATGGGGGGCTTATTTTGGCACTAGAGTCGGCACACGCGAGGAGCATGTAGCTTACGACTATGAGAGCGAGTCAGTCTGGCTGATCAACCATTCTTTGGAGACGGAAGGAGATAGAGAGATCACGATTGATCTCATCGACACCAACGGAAATGAAATATCTAGTGCTAAGGCCAAAACCTGGACCAACTCGCTCTCGTCAAAAGAAGTCCAAGGCGTGAGGGGTATCGAGAAGGTCAAAGATGTCGCGTTTCTGCGCCTGGCACTGTATGACGGAAAGGAAAACACAATCCCGCTGAGTCGAAACGTGTACTGGCTCTCGCCCAAGCCCGATGTTCTGGATTGGTCCAATTCTAACTGGTATTACACGCCAGTCACCACCTATGCCGATTTTTCCAAGTTGAAGCATATGGCACCCGCCATTGTGAAAGCGTCTCTTCAAGAAAACAAAGCCACAAATGGTTGGAGATCAGTTGAGATATTGCTTGAGAACAAGTCCGAGGTGCCCGCTGTCTTCATACGACTACATGCTCTGAAGTCGGACGGTACGGAGATTGCGCCGATACTGTGGTCAGACAACTACGTGACACTGTGGCCGAAGGAGAAGATGTTTTTGAGGGCTAGCTTTGAGGGTGACCTGCAAAATATCACGGTTGAGCTTTCTGGGAGGAATTTGGAAAAACAGGTGGTGGAGGGCATGAAATGAGTGAAACGAATGTAGGAAAAGTGCCTTTCGTGAAGAAGCGATAGGACGGAATTGTTGCTATGATGTTGCTTTGAGCCCTTACGAGGCATGAGAATGAAAAAATTTGCTTGCATTACGTTATGTGCTACATCATGATTTCAAATTGAACATAAGGTACAGAATACACTGGCGATGTTAGGCCCTCTCAGTAGCCGACCACCTCTTTACCTCCAGACAGACTCAAGAACAAAGTGACAGTAAAGAAATAGTCAACCGTCCAGCGTCGCAGTGCAGCTCAACTATATATGGCAGTAGTCTGCAACAAACTCAGAAGTTGGGGCACCTTTGAACCTGAGTACTCTATACCGAGTACTGCAGGACCCTTGATTGGCTTGTCGGCATAAAGCATATGAAGACGCTGACCTGGGGACTCATACATGACAGGCACCTTCTGAAGATCTGGAAATGAGAGCACTTCCTTGGTCGGGGCATTGGCCCATAAATAGTATAGGGAGATATTATTCAGAGCTGAAAAATCTCGGCCGAGGTCCTGGAGCACAGCGGTCCAACTGTCATCTTGCGCCAACGAGACGTGGTAAAAAGTCAAGGTTGAGAGGTTCTCCCGGAGACGCCCTAGTATTTTGATAAGGTCTGGAGCCCTCACCAGAGTTCGGAATAAGGCTAATTCTTCAAGTTGGGAAAATACTGCCGTTTCAGCTAGCTCATGCATGAACTCGCAAGCTAAATCGTGAGACCCAAGATTGAGCAGAAGTGTTCTCAGGTTTGGCGCACTCAGGATCAGTTCAAGCAAAAAGCCGAAATTGTCGAGCGTCAGGTATTGCTCGAGAGATAACTTCTGCAGATTTGACCAGACCAGTTTGAACTCGGGTTGTCGGTATAATAATTTAGGCAAACGGCGCATGTCCATAATCAATGTCCGGGAAAATTTATTTGCGTAGATTAGATGGAATGACGAGACCGGTAGTTGCGCATCAACGATAAGGGCAAAGAACACCGCGACCGCATCAGTTATGGTGACGCGACTCATATCTGGGTGTCCTTCGGGGTATCGACAGAAAATGAAGAATGAGCGACAGTTGGTGAGTTTATTGATGAGATTATCGCGCAGACGACGAATCGCCTCGATCTCCATCGGAGCGGATAAAGAACCCCATGGATGACGATCCCAAACCAGACCGCGACCGACCCCATTCTGAAGCATGAAAGCTAAGCCTTGTACATAAGGCCGGAGGGCCTCGTGTTGTGAGACTCTGTCGATTCGCTGGAGACTATCGTCGGAGAGATCGGTCTTGATGGAAGTAAAGAACCGTCGCGCGAAACAATGAAATGTCTTCTTTTGCAGCTCGCGACAGGTGAAGCGGAGGTCGAGTAGACTTTCCCCTTCGATGTCATTCGCGATGAGCTCGACAAGCTCAACAGCTAATGTAGGAAATAGTGCCGTGCCTGGTTGCATGCTGCAGATATAGAATGTTTAGGATGGCAAATGCCACATCGCGACCACGAAGGATGCACCCATGATGAATCACCAGGTGGAGCGGTGGAGCTTCCCCGGATTTCCAAGGAATCAGCCGAGTATCTGTGGCTACCCCTCACTTTGCCTAAGCTGAGGAGAACGGGATCGGCCGGAAAGGGAAGCTGACCGGGGCGAGGGAACCGGGATACAGGGAAAGACTGATCGACCAGACAAAAATGAAAGTCCAATGTGGTATTAGGCGGCCAAACTCGATAGAGGCGCTGAATAAAATAAAATTGTCCCAAATACAATGTCCGAAGTATCAAGGTTCCCCCAAAAAATCACCGATGACATGCCAACGCGGCCTGTGTAACTCGGTACAGGCAAATAATTAGTGCTCCAGGGCCGCAGCCAGCTTCATCCACATAGCACATCGCTCGGTTTGTTGCGGAGGAACCTGTTCCATCTTTGTTGAATTAGTCTCGAGCTTCAAGCGTTGTCCTTGACCATCCCCCCCAAGATTCCCATGCGGGCGCGTTCTCATTCCGATACTCGTTAGGATTAAGCGCTTTGATAAAGCTAAGGTAGTAGCCCATGGTGATGGGGATAATCGCAGAGTTGGTGTTGGCATAGGAGTAAGTGGGCTCATTGGTTTCTCCTATCCCGAAGATGGCAGGCAGGTCGAAGACGTGAGGAACTCCCATTCCATTCGCGAGCTCAGTCGGGTCTCGAACATTGAAGCGGTAGTTCCATACTTGCTCTGATGAAGAATATAGAGACATGCTGGCAGCCATGTGATTTCCTGGGCAGGTGAATGTTGCCTCTCCGTAAGCTGCAGCTGCGGACGGGAAGTATGCCGCATGTTTTGGAAGAGGGTCCATAAGTGGATACTCGTTGTTGATGGTATCGAGCTGGGCAGGACTGAGTCCTGGGTAGTTGTTCTTCATGAACTGTGCCACCTCGGACTCACTCGTCGCGTTAAATGCAAAATCAGTGCCCTCGTCGTTGTCGTCGGTAACAATGAGAGGGACATGAACAATCTTGCCTTGTTCGAACGAACTGTACAAGCGATCCTGGACCAGATCGTCATCCACCACTGGAATAAAATACCACAGCGGAGCAGGGGCATCACTGCCGCCAGGAAAAGGCTGATCGATATTGTGTTTTTGAATGGTGTCGATATCAGCCGAGCGCAGACAGGAAAGAGAATCTTCGCTCTCATCGCAACCAACGTCCTTCACGAAACGCTCGTACTGAAATTCCATTTCTGCAACAGTCCGCTGTGTTGGCCAAAATGTAGACTCAGCTATAGCTCCGACGAAAAGATTGTCATTGCGACCACCATATGCGGTGAGATGATGCGCTACAGAGCCAGATCCTGATGAATCGCCATGGATTACGATGTGGTCTGGGTTCCCGCCAAAGTGTCCAATATACTTTCTCACCCAGTGGAGCGCCTTACGCTGGTCGAGCAGCCCTGTATTAAGACTGCCATTCTGACGCACAGCTTCACTTGAAAGGAAGCCCAAAGCACCAACGCGATAGTTAAAGTTGACGAAGACGATGTCGTGTCCCGATTGCTCGACAACTTCGCTCCCGTTGTAGTTGGCATTGGCGTTGTTCGCGTATCCGCCACCCTGAATGAACAACCACACGGGGAGATTCGAACCATTGGAAGCGTTCGCAGGCTTCCAGACATTGACGAACAAGCAGTCTTCAGCCAAAGTACCGCTGGAAGTTTGTCCGACGCCGACGCAGATAGGGCCGAACTAAAACAGTCAGCCTATTCTGAAATAGCCAATGGGGACAACCGACCTTTGACGCGTCCAACAGATTGCTGTTTGTGTCAGGATCTTCCGGTGCTCGGAATCTCAAGTCTTGAATTGGAGCTTTCGCATATCTCATGCCCAAATACTGGTCCACTTCATTGTGCAGCGTCACCCCTTGATAGCGGTTGTATCCCAGATCAATAATCGGACCATTTGGTAATGACTTGGCTGAGAGAAGGCCTCCAAAGAAGCTCACAATCAGTAAAACGGACATGTGTATAAACATTTGACTGTGTATACTTCCGGTATACGAAGCTGTCCGACGAAGGTCCACATCTGGGCCCACGTCTTGGCTGACGCCATGCCATAACCCAAGATATCACGTGACTTACCCGCGTCGACCAGCACAAGTATAGAACCCACGTCAAGGTTTCTAATTGAGAATAGGACCCACGACACTCAAGAAGGATGATCGAACTCGACACATTTCAAACGATCCAGGTATTACGAAGAAACTTGTAAACTGGAATGATAATGGTACAATTGAGACAGATTATAATACATGGCCCATTCACTGGCTTCTATATCGTAACTCATAAACTCATTACTGTCAATCTAGTAAACTCGGTGAGCATGACTACCGCGGCCATCAGTGCCGTGCATGCGACGAGTTCCGGCAGCCTATATCAATCATCAGTACCTATCCAAAACCAGGAGGAAGAAAGACATACCTTGACACCGGGACGATGAGTCAAGCTTCCTTTCAACTTCAACATGGCTCCAGAGACCTTATCACCCATAGTGACCTTGCGGTGGTGATGTTGAGGGGTAGTGGTTCCCCAGTGTCGCTTGGTGGTGCGATGAGTCGAAGGGCCGTGACGGGTGGTGGTGGTGGGTCCGTGGCGGGTAGTGGTGGTCTTAGTCTTCACGGTCTGCTTTCGAGCACCGGGGCCACGGAGACGAGTCATCAGCGAGGGTTTAGACTCGCGAGTGGTGGTAGTAGCTGGGCGACGACGGTGGAACATTTTGTATGTTTGAATGTTTGAATGATGGAGAAATAGTATTTGATATAGTTGTGTCTGTAAACAAGAGCATGAAAGGTGGGTGCGACCGTATTAAATAAACAAAGTGCTTCACCAGATATCGCAGAACCTGATACTCTATGACAGCAGAACTAACGTATGCCAAGTGCCATGTCGCAGTGCAAAACGAAGTTGACAGAAGTTGACAGGGGTTGTATGGAGTGGCGTCGAGCCGGGACGTCATCCGTGGAACATCGGCGTCGCCGATCACGACTATTCTGTGTCAGGTGGAGAGCTACTGGCCAGCTCCTAAGAATGATGTGGCTTGCTCATATCAAGTGGCGAGGATCTTCCCTAAATGCAGGGCTTTTAATGTAAAATATGGCTGATCCTATATTTGATAAGGCTACTACACCATTGTGAGGTGACATCATAGCAGTTGGACCCGTGAACACTTTACATGTCTTTGCAGAGCCAAGATATTTTTGGATTCTCTTTGAAAGCTACACCTGTACCTCGTGCAGAAAAGTACTTCACAGCTCAAGCCACCGCCATCATAGACATGGTATCAAGTAGTGTCGTCACCCTTACTGTACCATGCGTCGCAGTACTCGACATCAACTTGGTCTTACGACTCCATGGTTTGGATCATTCACACACGCCATGAATGTCTGGTCTGCGACTTACTATCCCAGTGCTTGCTCCCAGAGTCCTACCTCCAAGCCAGATTCGTTCGCGACCGCCCTTGCGTCTACACGCAAGACGTAATTCTTTGGCTTCAATGCAGATGTGCACGGTCTCGATTTTTGGTGATCATCACGCCAACCGTTGAGATTTCCAGAGACTAGCTTCATATAACAATTTTCACCCAACATCACCTGGGTCGGCTTCCTTCTCTGAACTTCAAATCTCCCGTAGAGCGAGATCCATGGTATAGAAGGCAGGATCATGCCAAATACTTGAGCAAAAAAAATTTGAAATGGTAATACACAGCAAGTTGTATTGACAAAATTATTGGAAGAATGATTGTGCTGTAGGGAAAATTCACTCGTATTGCCCTTTTGCAAGCAATTATAAACTAGGAACAGTAAAAAAATCCGTAAAGAGCTACCTCCCGGGGATCTAGATGCCTCTCTTCAACCACTGCGTCTGCGAGTTGCAATAAGCCAACAGGCCACTGAGGCCCCACTCAACACCCATACCACTTTGCTTATGACCACCAAACGGCACCTTAGGGGAAACATCAAAGTGCGAGTTGACCCAAACAACACCCGCCTGGAGCTGATTAGCCATGCGAGTAGCCCGCTCAAAATCATTACTCCAGACTGATGCACCAAGGCCAGTCTCCAGGGCATTCGCCTTCTCAAGGACATCGTCCTCGTCGGACCATTTCATGATGGGAAGGATGGGCGCGAAGGGCTCCTCTTGGACGACGCGAGATGACTCGGGCGGGTTGTCAATGATAGTCGGGTGGATGAAGTATCCGTGCGAGTCCTCGATCGAACCACCCAGTACAGCCTTCAGATTTTCAGTTGTGATGGAGCTAAAAAGCGCCTTAGCTTTCTCGTATTGCATTTTGTTCTGGACAGGACCGAAGAAGACATCGGCCTCGTTGCCGTCTCCAACCTTAAGCGTCTTTACGAAGGCGATCAGCTTCTCCAGGAAGGCGTCGTAGATTCTTTCGTGAACATAAAGACGCTTGATCATCATGCAAATTTGGGAACTGCAAAGATAGGACAGAATACCAATTTTGGGAATGATCGCGTCAATGTCCACATCATCGCAGATAATAGCAGGGTCATTTCCGCCAAGCTCCAGGGTCACTCGCTTAAGTGTCTTAGCGCAGCTTGCCATCACCCGCTTACCAGTTGCAATAGAGCCGGTAAAGCTAATTTTATCGATACCAGGGTGATCTGTGAACATCGGGCCAAGGCTATCATCGCCACTCAGACACTGAATTACACCCGGAGGGAAGAATCGAGTCGCCAACTCAGCCAACTTTAAGCCACAATAAGGAGTGAACGGCGAAGGTTTAATGATAACAGCATTACCAGTGTAAACAGCACCGACAATCTTGCCCATAGCAAGGAGCACGGGGAAATTCCACGGCACGATCGCACCAGCCACACCCATAGGCGTATAGCGCTGAACAATCTTCAGATCATCCTTCTCCTCGATAACGTTCTCCTTGATTTCAATTTCACTCATGGCCCGAATCCAATTAGAGGCCATTCCGACCTCGGTAGCGGCTTGGTTCAGTGGCTTTCCCTGCTCCATGGTGAGGGTCTTAGCGAATGCATCGGCGTTAGCGTCGAGAGCGTTAGCGTAAGCTGACAGAGCGTTTCGACGCTCGGCAAAAGATGTCTTAGACCACGTCTTGAAAGCATCGCGGGCACATTTTACGGCCCGATCGACATCTTCATGGCTTGCGACTGGAACTTCAGGGTTGGGTGTGGAATTCGCAGGGTTGATACTGTGCCGAGTCGTAGAAGTTGAGGACAATTCGTTGTTTATGATATTATGGAAGGTCTGTCATAAGATTTTTATTAATCTATTCGCGTCTCAACATTTGATGTGTTAGACTCACAGTAAAGTCCAAAGGACCGTTTGTAGCAGTCTCAGCCATTGTCAAAGAGAAAGATCGGCAATTCTCAGCAATTGCAAGAACTTGATTCAGTTCGTCAATCCGAGAAGATCGCTTCTGTAATTCAGAATAAGAGTCTTGGTGAGCAGGGGCAGTCTCACTACTTAAATAGCCGCAAGAGGCTCATCAGAACTAGACCGTATTCATACGTGAAGCCAAGCAATTTCACGACTTCCATCAGGCCGTGAGTTGGTTTTGACCAAGAGCCAAGCTACCCCACACGGGGTCAGAAGATCTTAGCCCAGGGACCTACCAGAGAAGGGCAGATTGTAATGCCCCCGATTTTATCAAAGTTGGCGCTGCATGTAGGCCAATCATTGGATAGTGTGGATGCGCATTTGGCCAGTCAAAGCATGGCGGAGTGACTGATCCGTCGTGTGGAAAAATGCGGGGTTTCGGGGCTCTAGGAAGGCCAATGCTGCATGACAAACGTGAATATCGAGAAATAAAGAGTTTATTTTGGGCTATCGGAAACTTCGGGCCTCAAATTCGGCAGACAGTGTACGGCGGGATCTATCTGCGGCAATTAGTCGGCGTTTTAAGGTTGGGTTCGGCGATCTGAGCCACAAGACCCCTGCAATGTAGCGGCGGGGGTGGCTTGGCTTATTATCATGTAGGTGAATGGGTTGGATATGATTCGACCTGCGCCGTGAACGTAGCTTGAGAACGATTCAGATAGATGCTGGGGTTGCCATACTTCTACTTGAACTATCCTGGTGTCTGCTCTACAGGCCAACGGCCCTGTATCTTACTGGAGAGACCGGCTCTCTCCACAACTTCCCGGCTTCGCTTCCTTGCCTCCAAAACAATTTCCTGCTCGTTCATCGTCAGTAACTCGCCACCTTGCACCAGCACCTTGCCATCCACCACTACGAGCTCAACATCGCGTCCAGTGGCGGTATAGACCACTGCACTGGCCGGGTTGAACCAGGGCTGACTGTGAATCCCGCGGACATCGATAGCCACGAAGTCAGCTTTCTTGCCGACTTCAAGACTACCGATATGATCATCCAGTCCAAGAGCTTTGGCACCATTGATGGTCGCCATCTCCAAAACCGACTCAGCCGGAACTGCCGTCGGCTCATATGAGATGCTCTTATGAATGATCGCAGCAAGTTTCATCTCCTGCAGCATATCGCAGGTATTGTTGCACGGGGCGCCATCAGTCCCAATACCGATATTAACACCCGCCTGCTGCAGCTCAGGTACCCTGCATATACCCGACGCCAGCTTAGCGTTGGACGTGGGACAATGGGCGACATGGGCGCCTGAAGTCGAGAGTAGCTCGATGTCCGAATCATCCAAATGAACCATGTGCACCAGCACCGTCGACGGACTCAACAGTCCCACCGAGTCACAATAAGACATAGGTGTGTGATCCACCGAAGCGAAGAACTCGCGATCGGCCTTGACCTCAGCACAGTGCATCGTGACCGGAATCCCCTTTTCCCTCGAGAGCGCAGTCATCTCCTTGTACAGCGCGTCGGATACCCTAGAAAGTGTCAATGGTTTTAGGATCTATTAAACGTAGGTGCCTACCCTCCAGAAGTACGAGCTCCAAACCACACACGGATACGGTCATTAGCAGCACCGTTCCACTTCTCCCACATCTTGAGTGTTCCTAGCAGAGATGTTTCCCTATCTTCAACGAGGCCCGGGTGCATAGCCCAGGCGTCGTCTTTGGCGTACTTGGCGATATCCATAACAATTTTTCCCAGGCAGCCTCGAATACCGGATTCTTGGACAGCGCGAGCAAGGCCATCGAAGCCATAGCGATCGGCAAACTGCATTCCATTAGCAAGAATTTGAGAATACATAATCACCGAAAAGTTGAGAGCGTACCATGCTCTCGAGGAAACAGGTGGTACCCGACTTGAGCATTTCGCCAATGCTCAGGCGAGCCGCAGCATACCCGTCAGCCTCGGTGAAGTTACCCTGCAGCACCCAAATGCGCTCACAGAGCCAGGAGACAAGCTCCATATCGTCGGCAGTGCCCGGAGAAGCGTCTGAGCGGTATGCATGTGGGTGGAGATCAACCCAGGAATGAGGATGCGACCGGTCAAATCGAGCTCGTCATCCTCAGGATACCGCATTTTCAGCAGAGTAGTCTTGCCAATGTCGGCAATGGTCTCGTCGGTGACGCGAATGGCACCGTCTTCGATGATGCGACGAGAGCGATCAACGGTGATTATAGTGGCGTGGGTGTACAGCATGGCGGCGTTGGGAGAGTGGATTTAGTGGGTGAGTGAACGCGGCTTTGTCAAGCCTCACAGTATGCTGAGATGAGGCAAAGAGAGTTGTGCGTTCTACTTATGGGCTACTGTGCCTCACTTCGCGCAGCTCGGAGAACGCCGACGAGGGGCTTGCGATAAGCGATAAGAGGACATCGGGCAATTGCATGCGTGGAGTTCGCCGAACATGTTGGATTTCTTTCCGATATGATTCTAATCTCGTGATCAGTTGAGGTCATTGATATCTATTTCATTCTATTGCGTCTAAAATCTTGGAACGGAGTAGAACAGCTATAGATAGGTCCACAAGTATTCTCCTAGCGCCATGATGGCCATCGCCTGTCCATATGGCATGGAGGTGAGGGGGATGTCCTTGTAGAATTGGAGACTATCACCCATTCCTGTTCCAAAACTGGTGTTGTGCAGCTCACCATTCTGATCAATGTCCTTCATTACCGCCGCAATGGCCTTTTCAGCGACCGCCTTGTACTTTGCGCCAATGTACCTCTTCCGAACCGCCTTGAGAAGACCATAGGCAAAGCCAGCAGTCGCGGAGGCCTCCAGGTATGAGTCCGGGTGATCCAGGAGAGTGTGCCAGCCACCAGACTCTGACTGTACGCGCCGAAGAGCCTCGCATTGCGCTTCTAGTGTTTCAATGAGGTGCAAACGGATAGGATCGGTAGACTCCAGCCCGAGCAGCTCGATGATTTCCGGAATCGCAATGCTCACCCAACTGTTCCCGCGAGCCCAGCGTGCATTCGCAAAGTTATGACCACCGTCCTCAAAAGTCCAGCCGTGGTAGAACAGGCCAGTCTTCGTATCGAAGAGGTACTTGATATGGGTGAGGAATTGCTTCTTCGCCTCGGCGACATACTCGGGCCTATTGAGCAGTTTTCCAATCTTCGCCAGCGGCATGACGGTCATCATCAGTGTATCGTCCCAGAGTTGCTGGTAGTTCTCCGTAATATAAGTGACATGTTGCATGCCGCCGTAGCGGGTGCGCGGTAATTCGTGCATTGCCCACTCAGCCCAAGCATCCAGCCAGGGGAGATAGGTGACATTGCCGGTCTTTTCATAGACATAAGCAAGAGTGAGAAAGACGGCCATGGTGTTGATGTTCTTAGTGGTGCCTCCTTCCGCGAATCGCGCGGCAAACCAGTCCTCAATGATCTTCAACAGCTTCTCATCGCCGGTCATCTCGTAGTACTTCCAAACGCCATACAGGCCAATGCCGTGAGTCCATTCCCAACCAGCCCAAGATTTTGTATCAATAACACGACCGTCAGGGAGGTAGAGTGGAAATCGCCCAGTCTCATCTTTGATATTGACGAGGCTGTCAATGAGCAGATTCACCGCGCGGTGGATTTCAGGCGCCGGGGGACGCGGCGCAGCCATCAGGAGAGAGACTCTTGGCGTCAATGTTTGGGCGTGATTGTTCGCTGTAGAAACCAGAACAGACGCTTTTTCTTTTACGGTCAGAATCTCCCAGACAAATAAGGCTCATAAGTAGTCATGAATGATTTGCGGAAGAACTGAACGCATCCCGCGTAGGCTAAGACGAGCTCGGGGTAGTGCAGACCGAATGCGGGCGGGCACAGGTGTCAACATTGGGTCGACGACGGTACATCGCGGCGCTAACGAGGAATCAAGGCGGAGCCGAGGGCTGGTGGATTCGTTCGGCATGATACTTCCCCGGATTGCCCCTACGCTTCGCGTAGGGGCCGTCAATGGGAGGGGACTTCGCCCGCCAAGAAGCCGGGGAAAGCAAGCGGCGGGGTCTCAATTGGTCTGAAGGTTGATAGACGTGTTGAAATGATTGGAACGAGAGATTCATGGCGCATGAAAATTCTTGGTAGTTCTTAGCTCATTGCTACAGCTTGAGAGGAGTGGATCGTGGCTTGGACCCGAGATTCTTTTCCATTAAAGGTCGGATGGGCTGGTCCTAAAATGGGTCCCGATACACTGCCAGACTTGCCCCTTCAAAGCTACTAGTTTCATAAGGAATGGCCAACAATAAAAACTCTGAATCCCGCCTGGGAATCGAGACAGATACAGTTCAGAGTCACCAACACGCGATCGAAATGACAGACCCCAAGGGGCAACAAGATATCTCTCATGTCGAGCGGGTGTTGTCACCGGAGGATGACCTGAGAAAAGATGATATGGATTTCTCTCGTGTCGATAAAGAGTGAGTGCTGTCTGCTGATTGAAACGCATGGTTCCTGAGTGACTAACAAATGTAGAATCCAGATGTACGCATCCCATGGTCGGGTGGAAGTCGATGAAGCGACCAACAAGCGACTGAAGAAGATGATCGACAAACGTGTGCTTGTGGTCATGATGTGCACATACTTTCTACAGGCCTTGGATAAAGGAACCATGTCATTCGCCTCTATCATGGGTATCAAGGTTGACGCCGGCTTGGAAGATGGACAAAAATACTCCTGGCTGACCACATGTATTTACATTGCTGTTTTGACTGTGGAGTGGCCGACCAACTGGATTATCCAGAGAGTTCCGATCGCAAAGTACCTCGGCATCAATATTTGTCTTTGGGGAACGGTCCTCGCGATGCACGCTGCATGCCACAACTTCGAGGGCCTTGTGACTGTTCGTACTTTACTGGGTATCTTTGAAGCCTGTTGCCAGCCTATATTTGTCTTGCTCTCATCGATCTGGTACAAGAGAGAAGAACAGGCCGCCACGGTGACCTACTGGTACATGATGAACGGGGCTCAGCAGATTGTCGGTGGTCTGTTGGCCTACTGCTTCACTCTGATCGGAGGTGACAGAGCACTCAAGTCTTGGCAGGCATTGTTTCTCTCCTACGGATGTCTTTCAGTCCTCTGGGGACTTTTCGTCATTTGGTGGATGCCCGACTCCCCAATGCGTGCCAAGTGCTTCAGCGAAGAGGATAAGCATTTGATGATCGAGCGACTGCGAACAAATCAGACGGGTATCCAAAACAAGCAATTTAGATCTTATCAGGTGTGGGAGGCCCTCAGTGATCCTCAAACCTGGTGCTACTGCAGCATCCAGATATTCACGACCCTGCCTACCAGTGGTCTTGGCTCTTTCGCGGGAATTATCATGAAGTCTTTCGGCTTCAGCACTCTACAAAGCCAGCTTCTAGCTATGGTATTAGGCTCATACATCATTATCATCCTGCTAACTTCGGCATGGCTGGTAAAGAGATATAACCAGAATCTCTTGGTGATGCTCGGATTCGTGATTCCGTAAGTCCTCTGACCAGGCTGATGGCGACTGGGAACTAACAGCCACAGTTCATATATCGGCACCATTGTCTTAATGACGGTCGAAGTTGGCTCATTAGCAAATAAAGTAGGCTTGCTGATCAGTTACTACATCACACTATCCTTCTGGTCCGCCCAAACGCTGTCTCTCTCAATGGTCTCCCGTAATATCGCCGGACAGACCAAGAAGGCAACCGTTGTGGCCGCGACGTTCATCTCCTGGGCTGCTGGCAACGCTATTGGTAGGTTGGCTCTCTCCATCACGTAGATTCGCGAATCTGACAATAATTCTAGGGCCCCAAGTGTTCCTGGACTGGGATGCGCCCCGGTATCATATCGCGTGGAGTGTGCATCTTGCATGCTACGCATGCATGACTGTGGCTGTGATCTTCCTGCGCTTCTATCTGATCCGAGAGAACAAGAAGAAGGATGAGATGCTAGCTGCGGCAGGTGTTGATGCGGCTGATCCGAATCTCATCCATGCTTTTGAAGACAAGACTGATCAGGAGAACTTGAACTTCCGGTACATCTATTGATTAGGTATGCTATGAAGACTAGTTTGGGTCAAGATTAGGTCATGCGCTGGGTAGATTTTAGCTCAAGACCACCTTGTTAATGATATCAAGTTTGAAATGCGATGTGGTACACCTCTGTCGCTTGGTAAAGTCAGAATGGAGATTGGATTTAATGGTCATACATGATCGGAGATTGAGGTGGAATGGGAAAAGTGGTCAGGAGGGAGGTCATGAGCGTGAATGTGCCGATTGAATTACCATCGGGGATCCACTGGCTTGAACAGGTTGCCCGCATTGACATGCTCAACAGGTATGTCCATAATATCAATTCCGCGCCTTTTAGCAATGTTGCAGAGACGCTGACATTCCTTGCGTGCTTGTTCCAAAGCTTCAATGGTTGGCTCAATGCTATTGCGTCTGCCCGATGACGCGGGCACATCCTCATAGTGTAGATCTAGAACGAATGCCAATTTTCGAAGCTTTGGGAGATAATTTTCGGACTCGAATGCCTTCAACCACTCTGACCACTGCTCTGACTGGCATAAAGAGGTAGGGCCACGGATGTACAAGGCTGTCAAATTGGAGGGGAAGAACTTGTAGAATGTGGGCAAGTAGGTGGGATCATCAAAGACTTCTCCTACCGTGAAGTTGAAAGTCTTCAGGTTTTCTAGAGTAGGCAAGGTGTAACGAAATGCCTCTTCTGTCAAATAGTGAAAATCTAATCCACTGGTCGATCGGATCCTCAGGGTCTGGAGGTTTGACACAACATGCGGAAGGGCCAACGCCATGCGAGAGAACGCGTCCATGGCATCGTTCTCAAAAATCTCCAATGTCTTCATATTGATGGGAGTAGAGGACGAATTATTCTTGAGGCGTTCCTGGGCATCAGAGACACAAGTATGCTCGTTCATCCAGTCGCAGACTAAAGTTGGGAGGGAGGTCACTTGGATCTTGCGTTCCTCGGGCGTTCCTTCAGCAACCGTAATGTAGTCCGCTTTCTTGTCGCCGCGCTTGATCGCCTCATCAAGCTGCCTCCATAGCTCATCATTCGTTGGTCCCTCAAATCGGAGACCACAGGTCAAAAGCAAGCTGAGATGTGGGACCCGGCCTTCTTGGATGAATGGAGTCGTGATCACTTCCGCTGTGGCAGATCTCAACTCAAGTCGCTGGAGAGGCCAATGTAAAGGTATTTGGTCCCTTAAGTCTTCATCGTATCCGCTTTCAAGCTCCAGATTCTCTACACTGGTAAAGTGTGAACTGAGGAGCGCCCAATCATCAGCGGATGGGGCGTCTTCCTCAATACGCAGGTATCGAGTATCTCGTGGGATATCCTTCAACTGAGATTGGACATCGTCAATATGGACGGGCTCACCCTCAACGCTACCCCCTGGGATCTTGACGATGGTGGGCGTGTGAGACATGATGGCGGCGGGTCTGGTGGGCGAGGTGTTCACGGACGCGTGAACTAAGCTTTTGATCTCGGCTTTCCTGATATCGGAGCTCAGAAATCTACCGGATTGCGGATGTGAAGTGTTTGTCCAAGAGAATTGCGATGAAACATGTGAAGGGAGCTGAAGAGAGACGCGTGAGAAGTGAGGACCGCCTGTTTTTAAAGCTCGCGCCAGCGATAGGCGCATGCTGTAATGATTCGATCTGATCAAGTGCTGCCCTGGCATCCAAATATGGACGCAAGCTAAACGCGTTTCAGAATCTCTTTTCTGTGCTTCACGTCAGAAGCTCTTTCAGTCTTCAAAACTAGGCTCGTTCTCAACGAAGTGTTTACGCCGGAAAAACAACTACCCGGAATGGCAGGGATCTTTGACAAGCAAGTGCCTAATTCCGAATATTACTCACTCAAGTGAGAATCATACGCGAAGAAGAGAAGTAAGGGCTTTGTGGTGATTCCAAGTACGATGATTGTTACTCCGGAAGTATACTCGAGGAGACCCTTCTTTCAGAAGACTTGGCAGGCTCAACCAGCCGACAGACGCTTTGCTGCCTCTGCGAACCCAATGTTATGGGAGAAATGCCATGGCACTGGTCTGCGGCACGCTCTTTGTCGTGTCTGGTCTGACAACTAAAGTCTGATTTAATGGCCCCCTGTGAGTCTTGCATTGTTCATGCTTATCTCTAAACAACACTTTTGTGCTACTGCGGTTCTCCATTTCGGTCTTAGTTATCAAATGATGTCTATAATATCGTAAGTAGAATGCTGCGAAGGGAAGAGCCTGGCCATTGAAGGCTCCAGTATGACCCGAGTGGATCAGATGGCAACCCAATCCGGGGCGGATGAAGTAACTCCGACGTGTGGGAAATGCAGGATGTTACTCCTTAGCTCAAGTCCGGAACAGCTATCAGAGAGCGTCTTACGGGGTTAAGGTGTGAGAAACTACCCAGGCGCATAGTCCCATGATGAAGACGGAGAAAAGTGATGCCAAGCCAGGAGATGAATAATGAAGGTCTTCGTGCGATGGTAGAAGGATTATATTTCTGCATGTTACAGGGTTTTAAGGAATACATGTGGCAGCTGCCAAATTATATCGCTGCACGAATCTCCGATGTTTCCTTGCATTCACTTCCTTCTTGACCGAAAAATCTTGGCTCGGCTGGTAGATGATAGAGACTGATGATGCCCTAGTCCTATTCTCTCACTTTTCAAATCCCTCTCGCCTGAAATACTTCTGATGATGCACTTCCGAGGTAGTAAGCTCTGAGGCCTTTGACTGGTCAGTGCAAGGATAGCCCACATGACAACAACTTTCACGCAATCTTTGTTTGCAGCTTGGTCGTCTTCTTCCTTTCTCCTCTCGTTCATGATTCCATACTGAGGTCCTTCCGTCATGGATGGAGAGATGGACGAAACGGAAGACCAGCCAGCTTCCGTTACCCCGGAGCTGGTGGGCAGCAATGGCTTGTCTTATCGACCCCGCAGCTATCAGCTGGAGATGCTTGAAGCGAGCCTAAAGCAAAATATCATCGTTGCCGTGCGTTGACTCAAGGCCATGATGATGCGTCTCGTTATCTTTAACACCAAAGCTTCAGATGGATACGGGCAGTGGAAAAACTCACATGTGAGTTGAAGTTTTAACGCGATCTGCGCTTAAATGGATGCTAATGTGGGCACTAGAGCGGTGCTGCGCATCATCGCAGAGTTAGAACAGTGCGATCCTAAGAAGGTAAGGTCGAGATGTCGCGATGGAATCGATTTTAATGGACTTTTAATTTAGATGGTGTGGTTCCTGGCCCCCACGGTGGCACTGTGCCTGCAGCAGCACGAGGTCGTCGCGTCCCAAATTCCATCGGTCAGGACTCGGGTTCTCACAGGCCTCGACAATATAGATCGCTGGACTGATCAGGCAGTCTGGAATAAGGCTCTGAAAGAAATTCGCGTTGTGACCTCGACTCATGCTGTTCTTGCCGATGCTCTCGGCCATGGCTTTGTGCGCATGTCACAGTTGGCTCTCATTATTTTCGACGAAGCCCATCACTGTATGCGTAAGCATGCGGCTAACAAGATAATGCAAAATCACTATCACCCCAGGCGGAAGGCATTTGGCCCAAATTCGGTTCCTCGGATCCTTGCATTGACTGCTAGTCCAATTGTCAGATCAAGCCGTCATGAGTTACAGTATGATACCCTAAATCTGTGTTCCTGTTGGTGTCTAACATTTTTGAAGAACAATTGAAACAAACTTAGACGCTGTTTGCAAAACGCTTCGTACCCACCGGGCCGAGCTTCTCGAGCATGTCCATAGGCCGCATTTAGAGCGTATCAACTACCTCCCTCTGAAAGAAAAACAACGAGGATTTGGCAGTCGACTTCTTTCGTCATTGGAACTTTACGTTCAGTCGTTCGACTTGAGAGATGACCCATACATTGAGGAGCTCCTCGAGAGGCCAGAGACACATGAGCAAGCAGGAAAAGTGTTGAAAACAGGGAAAACAGTTTGCAGCGAGTCACTCAAGAAGTTTCTTGATCGAAGCAATTCAATCTATGCAGAGCTTGGTGGGTGGGCAACGGACTACTTCATCCAGGCCTCGATCGAAGCGCTGCAGCAGTCCATTGATACCGATGCATCCTTGACGAGACTTGATCGTGTGGAGCGAGTATTTCTCCTTGAGTTTCTCCATGGAATGGCCATTATCGAAGACGCTACTGAGGGCTTTCACTTGTCCCCGAAACTTGAGAATTTGATTGACTTCATGGGAAAGATGGACGCGCCAGCATTCTATGGCTTAATATTCGCTAAAAGGAGAGACACTGTCACAGTAATGACTCGGCTCCTCTCACTGCACCCGTCGACCAAAGACCGTTTCCGAATTGCATCTTTTGTTGGATGGTCAAGTAGCGCCCATCGCAAGTGGACCCTGGGCGACCTTCTCTGTCAGAATATGCAGAAGAATACCCTCTCCAAATTCAGAACAGGTCGAAAGAACCTAATTGTGTCTACTGATGTTCTGGAAGAAGGATTGGATGTTAGCTCATGTAGCCTGGTCGTATGCTACGACGAGCCAATGAATCTGAAATCTTTCATCCAGCGCCGTGGACGTGCTCGACACCCGGACTCGACATACGCTGTCATGATATCTGAAGATGATGATTCGCCAGATCTGTTACGCAAATGGCAACAGCTGGAAATGGCTATGGTTGACGCTTATCTTGACGACCAGAGGCGACGCCGTGAAGCCTGGGAACTCGAAAATGTCCACGATGTGGTTACAGATTATCTTTTTGTGCCGTCAACAAACGCACGCCTCTCTGCGGACGATGCAATGCAACGCTTGCACCATTTCTGTGACGTGCTACCCGTCAGTGAACACGTTGACAACCGCCCAACATTCTCGTTTGAAGAGGATTCCAGTGGACTCGTCCAAGGCACCGTCACTCTTCCCAACTGTGTACACCCGGCCGTGCGTCGGGCACAAGGCCAGGCATGGTGGCGAACAGAACGGGCGGCCCGAAAAGAGGCAGCCTTCCGTGCATACGAAGCCCTCTACAAATATGGACTGGTGAATGATAATCTGCTGCCCCTGAGTCGGAAGACCGAGCCTCAATTCGCCGACGAAGAGAAAATACCGGCCATAGTGAAAGCATCAGCACAATATGACCCCTACGTGGAATTAGCGCATATCTGGCAGACCCCTGAACCTCAGCTTTACAAGACTACGATCGAGATGAAGAATCGCGATACCGGGGTGATAGATGAAGATCTGTCAATATCAATCATCTTACCCAAGTCAACACCCATGCCAGACCCTATTAATATCTTCTGGGAGAGCGATGTCACATTGGTGGCCATATTTACGACTCCGGAGCTCTTCGATGGAGTCACGACGGAGACAATCAAGGTTTTGCAGAACATCACTGCGCTCTATCTCCAAGCTCCTAGTTCCCGCGTGCAGTCAGCCACCCGAGACTATGTAGCGCTTTTTGCTCCCAACGTCCTCCACGAGAATCTCAAAGATTGGATTGATAGGTATGATGGATCGGAGCAGGCTCTTGACGTACATACTCGAGATGCTTTGACACCTCCACTTGGAATCATCCGCGACAGGGCCAAGTTTAGTGAACCTCGCCTGTTTAGAAGATGGCTACAACCCGCCGACACGAAAGGTGGACTGGAGATCGAATGTCATTCCATTCCAAAACGACGCAACTTTCTGCAAATTAAGAGCATTCCAGTGCCCGGTGACGATGGTGAGCCTATTATCAAGGTCGCTGCTCCAATGCCAGCTGGTAGTTGTACCATTGACAAACTCCCTGCTTCGAAGGCCATGTTTGGGCTTTTGATCTCGGCTCTACTGGATAGATTTGAAGCCACATCAGTTGCGCATAGGTTAAACGAGACCATTCTCAAGGGTGTTGGTTTTCAAACTCTGCGCCATGTTCTTACAGCAATAACGACGCCCATCGCACAAGCGGATACTCATTATCAGCTTTATGAATTCTTTGGAGACTCCGTCCTAAAATTCACGGTTGGCTGCCATCTCTTCTTTGAGAATCCCAAGTGGGACGAAGGATTGTTATCCGAAAACCGGGACAGGTTGATCAAGAATCAATACCTCGCGCGGGCCGCTCTAGAAACAGGGCTGGACAGTTTCATCCTGATCAACCGCTTCACGCCTCGCAAATGGACTGCGCCCAGAGTTGGCGAAAAGACAACATACGAACCCATAAAACGCGATCTCGCGATGAAGGTACTGGCAGATGTGGTCGAAGCCTTGATCGGGGCAGCATACTTGGACGGCGGAATGCATAGAGCACAAACTTGTCTCCATCGATTCCTCCCAGATATCACTCATTTCACCAGTGATGTTTCATTTGTTATTGGACCCTCTGATCGAAGAACCAGCAACCTGGTTGATTCTCATCGTCTGGCACCTCTACTTGGATACAACTTTAAAGACGCATCTCTCTTGACAGAAGCTCTGACACATGCATCCTGCCAATACGATACGACCACGCAATCCTACCAACGCCTCGAATTCCTCGGCGATGCCATTTTAGATATGATAGTTGCCTCGGTCCTCGCAGCTCACCCCGAAAAACTCTCCCAAGGCACAATGACTCTCATCAAGCACGCAGTAGTCAACGCCAACCTCCTTGCCTTCCTCTGCATGGACCTAGCAGCACCAGAAGATAGCACGGATCTTGCCCAAACCTCCGACGGAAGCGCCAAATTCACCACTCGTCACAATGAGATTCATCTTTGGCGCTTCCTCCGCACCCACGGAGGCGTCGTTCAACCCCTGCTCGATAGCTCCATCAAACGATACCAAGCTCTTCGCGACCAAATTCGGGATGCTCTCACGCACGATTCCCATTACCCTTGGGAACTATTCGCCAGCCTCCGAGCCGACAAGTTCGTCTCGGACATCGTCGAAAGCACCCTCGGAGCAATTTTCATTGATTCCCAGGGCAACCTAAACCAATGTTACGCATTTGCCGAGCGGGTCGGACTCCTGGCGTACGTGAGACGGGTGATATCCGATAACGTCAATGTGCAGCATCCGCGCAACGCGGCGCAGAATATGGTCCAGGCGTCGGGCAATTTGGTGTTCAAGACGAAGCGGGTTGAGAAGAAGGCCTTGGGGGTTGTTACAGCGACATATCAGAGCACGGCGGTTCACAATAAGCAGGAGCTTGCTTCGGTCGAGGGGTGTTGGTCGAGTGAAGAAGCTGAGGTGAAGGTTTCACATCTTATCATTGCGAAGTTGAAAGAGCAGACTGGCGCTGCTATGGACTGATTGCATCATGCATCTCGTGCAACAGACATTGGGTTTTGTTGCTTTGCACATAGGCATCTGATAATTATGACAACGATATCATGGCAAATACGATGGAATGCCTTGCAAATAGAAATACATGGAGAAGAAGTTCCTTTTAACAACGACCTGTAAACGCCGAAAGTCCGCAACCTGAAGCAGCCTCCGATAATGATACTAATGATACTGATGATAGCCCTGAGAGTTTATTTACTTCTTCGCTCCTGTCCGTTTCGAACGTCGAACGGGCTGAACCTGAGAATTTTCCTCGGACATGTGCTGAGTCTCCTCGGAATCGTCCGAGTCCTGCGAGGGAGTATTCTGTTCTTCACGAGAAACAAAGGCATCGTCTTCGTCTGCGAATTCCTCCGTGGTGGACACCCCGGTGTTCGTCTGGTCGATAGTCCCCTCCGCATCCACAGTCTCTCTCAGGCTTGACAAAATCTTTGTTGTCTCGCTCTCAACACCGTTCCAATTCCCGCAGCTACCACAGCGCCAGCGACCGAGTTCCTCGGGAGTCTTGATACCGGGTGGGGCTTGGCCGTTGACGAGTCGACACGAGGCGCAGATCATGGCCATACGGTTGCGCGGTTGCATCTCATCTTCGCCGAGCAGGACGTCTAGAAGACGGTCATACCAGTGTGGTTGTTCGATGTATGGACCTTGCTGGCCAGGGAAGGCGTTAGGCGCGAAGTCAGGCTGGTCTTGAGGTTGTGGCTGGTGAGACGGAGGCGAAGGAGGAGCATTGGGATAAATGTGTTGCTGGTGGGGAGTCTGATTTGTCCCATCTCCAGGCTGGGGTTGCTGGGGCTGATGAGAAGAAGGACGGCGGATGTTGGCGGTTGGTGGGGGAGGTAGCCCCTGTGCGGGCTACGCGAGGTTGCTGGGGAGTGACAGGCTTGGGCTTCTCCGAGGTCCCCTTGGAAGCTGGAGATGGCTTCGGCGACTCGCCCCCATATTTCTCGAGGAGCTGCTGGGTGGAATTATATTTGGTGGCGGTTTTGAGCTTCTCAATGGTCTCGTCGCGTTGTTTCTGCAGGTCATCAACCCCACGTTGGGTTCGGGAAATGCGGTATTCAAATAGACGAGATCCAATGTTTCGTACGGCATAGATCCTACCAGGGAAAGGTTAGCCGTTGGAGCAAAGTCCATGGGGCTAAAGTCTCACAGAACCGGGCCGCCGGCGATGGCAGCGTATTCCTTGACACCCCATGTCTCCCATCCTACCACAAGTGCAAGTATAATAGAGTAGAATAGATATGCAAAGGTGGAATATAGCGTCCACAGAGCTTTAAAGCGACGGGAAGTTTGGCGCTGCTGATCAAGTCGAGTGGTAGCTTGGGCGATCTTCGAGGACAGCGTGGAGAGAGTCTTCTCGAAGGAGGCAGGAGAATTATCCTGGCCCTGGATAACAGTCAGCATGCGAGGGAAATATCTGAATAGAGTCAATAAGACGATACCTTCCAAGGCCAAAACGACACCATGACCGCGAATGGTTGCCAGCTTTGCGCGCAACGGACAGTTGGAGGTGCAAAGCACGGACCATCGGCGGTCATCACTTTGCTTCTACTTGGCTTCTGCATCTACGTCTACTTTGACTCCTCCACTGCACTGATTTGCACTCAATCTATACTCCATGCCTCTGCAATCAGCACGCTCCAGGAATCATGAACTGAAATTCTTGCATTCTGAACAACCCGGTTTATGAACACAAAGGGCAGAGCATCCACCGGAGCTCCCTGTCAGCAGCATCAATCTCATTGGTATCACACCACGACCAACGTGCCAATGTTATCGCAAGTCTGACGCCAGAGAGTCTCTTCGAGGTCTGGGCCTGCACTCAGGCCGCCCTCGACGAATGCAAATGGACAGGTGCACGAACTGCTTCGGCAATTTCTTTGTTTCGAACGCCAAGTACCGTGGATCCCCTGTCTGGCGGCTCGATAGCTTCTATTTCCAGGACATTCAGTCTGCCAGCCATGCCCAGGAGTTTCGCCCATGTGTTGGCCGGTCATGAACCTCCGAGTAATGAAATCATTCTGCCGATCCAAGGAGATGTGCGGTCGAGGAGCCTCTGAAGCAAACCACCCACGCGGGCATCGCGCCTCCTGGCGATCATGGATGCTAGCGCCATCGATCATCCCTAGGCACCAGCGCATCCGCTCCCTATCAAAGCATGAACACCTCAGTCAGCTCGTCAGCCGGAAAAGATAGGCTTAGATGACTCGAAATGCCGCAAGCGCACGAGCAAGAACCGTTGAGCACGGTCGATGGATGACCCCGCTCAACCTTATCCATCCTGAATCAAAGAAAGACGCAGATTTAGACGTCAATCTGGACGATCTGACTGATTACGAGGTGCCACACGGCTCACATATCTCCTCCGGCTGGCCGTGCACTGATAGGAGACCCTCGTTTTCAGCCCATTCTCTTTTAACCCTGGCATTTCCTGTTGACGGCCTTTTTGTTGTTTTTTTTCTCTTTTCGGAGAGACACCACTTCCATACAATCATGGATACGGCAGTGAGCAGCCTTCCCGAGTACAAAGGGGAATTTCTCATGAGAAATATCTCGGTTATTGAGATTATCTCCATGTTCGCCATCGGCTCATACAATGCACTCGAAGTCGGACTCATGACCTTTGACTGCTTCAAATATTACCGAGGGCTATATTTCTGGAGTATGCAAGTCGCATCATGGGGAATCCTGGTCCATGCGATTCCTGGTATGATTCGCTATATGGCACTATCACCCAACCTGCCCATGGCTATTCCATTCGTTCTGGGCTGGAATGCCATGGTAACCGGCCAGCCAATTGTTCTCTATTCAAGATTGCACCTCGTCGTAACTGACATTGATCATTTACGCTGGGTGCTGTGGATGATTATCGGCACTTTCTTCACACTGAACATTCCGATGACAATTCTTTTTCTCGAGGTAAACCTCGGTCACGGACGCTTCACTCAAGCGGCCGCAATCTTCGATCGTATCCAATTAGTTGGATTCTGCCTACAGGACTACATAATCTGTGGCATCTACATTCGCGAAGCACTACGAGCTTTGCGTCCTGTCTTCGAAATGCGTGGCCGCGATGGCGGTAAATTAATCATTCAACTGATTGCGATCAATGTGATTGTGGTGCTGATGAACACTGTTCTCATCGTAACCGAGTTCAAAGTGCACTTCATTGAAATCAGCTTGAGAACGGTGGTATACAGCGTTAAACTCAAGCTGGAATTCAGCATTCTCACGCGTCTTCGCCGTCTCACCCGAGCATCCCCCTGCATCTGCCAGAACCAGCCCGGTAGTCCTCGCCGATCGAGCGATATCAATCTCTTCCACATGATGACCTCGCAAATGCGTACAGCGCCGGACATTGAAGCACCTCCCTTGTCCACGGAAATGACTGGACCCACGCGAGCATCTTCCATATATAACGGCACGCGCGATTTTCATGACGCGCTGCGAGAGACAGCGTCCACCGAAAACATGTCTTCCGTGAATCATTCACCCACTGCGTCTATTCTCTCCCCACCGTCTCTTTCCTTTTCGTCAGATGGCTCTCTGAACCATCATCCCGTCGGCTTAACTTCAACAAGGTCGACGGTGGAGACGTGTCTAGTCGTGAACCCAAAGTGAATTTCAAAATATGTGTCTAGTTATGTTCTTTGATGATTGGGCGGTCTTGTCTTCTGTTCCGGGCGGTCATAGGTCTCTTCGTGTTACATACCATGGGCGGCTTTTCCTTTGAGCTTTGTTCCTTGCAATATCAGATTATTACCATTGTGACCAATGTCCACCTGGCAATAGCAACCTCCGAAGGTACACAGGTGGGCACGTGGAGACCATGGCATTTTATCACTCGCGTACAAGTTCGGCAAGATGCCTGCCAGTTCAATATGATACAAATTATGGGCAAGTCCTAGGATATCACAAGATGGCGCAAGAACGCAACGATGAACTTGACACTTCCCTCTAGAGAACGAGTTGACCAAACCCCGCAAAAAAAAAAAAGACATGTGGAATTGGGTATATGTATTTTGGCCCAGACGAAAAAAAGAAACGCCAAAAGAGAAGCCACTAGACATATTCGTATACAGGCCCGGGCATGCAAAGCAAACAATGCGAAAGAAAATCGTGAGTTCCGTGAAAGATCATGAAAAGGTAGTGTACGGGATGTAGTCTCTCGTGTGAACATCAAAGTAGGGCAAGAATGTGGCGAAAGACGTGAAAAATGTAGACCAGGCGAAATTGCCGGCTCGCTGTCATTGTCGATCAGAGTAAAATTTTGAGGCGGCAAGCATGAGGGTGGGAAAGGGGCGAGTTGATCTCAGATAATGGGATATGATCAAGCCTGGATCGGTGAATGTGCCGACTGGAAGACTTTCAAGATAGATCCACTCTGAAAGCAAAGCTCACTCATGTTAGCGATCAAACCAGCCACCATTCTCCCACTGTCCAGGCTTATATGTAGCTGCCTTCCTAGCCTCGGGGTCAATAAGACCACTTAAAAGCACATTCAGCCGAGCAAAATTGATAGGCTTCATGACCCAGCCGTCGAATCCGGTTTGCATATATGTCTTCTTCTCTGATTCAAGCAGGGATGCAGAAACAGCAAAGATCGGAACTCGCGAATTACCCTTGGCTTTGTCGGAGAGGACATCGGTCGGTGTTTTTGACTCGTGTTCTCGAATCATTTGAGTGGCAATCATTCCGTCGACGATAGGCATCTAGAAAAGGTGAGTGAAATGGTAGATAGACAGTGCCACCTCTACATACCTGAATATCCATCAGGACAATATCAAAAGCCTTACTAGCGACGACAAAGGCCGATGCACACGCCTCGCCATTGCCGGTGAGCTTGACTGTATGTCCGAGCTTCGTGAGACGCTTCTCAATAATTTTGCTGTTGACTGGGTCGTCTTCTGCCACAAGCACCTGCAGCAGCTGAGGGTTTGCCGGAGGTATCGAAGTTGGGGTGGTAGACACCGCAGCCTCCGTGGATGCAGGTTCCGAAGGTTCTTTAGTTGATACACGCATAAGAGGGAAGTAAGATTGTTCCATCAATTGCCCGCTGTGCTTTGAGGGGTGCTTCACAGCATGCTTAGGAATATGGAGAGCACCCATCGGAACTCCAGAATCGGTGATGTTTTCGGTGCCCGGCGCGGGCGGCGTCATCAGAGCTTGCAGCTGAACTGGCGGTGTATTGGTGACAGTGGAGAGACTGGCAAGGTGGTCTTGGGGGGTATATCGCTTTAGACTTGATGCGGAAGGCGACCCTACCGACTGGGGAACGGATCTGTTGTCTGTACTCGGCGAGCTAGCGAGATACTTCGGACTCTTTAAATCCAAACTCTCACGCCGTGACTTTCGAGATAGTGGAGGTTCCTGCATGGCACTGATCAAGCGATCTGCCTGACTCTTTCCGCTACGAGAACTGCCTGCACTTTGAAGGCTTTCGGAGCTCCTGCGCCGTGTCTGGCGAAGATCCGTAGCTCCATGGACCAGTCTAAATTCCCGGTCAGAGATCATGGGCGTGGGCGGAATAGTGACATGACCAGGGGTAGTGATAGTAGTCGCCTGAGATGAAGACCCTTCGGGAAGTGGAAACTGGAGAAGAACCTTGAAACGACTTCCTTTGCCCTCTTCAGACTTGACACCAAGCTGGCCCTGCATGCTGTAGACGATTCTTGCGACTAAAGCAAGTCCAAGACCCAGTACGCGCTTGCCATCCACCTTTTGTTGACTGGAAGGGTCTTGCTGATCTTCCTCCTCCGGGTAGTAACTTTCGTCTGTTGAAACTTGCTCAAGTTCATGAAACAGCGCCTCTAGCTTTGACTTGGACATGCCAGCACCCGTGTCAACAACCATGATCTCCACGGCAATATGACCCTCCACACACTGGGTTGGGGAGCGCCACATCTCTACAGTAACGGCGCCTGACTTCGTCTGCTGAATGGCGTTGGCGATGATGTTTGAGAAAACTTGTCGCACGCGTCGCTGGTCCCCAAGGACCAACGGGGGGATTCCAGGTTGGATTGTCACTGTGTAGGAAATGTTCTTGCGCTTGGCTTCACCGGCCAGCATGTCAGTCGCTTCCTGGAATGTTGACTGAAGGTCGAATGACTCGTCCTTGATCAACTCTTGACCCTTTTCGGTGTTTGTGAGATCGAGAAGATCATTGATGACATATATCAAAGATTTGGAAGCGGAATGCGACTTCGTCAAGCTTTCGCGGGTTTCAGTATCAAGGGCACCTTCCAAAGCGATCTCAAGGTAGTTGATGATTGCATTGAGCGGAGTGCGAACCTCGTGTGCTGAATTGGCGAGGAGCAGACGGGTAAGTTGAGAGTTCTGCATGGCAGCCTCCTTCTGTCGCCAAACCTTAATAAATTTACCATAAACAAGGCATAAAACGGCGGCTGTCTCAACATCCGACTCGGACCACTCGCGAGATTGACTCAGAACAGTTTCGCGCCAGGCAGTGAAGCTATTTCGCGGTTCCAAGAAGCCTGCAGTCTCTTTGCGTTTCGCAATCTCGTAGGGATTGCCGGCCCATTTGATCTCCGAGAGTTGGCCCTTGCGGAAGAAGACGATAAAATCACTGCCACCTGTTGAGAGGGGCACATAAAGCAATCCCGAAATAGCTTTCAAACCCGGAGGATACTGCAAATCGGGAAAGTCTTTGATGATGTCGTGGGATGAGACAACTGAGTTGATCTGACGCATTCGCAGGAACTCCAACAGAGCAAGAACTTCCTGCGAATGGGCATTGTCACCGAGGATCTTCGTCTCGTCGCGTATCGAGAGCGCACCGTAGTCTGCATCGAAGAGTTGCAAGAGATCATCGGTAGAGGCAATGATGTAGCCGGATGGATTCGCCTCGGTAGGAACGGTATTGATCAGCTTTCGAGCTTGGAGGCGAGATGCATATGAAAGCCGCTCGATGTTCCGTGAAACAGTGTCGCCTAACAGGCGGCACATCTTCCGTATCGGGAAGGAAACCCGCATACCATTGTCACCATAGGAATGACATGATATGAGGCCCCACAAGTCATTGAACGCATTGACGCTGATGGACATTGATGATCGAACATGCATGTGGGCAAGATACTTTATATGGACTGGTGACATTGCCCGCAGATAAGCATGCGTCATATCCAAAGGCGTTTCAAGATCCTCCAGCGTTCGGCATACTAAGCGTGAAGTCTGATGGTCTCGGTCGTAAAGGAGCCGGACCTTGTTAATTTTGTACAGTTCGCGCGCCTGCGCGGGGATGTCAGATGCCGGAAAATGAAGGCCCTTGAACAGATCGATGGAGGCCTTCGGGTCGGCCAGCTCGGCAACAACGAGGCCATTCCAACTGCTGTCAAATTGATAAACCAGGACTCGATGAAATCCAGTCAACTCTTTGACAAGACCGGTTGCGATATTGAGCAGAGAATCCAGGTCATTGGCCCTGGCTAACTGGTCTTGGATCTGGGTCAAAATGCTGAATACCTCCATCGCGGCTGCCTCGCCCCTCCGCCGCCTAGCATTTCGAAGGACTCGAAGCGGCTGGCTTAAATTTATCGTGCTAGCTGCGAACTGGTCAGGACTCGGGAAAACACCCAATGTGTCAATTGGAGTGGCCGGTGTCGCGTGCCCTCCAGCGTCTAACGGGTTGATATCGTCATCTTCCAGTTCCAACTCGCAAATTATCAAGTCTTTCTGAGCTTGGCTAATATGCACTGCGCACCAGAAGCGCCGCGCGTCTCCAGATGGCAGCTGGATAGATAAGAGAAATACCTCCGGGCCATCCAGGGTGGGGTCGTAGGCATCATCACGGACGAAATCAATGTGATCTAGGAATGAATCTGCTTGATCGTCGCTCAAGACCTCACAGAAGTTCTCCAACTCGAACAGTTGTTTTGGTGACCAGCCTGTGAATTGCTCGGAGTTTTCACTGACTACCCGAACGACGAGCTGGTTGGGTGACTCCTCGCGCATTGCGATCATAACACCAAAGCTTTGGATCGCACCAGGGATTCGAATCGGCTCGTCCTCACAATATTGAAACTTCTTTCCGCCACGCCCGGTAATCACTGCATGACCTCCGTCGGTCATCACGTGCTTGAAACGTGAGGTGACCAGGTCGTAAGGTTCGCTAGTGCCAGATGACTGAGACTGCTGTGGCACTTGCAAAGTCGTTGAATCTGTTGAGGACCGGTTATCGCTCTTGGTTTCGGCGTACAGCTCTGGGTGTTGCACGATTTCATTGGCTTGAGAATGTGCACCTAGCTCCGTCTCGTCATTGGTGGCTTGAGTCTCATGGCGCACGGTATCGGTTGGAGCGGTAGGTTCGGGTTCAGGGAGAGGATGCTGCTGTGCGTGGGACTGGAGTTCGTCCCAAGTCTTGGAGTCAATGATGTTGTATGATCTCGGGGCGCCTTCAGCGATGGGAGAGGTGGTGCCTCTTGACAGCGATGCGCCATTCTGAGGACCAACGCTGACTACCGATCGGATGGGGAACACTCTGTCGGTCGAGGTGTCGACACCCTCGGGGTGTCTGAAAGATTGAGAACGGTCTCTGGTCTCTGGTTCCTCTCCAGCAGTCGCATCCCTCGAAGCCGGTCGTGAAGCGTGCGCCACACTCTCCGACCGCTTCCGCGGAGTCACCGACCGGCTGTTTTGCGAACTCGAGGAATCCATTCGGCTGCTCGATGAGGACCGGAACTCGGCTAATTTCCAGGAGACGAGAAGGGTGGTAAAATTTGCTCCGCGATCGAACGAGTGTTGCAAGGCCGTGCGTGCTTATATGTCAGGATCGTGTGAGGGGAATATGAAAGACATAAGGTAATCGCCCCGCTGGATCGGTCGGATTTGGAGATTTTTTTTTTTTAACACGGGCGACGACGACAGTTCCGCGCCGATTCTCAAAATATCAGGAGGTGCAGTACGGCGGGAATCTGAACGTGGACCCTCAACGGTGATCTCATATCAAAAGAATCCAAATTCCAATCCCACCACCGATCGCAGAATGTGGGAAGGAGGTCCCGACGATGGGGGGTGGGGGGGGGCAGATCTGGATCTGGAGGAGTGTCAGGGAAAGGCGGAGTGGAGAGAAGCCCTACGTGGAGGGGCAGGCGGAGAGAGGCAGATGCCGATTTTCAACACCAATTGGCAATGATTTGCAAGGTCTCCTGTCACTGGTGTTCTGGGATATGGCGGAGCGGCGGCATCCACTGCGTGGCCAAGGCGCGATAGGAGGCCCGAGTGATTGGGTTGGCGTTGGGTTAGCGGCCGGAGAACCGGGGAACGGTGTGCGCTTAGAAGGTGTTCCCGTGGCTGACCACGGAGGTACTCGGTACCACGGCAGTCCGTCAAAACAGGGATGTACCCGTGTATCAGTACTTGCCCGTCATCAGTGGAATGTTTCATGACATCATCCTCCACTGGGCCTTCAAGCCACCCGGGAGAGGAGCCGCTGGAGATGGTAGATGGATTTGCAGGTACCATGTAGGATGACATAGCTAGCTCAAGGGTCCCTAATAGACCGAGAGATTGAGACCTGCGGCGAAGAGCGAACGCGAACGATCGGCCGAAACAGCGGAGATGTCATTTGTCCAACCAAAATAGCAATTTGCCACCACCTCGTCAGATGTAAGAAGCCCTGGATGGTTAGATTTGACGAGAAGTATCGAAGAGAGCAGAACCGCCACAGCGTTGTAGAGGGTGGGTGAGAAGGTGAGGTGAAGTGAGGTGAAGAGGTGAAGGGGTGAGAAATGAGATCACGCCGATGCCCAAGGGAATTTGAAATTGCGTGCAGGTGCCCCAATGATCGGTGCTCAAAGGCGCCTGCTATCAGGTACATGATGTGGGATATCTTATGGGGGCAGTTCTTTTGAATACTATCAAGTCCTCCCAGTACTGACGTTGGTCGGGATGCGTTATCTCTCTGTGTGACTACATGTAGTCTAGATAATTATATCTTCTCAGGCCGCGTAGATGAGCCTCATTATCGGGCTCCAGGTGGACCGAAGAGAAGCAATCCTATAACCATCGCTATGTATACATTGCACATCAAACTCCAAATAGAAGCCGCTCTGTTTTGCTTTTGATCCTCGCGACTATCAGCCGCAACCATCACCTCCGCCCTTCTCTGGGGGGACCAGCGCCGTGGGCGTCAAAAAGCCTATGCATGATCTGAGAGTCGTGCCATGAAGAAAATATCTACTCATCAGTGGTGACACAGATGGTATCGAGGAAGCTGGATCCAATCCATGATTTTTAGTAGATCTCCTGCAGTTTGCCATGAACCACTGGATTAATGGTGGAGCAATGGGGCATCTGTAATGTCGAACGGGAAACGATCTTTCTGACATAGAATGTTTTATTATAGCTATTGGGCAGGGTGAGCGACTCTGGTCCGGGCGGTATTCCGAGAGAAGACTACTGTACTTCATATCTCTGTCGTGGGGAACAAATCTGACGTGGCATGGTATCTGGGGTAATAATCGTCCTCAACTTTCAGCTTCTCCAGTCCTCTTGACCTGCATTTGAATATGGCCTTACCGAGAACGAGAAGTAGGCGGGGGAAAGCAGGTCACAATTTTGCATCTCTCTTGTTGGTCGATATCGAGCCGGTTGGATGGAACTAACCTTTTCCTTCTTGGAATAAGCACCCTGCATTACTCCAAACAAACATTTGGGTTCTCTTGCTCCCTGCTTTAGGATCGGACCATATTCTTTTCCAACGAACTATCGCACTGTAGCATATGGTATAACAAGAATCAAAAACCACCTTCATTGTAAGGGTTAGTCTAATCTATTTGTCTTTCTGAAAATCCGACTTGATTGCCGCAGCGAAGGCTGCATCCGTTAGTACCTGACAAGCGGCCACTGCCATTCCGGCCGCGCACCACAAAGATCGCTTGAATGATTCTTCGGAGCCTGCGCCAGTGGTGAATTGCGGTGTGTGGTTAACTCCATCGGTCTGAATGTAGAATCCCCCGTGGAAGCCCGGGACTTCATATGAAACATTGCCCATGTCTGTGGAGCCTCCACTGAGTCCGCCCAGCTGACCCGCAGCATCGAGGATTGTACTGTAGCCCATCGCGTTCATTGCAGCAGCATAGCTGTTACAGATCGGTCGGTTATCTTTCATGTCTTTGTAGGAAGGCTCCCTGTACAATAGTCAGAGTCGATTTCCAGACTATCGCGTGAGGAGCCACATACCATTCATACTCGACCGTGCATCCCGTTGCAGTCGCAGCAGCCTCAAAACATTTCAAAACTCGTTGTGTCAATGGCTTCAATGTGCTGACCGTCTCTGATCGAATGTAGTACTCCACGGTTGTGGACGCTGGGATAACGTTTGGTCGCTCGCCTCCTCTCAATACAACACCGTGAATCTTCTGCGTGGGCAGAATCTGCTGTCGAAGCATAGAGATGTTGATGTAAGCGGCGACAACTGCATCCAGAGCATTGATCCCTTCCCAAGGCGCAGCTGATGCATGCGCGGGCTTCCCTGTGAAGGTGACGGAAACTTTATCGTTGGCCAGATACTGCCCAGTGCAAGAACTCGAGCTGAGAAGGTCGGGAGCCCCGGAAAGAATGGGGAAAGGATGTACCATGAAGCATGCGTCGACATCCTTGTAGGCTCCTGCATCAATAAGATGGAGTTTTCCACCTCCCCTTCTTCCGCGGGAGTACCCAAGAGACGTGCAGTGAAACCAATGTCATCAGTGTATAAAGCAGACATTGCTTCACAAGTAGCCATGAAAGCAGCAATTGAGCTCGTCGCAATTAGGTTATGACCACACGCATGTCCCATCCCAGGTAATGCGTCATATTCGGCATTGAATGCAACGACTCGGCCTCCCTTGCCCTGCCTATAGCTCACCTCCAGCGCGGTTTCTATCCCATATGCCTGACGCTTGACCCGGTATCCATTCGCGGCGAGGCTTTCGAAGAGCTCGCAGATATTGTCATGGGCGCTTTGCTCTTCGAATGCCAGTTCAGGCTTTGACCAGATCTTATACTCTTGTCAGTGCAATTGCTCACAGATAAATATAAAGGCACCGACCTTCTGGTTGATATCCCTACACATGGACTCGTGTGTCTCCAATGCCTCGCGCACCTTCTGAATAACCAATTGCTGGCTATGACCAAGCTGCATGATTGCAATAAGATACAAACACGCTTCTATACTCTAGCAACGCCATGGGCAGTATTAGCTTTAAATATGCATCAGAGATCGATAGGCGTTCGTTGCCGGTCGGCAAAGACCCCCGCAAACCAGATAAGCAAAATCCAGCACCATCAGCAATTCCCCTCATTCCGCAGTTCCGCTGTGGAGATTTCGTTATCTTCGCGTATGACTCTCAGGCGCGAGTCGTTTCGGGCTCAGTCACTCTCGCGGATCCACTGAAAGCAGATTGCTTAAGCAACGCCGCAGCGCAGGCCTGTACAGGTCTGCAAACTATCAAGATGCGCATTTCAACGGCCTGTAGATCTGCTGCTATCGTCTTTGCCTTGGGAATCAATGATCACGCGAACAACGACACCGAGCATGCCGTCAGTGAAATCATCACCTTGCGCAACAGCATGGGCCGTCTACCATTCCACTGGGCAGGGGTAGACTTGTACAATGCATGCCTTCTTCACGACAACAATATCATGCCCTTCCCCCCCCCCGGCGGGCCGACTCGGATATTAATTCAAATTGCTTCTCGCCGACATTTCTGATTTCCAGAGTGGAGCGCCTTACTTTGCTAGAAACTTCTAAAAGCAGCTGAATATGACGATATAATGGAAAATGCCAGATGAGACTGATAGAACACCGCAACAGGTGCGGTAAGAGGTAAATAGATCAGTGGCTGGGAATAGACTGACGTATCAGAGACGGGGGACGCCGGGGAGGTCGTGCATTAGTAAAACGGGATTTGTTCATGATGCGTATTATGGAAACTTCATTCATGTTATAATTTTGATGATTGTGTACATGATAGCACAGCCGAAGCTGGCAATGGAGTATGGTGAATTATTCATAGTAAAATGGTAAGGCGTAAGACGTAAACGTAGACCGTAGTGATACAGAGGCAAACTCAGCAGTATGAGGTTCATATGAACAACTTTTCGCATGTCCTGCCTCGACCATTATTCCAAAGTCGACTATGGAGTCAACCTGATGCTGTACACAGTTATATATGCCGTCTTTTGGGCGATAAAATATTTTGCCTCGGCACTTCCAGTGAGCATTTGCACTTGGCATGTCACCGGACAACCACGACAACATCTTGATCGTATACTAAGATTTACCGGAGGGTCGTGCATTGGGCGACATGCTCGAGAGGCCTGGTGATGCATTCGCCAGTGGCTACCGCTTGGCGTGATCCGCAATTTATGAGCGGAAGAAGAGAGGGACTGGTGGAAAAACCTCCGAATCAAGGTGGTTGTGAACTGTCCGACGAACGCGTTGAAGGACGCATTCGTCGTTCCGACATGGGCAAGCTCTCCAAGGAGATGTTATTCCAAGCACTCATACCACGAGGCGCGCGCGATTTAGTCGGCGCGGCGTGAGTCACGTCCGACGTAAGCTGCGACGGGTCCACGAAGCCGGGATACTCTTCACGCTCGGTGGACGTGGGCTGAGAGCGCTGAGTCTGCACGAGGGAAACTAGCTTACCAAGAACACCAAACTCGAGCTTCAGTTTGATGCTATATACCATCGGTTTCAAGGTCGTCTGCAGCGAGTAGAACCCACAATATTCGACCACGAGCAGAGCGACATCCAGCAGAATAATGACAAAGTTAATAGCCAACAGCTCGTACATGATCCTCGATCGCCGCTGGTCTTTATCAGGCATCAATTTGAGTAATTTGACAGTTTCGGAGATGTAAATGCCTGAGATGACAAATTCCTGGACACAGAACCAAGCTAGTTGTAGGCGCTCCATGACGTTGTAGCCTCGGATGAAAGGCAAGGTTTGGACATAAGCGGTGGAGAAAGTGAGGACGGTGGTGGGGATTAAGAGAATAAAGGCGTCAACGATGATGAGCCAGAGAACGAATCGCAGAATCCGAGGGTTCTGGACCACCAAGTGTAGACGAGAGTAGAGCACCACCGACTGACCCGGCACCATGACATAGAAGCCAATGGTGGATATAGTGAGAGACAGCCATAGGGGTGCGAGGGCGAAAAACTCCAGAATATAGCCAATCGTGTGGGGGATGACCCCAAGTACGACGGAGAATAGCAAGGCCCAGAAGTAGAGGCCGCGATAGTGCTGAAAAGTCAGAAACAAGAGGATGAATAGTTCGATGGCATTGTACAATGCGATGGACGAGAAGACGATCATCAGAATGCGGATCGTCAAGCTGTTGCCATGATAGCCCCCAATGAGGCCGTCGGGGGCCGAGTTGAGTTCGTCCGACATGGTCTAGGCTCCACGCTATGGAATGCGCGAGCTGCAAGGCGTTGAGGATCTTCAAGCCCCGCTTGGTAAAAACCCGGTCGTATGCCTGCTTTCCAGTGAGCCGATTTCACCGCCATTATCAGACTAGAGGTGGAACATCTAGGCGAGTGTCGACTCCGACGATCTCGAGCAGGCTGGGACAGGTTCGCAGACCGGCGAGTTTCGCGGAGGGCGAACGTGCATGCGCGACGGCGAGAGCAATTGTATCCGAAGTTCAGGTCGCGCAAGGTCGCTTCCCGCCGATTTGACTGTTCGGATGTAACTTGGCGAGAACGTCAGTCGGGGAGGGAACAAACTGAGTCGCGTGGGCACAGGAGCTGAAAAAGCGGAGGAGAGGAGCCCGCAGTGGGTTTTCCGAGACCCAGTTTCTCCAGTAGGTCCGGTGTGACGAACGACAACTGACGAACGGCGGACTTGTGAGAGAGCGTTGCAAGTAGGGGAGAAAGAGTGGACAGCGAGAAGCAGAGAGAGAAAGACGGAAAAGGTCACAGGGAGGAGAGTCTCAAACTCTTTTTTTTTCCCTCTCTCTCTGGGGGAACCGAAGAGCCGAGGAAATCTTCGCGGGGGCAAACTCACCTTCTTTTCTTGAGCTTTGGGTCCTCGCCACTGTCCCTTGCCGACCTCGGATCGCGGTTCTTATTATTTGATCTGCGCCTCACCTGCGTTACATCTTCCCTACGTCGCCCTAAGGCCATGCAGCCATGCTTGCGCTCTGTGCCTACATCTGTATCTTCCCGACCACCATCCGGGACATCTTCCGGCATTTCCGATGAGCAGTGATGGCTTCCGTTAAGTCAAGTTGGTCACCTCGGGGTCGTTCGGGGTTGTGTTCGTGATGATCGTCGCGGACTATGCCACATGAGACCATGGAGAGCTGATCCATTTCAATGGTTCGTGGGGGACCTGGGGTGGGAAAAGACGGCGTTGGCAGCAGAACGATGGTTCTATTGTGATCCTCCGTCTCATCCTGCATCCTCAGGCCGCTCGATTGACTCGGGTCGGATAGCTCTCGAGCGCATCCCCCTGACGATCAACAATAATTTTACAGTTACTCGTCCCTCTCGATTGTAGCGTGGAGATGATTTGACCCACACTTGAGACCAAGACTGCGGCGTCAGACAGCCCTTCGACGCATACTCCGACGTCCAGGGACCTGAGTAGTTCAGTGGTGAACCCCTGCAAGCGGCGCGGTCTTGGCTGACAATCAGCTGACCCAGAGTTATGGTGGGCTCAGCATGAAGGAGGCTTCGTTGCACTGGAACCGTGCATCGAAAGTATCGGTCCGTGTAGAAGGCTGGATGGCTTGCACCGTCATCACAACGAGAATTACTGCCTGGCCTGAGATTCCAGGCCATGATCCCGCAGAACGGAGACTTAGAGATAGAACCTTCCATTCAGGCGACCCTCCAGTTCGCCTCACTTGCACCGTGGTTCGTCCCTTGTAGATTTGCCGCCTCGGCTGAACAGGCCAGTAACAGAGGGTTGGTCCTTGCTTAGAATTGATTCTATTGAGAACGATACCCGTGTGCTGTTGCATATTTAGTTCTTTGATCTGGTCCCAGTTCGGGACTCAGGGTTCACTCCAGGTAAATCATAAGTTCGATATCGACCAGTCAATCTGGGAAGAAAAGGCAGAGGCCTCTGCGTCGACCGTCGCCGAGTTCGCCGAGCCTCGCATTCCGCACGGGCCAAATGGAGCAGCTCATGCTGCCCCACAAACCATTGACCCCGCGGGATCCACTGAACAGAGACCGGTCCCAGTCCAGACGGAGGCGTGCACTGATAGTCCTGGAACGGAGACTTGGGATTGTGTGATTTCGGAGACGTTGGGGAGAGTCACTCCACACTATCCTTGTACAAAGAGACTATGAAATCCAACAGCGCGTCAAACTTAACGCTTCCCGCTGATCATGCTACACCGGGACCTGCACTGGGACCTGCCGATCTTTTCATGCCCAGAGGTCTCTCAGCTTACAATATAAATGTTTTGATAGTAAAAGCCCTGGACATGACTCATGTGTTGAGGGATGGTCGTGTCATCCTGCTAGGGAGACTGCTGACCCCCTGTTCCTCGCCGACATGGGCACATAAAATACGACAATGTCATCCAGACAATCTATCTTGGCCGAGGCAGTCAAGGCTATATCTAGCATAGCCAAGCCTCACACCGGAGATCGGCCCCCCCCCACCAAGCGGGACGATACGCGCATCGTGCTGAGCGACTCCACCAATGGGTTACCTGCTTGATGTCGAGTATCGCCCGACTAACCCTATGCGGTCTATGGTCAAGCCCAAGTGGGCGCTTGCGGTGACGAGGCTGCAGAAGAGGGGCACGCTGCATTTCAAGTGCTGATGATCTTTTGGGTTTGCACCATAACCGAGGAATCCCCCCAAGTCCAAAGATGGGAAATTTGAAGCTTGTACACTTAACCACTGGAAAGCTTCAGCATGGCATCCGATCAGAAATACGACTTTATCGTTGTTGGAAGTCAGTGTGTCAACCCTTACTACTGAGAAATCTCTAATTCAGGAAAAAGGTGGCCCAGCTGGGTGCACTGTAGCTTCACAATTGGCGCAATCTGCCAAGAACCCGAGCGTGCTCCTCTTGGAAGCCGGTGGACCGAATAGCGACAGGTCGCTGCGCGTGGATGGCCAGCGATGGCAAACATTGACGCAAGAAGGCATGAACTGGGGGTATAAGACTGTGGCCCAAAAGCACCTGAAAGGACGAGAACTGGACTACTCTCGTGGAAAAGGTCTCGGCGGGAGCTCTGCGATCAACTTTGGTGTATACTCCGTCGGAGCCCGTGACGACTACGATGAATGGGCTTCGGTCGTCGGCGACGACACTTTCTCGTGGAAAAACATTCAAAAGCGGTTCAAGAACCTCGAAACCTTCAATGGGACCTTTGATGTCGCCGAGAACCGGAAATATGCCAGTCCTAAGGCCAGTGATCATGGCACCAAGGGAGTCCTCGGAATTGGATATGCGAAGGAATGGGACCAGGATCTGCCTTTGGTGCTGGATGCCTTTGCACAGGCTGGCTTCCCTCAGAATGAGGACCACAATTCGGGCAATCCGATTGGAATGGGTCTATGCATCAATTCTTCTCGCAATGGTGTGAGAACGACTGCCGCCGATTTGCTTCTCGGTCACACCAATCTAGTCATCGTCACCAACAGCCCAGTCTCACGCGTTATCATGGAAGACAAAAGAGCTGTTGGTGTCGAGGCCAACGGCCAGAGATGTAAGCCATTTATTACAATTGAAGACCATCAAAATGTCTAATCAGAACCAGACTACGCAAGTAAAGAAATCATCATCTCTGCCGGATCCCTCGACACACCCAAGATCTTAATGCATTCCGGAATTGGCCCAGCAGACCAGCTCTCAAATTTTAACATCCCGGTGATCCACGACTCCCCCGCCGTTGGCCAAGGACTCCGCGATCATTTCTTCGCTCCAGTGATCGTAACCCGGAATCCAGCAACGAACGACCGCAACGCCTTCTTCAAAGATACCAGCGCCATGTCCGCAGCGACAACCCAATGGCAAACGGACAACACAGGCCCCTGGGCGCGCTACGGCTGCCAAATTGGCGTCGGCTGGTTCAAATCCGACAAGCTGACATCCCTGCCCGAGTTCAAAGCGCTCTCACCATCAGTCAGGGACTTTTTAAATCGCGAGACAATCCCCCACTACGAAATGATCAATTTCCCAATTCACCTGGTCTTCCCCGACATGTTCCAAGACTACAGCTACGTCTGTCTCGCAGTGATGATGATGAACGAACAATCCACCGGCGAAGTCCGTCTCCAATCATCCAACCCGTCAGACCCCCTCCTCTTCGACCCGAAGTTCCTGAAACATCCCTTCGACCAAAAAGCCTGTATAATGATTTACAGACACCTAATGGAAGTAGTGAATCACCCCTCGTTCACAAAGGATACCGTTTCGACAATGCTCAGCGCAGCGTCAGACTCGGATGAGGATATCCTCGAGTTTTGGCGGGATAACCTCTCTTCGACATGGCATATGACTGGGACGGCGAAGATGGGGAAAGCTGGGGATGTTGATGCGGTGGTTGACCATCGATTCAGGGTGATTGGAATTGACGGCTTGAGGGTAGCAGATATGAGTTGTGTTCCTGTTCTGACGAATAATCATACGCAGGCAACGGCTTATGTTACTGGAGCTACGGCTGCGGATGTGTTGACCGAGGAGTATCGGCTTGCTGAGATGACCGAAAAGGCGATGATGTAGTTTATTCATCTCATTGGACTAATTAGTCCTCTAGTAGATGGCGATGAGCATGATATTTGGGTCAATCCACTGAACAAGTCAAAATTTGCATCGGACATTGAACAAAATGTATGGTCCGAGCCTAGAATTGATGTGGTACTCCAGAGACAACGTAGCGCAGGAAAAAAAAAAAGAACCGCGAAACACCACCGAGCCGCGCAAGTTAGAACAGAAAGTCAAGCACGCCACACACCGTTACTGAATAACGAAAAGCAGCCAGAGATTCGAAAAGAGAAGTGGGAGTGGCGGGAAGACGAGATAAGTGGGCATAAAACAGTGGATATTGACATGGAGGAATTATTCAAATATTGATTAAGCCATTGGCAGGTGACCTTCCTGCTTGGCGACAACGTCGGCACCATCCTGGCCCTCGTCGCCGCGGACTCGTTTGTTAGGCTGAAAATTGTTGCCCATAAAGTTTCCGTCGTCGGGGTGCTTGCGCATACCGAGACCGGCTACGGCGATGCGGTTGAGAGAGTTCATATCGTCGGTTGCTGAGCCGGGATGATGGGGCTGTTGGCTGGCAGTGGAGGGCCCGGCGAGACCGGCGGCAAGAGCGAGTTCATGTCGAGGGGGTTGACTCAGGTCGATGTTTGGGGGAAGGTCAGGAACCTCAGCCTGCGCATCCATCAGGCGAGATTGGAGGTTAATCACGTACTCCCGCAAAGAGTAATTTTCGCTGATCAGGTGCTTAAGCTGCTCGCGAATACTTTCTGTTTGCTTATTTTCTTCTTCAAGCTTGCGGATATATGTTTCCTTTCGTTGGCGGAAAGCGCGCTAGTAGAGCGTGAGTCGAATGTTCCTATAACAGTGATACTGGGATCCATGGAAAATATTACCTGAGCAGCGCGGTTTTGAGCAGCTCGCTTGGACGTTGACAGCTCGCGCTTGCCATATGATTTCGAACTGCCATCTTCAGGCGACCCTTGATGAGGCTGCGTGGGTGTTTGGGGAGCCGCATTCATCATAGCAGCTCCCGAGATAGCGGGGTCGATATTGGCCTGGTCGCGGGGACTGGCGGTGTTGGGCTGCAGATGCTGTGGTGGGGGCCCACCCTGAGGGCGACCCTGTTGCAGCTGGTGCTGAGCCGCGAGGAGCTGATCATGGAGCACTGTATCAACAGTATATTAGCTCTGAGCTACGCGTTCAGTCCAATCCTCAAAGTGACCTGTTCGCCACAAGCGGCAAAGGCTGAAGTCTGGAGCCATCGTCACGTAGCTACTTCACCTTTGCCAGCTCACGATTGAACATCCAAAGCGATCCTATCGACATTGTCACGTACCCTGATCCGCATGGTCCTATACTCAGCATGTTAGTACATGTCAAAGCACGCAATGGGCATATAACCGGAGGACGCGGGAAGGCGGTCGGTCGCCGGCGAACGCGTCATCAAGCCAGTGGCAGGTCGACTCGCAACCAACCCGAACACCATGTACGCGGCGCCATCGCATCGAAGTACTCGGCGCGGGAAGACGATCTGATGACAAACGCGTCGAGGATAGGCTGCTTACCTGAGCAGAAGACTGCATACTGGGATGCGGCGCTGGAGCCAACGCAGGCTGCATCGAATAAAGAGAAAATCGAATACACTGATGAAGAATTGGGCACTGATGAAGCAGCGCACTTCCAATTCTCAGAAAAAGGACTGGTGAAAGAGCACTTTTGGGTTGTAGAGCTGAATGAGGTAAGCAGTTCGAGATGCTGTAAGCGGAGATGAAGAAGAGATTACTAACTATCCTGACTCAGGTTTGATGGCAGAAGCGAAGAGCCGAATCGGACAGGCGGTAGTGGCGGCGGTGAGCTATCTGCGATGTTCTGCCGGCGGTAACCCTAGGTCCGGTGCGGGGATCGGGTTTAAGGAGAGGTTGGGAGCATGATTAGGATAGTAAGAACATAGTTCAGTCAATTACTTCAAGAGATAGCCTCAAGTGCATCTAGCTCGACTATCTACATCGTGGTGATCTCTATCTTGTTGTTGCCGCATGCAGCTGGGCTTCTTTGTCGCTGACCCACTGACGTCGCTAGTCAGCCTGCAACAGCAACCCATCCGAGTGCCTGAGGCTCTCGACTACAGCAGATGCAGCCTCACAGCCCATGCAATAGTAAGCTGGTGTTGAAATCTATTTATATTCAAATTCAATCGAGTATATACAAAACACGCCGTGCAACAAGAAATTTCCCGTGGGGAGCCTTAGCTTGGCCCCTTCGGTAATGGTCACTTTGTACAACCAAGAGTCTGTCAGTGCGCAACAAACTATTGCTGCTTCTTCGCATTTCCACTGCTGGGCTGGGCTCGAATGATGCCAGCCCCGATCTTTGCTGACTCTGTCCAGCCGTGCTGACGCTGCCAGAATCGCTCGGCGGGGTCTGCATCGTGCGTAGATGACTGCCGGGCATCATCCTCGAGAGAGGAGCGTGAGATCTCCGGCGGTTCAAGCAGTGTGTCATCTTTGTCCAACTGCAGATCTTTCTCCGTGTCGGCAGTAATAGTCGAGTCCAAGTACCGCTTGCGCATGAGATAACGCTCAGCACGTTCCTTGCGGGCATGGGGAGGCTCGAGCTTGGTCATGGCCATCTGCACCGCATACCGAATGATCAAATAGAGATGCTCGGAGAAGAAGATCACCAGCAAAAGTGCCCAGCCCCTGATATCGGTCGCATCACCATTGGGGCCGTGTTGCGGGTTTCCACTAAACAGATACACAAGAGCGGCACTCGTGATGCTGCCGACCCAAGACAGGAAGCCGAGGGTGTCGAGCCAGGGACCGATAGTGTCAGCCCGCAGAGGCGTGGGTCGCTGGAATTCCATACAGATCTTGAAGAAGTCGGATCGAAGTTCGATCCAGTTGTTGATGAAGAACGAGACAGGGACGAGAGGCCACACGGGTGAGAAGAGTGCTAAATATCCGAACTGAATGCACATCTCACGTAGGTCATCGGTAACCTCGTATTCAGACAGCTCGACTTCATTGCGCACACGCTTTAAAAATTCCTTCTCCTCGGTGGGATCATCGTAGGTCATGATTGGTGACCGCTCAGGGGAACTCTTGTCGCCATTTTGTCCAGCCTTGCCATTGCCATTGCGCTTTTTGTACTCTTTGTATTTGCGGAATGCGTGCTGCTTCAAATACGGCACGATCGTCTCCATGGCAAATCCGACAATCTGGGCAGTGACTGTGAAATAAATGACTTGATTACGCAGTCGAGCTGGGTCGATTTGGAAGTGCGATTTCCTCGATTCGCAGTGCTCTTTGGACACAAACGGGCGAACCGTCAACCTGAACACATCCAAGTAAGGAACGATCCGGCTAGCGAAAGGCACGTATACAAAGGCTGTAAGCAGAACCGGAAGATACGAGGTGATAAAGTTGATAACAAAGATCTTTTGAATCAGCGCAACATCATAACCGTCGTTGGTTTCGTGGTTCTCATAGTCGTTCAATCGAGTGGCGATCGACATGAGAACAGCACTGATGGTCGGGACGCCTGCGGAGACGAGAATAGTGGGAATAAAGACCTGAGGAGTCAGTCATAATCGAAACCGCGCGCAACGAGCAGCCATACCAAATAAGACTTGAAAGGACCATTGTACAGCTCCGAAATGAAGATCTCAATGGCAAAGCAAGTTGCAATGATGATGCCCAATGCGATCGCAGCCAGGATCGCAAATGGGATCTGTAAAAGTTGCCGCTGCATTCTTTTGGTCGCAGGGAAAATCCCTCGCATCTCACCAGTGCCTTCATCACGAACCTGCTTCTCGGGCTTAAACTCGCGTCGGGTTGTCTGAACAACCGACAATCCCTTGGTCTGCCACCTACAGCTCAGATCCACCTCTTGGCGCTTCCAATACTCGACAAAGATGATGCACCAAAGGCAGTTAACTGCAGTGTAAATAACTGAATAGCCGCCAAGGAAGAACCAACAGGAAAAGCCGAATACAGCGGGGAAAATCAAGAAGCGGAAGTAGGACTGCAAGAATGAGAAGTAGAACCCAACCTGCAAAAGCGTATTAGTCTGCTGCTAGTAGCATGTCAAGGTAATAAGTGCATACGCTTTCTCCAAACTTATCCCGAATCTGATCCAAGTCCTCGTCTGAGAGGAAGGTCTTCTTGCTCCAGTCGCGCATCCATTTCTTGTTGGTTTCCTCGTCGTGGAGAGGGAATACATTCGTGACGTTCTTCCACTCGCCGTGGTTAGGGGTGATTCCGGCACCGCCCTCCTCGGCCGGGAGGGTGATCATCTGGTTGACCACCCGCAAACGCTCTGCCTCGGTGGCGGGCTCGATAGAGCCAGCGGAATCGGGCTCGGCATTAAGAATACCATAGAGCCAGTCGCGTACCCTGAGATGCAGCAAATTAGCTCTGTTACCTTGGAATGACACGACCTGGAGACAACTCACCGCGACCGATACACCGCCCTCTTCAATCGTTTGCTGGTGGCACGCACAAAGATGAGAAGAGATGTCTCATCCCCTTGTCGCACCTCAGTCTGTAATCCAACGCTTTCAAGCGTCCGGAGCAGCTTCTCCAGCTCTTGGATCGCTTGCGACTGATCTGCACGGCTAGTTAGCCTTGATCGAGCGGCACACCTCGCGAGTCTACTCACCGACATTGCCGAAGCTGTAACGGACGACGTAATCTACATCGAGGTTGTACCCAAGGGCGTTTGCCTCGGTCGAAGTCGCCATTGTGAAAGTTGTGGAGGGGAAAGACAGAAAGCGGAGTGAAGCTCAAGTCCGATCGGGCGGTTCAACGACGTCACTGGGAAAGCTTGGCCCCAAGAGATCACAGCCACTGTTTCCACGTACTGTCTAGTATCTAATTCGAGCCCTGTTTCGCCTTTTCAAGATGTCCAGATGTGATTAAATGACTGGTCATTGCATAAGTCATCTAATTTACTTGGCATACGCTTTGATACACAATATGAGATCTGTGGCTTGAAATATATACTGATCGTCATCGTGTGCAACCGGTTTATTCTAACTATCCACCGCTTCTATGAGAGGGGCGCCACCGTCATCCCTCTACGATCATAGACATACCGCACCAGAAAAAGGGAAGAAACCGCTGTTCAGTGATTCGAGATTCATGATGTACAGAGACGGGACAACTACCTGTTCAATAACTGGATGGATTGATCCCTTCCCCGACTGTAGAGCCCATGTGGCAACGTCAATAAATATCTCGAGAAATTAATTTCGTAAGTCGATTTTGCAATGCCCCAGTTTAGGCGACGACGCGTTCACCAATTCAGAGTCCCTTTCTCTTGCACTTAAACGGTGTGAAGTCACCATACCTTCTGCACGAAATGCTCGCAATCTCTGCGCTTCATTTGGCCTTCCTGAACCCAACGCGGTCAGATTTACACCGGCATCAAGCCATTACTATGCAAAGTGGTGCACTAGCTCTTTTCAACTCAGCGTATGAGGGCATAAACGAATTTGATTACGTCGATATCCGCTGATTCTCCTCCACCCTCGGACCTCGCCTTCTTGCCGATATACCAGCCAAGCGGGATCCCGGCGGCCTCTAAGCCTTCATGACACAATACATCCACTGTATTGAAACTCATCGAGGACTTCATACCAGTGCTATGACCGCTGGCCGCGGCTGATCAAATCGGAACTTGAGCCTTTTTACTCAAGTTCGCGCTTTACTTAACGCTCACCAAAAGGCCGCGACTGCCATCATATCATCGAGCTGGTGGATACTTGTGGAGGACTGATTGACGATGAAAGAAAGGCTTGTCAACTGATGACTCGACACAGTTCAGATGGCGCGCTGATAGTAGATAAGCTTAGTGTGATGACGGTAGGCCCCGTGGAACGTGGGAGACCGGAGAACATATCAACGGGTCGTAGCTTGGCGTCATTGTATGAGGCAGTGGAGCCCGATGGGGCGAAGTGTTATCTCCGAGATCTTGTGGAGTTCATAGTCTGTTCTAAGTACATACGCACAATCAAGCAGTGATGATTATTCTAGAAAGTTGGCCGTCACGATAAAGAAATATTTATTGGTCGCGGCTTCTCAAGAGAACGATTGCGCAGTCGTCACGAGAGGAAGAAAAGGCGTGTTGGCCATTTCATCTGAGCGAGAGTAATACTGAGCAATAGACAGGTCAGAGCCTCCAGAAATCCATGGGGTAGCGTAAGAACATAGATGCAACAGCTTCGCAAATTGATTGTACTATGGTGGAGTCAAAGAGAAGAAAAAAATTGCAATGACACATGTAATCCATAATGAACGTCATTTTACATGACAACACAGCAGGAGTTCTGCTTCTTGGCCTGAGAAGATTTAGAGATGAGTGCGAAACGAGATACAGCAAGAAGCTTACCTGGGTATAGAACATCTTACTTTGGGCAGAAAGCCCATCACTCTTCTGAACCAGGGAGTCAATCTTCTCACCACGTTCAAGAACGCTCTCAATCTGCACGAATGTCAGCATTCTCCCTGAATAAAGTCTTCGAACCCGCCACGTACTGTCTTGTGTAGCACAATCTTGGTCTCGTCCAGCTCCTGCTGGATCTTCATAATGCTATCGGCCTGGCTGGGGTCCTGGTACTTGACAATGTATTCCTTGAGCGCCGGCAAAGGGCAGGCGTCCTCGCGCAGAGAGGGATCGGAGAAGGCAGTGCGAGGGTGCTTGGCGAGGAATTCGTCGACCATCTTGCTAAGGAGCTGGTGGGCAACCAGGGCGGGGTATTCGCCGTCGGTGACAATCACACCGGCGACACCCTCTGTACGGCCGTAGGCGTGAAATGTGTATGACTTCTCTTCAATATCCTGGCGCTGCCCGGGCTTCGTGCGCTCGGCGACCGTACGACAGAAAAGCATAAGGAACTCTTCATAGCTGTTGGTAGCGCAGGGTTAATACGCGGAACCGTGCGAGCGTTCGGTTGTAAGTGAGAGGTAGACATACTTTTGACGGGTAAAACGAGAGAAACTACATCACGTTAGCTTGACTCCTTCCAAGGCATCAGTAAGCTGGCGGTAAAGACACACCTGGTGAGGTCCTTCTCGGCGCATAGCTGCAAAGCGGGCTGAGAGTCGTTCCGAAGAACCTATGAGGAAGCCGAATTTAGCTTATGCTCTCAAACGGGGCAGAAACAATCGAAGTCTTAAGCAGAACGTACGCCCATATAGAAGATCTTCATGGTGGCGGGGGAGACGAGTCGTTGACAAGAGAAGGCGAATGTGACGGGTGCAAGGTCAGGGCAGACTGATTATTAGGTGATTTTTGTAGCGTAGACAATTAGGCAAAATGATTTCCTGTTAAGTCAGGCGTAAAGACAAGGGAAGAAAGCAACACCTCCTGATAACCGCGATGATGGCACAGTGTCTCCTTAATGCCTTAGGCAGAACACACACCGCTCAGGCGACCCGGCGGGCCATCCACCGCTGCCATATTTCCTCTTCTGTCAAAGCATTTACTTTATTCAATTTCCGTACAGTTCTGCCAAATTTCAGACAAAATGGATTCCTCCTCCGAGTCGCAGTGGCTGTCCCAGCTGGCAGCTATGCGACAGGCTATAGCTGATCTGAAGCTTCCCAAAGATCTACCCCACGATACTATCAGCTATGGCAGTGACGTCGAACTCGATATCGACGACGCCTACGCTTCCTCCGGTACAGCCGGGACGGTTGACGATGTGTGGGATATCATCAGCTCCGATGATGAAACCTCCGACGATCTGGACGATTCTGACCGTGTTCTCCTCCCGCAAACCTCTTCCCTCTACAATCAACTCTGGCTGGAAGGGAAATGCCAGGAACTGGCGAGCCGAGGCTCGAGCATGGATGCGTCAGATCTCGCCCAGCAAATTACTGCTACCCTGGCTACAGATAGCGACGATGCCGAGCTTCAAATGTCCCTCGCTGAAATTGTGGGGTTTGACGACTTGGACTTGGTGATCGAGCTCATTGCCAACCGCGCGGAGATTCTGGCAGATAAATCACACCGGACCGAAGACCAGACCAATGGCCTCGCAGCAGGAAAGCTGCTTACCAGAGCGGAGAGAGAAGATGCCTTGCGCCAACGAGACTATGAACACAAGCATGCTCCCTTGATGGCAGCGCAGTCCCGATCAGAGCCTATGTACCCCCATGTTTTCAAAGCACACAGCGCTGGGAACACGCTCGCCCCCAATGGCAAGAAGTATGGCCTTCCTGTGGGCACCAAGACTTTCGAAGAGCCAAACTACACGGAACATGAGATCCCAGCGTCAAAGGTCGGATATTTGGCACAGAACCAGAAATTGGTGGACATAGCTGGATTGGATGGTCTTTGTCGTGGTACATTCAAGGGCTATAAATCTCTCAACCGTATGCAGAGTTTACTGTACGATGTTGCCTACAAGACCAGCGAGAACATGCTTATCTGTGCCCCCACCGGTGCCGGTAAAACGGATGCAGCTATGCTTACCATCCTGAACGCGATTGGCAAGAATACTGTTCCTCACCCTCTAGAGGAACCTGATGCTACAGAGTTTACAGTGCAGGTTGATGACTTCAAGATTGTCTACGTCGCCCCAATGAAGGCCTTGGCGGCTGAAGTTACAGAGAAGCTTGGAAAGCGCCTCGCGTGGCTGGGTGTCCAGGTCCGTGAATTGACTGGTGATATGCAATTGACCAAGCGGGAAATTGTGGATACCCAGATCATTGTCACGACCCCTGAGAAATGGGATGTCGTGACCCGCAAAAGCACGGGTGACACTGAGCTGGTTCAGAAAGTCCGGCTTCTCATCATTGATGAGGTCCACATGCTTCACGATGAACGTGGTGCTGTAATCGAATCACTGGTCGCTCGAACGCAGCGACAAGTCGAAAGCACCCAGTCTTTGATTCGTATTGTCGGTCTTTCAGCCACATTGCCCAACTACATCGATGTGGCCGATTTCTTGAAAGTGAACAAAATGGCTGGCATGTTCTTTTTCGACCAATCTTTCCGTCCGGTACCCTTGGAGCAGCATTTCATCGGTGTCAAAGGTAAGCCGGGATCCAAGCAATCTCGTGAAAACATTGATCAGGTTGCATTCGAGAAGGTTCGTGCCATGCTGGAGTGTGGTCACCAAATCATGGTCTTCGTGCATTCTCGCAAAGACACCGTAATGACTGCCCGCATGCTGAAGCAGATGGCCGCGGAAGATGGCTGTGAGGATCTGTTCAGCTGCGTTGACCACGAAGGTTACTCTAATGCTCTTCGAGACATGAAGCACGTTCGTGCCAAAGAGCTCAAAGATCTTTTCCCCAGTGGACTTGGAACGCACCATGCTGGTATGAGCCGAAGCGATCGCAATCTCATGGAGCGTATGTTTGGTGAGGGACTGATCAAGGTCCTCTGCTGCACGGCCACTCTTGCTTGGGGCGTCAACCTTCCCGCCGCCGCAGTAGTAATCAAAGGTACTCAGCTCTACAACCCTCAGGAAGGTAAATTTGTGGACCTGAGCATTTTGGACGTAATGCAGATCTTTGGTCGTGCTGGTCGACCTCAGTTCCAGGACACTGGTATTGGATTTATCTGTACGACCCATGACAAGCTTCAACATTACGTGTCTGCTGTGACGGCTCAACAACCAATCGAGTCTCGCTTCTCCAGCAGGCTGGTGGACAATTTGAACGCTGAAATTTCACTTGGCACTGTCACGTCCGTTCCAGAGGCGGTCCAGTGGTTGGGTTATTCGTACCTCTTTGTGCGCATGAAGCGCGAGCCTCGGAACTATGGCATCGAATATGCCGAACTTAGGGATGATCCCATGCTTGTCCAGAGACGTCGTCAGTTGATCATTCAAGCCGCCCATACTCTCCAGAAAAGTCAGATGATCATTTTCAACGAGAAGACCGAGGATCTCAGAGCCAAGGATGTTGGCCGAATTGCCAGCCAATACTATGTCTTACAAACTAGTATTGAGATCTTCAACTCCATGATGCGCGAGCGGGCTGGAGAGGCAGATGTCCTCAAAATGATCAGTATGAGTGGCGAATTTGACAACATCCAGGCTCGAGATAGTGAGTCAAAGGAGCTTCAACGCTTGAAGGATGAAGTTGTGCAGTGTGAGGTTGAAGGTGGAAACGACTCTCCTCATGCGAAGACGAACATTCTGCTTCAATCATACATATCCAAGGCAAAGCTCGAGGACTTTGCTCTCGTCTCGGACAGCGGTTACGTTGCTCAGAACGCTGCTCGTATCTGTCGCGCACTTTTCATGATTGCCTTGAATCGCAGATGGGGTTATCAATGTCAGGTGCTCTTGTCGCTTTGCAAGTCCATCGAAAAGCAGATTTGGCCTTTCGATCATCCTTTCCATCAATTCGATATTCCACAGCCTGTGATGCGAAATCTGGATGAGAAGTTGCCGTCTTCATCCATTGAATCGATGAAAGAGATGGACCCAGCAGAGATTGGGTCCCTCGTGCATAATCAGAAGATGGGCAAGGTTCTGTCCAAGCTGCTCGACAATTTCCCTACTATTAGTGTCGAGACTGAGATTGCGCCTCTGAACCGAGATGTCCTCCGCATCCGCCTCTCCATCTATCCTGAATTCTCTTGGAATGATCGCCACCATGGAGCTTCTGAGTCTTTCTGGATCTGGGTCGAGAATTCAGAAACTTCCGAGATCTATCATCACGAGTACTTCATCCTCAGTCGCAAGAAGTTGTACGATGACCACGAGCTCAATTTCACCATTCCGTTGTCGGATCCTCTCCCAAGCCAGATCTACGTGCGAGTGATCTCCGATCGCTGGCTTGGAGCAGAAACCGTGAGCCCTGTCTCGTTCCAGCACTTGATTCGACCGGACACGGAAAGTGTGTACACGGACTTGCTTAATCTTCAACCGCTTCCGATCAGTGCTCTGCAGAACCCGAATTTGGAGGAGCTATACGGCCAACGCTTCCAATTTTTTAACCCTATGCAGACGCAGATCTTCCATCTCTTGTATCACACTCCGGCAAACGTCCTTCTCGGATCTCCAACCGGTAGTGGCAAAACTGTCGCAGCTGAACTAGCCATGTGGTGGGCCTTCCGCGAGAAGCCCGGATCGAAGGTCGTCTATATCGCCCCCATGAAAGCACTTGTCCGTGAGCGTGTCCAGGACTGGCGCAAACGTCTCACTGGACCTATGGGTCTGAAGCTTGTCGAGTTGACTGGTGATAACACCCCAGACACTCGAACAATACGTGATGCCGATATCATCATTACCACCCCGAGAAGTGGGATGGTATCTCTCGTAGCTGGCAGACTCGTGACTACGTTCGCAAAGTCAGTCTAGTGATCATCGACGAGATTCATCTTCTCGGCGGCGACCGAGGACCTATCTTGGAGATCATTGTTTCTCGAATGAACTACATCGCCTCGCAATCTAAAGGGTCCGTTCGCCTGATGGGTATGTCGACTGCTTGTGCAAACGCAAACGACCTCGCCAATTGGCTTGGTGTTAAGGAGGGACTTTATAATTTCCGACACTCTGTTCGACCTGTTCCTCTAGAGATCTTTATCGATGGTTTCCCCGAGCAACGCGGTTTTTGTCCGCTGATGCAGTCCATGAATCGGCCCACGTTCCTTGCAATCAAGAACCACTCACCAGAGAAACCTGTTATCGTCTTTGTTGCCTCACGTCGACAGACTCGTCTGACGGCCAAGGACCTGATAAACTACTGCGGCATGGAAGACAATCCTCGTCGGTTTGTGCGCATGTCCGAGGACGACTTGGAGGCCAACCTTGCCCGTGTCAAGGATGAAGCCTTGAGGGAGGCTCTCAGCTTCGGTATCGGTCTGCATCATGCAGGTTTGGTTGAGTCTGACCGGCAACTTTCGGAGGAATTGTTTGCCAACAACAAGATTCAGATTCTCGTAGCTACTAGCACTTTGGCCTGGGGCGTCAATTTGCCCGCTCATCTGGTTGTTGTCAAGGGTACTCAGTTCTTCGACGCTAAGATCGAGGGATACCGGGATATGGACTTGACCGATGTTCTGCAGATGCTTGGTCGTGCTGGGCGTCCGCAGTTCGACACTTCTGGTATTGCGCGAATTTTCACGCAAGATTCCAAGAAGGCCTTCTACAAGCATTTTCTCCACACTGGCTTCCCCGTGGAATCCACCTTGCACAAAGTTCTGGATAATCACTTAGGCGCCGAAGTATCTGCTGGAACTATCGGAACGAAACAAGACGCTCTCGATTACCTCACCTGGACATTCTTTTTCCGTCGCCTCCACAAGAATCCATCTTACTACGGTCTCGAGATTTCAGCCGAGGAACAAAATTCGATTACCGCTCAGACCATTGCCCAAGACTTCATGATTGAGTTGGTGGACAAGTCACTTGATGACCTGGCGGAGTCATCCTGTGTCCTTGTGGATTCCGCTACTGGCGAAGTTGACTCAACGCCGTTCGGCAAGATTATGAGTTACTACTACCTGTCGCATAAGACAATCCGGTACTTGATGTCCCATGCAAAGCGCGACCCCACCTTCCAAGACGTGCTCAGCTGGATGTGCTCTGCTACTGAATTTGACGAACTGCCCGTCCGACACAATGAAGATCTCATCAACGCTGAGATGGCTCAGCACCTACCACTGGGTATCGAATGCATGGGTGATGTTCCAATGTGGGATCCCCACGTCAAGGCCTTCCTACTATTGCAAGCATACATGTCGCGTATCGACCTTCCCATCACTGATTACGTCGGTGATCAAACATCGGTTCTGGACCAGGGGATTCGTATCATCCAAGCATCTATTGATGTGATGGCCGAGCTTGGATATATCCCCGCCTGCCAGATGTTGATGACTCTCCTGCAATCTATAAAATCTGCTCGCTGGCCCGAGGACCACCCCTTGTCAATTCTCCCCGGCGTGGAAGCAGAGAAGCCAATTCGCGGTCTCCCTTCGTCTTTGGTTGCGCTCTCCTCGCAGCCCATGTCAGCGGTTGCTGGCCTTGTCAAGAAGCTGAACCTCCCACCGCAATTTAGTCGGGCAGCTTCGTCACTCCCACAGCTTTCCATCTCCGTTGGGAATATCTCTACCAAGGGGATTTCCATTTCCCTCACAAGGCAAAACCCGGCCACAAATCCCGACTACAAGATCTACGCCCCTCGTTTCCCCAAGCCTCAAACGGAAGGTTACTTCCTCCTTGTGTCTAGCACCCGATCTGATGGGACAGATGGCGAGTTGTTGGGCCTGAAGCGAGTTTCTTGGCCGCCGCTCTCTAGACAGAGGGGCGGAAACAAGGGACGGGGAGGAGCTGACTCTAGTCGCGGTGGAACGTCCAACCCCAGAGACAGAAACAGCAATGCCCCGCTTAGCGTTCGGTCGTTAGTCAAGTTCCCTAGTGCTGCCCTTCTTGAGTCCTCCTCTGTTACCGCTTCCGGTATTGCACGGGTCAATGTGAGGGTTATAAGTGACTCTTATCCTGGCATGGAGTGGACGCTGTCGAATGTGGAGGTGGAGATGGAGAAAGGCCCGGTTACCCAGTCCGTTGAACCGTCGTCGAGTGTTTCTCAGAAGGATTGAATGCAGTAAAATAAACCATCCCCATAGTCAATATTGTCAATCGATATCTTGTCAGATCATCTATCGCTTAGACTGAGATGGAGAACCATTTCTTCAGGCCTTCTCGTCGCTCACCCTCGGTTTTGTAAGAATCAATCACTCTAGTCTTCCCTCCCATATTCAATTTCACTACCCTATTGACAAACATGATTTTTCCAACAATCTAAATATCTTCAGAGATAGAACGGGCAATATCCCCTTCCAGAAGAGGTAGCCCGTTAGTTTCACCGTTTCTGATAAACTTAACTACTCAGACGTTTTTAAGGGTAAGAGTATACTAGTGGGTATATCGGTTAATAACCTCGAAGTCGTCCTAGAAGAACTCGAACTCCCTAAAAGAGTAGAATAAGTTCCAATCTTTTATAGCACTATTACAGTATTAATAAATCTAAAGCTTTTGTTCCAGTCGCGTCTGCTTCGGAATATTACTATATATTCGTCGAATCTCCTAAGAGCCTAAGTTCTAATAAACCTAGCCCGAGACTAATAGTAGTGGCCTTATCGGACTATCACCACCAAAAGCTTCCACATGATACTAAACACCGGAAGGAAGCTCTATAATATTCATGATATATATCCTAATAAATATTAGTAAGCCGGGCGCACTAACGCAGACATAACCTACTAGCCCCTATATTCACCCTGGGGGATCCCATCAATCCTCTCCCGATTCCAAACACCAGTCATATAACCGAGAAGCCCAATTTGCGAAGAACATGGTTGAAAAGTATGCTGCACTCAAGACAGTATGCACTCAAGACAGTATCCTCCTCTTCGCGAAGGCTCGGAGACACCTGTGCCCATGAATTTGAGGTAAATACTGGAGGGGTTGATGTCAATCTGGCTGATTTCAAAGTCATGAACCGACAGATTGTCGTAAGGAAGCGAGAAATTTGACATCGAAAGAGGGCTGTCAATGCTTCTTCTGTCTTAGGGAATGATTCCGGACTTTCGATGTATTGGTGATACTCGGCTGGAAGGCAGATGTACTTGAGGTATTTGCTCAACTGGGACGTTGTGAACTCCGAAGCTGTCGTCATCTTGAAAAGATTCGAATCAACGTCGAATTGTCAAGTGTAATTTGTGACCGAGATGGCTGATCTCGCAAAAAGTATAATTGTTTTGACCTCCACGTCTGACTCATCTGACAAGCGGAAGGGGCAAAGAAGCGGCTGAGATGCAACCTAGTTCTTCCATCTAGACAATTAATAGCGGATGTATCAATGGACAAATCATTGTTTGAATACCTATCAGATATTTTGTAGTAATTACTAGCATCACGTATCTTCGATCTCCAGGGATTGTTTGCCCGAGACTGGCCTAAATACACGTCTCTAACCGGGGAAAGGTCGAGACTCCAGATCCAGTAACATGACTTTGATCATTGATTTCTTGCCATTACTCCTAGCCACTCTTATTAGGTCTGTTGGGAAATTGAATGGCAAAGATCGTGGACCTAATTCCTCCATCGAAGTTCCAGGCATGCTGAAATCCAGGGTTCGATTATCCCCAGTAACAGGTCCAGCAGCTATTCCTTCGCCTCCATATGTATCATCTTGTGGCAGCCCTCCAAAACGCTGGGTTTCTTCGCGGAGACTGACGGCATCGACCAAGGACGGAATACGGCTTCTTAGTTCAGCATCTGCTGCAAACGAGACTCCGCAGCTCGCTTTTGAAATGAAGCCAAGTATCAGAGCAGATTCATGGCTTCGTTTACTCCAGGCCTCGGCGTAAGATAGACCGAGCTAGTGCCATGCCCGACACTAGCAGCATCAATCATCCCTCTCATGAGGAATATGAACCCCGCAGAGAATATTGTGTCGAGATCAAAGAAGCCGAAGATTGCTTTTGTATATAAGCTATCATTCTGAGTTGATTAGATGTTCCGAAGCACTTACCTATGATGTATTCCTTCTGTACGACAATCATGAGCTCGAGACACCAGCGTGCAGCCTCTATGCATGTGCCGGTCAGGCCTTGAACAGGGTGATGGCTTTCAGGAAATGTGATCCCACGATCCAGAATCGATTTTGTAAGGTGCAAGACGATCGAGAGAAGGGTGAGAATTGTGGTCTCAGGACAGGTCAATATGCCGCGTGATGAGTAGCCGTGGCTGGAGGATATTCCTACCTGATATAAAACTGTGCGAAGAGATACACTCGTCCGTACCTGCTTCTTGGGTGAACGCATCGGTTCCAATAACTATTCAAGCGCTCAATGATAGGAATTTAGTATCAACATACATGTCGATCAGCTTTGCAACTCTCGTGAAGTGTAATGCCATTATCACAGGCGCGAAGACTTCCATAACCCATGTACTCATCAAGTCGCAGCATCGAAACTCAAGTTAGAATTTCATTCGTTTGTAGCCTCACTTCGACTACTTATCCCACAGCTTCAATCCATCACTCTTGCACGAATTTCCCTTCTCAGTCATCCCTCTCTCACATCATTCACAGATATTTTGATCCATCCAGTGCTTTACGTTCCGTCTTATCTTTGCCAATCATTTCTCGACTTCAAAAAGGAACGGAATCACGAGAGCAATTCGAGTCTTTGATGCCAATAGGTAATCGAACTGACGCGGTATTAAGGCCAGAACACTGTATGACAGTTCAAGATGACCGCGAGGTCCGGCAAACTTGGCTCTTGTGCAAACTCGAAATGTAAACATTTCAACAATGAGCACCGTACTCATACGTGCAAGGAAGCAAAGTGTCGCAAGCAGTGGAAGATCTGTCACACCGGAGATCATGGTGTTACAGCGCTCTTTGTTGATGCAGGAGTTGATAAAAAGAAAGGGATTTTTGCAATCTGTACTAAATGCCGAGACCACCCAGCTGGTGGTCCTGATGGTTTCCTCGGATACATCGACCTGACAGTCTGATTTGATTCGAAGAGCTATCCGATACTCTCGAGCCAGCTTTCAACGTGCCTTCTCTTCCCACTCCATTGTGTTTCCATATCTGATTCATCATCTTCAGACTCCTCTTCTTCATCCGGGTCCTCCAAGTCCAACCAAGAATGTTGGTAAATCAATTTTTCGTTGTGAGGATACCCCGTCGATCTTAGCCATTCGAATATCCCACGGGTGTCTTCTTCTGAGAGCAATTGCGAATGGTGATCATAGCTGTAATCGTCAAGTCTAGCCAATATCACGTTGGCGGATGTATTTGATGCTTCGACAGGAGCCTGCGTGTTTTCTGTTGCACAGTCCCGAATTGAGTTGCCGTTCGTTAATATCCACTCCCACGATTCGTACTCTAAACAATGAGCGGCACATTGAGCATGTTGTCGCACCAAGATCTCTGTATCGCAAAGCTTCGTAAAGCCGAAGGGCTTCCAAAGCCAGATTGGAGGCCGATCATAGCCTTCACAAGCTGTGATGAAAAGCAGTCGACATTCGTCATCACGACCTATGAAATCACCATGACTGCCCCTCGTATTCAAAGTCAGGAACGTCTGCGTTATTTCGCTCCAGGCAGATGCTTGAAGATCCACAGCCGTCGCCCCTGTCCGTATGTCTCGTAGGACCGAGTCTGCCAGGCTTGCGAGAATTGCACCAAGCCAGAGTATGCCCAGCCGAGGCTGTCGATTTGCCAGCAATGCGGCCACTGCAATTTTCTTTGCAGAGATCGAATGAAGAATTGCAAAAGCCGGGTTCAACCAGGCACTGACAAAGTTACATTCGATGTCGGGATTGAAGAAGGTGCTGCATAGAAGAGAGCGTAGACCCCACGGATTGGAACTGAGCGTCATGTATTTAGGAAGCAATTCTCTGAGATCATTGAGAAGATTCGGGATAGAAACAGAAGAGTCGCTGACACGCTCGTTTAGTTCCAGTCGGGATGTTTGTTTCGGAAACGGAAGGAAAATCGTACTGCTGCTCATAAATGGGATAAAGAGTACCCCAGCAAGGGCGGCTGAGCACTGTGCGTAAAGATGATGGAGCACACAAAACCGAGAGAGGTATTTCAGAGCGGTCACCGATGATGCCGGCTCTGGTTCGGAAACCATTAAAGCTGATGTAGTGACGGACAATCCAGCATGTTTCGCAGACACCGACCACGGCGAAAAATAGACATGGCCATTGTATTTGGTGGTTGCATTCCAGCCGTCGTCAGGACACAAGATGGTGCGCCACCAGAGAGCTTCTTCCACACCAACGTCTTCGCCGAGCTCAATTTCAATCAAGGGTTGCGCATTGGGGGGCAGCGGACTCTCCACTTCTTGCATAGTGTAGCCCATGTGACATTCATGGTCCGTAGAGCGATCAAGTATTTCAACCCATCGAGCAGATAGGATGTAGGCCCAAGCGAAGTAAAGGATTGCAATGTAATTTCCGTTGTCGTAACCGGAGACTCCTTTTACCCCGGGCCATTCTGACAAGGGAGAATCTTCAGAGAGCCTCACAGATTGTCGACCATCAACTGCTAAGAGAAGTTGCTTCGGCAGGACTCTCGGCTGAAGGTCACAGATTCTTTTTGAGGTTCTCCATGTGGACCGGCCGTTTGTCACAAGACTGCCGTCTGATTGCTTCTCCTCACAAGCGAATGAGATCTCTTCGGGAGAAACAAGGCCAGCACCAAGGAAGGGTGGGGTCTGACCGGCGAGGGGTTTCAAGTCTATGGCGTGCCGCGGTAGTAGGTGATCTTCGCTCTTAGCAGGCAAACAAGATGACCATGTTTTGAAGCTGTCTTGAAGGACTTGGTTGAATTCATCATCACTGGGACGCACTGGATCACCCATCCTCGCACACCCGTCAGTCAAGTGCAGATATTGCGTGAGCGTTTTGGGCTTCACACGTAGAAGAGGCCTGCGTGAGAAACAATGAGTCGATGATGCACCGGTGTCTTGTGGTCAGGTATTGAGGGAGAGATGTTGGAGTTGAAGGACGCGAGCAGCTTGTGTACTTTGGGTTGGATCCTGAGTAATGCTTTCGAGGTACCTGCGGTTTCTGTGGCGCCAAGGGTAGTAGCTTCCTAATTCCTTGTTCTCGTCCGAATACCAAAAGGTGACAAATCTGAGCTTGGGCGAAGATGTTATCTCTGACTGTTGATGCTATTACAGTCACCTGACGCACTGCGCATCTGTGTTTGCGATAGCAAACCGATACGATCCCAGTCCTTTTTTGTTTCACGTATTGTTACTTCATTATTGTGTTTAAAAGGCATTAGTCCCTCGTATCCATCTACAATGGCTTCTTCGCAAGCCCCAAATTGTTCTGTACGTTCCAGTCGCAGACATTGGCTCAAAGGGTCCTCTGAGAAGAGGGTCAGGCAGGGGCTTTTTGTATCCGCATTTAACACATCTTAATCTTGCGTCAAATAACTGACATCATGTAGAGATAGTCAATTGTAAGATGAGATGTGACCTAAATGGAAGGAAAGTCCGATTCCCAGCTTGAGTTAACAGTATAATGAATTGACTACTTGACCCTACTAGTGACTGGAAGAATCACAAGTAAAATACCAGCCCTGACTTGGCCACTACCGGTACCTCGCCAACTTCATTTCCTAACCCAATGAGGACTCTACGGCACAAAGAATATCTCATTTGATACTTCTGAGCTGCTGCCATCGCATGTCGATCCTCTGCTATAGGGATTTCAACAGAGCGCGACATCGGTTCAAGCCAAGATATTGTGTATCGAGCCGTAAATCCTTTCGAGCAAAGGCCAAGCCATCCGACAGAACCCTGTTCCCGACCATTGAACTCGATAAGAGTCTCTCTTTTTCCGAGAGGATCCAACCCGGTTGCAGCCTCGGATCATCGACCAGGCTGGACGCTTGCTGATCTGGAACTTACTTCGGAGAAATACGTAATTCAGTTACTTGATAGGGTGTTGATCTATTTCGAAGAAACCCAGCATCTATTTGATGCCCGGTATATCTTCGATCGACTCGCAGTCTTGTACGAGAATCAGGAGGAACAGCCCCGCAGACCCGATCTACGAGTCGTTCAAATACTTGTCATTTTGGCTCTAGGAAAGCTACTTCGAGGCGAACAAGATAATTTAAACTAGCTTCTAGGAACAAGACTGTTTAACTTTGCCCTTCATCTCCCGCCCAGTCCAGACGAGCTTCGGTCTCAAGGAGTTGCGGGAATAGAGACTTTGGTACTTCTCAAAAGGCGATCGGACGGATGATGCCGCCGGATGTGTGAGTCTACGCTTTTCCTTTTAAGTCTGGATAGAATTATTGATTGTCAAAGATCGGGCTCGCTTTTCGCTTGGCAACTTTACGTAGATTACATCATAAAACCACAGCAAAAAAGTCTCCGTCGCTCGGAGGCAACCCACGTTGGCCGTCTTTGGTGGACAATACACTCTCATGATAAGAGATTTATGATAGTTACGAGGTGTCCACTAAGCCTAGATGATAAGTTCGTGGATGTATGCCCTCTGAGTGAATCTCCTGGAATTCCAAATCCAGCCGCCTTGCAGACCAACATTGAAATTGCCCATATTCAAAATGAAATATACTCGGGTCAGTCCGATTCAATCCCCCTTTGATGGCTACTCATTGCTATAAGTTATGTGCAGCAATGACTCTTGCCTGAAAGGTGTTTTTTTGAAGAGTGTGGAAGGCATCATCTCCTTACTCCACGAAATTTTCTCAAGAATCGAGCAAAGATACTTCTACGTCTGGGAAAAGTCACTCATATGCTGTGTGCAATCCATCGTATCCAATTTCAACTCCACGATGCGAAGCCCACGCCCATCTTTGAAATCCTTGTCGTGCAAGACGGCATCCAACCTTTCCCAAGTATCTACAGAGGCCCTGAAGATAGGATCATTGTAATGTTGTTCAGGACCGTGAATCAGACGCTCGATCGTGTATCCATTATTATTGATGATGAGGACGATCACATCCAGCTTGTTACAAGTGAAGGTGATGACTTCTTGCGCTGTCATTTGGAAAATGCCGTCGCCTTTGAACAAGATCGTTCTACCCTGCGAGGGAGCAAGCGAGAATGATCTGAGGTCTCTCTGGTCTAGGGAAAGATCAAGACGGGTGGACGAGACGTGATTGAGCGTCGAATGACACAGTAAGAGAGAACAGGGGAGATTCAGATTATGAATGGGCGTGAACCGAATGAAGACTGGACCGTGAGCTCGAGATGGAAATGATAGTCTATGTTTGCCAATGGGATTTTGGGCCGCTTATATAGTGAGCAATTTTGCTAGGTGCTCTGAATATTCGGCACAGGTATCGTAGGATTTCCTGACCTGGTGGGTAATCAATCTGTCCAAAAAATCCCCATCGATCTCGGCATCACCGAAGATATTCATGTCATTGTGAGAAGATAGAAAGTAGATGTGGTTCGCTAAGAAAGAATCTTAAGAAAGTGAAATTGGTTCCATCTTCATTTCTATGTTCTTAACGTCCGAGATATTCTCCACTTTTCGGATGAGCATCCGAGAACTATGAAAACACGGCTATAATCGTATGACATGAGGTGAATGAGCCCAGTGTCACTAGGTTTGAAAAGGTCTACCATTAGATATTAAGATTTTGACTTGAGGTTATCAAAGAAATTCATGAATGTGAAAAGTCGAACAAATGTGGCTGGTATTGATAGAAGGCGTTTGTCTGCAAGGACATTATATGAATAGAAAAAGACAACACCCTGGCCATATGCAGAGGAGACCCAAATGCTGATAAAAAATAAAGGAAAGATTAAAGAATGTCAAAAGGTAAACGAAAAGTTGGAGAAAAAGATTAAAGAGACTCGATCTGCAGTTCCTGAGATCTGGCATGCTTATGTCCATGATGCACATCGGTAATGTGCGGAGTTAAGGTCTTGCGATCGACGAAGCGCTCAGTCGAGTTGAAATTATCTACCCGAGCCCCGATGGGAACAAGCATCTGACGCGTCCCCTTGCCTCTCTTCACGGAGATAGAGCGAGCGGTAGAGACTTCGATAATTGGGAGAAGGTCCTGAGCTTTCTTGGGGTCCAAATTTTTGGGCTCAGCCACGAGTGGACTTTGGGGCAGCTCTGCCAGTAGTGAATTCGGGTTGGGATCTGATGTCTCGAGAAGGGGATGAGGTATTTGCGCGCAAAAGGTTCGGTCTGGCCAGCCTCTCGAGAGGGGATGCTGTGTTTGCGCGTATTGGGATTGGTCTTGGCCTGTCCGTAGACGATGCTGTATTTACACGCAAAGGCATTCGCCTTGACTTGTCCACCGGAGATGCCATGCTTGCGCTCAATGGGTTTGGCCTAAGGTCTGACATCTCAAGTGGTGATGCTGTAATGTTCGCCCGCGAGGAATCCATATTGGCAATGGCAGTATCAATCCGAGATGGCTTCATGTTTGCGCGTAATTGGTTCGGTCTGACCCTTGTCCTTTCCATAGGACTTACCGTGTTCTCACGGAATGAATCAGGTCTTAGGCCTGATGTTTCGAGAGGCGATGCTAAGATGCTCATTTGCAATGAGTTTGCGTTCGGGGCCAGTGTTTCCAGGGGAGAAAAAGTATTTGTGGTAACTTCAATGGCCTTGGAAGCCGACGTTTCAACTGGGAATGCTATAATGTTCGATTGCACTGGATTCGATTTGGGATCGAATCTCTCCAGAGGGGACGCTGAGATCTTCACCCGTAATGGGTTCCGCTTGGGGGCCAAAACCTCCGGAGACTCTGTAACCATCATCAGATCCGCCGTGATTCTAGGAGCAGACGCAACGCTTTGAAGTGCTGACTTGGATGAGGACTTGTCTTTCGCATCCTTCTCGGGCGGTGGCGGTGGTTCTTGCCCAGTGTTGATTGTGAGATTCGGTCGCTTCCGGCGAGAACTTCCCTTTGTTGGGGGCTTGTCCTCTGGTTGCAGAGCGCATTGATGCTGCTGAAGAGAGCTCTGCGCTGCTCGAATGTCTTGAGGCGACATCTTCCGTGATCGAAGACGAGTCGGCTGCTCGGACTTGATAGCTGGAAGCGGCTTGTCCTCTTTTCGAAGATTGGAACTTGATGATCGTGGGGTATTCGCTTGAGAACTCAAAATATCTCCGACAAAAGGCGACCCATTAGACGACATGTTATTATCACCAGGAATCCCACGAGGTGGCTCTGGAGGTGATTTTGACGGATTCTCTACAGGATTAGTATTCGATCGCAGACGAGGGCTAGGCCGACGAGAAAAGTTCTGAGGAATGGTTTGTGTACCAAGGACCTGCGCGGCCTTGGAAGGTTGCGCTGTCGGAAATAGTGTAAAGCTTGATCGTGCGGGCGAAGTTGCGCGTCGTATAGGAAGCGGTGGCGGCTTAGCCGAGGAAGCGAGAAATTCCTAAGATCTATTAGAGTCTATCACTCAAGCTAGATCCTGCCATAGAAGACACTTTTAACGAACCTTATGGCTTGGTACATTCAGGCTATCCAGAGTCTTCGCTCGCCTGGCCAGCAGGTTGGGTCTCTGGTTCTTGTTCATTACGCTGCTGAACATCACACTGTACCGCTCCATTTGAATATCCGGGATGTTGACATTGAGGCGTGGCCCCAGGCTCTCTAACTTATCTCCGCATGGTGTTTCACGCGAGGAAGAAAACTTGCGACTTCGCTGGGGACTCGAATATTTGCTGTCGGTCTGCGATTTCGGGTCGGGTTGAATCCGTGGCCATTCCTCAAACGAGGCCTTTCGCCTTTTCATCTGCTGCAAGTTTACCAAGGGCACTTCCTGGGGCCTCGAAGTTCTTTCCCAGTCTGGCCGAACAGCCTGGGTCGGCGATGCAAGCGCATTCTTGGCCCTGAAGAGTCCTCCAATCTTCTTCCACTTTGATTTCCGCGGCAATGACTGTCCAGGCTGTGGCTCTGCAGATATGAAAGTATTGAAACTTGGCGGAGGCAAACCGGGTTGAGAATCTATCATGCCAGGGCTTCCTAGAGCAATACCTATCATCTTTGGGCCCAGTGGGCTCCCACACGAGTGGGCGCTCGAAGGAATTGCTTCGTCTGGTGGGGCTGTCAACCTAAAATCAAAAGTGGCGCCAGCACCCGGCCTCCTGTCGATGCCGGTATCTGCTGTTTGGGGTCGACGGAAGTCCTGCTGTGTCACGACGCCCTGCTCGTATGTCCTTTGGGAGGCGTTGTCAAGATTTCGAAGATCGTCACCGGGCGCTGCATCGGAATAGGTCAAGATGGGAAATGAGATAGTATCTTTGGCCTGGTTTGTGCGAGATTGAACAATTGTAGCCATTTTGTGGTGCGACGAGATCCAGTCCGTAGCAATAAATGATAGAAAAAGACGCAAAGTTGTGAAATGAATGAACGGACAGCCTTCCAGAAGGCCTGGTGCCAAATAGAAAGAAAGCAAGACAACAAGAATCGTGCGACCAGCAGGGGTAGCACGTTCTTAACCGAGTAGGATCAGAAGCAGTGGCGCCGGGACATGTCGTCTCACGAGTGGAGATGCGACTACGGCCAAGCTGTGTACTTGAGACACTCGCAGTCGACGGGGCCAATTTAGCCCAATCTGCCCTCCGATCGCAAGTTACACCTAGCTCCATAACCCAGGAGCTGAATTCATCTGTTCACATCTCGGCTGAGACTGTTCTCCGCCAACGAGACAGCAGACCTGACCGCACCGGGCGGCGCTGAAATCAGCAGGCCGGTCGCATAGCCTCCGATTCGATTCCACGGGATCGCTCAGGCTCACTAGCGGCGCAACGATCGGTCTTCGATGAGCCAGTCTCATCCTTGAATTAAGAACACCATGACCGCCACAGGGGCCAGATAACACCCCGGTGGCCCCTCAGCACCACTCTGGGCTCGGACTCGGTGTCCAGCACGCGATGCTTAATTCGGGTGGAGCTCATAAGATTGGCTGTCGGCGAGATGACTAAATTGATTAGGTCGCTACCACGTTCCAATGGGGCCACTTGGAAGTCGGAAGTGGCCCGTATCGACTGGAGGCGTGTTTCATCTTCAAATTGAGACACAGGGCCTCATTTCCTTCCGCTCTTCACGTCGCAAGGTGCTGTGATGCCAAGCCCGAAGCTTTCACCAATCTCCTTTGGGCATTGAAGTTTGAGATTCGGTTTCTCGTGTCATGCATTTCACATCTCGCATCCCGTGCTCTGATAGCCGGCGGGGTCGGTTTCATTTCCCGGCAAGATGGTATCAAAGTGACGAGGAGCAGCGGCGAAAAGACGGCTGAGACCTCAGGCAACAGCACCTTCCTCTCTGTGTATCTTGTTTACTTCGTCAACCCTTTGGTGACTTACTTTTACACTTGCACGATATGATACAGGAACAAGATTCTGATAAAGAAGATTATGTTCGTTCTGCGAACCGGAGGAAAATACCAGAAAAGTATGTAATCATCTCATTCGGCTCAACGCTCACCAGTCTAGACCTTGTTGTTTCGCCGACTATGCCAATCTTATCCTCTGTAGCAGGTCAATAAATGTTGGCTATCATGACAAAAGCTTCAAGGCACTTCTCAGCGCAACACCAGGTCATACGTTATGAATCTTGCATCTCCAAATAGCATCCCACACCCTCCAGTCCCATTGGACATGGCATACATAGAGAGTGTTGAACTTACTGGGGCAAGCAGATCGTGGTCGAAATCTAGTCACATTTTCGAAACACACTACAGCAAGTGGTATCTTCGTCCACTTCCTTCGATGCCTCGAGCAGTGGCGTAAAATGCTTTATCCTCCACTTAAATGTGAATCCTCATTTAACCCTGAAGGGGTCAGTCCCTCGCCGTGCACGGTCAAGCACTTTGGGTGGAGTTGAAAGGTTCCAAGATGACATAGACTGTGTTTCAATCGTTATCGATTCGGTGGTTCGAATTCCATCGGAATAGTTTAATGGATTTCTTATCAAAATGAAGAAAGAAATAATGAGCGTAGAGCTCTTGCTGCTCTTGATTTCCCCCCTCCCCGGCAATCTTTGATGGTATCCATGTGACTGTTTCAGCTTCAACGCGATTTCTCGCGATTCTTCCCCATTGAGGCTTCGTTGAAACATGCACTTTATCTTTGAGACAGAAAACAGATTTCACAGCGGAGTAAGTAAGGGGAACAGGACCCTGTGACACTGGCAAAAAAGCATGTAATTATAAGCCTTATTTGCCTTGGATCGAAATTGTAAGACTGGCTCTCAACTCTGAACAAAGAAACAAAAACCCAGACTATGTGCTGTCAAAGATGACTTGTGTTCTTCATTTGTGTGAAATGAGGCCAGGGTGAATTTACTCTTCCCATTCTTGAGATAATCACATTTTTCCATCTGGCCTCGGACGAAGTCAAAAAGAATTGTGATAACCACGCTTTACTCATCCTCTCAATTTAATTGCCGAGAAATTTTGACCTAAGATACAGGCGGACAAAGGAATAAATGTAGTGCTCCACTATAATTTTGCCAGCATTATATGTATAATCGACGTATCTAGCCTGTTTCAATCCCTCAATACCGCGTAGCCCTTCCATCCCCCTGAATCACCTCAACACCCTGTCTGGCATTGAACATACTAGCCTTTCTAATATATCTGCCGGTAAAGCATCCAATCCTTGCTGTATAATGAAGATGAGATCTTTTTGGCTTATATTGTAAGGGCCACATTGCGCGGATACGAAATCCTCTGGCTAATATCCATAGGGTTTCCTACGGATTAAGGGCTGGTGATATAGGCGGATAATTTATTCCAGTAATGTCGAGGCCATTTAATTCCTCCGTCGTGAATTATATGATATCCTAGACCTCTATATCATATTACTAGTAGGACCCATGTGGGAACAAGCACTATAGATTACGAGTCACCCCCAATTAAAGATCCTTACCAGATACGTATGGTAGATGGGGGAGGTCATCGAAATACATCACGATATTGCCGATAGTCTTCGCGAGTAGCTCCATGCTGAGGAGAATGAGCGGCTTAAAAGACGGTAAAAATGCTCGAACAGCTCTATTTATAGATCAAACTGTTATACGGTCCACTTCTATCTCCAATCTCAAGTGCCAGTCCCTATAATTACAGCTGCTGCTAAATGCACGGAATTAGCTCCTAAGCTAAATAATGTAATTAATTTCCTAGACTTCTTGATATAGCCGTTGAGAACCATGGAATATACTATACAGCATTAGTCACGAGTGAGCAGTGAGACCTTCAGAAAAAATATCTAGAAAGCTCGCGATGTGGCCTTTAAAAATTATCTTGACCTCAAGCAAATCCACGAAGATCAAGATCCTGAGTTTTTTTGTCAAACACGGCATGAAAGTAGGAGCCGCCCGACGGTCCGTTAGCGACATTGCCGTTGAATGACGCGAAATAGAGATACGAATAGAAGCCAAGGGTATCCATAATCTGTTCACGCTTTATTATGGCTGTTAGAGAGCAGCTTTCGCTAGCATAATCAATTATTGATATTATGTTCCTTTCGCAATCTCTTATTTCCCTTTCATCACAAAATTAACAATGCCCCAGCCCTCTTTAAGAGCTGGTTGTCCCCATCCTTTCATCCATTCGGAGTGCAATATCTGCTGTGCTGTAGCTCTTTCGTTTCGGTCTAAAGACTAGCATCGATCGAAGTATCGCCTCGAAAGCCCTCCTCTCTTTCTCTGTCACGGTTTCTAAGCTGGCCTTGGCACGAGGCTCCTGTATGCAGTGGCTAAACTTCTTATCCAAGGTCCTGCGTATGCTGTCGTGACCTCTAGACGCGTCTAGATTCGAATCCAACTCGCCCTCTTCGTTGAACCATTCTAGCCTTCTACTCCAATTTTTCCACCACGCGGGAGGTAATGCCTATAACTTCGACTTACTCCGCAGTGACGCGGTCTGTAGTAGGCCAAAACGCTTTAAATAAAGGCCCTTGGCCAAAAATCTCCCCAGATGGTACAGGCAAGTGTCCAAATGTCAGAGGCAAAGGAAGGTGGGTCTTCAGAGAACCTAGCCTCAGGTGGCTAGAGAAGGGGAAGGGTATTTGAGGAGAACCTAAGGGTTTCGTGAGGATCGAAAGATTCTCCAAAGTCACTAAGAATAATTCTTTCCTCTCCTAAAGCAATATTATCGCTGCAAGCACCGAACCAACCGGGGACGTATACATTCGCGGGTACGCCATTCGTCAATGGCTTGCCATTAACACGGATGACAGCCTCTGACTCAGGCTCTCCGAATCTCTCGTACAACTCTGACGTAGAAAATGATCGATCGCTTTAGGGAACTGGACAAGAATATTGCCTAGATAAAGATCTTAAAGCAGTCAGTCATGCAATCTAGCTGTAATAATTTATACGCATCCCATACCGCCGTGTACAATATGTTCACTGTGAAGAAATACGACTCCACGGATGACCTGGGCAACAATTGACTGGGCGACCTTAGGCCGAAAATGACCGAAAATCGAAGCCTCTTTACATCAAACAGGCTCATTCAGGCCGGCAGAGTGACGATACACCTATGCTTCCCATTGGGACCGACAGTCCAGAATTGTTCGATGAGGGTTGGAATAGTTTCGCTTCCTGGTCTAGATAGCGATTTTGCAAGAGACCATAGAAGACTAGCCTCAGGCGTATTCATACTGGCATCAGCAGTAATTACTTTTACCGTCACGTATCTCGCCATGTGTAGGTCACGGGCTAGTCATATAGTCGAGTACCCTCCGTACCCAAGTTTGTCAACCAGTCGATATCGGCCGTTAGCTAGGTCGTCCCCAATCTTCAACGGATGATATCCCCCGATTTTGTATCTGTCGAGGTCTTCGACGTATTCAATGAACCTGTACTGTGTCTTGCCGGGTCTTATACTCGATGATCGAGATTCGCTGCTTCTATGTGTTTCCCCACACATTTGATCTGCATTGAGGCGGCTGAAAGTGTACATCGATGATTCCTTCCCGACATGAAACAGGATTAGGACAGAACTGCATACTCGCTCATGAGATTGTTGGGCATTAACGCAAGTATGTGCGAATATTTGCACAGGCATTGCCCAGCTCAAAGACCGACTTGCACAGAAGTGAACGTATATGCTGCTTTGTTGACTAATACATACGCCTAAGGTGTCGAGATTTTGCAGTTGAACCTACTCACTTTCCCATCCCTTCCACAAGATAAATTAAAGACCTAAGCTTAGCTACCGTCAATTATTTCATATTCATCCTTTTTCAGATCTGATAACATAGGGCACAATCAGACGTACGAGCGTCGAAGCGCCACTAGTTGCAACGGGGCCGTTTCATAAGACGCCCGAATAGTCATGAAGCACGCAGTTACTTGTGAGGGGACCTACTCGCCATATTATTGTACCAGTATATTATCACACCATTGAGTTGGTAAAACTATGTTGAATAATGAGATTGGTCGGTTTCTAGCGCCTTTGGCTGCATTCAGAACTTGCTCTTATTGTGACCTCCCTGACTGGTCGCTAAGAGCTAGGCGTGAGAGTAAGAGCGACTTCCCGGCGCTAAATTTCGGGAAGACATGTGTGGAAGAATGATGTGGCTCTTCTCTTCAAGTGAGACGAAATTTCAGTGGGTATCTAGCGAGGCGTGAATACGTGTTTATGACCCCTTTCACTGTATCGCTATTGCGAGCCGGGGTCCAGATGAACGAGATAGACATCGCTTGAGATGCAGGAAACCGAGGTTTCATCAATCGGAAAGATTGGAAGTTTGAAAATAAATGGACAAAATTCATTGATGAATAAGGTATGAAGGTATGCCGATTGTGATGCGCGAGAAAAATGCAAAGAAATGGAGCAATGGAAGTTGATGGCTGCCCTATTAAACCTCCCACGCGGCTTGACGGCATTTAGGACAATGGGGAGTTGTTAAAATCCACGGGCGGACACATTCCACATGGAACCAATGGTCGCATGGTAGATACCAAACCTTCTCCTTGAGCTCCACCTGCATCAGGCAAATACCACACGTCAGGTCCTCGGACTCATCTATCATCTTTCTGTCAACTACGCGTCTTTTGACGTCGCAGACAAGGATATAAAGTGGATAGATTGTCTGAAATATCTCGGTCACAGTCTCTTCAAGTGATCCTAGCGGACGATCATCAAAGTCAGCAAAGTTTCCATAATATTGCCGTATACAACAAACGATAGCAAGATATCTCCAGAACGAGCGGTTTTTCTGATTTCGTCGAGAGTGGAACGAAGTTGGAAGGATGCTTTGAATGGCGCTCATTAACTTTTCGTAGAACATGTCTCCATCGAGGGCATGACGGTGCCGTTTGAAGGTAGCCTTCACCACTGACATTAGCTCACGTCTTCCAATAGAAAACTGTCGCATGAGAAAGTTCTCCGCTCGTACACCTTTTACTGCAAGGTCTCTGAAAGAGCTAGGAGGATGAGCGAGCCGATTCATCGAAGCCAAAATGAGTAGAGCTTTTGGGATCTGTCCTGAAAAACTTCGATTCTGAATGTCAGTATGAGGTCGAAAGGGAGAAAAGTCCTTCAAAGCACGGTTGAATTCATGCACCAAGGATTGGATGTAAGTAGGCAAATAATTCTTACCAGTTCACAATGATGGAAGATAGTAAGCACATGCACACAGCGAGGTGGGGTGTCTTTTGTACACAAGCTTTTACAAAGTTCCGGGAATTTTCTCAAGGGGCTATTTCCTCTCTTGAAACTTTTGCAAACAATGGGCTTACCCATGAAGACCGAAATGAGACAAGTAACCCGTTCATTTGCCTTGAGACGTGTTCACTCGATATATTGTCCCAAACAAAAAATTTCAAAACCTGGTCTAGGTTTTGGTCGACAATCATAGATGTATCAGTTCTTTAAGTTCAGGTATCAATCTTGTCTATTTTCGAGTCCGAACAATGGGCACGGGCTCTGCCTCTTTCAGCCACTTAATCAGAGAAAGTAATATTCGGCCTTTGAGATGTGCAGCCCGCTAAGACATAATCTTGTCGTGGATCTTGAATGCTCGACAAGCGTTGTAGACATCCTCATATGTCGCGGTTTGATTAACGTATTTCAAAATGTACATCATAGTCCCCTTAAATAGAGCGCCAATGCGGCTGCCGACGGGGTCGATAGTCACATCGTGTATTTTGTGCCTCTCAATAAAGACATAGCCTTTGCTTGGATTGCAGGGACGGTACGGCAGGCGGAAGATCGTCGACTTGAGTGTCTAGGTCTTCCACTACTGCGTTCATTATGTCTGGCTGGTAGTCAATCGTAAGTCGATTCAATGCAGGCCGACGCTCATCATAAGTGATTCAGTGCCCTTGACACTGATGACCCTTTGACACACTACTATAGTCACGGGAGATGGATGCTTCATCCACAATTGATGGTGGGACACAGAAGAACCCCGCGGACCGTTCCGCATGAATGAAGCCAGATCGACAATCGTATACCCGGGTCAGGGAGCTGGATAGAGGATACGCTCCGGGCGTGGTGGCAGGGAACTCACTTAATTCCGAAAGGACGCAATTCTAGCAGATTACTGCGCCATGATCTGATAGCGTGTCGGCAGAATGTTTAAGCGTGCAGCAATATAAGACGCCAGCTGACCCAACGTCCTCAATGTTGAGATACATATCTGCACTTTCAACCGGCCATGCATCAAAGACTGCCTGAAGGAGGTCAAACTTTGGTTTATTCGACGATCAGCGATCACGAAGTCAAACTTGACTTCTATTTGCCCGATGCCGACCGCGGGAGTCTGCCCGCGCTGATCTACTATCATGGCGGTGGAATGACAGCTGGCTCACGGCGCGCTGGCTTCCCCCACTGGCTGTACAGTGCGTGATGATTGCTTTAAAAATATGTGGTAGCCATACTAACCCCAAAATACAGAACACTGCCAGGCGAAAGGCTACATCTTCATTTCGGCCGACTATCGGCTCTGTCACCCCTGCACCGCCCTCGATCAAATTGAGGATGCCAAAGCTCTGTTCAGATTCGTTGCAGGGGCAACTTTCAATGACCAGCTGCCTCGCTCTATCACTATTGATACTACGCGCATCGCGGTCACTGGATTCTCAGCGGGCGCCTATTCAGCTCGTGCCGCATGCATCTACGCCGAGCCGAAACCTGCCGTTCTCCTGACAGGCTACGGGCTTGGAGGGAACTTGCTCTTAGATCACTGGACTTCTGCCCGGCCACCGACATCCCTTGCTGGGCGTGTCAATCTAGATGAAGTCCCGAGGTTACTAGCCGATAAAACTATTGTAAGCGATGACACGCCGGCGAACGGCCTCATGTCCAATCGCTTTGCTCTCACAGTGCGCTGGGAGCTTGATGGTACCATACTCGATGGCATCTTTGGAAGACCTGGACTGGGAGCAATGTTCAATGCCGTGGACTATGCTCAACGAGCTGGTATGATTCCTGCCGATTTGAAGGCGGGATTTTTACCTTGCTTTGTCACTAAAGACTACCCGCCGTCTGTATTCGTGCATGGCACGGCCGATGAAGTTGTGCCTGACCAGGAAAGCATTGACCACCATGAGCAGCTGAAGAAGCTGGGCGTGAAGACGGAGCTCCTGCTTGTAGAAAATGGGTCGCATGGACTGATGGACTTCACCTCTGGTCCACCGTTCGAGCTAACTAGAGCTGCGGTAGAGGCATATGGCAAAGCGCTTGAATTTGTAGATGAAGTGCTTAGCGCGCTCTAGGTGCTTTGGTCTTCTTTTCGCCCAACCAGTTTATCCTGGTGCCATGTCAGTTTCAATGACAAACAATGTTGGGTTTCAATGCAATCCATCGAAATGGAGCTTTGGGCCACGCATGTCTATAGAGCAAAATGGCCGTTGAATAATTCTGTTTCAACAGACTCCGAATCATGGTACAATCTGCAAGGGGTCAGGTATACGTAGAATAACTAGGAAAGGGTCGTGAGGTCCTGCCGTCGCCGTCTACGCACCGAGAAACGGTACCCGGACTACTCACCGAGCCATCGCTAAAATCGGGGCCTATGAAGTCTTTACAGAGATGGATCGTGCTTCCATGAGTGGTAAGCTCGGTTCTGATGGCCCTTCGGGCAATCTCTTCCATTTCCTGATTTCATCCTGGGGCAAAGTAGGACGACCACATTGCAGAAAGTTGTGGTATCTCATACAATTTACACACGCCGCTCTTTTACACACCCGCTCTCAAAGAACATTATACTGGCTGGAGGGTTTCAAGTCTGAGAGACAAAGACAAGTCCGAAATCTTTGCCAGTGTTTGGCGGTGTATGCCCTTGCGGCCGCTCTGTGGGAATTCTTCGCAACGAACTCGCCGCAGTAAGTTTGAGACAAGATTATGATATGGTCAAGGCAATGTAAGGCACATTGATCCCTAATATGGCCACGAGGCCATCCCAGAGCGGGTGTCTCTCGAATCCAGAGTGCAGAGCTTATAGAGAACACTGCGACGAACATGAAGGCTAGAGCGCCGAGTTTCGCCACTTTCCTTTCTCAAGCACGGGAGAGCTTACTTGTCATATATACGATCTCAATCATTTTTTGTCAAGCATTCCATCTATTATTCGGACTGACATTCGTGAAGATGTTTTCTGTCTAAGTGATTGAGGTCAAATCTAATATGCAGGTTGCTTGGGAGGGGCTTTTCAATAGCTATGTTTACTTAGGTAAACGGATCAGCCCATTGGGGTTAGCCTCAACATAGGTAGACTTAATATCGGTGGAAACTTATCCACCCTAGGGCACAAAAGGGTAACATCAGGCCGAAATTATATCGAGAAAACGGCGCGGAGCTAGTTGTTTACACCGCTCCACTAGTGGCCCCCCGTCAGGGATTCCCAAATGTCATGGAAATAAGGGCTGTCATGCCGAGTATCACTGCTCGAGATGAGCGCATGCAAGATCAAGCTTAAAAAACAAGCGCAGGAACTCGACACGTGCAAGGTCATGACATGCGTAGCGCAGATCTCCTGTGCAGAGCGCGTGAGGCCCTGACATGCTGACCGCCAGTCACTAGAGCTTCCATAGGCAGGTCTATTGGCGGACAAAATTGGAATTCGATCTAAGTAGATCCAATCCAGAGGATATTAAGTACAGATTCAAATGATAGCCCGGACGCGGAGGCGAAGACCTCACCTCCCGTTCTCGGCGAGATCGACGGGGAAGCGCAGGTTTGGCGGGGTCTTATTTACCGCCAACACAGACCCCCCACTTCGACCTCTTACATCTCCCACAAGCTTCTTATATTCTCCCGTCTCTCTTTCTCTCTCTTCTCCTCCTCACTCCTTACACGAACCCCCTTTCACCCTCACACAAGCACCATGGGCCAACACTCGGCGATTTGGCAGGGTACGTGTCCCCTTTGACCGCATCCGTCTCTAATTGTGGTCCCCTAACTAACCACGACGACTCCTCAGGCTATGTCGACTCCAGGTACATTGGATTCCCTTCCGATCGGCAATTCTCATCTCTGTCCCTTTTCCGAAAAGAAGCTCCGATCATGACTATCGCCGCATGCTGACATACACTCTGCAGCCTAATGGGTTCGGGTCAATTCGACAAGGCCGGTATCTTGGCCGCCGACTTCTCCGGTCTCGAGGCCCAGTCGCCCGGATTCACTGTATGAGACCGGCCATTCAAATATATTTCGTCCTCGCCGACGGGGTATCTGAAACTGTGGCACCCGCTAACAGACAACTCACATTGCAGATGAACCAGGAGGACATCAACACCCTGGCCGCGGCCTTCACTGACCCCGACTCCGCCTTTGCCAACGGATTCTCCGTCGGTGGCGAGAAGTTCGTCTGCATCAAGGCCGATGCGCGCAGTCTGTACGGCAAGAAGGTACGCCACTACATTACGAGAACGAAGCTCAGGGAAACGATCGGAGACAGGACAGCCACTGACTTGGGATACACAGGGCAAGGAGGGTGCTATCGTCTCTCGCGCTTCCGCATGCACCATTATCGCCCACCACGGCGAGAGCGTCCAGACCACCAACGCCGCCACTGTGGTGGAGAACCTGGTCGACTACATCAACAACCCCCAATAAGAGGGTAGCTTAAACTTACAGATGCGGATGATGCTATGAACAGGCTGTGAAGAATATGAAATAAAGGAGCATGAAATTATCCTCGTTATAGTTGCTGAACAATAACCACATACTTTATCATAAGACGTGAGGCACCATGGATGTGGGTCAGAATTGCCTGACCTTGAATTCATCTTCCTGAGTAGGCGCACCAAGCTTTCATAACGTATGACGAAGCTACCTGGAAATCTCGGGAGGTTTGGTAAAGGATATGCTTCTATGCTCTATTATTTACGTCGAGTACAAACGTTCCAGCCCACACAAATTGTGTCACTTCGCTGAAGAAAGAGGTCATTAATAATTACATCAGGCTCCTAGGGCCGTAGAGAAACATTGCGGCAGCCGGCCGCATCTTCGGCAGGTAAAAGCCAGGCAATTTTTCGAAAGAGACGACTCTCAGCTGAGACCGAGATTCGTGATAATCACATCAAAGCCATGGTAGATAAGCACATTACTCATACCGGCAGTTCGGCGTTGCTGCGGCCACCAGCGAGAACCTCGAGACCGCGCTTGATATAAGGTCCGATGACAGGGATGTTGCCTGCAAATTGACCAATGGTGACCAGGAAATCGCCGAAGAGGATGAACAGGCCGTACAGCTCGATCAGGAAGCCTGTTAGCGGCCAGCGGAATAAGATGAGGAGGATCCCGACGGTGAATGCGGCGGTGCCCTTGAGTTTCTGGGGACGAGTGAAGAAGATCATGGTCTTTTGGACGCCGATAATAAGGGTGAGGCCGATCAGGAAGAGGATCTAGAAATGTTAGTCTGCAGTATCGGAAGGGGTCCGCGCGCGCGTACGTTGCCCATAGCGAGTCTATAGTTCAACTGTCAGTGTCCATTAATCCTAGGAGTTTTCATTCCAAGAAAAGCGACGTACAGTGATCGGTCAAAGAACATGAGGACACCACCGAGCAGGAACAAGCCACCTAATCCCCCAGAAGGCCTTATTAGTACTCCATCGCGGGAGGCAATCAATCGCAGATCATCACTCCATACCTGCAGAGCAGAAGACCACACCGATCTCTATCCAACTTGTCAGTTAGGGTCCCCACAAGTCACGCAAGCATTGCGCCTCGAAAGCATGCGACACAGTCGCCACACTCGCAGAATGGGACACTTACTCTGATTTTCCGTCAACCACATGCTAGGCATTCTGATTTTCACACAACAGGGAAGAAAAGAGAATGGACTCGAGAAAAGAAAAGGTAGGTTGGCCAGGAACAGAGGGGCCGGGCGCAGTCGCCGTAAACAGAAAATCGGATTCTGCCCGTCACATAAAGGCGGTGAAAGCTGTGGTTTAAGCCGCGCCGAGCGGTGGACAAGTTTTCGCTTCTACACATTAGGTTCATTTGGTGCGAATCCTCAATTTTTTGACTACGCGGGATATGAGGGTGGATGGTGCCAATGTGATTGTTATCATTAGTATGGGAGCTCAGCATGATGACGCTAGGCTATCCATCACTATTGCTGTCAGGAGTGGCCTGCTGCCACGGACAGCTGTCTACGCGCATTGCACCATTTCCTCGACATTTTTCCCTCTCAGATTCTATTATCACAACACGCCGCGACGACAGCACCTTCGGGGTGCTGTAACTGATGTCCCTCCCGTGGAGCTTCGGTAATAGTCGAGTGCCTAGCACGAGGCGAAGAACAGACACAATGGTCACGAATAAGCCGGAGCGCTTTCTTGAGCCTGTCTCGAAAGGGGCATGGTGGGGTGGAAAGGGCTTGACTGTGTTGGCCGGACATATGCATTGTAGTGATTATCTAGAGAAACAGATAGCTGTTAGCGAAATGGGATATCAGATAGAACCTGAACCTTGCAATCGTACTTTTGGAATGGGTATCTTTGCATTGATCTCGAGTAAAACATAGATTCGCCATTGGCGGTTGCTTTACTTCAGGATTGTATGCGCTCCGCGCGCTTCGAGGTAGCTTTCTGGCACGCCCTGGGCTAGGGTGCGGATGACGCCGAAGATTTCCCTGTTGTGGTATCGCAGGCGGGTCTTCGGGTCGGTGTAGGGGCCCGAGAGACCGGTAAGATCGCAGTAATTGCGATGATAGGATGGATTTAGCGAAGGCGCGGACTCAATATTGGTGTAGGTGACTGTCGGACCGGAAGGGAACGTGGCGCGGGCGTTCTTCTCTAGTACCATTGTAGACAGGTTCTGAGTGGCCTGTGCCAGATTGGGTGCTTTACCGGCTCCCTCGGCAGGAGTCTGGGATCCGTCTGTAGTTATGGCGCCAGAGGTGGCCGGGTAGGGTGTGGTTGCGCCAGAGTTGGCCTGGGTAGCCATGACGGATGCTTCTTTTCGCGTGGTCTCAGAGACGATCTGCTTCACGTTCTTGTTGCGGCGCTGCGATGGTCTCCAGTTCGGATTTCGAAATGGCTTGGGAGCATTGGCAATGTCCATTTGATTCAGGAGAAGCTGGTGCGACTCATCGTTTGCGGGTGTTGCGGGAGGCATGGTGTACGGATAAAGGGCGGATATTCAGCTAGATGGTGGTGGTGGTGGTGGTGGGTGGAGAGTGAGGGGCGTATAATATTAGTGAATGTTTCAGGAAGAGGACTTTTGATGCTCCTTGAAGATGTTATAGTCAATTGAATCGCGGATGTTTGCTAGGCGTGAGAACGGAATCCGACGACCGTGGTTTGGTCTGTATAATGTCACGTGAGTGCGGAGATCAAACAAAGCGTCAGGTTCAACTCGACGCGCCCATTGTTGTCATCACTAGCTTTTACATCATGGTAAATCTAGCCAGCGGAACGATTACCCAAGGACGTTCAAGGCTAATGGTTCTGTAGGAGAGCCCTCATGAGCACCAGCAGTCGGTGCTTTTGTCCCGCATCATCACCAATGTGGTATGTCTTCTCCAGATCATATCTCTGGCTGCGATGAAAGATCCGACTAACATGCGGTCCAGGAAAAACTCAATGAAGCTGTTATGGTCATGAACAAAAGCCTACAGGTAGCAATTAAGTCATGACCTTTGATGGCATGCGTTTCTGACATTTTGACAGGAGGTCAACATCCAAAATATGAACGTTGAGCTGGTGGCGCAGATGTTCAAGAACTACCAGTCGAATGTTCTTTTCCATCTGGAAGGTATCACCATCTCTTTCTACCGAACCCATAACCTGGGCCTAGTGCTAAGATGTCTCTAGCCACGGAGAACCTGAAGGAGCCCGTACAGGGCGAACAGACCTGATGAGATTTATGATCAATGAGGAAATGCCTAGATTATATACCAATTGAATTGACTACATGTTTTCACATATGTCTCTCCGTAAGATGTGAGCTCGTCCGTCGGCGCAATAGTGATAAAGCGCGGTGAATCGCGGCGTATCGCAACTGCGGCTTGGCGCAACCAAACCTCCAACTCTCAACTTCCACAACTCCGAAAACTTGGGACCGCCCATTTGACGCGCACATCAGGTTCAGTTCCACGGTCTATACAATATAATAACGTCCATCTCATATCATTCTGCTTCGCCCTACATGCAGTAAACGCCAACGCACCTTTGACCTGATCTCCGATCCTCAAAGCTCCTGGTTTCGAACCGGCGCAGCCCACCATGACCATTTCCTCGGTGCAGACCCTCCTACCGGGGCGTTATGCAATCAATGCAACTGAGAAACGCGCCGAGAAACCTCCCCCGAAGACTTACAGCGTTCAAGAGTTCCCTTTCAAGGGCTACCAACCTCCGCAGCCGGACGGCTTTGAGCAGAGCCGTGCCCACCCCGACACCAGCGCCATCGTAATTGACAATGGTAAGCCCCTCTTCGATAAAAGTCTCTGAGTCAATACTGATCACGACCTATGTAGGCGCCCACCATGTCAAGGCCGGCTGGTCCTTCGACAAGACACCACGATTCATCCAACCTCCCGTCATGAGCCGCTACCGTGATCGCAAGCTGGGTCGGCAGTGCCAGTTTATCGGATATGATGCCTACGCCGATGCGACAACCCGGGGCCAGATCCGCTACGGGTTCGATCCGGGATCCAGCGTGGTCGGCAACTGGGATGTTATGGAAGGTGTTCTGGACTATGTATTCCTGAAGCTGGGAGTGGATGGTGCCAATGGCGGTGTTGACCGGCCAATCTTGATGACTGAACCTGTTGCGAACATGACATATCCACGAAAGAGTAAGCTCGTTTGGATGTGTATGTAGGCTGAAAGGTGCTGACAAGTTCAAGGCATGAACGAGATTCTCTTCGAGTGCTACGGTGCACCCTCCGTCGCTTACGGTATTGACTCGCTTTTTGCCTACCGCTATAACAAGGGAACGGACGGATTGATTGTGTCTTCCTCCCACACCTCTACCCATGTTATCCCCGTGCTCAACTCTAAGCCGCTTCTCTCCAACTGCTCGCGACTGAACTGGGGCGGTCTCAACAATGCCGAGTACCTAATGAAGCTCTTGAAGTTGAAATACCCTACATTCCCCGCCCGCTTGACCGACTACCAGATGGAGCAACTGGTGCAGCAGCACTGCTACATCTCACAAGACTATGACCGCGAGCTGAACGGATACCTCGATTGGACCGGACTCGAAGACCGAGACCATGTCATCCAATACCCCTTCACGGAGCATATTGTGCAAGAGAAGACGGAAGAGGAGCTGGCCCGGATTGCAGAGCGCAAGAAGGAGAGCGGTCGTCGACTACAAGAACAAGCGGCTAAGATGCGACTCGAAAAGCTGGTCAAGAAGGAGCAGGAACTCGAATATTGGAAGGATTTGCAAAGTCGCCTTGCGTCTGAAACTAAGAAGGAAAGTCGCCGACTGCTGGAGGCAGACGATCTGAAGGATGAGGTTCATTTGGAACGCATGATTCGTGATCTAGAAAAGTCCATCAAGCGCTCGCGCAACAAGGATCTCGGCATTGAGGAGAATGAGGAGCAGCAAGAGGAGATGACATTTCCCATGCTTGATATCCCCGACGAGGAGCTCGACGAGGCCGGTTTAAAAGAGAAGCGCCACCAGCGCCTGATGAAGTCCAACGTCGAGGCGCGCGCCCGTGCCAAGGCTGAGAAGGAGCGTGAGAAGGCCCGAGTAGAAGAGGAAGAACGTCTTGATCGCGAGAAGCGTGAGAACAATTTCGAGGAGTGGATTGAAGAGCGACGCGCCAATCGTCAGGTAATTTTTCTGTCAGAACTACGGGCACGCGTTCTTTGCTAACAATATTTTAGTCCCTTCTCCAAAGAATCAAGGACCGGGACCGTTTCAAGGCTGACCTTGGTAACCGCAAGTCCCTCGCCAGCCAGATGCGTATGAAGACGTTGGCAAATCTCGCTTCCGACGGTCCCAAGAAACGCCGTCGCGGCGGAGATGACGACGATTTCGGTGCCAATGACGAGGACTGGGGTGTCTACCGAACCGTCGCCAAGGACGAACAAAGCGACGAGGAAGAAGAGGAAGACCTTGGCGGTATGCTCAACGGTGTCGAGCAAGAGCTGCTCGAGTACGACCCCGACTTTACCGAGAACCACACTTTGGCAGCACAATCCGACTGGACTAAGAGTCTAGTGCATGCGTTCCTTCGTGGCCCGTGGCCATTTGATCCGGAGAGCCAGCGCGAAGCACACCAGATTCACCTGAACGTTGAACGGATCCGCGTGCCGGAAGTTGTCTTCAAGCCGTCCATTGCTGGTGTTGATCAAGCTGGTCTGATCGAGATCGCCGCCGATATTATTAATCAACGCTTCTCTAGCACCCAAGACCGCAACCGTCTCCTGCGTGACGTCTTTTTGACCGGTGGCAACACCCTCTTCCACGGCTTTGAGGATCGTTTCCGCAACGAGCTCCGCGGGGTTATTCCTGTGGACGCCGATCTGATCGTGCGCCAGGCCGCGGATCCGGTGTTGGATGCATGGAAGGGCGCTGCGCAGTGGGCTTCCGGCGGTGACCTCGGCCGGTCATCTGTAACGCGACAAGACTACATGGAGAAGGGCAGCGAGTACATGAAGGTGAGCAATGCAATGCGTAGCATGTGATTTTCCTGGGGGCTCTATTAACATGTTCTACAGGAGCACGATCTGGGCAACGTTACATGGTGAACGTGGAGTTGAGCGTGAAGTTGCACGTCGTTGAACGTGGAGTCCAAAACATTAGGCGCAATGGAGTCGAGTTGCACGGTCTATTGGTTTCTGGGGCGTATTCGTGTTTAATCTTGAGTCAAACGAAGTCAAGTCTAGTGCAGTAACACTCGAAGTCCCTTTTGAAGTCCCTTTTGAAGTCCCTTTTGAAGTCCCTTTTGAAGTCCCTTTTGAAGTCCCTTCATAGTTCCGTCGAGTATGAGACGGCGGATCCCTCAATCTTGGTGTAGCATATCTATTCGGGCATAGGACGGTAACTTTTCCATCACAGCACAATATCTGATAGCAAGGGTCTGACGTCTAATTACCTATTGTCCATACGTGACACTTCAATCTTTCAATCTTCTCCACGCTAGAGACTATACAACCTGCCTGTACAGGCTGTACAGGATGAGACAGGCTGTACAGGGTGAGACATTCGCCCGTCACTCCCGTACTATCACTAACATGATTTCCTTCCTCCTTGTTTACTTCATCCTGTTTGCCGAGGAAGATCAATCAGAATCTAGCCCATCATGCAACCATGCATTGAACAGTTGGAGTTCAATCACCAAGCCTAGCGAAACTGGTCTCTCGCCCGGACTGCATCGGAATCTGTGGCGTCAATCAGCAAGAGTTGACGTGGTGTCACGCGGTGCTGGTCGATCCCACTTGAGGAAACTCGCAGGTGGAGTCTATACAAAGTACGTAGCCGGGATGTTTCTCGCATGGGTAATTAGGACAGGTCAAGTTTCGTCAGTGACACCCAGAGATGTCGCATCCCGCAGAGCTTATTTCACGTCAATGTTTCGAAGGTCGACCTCAAGGGGGGGTGTACGAGGTACTGAGTTCCAGAGTTAAAGATTACATCCCTGGAATCACCTGGATCAACAAGACTCTTCGTGATAATGAAATGGAAAAGTTGAAAGCCACTGTCGATCACAATCCATGGATCCCTGGTACTTCCGTGCCGACAAAAGTCCATTTATTTGTTGTGACCTCACGAACTGATTCACGTCGATCACGGGACTCCGTGGGTCGCTTCGGAGTGGTGTGATGTGGTTGAGGCCGATGATTGGCACTCAACCCATCGTTCCATTCGGACTCGGCACTGGATCTGCATCCGCCGCGAGCCGAGACTGGGAGACTGACTCTATACCGCAATTTGTTCCATGTGAAAGATCCCTAGCGAAAACAGCAAGGCATGATTTGATTTCTTGAGGGATGCACCTCGGAGATTTCTCATCCTTCCAGAAGATTCCATCGGACAACTGATACATCGCAACCAAGTTCAGCAAGGACTCTTTCGTCTGGGCGAAAGAACTATCATACCCGAACCAGCGGTGTGCGCTGATTCGCCAGAGCCATTGACTTCATGCGTTGACCATCATGACGCATCTGGGGAAACGGAACAGCGGCAGCGCAAGTCTCGCATTCCCACCTGGTCTGGCCTTTGGACTCCCGGCGACGCTAGTGGTGTTGGTGTCTCATGGTTCTGACGTCCCGATGTGCCCGGTCTTGAGAAATATAAAGGCGGTGCCATCGCGCGAGTGAAGGGATTCTTCACCCGAACATATCATTCTATAATTCCAAAACATACTCGACGACCAACCTCCTATCCACGGTCTTGACTCGGTTGTGGCGAGCTATATTTCCCCTCCTCTTGTATAGTCTGCCCTTTCATCCGCCATGGCTTACTCAACTGCCATCTCGCGCCCTCTACAGCTCGCAACTCGCACTATACAATGGTGCAGTGCAGTGATCGTGATGGGATTGACCTCATACTTCATTAGTAAAGGCCCGACTGGTCAGCACCTTATCTATCAGGAGGTCATTGTATGTATCACCCAACATCCGGCCCTGAACTCCAGGATCGCCCTATCCGGAAGCATAAACCTAACATGGACATCCAGGCCGTGCTCTCTGTGGTCTTCTTCCTCCCAGCATTCGTGTCCCCCTTCCTCCCAACAGCACTAAGCAAATTCGTCCTCGCAATCGACGTCATCTTCTCATACCTGTACGTGTTCCATCCAGCCTTAACCCAGCCCAGCCCAGTCTAGCCCAGCCCAGCCCAGCCCAAAACAAATATTGAACCCAACTAACAAACGACCCTTCTTGACAGCTGGCTAACCGCCTTCATCTTCGCGGCCCAAGACTACAACTGGCACCTGTGCTACTTCCACTCCCGGCCGGGATACCCTGCGGCCGAAAGTACGCCAACGAAGCATTCATGTTCCTAGCCTTGTAGGTTCCACAAGCCAGACCCAGATTCTCAACAGGAAGCATGACAATCACAACATTGATCAACAGACTAACACCTTTGGAATTTAGCATCTTTACATTTTTCGGTGTATTCCTTGAACTCGCTGCCCTCTGGGCTTATCGTAAGGCGAATCACGCGGTGGCACCTGTTCACGAGAAGAGCAGTGCGGCACCTGGTACTCGTGCGCCGTTTGATGCGCCTGTAGAGGCTACTGCTCCGGCTGGAACTGTCTAGAGTATCTGAGTATCTATTCAGACTTCCTCAATGCTACGCTAAGACAGATATATCTGCTTCATTAGGAGTCATCCAAGTTGATCTTGTCTATCTGATGAGCGGCTACTTGGTTTTTGATCCGGATGCGAGTGCGACGAGGTGGAATGCATATATGATGATACGGGGATGGTGAAGATTGAGGCTATCCTTCTTTTTGCGCTGAGTAATATTCCCCGAGATTAATAATCTAATGATATAATTAATGTTGTGTGTTTACATTGTATTATCGAGGAGACTGTGTAACGAAAATAAATGGAGATGAGAAAGCCGTGTCCTTTCAAGGCGTCTATAGATGGAGGTGAACGTGAGCGATCAGTATATTGCTGTCAACAGTGTCATAAATTTCCAAATGTTCTCAGTTCGAGTACTGAGCCAGGGTTGTATCAAGGGATTCGTGTCCGCGGTTCTTGTGAAGACTCTGCCGAGCTCGATCTTCAATTCGCACTACATGATTTCGAGACTTCGCTTGATTCATATCAGGTTGGCCTCACCAAGAATAATATATTCGGCAAAATCTATTCACATCTATCCACGAAGCAAGAGAGGGAGAAAAACAAACAAGCCACCGCATGCAAAAGGGTGTATCTCATGCAAAGAGAAGAAGAAGTAAAGCGCATGTCACCACCAAAAACAACTCACCTTGTACACAAGCAGGGTAAGATAAAAAAGAACAAAAATCTATATACTGGCGCGTCTTGGGGCCATTGTGCGCTGCAGTTTCCGCTTCTCCTCCGTCTCCTCCGGAATCGGAAGCGACCCTCGTTCTTCAATTTCTCCAGGAATTCGCGACCATAGGCATAGCCTACTTGGTAGATCTCATCGAACTTGCCAAATTCCAGTGTGCCATAGGGATCGATAGGCGGGCGCATATAGAGACATCCGGGGGTGTTCTTAGCGCGCTCGAGATTGTCAATGGAAGAAACGTATGCCAATCTCGCCTGAATCTCGGAGAGGGTAGGCGGGTTGGGGAGAGTGGAGAATGGGTTCCAGCGGTTAATCACAGACCAAAATCCGGAGAGTGAATCGCCGTAGCCCTGGGGCGTGTTGTCGTCAATAGACCCAACGTCCACGGCGAAGATGACGTCCGCGCCGAGACTCTTCATGTGAGCCACGGTAAGATTATCGATGTATCCACCGTCCAAGAGCATGCTTCCCTCATCGCAGATCGGGGGAATGAGACCAGCCAGCGACATGGACGCACGGACATACCGCCAGACATAGCCGGAAGAGTGGTACTCTGCTCGGGAGCGACTGATGTTAGTCGTGTTGCAATAAAATTCAAGCCAGAAGTCTTCAATTTGGCTATCGCCGAATGTCTTGAAGATACCACGGTTGAACTCGTGACCGGTTGTGTAGGAGACGGTTCGGGTATGTCAGGTCCAGTGCGAAACGCCACATACTGCCCATACGACCGGAAAACTTCTTCGCGCGGCCGTACATGGGGACGACATCCGCATCGCGGGCGTACAAGGCACCAATGAAGGAGCCAATGGAGGTACCACCGATGATATCGATTGGGATTCCGGCTTCTTCAAGGGCTTTAATCACGCCTACTTGGGAGATCCCGCGAGCTCCACCGCCACCTAAAACGAGACCGACGGATTTTCCGCACAGACGTTGAGCGAGGCGGTGGAAGTCGCCCTTGAATGGGGTTTGTGGGGGAGTAAAGAGGTGTTTGTTGGATGCGACGCGAGGTATACTTTTGGATCTCGGCTTGCAGGACTTGAACACGCTGTTTCAAGACTGTGCCAAATCTCTTTGTCTGAGGGTGAGAGGGCTCAGTAGTCAGGCGGAAAGCCATTTGGATGTGGTGGTGGCCGCCATTGATCCACACTCGATTCTTCAGCCAGCGGCGGGTTAGACCGGGCGGGCAGTAGCGCTCAGAATGCAAAAGAACCAATTCCTTGCGGGCTGTGGTCTTCATGCCGAGAAGGAAACGTTCGTATTCACCGATCCGGGGAGAACCCTCAGCGAGGCCAACCAGCAGAATGGAATCAGCTTGCGCAATGCAAGTTTGCGTCCAGGGTGAATTGACATTGGTATCAGCGATGTACAGTACCAGACCGTACTTCTCCTCGAGGTCAGCCAAGTACTGAGATAACTTGAGCTTACCCATCTTGCTGAACGCATGACGACCCAGGTGGTTCAGAATTGCGGCTTGATTGAGGGATGTAACGCCCCTGTTTACACCGACTTGGTGCAACGCATGCAGCAGGCGATGTCCAAATTCAACTACAGGAACACTTGCAGTAACCGGGACAATTGCAACGGTGCGGAGGTTCACGGTAGATGTCGCAGTCTGAACACCACCGACAGTTCCTGATTCAATGCTCTTCTCGGACGAAGGACGCTCCACCAAATCGCGCATACGCTGAGCAATGAGCTTTGAAATTTGAATGGTGATTCCTGGGTGCTCTTGCGCAAGGCTATTGAACAACGAGCGAGGGAATTTGGCCAATTCAGTATCACGAATGGCGTGAAGAGTAGCCGGGCGAGTAGACTCAGTCATAACCTCAAGCTCGCCGACACTCTCGCCTTGGCCGTATTCGCCAATGACAGTCATCTTGCCATTTTGACCCTCTAGAACAGACCTCAAACGACCGTTCAATACAAGATAGATCGCATCGCTTTCGTCTCCTTGGTGGTAAATTACCTGGCCCGCGCTGACCTGCACCCATTCGAGAGCAAAGTCAATGTGAAGTAGCAGGCGCGGAAGCAGGCTAGTCAATCGCTTGCCGAGGGTCAACAGGGCGATAGGGTAGCGATCAGCAATACGTTCGAGAGAAGCACGCGGAAGGAATCCCACGTAGACGTCCGTCTTCGCAACGACGTCCGTATAAGAACGATAAGATGCAAGACCACCAACATAGCCTTGAATGGCACCAGGTTTTATCAAATACAGAGACTTGCGGGACTGGGACTTGCGGCGAGAATCACTGGTACTGTTCGGCAAAGCAGTGCGAGAAGATCCAGTATTGGTTCGCCTGAGCTTGGGGAAAAGCTCTTCCTGTGCAGAGCCGGCCGGGCGAGATGTTCCGACGAGATCATCACCACGTTCGTTAATTGGAATGCCTACGTCCAGGAAACCATCGATCACGTAGTACAAACCTGGGTGGCGCTCGCCCTGCTCGACAAGAACCGAGCCCTGAGGGAAGTAAACCACTTCGATATCAGAGCGTAAATCTTCACGAAGGTTGACAACCGGAGACGTGCCACCAGCGCTAGTCACGGACATAGACGACATAGACTCGGTTTCATTATCTCCCGATCCCTCGTAGGGGTCGATGAACCCAAATGCATTGGAAAAGACGGCCTTCTGTCGCCGTGAATCGTAGGAAAGTAGCCTTGGGGAGGCGTCGCCGGACACATGGCTACCCTTGCGCAAAGATTCGTTCGTACTCTCGGTCAACCCGATGCCTTTCATAATACAATCTAGGATGGAATCACGGAAGAGTGTGTCTTCGTCCACGGACGAATCTTTGCGTTGGAAGGTGGATGGCCGGCTATCCATCATGTTTGAGGGGCGGAAAAGAGGACGTTCACGCTCAGTCAAAGGACTTGTCAGCTGTGGTCCATTATGGTCATAGCGTGGTCCGAACCGGGAGAGCTGTATGGTCGATAGCAAATCACCAGGACTCACTCCACTCGTGTCGCGGTCATTGAAGCCACTCGGTGATCGTGGTGGTTGTCGTTGGGGCAAGGGCGTAAGTGCAACAGGTCGTCGCTGGCTAGCCAGACGAGCTTGGAGAACAGCATCTTTCTTGAAAGAGCTGCTTGAGCGTCGCCGGCCGGCAGATGGGTTGTGGAGTGCAATACCCTTGCAGACATCCTCGGGACCCAGGCGGTCTCGCTCCCGCATGAACTTATCCTTGAGACGATCCAGAGCACCTCCGCGAAGATCATTTGGCAGATCCCAACTGGTGAACTTGGTCATTTGTTTCTCGATGCCAAGGACGTCCGTGGTCAATCCGAGGTAAGAGTGAGCGGTTGCAAATGTCACTCTTTGAAGGCGCGTCAATATGACCTGTACAATATGGGCCGTCGCGCGTGGGTAGACACGGGTCAGACGGCGGAAAGCACTGGCAGGAATGATAGCAATAGTAGTGTCTACCGTTGCACGGGCGACAATGTCTGGGTGAACCGACTTCTTACGTCGCTTGCGTTGTCTAGATTCTGGCTGCGGAGTGCTTTGGGGCATGGTGTGGCTTTCTCCGAGGTGCAATGGAGGCACAAAGGGTAGAGAACCGGGTTGGCCATTGGCAGGCGTCGGGGAGCCAAAGTCTCTTGCAGCGGTCAAAGGGCTATCAACAACCCCAACGCTAGGACTGACGGGTAGAGAGTCGACAACTTGGGCGATGCTCGGCTCCACGCTCGAGGTGCTGGAGCTAGAGCTACGTGACGTGCGGAGTTGGATGTCTTCGGTGAACAGCGACAGGATAGAGAAGAGGGACGACATGGACGCGCCATTCTTCACCTCTGTCAACAGCTGATAGCCCTGTCGACCGTGCAATGGGTCACCCTCCTCGTCAGAGGTGACTTCGTCCAAGTGCAGGTCCTCCTCCGACACAGTCTTTCCCTCCCGCGTCGACTTCACGAAGATCTGAACCAGACCGTCCACAACTAGGCAAAAGCCCTTCTCTTCTTCCAGCATGAGTGTTTCTCCCGCAATCAGCTTTCTCGTCTGCATTGTCCGCGTCAATTCATGGAAGACAGGCCGTTCGAGATATCCGAACACTTTGATGGCGCTGAGGAACTCATCGAGGTAGTTGGCCAGTCCAGACTTGACGTCGCCTTCTTGTATATCGGGGAATAGATCGATTTGCGCTTCTTTGCGTTGGGGCTCCGGAGGTAAACGGCTGTACATGTTCAAGAAGCGGTAGCGAATGAACCAGCTGACGGTCGAGACCACAGCGAGGACGATCAACATGCTTTCCAAGGAGGCATTGGTTAGCAATCCGCGTACTTGAGCTCACGAGAAAATACGTACAGGGTTGTGAAATTCATGGTGAAGGTCAGGCTCATTGAGAAGAGCGTGAAGAGCCATGTAGGCACGGTGAGAGTGCTGAAGGTAATGAGCCAGTACAGGCTGCGGGGAACGACGTGGAAGACAAAGGTCAAGACCCAGCCAATCCAGCCCGCCATCGTGGAGGGAGTCGGAGGAAGAAAAGGCGGGGAGGAAGTCGCAGACGCGGGTAAAGCGGTTGTCAAGCTAGAGGATGAAGTTGCAGCCGTTAGGCTGAGGGCGAGTGACGGAGCTAATCCGTTCGCCATGGTTGGAGGGGGCACCTGTAGGGGCGTGTTGGGGCTCCGCTTTCGTGGCCTTGTTTTGGCCCAGGTCCCATCCAAGTTCCGTCAAATTCCCGTCAATGCGATGTTAATCCCGATCATTTGGGCCAAGTTAGGCGCAGTATCGAAAACGTGCGGGCCCTGTCATCGGTGGATGGAGGAGATGAAAATGAGGGGAGAGGTTTGGCCCGCCCAGGGATCAGTCCCGAGGCGGTGCAGATCACGCCTGCACGTCTGCAGACGGGTAGTATTGGAGGACAGATAGCCTTGGAACACCTTGACTGGCCGCAGGATAATCCTAGGAGAGGATTAAGTAGTGGAACGTGCTCCCAGCAAGGTATCTCGTAGGTTCATCCTCTGGGTCCGGAGTTGGGCACGTTTCTATGGTTGACTGGGCCGACAACCATACTTTTCCACCTGCATCTGGGCTCCATGGCATTCTTACTAGATTGGGGCATGCTTAATATTTCCAGATCTGCCGGTCCCGAGGTTCTCGACTCCATAGATCTAGATCTTCTTTTTGACCACTTCAGATGATTAGATCTAATCTGGGTTGCAAAGAGGCTTGAAGCGCGGCTGATCGCCGCGATGTATATTGGCTTCGGCGTTGACCCGCCGAGGTCTTGAACACCCTGGGATCTAGGCACGACGCGTACATAAACATCAAATCATACAAAGCTCCATTCTGAAAAAAAAAAACTGAACATTTCTATGATTTGACATGATCTAACAGACATCTTGAACAACTGACCAATATTCAATAATCCAGACAATTGTTCAAATAATTGTTCAAATGCGACTGCCCACGCATCTGACATTAGTCGTTCCTGGCCCGAGCGCGGAGCTCCGCGCGGTCTCTTGGCTAAGGCCAAGTTGATTGTCTCTCCATGCCTCATGGTCCCCCTCACTCCGCTTCCTCACCACCTTCTCCTTCTATTTATTCATCTCGCCACATTCCCTCTTGTGCTCATTGAATTGGTGGTATTGGTCAATAGACCTGTCGCGGCGATGTTTCAGGTAAGCTTGTTTCTCCGAAGCCTTTGTCTTGGTGCTGATCTGTCCAGCGCTTCCGCGACGCCATCGACTCTCGGATTGCAGAGGAACAGGCCCGCCAGAAAACGGCACAGGACAATCTCTCTCGATCCAAGTCCGCCCGTCGTCCGGCATCAAGTATCAACTCCTCTGGCCAAAGGCGCCCCAGACGAAACAGCGGCACCCCCGTCCGTGGTCCCGACCCCAACGAATTCGAAGCTGAGTTTGCGATCGGAGATGATGATGAATCCAGTCACTCGGGGACACCTCGTCCGGAAACCGCCGACTCTGTTTCCGAAATGAAGCCTCCGGCCGAAGGCGAGAGATCAGAGAAACTAGAAAGCACAGCGACGACAGACTCAGCGGAGACAAAGACTGCCTCAATAGCGGCCACGGAGTCCAGTGACCAGAAACCTGCTGAGTTACCGGCAGACGTCAAGGCCAAATTGCGCAGGCTCGATAAACTTGAATCGCGGTATCATGGTAGGCCGTCACGCGACAGATGCGACACAGGGACACATAGGACTAACCGAACATTTAGAACTGCTCAAGGCGTATCGTGTTGCGCATTCGCGCGTCCTTTCCATTGAACCGTTCGAAGCCGCCCTCCGCGAAAATCCCCCTCACCTCGATCGGCGAGCCGAAGGCGCTTACCGAGTATCTCAACCAGATGTCGCTCAAGACCGATATGGTGGTAGAGGAGCTAAAACGTGTCACTACTGACCGTGACGGATGCAAGAAGAGCATGGAAGAGGCGCAGAAGTCCGCCAAGGATGCATGGGACGAGGTTGCTGGGCTTAAAAAGCAAGTTTCTACGAAGGAAGAAACCCAGTCAAATTCACCAGAGGAGAAGGAGACCAGCGAAGAATTCTTCTCTTTCGATAACGAAGTTCCTCGCTTGGAGGGAGAATTGAAGGAAAAGCAAGAGGAAGTGGAGACTCTCAAGACCGAAGTCGAGAAGCTCAAGAAGGACATGGCCGTCACGCGGGAGTCTACGGAGGGTATGGTGCGGAACCTGGAGAGCTCTACTCGGGAGCTTGTTGAGCTGCGCGAAACCAGGGATAAGCTGGACGCGGAGCTCAAGACCCTCAAGGCTTCCAACAGTGAGGTCGATGAGCTGAAGACGAAGCTAGCCGCAGCGGAGTCTTCGCTTGGAGAGATCACTGCTGAGGCCGAGAAGCTCAAGAAAGAACTCAAGGAGAAGAGTGAGGAGATTCAGAAGCTCCAGGCCCAGGCTACTGAAGCTGAGAAGACAAGCAAGGCCGAACCGAGCCCTGAATTGATCTCCGAATTGGAAGATGCTAAGAAGGGCAAGGATTATAGCGAAAAGAAACTCGTTGTTGTTCAGGGTCTTGTGGACAGTCTTCGTTCTCAGCTGCAGAACGCCGAATCTACTATTTCCGAACTGAAGGCAGAGGTCAACCAAAAGTCAGAGAGCTCCACCAAGCTTCAGAGCATCGTCGATTTTGTGGACGAAAACTTGAAGGATAGCGCTGCTTGGCAGTCTGCCAAGGAGAACGTTGCTTCCGGAAAGACGGCCGACTTCGAGGAGATTCGCCGGAGTCTTGCACCTGCAGAGAAGGCCGCGGAACCGTTTTCAACAACTGTCGAAGAAGAAGCCCAGCCCGCTATTGTGAACGCGGCTGCAGGGGGTGGCGGTGGAAAGAAGAAGAACAAGAAAAAGAAGAAGGGAGGCAACGCAACTGCAGAGAGCCCCAAGCCTACGGAGCCTACTCCTACCCCCAAGGAAGAGCCAGCTGCGTCAGAGCCTGCGGCATCTTCTGCGGAATTGGAAGAGCTCAAGGGGAAGATCGAAACCCTCACCCAACAACTATCTGAAAAGGAGGCAGCCATCGACCGCCTAAGCGATAAGCTGAAGGGTGAAGAAGATTTGAAGGAGGAGATCGACTCGCTACGTGATGATCTGATTACCGTTGGACAAGAGCACGTCACAGCTAAAGACAAGATCAAGGAACTCACAGCTCAGAAGTCTGCCTTGGAGGAGACAATCGGCAAACTGGAGAAAGAGCTGGTCGAAGTGCGTGCCAGCCACACAACAAACACCGCCGACTCGGAGAAGGTGTTCAATGAGTTGAAAGATGAGTTTGAGCGTGTCAAGGTCCAGGCCGCTACTCTGGAAACGGACCTGTCTGCTGCTCAGCAACTTGCAGCCACTCGATTCAAGGATCTTACCGACCTGCGTGAGACCCTCCAAAAAATTCAGCCTGAGTTGCGAACCCTGCGCACCGAGTCGTCCGAGCTGAAGACCATCAAGGAGACCCTTAGTGGAAAGAACTCTGAGTTGCAAACGCTCGAAGCCAAGCATGAAGACCTACGACAGGAGTTGAAGAATGCCAAAAGCCGGGTTTCGGAGCGCGACTCCGAACTCAACACCTTGAACAGGAAGATCCGCCAAGAGACAGACAGTCGTCTTAGGGCTGAGGAGAGCCTCAGCGTTGTGCAATCGGAATTGCGCACCGCCGAGTCCAAGAAGCAAGAGGCCATCAATGCCAAGGAAAGAATTGCAACAGACCTGACCAAAGCACAGGAAGGACTCAAGAGTACCCGGTCCAAGATGCGTGAGATGGATGAGCAGATGTCTCAGCTGACTAAGGAAATGGAGAGCCTCCGTGAAGACGCGAGGTTGAAGACCGCCCAGGCTGCCAGTGCCCAGAGCCTGATGAACAACATGCGTGACCAGACCTCCGAAGTCGCCATGCAGATGAAGGAGGCCCGCGAGAAATGCGAGAGTCTGGAGGAGGAGCTGTCCGATGCTCATCGTCTTCTGAGCGAACGTACGCGCGAGGCTCAGACCATGCGTGGTCTTCTCAATGATATCGAGAGCCGCGCCGAGGCCAAGGTACGAGACTTCAAGGAACGCATGGAGGCAGCTATTGAGGAACGGGACCGCGTCGAAGATGAGGCTAATACCCAAGGCCGTCGCCGAGCACGGGAGCTGGAGGAATTGAAAGCCAAGGTCCGCGAAGCCGAACGGACACTGCGCACCGTTGAACAAGACAAGGAAGAGCTTGAGGATTCCCAGAAAGACTGGCGGCGCCGTCGTGATGAATTGGAGGAGCTTGCTGAAAAGTCAACCCAGGAAGTCACCGAGATCCGAGAAGCCATGGCCGGCCTGCGCGAGCAACTCGATGAGAGCGAGAAGCAAGTGCGGGACCTGGAGAAAGAGAAAGCCGAGCTTCGGCGCTCAGTCGAGGAGACCAACAACCGACTGGAAAAGCTGCGACGATCGCACAAGACCCTCGGGGAAGACGTTCGTCTTCGCGGACTGGAGTCCGGGCGCGCGTCATCACGCTCGTCCATTGATTCCGGATCTCGACGTGGTCTTGCCTCTCCAGTCGCCCAGGACCGCAGCACATCCAGTCGCCGAAGCGAGACTCCTTCTGGTGGAGGTGGAAGTGGAGCCAGTGGCGGATCGATCGACTACATGTACTTGAAGAACGTCCTGCTTCAGTTCATGGAGCAGAGGGACAAGAACTATCAGAAGCAGCTCATTCCCGTATTGGGTATGCTGCTTCATTTCGACCGGTAAGCCGAAAACCCATCTCTCTCTACTATTTCATGGGACTAAACTGACGGGCGCAGAACGGACGAGCAAAAGTGGATGTCGGCCATCATGTCCAAGTGATGCCATTGATGAAAGAACCTGCACATTTGATTTTTGTTCTGTACAATACCAACCCATTATAGTCTTCTCTGTAGAGATAATTCCAGTCTTACTTCACAGTCAGACTCCCTATTCACATCACAGCCAAACATCCTGACCATTATACCGAGCTCTTCGTCCTGACTTGACATTCCAATTGGTAGATGTGGGTCATTATTTCCATCTCCACTTTTAACCCCGGGCTGTCAAAGCCTTTCACGCCTTACACCCTACGACACGCCCTACGACTTCCCCTTGTACATAAATCCTTCAATTCCCTCCGATTCCCTCCAATTGAACTACCTACACCATGTCTGACCAACCCACCATCCGCCTCGCCACGGCAGAGGGTAAGAACCTCCGATTGTCCAGCACACCCAACCTGGACGACCCCTCCAAGGCTAAAACAAAAAAGAGCCTCACTAACACTCTTGCAGACGTCCCGCTCATCCTCCAATTCATCCGCGAGCTGGCCGACTACGAAAAAGCCCTCCACGAAGTCGAAGCCACCGTCGAGTCTCTCACCAACACCCTCTCATTCCCCGCCGACCCACCCAAGCGCGGCTCAGTCTATACAGCCCTAATTACACCCCCGGCGTCGCCCGAGAACCCCACCCCGATCCCGGTAGGAATGGCATTGTACTTCTACAACTACTCCACCTGGCGCTCCGCACCGGGGATCTACCTCGAGGATCTATACGTGCAACCTGGTGCGCGCGGGAGGGGGTACGGATTCATGTTGTTGAAGTACCTCGCCAAGCAAGTGATTGAGGTGAAGGGCAGACGGCTGGAATGGAGTGTGTTGAAGTGGAACACACCTTCTATTAAGTTCTATGAGCAGGTTGGGGCCAAGGGCATGGAAGAGTGGATGAAGATGATGGTTGAGGGGGATGCGTTGGAGAAATTGGCGGAGGGTGCTTGAATTGGAATCCCTAATTGTCCCCGGTGAGATTGAAATAGAGTTGCGATTCCGCTCTGCTGGATGTATTCATTAAAAGAACGGAAAACAATGTTAGATTCCTTTGCTGAGTAAACCGAATCACTCCTAGGACTGAGCCGCTTCCGAACACCTTCAACCCAACAATTCGTCGTCATCACCGTTCACGACACAGGAGAGACGACGGTTCACTGTTAATAGACATCGCAGGCGGTACAGGCGCTAGAACCTGACAGCGCGTTGTGAGGAAAGTATGTATCTACAACGAAGGTGAATTTTCTCGCGTTGCTGCTTCCCATCAAGCCCTTAAGCTTTACTTTCCAGAAGTCAAGGTAAGATTTCATCAGCGTCGTTCGTAGTATGGGTAGATCTGAGATCAACATCACTGTCAAAGCTTTTGTCATGGAATCTAGTATGGCTATGTCAAGTAAACATCGATACTCTCGTTCAATTGGAATAATTGCAAACCGACTGATGACCGGGATTGTCAGCGCTAGCAATAAATGTCCATCATCGACCAACCTAAACTACCGCTACAATTCTGTCTGATGCTTTCGCAGTGCAGTTTTTTGCAGGTCAAGTGGGATTTACTTTCGAAAGCTCACTCAACTCTACCCGCGCTTAACGGTAATATGTACATAACCACGGTGGGCAGGTGTGCCGAAGCCTTACAAGGTCGCGCACCTCGGGAAAAAAAAAGCCAAGATGGGGAGACCGCCTTGGGCACTAGCTGCAGGCGATTTATTCCCTTTCATCAACTTATTTATGCAAAGCAATGATGAGACCGAGCTGGGCAATAATGCGCATAAGTCATCGCGAGCACGGGCAAAAGGGGGTTCCAGGACAAAAATAGCCCGCGAGAGTCTTAGTCTGTCCGATCGTCTCAACTTGAGCCTCTCAACCCTGGGGCTCTTCTCCATTGCGACCACCAATGACCACCAATGACTCCTCGCTTACCGTAGCCGATCGCAAAAACGCACCACTCAAGATGGATCGTGCCACGGGAGTCTTGTGCCTGGCCGGCGAGCCCCGACCACGTCGGACTTGGCAGGGACCAGCAGAGGCGATCATTCGCTAGGAACCGAGAAGCTGAACGCGCCAAAGCCAAAGTAGAAAAGCGTACGGGCGGAATCCCTTTTTCTATCAGCTAGCGCAAGGCTAGAGACATGAACCCAGAAGGTCAAAGGGCCTTTATAGGGGATGGAAACCCTTCCGTAGTTGGAAGTCTACGGGCTTCGTTCGTTTTTTATTTCCGACATGCGCGCTTCTCAGCTCACTCAGGTGGCCGTCGCCACTCTGTTGACCGCGCGCGCCCAAGCCGCCAACGACACCAATTACGATCCCTCATTAAATTTCAGGCCCACTAATGTGACCGAAAATGGACTCTACCATTGGGTTGGATCGTGAGTGCCCGTCTTGTGGAATCATGGACACTATGCTGATTATATACAAGATACTACAATGGCTCCACCACAGTCGAATTTACACCTTTTCGGGGGCCTTGCATCGGATGATACCGATGATGAAGTCTGGCAGTCTTGTCCCAGACTCCGCGGCTTGACCGTCATCATCGACTACGAAACCCGCCTGGCAATCACCGAGGCGGGCGAGTACAACCTCGGCAACAACCCAATCAACACCTATCTGACAACATGGGATCCCAACTTCAATTTCAGCTCATTACCGGCAACCGAGACAATGGCATCTATGCCGCTCAAATGGGGGTTGCTTTCTTCCAAGTCAGTCACTTCCTCTGAACCAAGATGCGCCTCGAGACTAATGTCCATACAGCCCCATGTACACGTTTGACGATCTTCTGTATGTCAAAGACAACTTCAACTACACTCTTGCCGATACCAAGAGCGCCCCATTCAATCTGTCAAGCACCCTCAGCACATACTATGGAGAAGGGGGTCTCCAATTCAACATAAGCTGCGACGGCAAAGAAGAGGTCGCCTGGATTGGCTACCTGATCAATAAAAGCTGGTGGCCGAATATGGGCAATAATCATTCATACCCGGACCCTGTTCTCAACCTGCAATTTGATGGCAATACCGCCAACTTGACAATTGAAGGATACTTTGACGCTACTCCTAAGCCTACCGGCAACCACACCTTCAATACGGTTGACATCGAGGCCCACGGCAACGTGAAGATCACCTTCTTGGGGACCATCGACCGCTATCACTCCGATGTGCTCGTGAATGATACCTCCAGGCCTACTTGGAAAAGGACGGTCGGCTTCAACAACAATACTTTGAACGTCGGAGACAAAAGCTCGAGTACGAAAGCGAACGGAGCTCCCAGTCAGCAGTTTGGGGCTTGGGGGATTGCGCTTGGCTCAGCATTAATGTCTTTGGCAGTCGTCTACCTGTAAAATAACGATTTGACAGATTAATGATTGCATTGATACCAGCAATAATTTGAAAGCTATGGATTTTGCAACTTCAAAGCGCATAAACCAATTTCTTCCCCAGCGCACCGCCATCTTTAACGAGCTGGATCCCCTCCAAAACCCCTTCAAGACCTCCCTCCATGGCCTTCACCGGCATGGGCTGAATATTTCCCAACGGAATAATCTGCTCCATGCAACGGTAGAGAAAAGCCATAAACTCCCTATCCACAGCCGAAGGCTCCCAAGTCTGATTCAACCCAAACTCCTGATTCACAATCGTAAACCGACGTCCAAAGCAAGTAAACACCATATTCCATTCTGCACGGATGATACCCGACTCAGGAATCATTTTCGGTGGTGGAGGGAGATTCTTCACCGGCATGAGCGAGGCGTAGTAAAAAGTCCAGGGGGCATTCTCGTTTGCAGGGCGTAGCGGGGGTGCAAAGCATTGGTAGCAGAAGGCGGCAGTTGCGTCTAGGGAGACGCAGTCTAAGATTATGGAAAGACCGCAGTCTTCAATATGGCGGCGAACATGACGGATTGCGTCGAGCTGATTGTAATCGATTACTGCATCTGCGCCGAGGCTGAGTAGCCAGGGTATGTTTTTCTCGGAGCAGGTTGTAATGACTCTGAAACCGGACCTTGTTGAATAATTAGCTAACGATAGGTTTGGGCGTTAGGATCATCTGCGTACAACTTAGCTAGCTGGATCGCTAGACTTCCAGTTGCAGTAGCTCCGCTATAGATCAAAATGGTATGACTTGTGCGCACTGACGTGTTGCAGGGAATCGGCAATGGTAAATTCTGATAGAGTTGTTGAGCTGCTGTGCTAATACCCATGGCTAGCGTGGCGGCCTCGGTGAATTCCAAATTAGACGGTATGTGAATTAAGAGAACCGCATCAGCAGTCAAATATTCACGAAAAGCACCGATGGAATAATTGGCGCTGTGACCTAGGCAATATTAGTGTCGGTGACTTGGAAGGGTTCATATTTCATACATCCGTGGACAAAGCCGGCCACCCGGTCTCCAATAGACCTCACTCTCTGAGCACCTTCGCCCACTTCTAATACCGTGCCTGCGAAATCAAAGCCCAAACCCGACCCAGGTCTTCCGAGATGATCTCGTGCCATCCAATCTGATGGATTGAGAGACACTGCTTGCACTCTGATCAGAACTTCGCCGATTCCAGGCGATGGAATAGATAAATCGTTCACAACGCTGGCTTCGCCCGGGGCTTTCAAAATGATAGCTGATTGGAGTTTGAGTTCTGCCATGTCGAAATGTGTAAAGAGAGGCTTCCGTCAATATTTGATTGTGATTCCAGCGACCTGTGCATGTAGTTTAAAGGCCTTTCTTAATGAATGGCTGATCCCTAATCGGAGGAACACGAGATTTCGAAAGGTGGTGGCATCGCCTACGCTATTCATCAAGTGGCAATTGGGTAATATTAAGCATCATTTCGCCTCACAGACCACCCTCTATGGAGCATACATGATGAAGACGACTACGTAAATCAAAATCACGGACATTGCCTTCGTGGCGACGAGTATCCTTCATTTAGCCTATTGATAGCCAATCGGACTTGATCGCGAGTCCTCGCGCCACCAGCACGAGTGACGAACATCCCCCATTAATACAAGCCCGAACTTGAAGACGCTATAGCCTTGCGGAAACATGTCTTCCCGACGACCTTATGGCTTCTCAAAGAAGCAAGAAGAGAGCTATCCCAACAAAGTAAAGAATATCGGGACCTATATCGGTATAAAGGCCCGGCAGGCGATGCAGTTGTGCAAATCTCTTTACAATCAAGCGATCACCAAAATTGTAGTCATCGTGACAAGACGAAAATTCGTTTCCTTTGTCGAGCGTCTATAATTACATAGGAGGAGCCAACTTGTGACCCCAGGTAAGCCATACACTTTCAGTCATGAGAAGATCATGGTTAACTTTGGCTTAACAAATTTCCAGTCACCCAATGCCAGCAATCAATATTGCGTATCAATACAAATAGCGCTCTGCCCCGGCAAGAGAATCGTTAGACTCTGAGTCAAATCTCCACCCGATGGTTCAATAATCTCATACCGGTATGGAAGATCTTTGGTTTCCGCTTACATGACGAGCATTCACGCTGTTGAAGAAAATGGACCACACTTCTATGCGGGCTCTCAAGACGGGTGGGAATTGGTACTAGGCACCAATGTGTCACCATTAAGTCACAATGCGAGCAAGGCTGAGCCTGCGGTTTTGTTTGCTAGATTGGTACTAGATTCCGATATGCTTTAGACAGATGGAATCGAGGGGTTGATTCAGATGGTTGAGGAGTGCTATTATTGATGCTTTCAAAAAGGTTTATGGGGGCGCTAAACAACCAGCGAGGACTTAAAAGACTTCGCGCTTGACAGTGTATTAGACAATGCAACGCTTAAATTCGAGGAATGCAAATACAGGCTCCCTGTTGTCGATCATTGAAGACAAGCGGACAGAGAAAAACGCGTAGCTTGAAAGGTTCCTCAATGGGGACTCACTTCACTTTTGACAAACGCTGTTGATGATCTGCATTCATAGAACTCGTGCATATCCATTGTAAGGATTCGGTGAATCTCCCTCTGGTAAGAATGCAGAGAAAAAAAACGTTCATCAGTAAACCACCAACACGATCAAGTCTTTTTGATCGTAGTGAATTAGCTGACTTTTCATCATTCCCTTCTCGGCTTTTTCTTTCTGCTCCATCTGTTGTTCGCCTGCCTGCGTATTCCTGTCATTGATTTGAAAACCTTTCCAGGCCTGTTTATCCTGACCCAGCCTCCCTTGATCCACTCGAACGTGTATGCATTTGAGTAACGCGGAGTTACATCTCCTTCAGCGAATTTTGAGCCCAAGAAGCCATCGACATTCTTTTGACCCCTTCTCTGTGATGCTTCAGCTAGCGATCCTCTGCCTTCCGCTTTGAAGTATCTGCAAAGCTTGCTATCGGAGATGACTCGCTGCCCATAAAACACCCAACAAAGCCGAAGCAGACTTCTGAAAAGCCCAGTCTTGTTCAAGGGTCCGTAGCTATACCTAGAGCAGCTTGGACATGTGTATCCGTCACTGGCCACTGTCCATCGAGTTCCATCTGGTTTCTTTTGCCTGGAGCGCGCAAGACAGGATCCACATCTATGACAGGATACACAATATGACCGGATTATTGAGAATTCGAAGCACAAGTTACAAATGAACCAGCAGCGCTTATCAGTGACGATCATCTGTCCCGGGTGGTAACGAGTGAACAAATTCCCCCATTGCCGCGCGTTTCGTTTATCTATCCATGTGTGCGACTGTTGCTTCATGCACATTATGCACAACCGACGATGTCTCTCTTCGAAAATATCATAAGCGGGATCAGCCTTCTCATGTGGGTTTTGTTGATATGAAACCTTTTTGGATATCTCGTCGTAGGAGAAATACATCCGGTGGTGAAGCCGTTCACAGTTCCCGCAAACGAGATAATCCGAGTTCCTAAAGATATTAGCAATGGAAAGAATTAATTAGCTGGCGTGTAATGCCTTGGAGGCGAGACTTGCTCTGGCCAGCTTTCCTGGTGAAAAAGTAACCTCTGCTTCTGTTTTGCTGTATGCTGAGCGGGCCTTATGAGCGATTTGTAATACTTGTTCGTTCCTGAGAAGCAAAAAGATGAAATATAGTCAAGATTTGCAATAACGTGAAGTTGCAGTTCGACTGGCATTTGGGTGAATCTTGGAAAATCGGCGTCCGATGATTCAGGCATATTGGTTTTGGTCGCTTCAAGCGGCAATTTGTTCCTCTTCGCACGAAGGTATGTTGATCAGATAGAGACAGCGACGATGGGAGAATTTATATCGTCTGCGCCTTTAGCCTTTTTCCGAAACTTTCAAAACGATGACGTTGGCGTGAGCATTATATTGAGACGACTTTCCCGTTTCACATCAAGCGGTTTTGCTTCAAAAGGTTTACACGCTTAAGCGCAGGAAAGATTCAACTCTGAAAATGACAACATGATAAGCTTCAATTGCACTTACAACTCTCTTCGACTCCCGTGAAGGAATTAGGCAAAAACGAGACTAGAGGTTCACCATTGATTTTGGGCGATAGCTCAAGGACATTGAGATCGTTCTATTCTTTATGAGTAGAATCTGAGGACCTATGAAATTGACGCCGAAAATGACTGCAATAGTGGCCAGAAATCGCGGAGTCTCTGGAATTCCCCGCGCAAGTTTCCACTTTCTATTTCGTGATATCGTGGGATCTATGGACGCCCGTGAATACTTACAACTGCGACCGGCGTGCTTGTTCTTCAGCCAACAATATTTCGAGAAATGCATTTATCACGGTCTAGCTTTGGTTCTTGCAATTCATCTGACCCCTTGGCATGGGGATGCACTCGGTTATGGATACGGTATTTGGGCATTTGACGAGGCCAATGCGGTGGAGTTGTGCAAGCTTAGCGAATTTCGGGAAGGAGTAGAGTAAATGCTGAGATTTATCATCATCCTTGCATACATTTTAAGCAGAGGCTTCAATCCGAACATACGTCATCTATTAGCTCTTCGGATGTCAGGTCCGATTATATGCGAGGTCTTTAGTCTTAATACGAGTTTCACAGCTAGGTTCCCTTTTTTGTTTTATCAACAGAATGCCGACCTGGCCCATTATACGCAATGAAACGCCCGCTTTAAACAGCGCGCAGGGTAAGATACAATTCGTGATATCCGGCGACAGCCATTTTACAGTAGACAGTGATCGCTACAAATATGTAAAATATATAGAGGGATCATTTGCTAAGAACAATTTGAGTGTAGATCTGCTGTCTATGCGGCTGTAGACGACCTCTGTACGGCGATTCAAGCTTCAAACAGACACAGCAAAAAAGATGGCAGGGATTTATGCCAAGACTCACAAATTGAATACGTGTATTCCTTGTGAAAGCGAGAGACACATGATAAGCATGACTGACACTACGCCCATACCGGATATAGACTTGGATTGAAATGAAGCCATGAATCAGAATCACACCTCAGCTGGCCGCCCCAGTGGGTCGAGATCCTTCTCAATGAACACATCACTCCTCCAATTCTTGAAAGCACGGGTCTTGAGATTCAATGCAAACATGTGATGAATCTCCATCGACGTGCGGCCCTTCATCTCTGGTACCCAAATCAAAGTCGCAACTATACCAATTAGCGCGAGCCCAGCCATAACAAACCCTGTCTTAGCTTTGAGATTCCCCGCATCCAGATTATATCTATACGTGAGACTAATGGAGAAGACACCTTGAGAAATACCACTCACAAACCAACCAATGCCTTGAGACTTGGCACGAAGTTGCAGTGATGACGTTTCGGCAGCGATGACATGGGAAGCAGGCCAGATCCCTAGACCGCATACCATGGTTACAATCATCATTGTCACCGAAGTGTACCATAATGTGACGACTCCTTCAAAGCACCCAGCTATGCCCATTGCTAAACAAAGCACCACTGTAATCGACAGAGATAGTAGCACCAGGAGACGTCTGCCGAACGCATTCAGTACCCAAAGACTGCCGATGTTCGCCATTAGACCGAGGCCGATACCAAGGATTAGGAAGATCAGGCTGTTTGCTGATTCCATGCCAACGATTTGTCCGAAGTAAGAAGCATTCGCTAATAGCTGAAGACCGAAGAGTTGGGGTAGACAATTCGCCAATGCTACCACCAATGTTCTACGCAAGTTGACTCCCCTGAAGCAACCCATATAGTGTTATTTCCTCTGGCCTCTTCCTCAGCCAGGATAGAAACTCGCAGATCTTCGATAATCGCCTCGGAATCAACTCCCGGTCTTTCTAATCGCCTCTGCGCTTTTCAAAGCCTGATCCAGTCTCCCTTTTCTTAGTAACCATCCCGGGCTTTCCGAAAAGAATAGCAGCGAGTAGAAAAGTAACCGCTGAAAATGGCCATTGCGACGCGAAAGGAATCCGATAACTTTGTGCGCCCGGATATTTCAAAGAGGTGTATACCACAACCGATCCAATGAGCTGTCCGAGAAGAGTGAATATCGGCAAAAATGCGATAATCGGACCTCGTAGTAGGACGGGCAGAACTTCGGACACATAGGTCTGCACCACGCACAAATTTATACCAAGACAAACCCCTTGAAAGAATTTTCCAACAAAGAAAATACCTCGTCGGGCAGTAATTTCGTCCGGCAGATCGGCAACATAACAAATAGCGACCACAATCGCTGAAAGGAAGGCGCCTGTTGCTAGAGAAATTCGTCGTCCAGCGCGATCTTGGAATTGACCGCCGATTATAGATCCGAGCATCATCTCGATCGGACTGGCCGCCCAGACCTGTTCTGAATGTCGCATTCGCTTCGGCACGATGCATATCAAGTCTAAGCGAGCACCAAGGCGGAGATAGAATAGAGTCCATCGAATCAAACCTGTCAAGGGGGACGGTCGATTGTTACAGCTGAAATGGCAATGGCCTGTCGCTACCGATTCTTGCGCCAATCACGAGTCAGGAATCTAAGCACCCCTCACGCTTGCCCAGTCAACCCCGGGGTTTGAGCTTGGGCTCTAGTTGACTTGGACTTGGAAATGGACGTCGCATTTCAGATTGGTTGTAGATCACGCTCCCGGTCATTGCGTGGCTGGATGGCGCTCCAAGGGGATACGTGGTTGTTATCAAACCTCACAAGAGCTCGTGCTGTACATTATTTCATTCCGCTCTACACACAAAATAACGGCAAAGTGGTATCTATGATGCATTACCAGAGCTCAGTTCTCTGCGCTTGCCGACGCGGTCAGGGCGACTGTCTCAGATGGCGATCGAGCGTCCCTGCTTTTTTGAAGCTTTTCGAGATGATTCTTTGTCTTCTCGATCTCAGTATCGAGCTCGACTTTTGTCGCTAGTTTGTATTTCAGTGATAGGATGACTGCTGATACAAGCAAGAGAGCGATGGAGACCAGATATGACCATTGCCCTACTTGTTGCGGATGCTCTTGTGAAGGGCCGTCGTTGTAAATCCACCACTCGATCCACACAACGAAGGCGATGATTGTGAGGGGGCTGATGATCATGCTAAACAGGAGACCGAAAAGGATGAAGGCGTCTATGAGCACGCGCAGGAAAGCCTTGAAGAAGCGAATAGTAAAGAAAGGTCGAATGCTGCTCCACCGAGAGTATACATGTCCAGTGGAAGCGCTAACGCCTATCTTTTCATCTTGTGTTTCCCTGGATACCGACAGCGCGTCCTTGAGTTCCTGCTTGAAGCCATGTCTAATCGACTTTCTTTCCTTCCAAATCACCACGATCTGGGCAGACGGGATGTGAGATTTGTACGGGAACCATTTGAATGTAAGATGCACAATGTTCAAGACAAGACATAAGACGATAAGGCTGTAGATGTAGCGATTCGAGTAAATGATTTCATTCCAGAATCGATTCGGATGCGCCAAGTCGGAATCTTTGGAAGCGACCCACGACTGTAATTGACTTGGCTCTCGAAGGATCTGACTGGAATTGAAGCAGGGGTTGTAACAGATGTCACCGATTGCACCCCAATGAGAGATATTGGAGAAGGTACTCCAGACACTACCATTCCAGCTTCCTGTCCTCCAATCATCCTCCCAGCCATCGCTCGAGGTTTGCTGCTGTGGTGGGATATCGGGGTAGCAAAACATGTACTGAGTCGGGATCGAGTCTTTTTTCCCAGCAAAGATCAGGCAGCAAATGGATCCAGCGAACATAAGCATATTCCACATGTAGAATAAAAGGTTGCGAGCTCTTTCGTGCGTCAAGACTCGTGACCAACACTGCAGAGGAAGGAAGACAAGATAGCCAGTGACGACAATTGCGAGAACAGCGTCACCATCCAGCTCAAGTGCCGCTGGCTGAATCGTGACCTCGCTCGTTTGCGTGATCAGTTGCGGGAAGCTTTGCCATAGTGTTGTATTGTCCGAGATGTATGGGATAGTTACCGGCGAAGGCGACTGCCTCTTTGGAAGATTCGCGACCAAGATGAAGGACTGTATCGCAGCGGTTCCTGCATACGTCGCGGCGGCACCCAAGAAAACATCAGCCAGCCAACCCGTCCATCGGGTCAGACAGCTGGCGAGTAACAAGGCATAAAAGAGATACCTGGGGCAGGAGTCATATATTGTGCTGATTGGGTAATAGCACAGAGCCTCCTGGGCGATGAAGAGAGGACCACTGGTATCCATGGTGGATCGTGATTGGCAACGATTGACAGTGGCGATCTCTCGCGACCAGGACGAAGTCGCACAATCTTCTCTCACGGAGGTCGATGCGTGATCATATTAGAAGTGCACTGCTCAAAATTCTTTCACTTTTGAGTGACTTTAAAGTTATGTTCTGCTGCTGCCTTAGATTGAGTGGAGTCTGCCTCAGAAGGGTCCAGGTAGTGACGTCATCTACTTGCGCCTACACAAAGTAAATGTCATGCAACATGTAAACACAACCAGAACATGATAGACATGGAAATATTATTTGACTAGGTTTTTAAAAAGTGATTAACATCTGCCTCGAAGCAAGTAAGGCATTGAATAAATGAGCTGGTCTTTGAATTCACGACTAGGCCCTTCCTCCCATCAGCCCACTGGTCAACATGGGAAGTAATTCCAAACACGAAATACTACACTGAGCACTGGCAATCATTTGAGATAGTTCAATGTTAAAGTGTTCCATAGGAGATCAATTGGATCTTTGTTGAGCAGAGCTTATTGCCCTCATAGTCATTGTTCCTTTAGATGATGGTTCATTAATTTACCAAAATAGACAATCAATCTAGACCACTCTTACTCAACCGAATAAACATCGATCGTGACATGATTGGGACGATCCGGCTTCTGAAGCTCTCCCACAAAGAGAGTCCGATTCAGCCAACCATGTGGACCATCTTGAACCTCAAAGCGGGGGTTCGTCTTCGCATACCACTCGCTCTCAACTCTCTCCGAATCAGCGGTAGCCCTGGGCTCAAACTTCCGAATCCATCTTTCATTAGTGACACTAATAAGAGTACCGTCCTCAGCTTGGATGGTGTACTTTGCGAAGACATGTCCTATTCCATCTTCTCGGAGAGCGTTCCAATCACCGCCGCCGTTGAGGATGGTTGCTTTCAGCTTTGGACCGCCGACTGTTCCACCAGTGATTGGGATGTATCGTCTGTGGCCGCAATGTGTGTTGCCAAAGTCGAGTGCGGGGGTAAGATCTCCCTCCAATGTGAAGGCGTATTCAAGGGTGGGTAGCATAGTGCGATAATAGGATGCGACTTATTTGAGAACGCCGTGGTAGTTCTGGTTGAATCAAATAGTGCTGCTGGATTTTTGATGACAACTTTCCATCGAGTGAAACAGAATGGAAGTTCACAGGGCGTGACCTCTTACGATCGGGAAAGAGAGTGGGTTACGCGCTATGAGATAAGGGGGTGGTTTGAGATTGGGGAGGGGGCAACCGAGGCATATTTAACTCTTCGCTTGCATGGCGAGCTCGCTCTCGTCGAAGTTCTGTATATAACTGCGACAAATGAATTTCGTTCACGGGCAGGGAGCAAATGAAAGCCAAAATTACGCAGCAGGGTGGAGACACCGAACTATATTAGCTGCGTTTCGACATAATCACATAGTTCATCTAGAGAAAGCTTAGCCAGCATGAATAGTGCCTTGGTATGATCCCGATAATCGACAGCGAACATGATCGTCTGCTTTGGCCGAATTCGACGTTCGCCCTCTGCTGAGTCTCCTCAGGACTATCGCCGGGCCTCAATCCTTATCTCCGCCCCGCCAGTAGCGAGGAATCCTTCCACCTCGACATCGGAACTATCGGTATTTGGAAAAGTAAGTCCCTGGAGTTTGTGAGCCTCAATTCTGATGGCTCTTGCAGATATAAATAAAGGGTCATCGTGGGTCATGCTATTCCAATCACGTATTCCCAAGCTAAGGATCACCCCAGCGGATCGAGGACCAACTATACAAATTACAATGGCCTCATCCATGATTGTTCTTATCACTGGCGGTAATAGTGGAATTGGTTACGAGACTGTGAAAGCCTTCTACGAGTCCGACAAGGCATATCGTATTTTAATGGGTAGTCGATCCTCGGACAAAGCAAAGGCGGCTCTTGAACGACTCCACGATGAGTGTCCCGGCGCTACCAATACTATCGAAGCTTTGGAACTTGATATCTCCAGAGATGAGTCTATCGACAAAGCATTCGCCAAAGTTCAAACTGATCTCGGGTATATTGATGCCCTGGTCAACAATGCCGGTAAGTGAAAATATCAAGCGAAGTTTCAAAGCAAAGATCTAAAAAGATCTTAGGAGCTACTTTCGATCTAGAATACCTCGCTGGTCGGGTCTCACTGCGAGAATGCTTCAACAACGCCTACAATGTGAATGTGGCCGGCACACACGTAATGACAGCAACATTCATTCCCTCTTCTCTTGAAATCGAGCGACCCGCGTCTGGTGTTTGTAACGGGGCTATCCAATATCAACCAGGCAGGCGAGAAATACTTCCCAACGCCCTCTCTACCAGCTGGCTGGCCAAAGAAGATTGACTTTGAAACCATTGGATATCGTTGCAGCAAGAATGCACTGAACATGCTGATGCTGGATTGGAACCACAAGCTTAAAGAGGATGGGGTGAAAGTGTGGTGTGTGGGACCCGGTCTGCTCGCCACTAATCTAGGCGGTGTACCAGAGCTGGCGAAGAAGATGGGCGCCAAGCATCCAAGTCTTGGTGGCAGGTTCATTAAGAGAGTGGTTGAAGGGGAGAGGGATGATGATGTGGGTAAGATTGTGGTCGCGGCGGGAATTATGCCGTGGTGAATTATAGCACAATTATGCACAAAGACGATGAACAATTTGATTTCATTGCCATGACCAGAGGAATTCGGTAATTCTAGCCGATCGAGATGTGGTTTCTGTATGACTTCATTTGCCTCGATCTAGCTGCATTAGTAATTGGATGCTCCAGCGGCATTACAAATCAGATGCGGGGAGCTTGTTGACCAGCCTCAGCGATTTATAACTCGAATCCCAATCCACTTGTAGTGGTTCAACTTCGCACAAAATGAAGGAAGCTATCGTTGACCAGGAGCTGAACGTGTCTATTCAGGATACCGCTGTTCCGGTTCCTGCGCCAGGCCAGGTCCTCATCCGTGTTGTGGTATCCGGCACCAACCCTAAGGACTGGAAAATACCCCGCTTCCTTGCCAAATCGCCCAGCAACCCGGGTGATGACATTGCCGGGTACGTTGAAAGTGTCGGCGATGGAGTGGTCAACTTCAGGAAGGGTGACAAGGTGGCTGCGTTCCACCAGATGATGACCCCTGGTGGAAGTTATGCTGAGTATGCCATTGCCTGGGAGCATACAACCTTCCACATTCCAGAGAAGACAAGCTTTGAAGGTAAGTTTTTGATTTAAGTCAATTGTGGGTCAGCCATTGACATTATGCAGAGGCCGCCACACTGCCCTTGGCTGCCATGACAGCGGCCCTCGGCCTGTACCAGATCCTGGGCCTACCCCTGCCCTGGAAGCCGACCAGTGCGCCACAGCCATTGGTGATTTACGGGGGAGCCACTGCTGTCGGAGCATTTGCTTTGAAATTTGCTCAGCTGTCGAACATCCACCCACTCATTGTGGTGGCTGGTAAAGGCCGTGACTTTGTCGAAACGCTCATCGACCGCAGCAAGGGCGATACGATCATTGACTACCGCGAAGGTGATGAAGCGGTTCAGACCAAGATCAAGTCCGCGGCGGCCGGAAAGCCCATTCACCACGCATACGACGCGGTGTCAGAGAAGGGAAGCTACCAGAACCTGTGCGCATCGTTGACAGCCCCGGCAAGATTACCGTGGTTCTCCCGCCCGCGGAAGATTACCAGATACCCGAGGGAATCAGCATCGAACGAACCTATGTGGGATCGGTGCACGAGTCACCCGCAGCGGGGAAGACAATCGAAGATCGCGAATTCGGGGCCGCTCTGTTTTCGCTGATGGGGCGGGGGCTGGCTCAGGGGTGGTTCTCGGGACATCCGTATGAAGTACGCCCGGGCGGATTGGGTGGTCTGCAAGGCGCCTTGCAGGATCTAGAAGCTGGAAAAGCATCTGCAGTGAAATATGTAGTCAGGATTGCGGAAACCGCTGGCGTGCCGTAAGATTGTACCTGCACCGGACGTCCGTCGGGGTAGCATTGAAATGACAAGAGGTGGACATGCGATTGTGACTAGCGGCACTAGTGGAGAAAACTAAGGACGTTGAATAATATCAAAAGAGGGAATGTTCCGAGGAGTGGATAGGCACAACAGCATCACGAACTAAGTAATATAGGGATTCTTCCAAACATGGTTCGATGATCGGCGATTCACGGCCACGGGCGACTCCACGTGCCAAGGGGCGGGGCACTCAAGGCCCGAAACCCGGAAACCTAAAAAGCCAAGCGAAGGCCGCGTGCCTGGATTTGGTGAAGATGGAAAACATCGCTTGACCTAAAGATCTGCATGATCAATATCGAGAATCGGCGTGGGTTGCCTGTTTGGAATGATTGGCCTGATGGATCTGCACTGGACTCCATTCCTGTGATATAAAACCTCCTCTCTGGTAGCATGGGGAAATAAAACACTGCTTTCCCCATTAAAGTTGGAGTAGACACTGCCCGTCATGGTTGGGGCTTCTTCTGTGATCAGGGCTATGCCTTTGCTGGCCGCATCTGCTTTGGCGAGTGTCAACTATCCTACCATCCCAGATGACTTGACCACCCCCTTCCAACAGCGTCTCGCTGTGTATGGGCCAACCTGTAAGATAAGTGAAAGTAAGATGCATCCACAATGACTAAACTGTGATTAGCCATGTCCGTTGGTTGGAACACGTATGAGAAGATGGGCACCAGCTGTGTGGCATACGGCACCTCTGCCAGCGACCTGAGCACTACCGTCTGCTCATCGTCCACTCCGACCACTTACGCCACATCTCGAACCTGGTCGAACACGGTGATTTTGACCGGATTGACCCCGGCCACCACCTACTACTATAAGATCCAATCGACCAACTCGACTGTGAACCACTTCCTGAGTCCCCGCACTCCGGGTGACAAGACCGCATTCAACATGGATGTCGTGATCGACCTGGGTGTGTACGGTGCAGATGGTTTCACCACCACCAAGCGTGACGAGATCCCCTACATCGAGCCTGATCTCAACCACACCACGATCGGTGCCCTTGCTCGGACCATTGATGACTACGAGCTTGTCATCCACCCCGGTGACTTTGCGTACGCTGATGACTGGTATCTCAAGCTCTCCAACCTGCTCCAGGGTAAGGAAGCCTACCAGTCCATCCTCGAGCAGTTCTACGACCAGCTCGCTCCCATTGCCGGCCGCAAGGCGTACATGGCCAGCCCCGGTAACCACGAAGCCGACTGCAGCGAGATTCCCTACCTTCTGGAACTGTGCCCGGAGGGCCAGAAGAACTTCACTGATTTCCTGCACCGCTTCGACCAGACCATGCCGGAGCCCTTCACTTCGTCCTCGACCAACGCCAACGCCCAAGCTCTTGCCGCCAAGGCAAAGACCTATGCCAACCCACCTTTCTGGTACTCCTTCGAGTACGGCATGGCTCACGTTGTCATGATCAACACCGAGACTGACTTCCCCGATGCGCCCGACGGCACGGATGGCTCTGCAAAGCTGGACGGCGGTCCCTTTGGCACAACCGGGCAACAGATCGACTTTTTGACCGCCGACCTTGCCTCAGTCGACCGCAGTGTCACCCCGTGGCTCATCGTTGCCGGCCACCGTCCCTGGTACACCACTGGCTCGGACAACGGCTGCGACTCCTGCCAAGAGGCCTTTGAGGATCTGTTCTACAAGTATGGCGTCGATCTCGGTGTTTTCGGACACGTTCACAACTCCCAGCGTTTCCTGCCCGTTTATAATGGAACTGCTGATGCGAACGGTATGACGGATCCTAAAGCGCCTATGTACATCATCGCTGGCGGACCTGGTAACATTGAGGGTCTGAGCGCTGTTGGCACTGAGCCTTCATATACTGAGTTTGCATATGCGGATGATTACAGCTATGCTCAGCTGAAGTTCTTGGATGAGAACAACCTCCAGGTCGATTTCATTCGCTCGGAGACTGGTGTTGTCTTGGATTCCAGCACTTTGTACAAGAGCCACACCGACTCGTTCGTTGTGCAATAGATCGCATTAGAAATGGATTAAGTGATTGTGTTAGACGAGTGAAAGGAAAATCTGACTCATGAGATGACTTTTAACAGACCAAGTTCAAGTAAATACTTCATAATATTTCAATTGTCCAGTCAAGAAAGCCCCTAGCATATCTCAACATACCGAGTTGTCAGCGCTAACACCGCCCTTCGTTCCATGTATAGCAGCGATACTAGGCTGCGATTGGTCTTAAAAGCGATTCGTTGATATTTATACCCCGAGTTATCGTGGTTTGTTTTGCAATTTGATCTGATCTAGCATAGAAGCTCCAGCGAAAGTGCAATGTAAACACCGCATCGGGAAACATAGATCGGATCGCCAGGCCGACACGGCATGACATCACCCTCAGTTCTTCGCGTCTCTACGTCGCCACGACACGTTCTATTCTACCAACTTCAACACCATCAATGCCATGGCAAAACGCACCTTGAACGCTTTCTTCAAGCCAGTCGCCGAAGCGGCATCTAAAAAATGCAAGACGGAACCCGAAACACCATCAGAACCCATAGGACCCCCAGATACGCACTTCAGCTATCCAATTCCAATCCCGCAACTTCCCTCGCACATCAGCGTCAGCCTCGAACACGGAACTCCAGCCCGAGAAGGTCGAAGCATAACCAACCAACCAGACCTGGATTTGCTCTACTTCCAACCCTACATCACTCAGACAACAGCCAACGAACTATTCAGATTCCTGCGCCGAGAACTCCCCTTCTACCGAGTCCAGTACAACATCAAACGAGGCGGCGTCGAAACATCAATTAACACACCACGCTACACAACCGTCTTTGGAGTCGACGACACGGCCACATTTGTCCCAAGATCCGAGGTCAACTTCAAAGATGAACATGACGATGAAGGGGAAGATCCCAACACCCTAATCCTCGTCAACGCCAGCAGCAAAACACCAATCTCTCTGTCCAAATACGAATACACCCCGCGGCCCATGCCAACATGTCTCGATACCCTCCGCCGCCACGTCGAATCCGTCACATCTGCCAAATACAACTTCTGCCTAGTAAATTACTACGCCAGCGGTAATGACAGCATATCCTTCCACTCTGACGACGAGCGCTTCCTCGGCTCATCTCCCTGCATTGCATCTCTCTCTCCCTAGGTGGAGAGCGGGACTTTGTCATGAAGCATAAACCACCTCCTAATGGGACACAGACACAGGATCAATCCAACGGTACACAGAAAGGTGCATGTACGGGACAGCTGAAAATGCCGTTGGCGTCGGGCGATATGGTGATCATGCGGGGACCGACGCAGGCGAATTGGTTACACAGCATACCGAAGCGGAAGGCTGCAGGGAGGGGGAGGGGTGAAAGGACGAATCAATATTACTTTCCGAAGGGCTGTTGTTCCAGCGGGGACGAACAATTATTATAATTATAATGTCGGGTGTGGGAGGGTTTGGAGGTGGGATGAGGGGGCTGGAGAGATGATTGAGCAGCAAGAGAAAGGGAAAAGCAAAGAAGGGGAAAAGGGTCAAGAACGGGGAAAAGATAAAGAAGAGGCACAGGTCAAAGGGATCAAGGGTACGACCTACATGTCTCTATTAAAAGCAGGAGGTGTTGAAGTTGCGTCACACGACCACTGAACGAGGATTTTCGTTGGAAATCAGTTGATATCATATCATTTACAGCCAAGCAGCCAGCACTAATGACGGGACAAGCGATGCAGGCAGAATGCCCGGGAAGAAAGAGAGAGGAAAGAACTCCATGTACATGGTACCCAAAAAGAATAGACAAAAGAAGCAAGTCGTCATGTGCATTGGCGCTGTTTATCGTCCCGGCACAGGGTAATTGTAGTGAATACAAATGGTGAGAAAAGTGAGAAGCGAAAAGATTAGAAGATGACTTCCTCGCCGAAGACATCGGCATAGCATTGGAAGACATCCGGACAGCTATCTCAGTCAGTAGTGATCAACAATGGGTGGACACAGTGGACACGGCACGAGTGGGGGGTGGGCCAAAGAAGGGGGGGGGTGGACTAGAAACTTACAAGATGGGATCCTTTCCGAAGATGATATGCCACATGTACTCCATGATATTGGCAGTGACTTCGTCGGAGAGATCATTGTTCAGAACCCAGTTATACATGCGCAGGTAATCAGTGCGCGGACGCTGCAGAACCTGTTCCCGGGAAACGGCAAATTGCGAACAACACGGGGCGGCGATCTTCTCTGGAACATTGGAGTTGCCAAAGATCTCCTTCCAAGCCGCGGCATAGTGCTTCTCGCCTGTGTCACCGGGCTTTGGGGGCTGGCGGAAAGGCTGCATTTCTTCAGGGCAGCCGGGGGACAATTGACAGCGGAGATTGACGAAACCTTCCTGTCGTACGAAATCGTGCTGCAGGGCGCGAATGGAATCGACATTGTTGTAATCCATGGAGTCGACGTGCCACGCTGTCTCATATGTTCCGCGATGAGCGTGGACGAAGACGACGATAGCGGGGAGGTCGTCGTAGTGATCGACGAGGAATTGAAGGTAAGGGAGAGCCTCGCGACCCTTGTTCTTAGGTGTGTGATTGGGGACGGAGGTATCGTCGACCGTGTAAATGAAATTGCGCCATCTGAAAAGAGATCGCGTCAGCCTAGTTCCCCTGACGAGAGATCGCAAGAAAAAAAAAAACAAAAACGAGAAAGGAAAATCACTCACTCCGCAAGCTCCTGAGAGACCCAAGTCGTGTCTTCCTCGCGCAATTTGCCGATGACGATGATTCCCTCGTCAGGAACGACAATCGGAGTATTCTGATAAGTCAACTCGACCGTGTGGCCAGTGCCGCTGCCCCATTTTCGGCGCGACGAATCCTGAGTAGAGGGCCGAGGGTGGAAAACGGAGCGGAAATCGGTAGTGTCGAAGTGCCAGAACGAGGAGGGGTGAGGGCCTTTAGGTAGGACGCGGCGATTGAACAGGATAAAGCCGAGAATAATGAGCACGGCGGCTGAGCCGATGCGGAGTGATAACCTCATGGCATGCCGTGGTGAGCGCGCGCGACACTCGAGGGAAGAAAAGGAGTAAGCCGGGTGGAAGGTGAAACGAGGGGGATCGAGTCAACGGCGGAACCCCATGCGGTGTCGGAGAGTCTGCGTCAACGAAGAGCACACTCTGGAACCTGAAGAACGCGTGAGAATAAGAGTTAATTAAGGAAGGACAATGCAGAAGGGAAATAAAGGACCGGAAAAAAAAAAGGCGGAAAAGGGCGACTCGAGGACAAGTGCGGGTTTCGCATACATTTCATTGGCGGAGGCACTGATGGGGCGATGTACTTTGTACTGTAAATGTCTCCCCATCGACAACCGTCTAGCCCCGTCGATCGGCCCCCTGGATGCGAAGTTGACAGGTGGTTGCATTTGCTGTCTGGTTCCGTTTAGTGTGGTTTAATTTTATCACCCTTGATATCAGCTACAGACTCAATTCTGCGTTATGATCCTCTTCATTAAACAATCAGGGGCATTTTACCCTAGCACCTACGATGGTCTGCGTCATGTTTCAACGCAGGGGGAATGCTACATTCTACTCACTCACAATCTGATTGCTTGCTGATGTCAGATCGACAGGTGCCTACGCATCATCCTGCGAGGGACAGTCCATAGCTAGCTCGTTGACGATCGAGCCGATCCGTGATGGACGACTTGCTCCTTTACGGATAAATGTCGGAGAATGGCGACCCTAATTTACCGGTAACAGACTCAGACGCCCGATCGGATCGTCGCATGGTTCAGGGGTTGAACCTTAAGAAAAAGAAATTGGAAATTGCCGCTAATTTCGAAGGGCACGGCTGCGACCGCCCGAACGCCCGCTAGCTATAAGACATGCCAATGCACGAACCTCTTGACATCTGACACAAGAAATCCAAAAATAAAACAAAACCATCAATCATCAGTATGGACAAATGGAATATTAATATCAAATTCTTCATCGTCTCCCGCAACCCTACCCACAACACATCGGGTTCTTTCCAAAAGCGCCGCAGCATTCATGCACCGATGCACCGCCAAATGCACCATAAACGCATCTAAAGTCTCAAACCTAGGTGCCATTTCATTCCGCTGCGCGCAACAGAAGATACATCCAAAGGTCCCCAGCGCATAATTGGGCATCTCCACATCCGCCCGCTTACATTCAACATGACTCTTGGCGAGAAAGAACCATCGATACCGTATCCCCGTTGCCTTATGCACATAAACATTTGTATCTGGGCGATGGTCATGACGACTGCTATCTTTTGCGAGGGGCATTGCGAAGAAACATTTGTAGCAACGTAATTTGGGACTTGAGGTGAAGTAGCCGACAGGTTCGGAGTGGACTTTGAGTCCGCCCATGCCGGAGGAGAGTTTCCAGGCGCCTTTGCAGAAGCCGGAATATTTGTTGTCTTTACTGGGGGGCCAGTAGGAGATTCCATTTGGGGCGCGAGGAAGATACGTGGATGGATTTGAGGAGGTGGTGTCTGAGGACGCAATGGATGGGGCCGAGGCCCGGTCTTGGGTGGAGAATCGGATTGTAGGAGAGGCTATGCTGGCTGCTGGTCCGAGACCTCGGATTGAAGCTGGGACTGGTGCGATGGAATGGTCTCTGGTTGGAAGTGATCTTTGAAAAGATGGCATATCGCCTTCTTCAGCGGACTCGAATTCGGTTTCTGAGTCGGTTTCGGACTTCGTGTCGTGGTTCCACATGTTTGTGGTCAACTCCCGAGTGATTTCGTCTTGTTCGATTGGTTTATTTAGTCTCTTGGCCTTGGGAGGCTGTTTAATCGCATCGGCCTCATCTTCTCTGATCTCTGGTTCATAAGAAGCTATCTGAGGGAAAACCGGAGCCTGAGAGGCAGGGCGCGTTATTGATTCCACCTCCGCCACAGATGTGGCATCAGCAGAAGACCGACGTCGGATGTCCTTCCACCAGGAACCGATGGATCCGAAGGTCGATGACCGTCTATCACGGGACAGGGGACTAATGGGTTCAGTCTGACGCGCAAAACCATGCGACTCGGGTGGCGAGCCTGTGATCATGCCAGGGAGACTCGTACCCTCCAAAGCGCGTCCCCCTCCAGGCCGTTTCCTCGAGTCCGATAAAGGCGACGAAGACTGCCTATCGATTAAGCCCATATAATACCCAAGACTGGATGCCGGATCCACAACCGACGGCCCAACAGGAAGAGCAATAGGCCAAGGGACTGCCGCCGTCTGAGCCTGTCTCTGATATAGATCATGCAGCACAGATATTGTACTCGCCCTCCCCCGATCCGATGCCGCAAGCAGCTTGACCATATCCAATCGCGCTTCATGGCCCTCTGCATATCGCAGATGAGTCAACAGCGCGCTTTGCAAGGTAATGACGATATCCTTCATCTGCTCACGAGCGATAGCGTCGCCCTCCTCATATCGTCGACCGAGGTGAGCGGCGCGAATATTCCAGTGCGTGAGAATATCTTCCGAGCCACGAATCAGCGACCACTCGAGGTCGATAGCGGAGGTATGGTTAGGCTGACGGCGATTATGCCATTTCTCCTTGATCGAACGGAAAAGTTGACCTCCATCGTGGTAGGCGGAGACGACTACGTATGTCCAAATTAGATGTCATTCGACAAGGTACGATGTGGACAAATGCGTACCTGCGGCCACACAGGCGACAACGGCGATCACCTCCGCCCCAGACATAGCTTGTACTGTAATCACAGGAATAGGTATATAGACGATTCCACAAGATATGAGCGCGGTAAAATGAGAAAGCAAAGGGGTCTTGCTAGAAAGCTTGGGGCAACAAGAAATGCGTCTGCGCCTGTCAAGAAGCAGAATCGCGAAAGAAGAAAATGCCGAGATACAGGGCCTTGAATGGCACGGGCCATGACAGCCATCCTATCCCGGAGGTCCTGGGAATTCCCAAAGAGGGGCTATAGCCCAGGCGCCAAGGAACAGCTGCAGAAGGGGATTGGATCGCGGGGAGATGTTTAGCGAGGAGGCTGAGCGCGGCAGCTGATTGTCGGATGGTGTGCAGGGGTCATGACAGATAGGATAAATGACTGCGTTTGGCATGATCTCGGAGTAGGAAAGCACATTAGTATTCTTGCTTTGCTCTGGTGAATAGCATAGAGGCATAGTGACATACTTTGTATACTTCAGTGGTATCGGCCTACCCCAGGCTCATTTGATCTCCACACATTTGATCTCCACTTCGTTCCGGTGGTCTTTTTCCCAAATATGAGTTATGGGAACGGACACGATGAAGTTTGCGATAATGTAGTGTTTACCATGTAAAGTGGCTCTCGTCGCTACTTCCATCGTACTGTCTACCGACGTAGTAGATATGAGCATTACAAAGGTGACGGTATTCTAGGAAGAAGTCTGCGTGTTCTCGCACAACTTCCTCAGTTCCATAGATTCTGAGTAGTTTCTAGCCCCGTCACGCAGGGAGTCAGACGGACTATGGGTTGCGGACCAACGGATCTCAGCATAGACGTAGACAACATGTTAACCTAAGCGCCGGCAACAAGGACATATACAAAGAAAAAACAATAATGAAAGAATATTAAATTTGATTAGTCTCATGATCCCCAATTACTATTCACAATATTTCTGTTTTCAAGCATGTTAGTCCCATTCTAGAAACCCAGGACTGATATTCAAAGACACTTCTGGATGACACTTACCCTAAAATCAGCGGCAACACTTCTGCCCAAGAGTGCGGCGGGGACAAAATGACCAAAGGCTGTCATAATACCAGCCCCGGCCACCTTAGCTCCCATAAATGAGATGCGGATCAATTTCGTCACATCATCTCTCTTCCTTGTCTGCCGGTCTTCCACGCTTTTCGCGCCTTTTCAATTTCGGCAAGGCGTTCTTCAGCTTTCTGCTTCTCCATTGCAATACTTTGCTCCATTCCCCAGTTCTTATCGCGAATGACTTCCTCCTGCAGGATAATAAGCTCTTCGATCTCCTTCTTGTGGGCGATTTTCGCATCTGCCAGATTGTCATTAACTTCCCCCCCGGCTTCGGTCTGGACCGGCGTCTTCCCCAAATTTTGCGTCTCGTTGACCAGTTGCGGTACGAAACTGTTTTCAGCGAGCGGACGGATGATATCGACGGCAGACTGCATCGAATCGCCAAAACGTTCCATTCCGGCCGCCCCTGTTCGAGCAGGGGCTCTCAGAATTTGGCCTTGAGCTCCTCTTCGCGAGTCTCTGAGTCTTCTTGCGGCTGCAGTGACCATTTTGACGTTACCAGGCGACAATTAGACATTTGGTCCTTACCAACTACTTTCTCAAACATCCGCAGATTCTTCATTCCGGAACCCTTCATCCTGGTCTGTGTAATGTCGTGGACGTAGATGACGCCGGAAATTCTCCAATCATCGGTCACAAAGGCATCCGCCAGACAATTGTCGATTGCGTCTCAGGTTGTCACGTCCATGTTGTACGTGTCATCAAAACCGGGAATATCACAAAGATACACAGTCGTGCCTGGTATCTGGAAGAGCCCAACCGGTGCGGTAGCTATCATCAATGTAAGCATTAGAAGTTGTATTCGCATAGTTATTTTATCTCCATCTTCTAGTAAGTTAGCTCTTGACAAGACTCCATTCCGTGCACTACATTCATCTTTTCCCCAGTGGCATGCTGAATGAATGTGCTTTTGCCAACACCAGTCACCCCCATGACCAAAATGATGGCATTCTTTTCCTGCTCCGTATTAATGAGAGGTATGGTGGCAGGAGTCACAGAGTAGGTTTATTTCTTAAAGATGGTGTCTGTTTCGCCGGTGTTCTCTGTTGGGTTTTTGCTCTGAGAAACTTGTCGTTCGTTTTGTTCGGACAGGCTAACAGACCCTGATACACCGATTTTATGGATACTTTTTTTCCAAAGAATTAAACAAATAGGTCTGCCCGGCAACAAATCTAGACTCGTATTGATTTTTGCCTTGAAAGCTTGTGATTGTCATAGACGTCCGTCTCCACTGCCCCACCCTGTGATCGTCCGGAACTTACCAGAACTTACATTGTTCCATGGGTCCGTGTCGAATCCCCCAGCCAACATGAAGTTTGCTAATCATCTCCATCCAATAAACAGTGGATTATTTCCTTGGATCGAGGCTGAGCTGACAGCAACTGGGAAAGACCGGGGTAATGCAATATATTACTATAGTTCACTAATTAGGATGGGTCTTATAAGGTCAAATCGTGGTGACCTCAGTGAACGCCATTTAGTACGCTCCAGTAGGATTCAGCGAAAGAGATAAAGTTGTTCCTAATTCTCTGGCAGGGATCTAGGCCCAAATCCAATTATTCGTAACGTACGCCTTCTCTCCGTCCAGTTGAATGTGAGACCGTGTCTACCCTGTGGCATGCTTTGCGCTATGTCGGAAAAGGGGACAAATATTTATGTCCAACTCTCTCCTAATTTTCTGTTTTGATTATATTACTAGTAAGGTTAAACATCGGATTCTGTCCTTTTCATGGGTGCTCCATTGTGCCTCCAAACGAACCATCATGGTACCAGCACCTGTCCTCGCCGTGATGGGCGTGACGGGAGCTGGGAAAAGCTAGGCGTGTAGCTCATCAGGTCATCAGGTCGACCCCTGACCTGATGACCTGATGAGGTCAATTTGGTTATGCCCAGTAATTACCAGTAATTACTGGTAGTTTACACCGTAAATTGAAAATTTTGAAACTCCCACTTTTGTCATGTGATCACGAAAAGCTCATCAGGTCGAAATTGGACCCACTTTTTTGACCTGATGAGCTTTTCGTAGTCACTACCAGTAGTGACTAGATAAATGGATATTTTCATAATTTATCAAAAATGTGAGTGACCTGATGACCTGATGACCTATTACTGGGCATGACTGGTAGTGAGAGGATGGAAGCAGACATAGCCTGGAAATCTCGGTACTATCTTAAAGCTACTAGTTTAGATTGAAATTTTGAAATCTATCTTTTATCGTGTGTACCCTATTCTGAATAATATATATCTCAACATCAATGTTTCTAAATCTAGTTGTAACATAATTGGTAAAAGTTTCATTCTAGATTCTTCTTATCACTTATAAGGATAATGGGTAGTCACTGGTAACTCCTGGTGGCGACTAGTGTATCAGACTACTAATAATTACCTAAAGGATAAATATAGGGCTAGTAAGGGGGGTAAGAATCTTAAATATATTGAGAAGGGAAGTAGGTATAACTGGTGGAAATATATAATAAAGTGAAAGTAGTTACTTAAAGCTCCTTGTATTGCTAGGTTCTTTCTACAGAGAACTAGTTCCGCTAAGTAGAATTGGCTTCATCTTCTGCGAGATCGGAAAAATTCCTTTGCAACATGACCTAGCTCACTTCTTGTCTGGCTTAACCTCTCATCGATCATACCCATAAAGGTGTCTAGATCATCGTCCTCTGGGGTAGCTAGTGACTGGTGATCACTAGGTGCCAATGGTAAGCTACCCTGGGAATGAGCTTGAAGGGTCACTGTATCGCTAGTAGAAGCCTGTGAAACTGATCTTGACTGGTAGTCACTAGGCACTAGTGTTGAGCTAGCCTGGCGTGATTGTAAAGGCGAAGGAAGAGGCGGTGAGCTAGACCAAGTCTGTGGACTTGACTGGTGAGTCCCCAAATCGATCTCATATGGTAGAGAGTGATCGTTACTAGTAATACTAGCTCTGCTCGGAGGACTGTCTGTGTCATTCAGAAGATGATATCCTAGTTATTACCGGTAAGTAATAGATATATCTGGAGGCTCCCTAAAGGATAAAATACCTTCGAGTGATAACTGATTTGCCTTTCTCTTCCGTGAAGTAGCAGTCGTAGGTCTTACTGGAACTGGTGTCTGCAGTAGGGTTTGAGTATTAACCTCAAGATTCTCTGGTGGCGTGACTAGTCACTATCAGTTAATATCAGAAATGTATGATAGTAGCTAGTCATACCTTGTCGCGGACGAGTCGCAGAGCGAGAAGTTGGTGTTGTAACTGCATGAGTTGGACGCACACCAAAGCGAGAATAGCGATGGAGATCCTCAAAAGACCGAAGATCTGATTGGTGAGACCTAGAAGCTACTGTTAGTCACTGAGAAATACTAAAGATAAAATAACTTACTCCTGAATTGCTGGGCGAAGTTGAATTTGAATGCCACTCCGATTAGTTGTGGCATGCAGTCCTTCAGTAAGATTGGTATGTTTTGGAAACTTCTTGAAGTGACTGGTAGGCATCAGTGAGAAGGCGGGGTTTAGACCTGAAAGAATCCATGGACGGATCTTATGTGTAGCCCAACTAGTAACACCAGGTGTTAAGGAGCCTTTAAGACCGTTTAGGATCCTCATACAGCCCTCTTGGGAGGGAACAGTAAGGATTGATTTCATCAGGTGGTAATCAGGAGCTCTGCGGAACCGATTCAGATTTCGTTGGAAGTGCACCTGGCAGTACAAGAAGATAGACTGCACGTGTTGTTGCCATGTCCGGGTTGGATCGATTGTTGTAAGATAGTGCCCGAAGCCTATTGATGTAACCGGTTATTACATGGAGTAACCAGTCACTACAGGTACTTACCACTTGCTTGCTTAGCACACATATCCACAATGACCGCCTGGATCCCATTCCGATGGATATGATGCCATTGGACCGGAGACCGAGCTACCTCTGCGATCTTCTGAAAGAGTGCTTTAAACAGTTCAAAATACATCTCAGTAGAATCGCAATTGACAAAGACACGTGCGAGCACGATCACTGAAGAAAATATTAGTTGTTACAGGTAGCGTCTTGTTATAACCAGTAGTAACAAGTAGCCCACTTACCTTGTCCAAGAGTGTCGTCCTTAGTGACAAAAACAACCTCATTGATATTCCCTGCAACCCGTTTAAAGGTCATATCCATCTGGAAGAAATGGATTTTAGCCCAATACTGGGCCTGCGCTAGGGTAAAGCAGATAATCCGTATGTTGTTGCCGTTGGTGTACATCTCCTGGATATACATCTCACAAGGAGATGATGATTCCTGAAGATATTCAAGGTAGGTACCTAGAAGCTATCAGTAAGGAAATATCATAGCTTGTCACACGTAGTAATTACTAGCCCAACCCTGACCAAGAGGATTTACTAGAATCCGGTGCTTTCTGATCAGTACTCGTACCATATCGCGACATCCAAGTGAAGGGTGTAGGGCTGCGAAATTTGGTAACTGGTAGCGTGCGAGGAAATCTCTGACAACATCGCTGCGAATAAATCGCCCTAGAAGTGACTCGTTATAACTAGAAGTGACTATCTGGTACCACTACCTACCATGAGTAATCTGTCGCTGGTCGACCTTTCTGATAAGATCTTGCACACTAGACACAATATGATGTGGGGTCTTTGTCATTGGTGGTGGTGGATGTGAATGTGTGCCCCAAGATGCGTAGACAATAAGCGGTAGTGCTGTAAGGTTCTTTGGTTTGATTACCATAGTTTTAACCTCACAGCCCTGGACTTCGATCATGTCAGGTCCATGTGCACCTAGAAATACAGAGTTACTACCGATATTTATTGGTGAGGAAATTTACTTACCACAAGCTGTCAGGCGGCTACTAGGAGCAAGAAGTGTCTCGCAGTCCTGGTTAGTGATAAGTGGAGGTTCGGCATTGTTAAGAATAAGGTCCCTTAAGTAATCAATGTCCAGTCCTTCAAGGGTTGGTAGCTTGAAAAATAGGTGTCTCCTGCTCCTTTGAAGAAAGAACTGGCTACAACCAATAAACCATCCAGATCCCTGAAAGATTACTAGTGGTTACCAGAAATAACAGGAAAGAACAACTTACATCTTGAAATTGGCGTAGCACCATTTGTCCACCCTCGCATTGCGTGCCACATATCTCCTGGTAGCGACTTTTCTGTTCAAGAAATATGTTGTAGGTTGATATCCGTAGACGATCAGAGGCGGCAACGCGAGCTCTTGCGGCTAGAACTCGCTCGCGGTCATCGTAAAGACGGTCCCAGAGACTCTCAGTCACATCTGTATGCTCGTAGTCATAACGAATATGGGATGCGAGCTGTTTGCAGACTTTGACTCCGGAGCACTGCCTTCTGATAAATGTGCAAAGGCTATCATTGAGTAAGGGGCAATTTTTCTCTTTCTGCCATCTCTGGTTGTTCCTAGTACCATTCCCATATTGTACATCAGCATATGCGATCTTCACATCATCTTCTGGTAGGTGCCGGATATCAACGATATAGGCAACACCCTCAGGGTGGGTTATTGGGTATTCCGGGACTGCCTGGGTGTATGCGATAAATCGGACACGGTCAAATCCTCCAGTGAGAGGCTTTTGAGAGATCTTATACCCCGCAGGATATTCAGTAAAGACATGAGATAAATTAGTAGAGTTATCAGGCTGCAGGGAAGGACTTGGTGTTTCTGGTGATACTTGATTATCACTCAGTTCAGGAAAGGTAGCAAGCTCATCTCGTAGTCGCTGCGGAAGATGAGTATTACTTCCCCAGTCATCCATAGGCGTCGCCATAATAGAAGTGGTGTAGTCAGGAGATACCGGAAGTAAATAGATTGTCAAAGATAGATCTTAGGGGGTAATCAGGGGTATTCGGGGGAGGGATAAAGGGTAAGTAAAGAGTGAAGATGAGAGGCTATAGAATAATAGGTATTTGAATAATTAGGTAAGCTTATAGAGGGGAGAGGGGAGGAAATTCTATTTCTAGTAGCGACAAGTTATGACATAGATTTACTTGTAGTGAAGAAATCATTAAGGGGTATCATAGAATCTGGCTATCTTAAGCTCTCATAGGAGAGAAAATTACTATCCCGTAATATCAAAGTGTAACTAGAAAATCCACGCCCTAACTAGGGACATCAAGGAAAAGCTCCATATCAGGATCATCATTATCATCCACAGGGATAGGCGCAGGTCCGGGATCAGTAGTTGTAGGCGTAGGAGTAGTCGCAGGCACGGGAGCAGGGGTACTAGAAATAGATTGTCAGTACAAGTCATAACAGGTCGGTCCCTGAAAGACTACTAACTTACACAGCAGTCATAGAGCCGGTCCGGCCAGGAGGCTTCCAGTTGCTATTAGATATTAGCAGTAGTTCCTTCGAGTTACCAGTTATTATTTGTACTCACAACCAACCCTTACTATCCTTCAAAGAGACCACATAAAGGCCGAGGAAAGTGTCCTCATTCTAGAGTATCAATTAGTAACTAGTAATGGCCTGTATCACCCAGTACTTACCACATGCTGTTTCTCAATGTGCTTTCGGATGCTGCCACCTCTACCAGTAGCTGTGCCAACTGTGGCTTTCAGGCCGCTACCAGTAGTAATAATTAGCTCTGCAACGTTTCAAATTATGACTTGAAATACTTACGGACAGTAGGCGCAGTAGGGGCAGACAACTGCGCACGGGGGAATAGCCTAAGGCCACATTAATATTGGTAAGGACAAGTAACAACATACAACAACCACTTACAACTGGTCCAGATCGAGGAAATTCGGTGTAGCGGGTGTCCTTGTGGTCCTCCTCGGCGCAACGGCAAATCCACTTCACACTAGTAATAACCTGTCAGGAAAAGTCGCAGGATTTGATAACTAGTACTTACTCGAAATCCTGACGCAGACTCACACACCTTTCCGGGTTCTGATCGACGGCAGCGGTAACACGTGCTACCTGGTTAGGACCAGGAGCAGCCAGGAGAGGAAGATCGGACCGTCGAATGTTACTAGTAGCAACAGGGTTCTTTGCGAAAGACTGGCCAGAACCAAGTTGCTCCAAGTCACTACCAGTCTCGGAACCAGTACTGTCCTCATCGCTAGAAGGAGTATTGGCAGGGGCGTGGTCCTTACCGGTAGTGACTCTTGGCTTCTTAGGAGGCGCGACGGGCTGCTTTTCGACACGACCAGTAGCGACACGTCCCTTCTTTGGGAGCCCAGTAGCGACATTTCCCTTCTTTGGGAGCCCAGGCTTATCAGGAGCCTTCTTGGCACCACCCTCACCAGCGCGGCGAGTGCTCACCATTTTTGTCAGTAAGAAAAAAAAAAGCTTGGTGTAACTGGTAGCTAAAAATCAAGATTGTTAGGGATGCATCTCTTCAAGTCATGACTGGTCTTCATTCAGTCATTCTCGTCATGAATCCTCAGCAGTATGGCGGTAAAGGGAGACATAGGAGAATAGGTCATAACCAGTTACTTGATGCCGAAGAACTGGTGAGCACCGCTGAAGATAGAAAGGCATCCGGGCATAGCTAGTAGGAAGTAGGAAGGAAGGAAGGGTAATAGGGTATGTCTGGGGACTTTTCCCCCTCCGATGGGCCCAGGTATCTCTCCAAAGCTCTCAGATCTTTCACTTTTGAGTTGCTGGATGCTTCTCGTAGTCGATATTGAGGTCATAAGAGGCCTGGGGAGACATTGTAGGGTCATGGAGGATCAAAAAGGATATGGTGGGGGATGGATACGTACCGGGAGTGGATGGAGGGGGAGTTAAAGGAAGAAGAAAAATAGTAAGACTAAAATAAAGAAGTGAACAATATCATGGAGGTGAGGGTGAAGCATACTGCGTCACGTGATTACCCCGGATTTTGTTCTAGTAGTGACTGGTCAGAGAAAGTTTAAATTAATACTGAATATGTTTTTGCTACCTTCTAGAACCTCTCGGAAGCAACCAGTAACAAAATAGACGTTAATGAATCTCTAGACATGATTACTAGTGATATACTAGCTTCTGCTTGATTATTATTATACTAGTCATTATTGAGTCTCTGAATTAGAAGTAATCTATTCCTTCCTCTCACTACCAGTCATACTCAGTAATAGGTCATCAGGTCATCAGGTCATTCACATTTTTGATAAAATATGAAAATATCCATTTATCTAGTCACTACTGGTAGTGACTACGAAAAGCTCATCAGGTCAAAAAAGTGGGTCCAATTTCGACCTGATGAGCTTTTTGTGATCACATGACAAAAGTGGGAGTTTCAAAATTTTCAATTTACGGTGTAAACTACCAGTAATTACTGGTAATTACTGGGCATAACCAAATTGACCTCATCAGGTCATCAGGTCACCTGGTGACCTGATGACCTGATGAGCTACATACCCGGAAAAGCTCGTTCATCAAACTCGTGACGGGAAATGAGAAGATCAAAATCGGGCTTTCCATGGAAGCGGGTGAGGATATCCTGGTGATACAATCACGGACAGGACCCTATTGAATTAACACATTTTTAGAGACTTCGATTGGTAGTCATGAAACCACCATTGGAAGGCAAAAATACGTTCTTGTGGATACGTCTGGGTTTGACAACACCCAGCTCAGCGGCTCAGACGTGCTCCAGATTTTGGTCGACTGGCTGCAATCTACCTACCGCGAAGGCACCAAGCTCAGCGGCACTCTTTATCTTCATCGAATAACGGAGGCGCGTATGCACGGCTCGGCCCTCCGTAATCTAACTATGTTCAAAGAGCTATGCGGCGACAACTTCTATACCAACTTGACACTAGGCACAACCCGCTGGTCACTCGTCGACACTGAAGTCGCCGTGGCAAGAGAGAATGAGCTTAAACATAACAGTAGGTTCTGGAAGTCCATGATCTCACGCGGATCAGGACTTGTCCGCATTCCTGATGATGCAGATGTGGCTCGTGAGCTGGTCGTAAAGCTCTCTTGCCATACACCTACTACGCTCCAGATCCAGGAAGCCGTCGACAGAACAACTACATTAACTCCCAGACTTTGAAATAAGAAGATCTGGCGGTTTCCTTCGGGCGGATAATGAAGGCAGATCTCAACTAAAAAAAAAAACGAGGGAGGTTTTATACTTGTTTGTGGGTGCTTAGTTGAACATTACCTAAGAATATCTCGGAAATTTACGAACAGAATAGGAGACGCGAGCGGGGACATGATAGATGCGGACAGCGCGCACCGTCACAAAATCGTCGAGCCGGTAGCCACACTTTCCAACACACAATAAGTTTATCCGGCCCAGTCTGCCAGGCATACGTGACTCATCAAGCCTGTGAGCCAAACACGACACGCTGATACTCGAAATCGGCTTCATTAATCTGTAGCTAAGATCTGGTAGCTACAGCGTCAACGAAACCAAGACCGTTTCAAGAGTGATATGCGAGAGCTGCCTCACACGGTACGAAAGTGACATATCACGAACTCAGGCACCGACAGACACAATCAGCAGACGCACAGACAGCAAAGAGACTTTTGCGACTGCCGTATTTTGGAGCCAGAATAGTAGCACTTTATCACAGTATCCTACCACAACCTCTTCTCAGGAGACGACACCCGCGAGTATGGCCTTGAAGATACGCGCCTGGGTTCAAGGCGGGGGAGCACAAGATGTCATTTGAGAATGAAATCGATGAGGCCATACATAGTGGTACGCATCCGGAGTTCGTCGTGCAACCACACCAAACATACGTTCTAGACACGAGGGACAGAAACAAGCAAACGGCCATGATGCTGGCGCTCAAACCAAATATGCAAAAGGACGGAAAGGCGGTGACTGTGGTTTCTTACATGGACATCTCTGACGCTTACAAGAAAGATCCCGTCAAAGTGCGTGTCAAGAACAGGGTGATGCGCATGAATACATTCGAAGTGTATTATGCGAGTATGACATTGAAGAGCTGGAAAGACATGATAGCCCATTCGGTCAACGCGGTGGATCCCGGCCTACTACAAAATGCTAGTGCTGCAAAGGTACATGGAGCTAGTTCTGCAGGGTCATCATCCGGCGGACTATCGGGTGCAGACCTCAACCCCACTGGACTCGTGAGTAGCTGCTCAGGATCATCTTATCCGGATTTGTCCCAACACATCAGTAACGCTGCTAGTGCTGACTTAGACCCATCTGACGTGGCTCAAAATGCGACAGACATTCTGAGTGCCGACCCCACTGGACTCGGTGGTAGCAGTTTGGGAGCTTCCTATCCAGATTGGTTCCAACACTTCGGTAACGCTACTAGCTTAGACCTGTCTGGCATGGCCCAGAGTGCGACAGACAGTCTGAATCACCTCGATCCAAATACTTTAAGGGACGGAACGGTGGCAGGTTACGGCGACGATACATTTAGTGACATGGTCGATGCTTTGAGCAGTGTATTCAATTGGGGCGCCGGTGAGTCACGTAGGTAGATAGCGAACACACGTGATAATCGAAGATTGTGACGCGCGCAGATACATATCACTGTATTCGACGGTAATTCCCCCGTTAGCATCAACTTGACTTTGCATTGGTAAGCGAAGGAGGCGGCGTCAACATTAGGAGTCAGGGGCCTAGGTCATTTTACACGAGGCTGCCAGGGAGATGGAGATCCAATAGTGGAGCTCGATAATAGGATTCAACATCTAGGCTAAGCTGGAATCATTGATTGGTTCAAACACTTACTTACTAGGGATTCAGGAGCTGGCCACTAATTCAAATCTCGCAAGAGGTCTATTTTGGTAATGATATAAAACTGAAGTAGAAACATGTTCTGTTGCTATTCTTCTGACTTGTTAAGGGCTTGGGTGATGGCCAATGTTCAACTGAACAAAGTTGCCTGTACAACGCAGCTGAGGGAAATAGAGCTGTAAACATTGGATGTTCAAATTCTGTCTTCAAGGGAAGTTTTAGGTGTTTTGAGACTAAACAGTGAAGACCAGAGATGTTGTCCAGGAAAGATGTTATACACACGTGCCAGCGCAATTTCTCATCACATATATAGTCGACGGGTATATATACATGCGTCAAAGTAGGTACCTGTTCGAAGGGCCCCACATCCCTTCCAACCTTTAAATGTTCAGACAAAATGACAAAAGATCTGCAAATTTACAGTTTCGGCTTCTCATTGAACCTCGGTGCCTCAAGCGGATCATAAGCCCCGAGACCTAGGGTATCAGAAGGGATGAAGCCAGCATGCCCACTCATCAGACCCCTAGTATCCAACAGGCTAGGGTTCAAATCCTCGATCCGTGTAGCACCAATCAACCGCATGTTCATCTCCATCTCATCCTTGAGCAACTGCATAGCCCGGTTGACACCATCAAGACCGTAAGAGCTCATAGCGAAAAGGAATGGCCGTCCAATACCAACGCCCTTGGCACCAAGACAGAGTGCTTTCAGAATGTCAGTTGATCGGCGAACACCACCATCCACGAAGACCTCAATGCGCTTCTCCCAGCCTCGTTCGCGGAGAGCGGGCATGACCTCGGCGAGGACTTCGATTCCAGAACGGGAGGTTTCAAGCTGTCTACCACCGTGGTTGGATAGCACGACGCCGTCGACGCCGGCTTCCACGGCGCGAAGGACGTCTTCGACGCATTGTACGCCCTTAAGCACAATTGGCATCTTAGTAATAGAGCGGAACCAAGGGATATCTTTCCAAGAGAGAGCAGGGTCGATAAAAGAAGAGATGGCGCGAGCGGCACCTTGCGAGCGGTCGACACTATCATCGCCATTTTGGACGTTTGAGCCTGAGTCAGAGAACTTGGAGCGCATATCTTTCTCGCGTCGGCCGAGTTGAGGCGCGTCGACAGTTATGAAGAGGCCCTTGCAGCCGCGTTTTTCGGCGTGGCAGACGATCTTTTCAGTGATTGAGCGGTCTTTGTTTACGTAGAGTTGGAGCCATTGGACTTGGTCGCCCTTGGCGGCGTCCACGATTTCGTCGAAGGAGCATGAGGCTAGAGTCGGGATCATTTGGATTACGTTGTGTTGCTTGGCGGCTTTGGTGAGGACAACTTCACCCTCCGGATGGCCTAATTTGCCGAGGGCCGTTGCCGTCACGTAGAAGGGGATGGAGCATTTAGTGCCAAGCATCGTGGTAGAGAAGTCGATGTGCTCGACATCGACGAGGATGCGGGGGCGGAACCAGATTTTGTGGAAAGCGGCGTGGTTTTCGCGCATGGTCTGGAGGTGTTTGTTAGTTAGGCGTCGCATAGTGTGGTAGCACGGAGACTCACAATCTCGTCGTCGGCTCCGCTGGAGTAGTAAGCCCAAGCGGTCTTCTTCATGACCCGGCGGGCGACAGCCTCGAAATCCATCAGGTTGTAGCAGGCAGCCAAAGGAGGCATACGTTTAACGCGCTCGAGACGGCCAGCCTCCTCAGGGTCGACAACCTTCTCCTCTTGCTCGACCGTGTTCATGTCGACGTCGCCGAGGTGCTTGGACTGGTCAAGGTACTTGTCTAGGGTATCAGGCGGGTGGATGGGGTCGAACTCCTCGGTCGCATCTTTCCCAGCATACTTCAGGATGATCTTTGAGCCGCCAGGGTGTTCTTCAAAGTGTTAGAGAAAGTTGTCTTAGCGGGATTGGTGAAGATACCAGGGAGGAACTCGGTCACGTCGTAGGCCTTGCCGTGGACAATCACCCAGCATGAGTCCTTGGAGTTGTGCTCGGCAACCGCAGCGCCAGTTAGCTTATCGGATGTCATAATGATAAGTCAGAGAATGAGTTATTGCATGAGAGCAAAAGGAGAAAAAGATCAAGCTGAAGACCTGAAGACAAGACGGAAGGACATCGGGCTAATGGTGTCCGGGGGAGAAAATTGCGGGGAGCTTCTCGGCCGATTCGGGCGGATGGCCGCTCACTGTCTCCCGATTATCGATCCTCAAGTACCGTTCATATCAGGGGCGCGGGAATTGCATTCATTATTGACGCTACTTCTTTTGAGCATATATTTGTCTTCTATGCCAGTCATTCAATGGCCTCCATAGTGCAGCACAGTCAAAGGCCTCGGCTTATCACAGTCCATTCGCAAGCCTCCAATTGCAAGCACGGGGTCTGCTCCCCCGAGGACAGGCCGTCGGGAATTGAATGCGGTGGCTGGTATCGGCAGATATAAATAGTGTAGCCCCGTCCTCTGTTATGCAGGTAGCGCAACTCCCCTTTATCAAGAATGCGAGGGGGCCCAACGAGGCAGGAATTGCGAGTCTAGGAAGGCCTGGCGAGAGATGCCTTGACGCCTGACAGCCTTACGTCTCAGGCGTCGATTGACGATGAGGGACGGCGGGGGACGCATTACTCGCCTCAGGCCGCAAACGTTCAAGTTCTCAACTTCTGTGGCTCAGCGCTCTGGATCAGATGAGAGCTCGAACCGTCGCACTACGTGCACATAAATAGGCTTCACGCACCGTGGGCCTCCTCCAACCTTCACCCTGAATAGATCGAGAACAGTAGTTTGGGTCAAGCAACGGGCGCCTCTGCCGATCATGAACTCAAAACTTCTGGCATCGACTTAAATGGTCAACGTTCCAGTTTCTCCAAATAAGGCCTACGTCGCGCGCAACACGGTCTCCCAAAGATCGATGCAGCGTTTCCGCTGCAGCTGATGTAGTGCACTGCCGTCATCGGCGCTTGAATTCTCCGAATGTCCTCGCTTAAGCTCTTCAGCGGCCGTGTGAAGGGGTTCGTTTGTGCGAGGGGCGACGTCCGCCCAATGGCTCTGGTAGAATTGCGCCCACGACGGCTGTGGCGTTCTCCCGACAATCCCTGGGACTGTATACCTGGTTTTGAGTTGGAGATTCCTTGCCACTTGTATCAGATATTTGTACACTAGTTTTAGGAACTTGTAAAACTTGAGGCTTCCGGTGTCATCTCTGGTAAAGTCTGGGGCTACCATCTAGCCTGGTCAATGGCACTGTCAGCTGAGATTTGGTACCTAATGGGCGATCAAGTTCAGTCCGCGGTACCCTATCAACACCTTGCACCCAGAGCGACTCGAGTCATGCTCTTCCATACTCTTTACAACGTCGGGCCATGACGTTGGTGGGATCGCCGGGCGGGGCGATATGCACCTCGGTGTCATACAAGATTGACACCTGTGGGCTTGACCGTCTCGGAATACTTTGGATTGCCAGATCAGCCGTTTTCCTGTTATCACGGGTGGAAGATAACTGAGCCGTGAGGATCGGCACGCACGCATCGTGTACCATGCACCATGCACTATGCAACACACACTGGTCCCGGACTGTTTACCGCACTGTAATTCCGTAAATTGTCAGTTGCAATAGTTTGTACTGGAGTCAGTACGAACGTCCTCCGACAACTTTCTTCCGATCTGTCGGGCTTGTGATTCGCGTGGTAAAACGAATTCCCATCCACTTGTGTCCCTACCCACGTCGCCTTCTACATCAGCGTAAGCGAACCGAGCTCGTCTGGATTCCAGGCGATCGACCTGCCACTGACAAAATAGCCTCATTTCTTTGCAAAGTCTGACGTGTTTTTCCTGGCGAAGATTTTTCACCGTTTAGAGGGGAAAGGTGGGTCCCTGGTAGAGTACCTGTTATTCGTCGGTGGAGAAAATGGAAAAAGGGGAAAAATTGGAATTATCCGTCGACTGCAAAAAAGAGTTTGGGTGGGAAAAATATGTTAAAAAGAATTCGAATGTAATAGGAAAATGAAATTGAATAGAAAAAATCGTGAAATTAGCGGCTTGGCTTCCATGCATTCGAAATTCGGGTGCAGATTCCACTACTGTACAGAACGATGTGAACAGACGGGGAAATGTTTATTCTCTCCGCCTCCAAGGTCCCCCAGTCTCCCTTAAATCCCCAGGTCAAGGAAATACGCGGAGTAACCCTGTTCAGCACGGGGTCGCCTGGTCGTGGGACCTCGGATGGCGGGGAGGAGTGAGGAGACCGCCTACGCTTCGACATAATAGCTCTGTGGTTCAACACATTCGCACATTCTATGGGTGGAAGGTAAGATGACGATGGAGTTGGTTGAGCAGGTCCACAGTGGGTCGGTAGCGATCCACCGATCCACTCGAGTATGGCTTGCTAGTTTGCGCACGGCGCATTCTTGCATCATCGCCCACTGATCACGGCTGGCTGTCCTCTTCGGGACACGGTGACGGCTTCCCGAGTGCAGACCGACTCGGCCTTTCAATTCTGCCCGTTGCATCTCCGTCTTGGCATAGTGATCAAGGTCCCGGGAACGATCAAATATTGGGTTTCCCAAACGGAGAGTAACACGATACTATCGATCGAGGGCTCTCGCATGGGTGTTCCCGAATATGTGGTGAAGATTCCCTTATTCTTGAGCGGTTCGCCTTCCGGTTCGGGCTGCGGCAAGGATGTAGCTTAGTGCCGACGGTATTCACTCGGGTGGTAAGGAGCCGCCCGAATCAATCCCATCGGGTTTCATTTATTTCATTTGTTCCATCATTTCTATTCGGACGATGTCCTTGGGTTATTTGATGTACCTGGAACCAAACCGTGAAGCGAAACGTGATTTGTTTGGCCCAGAGCCAGAGAGTGGGCATACGCAAACCCCCCTTTTGCAGTATCGCTCTGTTATGGGGCAGGTTAACCGGGGCAAATAACTTCCAATCACGTCGACCGTAGACGAACCGACCCTCGCAAAGTTTTCAGGTTATTATGAAAGGGCTTGATGTCATCAGGGACGCAAACTACGGCTGCCGAGTGGAGGAGGTGAAAAATGCTTAATCGAAGGTAATTGAAGCATCCGGGTGGCTTGGTTCCACCACGGACCAGGGTGGACCTTAACCAGGAATCGGCTTTCCTCTTCGGTTGGACATTTGCGCCTAATACAGGGTGACCAAGAAACAAATGTCGGTTTTATCACCGCCTTTTTCTGATATTTACATACCGCCTTACGAAGTTACTCTACATGACGCTTTCACTTTCTTCCTTTCCTAGCGTTAACCGGAAAAAAAGGGTATCAATACAGATTGAATTCATTGGTTATTTGCAAAATGCCAGCAGAATAAGAGTGGAGACCGACATTTGTTTCTTGGTCACCCTGTAGATACTTTCTTTCTCCGAGTGCGAGACACAGGGATGCAATGTTGGAGAGAGCCCCACGATGCATCTCCTTGCCACTTTCGGTGCCCTGTGAAGCATTCAAATATCCCTTCCCCTCCCTGTCCCCAGAAGTCTCCTCTTTTTTATTTCCGCGTGCCTTTTTTTCTTCCTCCAATCTACTTAATCTATCTCTATTCCACGTGCCCGGGGTAGATTTATTCTTAGATTGGGATTACATCACCGGTCAATAGAACAAGTGAGATATTCAAGCACACCATGGCGCCTTCTTTCGCCGGTATGAGCGGCAGGAAGCTGTCCTTGACAGTATCCACCATCGCCACGATGGGCTTCCTGCTGTTCGGTTACGATCAGGGTGTTATGTCAGGTATCATCTCTGCAAAGGCCTTCAACAACGTTTTCACCGCCACCAAGGACGACACAATGCAAGCCCTGGTGACCGCCGTTTACGAATTGGGTTGTTTGTTCGGTGCCATTTGGGCCCTGTTCATGGGTGACACGATGGGTCGTCGCTGGATGATCATCGTGGGTGCCACCATCATGATTATCGGTGTTATTATTCAGGTCACTGCATTCGTCGGTCACGTTCCTCTCGCCCAGTTTATCATCGGTCGTATCGTCACCGGTGTTGGTAACGGTATGAATACTTCGACAATCCCTACTTACCAAGCGGAGTGCTCGCGCACCAGCAACCGTGGTCTTCTCATCTGTATCGAGGGTGGTATCATTGCCATTGGTACTGCGATTGCCTACTGGATTGACTTCGGTGCCTCGTACGGTCCCGATCCTCTCGTCTGGCGTTTCCCGATCGCTTTCCAGATTGTCTTTGGTCTGATCATCATTGTCGGCATGTATTTCTTGCCTGACTCTCCTCGCTACCTGATCTCCAAGGGCAAGGTCCACGAGGGAGAGTACGTCCTTGCTGCCCTTGGTGGCTACGAAATTGATTCCCACGAGACCCAGATGCAGAAACAGCTCGTGATCGAGTCCATTGAGGCGTACGTCTTCCTCCATATTTTTTGCCTCTTCTCTGCTAACTTTTCAACAGTGCTGGTGTCGCTGAGGGTGCTGGCTACTCGGATTTGCTCACTGGCGGCAAGACTCAGCACTTCCGCCGTATGCTTATCGGTTCTTCCTCCCAGATTGCCCAGCAGCTGTCGGGATGCAATGCTGTCATCTACTATCTCCCTGTCTTGCTCGAGCAATCTCTGGGCCAGGATCGCACCATGTCTATGATCATTGGTGGTGTCAACATGATTGTCTACGCCATTTTCGCTACCTTCTCCTGGTTCTTCATTGAGAAGATCGGTCGTCGCAAGCTCTTCCTTGGTGGTATGACCGGCCAGATGGTCTCCATGATCATCGTCTTCGCTTGCCTGATCCCTGGCGGTGAGGGCCCTTCCAAGGGAGCCGTGTTCGGTCTGTTCTTGTACATCGCTTTCTTCGGTGCTTCCATCTTGCCATTGCCGTGGTTGTACCCCGCCGAGATCTCTCCTATCCGGACTCGTGCGAAGGCGAACGCTGTCTCGACTTGCTCCAACTGGTTGTTCAACTTCACTGTCGTCATGATCACCCCTGTTATGATCGCCCACATCCACTGGGGGACTTACCTCTTCTTCGCTGTGATGAACGCCATCTTCATTCCCCCGATGTACTTCTTCTACCCTGAGACTGCCGGCCGCTCGCTTGAGGAGATTGATCTCATCTTCGCCAAGGGTTTTGTCGACAACATCAGTTACGTCAAGGCTTCCCACGAGCTGCCCCGGCTCACCGACGAGGAGATTGAGCAGTACGCGATCCAGTATGGCTTCCAGGGCGCTGGTGCTGGTGACGTTGAGAAGGCTACCCACTCCCCTTCTTCCACCGACCAGGAGCGCGAGGAGAACTACAAGGCTGAGTACAACACTCAGCAGACTCTCTCTGGTGGCAATGACCGCGCCCAGGAGTAGACTACTTTGCCCGTTTGTCTACTCTCGTGTATTCCCTGTGTTAGTCTTATGGCCGACGTGAGCGCTGTGCGCCTGACCCCGTGTGGTGGTCGGTCTGATCAGGGCAGATTGTTCCTGTTGATGTCTTTCCTATTATTGTTTCTTGCTCTCATCCTCCATTATACCCATTGTTGCCAAAAGAGCAGTGCTTGATGATTTCATGTTTATGACTGGGTTCGGTCGGCATGTGACTTGGATGCATGTATGCGCTTTGTACCAAATAGAGATACAACTCGGATTTTACCTCATATACTCCCACCGGAAAGGTAGTGTTGATTTCCCTTCATGACATTTTCATCATTATTTTTAAATGTAAAATCGCAATCTACTATTTATCCCAAAACTCGTTTATTATGTTCCATAACTTCTCCGTTGCTGAGGCTTGAGGCTCCAAATTCAGAGTCAAAAGAGCGCAGCCGCGCTGAGACCCTGAACCAGTCCTCGCAAGGGACCAGCTGACAACGATCGGCTGATCCCGCTTCCTTGTTTTCTTCAAACACACTCTCCTTAATAGAACCCGCATCCCTGAAATCATGCAATTCACATCCGCCCTCCTGATCCCCCCATGAGCTCCTCCCTCGAGGCCAAGATCGTCGTGCTGGGCGCGCAGGGTGAGCCCGCCTCATCCCCATCCCCAACCCATCCCCACCCCCACGATCTGGATCTGGACCCGGATCTGGATCTGAACCAGGGTCTTACCGCGTCACGAACCACGACTAATACTTCGAATCTAGGAGTGGGAAAAACCTCCCTCGTCCACCGCTACGTCCGTAACGCCTTCAGCCCCTCGACAACAACATCCACCGTCGGCGCATCCTTCGTCACAAAACGCGTCCTCGACTCAACCTCCGACACAACAGTCCGCCTCCAGATCTGGGATACAGCAGGTCAAGAACGATTCCGCTCGATCTCCCGCCTCTACTATCGTGGCGCGCACGCATGCCTCCTCTGCTATGACATCACCGATGAAAACAGTTTCGCCGAGATGGCCGGCTGGCTGCGCGAATTACGTCGGAACGTGAACGACGATGACGAGCCGCTGGTAATTCACGTCGTTGGTACGAAATCGGATATCGTGGCTGAGGATCCTGGGGCGCGAAGGGTCCCTTTCGAACGGACGATTGCGTATGTTGCTGAGCAGCTTTATCCGAGCCGGGCGAGTACGCCGCCTCCAACTGCCATGGGGTTGGGGATGGGATTTGGGAGTTTGGGAAGTGTCAGTGCGTTGCAGAGTCCTGATAGTAAGCGCAGTTCGGCGTTTTGGGGCCAGGAGATTGGATGGGATTGTTGTCACGAGATCAGTGCCAGGGATGGCGAGGGGATTGAAGAGGTTTTCAGGGTTATTACCCGGAAGTTGGTGGAGCAGAGGAATCGGAGAGATGCGGAGAGTATGTTGTCTGTTGCTGGGACGCCTGCTGTGGAAGGTGTGAGTCCGTTCACGCCAGGTTTGGATGGAGGGAGTTTTAGACTGGGCATGGGGGATAAGAGGAGGAGCTGGATGGGGTTGGCGACGCCTATTGCTGGGGATGCGGAGGAGGTGCAGGTGATGGAGACTGCACAAAAGAAGGGGAAGTGTTGTTGATAGCAGGGCGTTTGCATTTAGGTTGGCGTTTGGTTGGCACTAGTTTTCATGTGGTTTGAGGTTTTGCATTTTTACATAGCAGGTGCATTACATGCCTTTGAGCACTGATCTAGAGTTTTTTATTTCGAGGTTCTCGAATAGCTCCGTATGATAGTCGATTGCTTGATAAACATACCTTGATAGGCACCGTAAAAGGCTGTCTACATAAGACGGAGTATTGAGTTTACAAACCTTCGAAACCTTGACGCACCATACTCTTCTTTTGCCCTGGACTTTTGGTCTCCTTGGTTAGTGGGGTATCTATTAGAAACTAGAAGCTAAGTCCGGCCCTTGGATCATGTAGATGTATGTTCAGCCATCTCGATATTGCGCGTTCACTGAATGATGGCAACATGCATACTCCGCCTTGACATTTATCACAAATGACACGACAGCGTTCCTTTATCCATTTGAGGCTTTTGATGACCTCATTCATAATCTGATTTAGAAAACAAACCCAGTCAAAGCCAATACTGCACCGAGGGAGAAAATGGAAGGCTTGATGCTGATTATACGTTTACTATCCCGTTACCAAGCATTGGTCGACAATGAAACACCTTCGACAGATGTCCGCTGCCATCGCCGAGGATTCCTGAACTGCGTAAAACCTCTATCATGATGGCTTGTCATCTAACTTGCATGAATGATAAGTTTGGCTATGAATGGACCGGCCACCATTGCGCAGAGCATTGCTTCACTAGCTTATAGAGGAACTCTTTCCTTTCGCCAAATCGAATAAGGCCTTGGACCATTTGTGTTCTGCACAGCATCAGGGAAAGGGTTGTCATAAAGTTTTAGATATAGCTTTAATCCATTTCATGATCTAGTCATCCTCGGGAGGCAGAAGTAGCATCAAAATTGAGTAGGTCAGAACGCCTTTCAGCGTCTGACTGTCATCCCACATCGGTCGTGAAAGGGAAATCAATACCGGCTCGGCGCAGCTCGATAGCCGAGGTGAACTCCGCGTCATCGCCGAAACTCCGAGCTGCTATCGATATCTCCGCACCCATCGCCATCTCCGCGTCTTGATTTAATGTTATCAGATCTTTAGTTGAGGCTAGCTTTGGTATGGCCTCTTTGGTGGGAACATGTGCTGCACCTCCCTCAAACATTGCGGGAAAGCGCAAGAGGAAGACGTTCTCTTGCTTGGAATGTCGGCGTCGCAAGTTGAGATGCGATCGCAGTCAACCTTCTTGCAGTCGATGTCAGACGCAGGACAGTGCTTGTACATATGCCTCTCCGCCGGAGTCAGAGCCGCCTATGTCTGGAAGTGATAAACCTGCTGGCTCCGGGCGGGAGGTTCCTACGCCAATTTCGTCACACGCAATCGCTCCTCCATCACATGGCAGAGTTCTCAGCCTTGGAGCGAAGAGAGATCCCGCGCTACGGGCTACCCAGAGCCAAGGGACCTGGGGACTTTTGAGTGACCAAGCGGCTAGTGATCTGATTACTCACGAGAGGCCCGCCATCATGTCCGATACACAACAGCTTCTGGAGCCTGCACAGCCACCCAAGAAAGAGAATGTCATCTTCCGAGGGGAAAACTTCCGGACTCAATATTATGGTGGAAGTAATCCCACTAGTTTGATAGGCGATGTATGTTGCCTCAACCGCCGATTTAGATCATGCTAATGCTGCTAAGTTCCCTGAGCTGCGCTCATTCATGCGGGACAGCATCAAATTACATCCATCCCTACCACGTGTCCAACGCGAGTTGAAATCACTGCAAATGAAGTGGAAAGTGGAGAAACCTTCCTTATCTCCATCTGTGAACGCGAATCTTCTCCACTTGTTCCCAGAAGAAGACATCGCTGACCAATTAATCCACATCTATCTTGACACAGTGGAGACAACGTATCGGATTGTCCACGTACCTAGCTTTTGGGAAGAGTACAAAGCCTTCCAGGAAAATAAACTCTCGGCAAGGCCGGCTTTCTTGGTTCTCATGTTGTTGATGATGTCCACTGCAAGCTGTCTATCCAATGAAAGCGTCACATATGTGGGGGACAGTACAGTGGCGCGCGAACGGGCGGCCTTGTGGATTGAGGTTTCTGAGCAGTGGCTTCAAAAACAAAGCCACAAACATACCTATTTGAGCATATGGCAGATCCGATGTCTGACACTAGTCTCGAAGCAAGTCAACGTTATCAAGAAGAAACGCATCTGGACGGAGGCCGGAACACTTCTCCGACAGGCAATGGCCGCGGGTTTCCACCGAGACCCAGGCTTCCTTGGAGAGAAGGTGTCGGGCTTTGACCAAGAGATGCGACGTCGGTTATGGAACACGATTACCGAGTTGGAACTTCAAGCTTCTATCGATCGTGGGATGCCGTCTTCTTCTGCGGGTATATTCTCAGACTGTCATTCAATTCTAAACATTGATGATGCAGATATCAGAGACGACGATATGAACGAGTCTTGTGCAAAGCAATGGGATGAATACACCAGAAGTTCCTTTCTGAATATTTCAAGATCCAGCTTTGCTCTCAGAGTCTCGCTGAACTCTGTTGTCAACGACCTCAGCTCTCCACTACAATGGGAACAGATTGCAAGTTATGAAGAACTTGTGATGGCTGAACTCGAAAAACTCCCTACATGGACAGCATCAACGGCGGGTATCGATGAGGGTGCTTTAGCCGGTTCTATTCTTCAGATCCAATTGAGGCAATTTTTGATTCTTCTTCATACGCCATTCGCCAGAAAGAGAGTTCCCGACTCCCGATCTTCCGTTTCGCGAATGATATGCTTCCAAGCAGCAACAAAGACACTGGAGCAAGTTCAACATCTCACTCAATACAATTATTACTTTTTTCTGCTCTTTCGGCAAGAGTATTTCCGCGCAGCTTTGGTGGTCTGTCACAATGCTTTCATCTGTTATAATGTGATAGGTAAGTTCAAACATCCACATGACTAACGGTTTCACACATCTTAACCATCAATAATAGGAGACCTTTTTGGGGCAAACATCTCATCATTCATACGCTACCTGGAAGACTCCTTAATCTTCTTTGAAGATAGAATTACTCGAATCGGCACGGATTTTACACGATACTGGTATATCTCCGCAGCCCGTGCTTTGCTACGCTCGGTAGTAGATCCATCGAATGCTACGGCACAGGAACAACAGGCGATTGAGCAAGTAGCAAGACAATACTATCGAGTTCGCGCATCACAGGAGGATCTCCACTCAGCTAAGATCAAAGTGTGTCCATTTTCTGCAGTATGACAAAGTCTCATGAGGATGCACGGCTAACATTGAGAAAAGCTCAAACTGACAGAAGCGTTGACTCAAAGCTCAAACGAGGCGGTGGACATTCCCAATCTTCCTTTTGGCAATGGAGCAATGCCAACAGTGAGTGATAATTGTTTCTTCAAGACTCGAATTGCGGTTGCAGGATGCTAATAAGGAATAGATTGAACTTCCGTTAGAGGCTTTGGAAGAGGAGTTTTTCTTTGGAGATCCGGCAGCTTGGACGTTTGATAATTTTGATTTTCTGTAGACATCTCAGCAACATGATTATGCCCCAGTCTAGAGGTCACATGAATTCCAAAGCGATTACAACAGTAAATAATAAGAACCCGGAGAAGCCATGGTCACCGATCCAAACATCTCGGCTTTAATTCACCACACGGAAAAACTGAGCAGAAGAGTTTTGATTGTTAGATGGCAGCCTAAGTCGCCTATCTAATAATAGCGATGAACGTAGTACGATCAGATAAGGATATTCCAAAGATAGAAGAAAGTCGCAGTCAAATTCGGCTGGCGACATAATCTGATCCGCTGAACGTTACATTGTCCAATCGGAGCTGGACCAAGATCCGAGCCATAAAGCCGAGCCGTGCCTACGGTCACATGAATAGCAGTCTGGACTACAGTATTAAAGGAAGACTCACGGCCAGAAACTTGGACTCATCATCAGAAGCACCAGAGCTTAGTTTCAATCTCTGCCAGTTTCTCCTTTCTCAGCTGAACTCCAATCCTCCAAGATTCAATGTCCATCGATCAAGTCAACCAGAGAGAAGCTATTGACGCTTACGTCAAGAAGCACCTGCTCCCTACAGACGAGGGTCTTGAGCATGCCTACACAAATAGTACAAAGAAAGGTCTACCCATGATCGCAGTCTCCGAGGTCCAGGGCAAGTTCGCCTCGATGCTCACAACCATCGGATCAGCTCGCAATGTCCTAGAAATCGGCACTTTAGGAGGCTACTCCACCATTTGGTTCGCACAAGCCATGAAAGGACGAGGAAAAGTGACTAGCATTGAAGTCATACCACACCACCGCGATGTTGCAATCGAGAATCTTCGCGCTGCTGGTATTCAAGTCCCCGAAGAGGTTGATGTCCTCCTTGGTGCAGCACTGAACGTTTTACCCAAGCTCGCAGCAGAGATTGAGAAGGGAGAAAGAGAGCCCTTTGATTTTGTGTTTATCGACGCCGATTGGGACAACCAGTGGAATTACTTTGATTTTGGCGTCAAGTTGTCAAAGGGCAAGGGTGCTGTGATTTACATTGACAATATGGTGCGGAACATGTTGGAGTCTGGTATCGTTGGGGATGTTCAACGTGAGGACAATGCTGTTGATGTGGTGGCTAATGTTGGAGCGGACGATCGTGTGGATGCTGTTGTGATGCAGACTGTGGGATCGAAGAACTACGATGGGTTCCTGCTTGCTATTGTGAAATAGAAGGTTTCATAGCTTGTTGAGCGTTGGAAAATGAACTTTAGCTGAGGAATGAACCATGGCTACAAGTGAAACATGTGTGAAACATGTATAGGTACATTATTACTCAATCATAAAACACCCATCATGTTTTGCATCATCAGGTGGTCATCTATCGGAAAGAGGGAGCGGAATGCTATTGCCTGCTCCAAGTCCACTTTATGGTATATCGGAAGTCGTATCGGAGGAGTTTTGAATAGGATTTATGAGGGGCTTAAGGGACGCTGTGGGAAAATGGCAGTGACGAATGCGTTATTTACCTAGCTGCACTCTCGTCGTTGACTATTTACACATAGACCCCTGCAGGAATTTTCACGGTCCTAGCCGATCATCGAAATGACTAAGAAGCAAAACCGGCGCTGATCACCCAAGTAACATCGGCGTTGTATGAGGCAGTAGCGTCAAAGGTATCAACGCCGCCCTCACTCGCAATATAAAGGACGTTGTTATAGTGACGGAAGAAGCGAGTGGGATAGCTCCAGGACCGAATACTGCTACCTCCAGCGTTCAGGCCAGCCATTGGGCAGAAAGTGGCATCTTCGTAGAATTGCTTGGTGCTGTCGTTGGCTTCGAGCAGTAGCTCGAAGTTGTAGTGCCGAATGTAGCTTCCTGGGGTGTCGACGGACTCGAAAGAGTAGCACCCGCTATTGCCAAGACCAGTACGCACCGTCCAGCTAGCCTGCTGCTTGAGAGTGGTGCTGCTGGAAGAGGTTACGACCTGGGTGTTGACAGTAGTGCCAGTGTGTGCGATGTAGCGTGTGTTATAGCCACTTGTCGTGGCTCGCAGGGAGATAGAGGAACCGACAGTGAGCGCCGTGCCGCTGACCAGCGAAGTGGTGGCATATTTGGCGGCCACAATGTTAGCCTGCACTGAGTTCTCAGTGGCGGCCGAAGGATAGCCGTAGGTCATCGCGCCCTCGTAGAAGGTGCCCTGGGCGCCATTGCTGTTGTCACCGCCGATGCCAAGCACAATGGAGCCCTCTTTGCTCATGGGGTTGTAGCCAGAAACAGTGGGGCGAACGCCATTGTAATAAGTCGACAATGCACCAGATGCAGCATTGCCTCCACTGATCGCCCACTGATTTGGTTCGCCCTTGACAGCAGCAGTGACGAATCGGTACGAGATTGACGGGTCACCAGTGTTTTGACCAGAGCTAACGCCAGAGAACAGACCGTTCTCGAGATCGGCCATGATCCAAGGGCCGGAGCCAGAACCAGTACCCCAGTAGGTACTGTCACCGTAGTAGATAGCCTCCATGTGGCCGTTGCCCGTATCAGTGTTGCTGGTCTCAGCGTTACCATAATCGAAGCAGCAGGCACCATTGTAGTGAGTACCATCGAGGACTGCATACATGCCCTCAGGTTCGTCACCCGTAGCAATGCCTTTAGCAACATCAATACGATAGCCGGTGCCAGGTGAGATGAAGACTCCATATGCCTTTTGGCCATTGAGAGTGACTGGGGCTCCAATTGCGCTGGCCAGGTTATCGTAGCCATTTGATTCCGGGCCGTCAAAGCCACCTGGCGGGGCCTGGGTAAGATGGTTGCCATTGCCAGACTGGTCGTAAATTGTCGTAATTACACAGGTCGTGTTGGCACAAAAAGTGTCTTGGGCCGCGGCATTGGCGACACCACCAGCAGAGAGCGGCTTAATTGTGGTTGTGGTACTGTCAGAGTTCCGCTTCACCTGGTAAAGTGCACCGCTGAAGGCGCTGTACAGGGCACGAGTGGTGCTGTGTGCAGCGATGCAGGATGTGCCACCGGCCGCATAGATATCACAGGGTCCGGCCGCTACGAGGGAGCTCGTGGCAGCGAGGCTTAGAGCATATCGTGTTACTCGTGAGACCATATTGATCACTCGGGATGAATAGGAAGACTGGCACGCCTTTGAGAGCTTTCAAACACTGCGACGAGGATTTAGAACAGCTAGCGAGGCGGCTTGACAAGTCTTTCGGTGACGGCTCCATCATTTTATAGTCCTCAACAAGCATGTCACGTCGTTCTATTAGATTTCGTTCTAGGTCGACAGTTCTTAGCACTACTGCAGTGAAGACGAAATTCCTCCAATCAAAGTCCGAAAAAAGTAGATTCTGCATAGGAAAAGCATGCTTTACCCTATAAGCGCATGGTCAATTGCTTGCAAACACACTCCACAATAATGGAAGTAACATTAGTGAGGCACAACACTTGGAGGCCATATTTCCATCTGCGCCGAGGGCCAATCACGCAGCTAGTGCCGCCGGGCTTTTTCCTATCTTTCTTCAGCACGAGACTATTCTCCGAATTAAATGACGTAGCCGTATATCAGGCACTACGCTGTCATTGGGGCATAGAAGACAAGCCCTTGCTAGCGTGGGATGGTGGTGCCTGAATAGTGCACGTGAAGAAAACTTGCAGGCCATTTTAATCTCGTAAATCTGATTGGGGATGCGGGGCCCCGAGACGAGGGATTCTACCGACGCTACTAGGGCTAGTAATGCAGCTTGTGCCACCGGGGTTTTTCCTATCTTTCCTTCACAGGAGACAACTGTCCGAGCCGAACAGCATGGTTTGAAACCACGAAAAACCCAATCTGAGGTTTCTTAAAATCACCAAAGGAAAATCCTGCTTGCCGGAGAATTGTGGCGTTGAAGTAATGGACTCGTGGAGTCAATTTCCAGGGGCCGAGGGTTTGGTCTATCTCATGAATAATGCGGGGTCCCGGTCGATGGGAGGGGCTCCTGAAAGTCTTAAGAACCAAATTGAGACTTGTGGACCGCAATCGCCAAGTACTATTCAGGTGGCCAAAAATTGAGAAACAAGATGACCTTTAGCTCCTAGAAAAAATTATATGCCGGGGCTCGCAAGTTGCCCTAATGACTGAGTTGAGGATGACGCCGGTTCATGCAAGAATTCCCATCATCGATTCCGAGGCACCTGGGTATAATAAATCTGTCACCTGACCTCAATTCTTCGATTTGGTATGGACTTCCGCGACCAAAGTACGATGTGTGCGTTTCGGATGACAGCTTACTTCAATCTCGCTGACCCGAGTCTAATTCTCCGGTGCCGACGGTCGGGGCCGGGCCGTCCCTCCAATAGGGGAAGTCTTGTACCTCCCCTTAGATTTCCAGGCTCGGTCCAATGAGGCCTGAATCGGGCTTACTTCTCGGATTTGTACACATGAGATCGTAATTGGTATTTCTTAGAGTAGATTATGAGTAGAAACCGTAGAACATTTTCTATTTGTATTAACATTATGTGTTGTACATGTGTAGAGAAGGGAGTATGTACGCTCATCGGCCCATTCTATCGACCGCTCTGCAAGTATTATCACAGAGCCGGAACAACAACCTCCTTGTTCTCGGCACCTGCTTTTTTCACACTCTTCCACTCTAGGAAAAGACTCGCCACGAATGCGGCCACCATGAGCGCCAAACTGACACGGTAACTATCACGCAAACCGCTCATATAGGCCTTGATGACACCATCCACCTGGTCAAGCTGTCCAAGTTGTCCAAGCACGGTGCGCATCTCGGTCGCACCAGCACCGACGATTGCGGCGGGGCTGACACCAGGGGCATACGTTTTGATGCCATCGATCAATCCGTTCTGGAAGACTGACTGAGCAACCGCGATGAACAGAGCTCCACCAAGAGTCTGGAAGAACATGACCATGGCTGTTCCGACCGGGATATCAGAAGGGTCAAGAACAGTCTGGACAGCGGTCATAGGGACCTGGAAACCAGCGCCGACGCCGGCACCGACGACAATTTGGTAGCCGATCCACTTTCCGGTGGAAATATCGACGTCGAACATGGTGATAAGACCTGTGCCGATGGCGGCGATGGCGACACTTCCGATCAAAAAGGGCGTATAGTATCCGGCAATGGTAATCAAGCCACCAAAGACAACAGAAGAGACGACAGTAGCCAGCATCAGCGGAAGAAGCTGGATACCTGACTTCATAGCTGAGGAGCCTTTGACACTCTGGAAAAAGATTGGGACGTAATAAACAAGAACAAAGAAAGCACCACCGAAGAACAGTGCGAACATGCACGCAGACAAAACGGTGCGCTTCTTCAGGATTGGGGGAGGGAGGGTGGCCTGATCACCAAGATAGATCTGCGATACTGCAAAGAGGATGACCATAAGACCGAATCCAACAAAGAGGCCTATGATCCGCGAATTATTCCAGGCATACTGATTTCCTCCCCACTGAAGAGCAAGCAGCAGGCAAATGATGGCAGGAATTAGCAGACCCGCTCCGATGAGATCTAATTGCTTGATCCGCGTAATAACAGACTCTCCAGAGTGAGCCTTCTTATCAGGGAGGCGCAGGAAGAGCAAGATGACACCGATGGAAAGACCGCCAATTGGCAGGTTAATATAGAAGCACCACCTCCAGGAGACGCCGTCGGTGAATGCACCACCAAGTAGCGGTCCGGCGATGGAGGCAATGCCCAGACCATACCGAACATACCAAAGACGAGGGGACGTTTTGGGAGAGGGACGGTAGCTGCAATAATCACCATAGCACCGGAGAAGATACCCGCGACACCGATTCCAGCAATGGCACGTCCGACTATGAGGACTGTGCTGGATGGTGCGACGGCGCAGAGTAGCGAGCCGATCTCGAAGATGGCAACAGCGACGAGGAAGCCCCATTTCACCTGAAAGATATCAGTCACTATTTATCGCGGTTTATCGAGTAGACAGGGTTTGACTCACACTAAAGATCTTGTAGATTCTACCATAGGAGGGTTGCAAAGCAGTCGAGGTCAGAAAGTATGCACTTCCATACCAGGCAATATCCGAAATGCTCTTGAATTGATCGGTAATCTTAGGGATCGCGACACCAATGATAGTCTGGTCAAGGGCGACCAAGAACACGGCGAGGTAGAGAGCCAAAATGATGATGATCACCTTGGACAGAGGAGGATACTCTGGCTCTTTAGAAACAGCCTGGACATCTTTCTCGACATCTTGTCCCGGAGCTTCGACGGTGGAAGACTCGGACAGAGTTCTAGACTCGGTCATCGTATTTGACTCCTTTGCTGTCATTTTGTGCTCCGATAGAAATTCTCCAAGAATGAAAAGACTCCCTTATAGCCTTAGCTTGAAAGTACCAAGTGGGGCTGAGAAGAAATGGGACCCTTTCGACTCTGAATCATGGAACCGCGAAGAATTCTGTTTTTCGGGCGCACAAAACCTATTATCTACTACAGATCGGCGATCGGGGCACGATCTGGCCGATGGACGAAATTAACGGACCAAGAAAATTCGTCGGGGATAAACCTGGATCGCGAAAGGGAAAAATACGAGGCGGCCTTTACGGGGTTTAGACGGTGGACCAATTAGGGGCTCGGCTAGTGCTGAGTCTATTCGCTGCCATTACACGGACCCTATAAGAAAAGGCTACTTTGGGGCTAGATTGGCGGACTTGTCCGATTCAGGTGAGTCACATCGCTGACCGAGTTTTCCTGTTCAGATACCAGTTTGGGCGTTAAGGGGTCGCTGTACGATGATATAAGTGGAAGGTATCGGGGTGACTAGGGAGTCTGGGGTGTGTTGACACATGCCATAAGATGAAGGTGCCAGCAAATCAATGCCAAGGATATTAGAGAATGGCTAGCAGCCACGTAGGTGTGTATGATGCTGCCAATTCGATCAATGTGGAAGGTGAGTAATCTCACTCGGTAGGCAGCACCGTGACCCCGAGCTTAATTTCAATGTAACATTAAGTTAAGTAAAATTAAAAATACAAGAGCCTCAATTTTTGGCCTCGAAGGCCGAAAGTTACTACAACGTGTTCAAGAAGTTGTTGGCTGTGGGTTCTTAACTGAACAAGAGACGATGGAAATCATGCACATGACGACTCAGGTATAGGGAAGAAGGTTAAACAAAGTTGGAGGTGTCTCAATAAGGACATACATAAATCTGACACCTTTGGTCATGTCTGGACACTTGACAGACGACCATATGCTGCGCCCAGACATAATGTACGTAGCGCAAGAATATACTCCCGGCCCTCTGCTCGACGGCCATATCCGCTAAAGCACTTTTCTATTACCCAACATTGTGTTTCCCCTTTTTGTCAGGTGTCTCTCGCCAGCCTAACGTCATATCCCTAACTTCCTAGAAAGCCACCACCTGGGAAGACTATCGACCATTGGCCAATTGGTATGGACTTTAAAGGGGTCAAAGCGATCGATCTATGATGTCTTCCAACCATGCAGAGGAAGGTTCATTGATTGATGGGTTCTGAATGAACAGGACGCGGGGGCATATATAGGTCCTGAATCTCGTATCGGACGTCGGCACATCAAAGGCGACCTGGGAGAGCCCCAGAGATATTGACATGTTGACTGCACGTCCAATTTCTAACGCTCATCAAATCAACAAATCAACCCATATCTGATCTTCGGGGAGATATCGGAGGAAAATCAAGATATATGTACTTCTTGAACCTTGCGTTATCACGAAATCTTTGCTGTTGATTCGTCATTCTTGACGCTGCTGAATATTCTTCCCGAATGCCAGATGTGCCCCGCATTCTCAGCAGTGGCTGGTATCTAGAGTTGCACGAGTGCGACAAAATGCCTTTGTAAGCACGAGCGAGGGGCTTTAACAGGATCAAGCTATCGCCATCATGCAGCTAATTTCCTGATAACACCTCTTGCTTAGCGTCACGCTGGAATCGCATCTTTTGGTTGGATCACGCAATTATGGCTTCGATAAGCACCAAAAGCCCGTGATAAGATTGGAGGAGAAAGAAGAGGCCACGAAAGACGCAGGACTCAAGAGAGCGAGACCGGTTCTCTATTTGCTTTATAAAGTCGCCGCTTCTTCCTCTCTTGGTTTACAACAAACAGCCATCTGTGACTTGGATCCAAGATGTATTCATTCACAAAAGAAGCGATCGAGTCCGATGTGCATGCTACCGATGACCTCCAGTATGGAGATTACCAGGATCCAGTGACCGATCGACCGTCAGGTCCAAAAGTGGGGGAGCTGAACTTCGACGAGTCGACTCGAGGTGGACTTGGTCGACATCTGGGAATATGGTCAACGATCTTCCTTATGTATGTGCTAGCATGATACAAAGCGCCCTCCAAGTCTGATGTCTGTATAATTCTAGTGTCGGTCGCATTATTGGCACGGGGATCTTTTCAACGCCCTCATCGGTCACAAAGAGCGCGGGCAGTGTTGGCGCAGCCTTGCTTCTATGGGTCTTGGGTCTTCTTCTCGCCGGCGCCGGTCTGTGTGTGTGGCTAGAGCTGGGATGTATGTTCCCACGCAGTGGAGGAGAGAAGGTTTACCTCGAAGCGGCCTATCGCAAGCCAAAGCTCTTAATCACTGTCATTTTTGCGGTTCAAGCTATCGCGCTCGGATTCACAGGTTTGTTTTCCGCTTATATTTGTGTTTTCTGAGCTGACATTGCATTCGTGAACAGCCTCTGGGTGTATTGTCTTCGCTTCCAATATAATCGTGGCAGCAGGGAGAACTGCGACAGATTGGGAGGAGCGAGGCATCGCAATCGGCGTAATTGTATCGATCACTCTTCTGCATACATTTCTTCCAAGCTGGGGTGTCCGAGGCATGAACATTATGGGAGTGTATAAGGTCATCCTTCTTTTGTTCATCGTTGTCACTGGTTGGGTTGTCCTCAGTGGCCGTGTGTCGAGTGTAACCGATCCCTACGCCAGTTTCCATAACTCATTTGAAGGATCGTCGACATCAAGCAACATGTACGCGACAGCTTTATTCAAGGTTCTGAACTCGTACGCGGGGTTAGATAATCCTCAATCCTTTCTCTTCGAGTTACTGGACTAACAGTGGACGCAAGATGGTCAAATGCTGCATATGTGCTGAACGAGATTCGGAATCCTGTTCGGACCCTGAAGATCGCCGCTCCAATCGGACTATTCATCTGCGGTGCGATGTATCTCTTGGCGAATGTGGCATACTACGCAGCTGCCACACCAGAGGAGATCACAGCTAGTGGTACCACCGTCGCTGCGTTCTTTATGGGAAAGGTCTTTGGCAGTGCAGCCGAACGCGCCATTGGGTGAGTGGACAGTTACCTAGTGTATTATGAGCATTACCTAATTCAATGCTACAGTGTGCTGGTTGCAATCTCAGCATTCGGAAACGTCATGACCGTCACTTTTGCACAGGCAAGAGTGAACCAAGAACTTGCAAAAGAAGGGGTCGTCCCATTCCCCAAGTTCTGGGCATCGACCTGGCCATTCGGCTCCCCTTCATCCGGCTTGCTGCTGCATTTCATCCCTTCGTTCATCGTTATCGTGGCAATCCCATTCGGCGATGCGTATGACTTTATTCTTGATCTTGAAGGTTACCCATCAAGCGTTATCAACTTCTTGGTTGTTGTGGGGTTGTTCTATCTTCGGTGGAGCGCGGCAGACGTTCCTCGGCCGTTCAAAGTCTGGTGGCCTGTCGCTCTATTTTTCATAGCAGGTCAAGCATTCCAGCTTGTCGCACCTTTCATCAGGCCACCCGGAGGGAAGGGTGACACTTCGCTCCCGTACTGGCTGGCATCTGTGGTTGGTATCGTAATTTTATTTGCGGGTGTCGTTTACTGGGCGATTTGGCAGATAGTTCTGCCGAGACTTGGCAAGTACAAGCTGGAGCCAAGGCATGAGGTGTTATCTGATGGAACTACTGTCGTGGTTTACGAGAAGCATAAAAGTCTTTAGATTGTCTCAGAAGACAATTTAACAAGGGCATGACTATGAGCAATTCAATCAAAAACAAAGCTGAGGTAGTGAGCTGTAGCAAGAAGAGCAAATGGAAAAGAACAGAAAATTGACAGGTCATGCTAACCATAAACGTCCGGAAAGGTTATTTGCTTTTTGGAAACGTCATTACTCGTAGGAAATCATCCATCAGATCTCTCGAGATGCTTTGAGATTGGTCGTCAATATTTGGAGTCGAGTCTTTCCGCTGCTTGGTGGTCGAGTCGCGTTTCTTGGTAGTCGACTCTTTGCGCAGCTTGGACGTCGAGTTCCCGCCCTTCCTAGGAGTCGAGTCCTCGCCCTTTTTAGGAGTCGAGTCCTCGTCCTTTTTTGGGAGTTGACGATCTCGACTTCTGGGGCCGCTTACGCGTCAAAGCAGGAGAAGGTAGCACCAAGCCTTTCTTCAAGACTCCATTGGCACTGTACGGGTAAGTCTCAATGAACTGAATCCATTTCTCAACAGTCCGCAGAAGAGTGTGCTGATCGATCATAAGCCACTCTCTGTGAATGTTCCGGCATTTACATTTCTCTGCCAGCCTGCAACGCTTACTTGCAAGCTCGGTCAAGACTAGCTGCTCCACCAGACGAGCATAAGGTATCAAGGCAGTCATGATCTCTTTGAAATGCTTATAGCAGGCGGTATGAGCTGCAAACCGATGCAGACTGGGAGGACGCGTGGAAAAGCCAATCTTGAACATCCCCTCGGCGTCGGTGGAGAAAATGTATATCCACCCACATCGAGAATTCAAGCCTTCAAGCTTGCTCTCCAATAGCTGAGTGACGTTCTCGGCGACTGCCGACTCGTGTATGCCCGGCTTACAGAGCACCCATTTGATTGATGATGATTGAACGTGAAGAACAGGCGTTCCCTTCTCATTAACATCCACATCATCAGAATCTTCTTCCTCATCAGAAAAATTCCCGTCAAGAAAGTTGCCATAGGTTGCTTTCATTTTAGACAGAACACCACCGCCGTTCAACTCCGTGTACCACTGATCGCGGGCCTCTTTGGCAGAGCCCATGTGGTCAAGGCAAAGAGTAGTGTTCGCGAGATCATCGAGAATGTTGGACAGTAGGGCCTTGTCACCGGGCTCACGAAACTTTTTAGAAAGCACTGAGAGGATCATGGCAAAGTGTGACTTCGCATCTGCACAATTCTCCGGACTGATTGTCTGCCTGCATGATTTGGAGGGCACAGATAGATATAATTGCAACAAATACGAACATGTAGGCACTGAGGATCCATAATGAATCCGATCAAAGACCTCTGACAAGGAGCAATGGCTGACAGGCGGGAACGCCGTGTTCTGGGAAGAGTATTTCATGATTGAAAAGTGGCTTTCGCGAAAAGAGTAACACAGTAGAGACTATACAGAATGCCTGAAAAGCCTGAGAATGATGAAAGGAATTGTCAATGGCGTATGGCCGAGCTGATATTCACTAATTCTCCGAGATACTCGGGTGAATTTATATCGTCCCCAAACTAAGCCACGCGCAGCTCATACATACAAACCAGGCTAGATTCAGGTAATTTGGGGGCCGTTTTTGCACCTTATACAATTATTTGAATTCCACTCTTCCAATGAGCCAGTGCATCGGTCAAGAGACAGGGTGGATCAGCTAGGGTATAGATAGCTAGGCCTTAATTTGGAAGGTGGCTGGGGCTGAAAATATACCGCGTGATCATCGGTTTCTAGATCAAGAGCTCATTGAAAGGGGTTTCTAACGCGACACCCGAGTATGGAGAAGCGTTGAGGCGGCGCATGCATTGGTGTCGCGGCTAGACCAGGGTTTTCCAGCCGCTAGTCAAAGTACGTTTCAGGTGACAGGGGGAGGCAAGGCATAATCCCATTGACCCGGGACGCAGTATCACGAGGCTGAAATGAATGAATTTGGAATTGAGATACCGGGAAAAAGAAGTATCGCCGTTCTCGGGGACCTTTCGCTGCAGGAAGACCTCGTGGTCCTGTGATAAGGCATCTGGATAGCTATCAATCGAGCTAGGTTCCGTTCAACCGAGCCGTCTACTCGTAGCTCCTTTTTGAACATGCAGTGCATGACTCGAGTTCCAATATTGTGTAGTCTAGCGGTAGTCCCGTGTTTCATTGCCTCCCTTCACTTTCCTCAATGCGCTGGATGATATCCGCAACATCCTCCCAGATGCGCTTTCGATTGCGCAGACCCTTTAGTTTGGGCCAATTGCGCTTGATTTCAGTATAAAGCCGGTGCCAATCCGTCTTTTCCCGGGACAACTTCACTTGATCAGGTACCGTACTTGGTAATGGAAGGAGGAAATCTGTGATCCCTTCTACTGGCGTATACTCACCACCCAAGAGGTCAGAATAGCGCCTCCGTTCATGGTACAGCACTTTGACCTCGTTAGCCGTCATCGTTGTCCATGGAGAAGGAATATGCGAAGACCCTCCCCAAGCTTCCCAGAGCCAGGGCATTTTCATGCGCACGAGCCTGTACCATATACCATTAGGAAGTTTCGTAAATGCTTTGGAAGCCATCCGAAGGCTAGTTATATCAACGGATTCAAGATAGTCGACCAGAAGTAGACGGATATCCAAGGGCAAGGAGGCTAGGATGTCGCTTCCACAAGATTGCGATGGAGACGGGCTATACTCTGTATCCTGGACAGATTGAATTCCATATTCAACCTTTTCCGTCTTCTCACCGTCGAAATCCATCAGAAAAGCCGGCAGATCAGGCACGTAAAGAGGGTTGGCAGCTAAATATTCCTTTCCAGGATAATGACGCCAAGACTGTTCTCGAGCTTCATAGACATCTCCATCGCGTGGAAAATTGTGAAAGTCATCGTAATCAAAAGCAGAATTCCGCCATCTCATCAGTCCGGAAACATTGACCTTGCCAAACTTTGCTTTTGACTGTCGAGAAAAGATGTCAAAACACCACGGATGAAAAGGCATTGCGATATCGTTTGCGGGAGTCCATTCGGGCTACTACGAGTCAGCTTTGACTCCAGCTTCGAATCGGGTGATTGTTTTGATAATTTGGAAACACTTCAAGGCATGACTTACATCGAAGTTGATATTGTCAGCACGAACGATACCGTAACCCCCTCGCATGGGTGAGACATGTTGGTCGCTGCAGTCACGCGAGGCCATACCGTCGCATAGACCGGAGAGGAAATAACTCTCGGATAATTCCCAGGTCTCATGGAGACCATCAGGATGCCAGGGCTCGGAGGAAGTATCTTTGTGGACTAAGAATTGGGCGGTGCGACAGCCTCGCATCTCTTCAAGTGAAATCGCATGGCCTGAGTAGGCTCTAGCCTCTTCGCAGGTTGGGCCCGGGATATGCTCCAATTCTGTAGTATCGTAGCCCTCTGGAACATCATCCGATGTGATCGAAAGAATGATTTCATTCCTGTTATTTGAGTAGGCGAGGTTTCCAACAGGCTCCCCACGGAATTTCTGCGGAATCACTGTTCGCGCCAGGAAGTCTTGATACGAATCTGCGTCATCCATATTCTCGTCACCATCGTCATCTTCTTGTTCATCATCAAGGCTCATGACATCGGATGAATCATGCTCAGAGTCATACTCCAGCTCGTCCTCGGTATCTTTCTGCGGCACATAGTCGAGATCTTCAGCCAAATCGTTCTCAGGTTCGTCTCTTGGCTGTTTGACAGCTATACAGCAGCCTTTCTTTGCACATTCCAACAGGTCTTCGACCTCATCGACAGGTGGGTAGTCATCTTGGCCGCCTGCGTAGTCCCAGCTCGCGAGGTCTGGTTCCCCCGGTTTGCGGCGACGAGCGATGTTGAAGCTGACGCCACAGAGATGGCAATATGCCTGTTATGTGTCAATGCTTCTCAATTGAAGATAGATAACAGGAACGATAAAGCGGACCTCAGAGTATCCTAAACGGTGTTATTAGGTCACGAATATGTGCCCAAACGAGGGGGAGTTCACTCACCCATTGAAGCCGAAAAATTTGAGTCTATGGTCTGTGCAAGGTTGTTGAACAATTCTTGAGCAGCTGTGGAGGCCTATATGTGTTTTAAATTGCCCGTTTCAGATCAATATGCCTTTATGGTGTTATGAGCCCCTTAAAAAGCTTCATCGGGGTGTTCTGCCTGAGAAGTCTAGGCAGCACCTTCGATACCGGCTTCGGGCGAACGCCGCGCACCCGTTGAGGCTTAGGCTTAGTCCATGAGGCAACATTCCAACTAAAAGACACTTCCACAGTATCAAAATTGTGGGTTTTACGGGTGGTATATCATATCCATGATCTTTTCACAATTTCCTGGCGATCCAGGCCGGCATTAGGTGTAAGACAACATGAAGATACTGGCCAAGGGGAAGCACCTCTGCTCGGTAACAACATATACAGTACAGCACTTCCAATGGAGTGCTTTAAATCAAATAAAATCACAGGTTTAAGCCCACAGGATGGAAGAGCTTCGGTATTTAAAATTAGTTATTTCCAGTCCCCCAACAAGCCATACCGTGCACAGCCAAATCAATCACAAAGAGATCACCTGAGGCGCGTTGCCTAGCTTCCCACTGGCACGGTACATGCATGCAGCATTCACCATCCAGCTACCTCTAGCCTCGCCTCCCCAGACCTGCGCCCAGACGACACCGATCACACCATATATCAAGACTCTAGCTGCATCCGCCCACCCCGAGGGATCGAAAAGATCACGCAAGAACCCGAACAGTGTCATGAAACGACCATGTTGAGCGCGTGGGCGACGTGATGTGCAAAGTCGTTCCCAGGCGCGCTGGGCTTCGTCCCAGAAGACGGGCTCGGAACCGGCAGACTCATGGATGTGGCCGAAGACGTGGAGGATTGGGCGGACACGCCATATCTCAGCGAGGAGATTTGGACAGCCGGTTGAGTAGACTGGGGACAAATCGAGGTGGGCTTGTGGGGGCGTGTGGGTGACGAGGATGTCTGTTTCCGGGGGAATGGTGCGGGACCAGGCGTCGTGGTGTGGAGGGTATGTGAAAGCATGTTCAGGGCCGAAGGGCACAAGTGCCGGTATTTGAGGCGCGCCATAGATTGTCAAGGACCGAGAGTTGGAGCTCGTGAGTGGAGTGTCTGAGGATGCGTCTAAGGTTGTAGGAAAGGAGAGTTCGACAGAGGAGTGTTGGAGGTAATGAATCTCGCCCCAGTCGATACGCGACGCAGCGTTCAAATCATCCAGTGACCGGATTGAAGCGGTCAATGAGGACACATTCGCGAATGAAACGTTCTCGTCGCGGTCCTCGTCGCAACGCGACCGCGCATCGAAGTAGCTATCGTGGTTGCCGCAGATCACGACCTTGTGCCGATGAGGAGGGAGCGCAGCCAATCGACCGCGGCTTGAATTTCGCGTACTGAACCATCATTTGCGAGATCACCGGCATGAATTAGCAGGTCGCCATCTGGTACATCTGGCCATTCGAGGGTGTGGGTATCGGAGATGCAAACAACACGGATCGGTTGGGCTGGAGATGGCAGACGCGGAGGACCCCGAAGACGAAGAAGAAGTTGGTGGAAAGGATATAGAAGAGCTACTAGTGGCGATGCAAAAATGTAATCAGGCAAGGGACGCCTATGATAAGGGCTATACATGATGCCCAAATGGTTCGAACGGTATAGTTCTGGGTGAAGTCGAGCGGGGAGAAAGCGGTGACATCAGGATTTGGTCGAGACCTTCAAGATGTTCAGCATGTCAACATGGACCACTTTGACCTAGTGAAATATAGATCGAGACTTATATCGAGTAATACCAATCCTGATCATACTAGTGTAGTTCTGATCTATCATCAAGTAAAATCCACGTTACGAGGCTGGTCATCACCAGCCACCTATAACCACCAAAAAACACATGCGGTCTTTGCCACATCCGTCGCTTGTACCGCTTAGCTGCTTGCGGAATCTCTTCTCCTCCAAATCGCGCAACTTCATCGATTTAATCTATTTCCCCTAATTTCTATTTCTATCCTGATCTTGGCTTGAACTCGAACTTGCCCCTCGCAGGTTTTCGTTTTCGCGACCAACCAACTTGCATCCCGGTGCCCCGCCTCTCAGCTGTGGTCGCCCAAACACCTCCCAACTCCACATCATGGAGGGCGTTGATCTGACCAAGGCCATGCTGAACAAAGGCAAACAGATCGCAAGTGTCGCTGCCTCGGCCGCCAATGGCAACGGCGGAAAGAAAAGGAGAAAGGGCACCGACTTGAAGCCCATCGTTACCAATGAGGCTGCCGGCGAGCCGACAGAATCGTACGTGATTTTTCCCACTTACCATCTCAACTTTTTTTTCTAATCAACCTTCAGAACCGGCGCCGCACCAACCAACGCCAAGGCTATGGGAGCGACCGCTTCGCGATCGCCCTCCGCCTCTTCAGGCGACGAGGTCGAAACCACCGCTGAGGAAGAAGACTCCGAGGATTACTGCAAAGGTGGCTACCACCCGGTCGCCGTGGGCGAAACTTACAACAATGGTCGCTACGTGGTAGTGCGCAAGCTGGGATGGGGTCATTTCTCCACCGTGTGGCTGTCGAGAGACACCACCACGGGCAAACACGTCGCGCTGAAGGTTGTCCGTTCCGCCGCCCACTACACCGAGACCGCCATCGATGAGATCAAGCTGCTCAACCGAATCGTTCAAGCGAAACCTTCGCACCCGGGACGCAAGCATGTCGTGAGCCTGCTGGACTCTTTTGAACACAAGGGGCCGAATGGAGTGCACGTATGCATGGTGTTCGAGGTGCTGGGTGAGAATCTGCTTGGTCTGATCAAGCGCTGGAATCACCGCGGCATCCCATTGCCGTTGGTCAAGCAGATCACCAAGCAGGTCTTACTTGGTTTGGATTATCTGCACCGGGAGTGCGGGATCATCCACACGGATCTGAAACCCGAAAATGTGTTGATCGAAATTGGCGATGTCGAGCAGATTGTCAAGGCTCATGTTCAGCAGGAAGAGGCGAAAAAGAACAAGGAAGACAACCGAAATGGGCGACGACGAAGACGCACTCTAATTACTGGCAGTCAACCTTTGCCCAGTCCGTTGAACACCAGCTTTAGCAGCTTCGACTTTAAGCACAGCTCTTCCAACTCGCACAGCAGTCTCAACCAGATGGTCAATGAGTCTGGTAAGTACAATAACCGTATCAGTTATGAACGCAACTGATTTTTGGAATAGCACCGGCAGAACCCCCATCGATGAGGGAGACCCTTGGTATCAAGGATGAGGAAGATAAACACAAGGAGCGAGAGAAGACAACGTAAGTCATGCCATCTGTGCCCTTGTTGGATCCCACTAACAAGATACAGCGATCTCCTGGAGAGAGAGGTTTCGGGTATCTCCCTTGACAAAGCTCCATCGCGGGACAGTGAGGACGAGATCGACGCTAGCATTATCTCTGTCAAGATCGCTGATCTGGGCAACGCATGCTGGGTGGGGCACCATTTTACCAACGACATCCAGACTCGCCAATATAGATCGCCTGAGGTCATATTGGGTGCCAAATGGGGCGCCAGCACTGACATTTGGAGCATGGCTTGCATGGTCAGTCACACCTTTTCTACTCATACCACTGTTCCATGCTAATCTCTCCATCTAGACCTTCGAATTGATTACCGGAGACTACCTCTTCGATCCCCAATCAGGCACCAAATACGGCAAAGACGACGACCACATCGCGCAAATCATTGAACTCCTGGGTCCATTCCCCAAATCGCAGTGCCTTTCCGGCAAGTGGTCTCAAGAGATCTTCAACCGCAAAGGCGAGCTCCGCAACATCCACCGCCTTCGCCACTGGGCTCTCCCTGACGTCCTCCGCGAGAAATACCACTACAGCGTCGAAGATAGTATGCGAACCAGCGAGTTCCTCCTACCCATGCTAGAACTCTCGCCCGAGAAACGTGCCAATGCTGGTGGCATGGCTGCACATGAGTGGATGCAAGATACACCCGGTATGAGCGGGATCGATCTCGGTATTGCGCCTGGGACGCGCGGCGAAGGGATTGATGGTTGGGCGGCGGAGTGCAAGCGGCGATAAAGAATCAAAGGGAGGAATGTTTGTGATAGCGTTTATTTCCTTTCATCTCTTTACACGAGGGCTACCCTAGATGGGATGGAATACTATGTCGTGCCCGCGATGTGAGTTTTAACGATCTTTTTCTTCAATGACGGGATTCGATTATGGTTGGCCTTTCATTTTGTCATGGTAGTTGGTTTGGGAGGTATTATCATTCGTATGGCCCCGCCTTTTATCTTCATAGATATCTTTTTCCTGCTTCTTTGCCTCATTTATATTCTATAGGGTCTAGACCGATCGATGGATAGACCTGTCCGGAATCTGAGAAGTGAGAAGGAAGATCAATCAGGGTATCATGTTCTTTTCAAACTGATGAATACGCTTTCAAAACTTGATCACTCAGCCCCGTCATCTTCATCACTATCGCCCTCTTCGCTAGGCAAATGCTTGGGAAACCATCCATAGCGGGAGAAATCCACGTGGAATTCTCCCATTGACTCCGAGCGCACCTCGACCCCTTCCAATCTAAGGGCTTCAGCTTGACGCTCTGCACTTCCGGGTCCACTTATATCGATTAGCCAACAGGCGCACATAATGTCAATGTCAAGAAAAGGTACCGGTGAGAAATCATCCCCTTGCTGTTGATCACCCGCTGCCATGGCACAGTCGCCGAATTATACTCAAGTCCTGACTCTGGATCTGGCATATGCTTTAGGCACACACCAACCTGACGGGGCCTTTGAGCTAATCAGTTAATTGTCAGTAGAATTCACCCCTAGAGAGGGGACTCCCGCACGTTCACCGAGAAGCAGAGCAATATGGCCGTATGAGGTGACTTTGCCATAGGGAATCTCTTGAATGGCGGCGTACACGGCATTCGCCCATGCCTCGGCTTCTTCGGAGCGTGGCATCTTTAATTTTCTTCTCGCTATCGTATGCGCAGAGGGAAAGCGAAAGGAAGTGAATCAACAGCCGTAGCTACACTTCGGGCAAACTTTGCTCCGGCTATCGATAAGTCGCGATCCAAGTTCAATCCCAGCAGCACGAAAGCTCCCACCTGCATATCACTCGCCATGCCCGGCTCACTAGCTGACTACCTTGCGAAAAATTACCTCAACGCCGACCCAGCGACCGAGCGCCCAAAGAAAAAACGCAAGAAGACCAAGGCCGTTGACACTGCCAGCTCCGGACTAATCATCACCGACGACGACCCATCCGACATCCTCCCCAAAACCCAACAAGATGACGAAGACAGCCCATTCCTTGACACATCTTACAAGAGTGCTGAATTCCGCCGCACCAAGAAATCAGGTTGGAAAATTCTAGGTGGTGACAATAGCGACCAAGCCGCCGCGGACGCAATCATAGCCTCAGCGGCCGCAGAACGAGACGCAGCACGCGCCGAAGATGCCGAAGACCCAACAGTTGAAGAAACCGAGGATGGGCTTAGGATGGAGTCTGGTGCTCTAGCAGGCCTCCAAACCGCCGAACAAACCACGGCGATGGTAAAAGCTCAAGAACGACGCAAAAAAGCTGAAGAAGCACAATGGCGCGATCCATCTGCCGTCGCCGCTCAAACCCAAGAAACAATCTACCGTGACGCCTCCGGTCGAATCATCAATGTGGCAATGAAACGCGCCGAAGCCCGTCGCGCCGAAGAAGAAAAGAAAGAAAAGAAGAACGCGCCCGGGAAGCCCTCATGGGCGACGTGCAACGGCAGAAGCGTGAGATGCGAAAACAAGAGCTCCAAGAAGCGAAGGCAATGCCGCTAGCTCGGGGCATTGAGGACGAGACTTTGAATGATGAACTGAGGGCGCGGGACCGGTGGAACGACCCGGCGGCCGGGTTCTTGACAGAGAAATCTAAGCCAGGAGCTAGTGTTACTGGCAAGCCGTTGTACAAGGGGGCGTTCCAGCCTAATCGGTATGGAATTCGGCCGGGGCATCGATGGGATGGGGTTGATCGGGGAAATGGATTTGAGAAGGATTGGTTTGCAGCGAGAAATAAAAAGGGGAGGATGGAGGCTCTGGATTATCAGTGGCAGATGGATGAGTAGATGGATACAAGATTCATGGATGATTATAATTCATAGGTGGAGTCGGAGTATACTATGCATGATGGGGTGCTGGCGCCCGGTTGCAAGCTGTCTAAGCGTTTTTCCATATTCTCCTGTAACTGAGTATCTGACAGGATGTTGCATCTGTAAAAATGAGAGACTGGTTCAAGGGAAGTACACATTTGTTGGAGATGGTTGAAGCTAGTGCTCGGAAGACTCCAAATTAGTGAAATTGCGTCATCGATAAGGCCACCTCTGTAAGTCTTCTAAGTCTGAAAGCTTCGACTAAATAAAGCTTGAGACACGACTGTATCAATCTTCTATGGGAAATCTTTGGTCTACGTCCCCGTGTATAAAGGCGGAGGACGATTCTGGTTGCTGCGGAGTCTGTTTACCAAACAAAAAACTTCCCGTTCCGCCTTTCCTCCTCACCATCCACCATGGAGAGCCCCATGGAATACCAATGGACCACGGGTCCCAAGATGGACCCAGCATCGCCTTTCACTCATCTAGGGATGGAGAGCAAGAAGCGTACGTGCCACAATTCCCCCGACCAGGAAGCAGTCCTGGGAACACCTTGGCCGCAAATACCCTAACCTAGACGGCCAAACAGGCACACATAGCGCGTTCGATTCACCAGACAAGAAATCAGTCCCTCACCTTCGCGCCCCGAACTCGCAGCCCTTCTATTTCTCTCAGTCACAACAGCCCGCATCCCCCGCTCCCAAGTCCGTCTTCGGTCAGCCCGCCTTCACAACACCGCGCAAATTCGATGTCGATGTCGATTTCTCATCTGGGGCGGAGAACATGTCGTCTCCGGACAACGCAGACAACGAGGATACCCCAGATGCAAAGCCAGAGAAGCGCAACTCATTGTACCAGATGTATGGCCGCTTCGCTCCCAGTCCTGGACGAGGAGAGATCCCCCGCGCGAAACACTACTCGAACGCCCTCGCTCGGAGGGTAGAAAAGCGACGACGAAGGGATAAAGAGCTGGGCAGACAGATTCGAGTGGATAGCGACGACGACAGTGACCGACCTAGTAGCAGTGAAGGACGGAAAGAGAAATCGAAGAAACAAGGGAAAGGATCCGATTTAGAACCGCCTCAATCGCGAATTTCGAAATTCTCCGAATTTTTTGCGCTATTGGAACGGCATCCCAATATCCCGAGCATTCTTTCGTGGTGGGCCCAGCTCTTTGTCAACCTGTCACTCTTCTCACTGGCTGTGTACGTCGTCTTCTCAGTTGTGTCAACGATACGTGCAGAGTTTGAGCAAGCTGCCCAAGGGGCCAAGGATGAGATTCTGGAAACCATGTCAAGATGCGCCGACAACTACCTCTCGAACAAGTGCGCCAGTAGCGACCGACTCCCCGCGCTGAAGGACCTCTGTATGAACTGGGACCAATGCATGAATCAAGACCCCGACAAGGTTGGACGAGCCAAAGTCTCCGCTCAAACGATGGCTATGATCATCAACAGCTTCATTGATCCCATTAGCTGGAAAGCATTCGTATGTGAGACTCGTTTCATGCTAAAGAACTAAGTCTAACCACTCCCAGATGTTCTTCCTCGCCAGCATTGCCACTGTAACCGTCGTCAGTAACCTCTCCTTCCGCTCTTTCAGAAAACGCCTGAATCAACAAACATGGTCACCTCCCAACTACCAACAACCTCACAATCCGCAACTACACCCTCCACCCCTCCACCAAAACCCGAGCTACGGCTACTATCCCCAAGAGCCTCAACAAATATCCAGCAGCTACACCGAGAAAGACCCTCAATTAATGCTCGAGGGTCCTCGGATGGACTTTGTCACAGAACGCTCGCGCGAGCGCGAAAGCCAACTCCGAACACCGAGTCCAAGCAAGCGCGGCCGTCGCTTCGCTTAATTTTGCAATGAACTGGCGTCTGTATCTGGATCGTTTTTGGGCTTGGGTCGGTTTTGCATTGTATACCATTGTCATGGTCATTTTCTTTCGGTTCTTGTACTTCCTAGGTCTCTTTGAGAATGGCATAAACGAGCGAGTCTTATAATTTCCACGACCTTCATTGGTTGTACTATTCTCTTGGTCATAGCTTCTACCCATCCAGACTCCACTGTGGGTACTAACACATGTGCATCATGCAGTAATCTTCCGGCCATGATCACGCCGAGTTGCATGCATTCATTTGTCCCGATCGGCTTTATAACATGGTTTCTTGTTTTCAGCCAGCTCGGCCAACCCATCCCCACGTTTGCCGACAGGTTCGCCGAGCGGCCGACGCCTCCCGAGTCTTGGCATCTGCGCCGAAACCAGTCGAGGTACACGAGTCGAAGTCAAATAGGCAGATTTTCATCTAGGCCGAAGACCTCTGTGTTCTTTGATTTGGGGTTGTCTCTCGGCATCCTAAAGACTCCTATGGTTTTCGCCTATACTCGGCGTCGGCTTCTGTGTGCAAGCTATTTCGGCCACCTTCCGACGGAACCACCCGTTGGCCGAAGTATATGAAAACTTTTACAAGATGCACTAAGAGGGGATCAAAAGCCATATTAGCTATATAGAAAAGACGTGATCTGGTCTTTGCGTGTTTGATTGAAATTAAACTACTCTTCCAACAACAATTGCCCCCGCCATCGATTTGCAAGATTATATATCTCGTGTCTTTTCACATCACTGTCCTCACCATTGTTCTTATCCGCGTATATACAAATGCACCACGACGCCAAACACTCCCTCGAAAATGCCCCAATCTACCCTGAAGGCGGCCTGCGTGCAAACCTCGTCGTCCTCGGCAGCTTCAGCTCAATAATGGGCGGCCTGGGTCTAATGAACAGCATAGGAATCTACCAAGCCTGGATATCCACCCACCAACTCTCGCACATCTCCTCCGGCCAGATCGGTTGGATATTCGGACTCTACAACTTCCTTGTCTTTTTCTGTGGGATCCAAATCGGACCCATCTTCGATGCAAAGGGTCCAAAGGCTCTGATGTGGCTAGGCTCGTTTCTTGTCGTTCTCACATTCGTCCTGATGGGGTTCTGCACGCTTTATTGGCATTTCCTTGTTGTTATAGGTATTCTCGGGGGAATGGGAACGAGTTTCATTTTCATCGTGCCTGTTGCTAGTATTGGACATTTTTTCTGTCGTCGACGAGGTGCTGCTACGGGTCTTGCTCTAAGTGGGGGGAGTATTGGGGGTGTGATATTCCCTCTGGTGTTGGAGAATCTCGCGCCAAGGATCGGATTTGCCTGGTCAACGAGAGTTATTGGATTGATCACATTGATTCTTTTGATCCCGGGGTGTTTGCTTGTTCGTACAACTTTCACACCGAAGGATTCGAGTCCGCCGTCGGCGAAGGTCTTCTTGCCTGATTTGACGATATTGAGGGATCCGATGCTGGCATTGACGACGCTTGGGGTTTTCTTTATTGAGTGGGGATTCTTTATTCCTCTTGAGTATATCGCGTCCTATTCGCTTGCTACTGGGGTTCCGAGACAATTGTCTTATTTGATGGTTGTTTTCCTGAATGCCGGCTCGTTTCCGGGAAGGTGGTTGCCGGGCATTTTGGCGGATAAAATTGGGCGCTTCAATACTTTGATTCTGACGAATATTCTGTGTTTGGTTTCTGTCCTTGCTATCTGGATGCCTGCCGAAGGTAATATTATTGCGGTTATTGTCTTCTCTGTCGTCTTCGGTTTCGCAAGTGGGAGCAACATTAGCCTTGTTCCCGTGTGTGTTGGTGAGCTATGTCCGGTGCAGAATTTTGGTCGGTACTATACAACGGTGTATACCATTGTTAGCTTCGGGTAAGTTCTTGCTGAATGTTTTCAAGCGTGGTGGGTCTGAGCTAATAATGGTTGTAGGGCTTTGACGGGAGTTCCCATCGCTGGTGAGATTCTCACACGCTGTGGTGGCGAGTATTGGGGTCTCATTTCCTTTGCTGGATGTGCATATGCGGCGGGTTTGGGATGTTTCGCTATTGTCATGTGGTTGCAGAAGCGCAACGCAAGCAAGGAAATGAGTCGATGTTTTGCAGGCAGGGAGTTATATACGGGTTGACCTGCGGATGGCGAAATCAAAGACTGAGCAGGGTGAACATAGATTTTAGAATTCAGAGCCACAACATAGAAAGACTTCGGAAAGATGGCCTGGACTCCCTTGATTCAAATTTCCCTATTATATAGGACCAGGCGCTTGTAAATTTTTAAACACTGGAGACGGCTCGTGTCCATGCCTGCCCAACGCTGAGTGTGGCGTGACACCTGAGTGATGGCCGCTATGGATCATCGCACACGTCTTTCAAAACACGTACGAACGCGACAATGTGCACATAGACAGCATTGAAATATAAAATTTGAAACATACCAGTGATATGCGACTGGTTTTCTCTGAATTTACTTCCATAAAATTGCTCAAAGCCGCGCGGTCGGATATTCATTCTGACGTATCTTTTGCCATCAAGCGGCAAGAGGCAAGAGACGCCCAATACGCAGAATCAGAATCTAGACTAGTCTTGCTCAAGTATATAAAGCCCGTGTAGTCGCTGAAATAATTCTACACATCCTTGATTGTACCCAGAGACCCCGGAAGTTTACACTGCGTTAATTACCCGGTCTCGGAACACCATGGGCGAGTCGGCCGACACGAAACGCAACCTTATCATTGTTTCCAATCGTCTGCCTGTGTCCGTTAAACGCGTCGATAGTGGTTTTCAATCATCGATCTCAAGTGGTGGTCTCGTCACAGCATTATCAGGACTCACCAAAACAACTCAGTTTCGATGGTTTGGCTGGCCTGGTATAGAGGTGAAAGAGCCTCAAGACAGAGCGGAAGTGGTCAAAAGCTTAGAGCAGCATAGTGCGACCCCAATCTTTCTCGACAGCGATCTAGCACATGAGCACTACAATGGCTTTTCAAGTGAGTCAATCAGTTCATTCTAATCACTTGCTCGCAGTCCAGCCAACTGAATGGTATAGATCGCATCCTCTGGCCAGTTCTCCACTACACATCAGGCATTCTATACGACGATGGCCCCTGGCAAGCTTATAAGCGTGTGAATGAGCTATTTGCAGATGCCATTTCTGAGGCAGCAGAGAGGGGCACATTGATCTGGGTTCATGACTACCACCTCATGCTTCTCCCTGAACTCCTCCGCAAGAGACTTCAAATGCAGGGAAAAGTTTGCGCAATTGGGTTCTCCCTGCATACTCCATTCCCAGTAGGTGATTTCTGGAGAAATTTGCCTGTTCGCAAGCACTTGATTGAGGGAATGTTGTCGAGTGATTTAATTGGATTCCATACTGATGAGTACAAGCACAACTTCATCGATACGTGTGCAAGTCTCCTGTGAGTGCAGATAAAATCGACATTACTTTGGATCGCGACTAAACGAAAAAACCTGCCAGCGGAGCGCAAACCCAGATTCCAAACCAGATCCAATACAAAAATCGCCTCGTCTGCACTGATAAGTTCATTGTGGGTATCGATCCCCCAGAAATTTGCCGATACGTTGCGACAGCCCGAAGTAAAAGACCGTATCAAAACACTCAAGGATCGATACAATGGAATGAAAGTTATCGTCGGGATCGACAGATTGGATCATATCAAGGGCCTCACGCAAAAATTGAAGGGATTCGATTGTTTCCTGGATGATCACCCAGAGCTTCGGACAAAGGTTGTTCTCATCCAAGTCGCGGTGCCAAGCAGAGAAGATGTGAAAGAGTACCAGGATCTTGAGACGGAGCTTTGTACGATGGCAGGCAAAATAAATGGAAAGCACGGTATGTTCATTCCGAAAGTATGTGAATAAATGAAGTGATTGATAAGAATAGCAACACCCGAGGGCACCCCACTGTTATATATGCATCGATCAGTCCCGTTCACGGAGCTGACCGCACTTTATTCCGTCGCCGACGCCTGTCTGTTGACGTCGACTCGAGACGGAATGAACCTGGTCTCCTTTGAGTATGTCGCGTGCCAAGAACAGAACCACGGCGTCCTGGTATTATCCGAGTTTGCCGGCGCGGCAGCATTCATGAGAGATGGAAGTATTCCGTTTCACCCGGCCAACACAACAGAGATGTCAGAGGCCCTCTTCGCGGCGTTGAATCTTAGTGACGAGGAGCGCAAGCAGAAGTTTGAATTCTTGTGGAAATTTGTCACGACGAACACTAGGTATGTCTTGTATCAGGCGTCACTTCAATAGCAAGTCACTGATTTGTCTAGTGCAAAATGGGGTTCAACTTTCATAGAGAAACTCTCGCGTAGATGCAGTCAAACTGGTGCGCCTTCTTGAACATGGCAAGTGGATTCGTGACTTCTTTCCGTCTTTCATGATCTTCCAGATATTCCATGCAATTTCCGGCTGCTTCAAGCACCTGTACTCATGGAAACTTGTGGAAGGCTCTTTAGTTATCAGTGTACCGCTTTCACAGGAGAAGGCAGAGCATAACTCGATTTGTTTATTCAATGAAACATAGTAGTTGTTGTCCGAGGTGCATGATCTAGGAAAAATGTATGCAATGATCACGTACAATATCTTCATGAATGAGGCGTGTCTATAAATTATATTAAACATAACTGTAGTACCAGAGGTGTGTTTGATTATGTAGTTTCCTGTTTATGTAGACCTGTGCCGTCACACTTTGCTCTCAATTTTGTGTTGGCAGTGAGCAGACGAATATCCCGATTACCTAAGTTGGAGCCCTGCATCCTAGGGCAAGGGCTAGAACAATCCGTGCCCGGAAACAGGCCGATCTGAAAAACAGTGTCTTTGTCAGGACTCGGGCTTCAAACTACGACTGGATTTTGTCTACTTTTTCCCACGGCGCGGAGGGAAAGCCGCGACCATTGCACACTGTCAAGGTCCCGAACAAAGTCAAGTCAATGTGTGGCGCAATGGCTTGAGCGGGAGAACCCTCAGCCAGGAATAGACCCACTTTATAGATCCTTCTCACCATTATGAGAATTGAAGACAGGTCATGTTGTCCGTCCTACAAGATCGAGAGAAGACATTCTCTCCCAGATTCTATGTTCAGGGAAACACTGTGTCTTGCTTGATTTCCATGCCCTGCTCGTGATCCTTGCGTTGAAGTTGGGTCCTATCGCGACAGTTCCAGCAAATAAGATCTCCCCGATACTGCTCTCTGGAGCTGTTTCCACGTTTATTTCCACCCCACTATCGCTCGCATATAGGTCCTTAATTATCCCACACAAGAAGGGGTGGAATCACACAATTTGCCCTATATCCTGCTCGCCAATGGCAGATAAACAGGACCATGACGCCGTTACTTATCCAGCGCTTACCGATACTGGGGAGATGGCCAGCCGGCAATTTAGCGATGGAAGCTAAACGACAGGATCTCAAGCAATCCAGTTGAAGCGCCATTGAATGGACATCTAAAGTAAAGACATCTTCAGATGATTGCTGTCGGTATGTCTGCCTTGAATAGGCCGATATGGTCTAAGCTAAGAGAGGAGAGGAATCACTTACTGGTCACTTCTGGTAACGTGTTCCATGAGGGAGGACTCGCCGGTTCTTTGATCAGCTTTCATCTGGTTGGAACTATTGCATTCTTCGTCATGTAGGTGCTCGACCGGTCATGAAGGTCACCCAATTCTAAGCAACAATCAACTGCAGGCAATCACTTGGTAAAATGGCAGCATTGATCTCTATTTCTGGGTCATTTATTGAATAGAGCGTTTCGTTGACGATGCTCTTGTCCTCGGCCTTGGATGGGCGGACAGCAGTCCCACACACTATACCACAAGTCTTTTGGCGTAGTCTGATCTCCTACATTGGTAAGTACATGCAGACCATATAACTTTTGAGGTCGATCGAAGATATCTTCAGGGGCCAATTTTTTCATCGGAATCCTCATGCCAAACTATGACAAGTCATTGTTGAGTGCTGGTTCCAAAACCCACCAGCTCAGCTTTCACCATCGCCCTGACCGAGGCGGGCATTCTACCTGCCGCGCACGTCATCAATGCCTTGATCGTGACCAGCGTAATCTCGGCTTGTAACTGCTCCCTATACATCGAGTCATGCCTCCTACTCTTCATGTGCAGAGCCGGAAAAGCCCCCGGGTTCATCGGTTGTGCCAATAAGACGGGAGCACCGTGGGTCGGGTTGATCTTTACAAACATATTCGCTTGCATTGTTCTCTTGGGACAATCTTCAAGAGTCGGAGAGGTGTACTCTGCTATGGTAACGCTATCTAGAGGCATGTCAAGCCTCAAACATCGATGAAGTCCAAGTGCTAATAATCACGTGGTGGCTATCTTCCTTGTTCAAAGCGTTATCGGGATATGGCACATTCGGTTAAGACGTCGCTTGTCGCGCAGGGCCAAGACCGATCAAAAACTAACCATACAAGGCTGCTTTCCACCCGTGGGGCACTTACCTGTTCCTTGCAGCCAATGTCTTTTCCTCGTGTTCTCCAGGGACACACCTTCGTTTTGAACCCATTTAGTGCGGAAGTCTTTGTAATCAACTACATTTTGCTCCTGGTCTTTGCATTTTTTATCATTTTTCACAAATTTTGGCACAAAACGAGCTGGATCAAGCTTGAAGATGTGAACATATGGACCGGAGGAAGAGATTTCGTGGAAGAGGAGACTACTTAGCCGAAGACTTGGTGGTTACGCATGCGCGATATTGTTATCGGGTAAGCAAAAGACTAGGTCTGCATAGGTAGACCCTTGAATTCCGCATAATTTCTTCAAGAAGTGATCTACAACCGGATCCCGTCGGAGAGCCGAGCTTCGGTGACCGCCGATACTAGCTAAGCTCATAGTCTACCAGTAATGTATAGAAGTAATAAATTGAACAGCGCTGAATAATCTGTCGAATTCCGTGTTGGGGCCAAAGAAAAAGGCTAAATATTATTCCATCGCATCTCCTCAATTGTGCATCTCCATGACCCCACATCTCACCCTCGATCTAACCGCTAAGTGAACACCGTGCCCCCGAGCACATCCCGCCATTGGCCTGATAAAAACTACACTACTCAGGGACAAGGTCCCATCTTGCTGCCTGCATCGTCGAACCCGGCGCCAAACCCGGTTGATCGCCGTCTCGGGCTAGGTTCAACCATTCAATCATTCACGATGTTCAATCTTCCAATCAGGCCGAGGTTTCTGCCGATCGGTGAATATACTATTTGGAGTATAGCCATCCTGCAATGGTAATGGTTTCAGCCATGCAGATATTCGCTACCAATGGATGTCTTGATCGAGACTGACGGGTGGGATGTAACATCGTCTAGGTCTGCAGTTCGGCTGGGATAGAATCTACAAGGAGATGAGTATGAGTAGCTTTAGACCTTCAGCGAAGCTATTTAAACTGCCAACCCCCCTCGGTGATCTATACCAGAGAGCATTCGATTCTTCAATCCCATCAAACCCAACTCACCCTCCAAGATGCAGTTCACACAGGTACCACGCCTCAATCAATCTTAGAGGTCTCCCTTCCCTAACAGAACCAATCCAGCTCCTCACCCTCACCACCCTCCTCACTGGTGTCCTCGCCATTCCCACCCTGAACGAGAAGCGTGCCTGCGCCTACACCTGTGGCACGGTCTGCTACACCAGCAAGGCCGTCGCCGCCGCCCTATCCGCCGGATACGGGCTTGAAGCCCAGGGCGAGGAAGACGACTCATACCCGCACGTCTACCACAACTATGAGGGCTTTGACTTCCCCGTCTCCGGAACTTACTACGAGTTCCCTATCCTCAGCGACGGCGAGGTCTACGATGGTGGCTCTCCCGGTGCGGACCGTGTTATCTTCAACGACAACGATGAGCTTGCTGGCGTGATCACGCACACTGGGGCCAGTGGTGATGATTTCGTTTCTTGTTAGATATCTCTCCAAGGATAGGAAAATACATGGGAAATATTTTACACGGGTCAAGATCAATGCTTCAATGGTATGCTCGAAGGCTACTATGTAAATGTAGGAAACCATCTTTCACGTAAACACAAACTGATATCGTGTCAACATGCTGTGTAGGTTCCGTTGATATGGGTACCAGATGGTAAACAACAATCGGCACTTGCACGAGCGAGATCGCAGTGCTGTCGTCGTTGGGTTTTTGGTACCCGTTCCTGGTAAGGACTATTGGTTCCTATGAAAGGGTATTGAAGATAATATATTCGCGCAGAGTACTGTAGTTGTACTATCGTCTGATAAGCGTCTATGTCTCTGAGAAGTGCATGGGCAAGTCGAGTCGACGGCGAAACATGTAGCGCATCAACTCGTTGACATCGTTCGCAGGATCGAAGTAAGTGTGGGTAATGATGTGTCATTAGATGAAAAAGCGGTCCGTATAACGTGGGCTATCCCTGAAGGCGCTTTCAAAGATGTAGATTTGATTCTTCAAAGAGCAGACCACGGAGGACGGGGATTGTGCGAGCGCAGGGGCTTTATGTTTTAAGAGTCCGCGGAAAATCTGCTGGCCCGCCCCCGGATTGCGGGGTTATCTAATCAACATACACATTGTAAGTGCTGATTTCTCTACAATGTCTACTTTCACGTTCGTAAATTCGAAACGGTTCCAGAGCGATCCTAGATGAGTTTCAAGACTTGGCTGTGGGTTTGCATCTGAAGTGTGTCCCTCTGGTCCAACTTCCACGAGCGAGTAAATCGTGATTGAATTACTGAAAAGTTTTATTTCTCACATTAAGCCTTCATAGCGAGGTTGCTTTTTGACCCTCCAATAGGCTACCTCATCGTCAAGTCCGGAGGCAGTTCCCAGCCAACAACGGTCCATCCCGCTCCGCCCCGCAATTCTCAACTCCGAACTCCGCTCCCGCACCCCAAGTATAAAAAAAAAGCCCACTTCCTTCATACCAACCTCTGACCTCCATCCTCCTTCGTGCACCTGCAAAATTGATCATAATGCAAGTATATACAACCGACCACTCCCCTTCAGTGCTCCAAACCCACAAATGGCGCACTTTATCTAACTCCTCCCCGCACCTCCTGCCACACATCGCCCCAACCATGAAGATCCTCGACATAGGCTGCGGACCAGGAAGCATCACCCTCGACTTTGCACGACATGCACCACAGGGCCACGTAATTGGTCTAGAATACGTCTCTGATCCGTTGCCTGCCGCGCGCGCACTTGCTCAAGAGCAAGGCCTATCGAATATTGAGTTCATGGAGGGCAACATCCACTCTCTGCCCTTTCCAGATGAGACTTTCGATATCGTCCATGTTCATCAGGTGTTACAGCATATCTCTGATCCTGTACGGGGACTTAGAGAAATGAGACGCGTTGTGAAGAAAGGTGGGATCGTCTCTGCGCGTGAGTCTGCGGGGATGGAATGGTATCCCTCCCAATGAGGGGATCTGGAAGTGGAAGGAGATTACTGAGACGATGGGGAGAGCGAAAAGGAGGGGAATCCGCATCCTGGAGCTAGAATTCATGTTTGGGCTATGGAGGCGGGGTTTGAGGAGGGTATGGTGAAGAGGAGTACTGGGAGCTGGTGTTTTTCAAGTACCGAGGAGAGGAAGTATTGGGGTGGAAGTATGATGAACAGGGCGAAATCGAGCGGGTTTTCGAGAGGGGCTATTGAGGGTGGCTTTGCGAGTGAAAAGGACTTGGAGGTTATTGCGGATGGATGGGGACGGTTTGTAGAGGATAAGGAAGGATGGTTCGGATTATTGCATGGGGAGATCCTGTGCTGGAAGTAAAAAGTGAAAGTCTGCCTATGTCATTGAAATGAAATGTGTAATGTAATGCATTCAAAAGTCTGAACCCTATCCGATGCTGTGCGATATCGATGCAAGAAGAAAAGAAATAAAGAAAGGACGGATTACCAGCCACCGTCATCGTACTCCTCTTGGTCCTCACGACCCTGGTCGTATGCCTCTCTTTCGCGCTCTTCGTCTTCCTCGCGGTTCTCATCTAATTTCGTGTTAGCTTTTTTTTTTTCTCCACTTGACCATGCTCAAAGTATGAGCGAAATAAAACTCACCAATCTCATGCTCAATAAACGCCCCACCAAGCGCACCAACAGCGAGAGCACCAGCACCGACAGCAAGGTATTTGCCCGCATTACTTCTCTTCTCCTCCACAGGCTGTTGATAGCCCTGATTATAACCACGCTGATCATACCCGGCCGGCGGGCCAGGGGGAGGCGCATAGTATCCACCCTGCGGCTCAGGCGGGGGAACGGAGCGCGAACCATCATAGTAGCCCTGACCCGGAGGACCAGCGTAAGGAGGTTCCCACTGCGCGCGACCAGTAGCATCTTCGACCCAGAATGCGCGACGCATGTTCGGTTCCCATTCTTGGTGCCAGCCCTGAGGCATTGGGGGCGGGGGACCAGGCGGGGGTCGGGCCATGGGTGGAGGGGCGCTGTATGGGCCGCGCTCGTAAGGTGGGCGCTCGCCGTAGGGTGAGCCGTAGCCTGGGGGACCAGGAGGTCCAGGAGGAGGACGGTTGTAAGGATCGGCGTAGTATGACATGATTTTTTTGTAGGGGGATTGAAGAAAAGAAAAAGAGGAGTCCGAGTGAGAGGGGAAGGTGGCTTTATGTAGGGGAAACAACTATCCGATCAGAACCGAATTCCATCTCCACTCACACTGGAGAATATGTTGTGGAGTTCGCGTAGCGTCGAACAAGCCTTGTGCGATGAATCCTGGCTCTGACTAGGCAGCGATTATCATTTACCCCTGACGGTTTCTGGGCTGTGCATGGCCCGGCGTTGTTTCCCTACAATTCAGACATGCGAGGGAACGATAAAACAGATCGGCGTCAGCAGGCGCTCCGGTTTGCTATGATTGGCGTCGTATCACTGGGCCTGAAAGCGCTGAAGGACTGGAGCGCTGTGCACGATGAATGACAAGGCTGCAGGGTATCTTGCATACAGAACCACGGCTCCTGATCGACCCGCTCCACAGGAGCTTGACAGATTGAAACAGGGAAGACCCCCCCCCCCCCCCAAACAGCCACAAATGACCCCTGTGGAGCCAGTCCATGGAACAATTCTGGTGTCTTCTCTCCAAAATTAATATCTCCGAACGGGACTAGTTGGCATTCGGTGCTACGCCAATATGTTCGCCGAGCCACGATGTGGCTCAGGTGTGGGAGACACAGCCACTCGGCGCGACACACGTGGCTTGTAGTGTTATCGCTTGACCCGCGAGGTCTGGGCATAGTAACATGATGCAGGCTAAGAGTCTGGGCGCTACAGGGATTACATGCAGTGGAGAAGTCTCATCAGGGGATAAGCGGATGGGCAGAATGCCTTGATCCCAAAATAATCAATTCAATTTTGAGGCTGATGAAAGAGTAAAAATGTCCAGTCTGGAATCTGATTACAGCGAAAGAAACTGTTTATATCCTGGTATCGCAGGGGACACTGGATGAGCAAAGTAAGGCATGCGGCTTCGATCGCGGGGGATCCACCAGGGAACCATTAACCCTCGGAGCCGGCGAAGACGCTGGTCTCGCTACTGTCCGGGTAGAAGAATGCCGCGAGCGCGATAATCACGTAGGCGGCGATGAGCAGGGCACCCTCTAGGTAGTTACTGCGACCGTCTAGGACGAGGAAGTTGACCACAAACGCCGTAACGAAGAGAGAGATGGTCTCAAACAAGGTAAAGTATAGAGACATGTCCTTGTCCATGCACCATCCAAGGATTACAACGAGTGGAGTGACGAAGATGGCAATTTGGATGCTGCTACCGACGGAAACACCGATCGCCAGATCCATCTTGTTCTTGGTAGCGACACTCACCGCCGTAACGTGCTCAGCAGCGTTGCCAACGATGGGCAGGATGATCAGACCGATGAAGGCTTCGCTGACGGACGAGCTAGCGATCATGTCAGGAATGGCATCGACAAGGAACTCGGCGCAGACAGCGACTAGTGCGGTAGAACAAAGAAGTAGGACCACGGCCGCGGTGCGAGACATCTCGGGTTCAGGTTCTTGGTCCGTGGGCGCCGTAGCCGCAGCGTCACCCGCACCAGGAGCACGGGCAGCACCGCGAGCGAACTGTACGGCATTACCAACTGGCGGAGCACGGCTGATGTGCGCGGGAAGGGAATTGCTGCGATAGATACCGGGGCGGGAAGCAGGGCGAGAACCTGGGGCACCCACATGAGGGGACTTGTGAAGGGACTGGGAGCTAAAGACAGTGCTGGAAAGCAAAGAAGGAAGAGGACCGAAAGGCAACTTTCTTTTTGATCCATCAACTTCTCCACCAGCCTCCAAGCCAGCAAAATTGGGCGTGGAAGAGAAGCCCTTCATGCCGGCATCACCCTCCATCTGAGCAGCCTCGACCTCTGTCCACTTAGGGATTTGAGTACGAGACTTCTCTCGCTTCGAGCGACGTCTCTTGCGCTCCTTCTCGCGCTTGCGAGAGCTGTCGCTCTGAGCACTTTGCACACGACTAGCCGGGACACCGAAATCTCGCGACCGGAACCCAGAAGCCGGCTGGGCATCATCATCGGCCTCGTAGCGGGTATCATCACCAAAGTCGATGGCGCACGAGTTGGAATCATTGTTATTGCTTGTGATGGAGTTCCCGACAGAGCTCTTTTTCTCGTTGCTCATGGTTCTCTTCCCCATGGCCGTATCCTTGGAGCTGGTGCTCGACTTGCGGTGTCGGCGGTGCTTCATAGCTCGCTTGATGCGCTTGGCGGTACTCCATGAGGTTGTTGTGTCGACAGACTCGTCGCTGGAACTGGATGATGAATCGGAGGAACTGTTCATGAGCTCGGCAAGGATACCGGGGTGGGATTCCTCGTCGATGATTCGTTGAGGGATACTGGCGTAGAGATAGGAGTGGGACTTGAGCTGGAAGAGGATGTACAAGATGTACACGAGCAATAAAACCTGACCTGTTAGCTTGAATTCGGTATATGGCATGAACGAGCGTTGACTTACCACACTAGTTCCACGGCTAACCTTGAGAGTCTCGTGGTCTGCGTTGGCGCTGTTGGACCACGAGGCGTGGAAAGCAGTAGGAAGCAATAGACTCGTCACGCTCAGACTGAGCAGACAAGCGCTCATCTGGGTCACGGTACTGTTGTAAATTTGCTCCTGGAAACGAAGGCCACCCAGTCAGGAAGGCCATTCCCAGAATGAGGAGCAAGTTTGCCAGGATGGAACCCAGCAAAGAAGCCTGAACGATGCGAATCTCATTTTTGACCAGGGCAATAATGAAGATAATCAGCTCGACGGCATTACCAAAGGTGACGTTGATCAGGGCTCCGATCGTGTCACCGAGGCGGGAGGCCACACTCTCCGTCGCGTGACTGAGCAGACCCGCCAGAGGGATGATGGCGACAGCATTCATTGCGAACACAATCGCCGGGTTCAGGCCAATAGCCTTGACGACAATACCGACTGGTACGAAGACCAGCAGGACATTGACCCAGCTGTGGAAGAGGGCATCCTTGGTATGGGTGATGAACCGGCCGCTGCCATTGCGCATGCGAGTGAGCAGGGCGGGTTTAGCGTTGTCTTTCTCAGAGGGACCCGCCTGGGATCCCTCATCTGCACTGTTCACTTGTACATCTTGGGAGGAGGAAGTAGAGGCTTCCGCAATCGTGTCCGCCTTGGGGGTCGGGTTGCCGCGAGAAGATGCGTGAGCTTTCGCCCACGAGTTAATCCGGTCTGGGTGGAGTCAGTCTAGACCGGGGGTCACTGGGACACAAATCCTGAGATCAGGGTACCACTCACGCATGTATTTCAGGAACCAGCAGCTGATTCAAGGCACAGAAGCGGCCTAGGAATGATGAAGCAGAGAGTCTGGACAGACGCCCGTGTGAGAATAAGCAGAAGTCGAAAGGGGTGCGGGGGGGGACCCAGACCTTATTTATGAGCTTGGCGATCCCTTGGCAAGACAGCGAAACCAAACGGGGTGCTGCTAGAAAAATGTGACTCCGCCGATCTGATTTCTGAACTGTGGATGGCATCTTTGACAGACGCAGCTCCATTCCCAACATGGCCTCGTCAGCCTATCCCTTGTGATGTCACCCCCTTTCGCTATCAACAACAACAACGACTGTACGACCGCCCCAAACATGGCAAATGACGCGTTCTCCCCTGTGTCTCCTTGTAGGGAAATGCCAAGCTCCGTCCTCGGGAATTTGTCTCCACCGTGGACAATGTCCGACAGCCACGTCTCGTCATTGGCGCACATCTAGCATCGACTCTCATCTTGGATGGCCCTGAACAGCCTCACTGACGCGGCCGCCTTACGGATCACCCTAGTGCATGAAAAAGTTCACTTTCGTCAATCCCGCCCGAGTGGCCAAGTCCGAGGAAGTCCGAGCGCTCCGAGTTGCCAATGCTCGCAATGCACATCTCGCAACGATGACCCGAGTCGTGGCCTATACGCTTATCTGATACGAGACACTCGATCGACAAGTCACAATCTCCACACTCAAGCCCCAGCAATCATCGTGATGTCATCCAATCGTGTCGCGTTGTACACGCACGAACCGGGTCTATTTCTGGGCTGGAACTGCAATCAGTACCTCCAGATTGGTTCGCTAAGACACCTCCCAACGCTGTGCTATGCTCTGTGCGAGATTCGACCACGGTTTCAAGACCCACTTCCTCTCCGCTCGGTGGCTGTGCTGCTTTGCCACACTCCCACCTGACTCATGGCTGGATCGGGGATGCTCTGCCTGCTCATTGCGAATTACGCACCCCGATATGAACTGCTAACCGCTTATTCTCTAGCGCGATGGCAGTGGAAGATGTCAAGTTGTTTGTGTGGCGCAGGCATGCGGGAGCGGACAGCGGGCAGCAACCTCGCTGCAAACCGTAGATCCCCGAAACTTTGGCGTAGCAAGTGTCAAGATGATATGAAATAGTCTTTCAAGCTTCCAAGAATAACCTTACTTGAACATGGGGATGTCGTGTGTCTCTGCGAGAATCTCTGCCCGAGAGTTCTGTAATATATTTTGGAGGTCTGTGTCAGATTATGTCCGAGATTGCAGCAAAGTGCTGGTTGCACAAATCTGAACAAATTGGAATCAAGGCGAGCGATCGAAACACGTATGCGTGCAGGCAGTCCATTGTCTAGCCCTGATTCAGTCTTCTATCGCCCAAGACTCTGGATCAAGATCGAAACTCTCATCCGCGACCCGCTATCGGGCGGGAAATGTCTGTTCCGCCCATCCTGGGCACAATCTTATATCGAGTGGCGGAAATAGAGAACCCGCTCGAGCATGCTGGCCCAATGCATCTCATTTACAATAGTCTACCTCGAAATCTCCATTTCTGTCGGATTCTCCGATTGCCAATAAATAAATTCAACATTGAAAACATCCAGCCATGTTCTACCCAATTTCTGCGGCAACGCCACGTGATGCCCGAAAGCAACGACGGACAGTAACTCTGATTTCCATCAACGATCGTGAGTGCCAGACACTGCTGCCGCCATTTGAAACTGAGACTTTCAACTTCAAAGTCCTGAATGGACCAGTGAATAAGGTGTGCCACTGATACTGTTCATCTGGGGCTCATCGGCACTTGCTTCGGTACGGTTCGCACGGCAAGCTGATCTGCAGGCCGCCCAATATTTCCCTGATCTCTGAATTCAATTTCCTCATCATCTGCCCGAAAGTGTGCTTTGAGGTGAATTTTACTGTAGCCATGATATTGCAGTGAATCGTCACGATACTGATTTTCGAATGTGTCTCACTATACGTGTCTAACTGGTCATGGCCATGGCTCAAACAGACGCTCGCCCATCTCGGCCGGGCCCATGAGGTACCTGCAATTCAACCAAACATGACAAAGCAACTGCTAACAGAGAGAAGTATGCTGAAAAAATGGTGGAAATGGCTAGATTTGGACTCCCGCACCATGCTCCTCATGTTGAAAGGGGCACTGGCCCCGACTATCACCATCGCCATGTATGTTCGAAGCTAAACATTCCGATGATCGTCGTTGACTCTCTTAGATACCAGAGTACAGCTATATCCCGCATCACGTCCTCAATCGGATATCTCTCTGCTTTAATCTCCATCCTTTCACAGGGGTTGATGCCTCGGGCCAAATTCATGAAGATCATGTTTTACGATCTTCTGTCCACCTGTGTTTCGGCATCACTATGCTGCCTTGCGATTCTTTGTGCCGTCAGTGCCCGAGAGCACAACACCCCCAGACCCGACGGTTTCAGTAGTGATGCTTGTGCTGTGGCTGCTGTTTGGCTCATTTTCATGATCTGGTGAGTTCAAGGTACATTCTTGATGCCATGAGCTAACATATTCAGGGGCGCAAATTCTCTCCGCGCACTGAAGCCAATAGAACTTCAAGATCCAATGGTTGCCTTCTCCATTTTCGCTTCTGTCACCATCACCCGTGCGGGCATGTTCACGAGTCGGGCCGAAGGACTGGAATTCGTAGCACGTCTCTTAAAAGGGTTCATGATTGGCTTTGCGATTGCCACCGGCGTGTCCCTGCTCATTTTGCCGATCACAAGTCGAGGAAACGTGTTCCAGGATATCAAAGGGTACCTCGCGTCCGTGGAAGATGTTCTAGCGGCTCAGATCTCCTTCGCCGAGGAAGATATCGTAAACGGGTTATTCACAGGAAGTGGTCTGCTGCGGCGGACTCGAACTGCGATGGATCAGGATGCGCAAGGTGAAACAGATCCACAATGCACGCGAAACAAGCTCCAAGGCTCCATGACCAAGCTCAACGGGCTTCATAGTAAGCTCCACGCGGATCTCTTTTACTCAAAGGATGAGATAGCGTGGGGCAAATTGTCAGCCGATGACCTCAGCACCATCGCCACGCTGCTTCGCAGTATTTTGCTGCCTCTTTCTGGCATGTCGATGCTGCCTGAAATCTTGGAGGTAATAGTCAAGAATGAAGGACCGCACGAAGCTGACGACAACTCGGAAGGGGAGCTGAAATATTCGGAGATTCGGAAAGTCCTGGAGACGAACCATGCGCGTCTGGTCCACGCAACAAAGCTTGTCCAGCGGGGTCTGTCCCGTTTTCTCCTAGCTTTGGAGCTTATCACGCCTAAGCATTTGGACAAGCGGACGCGCGGCACGCAAGCTAGGGACACCGAGGCAAAGGGTGAGGAGCTAGACCCAACACAGTCAGATTTTGGGTCACGCTTTGAGGCAGAATTACAGCGCTATTACACTGCAAGGAAACAGCAGCCCGATGCACTGGCGTCGCTTGAGGCATATTCGGAGGCTCGTTTCGCGGATCCGGATGTGAGGCAAGAATTCTTTGTGATTCTGTATATGAGCCATTTGCAGGATGACCTGCTGAATGCGACGCTGCAATTGGTTCAGTTTGCCGATGACAAGATTGCTGATGGGACGATGAAGCGTGGGAGGTTGATCTTCCCGAAACAAAAGTCTATATCGGATTGGTTCTCGCTGGGCAGAAAGGACGATGAAGAACACAATAGAAGACAGTCGTCACACGTGGACCCTGCCAACATCCATAGGGCTCCCCAGTCGCCGGGCTTTCCGAATCCTGAACATCTTCCGCCCGAGAACATATGGGAGAAAGGTAGCACTGTACTGCGAAGTTTTTCGCATGCCATCAAATCGGATCAGAGTCTTTTCGGCTTCCGCGTCGCTGCCGCCTCGTTCTCTGTCGGAATCCTCGCTTATCTCCATCAGACTCAGGACTTCTTCATTCGACAACGATGCATCTGGGCCATGATCGTCATCGTCATCGGGATGAACCCGACAAGCGGTCAAACCATGTTCGGCTTCATAGCGCGCATCGGCGCGACAGCGATAGCCCTCGTCCTAAGCTTGATCGTGTGGTATATCGTTGACGGCAAGACTGCCGGTGTAATTGTCTTCCTCTACCTTGCTAACGTGCTCGAGGTATGCCATTTCCTCTATCCTTAACACACCCCTACTAACACAACTCAGTACTACTTCTACCTCAAAGTGCCCCAATACTTCGGGGCCTCTGTCATATCAACCGTGACTCTGAATGTAATAGTTGGCTACGAGCTCCAGGTCCGCAAATTAGGTATTCAAGCGGCCGAGTCCAACGGCCAACCATACTACCCGATCTACCTCTTCGGCCCATACAAACTCGCCGCCGTCGCAGCGGGCTGCGCAATTTCTTTCTTTTGGGTAATATTTCCATACCCAATAACAGCAAAATCCCGACTTCGCAAACTGCTCGGCCAAAGCCTCTTCGTCCTCGCCAAATTCTATAGTTGCATGCACACCACCATCGAACTTTGGCTTAGCTCCTCCCTAGGCGATGCCAAAGACCCATCATCTCCCGGCCACCATCTTCAGAAATCAAGACACAAAATTTTCAAGGAAGAGATGATGCTTCTCAACGGGTTACGAATGCATAGTCACTTCAGTACATTTGAACCTCCCATCGGAGGCAAATTCCCAAAAAAAACATACGATGACATGATCGCCGAAATCCAACGCATCCTAACAAGTATGTCTCTAATGGCACACACAGCACAGAGTCTCGAAACCCTGTCCATCAAACATTCCTCCGAAAAAAGAGAAGATCACTGGATGGCGCGGATGGCGGAGATAGCGCTTAAATCGACGGATTTCAATTCCCACCACGTTACCTCGCTTTTGTGTCACATCTCTGCGTCAATCGCAAATGCGCAGCCCTTGCCACCTTACCTTTCAACAGGGGAGTCGTTTCCGCTTGCGAGGCAGTTGCAGAGAATTGATGAGGGGTTGTTGAGTATCAAACATATTGAAGACCCGGCCTTTTCGGCATTTGCCTCCTTGGAGGTATTGAGGTCGGTTGTTAGTTTTAGTTTGCAGGATTTGTTAGAGTGAGTTCCTCTTTCATATTTATCCATTTTCCCGAGTGGATCTTTAGGTGGATGGTTGCTGATGATATCTAGTAATGCGCGGAAACTCGTTGGGGAGCTTAGTTTTGATTTCACTCCGAGGGATATACAGAGGGAGGAAGAGGTGGATTTACTGCGAGGCCCTGGTCAAGAGGAAGCTTGAGAATTGCTTATTGAGTGAGTAAAGCTACATAATAATCCCATCAATGTATCGGGGAATGTCTTGTGCCTACCTCAGTCACTTTGCGCAGTATGCTTTGTCTGCTGGTTGACGTTTCCCATCTTGACCAATGGCGCCGTCAAGTCCTTATGCGGGCGCTTGTAGCTGGGCTATGTGCTTCTGAATATCAATGCGTTTATCTGGCATAAAAAATCATTTCGTGTGGAAGAATTGATAGCAGAACGAACAATCCAATATTGTCATAATTTTTTCTATCTGACATCTAGGCGCAGCAGAACAGAATCAAAAGGCGAGAAAAGGCTTACAAGGCGTGCGAGGCTCACTTGTGTAATAACATAAGCGCCATAGAAGAGCACAGCCGTTGTCCAAAATGTCCAACCACAACCCAGGAACTACTGGAGAATCCCGATCTAAAGCCAATCAAAGCCAGCAATAAGCGATGCCAAGGTCGGGGCTGTGGAGACAAGATCTGGTGAGGCTGTGCTGCCCGTTGCCCGACACCTTTCCGATGCAGGTAACGAACCTCGGAAGTAAGCAGTGCATAGCAGGTGAGTGAGTCAGGTCTAGTATTTAAAGGCTGCCTCTCTCTTGTCCAACTCTATATTCAATTTCACGCGATATTCCTTTCTTTAGCCTCTCAGCGTCACTTCGAATTGTGACTGTGGTTTTCACAATCTTAAGAAATATACTTGCGAAGATCAATCCTCCAGAGTCCTTAGATTCACAGTCACGCTCACTTACAAAATTTCCATGTAAGTACATGGATACACTGACGGCTCTAGCATATCTAACATCAAATATTAAATGAGAATCAAACATGCATTTCCGAAACCCGTTTAGAAGAAGAAAGGAGGAAGCAATAGAGTCTTATCAAGAAGAGGAGGCGGAAAGAAAGAGAAAAGAAGAAGCAGGAAAGGCGGAAGAACGAAAAAAGCGCATCTCGAGACCATCTGGATCCTCCAACAACTATTACACCGGCGCTTCGAACAGAGAACCCGAAGGGTATAACTCATCAATCAAAACATATATGGTGGTATCACAAGCTGGGGGTGGTGATAGTACCAGCGCTGATACTGGTGCTAGTGGCCACCACCATTCTGGCGGAACAAGCAGCCACCATCATAGTAGCTGTCATACCGGTGGCAGCAGTTCTTACTCTGGTGGCGGGGATTCGGCAGGCTATTCAGGAGGCCATTCAGGAGGCCCTTCAGGGGGTGGTGACTCTGGTGGCGGTGGTGGTGGTGGTGATGGAGGGGGAGGTGGTGGTTGCTAAATATTGTATAATTACTTCCCGTGCGTCGCCAATATTTAGAATGCAGGACTAGGAGACTTCACACTTCGAATACTATCACAGAGCATGATTATTACCGAAACCTGGGCTTCCATACATAAGGCTGTAGACACCAAGAAAGTGCAAGAATTTCAAAAGAGGAGTAAGCGAGGCAAAAGGATCAAATGGGACAAGAGTGGGCTAAATGATCATTGCTTCATTCTTCCTTCCGATAGATTTCGTCATTGCGGCTAAGAACTTAAATCAGGAAATTGTTTCTAAATCGATTGACCAGGGTTGACTAAGCGGAGGTCAATGAGGATGGACTCAAGCATGGAGAAGAAGGTAGGTGGACCCACCAACTTCGGACGAACTTCATGGGGGCAATGAACAGCGCCACGGTCTGCCGCTGATTGGGGTGATCATTTGCCTTGTAGGACCTCAGGAAATGATTCACCCTCCTCCATGATTAGTCTTTCCTCGTGTACCCTATAATCCACTTGGACATAAGTCATCGTAATACATATTGGCTCTTGATTGACACAGTGTGTTGTACTTAAATGAAGGTTAATTCCACATTCAATGATAGTGGTGGAAATCTCCCTTTGGCTATTTAGAGATTTTTGCGCCATAACGAAAATATCTATGATAAGATCGGAAAGCCACATATTTCCCTGTTTGGAGTGATACATAGCCCGAGACGACCAGCTAGAATCTTTCCAGAGGACGGGGTAGGGTCGCAGGTGCGATTTACAAGGATCTGAGTGTACCAGGAGTGAAGTATCATCTGTTGAAACACCCCATATCCATCATACCCACAGAAATACCACCTCGAAAATCATAGAAGCCTCAACTTCGCCGCAACAGCCATACAGACAATCATAAAGGCCACAAAAGCCCCAACGATCCCAAAAAACCACGACAATCCTGCAGTGTCCTGGCCGGGCACGTTCACGTTCATTCCGAACATCCCCGTCACAAGATGACAGGGAACAAACATGGTCGCTAACACTGTAACCTTACTCATGACTGAGTTGATATTATAGCTGACCCTAAGATTGGTCGCACTGAGCTGTGCCAGCGAATTCGCCTGACTGCGTCCGATAATCTCATCAATGTGACTCAGAGTCGACAGCGTCGTGATGAGATGATCTTGCACGTCGCCGAGATAAAGCAGTAAATCGCCGTCTGGGAAGACGGGAGGCTTATCAGGTGATTGGCAGCGTTTGACAAAGCCATTGAGTACATCCACTTTACCATGGAGACAGCGAATAATGTGGGTGATTTTCTTGCGTAGAACGTTGACTTGTGGGATGAGGGTTTTCACGTCGTCGACACGTGCACAATATACTTGGTCTTCTATTGCTTCGGATTCTATTTCCGCGGAGCGAGTAAATGGCTCGAAGCTGTCGACGATGTCGTCGCTGGGCTTGTCAGTCGTTGCTTCTAGAGAGTGGACGGAACGGACGTACATCAGTGCGTAGCAGATCCAGTCGCTTGAGAGAATAGTCCAATCGTGCATTTTGCGCACTCGATCACGAACCCGATCAACGTGCTTGCATCCGCTTGGCGAGAAGGTCACGACGCCATACTGGAAGACGAGAATGTATATCTCAGCTGTAGCTGGGATATCGGGCTTCTCGCACTCCCTTTTATAGTTGTCGACGATAGTCTGGAATGAGATGAGGTAGTAGTTTTTGAAGACCTCGACTTTCTCGCGGGGTTCCCGAATGGCGATGTCCTCTGCTGTGAGCGGGTGGATGGAAAGGGCCTGTGAGATGAGACCGACGTCTGCATCGGTTGCATCTCGAATATCAAACCACCAGATTGGACGGGATGGGTCTGGTCGTGTCTTTTGGGTCTCTTGGAAGATGTGGTCTAGGTTGCCGTCAGGGAAGAGACCGTCCCATGTTGGTGAAGTGGTTGCTTTGAGGGTCTGTGAGGAAAATAAGCTGAATCGGTCTAGCACCTCGACAGACGTCGTGTGTTGTTTCTCCATTATACAGTGATGTCAATGGATGTAGAGGAATCGACACAATCGGGTTGTTGACTCGGTGCCATGAGTGTGACGACGGGCAGTACTTGATCATGGACTGAGCAGAGCGAATCTCTCAACCCATTTCAATCTCAAAGAGACCGAAAGATTCCTGGGAGCATAAAATACCATAAGTAGCATAAGTGAAAATTGCACGGAGTGAGAAGTGCGAAGTGGTTACCTCCATAGGGGTGGGGTAGAATGCAGGACTGCAGAGAATGGCGGACAAGTCGATACAACAAGTCTACCCAACTTTCGAGTACGATCTCCCATCCCTGACCAGCCCTACCCGGCGACCCACGCGCTACGAGCCAAGATGTGGATTCGAGGTTTTGCGTAATCCCATGGTACATCTTGGCATGTTCCATGGGATTCGATTCGGCCTCGGCAAAACCCCGGAGTTCCGATTCTGGCGTTGGATGGGTCCACGTTTCGCTCAGCGACTGGCTAGGCATCCTCATTTACGACTACCCGACTTTTCATCCTAGGCAATTGCATTTCTTTCCGGAAGTAGAAGCTGAACGATGCGTGAGGTGAGGACCTTGGAGGTTAATCAAAATAGGGCAAGCGGAGGGAGTGAAATATTTGCATTTCATAGTAGAAGAATAGAAACTTTTATACATTGAATCGACAGCAATAATATTATCTCCATAGTTCAGCCGAAACTCCTGAAACACCCGCGTTGGGTTTATGAACCCGCCAACGATTTTGATGCGATCTTCATACTCCGTAATGCTGCCACCAGGGCTATAGCTGTCTAGAAAAGTCAGTCTCACCACCTTCTTCATAGAAAGATTAGCACTTACCAGTCAAGCAGCATTCATTCTCTGAATGAAACCGGACTTGCGCAGCCGTGGGTACGCCAAGAGGAAAAACGCGACCACAGCAAGTAACACGAGAAAGGTCGGCAAGAAAATGAACGTGAACAGAAAAACACTCAGTCCCAGGGTCAGGTTTTGACCGCCGAGAAAACGGCGTGCCATGTGAGCGACTAGATCTTCAAACATGAGCTCAGCCGAACGTAGGGAATGAATTAGCCGAGTGTAGGTAGGTACGGGCACAAGGAAGGCCTTGCCAACTCGAGTGACGATCACAGTCGCGGATGCTCAAACATCCATATATACCTGTGCTCACTCCATAGATTGATCTTGTCATCGGATGCTCGGCACTAGCACTGCCACTTCAAGCTAAGCCACACTTATCCTATATCCGAGTCCTGAAGCCCAAATGTTGATGCCTGCCATTGGTTGGGGTGGGACTCATATCGGTGCCGTCATCGACCCAGTCTTCAGTTCAAATCCATCTCCACTCTTGGCCGAAATTGCAGGTAACAGTATTTCAGTCCCACTAGTGTATTGTACTGCTTGGGTCGGGCGGCAAAAGTGGAATGCTCATCCCGATGCCGAGGCTTGGCGCGGTGGCTTCAGGCAGCAGCTTTTCGCCCTACAGTAGAAGAACACTGTATGGGGGATGGTCGGATGCCAAGGTCGATTAACCCAAGGACAATTGGAAGGATTGCCAGGTGCGAAGATTCTTTCGCTGCAGTCGACATGCACATTATTGCAGCATTTGTGTATGGTGAACCACTCAACAGAGTCAATCCGTGGAAGGGCGGGGATTACGACTTAGGCGCCGAGGGTTTGCACAGTACGTGCGGGCGATAGGGGCAGTCATTCGGGGGAAAACAATGATGGGACAGGGTCAATGAAGGCTAGCCTGCATTAGCGAAGGTTGATTGTCATTAAGGGGGTGGAAGTATTTGCCGATCCGTGGCAAAGGCCTCGTGTAATTTGAGTGTCGCGTAGGGCTGAAGCTTGGCTCGTGGATCCCCCGGTTCGTTTGCGTAGTAAGGCGTAGGGCTGGAATTATTTGATCTGAATCAGGTGTTGGTCCCTGGAACTTGTCTAGTCTCTCTTCGGCCATGTTTCTAGGATGACGGGCATTCTACTAGACCGAATAAGAACAGGATGAACCGTTTGTGCTCTGTTCAGCCACTTGAGGTTCCTGGCTCTCCTAGGCATCAATGCGGACCAGTGGAACCATGCAGGCAGTCATGATGACCGGGAGTAATTATGGTAATGCAGTATAGCGTCCTAGAGAGTCAGCCCTGTTTCCCCCACATTTTCCCTCCCTCCCACACCGTTTTTCTTCCCCTTCCAACCATGTCTTGGCTCGCGGGTCAGGGTCCCGTTGAAGAGAGTGACAACCTCGGCGTTGACTGGGTGCTGCAGTATGAATTTGGCGAGCTTGGTACAGTGCCTGCATATGGTCACATCGAGACCGAACACTGACGATCGCAGACCAAGCAACCGCGATTACCGAGTTCCGACAACTCGTGAGTGACTTGCACGAAGCTGGCCTCCGGTTACAGGTGCGTCATGGCCACGGCCAGTCGCTATTAGTGTGTATTCGGGTGCCCAGGGACCACCTGGGGCAGATGATTCACAAGTCGAGGTTGGTCTCGTGGACGTGTACATGCAGGTGGAAGCTTGCTGAAGCTTGCTAATGGATCTAGAATTAAGGATTGGTTGTTTGGGATCACCCATACTCTGCCGCATGGCGATGAAAACACAGCCGCCGATGCCGACACGCCTTCCGAAGAGATCCGCTCGGTTTATCACGCCGTGACCTGGCAGAAGAAGCTAGGAGGTGCGGGCATCACGCCGAATTATGGAAAATGGAAGAACGTGACGGCTTCATTCCCGCCTCACGATCAAGATGCGTGTTCCAAATTACTGCGGCAGTGGAGTCGCAAAACGGTGTTGACAACAGAGGATCTCGACACCATCCGCGCGCTGTTTGGTGAAAAGGTTGACCCAACATCGACGAACTATTATAATCATAGTTAACCTTCTATTCTCTGCAGGTCGCTTTCTACTACGCATTCATTCACTGCTACTCGTTCTTTTTGTTAGTACCTGCCGCGCTGGGCATCTTCTGCTGGCTCTATCTAGGCCCCTACTCGATCTTCTATGGCTGTGCTCTGTGTGTCTGGTGTGTGGTCTTTGTCGAGTTTTGGAAGATCCGCGAGTCTGATCTAGGCCTACGATGGAATGTCAAGGGCGTCGGGAGGCTGAAGGTGGACCGACCGCAATATATCTGGGAGAAGGAAGTCGAGGATTCGATCACCGGGCAGGTGAACCATGTCTTCCCGGGATGGAAGCAATTCCTACGCCAGACCCTCCTTGTACCTTTCGCTTCGATCGCAAGTGTTGCTCTTGGAGGCTTGATTTGTGCGACTTTTGCAGCTGAAACCTTTATTTCGGAGGTTTATAAAGGACCTTTCCAAGGATACCTTGAGTTCCTGCCCACCATTCTGTTCTCGCTCTCCCTTCCAGCAATCACCTCCTTCCTGACCGGCATCGCGACTCGCCTTACCGATTACGAAAATTACCGGACGCAAGATCAGTACGATCTCGCACAGACACAAAAGACCTTCGTTATGAACTTCATCACCTCTTTCCTACCCACCCTCTTGACTGCATACGTCTATGTTCCGTTCGCCAAATTTATCGTGCCCCATCTCGACATGCTCCGCTGGTTTGACCACTCGGATACCACCACTGCGCCCCTCGAGTTCGAGGTCGACACTTCACGGTTCCAACAGGAGGTCATTTACCTCTCCATGACTGCCCAAGTTTTTGGATTTTGCGAGGAGATTGTCCTCCCATACGTGAAGCACGTCCTGTGGCAGAAATGGCGGAACTATCGGGACCGCAAAGCTGGATTGACCCGCCAGCGCAGCTTCTCTACGGCAACGGACTTGCTCTTGATCGACCCTGCGGGTGAGACATCATTCTTGAAACGCTTGCGAAGTGAGGCAGATGCAGATGAATATCAAGTGGAGGAAGATATTCTGGAAATGTGTGTTCAATTCGGGTATCTTGCCTTGTTCGGTGTTGCATGGCCCCTGGTACCACTGGGCTTTTTGCTTAACAACTGGCTGGAATTACGAGGTGATTTTTTCAAACTTACTCTGGAGTGCCAGCGCCCGCCGCCTATCCGAGCAGACTCGATCGGACCGTGTCTCCTGGGCTTGGAGATCCTCGCCTGGATGGGCACACTGTCTACAGCGGCTATTGTCCACCTTTATCGGGGCCCAATATCCGAAGTCCACCTGTCATCGCTCCTCCTGACAGTCTTCATAGCTGAACAAGCATATCTGGCACTCCGCTTCATAGCAGCGACTGCGATGCAAAAAATATTCTCTGACACACTTCGTCGGGAGGAAGCCCGACGATACGCTGTTCGTAAAGGTTTCTACGAGGCCAGCATCTCCCACCCCGAGCAGCCGACTTCACCCAGAGGGCGAGTCCGGCAGCGCGTTCGTTTCCACGAAAAAGTGAATGTTTACAGCTCTGACAGCAACCCCTCACCCGACGGTAGTCCGCCACCGACCATGGAAGAACATGATGATTTGCTCCGAGGTTCGGACCGTGAGGCCGAGTTCTGGGCCGGACCGAGTGACACAGCTGATGTGGGCGTAAAGATGATCCGGGCGCTGAGTGCGAATAAACCCGATGATCCCAAGTGGACAAAAGAAGCATAGTGGATACAGCACAGCATGTAGACGGCGTTGTTACATATACAAATATTACTGACTTGGCTAAAATCATTGTTATCATTTTTATGGGGTTACGTGTAGTGTGGAGCAAGAGGCAAATAGTTGCCGCAGTGTACCTCACATTCCTAATGTAAAGGTGTCAAGTTCTATGAATAGAAGAGCATTATTATTTTTTTTTTCCGGTAAGGAGATCAACAGATACCTCAAACTAATGAAAAGCCAAGCAATGAAGGTATTACGAATGTGTTAAGGGGCCAGGCTGCAAGATAAGAGAAATGAAACTCTGGAAGAATGAAAACTGGGGAATGTTCAGCCCTACAGGGCGACGCCTTGGCGCAGATCCACAGTTTCCACTGTTTCTAACTTTACCCATTCTCGTCCCGAGTCTTCCCTCCCTACTCGCCGTAAGGTGCTCACATATCGCACCTTACTTTCACCTGGCCTCATATACCCGGGACCTCAGCTGTGCAGAGCACCTGCCACCAGACATGTGCACGCCTCTCTCGTGACCCCATCTCACAATGTCTCTTCCCGGAGATTCCTCGGATACTCTAATAACACCCCCCCTCCTCAATTCACCCCAAACCCCAAATGGAGGTCGACCGTGAACTTACCGTTATCGCGTCCGCACCCCCGAAACTCCTCCACCAAGCCAGCGATATCACATGGCAGGAATCACTCGAATCCCAAGATTCAGTAACACTGGTCCGCCGTCGACGCGGCCGCTTCAGGATTTTGCACCAGCAACAGTTCCGAAATAGTCTCCTCGCTAGCGTGGGATACCTTGAGCTCGCTAACGCGGGTGATTTCGCCGCGAATGTGTGGAATGAGATACCCGTGCCGACGTTTGCTGCCGTGCTGATGGGCATTGGGGGCACGTTGGCGCTGGGCATGATTGTTGTCGCTATCCAGGATTACAGACTGAGTCGGAGGAATGTCCGATTGCTGCAGGATGAGAGAGAGCAACTGCAAAGGCTGAGGCAGTCCTATGTGAGAGATCCGGAGTTGGTCCGATTACTTGACTGTCGGCTTGGTGTGGGGATTCGTGAGATCGGAACTGAAGTTGTTGATCGCATCTTCATGGATATTCTCCTTGGCGTTGGTTCGGTTCTTGTCGGTGTTGGGACCTTGATGGCGATTGGAGGTGCGAATCGCCGTGTGTATGACGCGAGCAATTTACTCTCTGGGTACATTGGAAACGCATTGGCTGCCGCCTTCGGCGTTGTGAATGCAGTATGGTCCTATTACCTCATCCAGAGATTCAGAAATCATGAAATTGCCGTGCGGAATAGTCAGCCGAGTGATGATATTCGTCGACGACTGCATGCTCGATTCCGTCGGTTCCAATGGCATGCTGTGATCAACGGGATAAACGGATTGGTTGCAGGTGCGGCGTCGATAGTCACTGCAAAGTTGTGGTGGGGATATGTCATTTTGATTCCCTGCATCATCTCGCTTATTATGTGCAACTATTTCTGGCGCAAGAAGATCGGTTATGACCGCCCCATCTTAGGGCATGGTTCTCACGCCAGAGCCCAGTTGACGCCACTGATCGAAGACCTCGAGTACGCGATCACAATGCAACGCGGCTTGTCCGGACCCGAGATCTTAATTCCTCGAAATCTCCTGCAACCCTCTTGCTATGAGTCAATTCTGCAATTCATCGTCCGGAACCGCATGCTGGAAAGCTACGCCGACTCTCTAGCCCACGACAAGAAAACCCGCTCAATTCTCCTCGAGATTCCGATTTCCACCTCACACCAACTTATAATAACTCACGACATTCTTCTCCGACTTTCCATCAAGCACACACATACAAATACCCTATTGGATCACGCAAGCCGCTTCCTCCGCACCGAAGGTGTCCGCATCTTCACACATCGAGAGCGACACCTGTTAGAACTACTGGGCTACGCCGTCTGGCAGGATCAGACGACGCTTTCTCAAACGCAGAAGGCTACGGTGGAGACGAAATAATTCCTAGACCTTTGAGAGCGACTGGGTCGCCGATCTTGCATGGCATTGAGCGATATAGATATGCTGGCTATTGTAAGAGGTTTCTCATGTCTGAGACAGTCGCATTTGATATGCGAGTCAGAATTTCATTATTTCATTTCCTTTTTACATATTCTCGACCGTATTTGAGCGTCCATTTTACCGTCCGCGGATTGAAAGTATTGGCGCAAGTGACGACCAACACAAACCATTAAGGTTGATCTAGTTATCCAGACCGGGGCAGTTCTCACTGGTCTCCGATGTAATCGAAGTATAAGGAGAAGGATCAGTCCAGATGATGTTGAAGCTATTGTCGAAATTAGCTCTGTTCCACACAACTTCCAGAGAATCATCCCCATCTTTCACGGGCCGTGGAACATACCTGTCGTCGGGATAATCCGGAGCATTATCATCGCCCAACTGTTCCACGATGTCCGTAAGTGCGTCATGCTCCCAGCAGATAAGAATGTTGCCACTGCCGGTGTAGTTATCAACCACCTTCTGAACACACTTCGGGTCATCACGGTCACACGAAGTGTCAACAGTCAGGCCAAGATCCTCAGCCAGAGGCTCGACCGTGTCGTAAGGACGCTGGCGCTTGCCACCTTCAGAACAATTAATATTGACCGCATCTTTTAGAAAATACTTCCTCCCTGACCACGAGATAATAGTCAGGAAAGGAAGGGAGGAGAAAAGAAAACCCACTACTAGAAGGAGTCTGAGCCATGATATGACCGATATCATAACCAGAGCTAGCACCGAAAACATTGCGCAGACACTGAGCACGCTCCAGGCCCTGTGCATTCAAACCATCACCGCTATCGGGCTTCTCACCGTGGCGGATAAGGTAAACGGTAGGATCAGCGACGGCAAGAGTCGCCAGGAGAGCGAAGGGGAGTAGCTTGAACATCTTGAATAATTCAATGTTTTGATCTCAATGAAATCCAAACTCAGATACTTTCCAGGAACCTTCCGCAGAGCCATACTTATACTCCAATCCTGCCTGCACTAACCCCCTCCTACTGTAGCACCAGTGCCATGATCGGAGATAACCGATCCAACCCCTACCGAGCCCTGACACGCTTGGAACCGAGTACTACCTTGTCCTGTACGAAGCGAGCGACCCCGAGGTATCCGGGGCCATACAACGGATGGATCTGCGCGACATGGGTGTGTAGTGTTCTTTTATTCGTGCGCTGATCATCGGGCTAAGCCGCCCTAGGGAAGAGCGTGTTGCGCCCCGCCCCGCCCCGCTTCGGCAATGATGCTTGGGGGGCTTGTTTGGATGAGATGCTTCGTGAAGAGACCAAGGGAATGCAAGTAGATTTCTAAGATTCAGGGGTGTGTAACGATGAAACAGGCTACGATTGCAACTAATGTGTTCTTGCAGTCGATATGAACATGCTGGATTCGTGGCGCGATTGACAAATTGATAATTCCAGAGGTCATTCACATCGCTTCAGATATCTTTTGTACGCTTTTATTCTCGCATACCACTAATGTAAGTAGTCTTGAAGGTATCTGCCTGTGGTCGATGTTCTGTTGCTCACGTGGGCTCTTTCTCCGATTAGGATGTTGCCTGACGGGCTTGTACTATGCGACTTGGTCTCCGGGGTGTTTCCACTGTAAGCGCTAAGGGGGTCGGCGGAATTCTGACAAATTGATTGAACAATCGTATCTGCATTTATTAGAGAATGAAAATCACGAATGAGGTAATGAGATGTGACTTCACCTATTATGTCGAGTAGAAACTGTTGGACAAACTTGTATCTATGCGATTGAATGATAGTCCCTCAACTAAATTTGCACTGAAACTGCAATTATCCAGCAATTGTTGCCTAAAGAATCAGTGATCTGAACATTTCCTAAAAGTGCCTCTTTGACATTGAGACGTGGTGTAAGCACTAGTGGCGCCACCCGCGGATTTGAAGAAAAGTTATTACATTCGTCCCGGGCGCTTCTGAGGCCTGCATATTCAGCATCGAAGCTTGTGGTATGATTGATGACCCGCTTCATGTTATTCCCGACGTCTGAGACCAAATTCTGCGAATGATTAATTCTCTCGTCTCGAAGGGCCGAAAGATCAATGACTCATGAATCTACGTGTATTCTTCAGATGATTTGTTTCGGGTCAGGATTGGGGAATTTCAGGCGAGAGTCATCATGCTCATGGCATGGTTTCTGGAACTCTCCATTTCGAACCGAGCTATTTGACTCGAGCGAATCGCAAATCTTCTCTAAGACATCAACAAACCCAGAATCAAGCCTGGCATATTTCTTTCGCAGAATGAAGCGATTTTACTGGAAAGTCGCATTAATTAGACTTAGGTGCTTGCGATCGGCTTTCAATTAGGACTGCTTGGAGCCCCATCAACCTGCGGTACCAAAAAAGGATTCTTCATAAGTTTGTGCCGTGTTGGCGAGCAAGCTTAATATACTGTGCAGCTATGAGATCGCATGCGTTTTTCTTACAGCCGAGGGGCCTTGCATATTGCCAAAAGCCCGGGAAGAGTCTGGTTGAATCTTTCAACCGTAGTAATTTCATGGTATCCTCTCTCCCTCGATCGGATAAAATCACATCCCAGCACATCTTCATGATGCTGGGGCGCTTCTTTTTAAGAGACTCCAAAGTGGCTATTCATAGTTGCATGCATCTTTCAGACTTTGTAGAGATTCCTGCCCCCAATGACCTGCATAAGGGTCAATCTGAGAGTCATCGACGACCTGTTCTTTGGCATATTCAAGCGGTGTCTTGCCGTTCCAATCTTTTTCATCCAAGTTGAACATTCCCTTCCTTTGCAGAAATCGTATACGGGGTTTGCTGAATGCTCCATTAATTGCCCCTTGATGCAGAATAGTCTTTTCTTCATGTGTCCTTTGCTGATATTTTCACCAGCTCTGACAAATCTTGAAGAAAAGCAAAGGTATCACCCCGACGCATTGACAGATGTAAAAGATTCCGACCTTTCTCGTCCACCCCAATGGGTTCCTTCCGGAGATGATTGGGTCAGAAGATATTCGAATACGTCATATTGAATCTCAAAACGAGAGGAGGCCAAATAGAGGCTGAGAACAGAGTTGCCATTATCATCAAGTTTGTTGATGTCGCATCCATATGCCAAGAGAATTTCGACCCTCTCAGTGGAGCAAGATTTTGCTTCGACGTGGTGATGTAATAGATTCTTCCCTAAATAATTCTGCTGGGTGCAGAAATGTGATATTTGGTGCCCATGACTCTCGAACATGAATCTCACGACGTCTAGGTGGTTACCACGAACAGCGTAGTGAAGTGGGCTTAGATGCGCGCTATCAAGCAACGTAACATCACACCCTGCATTCAATAGTATGCGAATAGCCTTCAAGTTTCCTGCCATGCTGGCTAGATGAAGGCAAGTTTGTTGCTTGGAGTTCAAGCTTGACACTTGTGCTCCATACTCGATAAGTGTTGATAGCACGGCGCACGCGAAGGAGAGTGAGTGGCTTGCGTGAAACGGCCACGCAACCTAGCAACTCTTAAATGGTCTTCTTGTCCTTGCCGTCGGTCTCGAGAGCTGTCGTCAATAGCTTCGTATATAGCGAGTCCAGGCCATGAGGCAAACCTCCCAAGGTCTTGACAGCATCTCGGGATCGTATACCTGCCAGCTCATTGCACGCAATACCAACCCACGGAAACGTGCCCTCTGCCTTTTCAGATAAAATCCGTGATACTGACTCTGAAACATTCTCGGAGTAGTCGTTCGCTCGAGAAAGCTCTTTGACTTTCTCTGTCATGAACTTTCTCAAATCATCCTGTGCCTCTTTATAAGAGGACAAATCCATACGATTGCAGTTGATCAACCGGAATTGCCCCTTGATATTAGGGCATGGTCGACTTGTGATCAAAAAGTGAACTCCGAGCCTTCCAAGCTTCATTTCCTGGACCATCAGGAGGATTTGAGCGAGGAGAATGTTTTGTGATTCTTGGTCACATTCATCCAACGCATCAATTATGTAATAGATGTGTCCATTCGCCTTATGGCGTCCAATTTCCATAAGCAAGCTCCATAGCCCATCAAACGATGCAAACAACTTTTCTTTCTGATCGTTGAACTTTGGAAATATTTGATTCAAAAGATGCGGGTACTGCTTTATCGTGTGATAAAGCAGGCCACGAAGGACGGCTGTCGCACTAGTGCGAGTCACAGAAAAAGTAAGCAAGAATGTCGTCATTCCTGTTAATTTGGCTCGGTAGCTGCTCGACAATGGTGATTGCTATAGTCGATTTCCCTAACCCAGGGTTCCCATACAGCCACAAAATAGTCGAGTGGCATTCTGTAGCATCTTGAGAGCGAATCCAAGTTTGAAGCTCACTCGTATTCAGTATCCACTCGCATGTGTTAGAAGAACGCCTTCCTTGCCGTCGTGTTAACGCATTCTTGTCTAGGTATGGGTCCGTAACGAATAATCCTGACAAGAATTCGGACTCTTCTGGTTTCAAATGCGTTCCTAGGAAAATATCACTTAGCGATTGGGCATTTTTGCGTGGTGAGGTTACTCACTAGTTCTCTGGTGTGGTTTGCGATGGTCTTGATGAATCAAAGATAGTAGCAATTTCGCATAGGATGCGGCAGCCAATGCTGCATATCCTTGCCATTGCTTATTTTTATGAGAATCGCAGTAGTCACATATCCCTCGTATCACCAGGCAGGAATTTTGATCCATCAAGCCTGCAGCCTCCATTTCGAAGCACAGGATATTGTTCTTTCCAGCATGCGATCCCGTGAGACGGCATCTCTCAGAAGGCTGTTCCCAGAGGCGATCAACCCGTAATGAATCGAAGGATTATCGCTTCCCCTGGGCTTTCGGTGGACTAATTGCGCCATGTCGCAAGCATGGCAACTTTCACCACAACCTTGATGGTCATATGCTGCGTCGAAAAGCCAGTCGTCTTCGGGCCGAGAGAACTCTTTTCTCATAAATTCATTTCTGTCAAGGACATCGGCAATGATCTGTCCTATGGACCCATTTCCGATCTTATACTCACTCTCTATATGATTCAAGGCATTCAGGAGCAGGCGCGGCGGTTCATTTAAGTATCCCGTACGCTGAAAGGCTCCAGTACTAAGCATCTTCCCAAAGTCGTATTGTATCACGCCGCTCTCGCCGGCACTTGGCCTACAGACAACAACATCTCCGAGTCGAACGTCAGTCTTGCTTGGCACGCCGCCTCCAATACCAACCATGAGACCAAACTCTAGTGACGTAAATGTCCGCTTCATGTCCACAAACGTGTTCGCAGCTGATGTTATCCCATAGGTACCCATTGGAAGACAGGAGATCACCCCATTATGTCCTTGGACTCTTCCGAGGGTGTATATGTTATCATCAGCACCTGCATAGGATCTTCATGGATTTCATCTAACATGACTTTCGCGGCGGCCAGCTCTACGGACAGAGCAGAGATCCATGCCACAGTGTAGTCTTCGTGAGAAAAACGCGGCGCCATTGGTAATGATCCGGGGTAAGCAACCTCGTACTTTTGGGGAGGTTTGTATCACAGACAAGGTTGAGGCTGTCTCATAAAAACACACGTCAGCTGGGAGGGGTAGTCGATGCGGCTGAGCGCAGGGGTGCTGCTGACTGCATGCCCAAACTCGGTCGCGAACTCTGCGGTTCATTCGAGATGCATAGCCTTACTTTACATTGTTGAGAGTGAAGAAGCAATGTACTATCATGATTAAGAAGTGCAAGAAGTGTGAACCCAATAAGCTATCGTCGGATAGCCACCGGCGGACGTTCAACAGACCTTGATAGATCTTGAGCCAAGCGGTTCAACGAGCGACATATAGCTCATGATACACGTTAACTAGATGATCACGTAGAGATTCAGAAGAAAAAGTCAATTCAACTTTATCTCGGTCGCGACACTTATCCAGTACGTTCTCATCCGAAAAAGTGCTCTCTATACCACGGGGTATCCAGTAATCTCACTAATGTCAAAAAGCGTGTTCCATAATATTAAGATAAATGTACATTTCTCATGAACCATCAAATTCTCTCACTCCTCATACCGATCATCTTATGACGTAATCTTTAGGTAGGCTAAATGAACTTGCGCTCAACCACAACCTTAACACAGCTCGGGTTCTGAGGCTTAGCCTTAGCATCGCCCAGAACCCAGTTCAGAGTGTGATAGGTGTAAGCACTGTAATAAGTCTCACAGATATACCAATTCCGCAGAATCTTGACCTTGTCACCAGTAGGCGGGGAAACAGTATCGTCAAGATAACTGTAGATACCCATTTTACCATCCTTATCGAACATGACTGACTGCACGTCATAGCCAGGCTCGAACAAGGGCATAGCTACATTGGTGGAGGGGTCGCTGTAGAAGCTCATGGGCTCGGACTCGTATTCGATTTCTAGAATTGTCAGAGGATGCTTTGTAATGAGGTAAGAGGGGAGACGCACTGTTACCCTCGCCGGTGTAGGGGAGCCTCCAGACTAGAGTTCCGGGGATACCCTGGCCCTTGATTGGGGCTTGCTCGCCCTGAGTGGTGTTAAGGTGGAAATTGGAGCCGCTACCAGCGAGGCAGAGGGACTCAATGGCAGCACCGGAGTGGCAAGCCGCGAGCTTCTGGCCATCGATAGACTTCTTGGCTGATTGGATGACTAGGTTGAAAGGCTTAGATTGGATGTCGGCGGTTGCGGCTCCGATGAACAGGAGGGCGGATATGGCTGTGATGACCTTCATGGTTGTGGTCTGGAAGTGCGATGAATGTAATAGTAAGTACTATTTGAGATGGAAGGCAAGGTGAACTTTAGATAGAATTGGGAATAGATGGAGTGAAATGATTGACTTTAATATTTAAGCCCGGTTTTTCAAGTCCGAGCGTAGACCCTGAGACATGCCGGCTTAGCGCACTGTGATCATCCAAAATTGTGGCAGATCGTCAGCTAGCCTCTGTAACCTTGGGCACTTTTCCCCGACCTTCCATCCCACGTGAGCTTCATTAGCTCCATCCGATCGCTAGATGAAGCTCGGCAAGGTAGCCCTTGTCTTTTTTTATTTGAAGCCCTATGGCGCTCGACAGAGCGTATGAAAAGGCGTAAACCTAGAGCTGAAGAAATAGCAAGGTTGGGCAGCCGAGCGGGGTCTCCGAAGTGGCCGTGGTGACCGGGGCTTGCCACCGCTTTCCGCGCTGGTAAACGAGAACGAACCTGAGTGTCGGGGAATTTAAGCGGAATCTTTATTGGGGACCTACAGTCTGCTCATAGCCGCATTCTACTGCCCCACGGTGCCAGTTCCTATTGCATCGCATGATTACTACCTCTGGTTCTCTCTGGGTTCTCTGGACTAGGCTGCTTAACTTCCCCCCCCCTACGGGCTAGGTGCAGCTGTACGTGTCATGGTCTCACTCAGTATAGTTTAGCATATGATTCCTGCAGGCAAGACGTTCCGATAAATCTGGTCGTTCGTTCATACAAATAATATTGTCTCACACAGGAATTGCCTAAATGGAAGTTCTCGTAAAAATCCCGCCAAGAATGTGAGGTGATGCTCGTCGGGTCATCTTTACACAAGGGTTGAGGGACGCTGGGTGTTCGATGGGTATGTCCGCTATTCTTGATCTTATCTATCCTGTCCCTTCAATCTTTGGTAGGCTTATCGCTCTGTCTACTACTTAACTGATCCAAGAATTGCCACTAGGATATTGAACACACAAACAATGGGAGGAGCTTGGTCATGGTCAGGTTGGTAATCCACAGACTGAAGCACAATGTCCGAATATTTGTATTCTTCCATCGGCGAACAATTCAATTTCTGATTCTCAAAGTATTTTCGAGTTGATTCAAATGAATGTTCCGGTCATGGATTGCAGGAGCTTTGATTTCCTCGGGTGGCTGGACGCACGTCTCGGACTTGGTCCCCACTTGTCAATCGCAAACTGTGCTGCTGAAACGATCTTTGCCTAGTCGGAGCAGTGTAAATGCCTGGCGACCGAGCCTACTTCCTAATTCTGGCAGAGAAAGCTCTAGCGACGAGACTCATCCAAGTGGAGGCTACAAATCGGATGACCAACCGCGGCATCGGACGTAACGATTTGCCATGAATTCCTCAGAAGCTGAACAGTCCACTCCGACGTTTACCGTACGGATAGACCACCAGGGCTGAAATGAAGAGTCCTATGGTGATGCCTATAGCCACCTGGATCATGCCGAATCCCAGACTAAACACCGAGGTTCCAGAAAGCCCAGCTCCCGGCGAGGAGCTGGCGGCGTGATGAGAGGACACATTCTGGCGAATGGCATCCGCCGATTGCACTCCTGAGATCAAGGACCCTGTCGCAGCGAGGCCTGAAGGCACCAGGATGAATACTCCGGGCAGAATGGCAGTCGCAGCATGACCGTGCCACAAGCGGCTGTACAGATTACCCAGGATGCCAATGCAGAATGCGCCGACGGTATTAGCGACCTGGGAATTTGAACCGAGACGTAGCGTGCTGAAGTAATTGGAGATATATCCGCACATGGCAATGAATGTCATTGGCGGAAGTTGCTTCCATTTGCCTTGGTTGATGATTAAGAGCCAGAAAGTCATAACGAAGACGAAAGGGAAGTGCTGGACATAAGGGCTTTTGAAAGCACCTTCCTGGGGACACTGAATATCTGAAACGGCGTTTCGATCAATTAGGCCATAAACGGTAGTACCGACTGTTATGCCATAGCCAATGAAGAGAGAGAAGATGATCGCATAGACCATTCGAATTGAACCGGCGATGATTTGATGAGACTGCAGTTCTAGACTGCTACATAGTACAAGAAAACCGGGTAAGATCAAGGCAATCGAGGACTGAGCGATGGCTGAAAAGCAGAACAGATACTGTTTTTTCCCATCGGCTAAAGTGATCTTGATACTTCCAAAGGCACGGGCGATGAAGGAGGTAACCACAGTCGATGTCACCTCGAAAACGTTGGAATATAAAACCGAGCGAGGTGCTGCGAGGTGCTGCATAGCTCCAACACAAAGACCATTGAGAAATATGATGGGCATATCGATCGGTCGGGCGTTGAAGGCGAAAGGACCGACTGTTGCGGTTGCCAGCCCGTACACGAGAACAACCAACCATTTGGGATAGTGTGGTTTGGAGTTAACCACTTCCTCCAATTCCTGCACTGCTTCCTCAATGCCGATGACATCGTGGATCACATTTTTGTAAATAAGATGTGAATCGGAGAGACGAGCAAGATCAACACCCTGCGCCACTCGGACAAGCTTAAATTCTGTCGTTCGCGTCGAGGTATCATCAAATGCCATGATCATACAGCCTGGCAGGTACAAGAACTGAGCATCGACCTCGAGTACCTTTGCTGTCATCTGCATATACTCTTCCAACCGATGGGTGGGAGCTCCAAACGACATTAACGCTCGGCACAGCTGCATAATATACCGTTGTCGACAGATAATCTCTGCAATGTGAACCGTTACTCGAATCTCATCCTCGAGCTTTACGTTTCGATTCGGCTGTTTTCCTTGTCGCCTCTGCGCCGCAGATATCACTTCATCGGAGATTGGTGTGCTCGCTCCGCTCAAACTTGCTGCACCCCCAATCAAAGTCGATGTCGAAGTATTGGGAGGCCTCTTATACCATTTCACGGGCTTTGCCTTCTTCCCTGTCAGCCCACTCCCTGAGCTGGAAACAGAGGCTCCAGAAGCAGAGCTAGTTTGCGAGCTTTCCGACGACTCACTGGAAGTCCGCGGTTTACTCCCCTCCTGCTGTTTAATTTCTTGTCCCTGTAGCTTCATCAATTGCGACAGAACACCACCTCCGCCAGAGCGATATCGAAGTCCAGAATCAATAGCCAACTCGTGCGGTCCACCGACATAGTTCTTGCCAGCTCCTGCGCCGTATGGTCGCCCTCGAACTCTCCGCCGTGGTGATGAATGGTCTTGTGTAAGATCGCGCACCAATCTATGGGCCTCGGAGCTGCTATTTGCCTTGTCTTCATGTTTTTGATCATCCGTTTTATGTTTATCATCGGTGAAGTCGGACTCAGGCACCGCGTTTCCGGTTGCCGAGTCTCCATGGTAGACACCCGACGTCAGATCATCACCGGTATACTCTGGCCGACCTAATCGTGTGGCTAGTTCTGAAGCTCTGCGCGACCAGTTGGAAGAGAATGAACGCAATCGTTCTCGTACCGAGGAGGGAGTCATAGTAGCTGGTATATTCTTCCGCTCAGGATCATATTCTGACGGCTTTTCCGGGGGGGCCTTTTCGTCCGGCCCTATATCTTCAGTCTTTTGGGATGCTGACCAGTCCTGTTGTGGCTGACGAGGCTCATCCGCGATATCGACGGATTCGTGTTCATATGGCATGGTGGACGGATGTGGCTCGCCCTCTTTTTGGGCCTTGTCCCATTCTGTTCTGAGATCTTCTCGTGGTGGTGTTCGAGCGATGTCTCGCATGGACTCAGTATTGGCTCGCCAGTGAACACGAGTCGCATTAGGGTCTCTGCCCTCTCTATTATCAGGGCAATCATCGTGCTTGTTTTCAGGATCTTGGTCCTGCCATTCCTTAGGTCGACCAGTAGACTTATCACTTTTCTCACCGTCACTAGTAGTGTTGGAGGTAGAATTGGCGCTTTCCCGGTCTGACATTGAATCGGTCTTGTGAGTCGATTTCGGATTATTGTAGAGACATCGGTGTAAACGAGATCGAGCCTGACAAGAACTGAACGATCAGTCCAAGAACTCAAAGAGGCAGTTGAGAGCTACCAAAAGCCAATATGCGAATTTCGAAGGTGGAGGCACCGAATTGTAGGAAGATGGAACGCGTCATTCATCAAAAATTTGACCCGACTGCCCTAGGCTCATCTGCACGGCTCGAGTGGCCATTTCTGTCTCTGCATGAGCTCATGGAGGCGTTCTCCGGAAATACTTCAGAGACGTGGGCCCATTATGGAGAATTCGATGAATGAAGCCAAGCGCAAAAGGCGAAACAAACGTGTGCTGTCATTTCCGCTCTTCATAACCACGGTTCATCATTTTGCCTCATCGGATTGTTGCTCCGAGGTCCAGGTTGCCAACAGTAAGAAGAGTCCACATGGAAAGCAAACGGCATCCATTTGTGGATATTCAGCTTGCCTTTTCTGCGTTCAGTGTCATGTGTCCTGCATGTTGATTTGCTGGATGGTGAACATATAGAGTTCAGTGCCCCAAACGATGTGCCTATGCAATTCGTCTCAGAGTTGTCCGGTAGGACTTGCCGAACCACGCTCTGGATCATTCCTCGAATTTCTTTCACGCTGGCTCGGTTGGTAAACTGAATGGCCGCCCTGAAGCCAAATTATCAAGTGGCATGGGCTGAAATGGCCTCGTCCAACTAAGCTCGATTCAGTCCCATTTCATTTCATGGTAGGCTATAATTTCCTGGCGGCCAACCAGAAGGTAAATTGTCATTACATGTTATCATGCATCAGGTTCAGAATTTCGGGTTTTCTTTTTCAGCATTTTCACCCAAAGCCACTGTATATCCAGTTTGTAGGTTCTGATATACCAAAATCAAAGTGACTTTCAGGCATCTGGCAAGGATATTATCAGTAATCGTTGCAGACAGAGAGTCTTAGCGATGACACGTTGTCAACCTACCATGAATGCCCAGTCTCCAAGCAGGTCCGGCATGCCATCAACTTCCAGATCATTGATCTCATCAAGATCCAAACAGCTTTCTTGACCTCCACCTGCATTTTTCTCTAAAATAGACAAGCATAAGGTCTCGGCATCTTCTGCAGCCTGTAGAAGCATATATGGTAATTCTTCCTTGGAGGCACCCATCATGAGAGCGTTGATCTGGGTATAAACCAAGCAAGTGAACAAGTATCCTTTCGTATTAGTCTCTCCAGCTTCAATGCACTTCAAGTTCCAACTCTTATAATCTTCGATAACCCCAAGAAGATCGCGCCGAGGTGGAACGGGTCCAAGACCATCTTCTTCCTGAAGCTGAGCTTTCAACTCTGATGCAATGAGGAAGCATGCTTGCATTGCAGTCGTACGAAAAGGGCCGGATCCACACTGAGCTAATCTTGTCAGGTCTTGTTGCGTTATATTTTGCCCTTCATTCGGCCTGCTGGCCATTAGAGACGATGGATGAATGGCACACCATATCTTGAGTGCATTTTCGACGACGACACGCCGGGAGAAAGCGAAAGCTGTTTCGTTCACGGCACTGGCGAAGAATGGCATATGTAGCGCGACGAGGCAACGGCGGACAAGCCAGTCGAGGGTTCTTATACCGAATTGTGATGTCCCACTGGCGGGTCCGTAGGACTGCAGGGCTTCGGAGATGGTCTTATAAGAGCGACGAAGCTCTGAATCGACGTTAATTGTCTCTTCATACGTCATGTGCGCACCGAGCGCGTTGAGTGACCTGGCAATGGCCAAGCGGAGTGGGAAAAGCTTCCGGAGAGCCAAGGCTATAGACACCTGAGTAAATGTCTGTTCGGGCTTTGGTATCGGGGTATCGCTCATGATCTGCTCGTCATCGAGGTTACCCGGTGGGTGTGTGTCAAAGTCGTCCAGTGAGAACAGTGGAGGTCCGCCTGATACCATACTTGTGGAGAGGACCATTTCCATAATGGTATTCCAAAGTCTGCGTCGCATTTCGGTCGTGAATGCTGTTCTTCTCGGCAGGTATATCGGATCTCGATGTAGGCCCATGTACACTGCAGTTCTCAAGAGCTCTCCTGTCGATATCCAGGTCAGGCCGCCGTCCACGCCCACATTTTCTCTCGCAAGAAGAAGCAACATTGTGGTCTGAAGGAATGGAATATTCAACCTTGACTTGAATTCCGGTTCTGAAATCCATGTTTGGGCCTCGTACACCCATCTTATGGCCGAGGCACGAAGAGAGAAATCGTCATCGTACATTGTAGCGCCGATCGCAAGAACGAGCTTCAATTGCACAAGAAACGCCAAATCCGGTGTGGTTCCCGAGAGCCACAGCGCATCGTAGTCTTGTCTGAATGTTGGAATATGCAGAATTCTGTAGACAGTTTCGTATGTCCGAAGGTATACCTCAACAAGAGCATCCGCCATGTCTTTCTGTGGGAGCTCCGTGGTCGGCATTGCAGGCCACGAGGGTTTTCTCCGATTCTTGATTAACTTTCCTAGGTGCTTGCATCTTTGCAGAGTGAGAAAAGCCTTCGATGTTTCATTCCGAACAAGCGGCTCGAGGGCTTCAAGGATGTCTCCGAACTGATACTCAGTCAGTCTTCAATCGCTGAAAAGCGAATTTGACCCGCAAATCTTACCTGAGCGACCCCGTTCATCCAATGACTTTGACCAAAAACTCGAGTCTTATGCATCACGGTACGTGAGATTGTCGGAATGCGGCCATCTGCCGGAATTTCCTCCTGCACGTGGAATGTCCCAGCAAGGTGGGATGTTGTTGTACTGATATTGTAACTTGGACTGGGGGTGCTCAAACCAGTCGATATTCGATTCGCACGCGATAACTGATCTTCGAGCTGCTGAATCTTGATTCGCAATGACTCAGCTTCTCGGGAAGAGGCCTGACTAGCCGGTGTTGACGGCTCTGTTGAGCTGGCGACCCCCGATGTTGATGTTGCTTGAGACTTTGAAAATGTGACACAACGGTTGCTTCCAGAGGATATAGCTGTCGTTCTCGGGAGATGGTAAGTCTCGGGCTCTGGCCGGTCCAGATCAGAGATTCCAGCATGACGATGCCGTCGCGACGGTGGGGGCGACAAGCTTTCATATGTGCAATTGCCGCTTTTAGACCGAACACAGTTGCTGCACGGGGATTCTCGATTGCACTTGATCTTCCGCTTTCTGCAGAGAGAGCATGATCTGTCTGTGTTAGCTCCATCGCTCGTTCCTGTTATCTCCGATCTACATACACAGGCGGTCGCCGTCGTCGACGCGCGGGCGTTCCACGCGAGGTGTTCACAACGGCATTTTCCATGCCTTACATGTCAGATAGACCAACTTGCGTGTCTTTGAGTACCTTGCAGTCTTTCAATTTGGGAAATTTGAGGATGAAGCGAAAGCAAAGAGAAAAAAGACTAGGGGCCGTCAGATCTGATTACGGGAAATGCGCAAAAGGTCCGTCGCGCCCGCCATTTCCCGACTCTGAGCCCCGAGCCATGCTTTCTCCGCGGTGCTGAATCATTGAAGAGCCTGACTCTACTGCGGTAGACTGACTTGCTCAAGAAAATTTCGAGTCCATTGCTCTAGCATTACTTCCATCAAGGTGAGCTTTGCCAGCTCGTTCTGAGCACACCCTTACTTCAAGCTCTTTCCAGCCGCAGTCCGTGGATATAAAGCACCAACTCAAACACTGTTTTTGCTAGCCGAAGAGCCAAGGTCCTGCATGATTCACCATAATCAGTAACGAAATAAATTCTTGATCTTTACCAACTTCCCAATGCTGGCTCCTGCTATCACTTGAATAATGGCAGACTACTTCAGTCATCTGGACGTTGTGACCATTGCTTGAATATGACGGGAATCGTGATTTTATGTTTGAATGAGGCTAAGTGCACACCTGCTTTGGCGTTATTTTTTTCTCATTATGGGATATTCTCCATGGGCTATGATCTTGGCAGAGGTAATTCTTACGTTGGTAGCTCTGATTGTAGACGGTTCTTGCAGATGTCTACGTAACGGCGTAATGTGCTTTGCGCTTGGAGCTAAAGCTGTTTCCATACAGGGGATATTTAAACGGACACGAGTGATGTGATCAATTTGCATGATACATAGTTGATGACGAAGGTGAGAGAAACGGCATAGATGGCCAAATGGAGCATGTCTCTTATCAAGATCAATTCAATCACATCGAAGGTATTTGCGAATTGGACATGATCACAGAGTCCTAAAAACGACATCGAAGTCCTGGCGCATACCGTCAGGTTGTTTCCTTGGTCGCGTTGGGTTCGGAATGTGGTAGTGGAGTCGAAGTGAAACAACTCGCATGCCACAGGGCGCAGAGAACAAGGGAGACCAACATCATGTACACCGAGATTTACCCGTGTGCCACATGGGAATTTGCGAAAACCCCTCCCCCACACAGCAAATGAAATTAGAACTTTGCGAATGGTAGACGGCACGATACCGCGGTCGCACTGGGTTTAGCCGGAGAACGGACGAAGTGCAACGCTAGATTTATGTACTGAGCAAGGGACCGAGGCCATGCAAGTGACATCAGTTTTTCGCTCCAAAGGTGCAAATGTAACTTTGGAAAACAAAGGGTATAAGTATGTTCGAGGCGGGGAGTTGCTGATAACATAAGATCGGCTTCCATAGCATATGTAGATCGAGAGCTCCGGTATTGCGAAATGGCACGCATTATGGTCGGGACGAGGCATTGTTTCGTAAAAGGCTAGATCTAATCTAGCAAAGTTAGCCAGGAAATTAATTTTGCATGGACAAGACTAACCCAGCTAGCGTGAGATTGAATAAGACCGAATTGGCACCCCGTTCCCTGCAGCAAAGCACGTCCTAGGGGGGATGGCATCGAAAACATCGCCGGTACAATATTCCCCCAAATAAGCTGTCAGGCGTGCAGTATCGTCAAACTCCCCCGCGATCGCCATGCCGAACCCATCCTCCACTGGGTAACAATGGGAGTCTTTCGGATAACTTCCAACCGTGAAGCGCTCTTCGCCCGCACACCAGTTGTCTTGGTAAGCACTGTAGCTCCAGAGAGTCCAGTCAGAGGCCAAGGCCGGGACGATGAGAGCTAGAAGGAATGAAATATCGAATCGCATGATGAAGGGTGTGGGTAATAAAACCGAGCTGCTGAGATTTTGCCGTTAATGGGGAGTCGGGGATGAGGAGAGACCTGCACCTCCCCTTTAAAACATGCTGCCTGAGGTCAACGGAGTCAGGGTCTGCAATGGGTGCCGTTGGCTTGAGGTACGATGAGCTTATTCGCCAGGTCTCGCGTCAGAGGCTGTGCACTCCCCACGCGGTTTGGGTTCTCCACGAATAGCATTTGCGAAGCGGGCATCGGCCCACTAATAGGAGATAATGGAAAAGCTTGGTATTTAGGTGGGAGGTCGAGGCTGTCATGCCCCTATTGTGATAGCTATGAACGCCCAAAAGCTAGTCTCGACTAGCGAGCTGTCTTTGACTTTAATATTCCAAGGGTCTAAGCACCATAATTATCCAGATGGTAAGGGTTGTGATTCGGGTCACTTGTCCCGGAACGGCTCGGCCCAGGTAGCCTGGGCTAGAGCGGGGCAGGCTGTCGTTGATTAATCACTCAAAATCGCGAGGCTTTCAATTTAGGCGAAAATAAGAAACAATTGATAGCATGTATCCATCGGTCGGATCTCCACTAGAACGTCGTGACCCGAACAGTGTGAATTACTCACGTGCGCCTTCACTCATTAGCCCAGAACTGCAGTAATACCATTATATTCCTTCGAGGGAACACTTTGTTCTATCGTCTCCAGATACTGGTTGTGAATCACCGACAGCATTGATTGCAGTACTCTGCTACAAACGCAGATATCAGTCGTTCTAAAAGAGTTCGGCGATAGGTGGAACGAATGATAAGTCAATAGTAGCCACCACAATCGGGTGATAAACGGCTTTGATTCGGTGATATTTGAAAATCGCAGAGTATCTTTGACCTCCGTCCAGTATGTACAAAGGCCTCAAAAGTACTGGGGAAATCCAATCCAATCAATGAGGTCGAGCTAGAGACAACTTGACCCATTTCGTTTCACTTTCGTGCTCACCCCATACAATCTTCGTGATCTCGGCAGACCCGTGTTCATCGCTGGGGCTATGTAAATATATTCTTGTCCATTTTCTAGCTTTAGGAATTGAAGCTTGCACGGTCCTGGTGGAAGATACAACTAAAGTTATTTACAACGGGATAGTTTCCACCATCGTGACAATCGGGCCTCGGCGGCGCTTGCACCTAGTTTTCTCCGGTCTAGTGTTGCTGCTGGATGAAATGGTTCATCACGGGGTAAAATGCCAAGGAAACGCCCCATGGATCTGCCCGATGATGAAGGAGAAACGCCATTCTTGGCCAAGGGCGAGACATTTTTGGCGTATTTGGTAAGTTTCCCTTTTCTGTTTGATAAAATCGCTCAGATACGCGCGACCGGAGGGTATCTCTCTGATAGGCTGGCACGCGTGAAATAAGCCAAGAAATGACCGAAGGATGTGTCGGGCTAGAAGCCGGGTAATTCAAGGGATTTCTCCAGCAGGGTTCGAAAGATGATTACAATTGAATACCGCTTTTAAAACAATAAAAATGGCACAACCGGGTGACCTATCTTGTTGAAGACGATCGTGTAAGCAGAATTCGAAGAGGGTCGGACGACGGGTGTGCCTTCACGCAGCTGCACTATGTCATTCAGGCCCGAGTTCCATTAACCCACAATTGGCCATTTCCAAAGCATTTACTCGGTTTTGCATCTCATCGGCTTGACTTGCCCAGGGTTGTGGTGTACAAGATAATGTATCTGCGAACTCGTGTTTACATACCCCAAGTTCCATACCCCAAGTTCCCGACCGGGCAAGACCAAAACTAAACATTACCCAAATCGATGTCTTCGTGTGTTCATCACCACACAGCATCAAGAAGAGACAAAATGAGCACAAGTAATGTAGAGAGGACTTTCTGACTAGCAGGAACTTTGTGTATCGCGCTCTAGCCAGCACTTTCAGAGATCCCGAAGATGGCAAGGGGTGTTGATCCCCAAGGCTCTGGCCAAGTAGGTACACGTCCGTGACAGCATTCCAGGCGAGGGATGCCCCGCGTCCATACCAGTCGTCGGCGACTGTTGCGGCGCGCTCCGTGCCTGGCATACAAAAGTGTCGTCCTTCTTTTCATTCTCTCAACTCTCATCACCTCTTCATATCCTGGTTGGCGTCGAAACCTCCACGATCAGGATGCGGAGCTCACTGTCTCTCACTACGTTGGTAGCTACTGCAGCTACAGTGTCCGGGGCTATCATTCCTCGTAATGGAACCCACCTCCCAGGCTATGAGCCGGTTCCAGGCTCTAGAAACGGTCATGTTCCAGCCTGGTTTGCTTCATTGCTTGCTGGATTGTCGTTGCCAGGCTTGAGTAATCCAAGTCCAAGCTCCTTGAGCTCGAGCTCTTCCGCCCAGGCATTGAATACAGGCTCCCCTGCTCCAATTCATCAAATTGCCAGCCTGTCAACACTGGCAACCTCGGTCATTGTTGCTACCGCAACGCCTTCGAGTTCAAGCATTGCCATTCCGACCTCGCCGTCCAGCTCGCCAACAACTTCCATACCGACTCCTGCCTCAACGCCGTGAGTGGAGCATTGACCCCCAAATTCTTCAATGCTGATATCTGATTAGATCGAGCTCCAAATATGCTGATCCTGCCACAAAGACATGCGCTGGTCCATCCGAAAAGACATCCAACGCTTACTGGTTTGATGACATGGATCACAACCAACAGGGCGCTGGCTTTGCCCCTTATGTCACAGGCACAAACAAATATGCGGTGTACCGCAATGTTATGGACTACTTAGTGGTGAATGATGGATCAGGCGACCAGACAGCGAAATTACAAAATGCCATTGATGATGATAACAACGGTGGCACCCGTAAAGGCAAGGGCGTGACACGCTACCCAGCTGAAGTGTATTTGCCTGGGGGTATTTATACTCTTAAAAGCACACTGAAGCTGACAGTCGGCACAATCATTGTTGGAAATCCATCTAACCCACCCATCATCCGAGCGGCTCCAGATTTTGTGGGACAATATCTTGTCCTAGGTTACGACGAAAAGGCCGGCCAACCGGAGACCAGCTTCATGACTTTAATGAAAAATGTCATCCTTGACACGACTGCAGTTGCGCCTGCAACATCCATCACTGCACTTCAGTGGGGCGTGGCTCAGGGATCCGGGCTCACAAACATCCAGATCCGTATGCCAGTCGGATCTACGGGACACACTGGTATCGACATTTTGGCCGGCTCAACCATTGCCGTGACCGATGTGGTAAGTCAATCTGACAGATTCCTTAATTGGTTAAAATGCTAAGATAGAGATAGAATATTCAAGGTGGTGCGACTGGTATCATCAACTCAAATCAGCAAGTCAACTTCAAAAACATCTTTTTTGAGTCCTGCGATACGGCTTTCAATGCCAAGGGCGGATGGACAGTTCTTCTTCAGAGCGCTACCTTCGTCAGCTGTAAGCTTGCTATTGACATGGGTCGAAATGGCCTGGGAAGCATGGTACTTCTTGACTCCAAAACGTCAGCTGCTCGTGGGCCCGTGGTCCGATTATATGACTCGTCCCATGACAGTGGGAACCAGAACAGTCAACTTCTTATTCAGAACTTGGCCCACGACTCTACAACAGATATTGTCGTCGATGTCAATGGATCGATACATTTGGCCTCCACGGGCCATGTTGACACTTGGGCCTGGGGTACCGCTGTTCCTGGTGAATACGAGACTGGTAAAACCTGGATCACGCAGCGGCCTGCGAGCCTGCTCGTGGATGGAAGTTACTTCATTAAGGCTCAACCATCGTATGCGGACTACAGCAGCGCTGATATTGTCAATGTGAAGGCTGTCTCCGAGTATCCGGTGATGGGTGATGGCCGGACCGATGATACCCAATCACTTAACCACATCTTGGCCGAGAATGCAGCAAACTGCAAGATTACTTATTTCCCATTTGGAGTCTACAGAGTTTCGGACACCATCCTCATTCCTGTGGGTACACGCATTGTGGGCGAGGCATGGGCCGTCATCTCGGGATACGGTGATGCATTCAAGGATCCGTCCGCCCCCAAAGCTATCGTCCGAGTCGGAAACCCGGGCGACGTCGGAAATATCGAGATCCAGGACATGCGCTTCTCAGTCGGCGAAGTTCTCCCCGGGGCCATTGTCGTGGAGATCAACGCGGCTGGTGCACGGCCAGGTGATGTGGGCATGTGGAACACCATGGTAACAGTGGGCGGTACCGCCGAGACAACTATTTCGAACGTGTGCACCTCACAGGACACCAAAGACTGCATGGCCGCATATATGGTGATGCACCTCACAGAGAGCTCATCGGCATACATTGAGAATTTCTGGGGGTGGACAGCAGACCACAACCTCGACAGCACCTCCATTTTCACCATCATTTCCACGGGTCGTGGCATTCTTGTGGAATCAAAAAATGCAACCTGGCTCACAGGAACGGGTTCCGAACACCATTGGCTCTACCAGTACAACTTCCACCACGCCGCCAACGTCTACGCCGGCCTCCTCCAAAGCGAGACACCCTACATGCAAGGCTCAGGTGAATTTGAGAAGGCGCCCGCCCCATGGACCGCAAATGCGGAACTCGGTGACCCCGACTACTCATGGTGCAGTGCCGATGACGACAAATGCCGCTCGGCCCTCGCGACCAATGTTGATGGCGGCTCCAATATCGCGCTCTACAACTCCGCAGCCTGGGCTTTCTTCGACGGCTCCTGGAATGGACTTTACAACGAGCCCTGCGATGGCAAATGTCAGAGTAACATGATGCGCGTGACAGGCGCGCCAGTGAACTTGGTTTGGTATTCCATCAATACTCGCAAGACGGATGTCATGGTGCTTGATGGGATGACAAACCCGCGTGAGGCAAATCATCCCGGTGGTTGGGAGGGTATAATTCAGGCTTATACACAATTTGAGACTTGATGGTGGCTGGATGACTTATTCTTGAACATATTTTCAATGATGATTTTGTCAGATTACATTGACAAGTTGTGCAAAAGCGTAGATACACATTTTACATTGTTCGAGTATGTGCAGTAGAAGAGCCATTCTCAAGCTCGATATGTACCGCTATCTAGGTATACAAGCCCACTATATTGGACCTCACGATCAACGAACTAAGTGAATAGTTCGATCAAGGAGCAATCGAGCCCCAACCCAAATCAACTTCGGAAGGGTTTACTCTACGATCTTTGTAACCCCATTAAGTATAAGAGAAGACGTACTAGTAAATAAGACTCCTCAGAATAGCGGTAAGGGTAAATGTTTTCAGGCTGAAAATCATGAAACATTGAGAGTCTGCTGGGACGGCACAAGTGTGCATTGCGTTGATGTTACATTAATCAGCGTCATTGGTCACATATCAAGCCAGGACAAATTTCAGAGGATCTAGATCTTCATGTTTCCCATATAGCTTTCATGAAGCACCAGTCGTCGGAGGAAGCCAAGCTGAGACTTCAGGTGTCCAGGGCTGTGTTTTATTTTAAGAAACACACGTGACTAATTGTGGCTGTGAGTTATGCCTAAGGCTTCCAAAGACGCCAAAACGCCAATCCTTCGACTTCGCCCCAGTGGCGTCGGGGATGGAGTCGAGTCTCTAGCGTCTCAACACGACGTCCATTCAGATCTTGGCTGCAATGAAACAAGATCTAGACGGTGCAATTCAACCTGGGCATGGTTGCACTCGCCAAGAGTCAAAACAAAAACAGTCACGGGCCCTAAAGGAGGCCACAGCAGATAGGCAAGTGATGCCGCGGTCCACACGCGCAACCTATGGTTGCTGATCTGTGGAGATCTTCCCCGATGGGACCTGACCTCAGGGGTGGGACGTGGCGGCGATGTTGCCGTGAAAATCCGGTTGGGCCAAGGTTTGAAGGCAGCCGAATATCCAAACCAAAAAATTCTATATTCGGGATGCATAGCCATAGCCATAGCCCTACCCATGTACTGTAGATGCAAGACCCTGCTTACAGAATGTACAGCACATGGTAACCTTCCAGAAAACGCGGGAGACTGGAAATCCACTTAGTCAGGAGAGGCCCGTCAGTGTGGGTCGTAAGTTGACGATTGGCTTGACCACACGAAACGCTCCATCGGCGGTTGATCATACTGGGAACGATTCGGGGCGGATTTCGCATTGCCACGGGAGACTAAAGTTGGCACTTTATGGGGGCCGCAATTTCGTGGCGGCACATATAAGGACTCCCATGCTCCCCAGATCAGGTATAGAATCATCCCACACTCTATTATATAAAGAAGCAAAACCTTGCACCTCTACTTGTTCAATCAACTCAAAGCACACTACCTCAACCACCAAAATGAAGTTCACCCTCCTCACAACCGCCCTCTTCCTCTCCACCGCCGCCTATGCCCAGGACTTGGACTCCATAGTCACCGCCGCCGAAGGCATTGTGGCCACAGCCGCCGCTGGCGGCGCATCAATCGGCTCCGAAGCCGTCGCGGAAGCGACTTCCATCGCTCACGCTGTTGAAACTGGCGGCTCAGCTGCCATTTCCACTCTCACCGGCGACGCTGCCTCAATCGGATCCGCAGCTGCCAGCGCGGCCAGCTCTATTGGCTCCGAAGCTGCTTCAGCCGGCTCGGATATTGCTAGCAAGGCTTCCACTTGGGCTACACAGTTCACCACGACTGATGCTTCTGGTCACACTACCACTGAGGCGACTACTATGACAAGCCGCGCTAGTGGCGCGACGAGCACTGCTACTGAGACGGGGAGCAACACTGCTACTGAGACGGGGAGCAACACTGCTACTGAGATGGGGAGCAACACTGCTTCGTCGACTGCTTCCGGTGCTTCGAGCACCAGAACTAATGCTGCCGGTTCGGGGCCCTCCGCTATGGGTGCTGCTTTTGCGGGTCTGGGCATGCTCGGTGTCATGGCTGCCTTGTAGAGAGTCCTTGCATACGATGGCTGCAATCCAGGAACAAAGCATAGCGGAATCATGCATTTTTTTCACGACTTTCTTTGACTCAAATGATAAGTACCTAAGACGGATCTAATACTGGATATATGTACATATAGTGAATATATAACAACATCCAACGTCTAATTCTTCATATATTCAATAAATCTTTTTTTTTAATTGAGGTATAATCTACATTGAGCCTAGTGTACTGTTCATGTGATGAATTTACCGACTCTCCCAAAATTGCGCATCGATGGCAACCAACCGATTGAACAACTGATTCCTGGACCTCATTCCCGTCAAATGGAAACTCTGTCCATCTTTACCCCCAACGACCAAACCGTCAGCAGCTTCCTTACTACCAGCCGTCAACTCAACAATTAACTTCCCCTTCCAACCAAGGCCCTCCGTCTTCTTCAACTCCCTGATATCCGTAACAGGAATCTGGAAGAGCACAGACTTCTCCTTCCTGCTCTCAATTCTGAGATCATCGAGACCCGCAGATTGATAAGTCGTAAAATACAGAACGGGGGGGCTCCTTCGAAGAATCAATAACGGCCGCGCCACGCTTCCGCTCAAATTTCGCGTCAAATTTGAGTGGCCCGAATGGTTTGGATACAAAACCTCGTTTTTGAAGCATGGTAAGGAGGTTCTTGGTGTGTGCTGAGCCGGCGATGGCCATTGCGCGGTCCATGGCTATGTGGCCGCGGATGGCGGTTGCAATGGTGCGTCGGACGAACTTGAGAAGTTTGAAGACCCAGCGGCGTTTGGGTTTCGGCGGTGGTAGAGGTTCGTTGTTGAGCGTGCCGAGGGATGTCGTGGAAGGGGAATTTAGGGACGCGAGGTCGCTGGATTGTGAGGTAGACGTCGGTTTTGATTTCTTGCGGATTGGCCAAGCGCGTTCGTTGTCTTCGGCGCTTGGCGGGGGTGGGAGGGGAGAGGAATTAATCTCGCCGATGCGGAGGAGGGTCAGTGTAAGTTGGGCGTTCGTTGGGACACCTTTCAGCAGTGTTCTGAAGTTGTTAGTTGAAGGTCCGAGTACTGGAATGAGAGACGTACTTCTGAATGTCGAGATGGTCTTGCCACTTTGGAACCTTCTGGTTCAACATGTCCAATGTGTAAACAAATATCGGGTCGCCGAAGAATCCGAGGCCAATGGTGAAACCGATGCCCTTGATAATCCAATAACTAGACGCGAATGGCGCCACGAAGGCGATGATGGTTAGGATGCTAGAGAGGCGCAGTCTTGAAGAGACTAAATAGAAAGGTGGAGTTGGAGAAAAAAAGACTGCTCCGGTGTTAGGCATTCTGTCATAATGGTAGAGCAAAGCACTTACTTCGCAAATTGCTCATAAATGTCCGTTATATCGCTAATGACACGCATTGCCTTATCTGTGCCCTTGGCAGCCTTCGATCTCATCGGCTTTTTGGTCTTATCCTCGGGACCTTCGGCGGGCTGACCATCTGGTGCGCTTTCAATGGCCAACAAAGGTTGTGGTGTAGCCGGCACGTCGGGTTCATCTTCAGCGACAGTCTGACCATATTTGGCAGCGGCACCTTCCATCGCCATAGTCGCAACACTGTCAACGAGGTTCCTCGCCTCCTGCTCTGCGGCTTCACCTTTATGGTTCTCCGGAGCTCCGGTCAAACTATCATGGGACTCCGGTAGGTCACCTGTTGAGCTATCCACACTCGAAGTATCCGAATCCGTCTTCGCCGGGGCCATTGGGAAGAGCATTGCTCGGATAGGTGGGAACATTATGAGAGCAACCAAAAGAATCAAAATGGCCGGTAACAGAAGATCGAAAAGCCATGATGTGAAATAGACCTAAAGAGGATCAGCCGGTGGTAATGAGTTGCTAAAAGGAGAAAGCATACACCGCAGAATATCGAAGTCCGAACCGGTTCCTTCCAGGACCTCAACCTCCCAACATGCCGAAAGAACTCGGTCAAACCCACAACGACAGACGTATAGAACCTCTCAACAGTCATTCGCAGTTTCTCGGGTGGAAAATGCTCATCATCGGCCCGATTTAGATCAATATCCCTAGCCTGTGCATCCGGTACCGCTTTCACATGGTAGATTTGCTAAAGTCACATGTTAGCCCCGAGGGGTTCCTGAGTCCCAAATAAATCACCGATTCGCGTACCTTGTTAAAACGTCGAATCAGCATCCACAGATCTTCATTTGATAGCCCCTCTGCCAGGGTTTCCTCCGCTGTACGCGATGAGGGTTTCCATTGAGTTTGTGGTCTGTCGGTCACTGGTTCTCCGTTCCGGCTTCCGCTTTCGGAGACATGGGGGACCTCGAGGCTGTCTGTGTCGTCGAACTCGCGTGGGGCTCCATGGTCAAGACTCATCTTCTGCTGGGAGATGAGATAGCCTTGACGATTGAGTACCGAGACGGTGGTAGTGATTGTGGGTAGTGGTGATAAGTGAATGTTGTCAAATTCGAGGGGAAGCTCAATGCTTGGCGTTGATTGATGGGAAATTGTGGGGAAGGCAACGTCATATATTGGGGATTATTTTTGTCTCTGCAAATGGAAAAGCAGGCATTTCTGGGGTTTAACTCCTGGTTCAGGGCACTTATTTACATCTCAATAATCGACCTTTCAAATGAAGACACTTTTCGAAATACTTGCGTTCAGTCGCCAACGGTTAAATCTTGAACTCCTCATCGGCTAATTCATTCCTACCCCTTACAAAGCCCCTTTCGGCCCTCGAGCCGGCGGCAGAAATGGACCATCCTGTTGGACACCTTTCGCAGCACATAACCAGCCAACCCGGTCCTTAGTGTATCGCTCAACTCTTGGCTTAAGCATAGTCCGATGCAAATTGAAATCGTCTACGGTACCAATGCGCAGGATACTGTATCCCGGAAATGCTTCCCCGACACGATACTTCAGCGTACCGCAAGTCGAGCAAAAATGATTCGTCATCAATCTGCCAGACTCAATAGTCTTCGACTGGCTGAATGTCTTCAGGTTGGCGCGCCCCCTAAGGTGTTGCAAGTGTGTGTCTGCTACGATGAAGTTGGCTGCGAACATCGATGCTGTGATCTTTCGGCAGTCTGTGCAATGGCAAATGAATGTATCGATTAGGCCTGGACCTTGAGTAGGCTTTGTGTGCGAGAATTAGCTGAAAGCCCCTGGTATGTGTGGTACAAGGATGTCCCGATTATCGGTCCTCAGACGTCGAATGACGTGGAAATGCCCTGGAGCGGGGAATTCTTACAAATGACAGTTGAACAGCACCACAATAGCAGGTTGCTGTTGCTTGATCCCCAGTAGACCAGCCGTCATCCGCACCTCCGGCAAGAGGTATGTAAGGCTTGAATTTATCTGCGGTGGCCGCCATGACCTCGAATCACCTCTCAGTCATTCCAGATGAGATTACTTAGTGGGAGAAACCAACGGAAATATCGCTCTCGCCTAGGTGAGTAGCAACTCTCCAGGAAATAATCCGAAGGCAAACGGAAGTGATAAATTCAGGGTCTAGTGAGCTTGATGTGTTTAATTTCGACCTGATTTATACCTGATGGGCTTCCCAAACTTGATTCAAAATCATCTGCGGAATCTTATTGCCTCGTAATCCTGTATGCGTCCATGACTCGAGTCCTCGGCGACTTCTTTCTTCCATCGGCGGAAAATCTATCCGAAACTACATTGACGAGGAGAAGTGCATGAAAACATGAACATAGAGTATATTATCGCTAAAGGAACGTACAAGTGACTGAATTACGAAATCCGGTCCACATCAAGATGCACCAAGGGCGTTGTTGATTGGCAGGAGCATCGCTACTCTGCTTTACCACTGACAGTAGTCTTCTCTCGCGAGTTTTCAGTCGTGAAAATCCCGTGTTTCGAACTGGCGGAGCTAGGCTCGTCAACCGTTACACATGGACCGGTATACCAGCGCCTAGCGAATAGGAAGTAGTAACTCATACATCCAAGCCAGACAAACCCGTTGATCACAATGGTGTAATTCATATTCGACGCTAGCAACATGATCAGCCATCTATTGGGGAATGTGAACATCAAACTTACGCGAAGGGTTCGGTCCAGTGGTAGGAAACATCGACAGGATCATTCCAAACAGCAAGTAAACCACAGCAACGGTACCGATCGCCTGACTAAACCTCCCGGTGTAAAACTCTCCTGGAACGAACCTCTCCTGCCCCCAGACTAAGCGGCAGAAAATCGGCATTCCCAAGATAGATAGTTACTCGCTACAAAAAGCGAGAACAAGGCATTTGCAGCGGCGCTGTTGATCAAGCAGAGCAAGCCAAGTATGATGGACATCACGACCAAGCCACATATCATTCGCACGGGCTGGAACGGGATCCTCTGGCTGACATGTCGGAAGAAATTGGAGAATGGGAGGGCTCCATCTCGGGAGAAAGCCCAGGATTGTCTGGAAGCGGCGACAATCTACTTGGTTAGATTACAAAAATCAACTCGAATCATGGACGTACTAAGCTGAGACCGATAAGGAATTGGATTATGCAGAGTACTATCATGAAGCCGAGGGCGCCGTTTTTGCCAAGTGCATCGTAATAGATCTGGTGAGATTAGCCAGAGTCTTCCAAGCAGGCTGATCATCTCACCTGAGCCATCGGTTGTCCAAATTTACTGTTCAAAGTCACAGAGACATTGGGGTTCATCGTCGCCGCAATGACAGCCAACACCAAAAAACCAAGGACACACGCTGAGCCAGCAGAGAACATGATCCCCAATGGTACAGCTTTTGCGGCGTGCATGGCCTCTTCGCTCATATGCACACATGAATCAAAAGAACCAATTGACCAGATCGGAGCAAGCCATGCCAGCATGAACGCCCATCCTGTCGGCCACTCGGTTTCATTGTCCATGTGGCGGAAGACGTAGCTTCCGGAGTTCAAAGATTCGCCTCGCGTCACTTTTCCGACCGGTAACGCGACCACAGTGGCGATCACCAATGCGATGTTGATGTAAATGCAAGCAGTTTGGATTTTTGGCATCAGGCGACCCGTTAACGCGCCCGAAAATCCATGGAGAAGGATCAGTCCGACATAAACCCCGTAAATGACTCCGCGCGAGGCAGACCAGGGCGAGTCTCGTGAGATGGATACACAAGACAGGATCATCAGGGATAGTGTATCTGCAAAGGTGAATACTTGAACCACTGAAGATGTGCAGACCAACTTACAATCCACAGAGCAAATTCCCCCAATCAGGCCAAGCGTGTTACTATACCCTATCAGGAAACTGAAAGGCCTCTTATACCTCTCGCCAGCGAAATGATGCGTCCACCAATACAACCCACCAGCTGTAGGCATTGCCGAAGCAAGATCAGACTGTAAAATCAGCATCTTCGGAGACAAGAGAATCTCAAGATCAGACCATCGCCAACCCCACAACGATAATGAAGATACTCGCCATGAACCATCCCTACAAACGTCAGACTCCCACTCCTACACCCATCACCTCACGGTAAACAATATCACCGGCACAACCTACCCAAACCATTCCCACGGGACCCGCAGGCAACGAAAACGACAAAGTCGACGCAATACTCGGTACAAGTCCCATAATACTAAACGCGATCGCAAAAACCTGGACGGTGGAATACTGTCTTCTGAGTTCCTGCTTATATCCCATTTTGGCTAGCCGGCTCCCGTCAGCGACCGAGTCAAAACGCGAGTATGGAGAACCTGAACATCAAACATACCCAGCAGCTGCGAATCATCTGGATCCGCCAGCTCGAGCGCAGCCTCGGGCGCGGACACGGAGGCGGAAACCCCGTTATGCATTATGAAGAGTATACGACCACCAAGTGGCAGGGATGAGCATTTTTGGGGGATTCGAGTTGAAAGCTGCACTCGACTTGAGTCTCGGCCTAGCCTCGCATCTGTGGAGCTGTGGAGCTAAGTTGAGAGGGGAAGCGCGCTGATTGAAGCGATCGTGTTTGGGATCCGATGCGCCCTGAGATCGTAGGTGCATCGCGTGTCATGTTGGGATTCGCGATCCTAGTCACAACAAGGGGCCAGAAAGGTGATCGCACCGTCCTGTCCCATCCCTGATTAATTTGAAATTACCCGCAATCCAAAATTACAGAGCGAGGGGTGATCCCGTTCCCATTCCTCAAATGGTCTTGGCTTGCATGGTGGATAAGCTACGAAGGGTGAGGGCCGGTGATCCGTCGCTTTATTGGATGATCGGTTTGTCAATCAGCTTGGCCCTCCATGTGAAGATAGACTCATAGGGGCTCTGCCTTCTGAACGCACAGGTTAACACCTTGGAGGAGTGGTGAATTACAATGCCATAGTCCATTTCCTGTCGCTTTCGCTCAAGAGCGCTGAAGTCTCAGTCAAAACACTGGCCGCTGGTGGGCCTCGGCGTATTACGGTGTGGAAGTTTCTTTCTACCGGCCAATCAGCCTCATTTGTCGCATTTGGTGGAGTTTCCACATTTTAATGTAGCGGCTCGGATATGCTCGAGAAAGGATGCCAGTCAGAAGTACCAACATGACCAATGGGTCAATATATATTAATGAAAAGATAGGTGTCACAGTAAAGGTATCAACAAGCAAAATAAAAGTTCATGGAATCTACGACAAGATCGCGAAGCATGTTGCCACATTAACATGCACATGTGGTCAAAGGCACAATGTGCGACGGTGATCCACCGCAACACATTGAAGTCATGTGCTCATCCATCCAAGTCATTATTCTCATCATGCCAAAAAAAATCATGTCTGGTAATTTCTCAGACCTGCTGCTGGGGGAAACTTCAATCCTGGGAGTCGTCTGATCATTCTGGTTCACAGCAGTACTATTTGGAGCATCCGTATAAGTCTGAGCCCCAGAAGGAGACATATAAGAGTTATGAGTCTGACCATTGCGTGGGGACTGACTAGAAGGGCCGTGGACATGATCAGTTATGGTGTTTTCAGAAAGTATGGAGTTTGTGCGGGCCTTAGTCTCCCACTCGTTGTAATCCTGGCCCGGGTTAATATTCTCCCAGCGGAACCAGCAAAGTAGATGATAGAAACCAGAAGCCAGCAGGGATCCGAGTAGAGGGCCAACCCAGTAGATCCAGTGATATCCGGGGAACTGGCGGTTGATCACGTCTGGACCGAGGGAACGGGCAGGGTTGAGGGAGCCACCGGTGTAATAATCACCTAGAAGATATGTTAGGCTGAATTGGGGAAGATGAGTGACAAATAGGATACGTACCGACAAGCTCACACAGGAAGAATGCAAGACCAATTCCCACTGGAGCCAGGTAGGTTGACTTGTGCTTCACGACAGCAAGCATGATGATCACAAAGACAAGTTGCGCGGTAAGAAACATCTCAATGAAAAGACCCTGGGAAATGGAGGCGCCGCCGCCCAGACGAGTCGTGAAGTTTGGTGCACCCGGGAACATGGCGCTCACCACACCAGCCGCGGCAATTCCCGCAACTAACTGGGCAGGGAAAACCATGAGACCGCGCAGCGCAGGCATGCCACCAGTAAGACAGAGCGCGAGAGTCACGGCGGGATTGAAAAGACCACCAGTGACACGGAAGAAAGCCCAGACATTGACAGTCAACGAGAAACCGAAACACAGAGAAGTGTATAGCAAGTTGGAGGTGTTCGGAGGTGACCCATCAGGAGCCTTAGGTGTGTTGGAAACCTGGGTTCCAGCAAAAGAGAACAACAAGAACATAAACGTGCCAACGAATTCGCCGAAGACACACAGCAGGTTATACCGGAATTTGTCGGGCATCTGCAGCATTGGCAGCTGTGCACGATTACTCCGACTCTCTCCCATCGTAGAGGGATCCGATACCCCGGAGCCACCGCGCTTGTGTCTACCGAAAGCCATTTTGTCAATTGACCTTGTGTCGATCAGTGAGAAAGAAATGAGATTTAGAAATTAAAATCAATTGCTCGGTCAAATGCCCCGTTCATATGGCGTATGGGTACATGGAAAAATACTTATTGTATAGGCCCAGCCATCACAGACGTCACCATATGTTACAATCTCCCTCACAGCCCGATCCAGGTATCATCGACCAGGTCTTGGGGTAGGGAAATAGCAAGCTGCTACCACAAAGACAATGGAATAGACTTTACTCGAATCCCACTGTTTACCACTTCGAGTAAGCAGCGCAGCTTACCGCTCGACACAAATCAGTATATACGCCCGAGGAAGTAGTGATGAGGTCAGGATACAGATTGTCCCATGTTTGTAAATGAGGCGGTGGGGCATCAATGGCACCTCGTTGTTGGACGGGAACTCCCGGGCTTCCGCAAACGGATTATCCGAAGTGTCTAGAACGGCCAGCTGTGGCTAGCCGTCCAAGACACGGTCGTTTATATTGTTGTGGGTAGGAACCAATCATTTGGTACTGGAGTTTCTGCGCGTGTGCTATTCATGATGGTCAGCGAAATGAAGCCCACATAGAGTTTAGTTGCTGGGTGGCGGAGATTGGATCGGTGTCTCGAAGTAGGTGAATCGCTTAGAGAACATTTCTTCTAAGATTTCGATGATTTGTTCTAGATATCAGGGTTCAATGAGATGGGCTAGGACCCTGATTTTCTGAATCAAGGAGTACGGTGTGCCGCAGTTGTCCACCCAGGGACTATACACGCAGGACTCGCGCGAAGAGCAATTACTTCTCATCAGTGGGTGGTATGATACTAATTTAGAATAGAGACGATGATTTTGGTGGGGATTCATGCCTGCATGCCAGTGGAGTCAAAGACAAATAGATTCATGTTATGTCTATTCAAGGACTCGGTACGAACTCGATCGTCCTGAACAGCCAATCGGCATCAGGTTGGAAACTATCTCCATACGAAACTAAGTACCAATCCCATGAACTGCAGGTTCTGCGTGTCACGGGTGGAATGTGTGGTGCTGGGTTGATTTCCCTGAATATTCTCGTGGATGGGCTGACCGGTCGGAGATTTACGGGAAGTGACCGGGGCCGGGTCCACTCTGAAAGTCGACATTATAAATTATTAATAAGCACAACATTGTTCACACATGAGACTACTTGCTATGAACGTCTGTATTAGTGATCAGCAATTGTCTACTGGTTCCTACTACTGGGTGTTCCCGAGCCGATTGGCGCTTTGACAGGCTGCAGGTCAACCTTATCGTGACCACCCATTGCATAGTATGTAGTTTCTTTTGTGTGAAGGAACTTGAAAATTTAAGATTAGCGTTATTGTGGAGTTATGTCCAACATCAGATCAGAGCTCCGAGAAATCTCCAGAAGAGCGCGCATCGAACGTTATTTGCCTTTCTCCGCTGTATCTCCGCGAGATGCTTTGACTCGAGTCAAATTTTCACCGCAGTATCCGCAACGACCAGGTACCAGACTGTCAGGTCTAGATTCGGCTAAGTCGCCGCGGATATATCCGTAAATTGGATGGTTTTTTGTTTCGCTTTAAATACCTCACAGATGGCCCTTGTTTGCGGATTATTCTGCATCAACATCAACGCACACAAAGCACATTCGAGGCTTCTCTTTTAAGATCATTCATCAATCTCATTCACGCACATCATCATGGGCTCCAATGCTGGGTTAACAGCTGATCAAATCAAGCTCATCAAGACCACCGTGCCCGTTCTAGCCGAGCATGGCAACACCATTACATCTGTGTTCTACAAGAACCTACTCGACGAGAACCCATCGTTGAACAGCATCTTCAATATCCCCAATCAAGTCAACGGTCACCAACCGCGAGCTTTGGCCGGTGCTCTTTACGCATATGCCGCCCACATCGACGATCTGGCTGCATTGACCTCGGCGGTCGAATTGATCTGCAACAAGCATGCATCGCTCTACGTCCAGCCCGAGCACTACTCGGTCGTCGCCAAGTACCTCCTCGAAGCAATGAGCCAAGTTCTTGGCGAAGCTTTGACTCCAGAAATCAAAGACGCCTGGGCTACAGCCTACTGGCAACTTGCGGATCTCATGATCTCTCGTGAAAGGAAGTTATACGAACAAAGCGCAGATTGGACCGACTGGCGTGAGTTCCGCATCACGGATAAAATCGAGGAGTCTGATGAGATTACGTCTTTCTACCTCGCCCCTGTGGACGGCAAACCTCTACCTTCCTTCCGTCCAGGCCAGTACATCTCCGTTCAAGTGTACGTCCCCGAGCTCAAGCATATCCAGCCGCGCCAGTACTCTCTCAGCGATAAGCCATCCCCAGATTACTATCGCATCAGCGTGAAGAAAGAATTGGGCATCGACACTGCGGACCCCAGTGCAGCTGCTCACCCAGGCTATGTGTCGAATCTGCTACACGACACGTTCAGCAAGGGTGACACACTGAAAGTGTCACACCCGGCGGGCGACTTCTTTTTGCCAGCGACCAAAGAAAAAACTTCGAATCCAATTGTTTTGATCTCTGCTGGAGTTGGGTTGACGCCGTTGACCTCGATTCTGAACACACTTATCTCCACTGAGGAGTCAACAACCCGCAAACTGCATTTCATCCATGGTGCTCGAACTTCATCCGCGCGCGCGTTCAAGGAGCACATCTCCACGCTCTCTACAAGATATCCCAACTTGCAGACAACGTTCTTCACAAGCCACCCTTCCTCAACCGAGAAGGAAGGTCAGGACTACACCTTCACCGGACGCGTGGATTTAAGCAGGCTGGACTCAAAGGATCTATTCCTCGAGCATGAATTCGCCGAATACTACATCTGTGGACCAGAGAAATTCATGACGGACATGGAAACAAGCCTCAAGGCACAGGGTGTCTCCGCTGACCGGATAAAGATAGAGCTTTTCGGGACTGGCGGTCTGGCTCCCTAGACTAGATGTCTCATTATGTAAAGTATTAGATCGATACATCCCATCTCATTAATTACGATAAAAAGTTGCAAGATCTAAACATTTTATCCGTATTTCCATCCATGCATTTGATCCTCGGCTAGATTTGGACTTCAAAACAGGGTCAACCGGATATAGAGTGGAGCAACGGAAACAATTTATAAGCAGATGCTGATCAATCCACGGTGAAACCCACCTGCCGCGGGGTACAACATCAATAAAAACTTCAGAGACCAGAGTGATTGCAAGTGAAATCAATCTATAATCGCCGACCGCGTGATACTCGAAATAAAAACCATCACGATGTCCAAAATCGGAGTTTTCCCCGCCGCCGGAGGCCTTGGCGGAAGCATTGCGCACCACCTGTCAAAACTAGTCCCCGCATCACAACTGATTCTGATCGCGCGCAAACCCGAAACTCTCACAGAATATGAGAACTCCGGCGCGACGATCCGAAAAGCGGATTACGACTCTCCAGAGACTCTCAAAGATGCATTCGAAGGAGTGGACACTCTCATGCTGATTTCATATGCGTCCTTTGAAATCGAGCATAGAATCAAGGTAAAAGATCGCCACTAGCTGTGGAATACATCAATTTGACTCTAGTAGGTCCACCGCATCGCTATCGACGCCGCTATCGCTAGTGGTGTGAAACATGTCTTTTACTCTTCTCTTGCATTCGCCGGATTGACAGATACCAGCGTTGCGCAAGTGATGGGTGCACATCTTCAAATTGAGGCCTATTTAGCTTCGCTCACGGATAAAATAAGCTACACCGTTGTTCGCGAGGGAATATACTCAGAATCATACCCAATCTACACATCCTGGTTTGACCCCTCGTCATCCAACAACGAGATCACAATCCCACACAATGGATCCGGTCCGGGTGTCGCATGGGTCAAACGCGACGAGTTGGGCGAAGCCACCGCACGGCTTATCGCCTCCTACGTCAAAGATCCGGCGAGTTTCAAGTACACGAATGAGAAACTTCTTTTGACTGGTCAGAAGGAGTATTCACTTTCAGAAACGGTGAAAATTCTGGGGAGAGTTCTGGGAAGAGATTTGAGGATCAGAGAGATATCGGTTGATGATTATGTCAAGCTGAAACATGGAGGATTGCACACTTATCATGGGGTCGATCTTTCGAGGGAATGGGCTACCGCGTGGGAGGGGATCAGGAGAGGTGAGACTGCTGCTGTTACGGGGGATATTAAGGAGATTCTTGGGAGGGAGCCAGAGGCGTATGAGACTACGATCAGAGACTTGATCGGGTGATTTAGTTCGATATTAGTAATGGCCTGTTCGATTACATTGACGTGTTCTACAAAATGTCAAGGGAATGTATATCCAAAGTGATGGTATACTGCCGAATTCGAAATCAGATTCCCCTTCTTGCACACGTAGATTGTTTCCCAAACCCTAATTCAAAGTACGCTAGGCTAAATTGAATTAGCGGGCTTCAGGCCCCTGTCAAGGTGTTTTGTCTTGCATAAACAGTATCAATGAGTCATCCGTATTATGCTGTAAAATTCCTTGGAGACTCTTGGAATCTTCTCCGCAAACAGCCCAAACAAAGTAGACGTCATGGCGATCTGGCAAGATGGCTTGATCACGTTCTCTCTCCTTCACTCATGCAGCCTTCCTTCATTTGCGCTTGTTCTCACCATACTCGTTTCCACCACACTCGTTTCCACCATACTCGATACTCGAAGGCCGCGCCCAGATTTAGGACGCTACTAACTGCTGTAGGATGTTGTGATTCTTGATTTTCGTGGATCGTCTTCTCGCTTGTGGTTTTCCTTGATTGCCGGTGTCTTTGCAAATCTGGTACCTTCAAGCAAGCTAACATGTGTCCTCGAAAAGCTACAAGTGGTTCGGGAGATGACTCGAAGCCCACCTAATGTTAACTGTATATCTCAGCCTGAACGGCTCGAATCATGGGAGCAGGACTCTAAGTATGCCCCAACGCCCGGTTTCTTTCATAGCCCCTATAACACACGGTTATTGTGTAGCCCCTCCCCTTCGTATGCGGTCGATTATAGCAGTAATGCGGCAAGCCAATCACGAACGAATAATCTCAAATTACTTCAGTTATTTAAGTGAGAAGAGCATCGTGTATATAACGAAGAGCCGCTAATTAAGGTGAGAAAAGGGGTAAAACCTCTGTTTTGAGAAAAATGCTCAGTGAGCGAGACGCATAGCTAGATACTGAACAGGACTCTTCTGGCCAGAGACCAGTTTAGCGTAGCGTCTATAATTTGATGCGATGCGATTCGCCGTTATGCCACCTAGGCCCCTACTGTTGGCTGGATCCAATAGGAAAGAAGTATTATCAGCTCAAAACATATCACTTGAGGCGCCTCGTGACTTACGTGGAAAAGGGTGGTGTGCTAGACTCGCACAAAGACGTGCCTGAAGGGGTTCGTGAAGAACTATATATGGAAGAACAACAGAAAACGGAGAAAGACAAGCGTAAGGGAGACCCCTACCTTAGTCGGGGAGGTCCGTACCCTCCCATTAATATCAACGTTCTGCCTTCACAGTCTCCGGTCCCTAAAATAGAAGTTTCCAGACTGACCGATAACCCGTCTATTGTGGACCCGTTGGAAATCCCCGGACCCAGAGACCTAGCAGTCAAAGAGTACAGTGAATGGCAACAGTCACATGTCACTGATAATGGTCTTAAGGATGCATATTGACAAGCGTGCGACGTGATGCTTGACGATGGTCTGGATCTCGAGCAGGTCTATAAAGACCGAGACCCAGAATTCTTTATCAGCAAGGGAATTAAGAAGGGTATCGCTCGTCGTTTTGTAGAGGATATTTCAAGCTGGGTCCAGAACGTGAAGAGGCCAATGCATGTTTATGACGTCGAGAGCGGGTAGGACAAGAGTTGTTGGCGTTTACTAGGGCCTCTTAAAATTATATGTCGCGTTTATAGGGAATACGGCTTTTTATACACTCGGTTTCGAAATTGGCTTCTATGTTTTCCAAAGAGAAACTATCTCAAACCCTAACGCCAATGCCAGGGCGAATCCTGTCGCCGCCAGGTGCAGCGAGCCTGCATATCATCCCTGTCCATGAGCACGGAAATATAAAATACTTGACAAGGCAAATACGCGCTTGAACTATGAATTACGCATGTTGCGAATACTGTAGTGTTAGATCATGTCTTGTACAGCATACCTTATCCTTGGCCGTTGAAGCCATGAAATGGTGGAACGGTTACTGAAAACCGGAACGGATTCAAATCAAAAGACACTTATGACGAGTCGACGACAAAAGCGGATGCAAGCCGCCCACAGATGTTGTAACTAAAACTGGCTATTCCAGAGGGACCAATGTCGCAGTGGCCCACACAGCGTCAGGGTTCTGCGTGGACGTAAATCATATGAAGGCCTAGACACGGTAGTCTCGTTGCAAGCGGAAGCCATCGCATGTTGCAAATTTAAATCGTAATCCTGGGATGGACGAAATGATTTATTGAAGTATTCCTAATCATTCAGGCTCCTCTCAATATCAAGGTGCACCCATAACCGGTTTATGCACCTCTTTTCGCTCGTTGAGCTCTCTTCTGTGGTCCACGAGACTTAATTTTGCTCCAAGATGAAACCCACTGGGAAAAGGAAGAGAACCATAGGGGACAATGCTGGTCGCGGCAGCACAACTTCTGATTCTCGTCCATCCTCATCCTCAAACGAGGGGACACAGGACACGCCATCACCACCTCGCCTCCCCTCAGCTATAAGTGAGGACGAACTGAGAGCAATTTATCATAACCTTGGGATTGAGGACGCCTATGAGATGAGCGCCGCTCAGCTCAGGGAAACGGGGATAAAGATTGCTCAAGGAGTTTTCGGCGATTTTCCTAGGACAGGTGGCCTACAACTCGCTGATCCAGAATTAATGGGCTCTCAATGGGTGCGGCGATTACAATAATTCCGACCGACATATTGAAACCAAGTGGGCAAAAATTACCCAAATCAGCTCTTGACCAGATTGCGCAAACATTTGCGTCGGGTATGATGGATTCTGCTTTTGACGACGATGAGGAATATCCGGAAAGCGTTCGGGAGTTTGTTCCGGAGGAGTCGCAGTCATACAAAGGCGCGGCGAGCCGCCGTTGGAAATTGATTGAACCACCAGTGACTCCGCCGAATATCCTGAGACCTCGGCAAACAGAGTGATTTGCAAGGAGAGGTAGCCGCCGTGTCACGAAAAGATATCATGGTCTTTGCGCACCATAGCTGGGCCCCGTGGACAGGTGGTATGATCAGCACAGAACAGCCAGAAAACAACAGAAAAGAATATGATGTATGCCAATTCAACATTCTGGGCACAGATGGATGTATGGCTTTACATATGAGCCATACAGATCTCGACTCCTTGCTGGACCACTTATCTCTTCTGCATGGAGACATTAAACACGAAGACGAAACACACTGGGTTCCTGTCAAGCCGGCCCAATGCGAAGCAGGTGAAGGAGAAGGGGAAAAGCAAGACAAATCAATTCAAATGAAGCAACACAAGAAAGGGCACGCCCGAATCCAACGGTCTAGCACACTTGCCTTGGTAGCTCTGGCCCAAGGTCATTTGCATGCGGCAGCAAGAATTGTAGGGACTAGGCCTTTTCCAATAGTCGGCGACTTAGCAGAGTTCAATCACGAAACAGGAATCATCAGCCCAGCGTTGGTCGCAGGATCTTTCGTGCATGTCTTACCACGCTTGCGTTCACGAGAACTGGAACCGAGCAACGCGGTGACAGCAGCGTGCGCCTGTGCTCACCTCATTGTGAGTGCTTTGAATGGCCTAATTGGTAATGCTGAATCTAGGCATGTTCGCAGAGAAACAGAGGCAACCCGCGCCATAGGTGCGCCCGAGGAGCGCTCAATACCGGCGTTCACGTCAAGAGGCAAACAAGTGTATCGTGAAGCTGGGATGGTTCAGGGGCTGCTATACAGCGGTATTATCGAATATCTGATTATGAATCGCGATCACATTACAGAACTGCAGGAATCATTGACAGAGGCTGGGACTACTTTTGCATCCTTGCTTGCCACGCTACCCGCCGCTTTTCACGCTCCCCCGGCGCTAGCTATTCTTGGACCGTTGACGGAGACTCTCATACGGCCTTTCATAAAAAAACTGGTTGAAAGCGTAATTCCGAAATCCTACGAAGGGGGTTTTTACAAGGCGACATTATCGGCGGCTGAGACAACTTTGGAGCTTCCCGACGTCCCGTCGGATGCTTCAGAAGAGTTTGCGAGGGGTATCAATTTAGCCATGTCTATGGCTGTAAATGGCTATGGAGCCTACAAAACAATGATTGAAAAATACAGGGAAACCTGCAAGATAAGTCTCGTACGCGAGGCATTTATTGCGATGCGCTCTTACATTCATTAATACTGGGCGGCATTCTATGACAGAGCTTACTAGAGACTGCATGGTGGATTTTCACACTATCTACGCACAGTTTACGAGCTTGCTCTACCACGGTCTCCTGAGGTTAGGAAGTCAACGAAGACCTTTGCTGCGGCATTGTATGATGCTACAGATAGTTTGGCACTCACAGGACGTTGTACATCACAGTGCCGGTAATGAAAATTTGCTTCTTTTGTCATTCTCCTACGGGGTGTATCCTATTGACGAATCAGCCTTGATCCACCGCTGGGGACTCCTGCAAATAACTTCTGTGAAAGGTACATGTGGTTTTACCCAGGAGGACGAAATTCTTCACTGGTGAGAAAAGGCCTATTTACAACATGCGTAATTCATAGTTCAAGCGCTTATTTTATAATTCCGTGCTAACGGACAGGGATGATATAGGCTAGCCGCACCTGGCCTAAATAGGCTTCACCGTAGCCTTGGTATTAGGGTTCGAGATAATTTCTCTGTGCGAAATATGGAAGCCAATTTCGAATACTAGTGTATTGCTAATGAAAGTTTTATCTTGCGAATTATTCATGGTTCGTTCATGTCTGTTGATTTTTGACATTGTACCAGTAGAAGAATTAAGCCCATAGCATTTACAAATATTTTGTCAGTGCGGTACCTTTGGTTTTTTCGATGGATAAATTGTTGCGTCTGGTAACGGTCATGCACCACCACTACCTCCTGGATTATACCACCTCCTCCGCTTGGCTCGGAGCAAACGTTCAGGATCTCAATCAAGAACTGTTAAAGTTAGCGTGCTCTCTGCTGACACCCTATTTGGGACCCACATTTTCGGTATCGCAGCACAAGGATTGACCCTGGCATAAGCTTGTCACTATAGAGCGCGTTAGCATCGCCAAAAAGAATAAGCGTTGGAAGCGTTGGTTAACGATTGGGTATATAGGGTGCACAGGTAACTCCAATATCAGTGTTTCTCCCTAATACGTTAATAGGAACCAGGAGCTGGCAGCACTTCGGTATCTGCTTTAGATTAGAGTAGGTAATGGATATTTATCTTTCAATAATCGGGGATACCAAGGCACCACCGGTCATTATTGCTAGAAGGATGATATCCGACCTCATTCTGGTACTATACTAGGTACTATATTTGATTAAAATGAGAGTTCCTGACCGGATATAGCTCTCTAAATAATTTCAGGTGGCATATGACTAGATCTAGAATCCCAATAGACTCAGAATGTTTGAAAGAAATAATGGGTTTGTAGAATTTGTCCGTAGATCAAAGAGTCAGGTGCCAATTGAACCGATGTATATGACCTCATGGATTCCTTCCGCTTTAGGATAAGATTGGTGGAGGTCATCCATTTCATAAGGCGGTCTGCCAAAGTTATGCTTACGTCCATTGGATTTCATAATAGCCGTACCAGCTTAGTTAGACTTAGAGTTCAATTACTCATCAATTGTCTAACATCAGAGGAGAAACGTTCCTTGGTTACAGTACGATCACTAGTTCAATAGAACCATAAATCAATCTCTGAATATCTCGTTAACAGGTTAACGTAATCCACAAGCCATCCGCCACCACAACCCATCCGCCACCCCACCCACTTATTCTTCTATTCATGAAGCCTTTAAACTACCACAATGCATTTATATTCAATTTAATCTCTATCTGGACACATATTAGCCCTATGGCCAGGCCTTCTGCATACGCTGCATGCATATTGACGTCTATTGGTTGACTCAACGGTCGCTGAAGCTCTCCGGGTGGGTGTTGTAGAGACCACCCCACCACCTTCTATGCCCCCTGGTAGACCAATGCCTTGCCTATGGGCTTCATGAACGAATAAGCCCTCATCGCGCTGTATTTGCCGTTTAGGCAATGCCTTTTTTTTTTATCTTTTTATAGTTTGCAGCACGTAGATCTGTCACTTCTTGCTCCAATAGAAGGATACGCTTCATGACTTGTTCGCATGCCTTGTAAGCCTGATTAAACACCTCTTTTGTAGGCGTCGGTGGGCTATCTGACCGGTACTTAATAAGACGCTTTGCTGATGCCCTATGCTTTAAAAGCTGTTTGATATTGCTTGGTGTTTCGGGGCAATAAATGCTTGATCGGCTTAATGGTCGGTCTGATAGTGTAGGCAGACGAAGCTAAATATTGAGCTTATCAAGGACTTCTGCTGCATTCAACGGTATTAAACCGGTCGCTTTGAATGCATTCTAAATGCTTCTAGCCTAAAAGGCGTCTTCGCGTGCGCGTGGGTAGGCTGCAAGGAAATCAAGCTTGTCGATATGATTTATCCCTATATATGTCTGTTGGTCCACTAAGCGACCGTATAATCGTTTTAGCACTGCGAAACAGTCTACATCTAGCGGCTATAATAGATATAAGCTATGCGGTGGCATATATATAGGTATGACGTCGTTTTCAGTGCATAGACGATCAAATTCAGGCATAAGGTGGCTTCCATAACCATCAAGAATCAATAGCCTATACCGACCACGTATGCGGTTTGCGGTTAAAGGAATAAATAGCTTTTGAAGCTATCGAAGCCTAATTGCGTCAGATATCCACCTATTTGGGCTTACCTCGAAGCGCCAGTCCTTTGGGGTATCTTAGAACCATAATTTAATATAGCGCTTGCCTTTAAATATAATCAACGGTGGTAAAGCCTAGCCTAAAGCATTAACTGTCTCTACTGCGGTCACCTATTCACGATTGCCTGGCTGTAAGACAGATCTCCGGCCATAGTATTCAGCTCTAGTGACCACTTTTGCGGTAGAAACGAGGCCCATTGCGAAGCCTGTTTCATCGAATTTATAGATATTATCAGGCGGGATACCATAGCGCGTAATAGTCTCCCTAACTAGCTGAAACCAGTCATTTAATACCCGGGGATCCTCTTGCTCTGTACGCTGATAGTTATATCGTCGCGAGAAACGTGTTTGGATAGACGGTGTACGTTTGATATAGTTCCCAACCCAATTCACGCCGACTGTAGTGGAACCGGTAGCCCCAAGAAGAATATTGGCCATATTGCGTACCATTGCATGCCGAGGGGATGCACCGCGATTATCCATAGATAGAATCCACTTAGTAAGCGTATCCTTATCTAGCTGGGTCATTTTATGGCCATTAGCGCGTGTAGTAGCCTTTGAAAGATGACCATTAATGCGGTCGCGCAGCGTAGATCGCGGTATGCTATAGACGCGCGCAGCAGCCGTGATAGTCGGAATATCCTTATTTTTAAAAGCCTGGATTGCAAGTTCAAGCCTACCCTCTTGATGGATAGCATCTTGGCTTGTTTCGGAACGAATTGGTGGCATAATAAATGATTTAAAGTGGTGGGGGATATACGGAGACGCGAAATTGGATGGGGTGGCGGATGGGTTGTGGTGGCGGATGGCTTGTGGATTACGTTAGAGTATTGCTCGGGAGATCCAGACTGGGCCATTTAGAAAACTAAGTCATATAATAGACCCCGATATCTGGCGATAGAAGAACTATGATTAAGAACATAGATACAGTACCTACTCAATATATTCTGGTAGCGCGAGTTAAGCGGAATGCTTCTCTTATATTCTACTTGCGACCGTAACTTGCGGCGCCATGGTCTCCCCACCTATTATAAGACAAACCTCTATTACCTGCTCCAGCGCAAAGCAGACACCGAAGTGCTGCCAGCTCTTGTTTCCTATCAACGTATTGGGAAAAACCGTTGATATTGGAGTTGTATATACACCCTATACGAAATATCCTCATCCTATAACAGTATCGTAATCTCTCTCTATTGACAATGCTGACTGGCTCTACAGCGGATACCTCGTGTAGGGGTTAAACCTTATGCTGCGATACTGAAAATATGGGTAACTAGTATCGTGTGCAACGAGCAGGCTAACATAAGCAGTTTTTGATTAAGATTCTGAACGTTTATTCTGAGCCTAGTGGAGGAAGCGGAGGTAGTAAACCTGGTAGTGGTGGTTAAGCTAGTTTAAAGTTGTTCTTCTCTGCCATCATATCTTATATTTAATTACTCCAATCTTCCTCCATCTTTAGGCCGGCATGCTGAAAGTGACCTCTTGCACTGTCTCCTTTCGCACTAACCACTTTGATATACCACTCGAGGAAGGCATCAAATCCTTAACTGGGATCATCTTCAAAGTACCCCTAGTTACGTTTGATAAGGCCTTTGAGCTCAGCGAAGAATTCCTCAATCGGATTGAGATCCGGCGAATATGGTGGCAGATATTCCAATTTCACACCAGTATCTTCACAGATCTGCACAATCTTCTCAGAATAATGGAAAGATGCATTATCTATCATTATAACGGACTTAGGCTCCAGCCGTCGCCTATAGCGCTAAATAAGCTCGGCGATAAAGTCCTCGAACATTACCGCATCGGTCGAGCCACGGAAGACACGTGAAAGGACTATACTATCTTAAGCATACGCTGGCAGTATCTGGTATCGCTGATCGCGATGGAACCGAGACACTTGCACGGGAGCCTTGCCAAGCGGTGACCACCCTCATTCGTCTAAAACCCACGCGTTTATCACACCCTGATTCGTTAACATACACTAGGTGATAGGAATGAAAGTCGATATATTATATGAATAAATCTCCTTTAAATCGGGAGCTCTCTGCCGAGACACCTTTTTAGACCAACCGTGGGCTACGAGAGCCCTTCGGATACTTGAGGTCGTCACCTGGGTCTCGAATTCATCCTAAAGAAAGACAGCCATCTGGTCTAGATAGAGGGCTGGTTTTTCGACCAGGTGATCGCAGAGTGCTTCTAGCATCCGAGGTGTGATAGTGCGTCTCCGACCGACTCGATTCGTTGGAGCGTGGACGTTTCCAAATTGCCGTAAGTTCCTGCGAATATTTTTGATCGTACGTTCGCTGCATTCAGCCTGTTCGGCTATTTCAGATGTGGTCAGCAACTGGCTCTGTATTATATCACGAATAAAGTATAGCTTCGAACGGGGTAGCCTCGGTGCCATATTGCGTAGATTGCCTTGAGCGACACTCCAGACAGCGAGTGAATGGCTGTTGACGCAACAGTCTGGAAGGAGCACATCTCTTGGAGGGGCATCGAGGTTGCACCCTCTATGGCGTTACCCGTAAATTACCGTATCTTACGTTATGTAAAATAACGTTCTATTTCTAGCATTGGAGAGATCTGCGACTAAACTTAATATAGACTAGCGTGCTTCAGGATAGGACTGGAAAAACAATCTGAGAGTGAATGCGGGGGAATCTGATTTCGAATTCGGCAGTATGCAATGGGACAAGTTAGATACACAGAGGTGACGAGCCATGGCAGCACCCTAGATATATACTGGTCTCCGGCCGATGTTTCTAAAAAAAGCAGTCAAAAGCCATAAATTTAGCAGCCCTTGCACTCCTTGACGTAGAGGTTGGCAGCCTCGTACTCGGCGTTGTGCGAGCCATACCAGAAGAGCTCCTTCACCTTGCTCTCGCCGTAGCCGTCCTTGGCGAAGTACGCTTTGCCGTTGTGGGTAAAGTAACCCTCATCGTTGACGCCGAAGTCGTTGGTGCTGGCGCCCTGGGGGGTTGCGCCGGAGTGGGGGACAGTCAGAGCAATGGGCTCCACCGTGTCGGGGATGACATAGAGGTTCTGGAAGCCGGTGGGGGTGGAGTTCTTGGAGGTGAAAGAGACCATTCCGTTAGGACCAGAGCGAACTATTCTGCGTCAGTTGCATTGAAATGAGATTGTGGATTGACTGCTTGACTTACGGATCAGGATCTCATGGTTCGCGTCTGTGTCGCCACCGACATAGGCGTTGGCTGATTGAAAGGTCAATAAGCTGTTCTTCTGATGGAGAAGATCTGGAAAACTTACTGCCATCGGTCAGAACAGTCTGGCCGCCATCACCAACGAGAGTGAAAGCTGCAGGAAGACTAGCAGCAGAGATGGCAATGGCGAAGCCAGCAAGAGCAGCGATAGAAAATTTCATTTTGGTTGATGGATTGATGAGACTGAGATGATTGGGTTTTGCAGCTTGAGATCCCGGGGCTTTTATACGTGATCGCGAGGTACTCGGAAGCTATGAGTCGGAAGCCAGCCGGCTCAAGCTAAGACAAGCTTAACCTGGATTGAGGTCATAAGTCGGAGCTCATTCCATTTCCATACAAGTGGGTAGTGGACTCTTTGGACCCTAACGGTTAAGGGTTGGGGGATCGCCGATCATGCGGAGAAGTTGGAACATGTCTTGGATCTAGTCAGTAGAGACAATTTCTACAAGTACACCGTCTTTTTACCGAAATGAGACACGAGTAGGGTAGACCGAACAGCCTTGAGGGCCTTGGGACTGGCAGACTGACATCCAAATTGTCTATGAGAAATTCTCGCTCAGAGTTGAACTGCTAACGCCCAAAACAATCTCAAACTCTTTTCATTCTACTCCCATGACTGGGAAAACCCTCATACTGTAGCCTGTGGCTATAATTGGGTCAAATTTAAGGAGACTGTATTACCCGACTTCCGGGTGGGTAGTGGGTCCTCAATGCTGTTCTTCACTTGCGAATGGAGAAAATTCGGGGCAATCCCCCCAACATATGTACTATCCTTTTTCGCTGTACCCGCAAACCAGTTTCAATGCTGGGGCGACTAGTAGCTCAACATCCTGGCGATCTTGTTGTAAGGCTATCCAATCCCCACCTAGGGCTTCGGGCCGTCACTGGGCTGTGGCAGGCTTCAAGACTTCAATCATAAGGGAACCTTCCAAGATTTTCTAGCTGAAGCCTAGATTTTTCCGTCAATTTCCGAAGCCTTATACCAAGATCCACTAGTAAATTTGCAGAATAACATCGGAATATCGATGTTTTATATCGTGCTTCTCAAGGCATCTTACGGTATCTACAGCAACCGGGTGTTTGGTCACAATAACTTCTTTCTAATTATACACCCCTGACTTAACGTACTAGTCGTTTGAGGTAGATTCCAAGAAAGGGGGGCCCGCAGTCCACTCAAGAAATTTCCACCTCAACGGCTTCATATGATCACGGCACCAAGAAGCTCTCTTCCAACACCAGACATCTGGCCGCAGATAGGCCGCAAGATGCCCCTTCCACAACGGAGGCCGGCCTGGGCTTATGATAAGGGCTAGTAACGGGGTCAAGTTTACCATGGTCGAGTAAGCTTGAATTTAAGGGGAGCATACTGTAGCAACACAAAAAGATGAGTTTTGAAATGATGGCGGGTTACGATACCAGGGCCAAAGAAGCAAGCCAGCTGACCAGTATCATGCTCGCCAAAGGTGAGCGACGAATCTTGTCATTATGTACATCTGAATTCCCTCGGAGGGAGCTTAGGCACTAAAATGAGAAAAATCATATTGTTTGGGTGCAGGTCTTGACAGAATCCATGGTTGATCGGTGTAAGAAATTACGCTTATTTTGTATGTTGATCGGACGGAAAAGGCAAGGAATCCAAACCTAACGACCTTTTGCTTAAAAGATTTCGGAATTGGAACTTGTAACCTGTACGTCATATATTCACAATATTTTAATGCAAACGTCAGCCTTGGAGTTTGTTCGTTCTCGATATTATAATTGTCTACAGACGAGATTGACTCTCTTTGTCTACTCGTTTTTCCTTTGCGTCTCTATCCACAGTCGAACTCCGGTCCAGAGGCCTTGCGTCTAATATCATTCTTCGCCTTGAAGACTGAAACATATCGAGACATGGAAAAAGTCTCCCCAAGCTGCTTCATACTATGTGGAAGAAAGTGATAAAATCCTCCACCCTACTGTGTCTAGGTGAGCGGATCTTTCAAGAGATCTGCCATTATCTTTCACTAGTGGATCAAGTCTGTCTATCCCTTAGCTGCAAAGAGCTCTTCAGCCTGTTTAAGAAGATCGTGAAGGACGAAAATCTCAAATTTTCACGACTCTCGCGTATAAGGCACCCAACACTGTGCGGGAACAGTCAGGATATGCCGCGAAATCAACTTTTAATTCGACTCGAAAATCACCACTGGGTCTTACTGCGCGAAGTGTTTGAAGCTCCATCCATGGAAGGAATTCACGAAAACCTTACTGAGACAATCAGCTCTGGAGAGATCCTGCACATACTACGCCGGTATAGCCGACCTATGTCCCTGTATTTCTATTACGATTCGAGGTAGGGAAAAGCTTGTGAAGTTACTCAGACCTCCCGTGAAGCCTGCAAAAATCAAGTACGGCCCATTCGAGCCGGGCTCTCACGATAGCGATCGTCCTAACCTTGGCGTTCCCGTTAGAGTACGCCCCGACCTGGGTCACTTTTGTAAATTTCGCACGAGTTCTGGCGACCAGATATGGGTTCCTTTATTATTGTTTATAGATGAAAATGGCCAGTTATGTGCATTGTCTCGGTATACCATATGTTTCTCCTCCTGTCTCACAGCTACGCCCGCTTTTGCTTGTCCTCATTAGAATCTTCTATCTCTCGTCTCCATGAGACAAGCCGCGAAAGTTCTTGACAGGAACCAAACTTTGGGTTTTTCGAAATATCATCAGGCTACCTTGTGTACTGTCGACGAGAAGATGGCCGTAAAAGCCTGTTTCATGTGTGCGACTACGATTGCAGTGTGCGGTGGGTCTGAAAACAGTATTCAGGCTGTTTTCTGGGTGGTACGAGATCTGGGAAGCTGTGAATGGCCTGCAGGCCGGACTTGGCTTGATCAGTGTCGTCTTATCTGAACATGGTCTCAGCATGACAAAACTTACGAGTGTACTTACCAAGGGGTTCGGGGAAAAAAGAATCACTGCTGTTAGAACTACGCTATAAGTAGCGGTCGCAGAGCTTGCGGAACACGACGTAGGGTGTTCATAGTCAGTAAAGAGATTACTGCCTCGAACAGGAAAGATGGCTCCTTTAGCATTAAATCGAAGTCTCATGATTTTAGAAAAGTGAATCTAGACAGCTAGTACCATCTCTGCGTTGCTTCCTGTAGCGTCGTGTTACTGGATGAAAGTGAATACGCGACATACGCTGCTGGGGTATTTCATTTGAGAAGACAGATAAATGAACAAGACTTTTTTCATCCCATTACTGGACGATTCCAAGCTCCAGCATTTGGCATGCAGTATAGAGAGTGGCGACTATATGTATATCAACGTGCTGTCACACTGATTATTGAGTTTGCCCATCTCCCCGTGTTTATGGGAATAACGAGACACGAGCGTCTGGGCGACTCATAAATCAGTCGAAGGAACAGGTTTCCAGGTCACGGTGAACGTTTGTCTCATAGGATCCTTACAAGCTAGTCATATGTGAAGGATGCAGCTGCAGAGACCCATGAGCTCACCGCTAGCAAGCGTGGAAAGTGTAGTTATGGAGGATCAATGATGGCCCTAAGGCAGGTCATTTGTAAGAAGAGCACCAACATCTATCCCTTTTTGACCACTATCCTTCAGGGGCAAAGATTGACGCGCTAGCAGATGACTTGGTGCGCCCAAAAACACATTGATCCACGAAATACTTCCCGCAAATTTACTACTTGAGAGATGCCTCTTATACTGAGATTGGGTCAAAACAAGAATGATTCAGCAAGGTCGTTGGCCCAGATAAAATCATGCGGGGCAGAAATTCTGGCCCTTGACAAGGATTTGATATTGTTGTCCGGGTGTACTGAGGAACATGCGGTCAGAAAGGCTTCAAAGGGAGTTCAACGGCGCAAACTGGACCTGCGACATGGCGCAAACAATGAGATCCTGCATATTGGTAGATTAATTGTGTTTCACTGAAACAAATAAAGCTCTGCCGAAAAGCCATACCAATGCATTCACGGCAAGTTGAAAAGCGCCTTTGAGCACTCGACAAATATACCAAGGCGGTTGATACTTTGAGTACTCTGGGAGATTCTCTTTTGGAGTTTTTGTTTAATGTATTCTCCCCTCGCAAACACACTGCAATGGGTTTGTTTGATTCCTTGACATGCGGCGTGAAGTGCTAATGATCATCCGATGATGGGCAGAGGTGGATCCAAACTAGCGCCTCAATTCTCAGGCAGCGATCGGATGGATTGACGAAAGTCAAAGAGCTCCATTTCTGCTCCTCGTCTAAATCATTGTTTTTGGCCTCATTCTACATGCTTAGTTCTTGGCTCAGCTTCTTCTGAATGTCGATTTGCCGGAACATCTCCAATTCATCAAGGGCCTAAATTGACCGAAAGTACAATTTCGACTCCGAGAGGAGAAATGGAACCCTTACTAGGTTGATCTGGAACCCCAAAGTCTAGGGATACGATGTATTCGCAACAAGAGACGAAGTTTCAAGAGGTCCGTGGCAAGGGCAGACAAACCTGGGGCACGGCTTCAACACCGACGACTGCTTGCGTGAGCTGCCGTCTCCAGCACGCCATGGCACCATGACCGAGGATTAGAAATCAGATTGGAAATGCCATCGCGTTCATCGTGAATACTGTGACTGGCCGGGTATATGATCAAGGCATCTCTCACCTCTCACTTATACAATTCACTCCAACCACCGCTACTTCAGCTCCGCGGTACCGACATCAAAATGCCCGACCAACCACGACAACTTCACCTCACAGCCTTTATGCGCCCAATCTCCCTCCATACCGGAGCATGGCGCTACCCAGGCTCCTACCCAGATGCGAACTTCAACTTCGCTCATATAACCCAATTCGCACAGAAACTCGAAGCCGCGAAATTCGACGCCTTCTTCATGGCTGACCATCTAGCCGTCCTGAACATGCCCATTGAAGCCCTCAAACGTAGCCACACAATCTTCTCATTCGAGCCATTCACACTTCTCTCGGCCCTCTCCGCCGTGACGTCAAAAATCGGCCTCGCCGCAACAGCAAGTACAACATACGACCTCCCATACCACGTCGCACGCCGCTTCGCAAGTCTAGACCATCTAAGCAACGGTCGCGCAGCCTGGAATATAGTGACAACGGGAAACCCGGAATCGAGTCACAATTTCGGCATCGACGAGCATATGGCTCATAGCGATCGATACAAACGCGCGCGGGAATTCTACGACGTTGTCACTGGGTTATGGGATAGTTTTGCCGATGATGCATTTACACGGGACGTCCGAAGTGGTGAATACATTGATCCGAAGAAGATGCACCGCTTGTGTCATGATGGTGATGAGTTCAAGGTTCGGGGACCATTGAACATCGCTCGACCGCCTCAGGGATGGCCCGTGATTGTGCAGGCGGGACAGAGCGAGGCGGGACGACAACTCGCTGCTGAAACTGCCGAGGTTGTTTTTTGCATTCCGAAGGATATTGAAGGTGCGAAAGTGCTCTATGCTGATATAAAAGGGAGGGTTGTGAAGGCGGGACGGAAGAGGGAGGATTTGAAGATTTTGCCCGCGGCTATGATCATTGTTGGGGAGAGTAAAGCGGATGCGCAGGAGAAAAGGCTGCTGTTGGATTCTTTGGTGCATTATGATAGTTCAATTGCGTCGTTGTCTATTGCGCTGGGGGGTTGATGTTGATGCTTTGGATCCGGATGGGCCGCTGCCTGAGGATCTGCCTGAAACGAATGCGAGCAAGACGAGTAGAGAGGCTATTGAACAGTTGGCTACTCGGGAGGGACTCACTATTCGACAGCTTGCGCAGCGTTATGGAGGCTACTCTGGATTGGCTTTTCTGGGCTCCCCTAGTGATATCGCAGATGAGATGGAGACTTGGCTGCGGGAAGAGGCTTCCGACGGCTTTACATGCGTGTTTCCGTTCTTGCCTCGGGGCTTGGAGGAAGTCACGGATAGATTGATTCCGGAGCTACAGAGACGAGGGTTATTTCGTCAGGACTACACCGGGTCGACACTACGGGAGCATTTTGGTCTGGAAAGACCAGAGAATCGCTTCTTTAGTAGAAGTTGATAACGTGTGACTAGGTAGTAAGACACAATGTCGTTAGTGCTGATACAATTATTTCCAAGGATCTATGCAAGCCTCTATAGAGAAGCGCGCACAAACTGCCGTGTTTATGAATAAGGTTATTTCCGGCTCTACACCTTGATCCATGTCGATCAACGTCAAAATGAAGAACTACAAAAACATGATGTTGAGCATTCGGCTCAGACTTTATCCCCCCTCCCCATGCTTAGGACCCAACCAAGAGATCGAGCTGCCAAGGTAGATCTTGGCCCGACACCAGGAATCCGGGGAAGATTGAACTCGGCAGTCAGGCCCGGCCACGATCCGAGATTAAATGCAGGTGTTGACGATTAGTCTCGATGGACACGCCGGACCGAGTGTTAGCCGGGTGGACTGACACTGGGGACAAATTCGAGCTATGACGGAGTCAGAGACGCAAGGGCCAGCTTGCGGGGCTGGAGAAGTGGCTTGCTCCACCCGGGCCGGTATGTGATCTGGCTATCAGACTGATAGATTGCTTTCTCTTTGCTCTACCAGCAATTTAAAGCGAACATTGAATATTTCAATCATTGCACAAGGAGCGCTTGACCAAAATGCCACATATGCCCTGATCCTGACAGGTTGTAGATAGAAGATAGATGATAGATGATAGCAATGCAGGATTGCACGAAGATCGAAGGCATTGATAGGAGCCGGCATGAGATCACCCAGCGGGATCGCGATATCAATGATCCCACTAGCCAATAATGTCATGGTCCCGGAGAGCACTTACAAAACAGCTCACCGGAGTCGATTCTACCCATCACAACCCGTTCACATTTCGTGTCTCAACACCCAAGTCACGAGGACACAATTATCACATAATTCGGTAGCTCCCGGGACCAAGAAAAAGATTAGGATAGGAAACGAAGAATCCGGATCACCCCATGGCTCCAAGTGGCAAGTGGGCGGCAGGTAACAATGGAGAATTGTGTCAGCGAAAATACGTGGCTCGCGAGTGGACGGAACATGAACCACAACGGTCGCACTAGTTCACGCCTTATTTTGCTCTATCCCTGGGCGCCACGATCCGACACAACCTGGACAATCTTCGCGCCTGGGTCGAGGCCACTGGGCACTCTATGACAGGCGTGTTAAGTCTATGACAGGCGTGTTAAGCACGTGGGTGTCCGTCGGAGGATTTGCATGCGTCCTGTGAATTTGCCACTATGTTCTGTACGGTTTGTGCATCCAGCGCATTGTCGCTCAATTGAAGTAGTATCGTCTAGCTTGCCCGGACAATTTATTTCGCCTCCTTGGGGTTTGGTGGATTGGCGCAAAAGACCCAAGAAAAATGCCTCTTGGTTGGTTGGTATGTTTGTTTCTAGGCGGATTCGAGATAACCGCGTTGACCACGTAAATGGAGGACAATCTTACAATAGGAAACACAATCTTGTCATCTATTTCCCGCAGTAACCATGCAGAGATTTTTTTGGTATTCAGATCTGCCATTTCCAATGGCTGTCACTGGGAGTTTCCTATGTGTAACCTTCTGCCCTAGAGGTTTAGCGACCTGCGGATTGCCGTCTTGCAGCAATGACAAGTTGAGCCTAGAGAGTCAGCCTACGCGGGACGCAACAAAGGGCTGTCAGTTAGACTGTGATGACTATGCAGGATATGAATTTTTCCGCTAGAGGAATCGGGCAAACAGTGACTGTTGGCAAACAAAGTACATGGTTAGTCGGCTCCGAGACTCGGCCGACGGGAGCTTGGCACTCTTCAGCCCACCGGTTCACCTGGGAAGATCCACAGCTGACATTGGCCCCGGATATAGCTGGTCCTTTGTTCAACGGTTTCACGCTCATGAGAGATTCGGAAGATCCTAACGGTCCGGAGCCGGCCGTCTCAGCTAAGGTGATCCCGGCTCGATTTGACCGAGCGCAAGAGAGGAGCAGCCTGCCGCGTGACTACGCCTGTTTGGGGGAAGGCCAGCAGGGTCTTTTCGAAGATGGAGCTAGGCCTTGACATCACAGGTCAATCTCGGCTTCCAAGTTCGGTCGATAGACGGCGACAACACTCGTAATCCGACCCGCGTGCCGACCCCTGTTGAGTTTTTTTTTGCGCTTGACGAAAACCCCAAGGGATATATATAAGCTGGCGGGGTCGATGTGGACTCACCTTTTGTTCCATGGTAAGACGCCTTTCAATCCACCTTTTACTTTTATAAACATTGAATCCTCCTGCCTCCTTCGTCCTCGAGCACAGATATTGTATTCAGTCTTCGCCCTGAATCAGGTCAGCATAACAGCTTTTCACGATGCCATTCACTCGATCAAGTACCCTTCCAACTCTCTCATTAGAGGACGAAAGGTATTTCAATCAGAATCTGAGTCCTCAGTCTCGTCCATTGGACATGTGCAAGGGATCCGACCTTCTGCCCGGCAACTGGTCCTATGACAGTGCTATCGATCTCTTTTCTCTGAACCCCGCCAACATGGATCCAGTCGCCTTCGATTTTACCGACAACTTTACCAATGCAGACTCCAAAGATTTGTTCGTGGATCCATTCGGAACACCAACGGTCATCAATGGTTTCACGATGCCTGCCGCCGATGACACAGTATCTCTCTCATCAGTCAGTTAGCCTTCTCCCACTATGAGATATTCACATCCCTAACAACATTCAAGGATCTGGACAGCGATGATCAGTCTTGGTCCGCCGGAATGTGCCAATCCATTGACAAGACTATCCCCGAAGAACCCACCAAACCATCCAGGCCTGTCACCCGCAACTCTGTCCAGAGCACCGCCTCAACGCGATGGTCGTCCAGCCCCGAGATGCAATCCCAAGAATATATCACCCCCAAACAATCAAAGACATCCGGTCGGAAATCTCGCAGTCTCTCGCAAGACTCCAACGTCTCCTCGAGCCAAGACCCCCAAATGCGTAACGCCGCTAAAAGAGCTGCCCACAACATCATCGAGAAACGTTACCGCACGAACATGAACGCCAAATTCCTCGCTCTGGAAAAGGCAATCTCCCCCGCCGGAGCCCACAAACAATCTCGAGTCGGTGCTGGAAATTTGAAGAAATCCGAGATCCTCAGCAACGCCCTCGCATACATCGAAAGTGTGCAACAGGAAAACGCAGCCGTTCACAAGGAACTCGCGCTTTTAGAACACAGTCTTGTCTCCGGGGGAGTGTGGCGACACAAGCAGCCGCGCGCTTGAGTCGTGACTTTCAATTTCGAGTCATTGAATCAGACTCGCACATAACTGCATTTCATGATGACACGATGGGAATACAGAGCCGTTTTGGCTGGAGTTGGACTGGAGTTTGGATTGCTGGGTAATTAGGGATGGCGTGCTTTTTTTTCACCATCATCTCCCATCACTACCTTTCCGGGTCTCGGTGACAACAAAAGTGTTTTATGATTCCCCTGGTTGTATCGACTAGTGAAGCATCAATGTAACTGCCAAGACTCGGTGATCTTGAATTCTTCTTTGGATTGTGTGAATCGTGCGATTTCGAATCGCTTCTCGAAGTATTGACCCGATTCAGAATGGGTCACGGTTGATTGTGGTGGGAGTCACCGCGGCTGGGATTTCCGAGAATGGAAGGTAAGTGGAAGTGGTATGATGCTGCCCCTGTTAGTTTTTATTAATAAGTATGAGTTGCTTGCCCTTTGTGATCATGACTCGAGACAAAGGTTCACAGATCGTGGTTGATTGTGTTGAGCTTTCACTTGGCTTGGGAGCTCACCAACTGACGTTCGCGCGGCGTTCAGCGCTGTTGTCCTTCAACAGAATGCATCGCTCATCTCTTCAACCTTGCAATGCTTGGAAGAAAGACTTCTCGGACTCCGAAGTAAATTCATTTCTCACTGTTGAAAGGAAACACCTGGTCAAGAACCTTGTGAAGGAATCCCCCAGGGGTTCCAACAACCGGGAAACACCCTTTTGTGTTCGACACGCGCCCAGAGAGTGGATTGCCCCGGAATCAGAAGACGCTCGATGCGGGGAAGCAATTGTTCAGCGCTCTAGTGTCTTGTCGACCCGCAAAATGAGCAATCGATTGATAATATGTTTCAACCTGGGGAATCTCGAACCGACAGGGTGATCATCGGGCATCACCGCGACGCCTCGGGCCCAGACAAGCTGTACTCACCCGCCGTGTCAAATGCGAAATTCGGACTGAAAATGCCTCATTCCTTCATATCTTCTGGGAACAGAGAGGAAAAGGAATTTTGGCGAGGCAACAACCGAGAAAGACTACGGCATTACGGATGCTGCTTGGCTGAGCCTAGCCCTGACGATCTGGTTCCGAATGCCTAAAAAGGGTTGGCTTGATGGGCGGTTCCTGACTACCAGAACCGCAAGCACGCGTCATGAATAATGAGAAGCTGAAAGCAGGGCAATCCCAGAGATAGGAAATGCCTACATCGGAATCGCAATCTATGGATCGAACTCATGTAATAGATTCACCCCGCATTTCCAAAACCTCGACCCATTTCTTTCTTGACTCTATCAGCCAGCGACCCATCGAGTCCACTGTCTCCACCGGAAAAGGAAAGAACAGGAGATATCAGGACCGAGCGCGAGCGGCGAATCAGACCAATCGACTTGCAGGACTGCGAGCTCTCGGCCAAGTCAACTGGAACTACCTCCTGGGAAATCTGGGGAACACCATTGGGAAGAGCAAACTAGTCACAGGCCTAGCTGACTGATTATCCGCCACGTTCCACCCAGGCGCCAGCCGAGGGTGACCCCTGCATACGATGTCACTATTCAAACGGCAACTGAGATGACTCTATTCCCTTCCATTCTCCAATCGGTCCCCGCCTTTTCTCACTCGATTGGAACCTGTCTTCGGATGCTCGGCAGGCCATTTAATTGATACTCAATTGTCAATTCGATGACTTGCTGACCTCGAATTCCGCCCAATCATTCCAACACTCTCACGTGGCGATAATCTGGCATCGGCAATTGCGTCTCCACCGTGGAGCTCACTCGATATGCCACAGATACGGGATGACGACTCAGACCTTGAAGCTGGTTAACAATATGACCGGTCTTGAGTCCGCTGATAAAGAACTCTTATCGGGCCGCATGGACTTGCTATTTTGGGCGTGGCCGTCCATAGATGACCCGTCGAGCTTCTACGGCTTCCATGGCTTGCATGGAATGTCTAACTGGCTGCATGAAGCTTTCACAATCACTATGCCTCAACAGTGGATGAACTCTAAAAGGCTCAAAGGTTGATACTGCAAATTGAAGTCATAGGAAAGGGCGGTAAATCTATGTTCGCCACCGGAACACCACTTTCTGTCCACGGTCGGCATTCATTACCGCTTACAACAGGGCTCAACATACAGCAGCAATCAAAAGAAGATAGTCATGATCACAATTACACAATTGATCTTCATCCAAGATGCAGTCAATGGAGATATCAAAATACCCCAGGCGTTATCAACAACGGACCCACGAACCCGAACCTGAACCAAAAAAAAGGATAGAAGACTGGGCCCCAAACCCACAGGAGCAAGTCCACCCGAGAGCGGGCACAATCCCCGCAAAAAACCAACGTAAAGAAAATCATACGCGATGAATATTCCTATTACACACAGTCTCTCTCTCAGTGACCAATCCACCCAATTTCCACCCGTCAATTATCCCCGATCGGTGCCTGTCATTGGTTCTCCCGCTGTCACCCCAGCTTTATCTCTTGCCCCGTATTCACACGACCAGAGATAGGGTGCGCCGCGAGGGGTGCAACCGCTATCATATATAGAAAAAGAACTTGGCCCCCCTGCAATTCTCACCCTGTATTCAGCCTCGGCGGAAAATGGGAACGACTTTCCTTGAGAAATTGGAATTGAAATTCATTGCCTTGGGCTGAAACGTCTTATCATATTCAACTGAACAATTGAAACCGACATATACGATATCCTATTATGGACGTTGAATCGATTACCGTGAAGCCGCCGCTCGAGAACGATCAGGATTTTCAGGATGCCACTGATCTTGCGGCGATGGGCCACGCCCAGGCGCTGACTCGGAAATTTAATATCTGGAGCATGCTTGCTCTTGCATTCTGTGTTCTCGGTGAGTCGCCACCCGACTTTCCTTCTTGTTGAGGAATAGTGATATCGCTTCCAAGTGTTTGCGGATGCTAACCGTACTAGGGACATACTCTACCTTCGCGCAGGATCTCAGCAGCGGTCTTACGAATGGTGCCTCAATCACCATCCTCTGGGGCCTGGTGCTGGTCACAGGCTGTAACTTGTGTGTCGCTGTTTCGCTGGGCGAGTTGACGAGCAGTATGCCCACTGCCCTTGGTCAAGCATACTGGGTATATAGATTGTGGCCAACGCCGATGGGCCGATTCGTTTCATACATGTGTGCGTGGATTAACACGTTCGGCTGGTGGACTTTGACTGCGTCGCAGGTGGCATTCATGACTGAGTTCCTGCTTGGTATGAAGACGATGTTTGATCCCGAGTGGAGCGGTGCCGGGAAGGGATGGGTCAATTTCCTGGTTTACATTGGGGTTGTGTTTGTGTTGACGGTGGTCAATGTGGTTAGTTGTCGCAAGGAGCAGGTTCTGCCTTGGATTAATAACTTTGTTGGTATTTGGTTTGCCGGGTTGTTTGTCGTCTTGTCGATGGTGATGTTAATTTGTGTTGGCGTGAAGAGTGATTTGTCTTTCCAGTCTGGAGGGTTTGTCTTCGGCAACTGGATGAATCAAACGGGATGGCCGGATGGTGTGGTTTGGTTCACTGGCTTGGTGCAGGCTGCCTATGGTCTGACGGCTTTCGACTCGGTCATTCATATGGTCGAGGAGATTCCCGATCCAAGAAAGAATGCGCCGCGTGCTATCTGGATGGCTGTCCTGTTTGGTGCCATCACGGGTTTCATCTTCATGGTCGTTTGTCTCTTCTGCATTCAGGATGTCGACGCCGTCACCAATGCCGATCAGCCTTTCATCGAGCTGATTCTCGAGACTGTTGGTCTCAAGGGTGGCGCCACGCTCATCGCTCTATTCATCTTTAACGGTCTCGGCCAGGGTATCTCTGTCTTGACCACCGCCTCCCGTTTGACCTGGGGCTTCGCCCGTGACGGCGGTGTCCCCTGGAGCAAGTACTTTAGCCACGTCGACCCGGTCTGGCAGGTCCCTGCCCGTGCGCTCTGGGGTCAAGGGTTTATCATCGGCCTCGTTGGCATCCTCTACCTCTTCGCCAACACCGTTCTCGAGGCCATTCTCAGCGTCAGCACAATCGCCCTCACGATCTCCTACGCGATGCCTATCCTCGCTCTCTTGATCGTTGGCCGCGAGAAGCTCGTCCCTGGTCCCTTCCAGCTTGGTCGCTGGGGCAGCTGGATGAACTGGATCAGTATTGTGTACTGTGTTATTACCACCATCTTTTTCTTGTTCCCTGGCGCTCCGAACCCAGCTCCGGCTGATATGAACTACGCCATCGCTGTATTCGGCGTCATGCTTGTCATTGCGATTGCGTTCTGGTTTATCCAGGGTGGTCGGACATATCTCCAGACTGAGGATGCGATCGCGCAGATGTTCTATGCGCAGCATCTTGAGAATGCGCGAGAATCCGACGTGGCTGTCGTGCCGCAACCTGACTTGAAATGAAAGTCGAAATTTGTACATAAATGAACATTATATCTCTTTCCAGTCTGTAACTGTATTGAATACATTCAGACAACATCGCATATATCATCGCATATATCATCACCTCTAACCAGAAGTCATTGCTTTCCATGAGTTGTGATCCGGGCACGTGACAAAGTCAACTCGCCTTGTCAAGAAGGCTTCCAAGAGTGGAAAGTCCATAAACTGCATGGAAATACAACACTTAGTTACACCGGAACCCCCGGGACCGCTGCAGGTTGGGTAACATGCCATCAGTCAGTATTAGCTACACTCAATTCGGCCCCATGTTGGAGGCTACGATATTGATCCCTCTCACAGTCTTGGCAGCGCAATATCAAGTCTTGAAAACGAAACCTGGGCTTGCGACGGATTCCGATGAGATACCGGATCCTCAATCCGAGATCTTAAGATTGGCGTTCACTTTATCCTATCGACAATGTGGAGGCGCCCCAAGGAGTTGATCAGCGGAGGCAAATTGCAGGTCCAATCTGTGGGTCTTGGCAGGAACACAACCACCACAACACCACAACAAACAACACAACAACTCCGAACCAGAACAAGTACCAAAGGTACCATCTGTCGCTATCTTGTCCCCTATCATGCATATCCAAGCCTCCATGCAGCATGCAGCATGCAGCATGCAATGGCAGCCCCGTCGGAGGCCTCGTCTTGGCCCAACCTCCACCATATTCTGCCAACCTCCCATAATTGCCCAAGTGGGTCCTCCCCTGCCGATCCTGAAGAAAGCCACCGCGTCGCGTAGGATCCTGTCTCACGAGCTACTGGCTATCACAGCTCGGTACTTCGGTTCTCCGAGCCACAAGCTAAGCCAAGATCAGGCTGCAAGATGCTAAACGGAAGCCCGCAGGAGATTCAGGGTCTCGCAAGGACGGTAAATGGATCTGATACCACAGGCATGAGACGATCCCGACGGGCCTCCGCGCCAGGGTCCACCGGAAACAAGGCCAAGAGCTGCCCATGCACTGGCTCATCTTATGCATCCCCGTCTTGCAACGCATTCCGGGTTGCCATTCCCCGCCCCGCCCCCCCAAATGCAACCATAAATAAAAACATGCGCCCTCCCCCCTACTTAATCCATTGATCTCCGTTCCGGACTTGAATGTGCGGTTTGGGAGTCTTCAATCGCTCTTTACCACCATGATTCCTTCTTTCATGAATCGGGGCACCCTGTCCCTTCTGGCAGTGTCGCTTCTTGCGTCCTCTGCTGCCGCAGAGGTATTCGAGAAGTTGTCTGCTATTCCTCAGGGTTCGTTGCCTGTGTGCTGAGTAGAGAGATAATAGCTGATCAAATGATGTCTGTAGGATGGCATTACTCCCGTACTCCCCGAGGAAACCAACCCATTAAGCTGCAGGTAGCCCTGGCGCAGGGTGACACGGCCGGGTTCGAAAAAGCCCTCTTGGATATGTCCACCCCTGGAAACGAGAACTACGGCAAACACTTCCGCACACACGATGAAATGAAACGCATGCTTCTCCCGGAAGCTGTATCTGTTGAAGCTGTCCGCGAGTGGCTGGAGGGTGCTGGCATCACCGATATTCAGCAAGATGCGGACTGGATGACCTTCCACACGACCGTTGAGACGGCCAATGACCTATTGGACGCCAACTTCCAATACTACATTAATAATGTGAAGCATGTCGAGAGACTCCGGACGCTGGAATACTCGATCCCGGATTCTCTGACATCCCACATCAACCTTGTAACTCCCACTACTCGTTTCGGTCAGCTGCACGCCAACCGTCATCATATGCACAGCAAAGCAGTTGCCGCCGACCAGGCCTTCAGAAAGGCTGCTGTTGCCGAACACGACTGCAACACCGCCATCACTCCCCAATGTATAAAGGATATCTACTCTGTCGGCGACTACAAAGCTAATCCGAACAACGGCAACAAGGTTGCCTTTGCGAGTTACCTCGAGCAATACGCACGATACGCCGACCTCGCGAAGTTCGAGCAAGACCTTGCTCCTTGGGCTGTGGGCGAGAACTTCAGCGTCATCGAATACAGCGGTGGTCTTAATGACCAGAACTCTCGCTCAGACAGCAGCGAAGCCAACCTCGATCTCCAATATATTGTCGGACTCAGCGCCCCCGTCCCAGTCACGGAATTCAGCACAGGAGGCCGCGCCCCCTTAGTGCCCGATCTGGACCAACCCAATCCAAACAATAACAACAACGAGCCTTACCTCGACTTCCTGCAGAATGTCGTCAAAATGTCTGACGAAGATCTGCCCCAGGTCATTTCAACATCCTACGGCGAGGATGAACAATCCGTCCCGGAGCAGTATGCTCGCTCTGTCTGCAACCTCTACGCCCAGCTCGGTTCCCGTGGCGTCTCGATCTTATTCTCATCAGGCGACTCGGGCGTCGGCGCAGCTTGCATGACAAACGATGGAAAGAACACAACCCACTTCCCACCGCAGTTCCCAGCCGCTTGTCCATGGGTCACTTCCGTCGGCGCAACCACAGGAAACAGCCCCGAGAAAGCAGTCTACTTCTCATCCGGCGGATTCTCCGATCTCTGGGATCGTCCCTCTTACCAGGACGCCGCAGTCTCCACATACCTCCAGAAACTCGGAACCAAGCAAGCCGGCCTCTTCAACGCCAATGGCCGTGCATTCCCCGACGTCGCAGCCCAAGGCGAGAGCTACGCTATCTATGAGAAAGGAGCGCTCACCAAGGTAGATGGAACATCCTGTGCATCGCCCGCATTTGCGGGAATCATCGCTCTTCTCAATGACGCGCGCATCGAGGCCGGAAAACCTACAATGGGCTTCTTGAACCCATGGCTGTACGGTGATGGTCTCGCCGGCTTGAATGATATCATCTATGGTGGAAGTACGGGATGTGACGGACAATCTCGATTCGGTGGTTCGGCGAATGGGGGACCTGTTGTCCCGTATGCTAGCTGGAATGCGACGGCGGGATGGGATCCTGTTACGGGATTGGGAACTCCTAACTTTGCGACGTTGAAGAACATTGCTCTCGGCAATTAGGATTGAGCCCAGGTGGCCGATGTGCATAAATTTGTGTATTTCATTTACGATGATTTTTTAAAATCAGTAATCATATCGCATAATTTCCATGTGATTTGTCAATAGAATAGATCGTCGATACCTCGAGCTTCTAGATCATCCATCGCCCGTATTTGAATGCATCTTTGTACCACATTGCGTGAAGGTGTTCTTTTGCGCGAGCATACAACGCACATGTGATTCTGGTACTAAACCTGGTACGGAGTTGAGGACAGTAATCAAGTAATCAAGTGGGATGGGCCGGGGATGCTGATATGTATGCACTGTCACTATGCATATGTACAAGGAATACTTGACAAATTAAGAGATACCTACCCCGCATCGAGCATAACTCCCGTGGAGTTTAACGGTAACCACCTTTTTACTTGAAGTGAACAACGTGAAACATGTATCGAGCCTGCCGTGAAGCTAGACAACCTATAGTCTGTCCGGAGACAAAGGTATTCACTGAATGTAACAAGCGATATACACATCTGACTAGCGGACATTCTACCCGAAAACACGCACACCAACGACATCAGGAGCATAAGTTTGGCTCACATCCACAGCAGCATCATTCCCAAGAACAAGCTCGTTGTCCCCATCTTTCCATCCTGGCAAAAGCAATCCCAGAGTAGCTGTATCCCACCAACCGAGCCCCGGCCCAAAGAGCTCACTATGCCGACCAGAAAGGGGCACCTCAAGACGAACTGGGTCTCCACCGTTGAGAGTGATAGTCAGGTTTCGCGAATTGGATCCGTATCCCCATGAAGTCGACAGGGCAATGTCGTTGTTGATGTAATCCACTTCCAGATACTTTGCCGTAGTCTTGCTTGAGGCATTCGATGGTATGCTGATCGGGACGGTAATTGACGCTGTATTGTTGATATTGAGGAAGCCGATCTTGGATCCTACTGGCTCGCAGTAACCATCTCCACAGCTTGTGAGACTGGCGGATCCTGACAGAGAGAATTCGGGAGCACCGTAGTATGTTCCTGTGGGGGAGGCAATATGGATTGAATTAATTGAAATGGTTGATTCCAGAAGAATGTCGTTTGTGGTGCCTGCTGTCAGAGATATGCTTGCTTGTACTGTTTTGCTTGAGGCTGGTACTTGGATTGTCTGAGGTGCATGGTTGGCAGGGGAGCTTAAGGTGATGCTGCTAGCTGATTCTGGGGCTTGAGAGAAAGCGATGGAAATGGTGTAATTTGAGCTTGTGGTGTTGGCGTAGATGTTGCTGAATATCAGCTTGTTCCTAGACGAGAGAAGTTAGCGATGACATGGAGTGGTCAAGGTGGGGTGAAGCAGCTCAGGAAGTGACGACAAAATTGAGGGTAGCACAGTAGAATAGAATGACAAAATGAATGGTGAAAGAGACGACGGGTGAACATACCCGCTTTTTGTCGCAAAGAGATCTGCTGAATAAGTATCAGCTTGCGTGGTGTTGCTCAGCTCCAACAACATGACTCCATGCGGTGCAATGGTCGAGGTATAACTCGTTCGAACACCATTTAGTACCTTATCCGCCCAAATATCTTTGACCGTGCCCGCATACTGAATTCCAACATCAGGTAAATCCAACGTCAACTCGCGCTCGACATCATTCCAATTGATCAACGCAGCCACAGTGCGCCCACCCTCAAGCTCTCCACTCCAGACATCATATCCCTCGTCCGACCAGCGCCTCCTCAGATTCGCACTCACCCCCAGCGCATCCTGATTCAACGCAACAACAGCCTCATTCTTCAGCACCGCAAGCGACGCTTCTCCAATACTCGTCCAATCATCCTTCAACGCGCCACCAATGGTAAGAGGACTTTTCAAAATCGCCCACATACTGAAATGTGTCTGTTCTTCCGGCGTCGTCAAGACGTTCGTCCCGATCTCCAACATATCCAAATCAGGCCATTGACCCGGCCCCGCGGACGGGGTATTCGGCACAGCCTGGTTCAACGTCCTGAAGATGGCTCTCCACGCGGGAATGATATCATTACCAATACGCCATGTGTGGCCTAGCGAGGGAGCCCAGAGAGCGGGGAAATCCACGCCCCATTCGCAGATTTGGAAAAGAACCGGCCTGTGCTGGGACAAAGCGTTCGTCATATTAGCATATCGGGCACGAGGTGATGTACTCGGTGTATACTGGACATTCGGATACCCGGTCGCAGCATCAGAGAAGCAGTTATCATCTAGAAGGTCAGTTTTCCATCCGACAGTGCAGGGTTGGGGGTTTTACATTTCAGAGCATCAACACCCCACGAGGCAAAGGTATCTGCATCCTGCATTTCATGATCTTTATTCGATGATTAGCTCGTCTCATGGGCGAGATCGCATTGTGACAACATACACAAACTCCCCGCCTGTTCCATGTTTGTCTGGCATGTGCGAATCCCCGCGTCTTCGTAGACTCCAAAGAGAAGACCTAGGCTGTGGATGTACTCTCCCAGTGCAGGGAATCCACTTGGGAAGAGTGTTTCGTTCCACGTCAGCGAACCATTCGCTGTTCTGTCTGCGATTGTCCAGCCGCAGTCTGTTGTCACATAGCGGTATCCTAAATCAGCAAGGCCAAAGTCGACAAGTGCTTTCGCGTTAGAGTGTACAATCGACTCATTGGGGGCACATGAGTAGTGATTATACGAATTCCAGCTGTAGAGGGTCAGCCATAACGCATCGATTTCCTTGATATGCAACAGAAGTAAAAACATACCCCATTGGCGGCGTCTTGGCAACGCCATCCTGAACTCTTCGGTCCAGCGTCGCATGGACGAGAGGCAAAGCTTGAAGAACAGCCCAAGCGAACAACATTGAAACTTTGATAGCAATGGACTTGGAGAATTCTCAAAGAGACGTACACATTACTCCATTTATATTGGGCCCAACACCCCGGTCATTCACGCGGGGTTCCAAGGTTGCACGCAACGGAAAATTACCCGTTCGGGTCTTGCATATTGAAAGCGACGATCCGGAGGAACTGCGACTAGAAGATCGCCGGTTCGCAAGGAAAGGTTCGAGCTCAACATTCCATGACAAAGTGATGAGCGTAATTTTGAAAAAAATCTGAAATGAAGATTAAACGTTGTATTGCTAAAGTAACTTTGACATTCGAAAAGAACCCCAAAGCATCGGTAACACACCGCATGAAACCCACCGTCCCACTGAAAACATAAGAAAAATCATCCCGCGTCCTCGTTGATTCCCATTAATCGCATTCCCATCAATCATGTGAGCGTCAAACTTCACCATCAAGCAAAAAGTCCCATTACCCCAGAACAAAACAAGACAGCTAGAACACCCAATCCACCCTTACTAACACCATTCACGGCCGCGGCATTAGTACTGGTACTAGTCCCAGTACTCGAGTGCGTGCTCGTGGTCGTCGAGGTACTCTTCGTCGAGGTACTCTTCGTCGTAGTCGCCGCCGCAGTGGCAGTAGCATTCTGCTTTCCTTCGCAGAAAATATCACGGTAATTGTTCGACTGGCTCATCAGGCAATCGGAGAGTTCGCCGACGGTCTGTCCCTGCGCGAGACAGTAGATGCCGCAGTCGGAATCGTATTTGACTGGGCTGTTGCCTTTACAGCAGGTGTCGAAGACGGAGGTTATGTTGCCGGAGATTTTGGCGGCGCAGGCTGCGTCGGTGATGGGGATTTGGTAGACTGAGGCGCCGCAGCCGGTTGCTGTGGCGAGGGCGGATGTTGTTGTGGTGGTCATTTTGGAGGTTTGGTTGGGATTGGACGGGAGATGGAAGATGGAAGATGGAAGATGGAAAGTGTAAAGTGTAAAGTGGGAAATAGAAGTGGCTGAAGACTGGAAGATTCCAGATTGTTTGGGGAGAAAGTAGAAAGTAGATGAATTGTTAGAAAGTCATGGAAGCCAAGGCAGATGAATTAATTTATGTTCCTTGCAAGACAAGGCCCCAATTTGTGACTAGTCTCGGTCTGCAGAACCCTGTTTTCCATGCTGCGTTTTTGTGGGGGTGAAACTCCACCCGATCTAATTATAACTGGATCCATCACATCTGTAGAAGAGAATAGAAAGAAATAGTTCCCACGCCACATGGGAAAAAGAATCAAGAGCCTTGCGTTTTGTTCAACCAAGTACAGTGCAATACTATTATCTCCTTGCTCACTGCATCTTCGTCTCCACAAACTCCTCAGAGTGCGAGGCATCCAACTTCTTCTCTGGAGTCTCCACACCGACTAATTCCAATAGGCCAATTTGGCTCTCAATGCGATGCTTGCGCTCGGCGTCGGCTGCGGCCAGACCGGATGATCCGAACAATTCGTCCATTTCCTCCAGGGTGCGGCCCATGGTCTCCGGGACCATGAAGATGACGTAGATGATGCCGACGACGGTAATACAGCCGAAGAAAATAAAAGTACCGTAGGCGGACGTAGAGATGAACGGAGAGGTAGAAGTTCCGACCGCAAAGTTATTCAGCTAAAAAAACAAATTAGAATCTGAATGAAATCGTTACAGGGAAGAATGGGGGGCGGGGGAACAACATACCCAGTTACTGCTACCACCGATACTAACACCCTTGGCGCGCATGCTGAGAGGGAAGACCTCGGAAGTGACGATCCATGCAACGGGACCCCAGGAACAGGCAAAATTGATGACGAAGATCCATACGAACACAATAGCAGCCCAACCGGCTGCCCGGTTCTCATCAAACCTACCCTCGTAGGATCCGATGATACCCGCGACGATGAAGTGGCAGGCAGCCATACCTGCAGCACCGGCGATCAAAATCTTCTTCCGACCAATCTGATCGACGAAGAGTACGGCGGGGATGGTAAAGAGGAATTCGACGATACCGACGACTCCGGTCGCGAGGAGGGCAGTTGTGTTTCCGGGAAGATCCATGTTCTTGAAGATGAAGGGGCTGTCATGGTGTTAGTCGCTGTGAGTGTGAGAGAAAGTGTGGGAGGAGAGGCTTACGCGTAGTAGTTGATGGCGTTGATACCATTCCATTGTTGGAATACCATGATCATGCACTGGAAATATTAGCGATTGGTTTCGACCATCAGAGGGAGGGAGCTCGTACAGCAACGCTAGTACGCTTGAATAGCGACTTGTTCGTGATAAGCGACAAGTAATCGAGGCAACCAATTTTGAAATTGCTCTTGAACGAGCCATCCTGAAGGTGAGGGTATTTCTCGGCAGCAGTCTCGACTTCGAACATGTGCAGACTCTTGATCTCGAGGAACTCGATACGAACCAGGAGATCATCCGTCGTGGTACCGCGCAGACGGGCAAGAGTCTGCAGGCATTCCTCCTCGCGGCCGGTATTCATAAGATGGCGAGGTGACTGCGGCATGAACATCATCATTCCCACTGCTAGGACCAGAGCAGGCAATAGCTGGATGCAGATAGGGACCAGCCAAGCCGCGTTCGATTGTGTATCGCCCGTCCCGCCAATGTAATTCGTTCCATATCCAATCTACGCCTCGTCAGTATATGCGTTCGCGAAGAATCCAGGGGGGAAAAAGAACATACCCAGAATGAAATCATGATACCAAAGGTAATAGCCAACTGCTGCACGGCAACCAGCGAACCACGAATCTCAGGCGGCGCTAGCTCGGCATTGTATAGAGGCACAATCATGGACAAACTACCAACACCAAGACCTGTGACGAACCGTCCTCCAAAGACATAATCCTTGTTGGTCGTGCAGGCCTGCACGATGACTCCAACACAGAACACCACCACAGCAACCAGAACTGTCAGACGACGACCGAGACGATCAGCGAGATATCCGTTGATGAGGGTTCCCACCCAAGCACCAAGTTCAAGAATAGAGGTCATCAAGCCTTGCTTGATGCCCGTCTCGGCAGCATATCCATTTGTCTGATCATGTCAGTGACAATGCGCGAAATACTCAAAAATGGGGGAATGATATACATACGGCAACGGTGAAAGAGTGCATAGTCAAGACCTGCGCGAACATTCCCTGGTTATAACCATAAACCAATCCACCCAGCGACGCGAACAGGCCAATGGCCGAAGTCTTCTTGTTACTGATCAAACCAAAGATACCAGCTTTGCCAGCAAGCTCGGCACGCTTGGCCGAAATGGCCGTCTCACCAGCGAGAGGAACCATGATGAATCCGTTTCCAAAAGATTAGCGATGAGACCAGGCTCAAGAGTAGGAGATCATCACTCCTTTTTATCAGCTCCGATCATCCAGCAACAGGGGGGAAATACCCCGGCCCTTTATCCCCACGGGGCACTAGCTGCAAGACTTGCCGGTCATATCCGACTCCACAGTCGCCGTGTTAACCGGGTCGGGCAGAGAACGGAAGGATCGTAGACAGCCCGTGCGCGTGGCCATTTACCCGGGCCAAGATGCATAGGTAAGTTACGGGAAAGGGGATATGGCTTGGGCTAGGCGAAGGCTTAGCCGGTGGTTGACGCCGTGGCTTGGAATTGAATTTCCGAGCATCGAACTCCAAACACGACTCTGCCAACTTGAGCATATCATATTCTATATTTTTTTTTTCAAATTAGATTCTATTCTGGCTTCAATGTAACGACTCGGTCAAGAGGATGTGTGGAGAAAGCTCCGGGTTCAACAAAACGGGACTACCCACTTCTCCACAATCATGGAGTTACTTCTCCCCGCGTGTCGTCCAACCGCTGACACATCCCATTGAACCCCAGATCACACCCGAACTCCAGTCCAGTCGGTGATCCTAGCTAAACCTAGCTAAACCGGAGACATTGGAGAAAGCCGCATTGAATTAAATCTCCCAGACACGGAACATACCCTCGGAATGACAAAGGGATGAAGGCCGAACCCAGCTCCACCTCTGTCCCGACCGGCCGATGAGTCCCCCAATTTAGCCTGATATCCCTCCGACGCCCAACCCGCCATCCACGCCTTTCCCGTTACCAATAGCTTATGCAGCTTACCTGGTGGCTTGATGGGCGAATCGGCTTCGGACGGAGTGCGTCGATGCCGAATGCGTCGGTAAAACCCCGAGCTGAACCTCACTCCGACTTTGCCCTGAGATATTGTGCGGGTCATAATCGGGTAAAATGGGTTGTTGTCTGGGGGTATTACCCGGTAAATGCTCTGGTAGGGTTCCTCCAGGTTAAAGGACCGGAAAAACATGTGGCGTGACTCGGCACCTTGTTCGGCTTTGACTCGGTGATGGGTCGATTTGGACTGTCCGGTCCGGGGTGTTTTAAGCCAAGACGTCCGGAGGGGAGGCCGGGGACGTACAGCAAGGCTAGGCGTGCGTCATTCAACGGATATTTCCGCCGACGGTGTCTTTACAAGAGCTTGGTGTTGCGTAGCAGATTTTGCTTTGGGAGTAATCCACAGCCTTCCAAGGACTTTTACGGAAGTACGTCTGTCAACTCTAGAAGATATTGGAATCAAAAGCGGTAATGTCTTTGTTTCGGCTGAAAAATTAATTGGTCTGCAACCCGCGGAAATAGAAGACAACCTCTATGGCGACCTAGAGCTCAGTCTTCCCCGACACTCAGATACATCCCTTGGGGGACTCTTGCCCCGGTAGGCAACTTCATTCTGGACACCAACAAGCTGAGCCTTTACTTCATCAATCCGGAAAAGCGTCTTTCGCTCCTCCCGCTCCTCCATGTGCCAAGGCGTCGAGTAATGTTTCACCTCCCAGTAGAGAGTCTCCTTGGCCCTAGCATCCTGTTTATCCATTTTCTTATTCAAGAACGTTGGGAGCACACGCAGGGAATGGGCATGGTCATCAGCAAAGAACAAGAATTCAAGATCGTTATCAAGAGCCCAGCGAACGACGAATCGAAGAAGTGTAAGACCGATGCCCTGACCACGGTATTGTCGCTTGATAGTCCATGCCCGAATGCAGACCTTCTTTCGATGATAAGTGTTCATCAAGTAGCTCATAGGATGTCTGCGTTTCACCTCTCGACCAAGCTCAAATCCCGGATCTGTATCCCGCTCCCAGGTATCGATTATCCGTAGCACGATAGCGCCAATGACCTCTTTGCCGAGACGGGTTATGAATACATAATCATCTCTTTCATCTCGTGGGTACGGTCCGGCTTTCTCGGCTCGACACAGATTGCCCAGTCGCGTTTTGATCCAGCGGGGACCGTAGAGCCAGCTCCAGCGTCCGACCTTCTCGGCTTCGTCGAGGTATCCGCGTACCACAATTTTGACAACTGTCATGATGACGGCCATGATGCAGGCAATGGTGATGAGAATGACAAGCCAGTCTGAGGAATCGTGGGCTCGTTCGACAATGAGATATGGAATGCTGCCGATGATGGGCAGCCAGCATACCGGATGTAGGAGGAGGGATCGAGCTGCGATTTGACGCTGCTGGGCAACGGAGTCGGAGATGAGGTGTAGAGCTGGGATGAGGTCTTCATCGGTGCGGGCGATGTAGGTTGTTGCTTCATTGGGATCAGTGGACGGACGTGGGTCGGTCCATTTGGCGGCGACGAAGTTTTGGGTTCCATCGGGGGTCCATGCCTCTCGGTGCTTGCTCTCATCCTCACGTCTCCAGAAATTTGTGACGGGCTCTGGGAATTGAGCCTGAGTCAAAGCATCAACGGACTCTCGTGGCGTCGGCTCAAGCCGCGTGGTATCTCTGACTGCTGATGAGACAGTGCAACCCTGGGAGAGTGGAATCACCGCCTCACGCGCCATCTTGTTTCTGGAAATCTAGACGGCGTTGTATGGAATAAAAGTGTGGTGAAGCAAGTCAGGGTAGGGAAGTGCTCAGACTAGAAATGTTGACGGCAGTGAGAGACGCCGAAATCAGCTCGCAAGCTCAGGAACAGGCAGCACTGGGACTGACACGGAATCTCCCAGGCAGATCACTCACTGGAGATGAACTGTGGCTCAAAGAGATATTCGGGGATCAGAACAGGACTAGTAGGCTGACCTTCTCTCCAGCCACTTCCCACGACATGTAAGTGTAATGACCCATAACTACCTCTGTGGTACTGACCTCGTTTCATTGGGCACAGACATACATTCTGTCTCGCCGGGACCCGAAACAAGTCAAAGCCAGTCTGTCTAGTGAGGCCAATTCCTGCTTATGGGTAATGTTAAGCAGCTACAATGTCCCCGTACCTTTGATGGCCCAAATCTAGAAACGGATTTAGATTCCTACGACGGGAAACCCAAGTAAAAACAGATTGGATCATCCCAGATACGCACCTCGTGGTCTAAGGCAGGTAGCATCGTCGCGTGGTACACATGCCTTCGTACAACTTTCACAACTCATCGAGGTAATGCCCCGACTGTCTCGTAGCTTCAGGTCTGCACGTACCCGTCGCACTTAGAAATGACCTATTCATTTGCATATTACAATGGGAGCAACGAGATTCAAGCAAGAGTTTTCATTAGCGATTATTTTGAGCTTCACAAGCGTAGTTGGAAGATATCAAAGCCGAACGGAGTACAGATTAAGGGAGTAAAGTAAAGGAAGTAAGATAACGCGAAATGCCTCCATCAGCTCCTGTGAAAAAGAAAGAAAAGGCCCATTGTATTCCCTTTCTGGCGGGTTCAGACCAGGCTCAGACCCAGTAGTGCAGGTTGTTACACAAGAGTTTAGTTGCCGTTGCCCTGGCCATGAGCGTAGACAGTGTCGCTCTGTGTGCCAGTGCTTTGGACAGAGCTCAAATTGTGGTCCTTGGGGCGAGTGTAGTCTTCCATTTTGTCTGGGCTGGTCGTGTTCATCTCAACGGATGGATTGTTATAGTAGTCCTCACCACTGAGTTGCTCTAGGGTCTTGCGCTTCGTCTCGGGGATCAAAAGAGTGGTGAAGACACCACAGAGCATAAACAGAGCGAATATCTGCATAACATGATTGAGCCAGGGCGAGTCAGAGTTGTCCTTCTTGCCACCGCGGTGAACGAGGGGGCCGAACACGCACTGGGCGATGATGGCCCCAATCTTTCCAGAGGCTGCACTGATACCGTGCGAGGTCGAGCGGTAGCGAGTTGGAAAACACTCGCCGGGGACAATAAACGTAGTCGCATTGGGTCCGAAGTTGAAGAAGAATTGGGCAAGGATGTACATTGCCAAGAGGCCGTTGTTTGAATTTTTCAGGGGCTCAAAGGCAAAGCCGATGATGATGAACAGAATGGTCAAAAGGATGAAGCCGGCCAGTTGGATCGGCTTACGGCCGAATGTATCAACCGTAGCCACGGTGACCCAGTAACCGGGAATGGCACCAGCGCAGATCAAGATAAGGTTTCCAACCGCGTTGCGGTAGAAGGTCTCGTACACATTATTTCCACCAGTCCAGCCGATGGCACTCAAGATGATTGAGTTGTTGAGACCAAGGCCATAGAAAGCTGAAAGAATGATTGGCATGGGGTCACTTTCAATGGGGACAGAGCCAACTTACCAACATCGAGGAAGAACCAGGAACCAGCAGTGCCGAGGAGAACTTTTCCATTTTTCCAGTTACCGTAGTGATGGATAAAGTCCTTCCAGCTGGCTTTGGGGGCAAGATATTCTATGCTCTCATTGTGAAGGACCATGATGCGTTGAATGTCATCGGGATGGCCCTCGGGGTGTCCCTTGATGTAGGCGCGGATATCCTCATCCGCCTTGACAATGTCGCGGTTAACGTCGAATGTGTAGCGAGGGGTCTCGGGGATAGTCAAGCGGTAGTAAAGAGCTGCACAAGCAGGCACTGCTCCAAAACCGATCACAATACGCCACATCTTGTCAACGGCGAGCTGGCAGACTCCGGAGCAGTGAGCCACATCCTTGGCGCTTTCCAGGGACTGACGAAAGCCCGCAGTCACAATGAGTGCCAGGATAGCTGCGGTGAACTGACCAATACCCTGCATGGCAAAAACGGAGCCCATCATTGCACCACGCCACTTGGTGGATGCGAACCTTGTGTCACGAGTCAGTTCCGTCCCACCTCATGTTAGAGAGATTATTGGGGACAAAGTCAAACTTACTCGGAGGTAATGATGGAGGAGAGGGGTAATCACCGCCGATACCGATGCCCATAATGACACGCCAGAAGATGAGAAGACCGGTGATAGAGATTGCGCGAGAACTGGAAGAGAGAGCCTGGGCGAGAGTAGCCATGATAATGATCATCAACTCGATTCCGTACATGCGCTTACGACCAATGCGGTCCGCAAGCCAGCCGAAGAAAAGCTGACCAATGACAGTCCCCCCAGAGGTTGCAACTTTGATGGCGGTGTCCGAGTTGGATGGGAGCTTGCCCGGGTTAGTCTTCGCACCCTGCCAGTAGACAGCCCCGATCATGGACACAGTCAGATTGATGGCAAAGATGTCGTAAGAATCTGTGAAGAACCCAACTCCAGCGACAATAACGGCACGAACATGGGGCCAACCGAAGGGAGCGTTGTCAATCTTGGCCAAAGCCAGACGACGGCGCTCAAAGGGGTCTGATATGCTCGAGACCTCCTCGGGAGTCATTCCAGCCTCCTCGTGGCGATCCATTCTGTGAAGTGTTTTCTTCTGCTGTGTAGCTTGTTGAAGAGCAGTGCTGCAAAACGATGAGATTTCAGCGTTGAGCTTGAGGAATTTGCGGATGAAGCGATGGAACTGAGGGCACGGAAAACGCTGAAGAAGAGAGAATAGAAAAGAAGAAGACGAAAGAAGAAAGAAGAAAAAGGACTGTGAGACGTGGGAGATTGTCCACGCGAGAGATGACGGTTACACCCTTTTTCCCTGTTGAGAGACGGAGGTAGCATCATGGTACCTGTTGGCATTAGCAAAATGCCTATACATCAGCGGGTACCTGGGTGATAGAGTCAATTCAATCCTGGGGATAACGGGCTCATATCTGGCTGGTCCAATGAGAGATGCAGAACCGGGCACATGGATTGAACGAGTGGACGTCGAAAATGCATTCAGATCGGAGCTTCCCTATACATGGCTCCTGCCAGATGAAGCTTAAACACGCCACACGCGAGAACTTGCAATTCTGTCTCCGAGTTCGCGAGCTGCCGAGGAGGATTGGCTTGAGTGTGTGGTAGAAGTGATGTTTTGACAAATCCTGTTATCCAACTTGGTCACGAGGTGCACTTTCCTTTGTTCCTTCCCTTTTGAGGGATACACCTTTCCACGCAAATATTGCCTGTTCTCGGCCTTTTCATGCAATGTATCATCTTCGAGAAACTTATGATACAGTTTCACCCTGTCAATTGGTAACAGCCTGTGGTCAATGCCAAACACATCCGCTATGATTCAGCAACATACGTGATTAGCTCATGGCCACACCGGGCCCAGATCGGTCTACTACCTCATTTCAACATTTCAGAACATCACCTCCTAGCCGGAATGCATGCCTACGGCCCTATCCACGGAACTAAGCCCATCCAAGATCGTACTGTCATCACCACATCAGCGCGGCAAAGCATATCTCAGCCACGGGTGGCGTGTCCGCGCCTTACTTGGACATCCCTGTTCATCAGCCCAACAAGGTTCAGGGGAATGACATCAAGGGCCCAGCCAGTCCTCTTACCGAGAGACGGACACTGGAAACTCGGGAAATCGCACAATCCAATTGAATATCCAGATCAGTCCAATTGAGTCCACCCACAAGACCGAGCGAGAACATCGAGAAGCTTCCATGATGTGAAGTACAAGTTATAAACTTCAACAGACTTCAAAGTGCCGAGCTATTGCCACCTAGAGCCTAGAAGGACCAAGGCCTCGACGAAACCAGTTATACGGCGAGCTGGCATTCGAACGTGCACTGTCTACGTAGTAAACTGAGACTATGCGATATAGTTTGTCGTAGTAATCCCACCAATCATATGTTTCACCTCAGTAGTAATTAATTATATTCGCGTTCTTCTGTCAGTTATCGATATATATCGTCGTGTTCGAAATATGTACAGCATGAATCAACTTTTTGAGGCCTGACCCAGCCACACATGCCTCTAACCCAATCTACATCCCCCTCTTCATCTTCCAACGCATAATGAATGTCGCAAATGGATAGAATGCCAACGAAAAGACGACCCAAATAAACAATATTCCAAAGTCCAACCCGATCCTCGAATGCGTTCCGAACAAAATCGTCCGTAGAGCCTCGACAACTAAACTCAGTCAGTAAAGCCGTGCAACTTAAAAAGTAGAAAAAGAAAAAAAAACTCACTCCGATGCAAAGGCCAAGCATATCCCCACCGATAAAAGACCGGAGACAGGTCAATGGCATAAAAGCCCGTTGCGACATTCGTAATGACCCAAAAGATAAGGAAAAACGAAGACCACGGCATTCCTAGGATCATAGCCATGTTCTCACATGGGAAACCTAGCGCAGCCATCCCCACCCAATTCAACATCCAAAAGACAACAAATGAGCCCTTTCCATACGCATTTGCATTTTCGGCGGAGAGAACCTCCGACGCAGGCTCGTTACTAAATGGAATCTGGAACGCCAATGAAACAAGCGAGTAGAATAATGAAAGGAAGAAATAAGCGACGATGTTGGAGACCATGCGCCATATTAACCAGTGCGGAATTTTGAGAGGCGGGTGAGTATCGGATTTGATGAACTGGGCGTGAATGGGCATGAGGAAAGGGAAATTGAAGTATGCAATGATGATCAGGTAGATCAAGCCGATTGAGACGGCCGGTGCGGCGACGGCGGGCGCGAATGGTCGGAGATCGATAGTCGTGATGCCAATGGCTGGGTTGATGGCTTGCAGGGTACGGAGGCTAGATTCGTATTTCCGGAGACTAGCTCCCGGGCCCACTGTGGGCCGAAAGCACTGATGATGGAAGCTTGGAACACGGATAAATCCGGCAGAATGTAGTTGTAGTATGTACTTTCATCACGGGCGGAGACGATGATCGTTTGAATAACGCCGGTCGGGTCGTAGGATTGGTTATTGTTGGAAATGGCGGAGCGGAGGAGGGTAGTTGCGTTTGGGTTGATGATCACTGCGGCGTAGGCGTGTTCGTCGTAGATGGCTTGACGGACGGCCCAGGGGTCGTTGTTGAATTGTTCCGGAGAGCGGATCTCGTAGCCTAAATGGAGGCTTGGGGAGGAAATGAATTCATTGGTGACTTGTTTGACGACCGGTCCGACCAGTGTGTCAGAGGAATTGTACGGCGTTTGGCCGTCGAAGTCGACGACCCAGACTTTGAGCGCTTTGAAATTCTTTTCTGTTGCAAATTGGGAGCCCCAGAAGATTGATAAAACCCATAGCACAAAGACGCAGAGAATGAGGACGGTGCGGGCCCATTGGATGAACACTTTCCGTCGGGTGGTTTTCAGCGCCGGATCGAAAAATCCGACAGGCGCTAAAGGAGTGAAAGCTTCCTCGCTCGAGTTGGAGAGCTTTTCAGACATTTTTTGAGCAGCTTGGCGATGCTGCTGGTGTTGGAAAAGGAAGAGTCCCACATATATGTTTCGTGAGGTCGTGAGGTCGAGGTACCATCTGCTCCCGGACAGCTCGGCCTTTATCCGTTTTGGGAAGATCGACTACTTGTGTCCCGTAAAGATCCAGACTCAGCTTCAATGTAGTTCAACGTTTTATCTCCGCGAGGTAAATTCATGAACCTTTAAGATAATTTCAGTCCCGGCGAATGTGAGGTCGGCATTCGAAGGTTTTATCGCTTTGCTCTGGCTTATCGAGGCAAGGAAGGCGTACTCCTGTTTGTCCGAGTCCTTGATCGGTCGATTACTTCATTCTAAAACGAAAACGCGGTCGCATCAATGCAACGTCTCATTGAAACATCTGTCATGTTGAAGAAGACTTTTAATAAGCATCATCCTGACACGCGACTAGATGCCGATCTAATTTCCATGTAAATGATAGACTTGGAGGATATTCGGGGACTCTCAAGGTCGTGCTTAGCGAACACACCTGGACAAGGGCCTGAAACGCCCCTTTGGCAGTCCGTTGAACAAGTAGAACAATACACGAGAGATTTCACATCGTCATCCGAGTCCTCGTGCCTAGAAAGAGGTCCGATGTCCGATCGAAGCGGTCCCCGCAAACCCCTTGCCGCGGACACATGCGGAATGAGGTCGCGAGCCATTTCATCAATACAAATCTCGACCAAGCTTTGCCAAGGGTGTTCCTCAGTCAGGACATATTGACCAAACAGGGGTAATGTTCCAGGGAGTTCCCCCCGGATTGTATCAGACACAAGTGGTTTCCCAGTCTTGCATAAATTAAGGAAGTCCTAGACAGGAGTCCAACAGCCAGGTCCCTCCTTACTAGACGCCGTGCCTGTATACAGGAAGCACGATCAAGGGATCTCAAATTTCCACATGAGCACGTCTATTTGAACAATCGAAAAGCACTGCACGAGGCATGTCGTGCTCCTACACATCTCAGCCCCCCTTGCAACGTGCCTCCTTGAAGGGTATGATTTTCAGGATCGCAGGATCGCAGGATCGCAGGATCGAAGGATCGCAGGATCGAAGGATCGCAGGATCGCAGGATCGAAGGATCGCAGGATCGGGGGGGACACCAATTAGACAAGTGGTGTACATAAGGCACAGGCACACGAAACATTAAACTCGAATCAAATGCAACGAAAATGCCCCATCGCCACCATCTGGGCGATGATAAAACCTGTCATTGGTTGCGAGACCCCCGGAGCCACCACTCTCTCTCCACAAATCGGAAGACCGCAATAGGCCCATGCTACCATAAGAAAATTAAAGATCAAAAGAATGATTCATCAGTGCAATTCATCTATGGGTATATCGTAATCTATCGCCATTCTATCCCGGGGCACACCCGTTCCCACGCACTCTCACATAAAAAGAAGAAGCCAAGAAACGCAAAAAACAATCCAAACTCCAACACCGGGTCCAGCCCAAGTTGAAATCTTGATCATCAGAGAAGTCTCAAACCCAAATCTACTCCTCATCACAAGTAACCTGATAAGATCCATACCGGTGACCCGATACAGGAACGCGACAAGTTTCCGAAGTAGTCAAAGGACCCGCAATAACCGACATCTCAGAATCGTCGCACATGGTGTTATCGTAGAACTGGATGCGACAGCCTTCAGAGATGGCATTCAATCTGTACGCCGCGGCCTCGGTGGGCAGGTTCGCACGGCAGCCTGTACTTCCGGACCCGATGTGCGCGTCGGCAGTGCCATTGCATCGCACGGTCGGGAAGAGGTCGAAGTTCCATTCTGCGGCATCGCGGAGGTGGAGGAGAGGGAAGGCGGATGCGTTGAGGAGAAGTGATGCGGAGAGGAAGATGCGCAGGAGGGACAGCATGGTGGTTATGAACGAGTGTCTTTGTGTTGTTAGTTGTGGTCGTGGACAAGCCAAGTCAAGGGAGGCGGCATACCAGGCGTTTTGTAGCCGTAGATGTTAGGATAGGGTCCTGTTCCTGGTGATCAAAAAAAAAGTGGACAAGAGAAGGGTTTAATATTACGGTCAATAGAGCCAAGGCTGGCCCCGCCAGCGCCACTCACGGCCTTGTTTCAAAATTTGCAGATCTCGCCAGCCAAGAGATGGCGCCGTTCCTGCAGAGTGTACGTATACTTGGTCTTGGCGATCAGCTGTCGGAACCCGGAAGATTCTATCCTACTGAAGAAATAGCGAATGCTAAAAAGAGTAATATCTATGAAAATTGGTAAGGATTATGCCAGAGAAGTGAAATTGAGAGCCATTTGCATGATCTCATGGCGATCTTTTACTGAAGTTGAGGCGTGGGTCGTGAGGGGCGCTCCGCTACCGTTACGTAGAAGGCGTACGTAGACTCGGCCCGCTTTGGAATGTATAGAGGCGATCGGGGCACAGGGTCCTGTCGCTTGATTTTGCCGTTCTATTCTTGTCTGTGGGGTTTGCATACATGTGTCCAGATGGCTTTGATCTTTAATTCGCACTCAATTGGCGGCTGACTTGCTTCTGTGTGGGCTGATGATAGATACTTTATCTACAACGGTTAGATAAGACAATGGAGGAGTGCGACAACGACCATGTGACGATAGATGTTCTTTTTCACTTTTTCGTCCTTTGAGATTGACTTGATATTATTAAAGTACTTGTCTTTGAGTTTTGAAGAGAATCAAGCTGTGTAGATGATTTCTCGAACGTCTTCAGAGGCTGGGGAGGTTGGGCCAATAGGAGTGCAGTATGCACTCATGTGGGCGCCTCCCACGCTGAGCCGCTGCAGGCGATAAAGAAGAGGCTGGAAATTGGCACACTCTATCCTTATCTTGGAAGTACCTATGAGATACAATTGAGATTCCCAGGTTCCTAACTTGTTTCGAACCCCCAAAACCGTTTACTGGTACTCCGTGGAGTCGGCAGGCTCGGAATCCGTCCTGAACATTACCCTAGGCTGGGGCCCTGACACATATCGAGATATCTACCTCATATAGGGTAATTTACCATATCATCTCTGCCTCTCAAACTTATACATCGGTTCTAAATCAAACACCTCGATGTTATGAGCTCACAGACATGGAGAAATAAGCCCAGGGATTTTAAACACTCGTTGTGAGTAGCTGGGATTAAAGTTGGGTCTGAGAGCTGCAAAGATTTGAACATTTGTAGGTACTCTGCAATACAGATCAGGCGGAACTGAGCGGACCTCTTCTGGCCCTGGCTTAGGGCAGGTAGGTGAACTATGGCAGTGAATATATATAGTAGTACGAGCCGAAAGGCAGCGTCGAAGTGCACTTGCTGTATATCACTTTCGTGACCTGAGCCTACGATGTTATTAGAAAATGAGCAGAGCACCTATCGTAGCGTCACTGTCATTCTCACCGATACAAAGGATGGCAAAAGAGCGCCAGCGAAACGCAATACTTTTCACCATCTGGACAAAACTCGCAAAGATAGTGAGATTGGCCTATTTGATCCTTGCAGTTGTTCGCTACACGCCCAGCACTGCTCGCGTGCATCGTGGGATGGATACATTTCCCAGCCGAGGGCAAGTTTTCGTCGAAAGCTTTCTGCCACTATCCTACTTTGTTCATTTTCTGACTTAACACTCGGTCTCATGTCCCTATTCCAGGCGCCCCGAAGCCCCCTGCGCCGTCAACTTGGCTTCCGCCCTCGATTGGGCGATTCGCAGAGTAAATATTGCGGCTGCGGGCTCACGGGTCCAGCAGAGACGATCTCATTCACGCATTGTGGGAGCTTTCATAGTGCAAGCACTATGCACAGCTGCATGTCAACGGACCCCAACCCCCACCCCCGCAACGCACTGGAGTCACGTCTCCGATGACATTGTAGTGAGCAGAGTCACCGCACGCCTGGCACACACCAAAGCGGTTCGGTGCCGCAGATGCAGCCTTTCTATCTGGTGCACTATCTGGCTGACATTTTGCAACGAGTGGATGAAGTCTGAACTGGCCATTTTACTATGGGCTTGGCGTGCGTCACAGTCGTTGATTTTGGGGATCATGTTAGGTGTATGAGTGTTAGTTTGTATAAGCATTACACTTGAACCTCTAAAGGCAACATTGAAGCTAGCTCAAGATATCTAAAAACGGCTATAATAAAATCATGTTAAATTCCAGTTGTATCGGGAGTGGGGACCAAGTTTATGGAACATCCAGGGCTTATAGGCTCTCCGCTTGGCACTAAGGACGAACTAGGAGGATAATGCCCACTCTAACCAACTCTTTGCGAATTCAACAGCCCCAATCTCACAATTCCTCAATCTCAATTTATCCCCTCCTCACTTCATGAGGAACAAGTAGGAAAAAAAGCAAAGAAACAAAAAAAAAAAGACGACCGATAGTGACGAACGCAAAGAACACGAGGCTGTCCTAGACAATATCAATGGCAGGTTTAGTCTCAGTCTCAGCCTCAGCCTCAGGCATAGACGCAAACGCAGACGAAACCATGCGCCTTGCCATCGCCCGCTTCCGTAGCAGAATGGCGGCCGCAAACCAAAAGTTTCTCCAAGACCGCATCAATGAAATTGAAGCGAAAGGTCTAGCAACTGAAAAGGAGAAGCGCCGCCAGCTCCGCCAGTACCGATGGATGGACAATCTCGAATGGGACGACGATGCCCCTGAGACGCGTGGGAGGCGCGATGCGATCAGGATCCCACAACAGACATCAGTCAAAGACCTCGATATCTATGCTATTGTCAACGCCCCACCATCCCATGAACCGGTCGACGGCGTGATCCCGCCTCTACTGCGCACAGAACAAGGGCGGCAGATGTACCTCGACACAGTACAGCTTGTGTGCCAGCGGCAGGCAGACGAGATCGTCGCCGAAGACGACGTGGAGCTCGACGTCGCGTGCATGTATCACAAAGACCACAGGTCGATGACTATCCCGCGATGTGACGAGCTAGCCTTGTTCCTGAAGTATGCGCAGGGGTGGTGGACATTGACTTCCGAGACTCGGGGATTGCGCCATTCTCACCGGCTTCGTGGATCGGGGTCAAGAGCGAGGAACTGGATGGACTTGACGAGGGACAGAGACGTGCCAAGTTGGCGGATCCGGAACTTCTAAAGCGCGAGCAAGAGGACTTACAGCGGGAGCTGGAAGATGAATTGTCGAATGAGTCGCTGAGGGCGTGTATTGACGAGGACCTGGATGTCAGGGCTGGCTTTATTACCGGCGTTGGAAATAACCGGTTGTACGAATGTCCGGAGTGGTATAGTGCGTACGTATACTGCCGGCTGTGGACGGATGACGACGAGAATGATGGCAAGCACAGGGATGGAAATATCCCGGATACTGCCAACATCCGGGATTGGCGGTGGCGGGTCGTTGTTTTCAAGGCGGATGTTGTCAATCCTAGCGTTCTATACGGCCGGAAGGCGCGCTTTGATTCTATTCCAGAATTTTTGGATTGGTACGCCAGCTGGCTGGACCATCTAGATGCACGGGGGGCTACTTTCTCTGCGGCGTCACGCTTTAGGCTGCGAGACGGACTGCGAGTTGGACTGTGAGGATCATAATATGGGACCTTGTGTATACTAGCTTAATCTCTTGTGATCATTGCTTGCTCAGTGAGCTCGATGACACGTCGCAGGCGCGGGAGTGTGGAACTGCCGCTAGGATAGTAGGTCACAATGATACCCTCGGTTCAAAAGGAGGCATCGTTCTAGCTTTCATAGAGACTGAATGGCGCGAAGGAACAATTCATTTATTCAGGGCGAGTATCATACTACAAACGGCGCATTGCTCTGAACAAATTTTGGTGCATTTACTAATTTCGAAAAGGTGAAAGACAACGAGACTAGTGATCTGTAGGATGTCCCGGTGGAGCGCATTCGACTGAGATTTTGATGTCCCGAATAGACACATCATGACATTTCTTCCCAGTCCCGAACAAATCGTTGAATCCACTTCCATAAATGAGGTGAAGCAACAAACATATCGTTTCGAAGTCTCGGTGACTTTGTGACGGTATACTTTGCTTTCCATTCAGACATGAGTGTCAGCTTCTTGGCGATCGTGCTTCTGACACCTTTGTTTCGAAAATAATCCTTTTCCTCTTTCTCAAGTTTTGAGAGTGGCTGGTCATCCTGTTGTAATTCGTTGTAAAGCCGAACGTAGTGCGGCAAACAGCGCTTCTGTACGAAGTATTCATCCAGATCCTGTTCAGGTCCGCGTACAGAGTTCCACACAGTAGCAAAGAGTGTATAATCACAAATTGAGTCTAGGCTGAGGAGTCGACTTAATCTCCAAGAGATTTGGCTCCGCTCAAGACATTCTCGATATCTGCGAATGGTCTTCTCTTCCGTTGGGCCAGGAAAAGCAGCAACGAATCCATCTATGAACGGTGTGTGTAGATCCGAGCTGATCTCGTCGCGGTATTGTGGTAATCCTGGTGTAGTCAATAGCATAAATTCAGGAACGGATGAAGTGAATGCCCAATCGATGAGACAGGTAATGTTGTAATCATCGTCAACAAATATGTTGTTGACGCTTATGTCGGGGTGATGCAATGGGAACGTCTCATGATTGAAGGCTGAGAGGTCAAGTTTCTGTATTATGTCACGGAGAGCGTCGCCTGCGATTATGTAGTCCAGTCTGTTATCCGATGACTCTGTCTTGTCTCCCACGGTCACGAAGTCGTTCCATAGGTCAACAGCGCTCATGTATTGTTTTCTGGATGGATAGTCGTCGCGCGAGGGAACAGGTGCCACAAAACAATGATGTGATAGCTGCAGATTCTCTGCATGCTCCGAGAATGCAGAGATAAGGCTGTCATAGAACTCTGCCTCAGAATTGAAGGGTCCACGCGGAATATCCAAAAGATAACGTCTGTCAAATATGTGGCCACGTGAGAGACATTCCTTGATGTCGAAGGTCCCATCTTCTTCAAAGAGGGAGCCAATCTTGTCGAAACGCAACTGCGAAAGCTTCCATGTAATACTGCCCAGCTGAGAAAGAATTTTAGCCTTGTTGATGGTCTCTAAATCATGTTCAGGCGAGTCAGCTGATCTCCAAACGTTTGACAGTGGCTTGCCAGGTGCTTCACTCATGAGAATGTATGGAACCCCGATATCATTATCGGACGAAACACTGGGGGAGGTCAGTTCTGGGATACTTTAGTCTGGGAGAGAATAATACCAGTAGTCGTATACCATTGGAATTGGGATATCGCTCTGAGCTCTGATGTATCGTAACGTGGCAGCTTCGCTTGCCAGTAGCTTCACTGCCATTTCCATTGGCATGAAAGTTCTGTGGTGCGGGGATCTGAATACCCATCGCACCCCGTCTTCGAATGAAATGAAGACAGCCCAGTTGAAAGCTCCTGAGGCAGGGCGTTGATTGGGATCACAAGTACATGGAATACCCTGTCGAAGCGTGCTCGCGTGACGGCATAGAGCTTGAAGGTCAAAGTCGGCGTAAGTGAAAACTCTCGGGTTCAAATCCTCAGACATTTCTATGGCGGTGAGTTGAGGAAAGATGAACATGGGTCAAAACAGGAAGATTGGCTGCGCTTCCAGGCGTAAATCCACACGGACGTGGGTGTTGATGCGTCTCGCATAGTTTCGAGCCCACACCTACAGAAGCGGTGAGAGCCCCAGCTGTTTTGGAGGCTTTCACATGGTGAACTTCAGGCCTCAAGTCAATTGACTGACAAACGACCGATCAAACAAACGGGAATTGATGTGAGTCAAACTTCTCAATTCCCTGTCCGCTCCTCTTGCAAGACTTGTCAAACCAAGGGAGTCAAAATAAGAGAATTCGAGAGCAACAATACTCATTCAGGTTGAGAAAGTTTACTTACAAGGCATAATTATGGACAAAGCTTTCATCCGGACGCGTAAATAATACATGTTCACAAGAGGGACAGTGACATTAGCACCCGAGACTAACATAGTAGCAAGAATAGTGATTCTCGTACTACATTCAATAAGTCGTCTTGATGATACTAAACTAAGAGTTTGACCGAAGATGACTGCGTTCTACAAGGCCACAATGTACCCCTCTTCATTGGTAAGTTGTATTTGCTATCGCTACTTAAGCACAGTGAAAACAGCCCCCACAACGCCCATCATCATGACACCACCTGTCATATAAGCAACTTCCCTCCCCGCCCACCAAAAGAGGGAGCAGAAAAGAAATGGACCAATAGCTCTCCCTACCTGTCCCCAGCTGCGTAGACGGCCGAGAATGACACCCCGTTCGCCCGCAGGCGCTCCTAAGCTACCAAGACTATTGATGCTAGTCACCACCGTTGCTGAAGTGACAGACAGGAAAACACCTGCGACATAGACACCGCTCATCGAACGAACATGAGCGAGTAAAAAGAAAGAGATCGTGCAGGCTATCACGCCAAGGCGTATATTCAAGATCGGTGGCAGATGGCGAACAATGGTACCCTGGAGCAAAGATGCAATCAAGCCCATGAGGGAAAGCAGACGCCCATTCAAGGCAGAGGGGCTCATGGTACTTGTTTGGTCGGCATATAGCGTCGCAGTGAGAAACGGAAGCGAGAATTCAAGACCTGAGAATGGGAGCAGAAAGAAGAGATGAATACAGTTTAAGACGAATTCGTTGCGAAGTCTCATCTTGATGTTTTGGCTCTGAGGAGCAACAGAAGACGACTTGTTGCCATTCACCGAAGCCTTTGATGCATTGCCATTAAGCACCGTGGGAGCTACAGGCAAGGTTCTCTCATTGTTGGTCGGGGTTGCAGCAGACGTAGTAGAGTCTTGAAACTGGCTCAAGCGTGGATGTGTCTCCGGGAGAGAAAAGTAGACATAAACTGTCTCTACCCCGATTAGGAAAAGGGAGACAACAGCAGCCATGGCAAATTTGTTCGAAGCAGTCGTGGGTATATTTGCAAGCGTTGCACCCAGTACCGGACCGCAGATGAACGCGAGGCTAAAGCATGCGCCAACCAGAGCCATAGCCGATCCCCGTTGCTTCTCATCACTGATGTCTGTGATAATTGCATTGGCTATTTGGACGTTGCCCTCGCTCAGTCCACCAACGATACGGCTCGCGATGAATACCCGAAAGTCCGTCGCGCCGACCCAGAGACCGACGCTTAATATGTTCCCAGCTAGGGAACACAGTAGAGCTTTGCGTCGACCATGCTGGTCCGAGAGCCGTCCGATAACGGGAGAGGCTATAGCCTGTAAGAGAGAGAACAGCGAGCCAAATGCGCCGCCAAGTAGAACAATGTCATAGCTTGAATCTATGGGTCTCGAAAACCAATTTTTGTACACATTCAAGTAGTGGAAGACACGCTTGAGTAGGCTCGTAGATGAGGTCTCTTTTGCGTGATAGTAGCTGAGAACGGATGGAAAGAGAGGAAGGATCAAGGTGAATGAGATCTAGACACAATGTTAAGTATAGGCACTTGAATAATGCACTACCACTTTGTTCAGGAACATGTTAAGACTAACCAAGTCTAGCAGCAGAGAAATCGTCAGAGTTGTGAAGATCCGCCTTCTTTGAGATGCGGAAGCAGGGATAGATTTCACTGCCATTGAGGCTGGAGAAGAAGTGAATAGTGAGAAATTTCCATTTTTCGCCATCCTTTCTATCTAGCCCGTAAACAGAAAATCATCCTTTGACAGGACAGACACAATCTTAAGGCATACAGTACGCTTTTCGTCAGGGGAACCATGACGCCTATTACTAATTTATCCGATTGTAGATCTCACAGAACCCCGATTCGCTCGGAATTCAAATCCAACAAGTCCTGCGGGTAATCCATGGAACCAGCCACTTCTGATCAATCTGGAGTAAGCTCCTGATAGACCGAGAGCGAAAGCGAGAACGGAGCCGATCTAGCGAAAACATCAGGAATTATCATGTTTCGAGTTACGGTCTCTGACCATACCATGTCTGTTACGGTGCCAGTGGTAATATACAGCAAGAGCTCTGACCATAAAAGACAATGAGTTCCGGGTGGCGCTCCATCTTTGACTTGTGTTGGTCGAATCGGAAAAGAGAATGAGCGAGAACGATCGCGACCGAGTGCACGTCCCGATCTGGCCGTTTTTAGTGAACCCCGCGTTGTAAACAGCGACCCGACTCGCCGATAGACACCGGTGACTTTCTAAGCAACCCCTTTTCGACTGGAACTGATTCGTTCTCGGAAGTTGCTCGTTCCTGGGCCGCCTTTCTCGAATAGTCTGGCGCTCGAACACTTGGGGCTTGAAACTCTGGGGACCCTCTTCTGACGATCGCGATTTACTTTGGAGGCTTGCGGGCATCTCCAATAAGAAGTGCTCGGTAAATGATTACGAAAACACCACTCAAATCGATCGACTGCATGGTGGATTAGGCTTTTCATACGTCATCTCACAAAGTAAGGAAAACTGATCTAAGAAAAATCATGTTTCATTTGAGCTAAAGTTATTCGAAGCATTGAAATGAACGAATTGCAGTACAAATTTTCATGTCAATGCCTACATGTAGGCCAGTTCAAGAAGGATAATACTATTTAAAATTATGTCAATAAGAGATTCCATCTTTCGAGACCTCTCTAGAGGAGCTTTGAAATGAATCAAAGAGCGAAGAAGGCCAGGACAGCCGAGAGCACGGCCATAAGTCCGGGCTGATACTGAGCGGCACCAGCTGCACTGGGAGTGCTGGAGGTGGAGCCAGAAGTGGAGGTAGATGTAGAAGAAGAGCCGGTAGCAGAGGCAGACTCGGATGAATTGCGACCCTCACCAGCGGCTAGAGTCTGGTTGGCGACGAGAGGCTGGAGCATAACGGGCTGAGCTGCGCAAGTAGAGTTCATGGCAAGCGGACACATCTCGTCAGTGCAAATGCTCTGGTATTGCGCGCCCTGTGTATTGATGACAGTAGTCTTGGGTGCGCAGCGATAGTCAAACAGTGATGTAAGGGCAGTGGCGACGACGGTGATGTCCGACTCTGCGACACCGAAAGAAGCAGCAGCCAGGCCGACCTGCTCAATGAAGTAGCCCATCTGGTAGGGGTCGAGGACCATGAACCTGGCCAAAATTTGTTAGTACGAGTAAAACTAGGCGATGATCAAAACTCACTTGTGAACCTGGTACATGCTACCCTCCCCAGCATAAGCAGAGAATCCGGTCATGCCGACACCAGAGCAGCCCAGCAAGCTTCCAAAGAACTGATAGAGGTGGGTCATCAGCTTGCTGATCGGGGAGTCTGATGTTAGCTCCTGTTCTTGAGATTGGGACACAATGGGGAATGACTTACTATTGGTTTGATGACATGTCGTTGGCAGGCATGTTCTTCATGAGAGGGGCGGCACCGCCTCCATCCAGGAAGTTCTTCGCAACACCCATCTTTCCTCCGTTGTTGCTGGAAGCGAGGCCACCATCGAAGTACGGCACCAGGTTGACTTTGGTGCCGTTGTACGTGCCATTCGGGTTCAGGATACCGGGAACACTGACACCAACGTTTGGCTGAGTGTAGTTGCCGATGACGGCAGTGTTGACAAGCAGGGTCAGGAGGGTATACTGGTTGGTGGCGTTGTTGGTTTTCAGCAATGCTGTGGTATAGTAGTCGCAGATGGATTCATTAGTTGGGCGCTGGGCAACAGCTGCACCAACCGCAGCCAACGCAACGACGAGAGATTTGACAAGCATGATTGCAGTGCAGACACAGCTAGGTAACAAGACTTGAAAAGCGCTGAATAGAGAAAATATACAAAGAAAAATATGAATTGGAGGAATTGCCGGGCTTTAAAGCAACCAGGCGCCTTTCCCCCTTCTTCCCCGCCGAAGGCTTGAGCCGGGTTGTCTACCTGGTGGTAAACGAGCCCATTCCATATCGGGCGATCGAAAGACGTCTCTCATGATATGCACTCCCCAAATGGGAGGTGATTTGGACCCTGGTTTTCAAGAGGTACGCATCTCAATGGGTACTTGAACCGGACTAGTCTAAATTAGCCATTTCCATGGTGATCCGCGTCGAACTGTATTGTCATCACCAGTAAATAATGGACGGTTCATTGTTATAATACCGTAATTAGCCTTGGAAGTTGATCGAAACCTTGTTGCAACAGGCAAAACAATAGAAAGCCCCTTATTTCCACGGCGGCATGAACGCCTGATGGGGCCCGCGCGCTTTGGCTGTCCGCCTCGGTTCTTCAATACCCCTGCCCCAGTACCGCCTTTACATCAAGAAGAATGACGTTTGAAACTGCAGCAGGCAGCACTTGAGATGCATCGTGTGCGTCCGCATCTCTGTTCGGTATCTCATGGCAGATCCCAATGAATTACCCTCAGGGCCACTATCATCGGAGGAGAGATCGTTCGATTCCAAGGCAGCCAACTTCTCCGCTAAGATATCATCCCTATCGGTCTTAGTGCTAAAGTCGCAGTGCTGTCAGACCACTGCGCCCCTTGGGCAGATGTGAGCGCATTCCGGGGTTGTCCAGCTGTCTGCTTAAGTCGGATTGTAGCGCTGGTTTTGCCAAATCTGCTTGTGACGTGTAACGGCAGCTTCTCCGGAGTTATTTGATGCGTATATAGACCTTGTAGCATCTACGCCCATTTGAATTGGGGCTAAGGCTGAAGCTGTTGGAGAGGATCGGCGGAATAACATCCGGATCAGCAAAGACAGACTGAATGCCGGTATATGTCATTTAGGAGCGTGCCGCACACTGTGTGACAGTAGCAGCGCTCGAAACCACGGGAATCGTTCGGGTATTTGACGGAATATGGGTGCGTGAGTCATTGTCAGTAGTTGGGATTGTAGTTGGATGTGATCCTTCAGCTTCAGTGACGGGACACAGAGTGGTCGAGACTATCTCAGTCTGAGTTGTCACGCACATGGTATTGATAGTTGCTGGGCAGCTGGTCACGGCAGACTGGCAAGCGGTCATTTAGTGATTTATTGATGTCAGAGAGGATGGCTGAAGATGGATATGTGTGCAATTGTGATGAATTCATGCTATGGGAGAAGTAGGCTCAGTAGGCTACAAACAATCGAGACGAAATTGATATTGTCCGTGCCGTCAGCATTACCCTTACTCACATCAATCACAACACCACAACATCAACCACAATGGCTTGGACAATCACAACCACCGCTACAGTCTACAAATCACAACCACTGCTACAGTCTACATCATGGCAGAGCTTCCCGAGGAATACCTCGATTGGATGGAGGGATCCACCATCAGCTTCTCCGCGTGGCCAGAAGCCCAATGGGTTCTAGACGAGTTCTTGGGAGGAGATGCTCGTATCCTACCTGAGCATGAAATCAAAAATTATGGGCCTTGTTACGCTACGGCCAAGTTCTCAGTCCACCACGCGGACGAGGGCACTGAGGGTTTTATCCGCGTCTACCGTCAGATTCCGTGGAAAGGCACTCACTTCCAACCTGCCGCCCAACGGAGTAAACAGGCCGTCGAGCTTCCGGACTTCGATGAACTGAAGGCAATGGAAGCTCTGAAAAACTGCGACGTGGTTGCGCGTATGAAGTTCATTGATAGGGGAGCTCAACCCCAAGATTCGCCACTTGTTCCGGGGGGGCTTTTACGCCAATCTACTCTGGCTTCGGGTCCCAGGGGAGCCTCTTACACAGAGGAGGTTTTGGAACTGGACCCGCCCCGAACGCGATGAATTTCGGGCCGCCTTCCGCCTCGCGTGGTTGTAAGTTTCTGAATCTGGATCTTTCCAATCATGACTCAGCTTGAAGCAGGCGTCTTGCTAGCACGCTGTGGACCCACGATCTCCCGCTTTCCCAAAAGATCATTTACGATGACGAAACCAAGTCTATGTATGTTATTTCAAGACAGGTAAAGATGAAGACTGACTGCCTATAGCCACTTTGCAGGTTTCCGGGACCCCAGGGTCCACACCACCGCACCGCCCTGGGACCAGAAGATAAGGGTAAAATACCGCCTGGCCAAGGTTCCTGCTGTCCGGCGACCTGGCTGGCTTGATAAAATTGAGGAATGGGACTGGTAGGCGATGTTTCGCCTGGATAGATAGCTGGATATGGGGCCTGCAGTGAGTTAGTGTGCCTGGGTCCTTTCCAGGTTCATGTGAAGCTACAAGTCAATTGCTCATGTTTCTCATATTCTTAATGATGCAGATCGTAGCGCCAGGATTTGAAAGTGTTGCTCAGAGACAGTTGAATTGAATTATTATCATCGATATGAATACCACATAAAATTAGACGCGGCTTTCTTTACAGCTCCTTTATCCAGTCCTTACGCGGAGTAGGATTATTCACGTCGCCATTCTGCTCTGCCGCACAGGAAAAGTGATAAAAACACTGTCTTGTCGACAATACAGCTTCACCAGATGTCGAAACGCGGGCCAGGTCGAATCCCGAGTCCAGTGGAGAGTGCTCAATACCCCAGGTCCCATCACTGTATTTGACTTGGCGTAGAAAGATGCTCTCTTCGTACGTAGTAATGAAACCATACTTGCATTGGTGTTCCAGCATATAATCCACGGGCTGAGCAAGAATGCGTCGCAGCCACGCCGTTTCTGGTAGGGATTGTCCCAGTTGGTGGGCGTCAATCCACCAAGTCTTGATCTCTCCTACTGCTTTTATTTGAAAAGCTTGATTGATGAGCACAGCATCGGGCTCGCCCTCTAAATTAGGGGGGTCTCTGTGCGCTCTTGTAGTCGGAGAAACGAACTTGGTGTTGGTGGTACTGCAGAACCAGGTTGACAACCATAAATATCAAGGCCTGAAAACGGCCCTGAAGAGTGCTCTCCTGACCGACATTCATTGCCTCAATGATGGACTCATCTACCACCAAGTGATTGGACCCCTGTAGTCGCCTGTCGGCTTGCCATAATGTAAAATCATTGGTGATTTCGTGACAGGACTGAACAACCTCTGTATTGTAGCCTGGCCATTCTTGTAGCGCCCCACATATTCACATCGTTTCAATGCGCTTGAAGTGGTGAAGAAAGGACCTTGCAGCAGCTTTGGAAGACTTTTGTTGATTGCTTGGATGGCAGTAATAGCTCGTGCTCGGAGCTTCATCTTCACGCAGTCAGTCTTCAATCTCAACTTGTGGCACGTCAAAATGCAGATAAACTTACTTTTACGAGCTGAAGCTCCCTCAAAAGAATTCAAGACGTAGGGGCAATACGATCTGTGGATCAAGGTGTGCCAACGAGAGTAAGTTCTACTGAAGTGAGAGTTGCTTCCTGCAGCGGGACTGGGACCGATTCCACCATCGGTTAGTATCACCGGACTTAATTGGGAAAACACCGGACTTAATGGGAAAACACCGGACTTAATGGAGCGTGCTACACGGTCCTGAAAGACATTAAGAGACATTTGAAGATTGACAGACGTCGTTACATAGCCTACAGGTGGATAACAATGATAGACGATAATTTTAATGCATTCGTCTCCAGAATCTATGGCATAAACACAGTCATCACCCGGCCAAGCCGGTCATAGTCTAATTTAAACGAAGACCTTGGCATCACCCTCCTTGATCTTACCAGCCTCAACAAGACGCTTGGCCTCAGCAGTATAAGCAGCCTTCACAGCAGCGCCATCCTTGCCAGCGAGAGTGAGCTTCTCAGCCAGAGCGGCAAGCTCATCAACATCAATCTTGCCCATGATAAGCTCAACATCACCAAGCACAGAGTCAACCTGGCCAGCAGACGCCTCGCCCTCAGCAAAGTAGTTAACTTCCTTGACGGAGCCCTTGAGAACACGCTTGTTCTTCTTAGCGGCGTTCTTGGCGGCCTCCTTGTTCTTCTTGTTCTTCTCACGCTCGGCCTTGGCGGCTTCCTCGGCCTCCTTCGCAGCCTTCTCCTCGGCCTCCTTAGCGGCCTTCTTCTCCTCGGCAATACGCTTAATCTCGTCCTCCTTGGCCTTGCGCTTGGCATCCTTGCCGGCACGGGCCTGCTGGCGGAACTTCTTGATACGCTCGTCAAGAGCGAGAAACCTCATCGACCATCTCACGGAGACGAGCGTTGTCCTCGGCCTTACGCTTGCTGCGGGCGTTGGCATTCTTCTTTTCGGTAGCACGCTTCTGGTGGCGGCCTTCGCCGTCGTCGGGAATATCCTCATCAAGGTACTCGAATGAGCGCCACGAGTCGAAGTTGTACCAGAAGTTGTAGAAGTTCTCAACCTCCTGCTGGGTGCTGTTCTCGTCACCGAACTCAGGAACGGGCTGCTTGTTGGAGAAGCGACCCTCGGCAACAAATACGGGGCCCCAGGCCTTGTAAAGACCCTTCTTGGCAATGGTGTTCTTGCTGGGGGAGTCGACATCAGCGGCCTCGTCAACGGAGTCGAATTGGCGGCGGCGGGTGGGGTCCAGAAGGAGCTCGGTGGCCTTCTGGATACACTTGAAGAAGCGGTCATCCTCGTCGGACTGGCCCATGGCAGCCTTCTTGTCGGGGTGGTGGCGGAGAACCTTCTTGCGGTGGGCACGCTTGATCATGTCGGGGGTTGCGCGCCAGCGATACTTGGACAAACCGAGAACGGCGTAGTGGTCCTGACCCTGCTAATTGTTAGTGAATTTATAGTCAGGATATGTGATACTAGACTGACCTTCCAGTCCTTAGCCTCACGCTGAAGCATCATGGGGTCCTCGTTATCGGAGAAGTCATCCTCATCCTCCTCCTCGGTCTTCTTGACAGTCTTCTCAGCCTGGATGCGCTCATCCTCGGAGAAAGTGCGGTTGTGACGCTTCTAGTAGGGGGTCAGTAATGAACAAACGATTGCCCGCAGATAAGAACGTACACGGCGAGCGTAGGCAAGGAAGTGCGGGCCCACGGGCTCGATAGTGCGCTGAGTAGCAGGAGACAAGCTGCCGACGGGCTTGAAGTCCTTGTCGGCGGTCCAGCCCGAAGGCAAGGATGGGAGAGAAACGTTGACAACCTGCACAGAAGCCATTGCGTTGGATTGTGATGACGGACAAAGCGTTGTGGGAGAAGTGGGAATTTTTTGCATACCTTTTTTTCTGCCTCGAATGGCCGCCCGCCAATCACAACTCGGATGATCGGGACTTGAATTACCTCTTTGCTTTTGACGTTGTCGGATCTTGATTATCTAGGTCTTTTTGGTTTCATTCTACTCTTTGACTGTTCCTTGATTTTTTTGGTTCTTCTTGTGGCTTTAGCGACACATCCGGCCGTCCGTTTACCACCAGGTCTCCCGATCACGATTTGCCTCATCGCGATACAATCATCCGGGTTCTCCTTAGCCTCTGATCCTTCATAATGGCGACTTCTGGTCTTTCTGCACTGAGCGCATACCGTCAGATTCTGCGTGCTACCCGCATCGCCTTCCAAAGTCCGTTTTACCCGGTGCTACGCTTACACTGCGACGTCAGTCTGCATGAGACCCAGGGAACAAAAGGCTAACATTTTTCTAGATGACAACCGAGTCCTCTTGGCTGCTCGCGCAGAGGCTCGCCGCAACTTCGAGGAGAACCGCCGCGTTGGTATCGACACTGGCCTGCAGATCAACAATGCCATAGAGGTTGCGAGCATTCTGCGCCACAACATCGTGCAAGGTGCTCGCGAAGATGGAAACGAGGACGCAAAGTGGGGTATGTATCATGAGTCTGTTGCAACGGAGATCTCTCTTTGAAGAGCCCGAGTGCCGAATCCAATGCTAATGACTGGACTACAGAGCTGAACATCCACGACGAAATCGAGCGCGGCGACAATGACAGCATCAAGGTTGGCAACCAGAACGTCAAGATTCATAAGGCTTGCTCTTCTTCCTCTTAGCCGTCTTACGATCCGAGACCCATTCTTTGCATACATGACAGCTACAAACAGTCGTGAGAAAAGCCAGCGCTGCTGGATGTGTATTATACTATACCCAACTCTTTTGTTACATTTGGCGTCCCCGGGGTATTTTTTGAGATAGATACTGCATAGAATCGTCCTAAGACAAACATGAACCAAGCCAACGCCCGCTGTGTACAAATCATGCAACTTCCTTATAGATTAAATATTCAATCGCCGTTCATACTAGCGTACTGAACATCGCCGGAGCCGGGAGGGGGTGCCACGGCATAGCTCATTGCCTTTTCTTGGATGGTAGCGTCGCCAGCGGCAGTGATGGCCTTCTTGTCAGAGCCCTTAGCCGGAGCACCGACGGCGGATCTGCCTTCGCGAGCATTCTTGATTCGCTCTTCACGATCCAGATTATCTAGGGGCTTGGGCTTACCCCAGCGCACGCGCAACGGGCAGCCTTGGATAATGGCCTTGCCTTGACACTTCTCAGCAGCAGCCTCCGCTTCGGCGCGGTTGACAAAGTTGACAAATGCACAGTGGGAGCGGTGAGAGCAAACGAGCGAGCGGAGCTGGCCAAACTCCGAGAAAAATGATCGCAGGGCGTGTTCAGGCAGATCATCTTCCACACCAGTGACGAAGAGGGATGTAATGTTGGGGTCGGATGGGGGTCTGATGTCTGCGGCTGATGGTGGGAGTTGCGTAGTACCTGGGAAAGCACGTCCGCCACGAGCGCCACCGCGTCCACCTCGTCCGGGCAGCTTGTTCCCTAATCGGCCTTCACTCGTACGCGTCGGGCCGGGTCCATTTCCGTATCGGTTATGTGTGCGCGGTTGATCCTTTGAGCTAGACTCTTCCGCTTGCTCTCCCTCAGACGGCCCTTCGATCCGGCGCGGCTTCCGGTAATAAGGTTCACTCTTGGCGAGACGTCGGAGAAGCTCGCGCGCCTTGTCGTCGGTCTTTTCATATTCTTCGATCGCGCCAAGTCCCTCCTCGATTTCCTTCTCGTGGTTTTGCGCATAGTATTCACGGTTGATAGAGCTCTCTGGACCGGGAGCGACCATCTTCAATGCGGCATCACGGACCACAATCGGCAAGCCGAAAGACAGATCCAGCATGCAGCATTGGCAGCAGTTCTTCAGACGAGCACAGGTGAGGCAAATGTTGGTGCGCTTCTGGCGCGAGGTTCGGTCTGCTTTCCAGCGAAAGATGGTGAAAGGGCGGGTACACTAGTCGTGTTAGCTTTGCGTCAAGCTTGAGTGGATGAGTAAAACTTACAATCTTGCATTCTGCACCGTGGTCTTCCTTGATCATCTGCACGTAAGGGTTATCGGGAAGACAGTTCTCACAGACGGATGGAAAGTCAGTGGACTCCCAACCGGAGCGGTTGAGATCGTGCTTGATCTGTGGTGCAGCCATGATGTATGTGTGGGACGCAAGACTTGGGCATCTCAAAGAAGTTGATACCGCGGGTGGCGGTGTGTGGCTGATGCAGCACGTGATCTTGGCTGGATCACGCTCACCTCAAGGTGACTATTGCTGTGTTAAGAGTGTTGGTGTGTCAGTTGTACCTTGATGGGAAATAGTCCCTGAGGGCCTGATCATCGGAGGCCTCTCATTTGATCCGAAATTGTCCCTTTATCCTGGTCTCGTCCCCGTAGAGTACCCCAGAATCCCATCTAACATCAGGTCACCCCGGGCAGATATCGGAGGGCCCAGCTACCGACGCAGCCACAACCCGGAAGTCGTCGACTCCGCTGCTCCAACCTCGACTCGGCCTAGTTTAGGGGGGCTCCGTGATTGGCCTGCAAAAAAAAAAGTGTCTTCTATTTATCTCCTTTCGCAACCTCCTGATTTCTTTTTGTTCACTTCAAATTTCTTGTAATTCCCTTCTACACACCGTTGAGTCCTCAATTGCCACTTTTCCGCGCTCCTTCCGCGACCCGGTGTTCTCTTTTTCTCCGTTGACTTCTCCCCCTTTTTAATCCCCACCTTTTCTCCAACCCCTTCAAAATGGCTCCCACGGCTCTTGAACGCGAGGATTTGGCGCGCGATGCTGCCTTCAAGGAGGCTCTCCACGGAAAGACTGCTAAGGCCCGTGGTGGTCTGACTGCCTTGCGTGGCAAGGACGCTGCTGCCCAGAAGGCTGCCGTCGACGAGTACTTCAAGCACTGGGACAACAAGGGCCATGTCGAGGAGACAGACGCTGACCGTGAGGTATGATTTATTGCGCAAATTTCTGCCATTGGCACCACTAACATCTTATGCGCAGGCTCGCCGTAAGGAATATGCTACCCTGACCCGACAGTACGTTATCCCCCTTTGCGCAAATCACTGCACCAGGACACTAACATCTCTGCAGCTACTACAACTTGGCCACCGACTTCTACGAGTACGGCTGGGGTTCCTCCTTCCACTTCTGTCGCTTCGCCTACGGCGAGCCCTTCAACCAGGCCATTGCCCGCCACGAGCACTACCTCGCCATGCAGACCGGTATCACCGAAGGCATGAAGGTATTGGACGTCGGCTGCGGTGTTGGCGGACCTGCCCGTGAGATCGTCAAGTTCACCGGTGCCCACGTCACCGGTCTCAACAACAACGACTACCAGATTGATCGCGCCACCCACTACGCCGAGAAGCAGGGTCTCTCCGACAAGATGGCCTTTGTCAAGGGCGACTTCATGCAGATGAAGTTCCCCGACAACACCTTCGATGCCGTCTACGCTATTGAGGCCACCGTCCACGCCCCCGAGCTGGTCGGTGTCTACTCTGAGATCTTCCGTGTCCTCAAGCCCGGTGGCACCTTCGGTGTCTACGAGTGGTTGATGACCGACGACTACGACAACGACAACCCCGAGCACCGCCGTATCCGTCTCGGTATCGAGCAGGGTGACGGTATCTCCAACATGGTCCGCATCTCCGAGGGTGTCCAGGCCATGAAAGACGCTGGCTTCGAGCTGAAGCACCACGAGGATCTCGCTGCCCGCCCCGACGCTACCCCCTGGTACTACCCGCTGGCCGGTTCCTTCAAGCACATGGGTTCCATGTGGGACTTTTTCACCATTGCCCGCATGACCTGGTGGGGCCGTGGTCTCGCCCACCGTTTCGTCGGTGCCGGTGAGACCATCGGTTCTTCCCCAAGGGATCTCAGAAGACCGCTGACTCGCTCGCTCTGGCTGGTGACTGCCTGGTCGAGGGTGCGCAGAAGAACCTGTTCACCCCCATGTACCTGATGGTCGGCAAGAAGCCCGAGTAAGAAAAAAGCGATTTTCTTCATTCCTGTCCCGCGGCTTTTTTGTCCCAATTCCCAAGATGGTTTCGCTTCTGCTGTTCATTATTTTTGCCCTATGTCGCTAGGAGACTCCCTTTGGCGTTCTCACCGCCCGCCGGTGTTGGTGATGATTTCTCTTCTTTTCCTTTTCTTTGGTCTTAGATATGTAATAGTTATTGAGGCAAGATTCATGAGCCAAGAATAGCATTTCCCATGTTTGGAATTATACGGTGGTGTGTAGATGGCTATCGTAGGAATTTTCATCAGACTTCCAACCGATAGCTCGAAGGCTCTAGGTGGACCGGAACTGCCAAGGTCCGGGGCCCGGGCAACGCTAGGCCCCATTCGGATACCAATGTAAGGGAATCTGATACAGGTCAACAACTTTGGAAGCACGGGCCATCGGTACATTTCTTAAGGCTATATCATGTAGATAGAAAGATTCAGAACGGCGCTGCAGGAGAATTATATATGCCACAACGTCTCAAGTTCACAGCCAGTCTCTGGAAGCTTAGCATGCATGTATGGATAACCATATACGTCTGTTTCTTAGAGACCTCGACGCTCGTCGGTTAAGGGAGATCTCCGTTGTGTCTACAATGACAATCTTTAGACTGAAATAAAGACCTCGCGACTACGGGACGAAAGTATCTATCACAGACATGAAGTCTGGTGATCGGAATATAGACCCGCGTTCAATTCTGAGTCCGCAAAAGGGTTGCAACCTGCTTGGTAGAGGCCTTTCGGATTTCTAGGGACCAACCTGGGAACTGTGGCTCCTGGCTACTTTAGTAAATGGAAGCTCATCTCCGGCATTTAGTCGGGCCAATTTATGGGTGGTTGGCTACTCGCAGAGGACGAATCTGTGTAGTTTCAAAGTTTATTCTTAGATTGTCTTCGTAGCACGGAATTTTGTCTGAGGATGATTTCGTTGAGCTTGATGAGCCTTGAGAACGAGAATTTTCCTGGGAGTGACCATGGTAGAGGATGGTGTTTTGCGAGTCATAGGCTGGATTTCCACGAGTAGAAATTATATAGTAGTTCTATTGAATGCTTCCTGATGTGCGGTACAGAACAAATACCGATATACATGCAAAATATCTGTAATCTAAAACCGCATGGCAACGTAAACAATGACGAATCCAGATTCTCTCATTCAGGCTAAGAGGCTATCCGTGAGTGGGGATTTTCTAATCGCGGTATCGCAGATGACATGCAGGGAGACCTATACGAACTGTTCCTTCTCCTTGACACCTAGGGCGGCAAAGCAAAGCGTTCCTCCCAACAATTACAGCAAAGCAACAAACAGGATTTAGCAAATGTTAATGAAAAGAATTCTACTCACCCACTACTAGGCTTTCGTCTGACATGAATCGAATTCGAAAGTCGACACTCAGCCTGAAAGTCATCAAAATATTTTCCACCCCCAGCATGTCTCGCCATCGATTACCTTTACTTGTTAAGCGACCTTCCACGACTGTTCTCGAACGAGTTCTAGGCTTGCAGTCTGCAGCTGTGTGCGTAAGCCCGGTGCCCAGCCTAGGCTAAGCACCAACCGCGAGACGCACGTTGACTGAGCCAAGCCTTGGCAAAGCTTTGGCAGGCTTGATTCTATACGCGGTCTTTTCACGCCATTTCAAAATTCATCAAAGATATTCATCTTGCAACTTCGAAAGATAGAAGCGAACCAGTCACGGACAGTAGAAAAGAACGTGGCCAGGTACACCGGACCCACTCGTATACCTCGCCCAATCACTTTTGATCATGTCACGATTTAGCGTCAACACTTGCGGAGTCGGCTTTCTTCAACGATCGTCCACTCACTCAGGCCCAACTAAACCACGTGCATCGCCAAGTAATCTAAGCTCACGTCTGGTCTTCATCGCTTCAAGTTGTTCTCTAAGCGATGTGAAACGGCATCGCAATGTCGGATTCCTCGTTGGGGAATGCGTCTGTCCGGATATAAGATCGCGTGCATTCCTGGACCGATCATCCTGCTTTGTTTTCCTTTCCCGCACCACATCGACAGTTGAAACTCCACAATGTTCACCAAGAAGTCCCTCGCTGTCTTTATCGGAGCTCTGGCTCTGGCTGCGGCCAAGACCACCACTGTTGAGTACCCCACTGATGCGGAGGTGGAGGCGGCCGCCGCTACCGTGGTTCCCTTGTCTCCTACTTCCAACGTCAAGGGTCGTGCTTTCGATCGCTTCGTCAACATCTGGATCGAGAACACTGTATGTATCACTCAATTGGCCTATAGGACTTTTACTGACAAATATCCAGGACTTCGATACCACTGCCAGCGATGCCAACTTTGAGAAGCTCGCCAAGGAGGGCATCCTCTTGACCAACTACTTTGCCACCACTCACCCTTCGGAGCCTAACTACGCTGCCTCTGCCTGCGGTGATGACTTTGGCATGGACAATGATGATTTCCACCAGATCCCTTCCAATGTCTCCACCATTGCCGATCTGTTCGACACCAAGGGTGTTTCCTGGGGCGAGTACCAGCAGAACATGCCCTATGCCGGCTACCAGGGATACCGCTGGCCGGAGACTGGAGCGAACGAGTATGTCCGCAAGCACAACCCGCTCGTCCTCTTCAACTCTGTCACCGACTCGGATACCCGCCCTCTCCAAATCAAGAACTTCACCAGCTTCTACGAGGATGTCAAGCACAAGCGTCTGCCCCAGCACATGTTCATCACCCCCAACATGACCAACGACGCCCACGACTCCGATATCACCGTCGCTGGCGACTTCCTCGCTGACTTCCTTCCCCCGCTCCTCAATAATGACTACTTCTCCAAGGACACCCTGGTCCTCGTCACCTTCGACGAGACCTCCACCTACGCCAAGCCCAACCGCGTGTACTCCATCCTCCTCGGTGGTGCCGTCCCCTCCCACCTGAAGGGAACTAAGGATGACACTTTCTACACCCACTACTCCATTATCGCCTCCCTCTCCGCGAACTGGGGTCTTCCCTCCCTCGGCCGTTGGGACTGCGGTGCCAACCTGCTCGATCTCGTTGCCAAGAAGGTCGGCTACACCAACTGGAACGTCGATAACATGGACAAGGTCTTCCTCAACCAGACCTACCCTGGTCCTCTCTCTGATAACGACTACTCCACTTACTCCTCTGCCTGGCCTATTCCCGCTACTAGCGGCTCTTGCTCTGCTGGTCACGGTATCCTCGATACCGTAAAGAAGACTTACCACGGTAAGGCTGCTTCTCACGACTACACCTCTCCTGTTCCTTTCGATAAGGCCAGCGGTATCAATCTTGGTATCAAGTTCAGCCGTACTGAGAAGGGCAAGAAGGAGACCCGCATCACTGAGTAAACGTTTCTCGCTGGGTCGATCAAGATGTTTGTGTTGATAAACTTGAGAGCATTTAATGTATATACAAATTAAACCACAATACCTTGTTTGAGTTCCAATTTATTTTGAGAAATCGTTAGATTGTTCATAGCCCCGGAGATGGAAGGCCTGAAAATTGACATGCGGTAAAGCGTGCCGACCCGGGCGGATAGTGAGCCCCATCGATCTATTCAGTCTCTAGTGCGCCTGGCCAGTGACTACGTGGAAGATTGAGTAGACAATGAACACTCATGGTATTTGACAATATGGTATAAAATATTAATCAAGATCTAATGCAACGCAAGTATAAATGCAATGCAAATGCAACACGCCAATTTCGCCACCCAAGACTGTGCCACCACTTAACTTATCCAGCAGCATAAGTACTCTTCCTCCTCAAAGCCTCCCCATACTTCCACAAGAAAATCGGCGCCGGAATACCAAAGCCCAGCGCAATAAACGCGAGCACACTATTTCCCCACCCATACTGCAACTTATCATACATGTAGGGAGCGAAAAGCGGAAACCCGAATCCAGCCAACGATCTCAAAAACGAACCCGCAGCCAAGGCACTCGCCGCGAACCTCGTATAGGTATCAACCATATACGTCTGCATACACTGGAACGAGACAATCGTGCCCGTTCCAAAGAGGAACGCACCGATATTAGGAGCGATCCAATGACAATGTTCCTGCGCCGTCCAGCCGTAGATGAACAATCCCGCGGGAATAAGAACCGCGCCGACGATAAGGAGTGGGACTCGGAATTCGGGCCTGCCGACATTATCATTTCGGGCTTTCAGTCCGCGGTAGATTTTATCATTGAGCGGGGCACAAATTTGGGAACCGGCCCAGAACCCGAGACCGAGAGAAATGTAATTCAATCCGCCTATGCCGATGGATTCGTTATAATATTGCGGTGAGGTCCAGAGGGATGGGAATGTTGATAGGACAAGGTACATAATTCCGTAGATGTAGGCCATGTAGCATGCGAGACATTGGACGATGGGTTGGGTGAGGAGGAGACGGAATGGTCTGACGAGGGCAGTGCGAAGGACCTGAAGAAGGGTTTTCTTTTGAAGTTCTGCTTCGGTTTGGTAGGATTCGTCTCCTGTTTCTTTGCGGAGGCGCACAGCGCGGTTTTTCAAGAGACGTGGAGCGTATGTTTCGCGGAGGAAGAATAGGCCCATGAGTTGGATGAGGCCGTCTGTGATGGAGGTGGAATAGAAGACCCAGCGCCAGGTGGTATTCTCGGCGATGAAGCCGCCTGCGATGGGGCCTAGTGCTGGGCCCAGGAGAGGGGCGAGAGAGTAGATTGCGATGGATTTGCCTCGTTCTTCGGGCCGGAAACAGTCTGAGAGGACGCCGCCTCCTACGGCTAAGGGTGCGGAGCCACCTAGACCGGCGAAGAAGCGGCAGATGATCATTTGGGTTGATGTTTGGGAGACGGCGCAGCCGATGTTGAAAACGAGGAAGAAGAGGTTGGCGAGTTGGAGAACGATTACGCGGCCGTAGATCTCGGAGAGAGGTCCTAGGATTAGAGGGCCGACGGCGTAGGCAAGAACGAAGATTGAGAGGGTGAGTTGGGAGAGGACTTTGTCTGTGATATTGAGGTCTGCTGCGATTGAGGTGAGGGCTGGGGCGACCATTGAAGAGGAGACCGGAGAGATGAAGGTGAAGAGGGAGACGGTGACTGTTGCTGCCCACTTCTTCTTGTTGGGCCAGTTCTTGGGGTTCTCTGGATCGTCGGGCCCGTCCCAGTCGACCAATTTGGAGTCTAGTCGTGAGCGTACTGAACGTGCAGATTTGGACTTTTTAAGTTCCATTTGATTTCGCTCTAGGTCAACATCTCGCTCGTTGACGATGCCGTTTCGGACTTCTTGGACGGTCTCAGTCTTTTCCATGTAAGATTCTTCTGTCTCGTCGCCTTCGTCGCTGTCCATGTTGTGATCACTGTGATAGGTCGAGTGGTCGTCTAGGTGCTTTGCAGAGTGCACACGATCCAGGTGAGGCACCGTGGCCGTGGCGGATGATGATCGTTGTCTGGACGCCATAGAGTCTGTAACATTTTGGTGATGCTCAGAGTCCGAGTCTGAGATAGACGGTGAACGAGACTCGCCCACATCGGAGCTATGGTCCTGTTCCTTTAACATGCTTGTGGTCATGCACGTGCAGCTGTAAAGAGTACTGAAGTTGGAAAACGCTCTATTATGTAGATAAGATGGTTAGAATATCTCACAGTAGTCAAAAAGACTATGCACACGCGACACTGAAACCAAGCAAAAAAAAAACCAGCGGGGAAAGTACATTTATACGCGGTAGCATCACGGAACAAAAATCACCGATACGGAGCGCATAACATGCTGCAAAGGCAATGCACGCGGTGATAATAGATTAACGCCGTGTAGACCGCTCCAACATTGAAAATTTCGCAGTGATCATTGGCTCGGCTCAAAGCTTGAAAGGGGACTGACCCTGGCCCAGGCTCTTCAGGTCCCGCTCAACCGTAGAAACAGGCAAGAGCGGCGGCCTGAACCGGCATTGCCAGGGCAGGCTACCGCCTTCGTCGTGTGTTGCAGATCGAAAACGGGGCAAAAATCTGGTCGGATGTGGAACAAGAACTCCGTGCGCCGGTTCAGGCATCATGACTCAGCTATTTCGGCTCTTCGGCACGCACATGACTCCACTGTCTCCAAGTTATGCATCCTGCTCACGGTGATTGGTGATTAATAGAGGCCCATGGAAGCATAGAAGCTTGAATTAAGACTATGACAGAAACAGGAAGAGAAAGGGATGCAACCTCCAAGTATGCTATCCTTCTTAACAATTGATCACACCTATGTCCCCAGAAATAACATGTTTACTTGGCAAACAAACAGCGTTTAATTATTGCTACTTATAACCTCTAAAGTAGTCTCAGGCATCGACTTTCACGGTCGCAGTTTCAGGTCAACAACTATGACGAGCTCTCAATATCAACAACAAGCCCAGGCAGTAACTCCACCTGTCCAGCCTTGGACCCATGGAATAATAGCTTAATTACAGCCTCACCATTTGAGAGAGAGAATGCCCGCTTGCCAGCCGTTGATCCAGAGGGAACGTCATAGCTCCATTTCCCATCAAAGATGGCATCATATGAGCTCTTTAGTTTACTCGCTTCAAGATCGGGAACCTGGACGGACACCGCCGAGATACCTTGAACACCATTGGGGTGCTGAGTGAGATGAGACTCCAACTTATAAGGAACACGCCTATCGCGAGGGGTTCTGTCCAAACACCAGAATGGCATAGATCCTGGGGCTACCACGTCGCCCTGGCTGTCTTTGGGCGTGCAAACTGCCCATTCTAAAATTGTCCCATCCGGCTTCGTGCGACCGCCAGGAATTGGATCTGTATAGGATATACTGGTATCGGCATTCTGAAATCGTTGTTGAACGGCGACAAAGTCGCTCTCCGAAGGCAAGGTGAAAGCCCAGTCAATGATTGTTCTCTCCGTCTCTTTTCCCCAGCGATGGTTACGTCGTCTTTCGGGGTCCACATCATCGAAAAATGCAATGAACTCGAGGTAAACACCATCGGCGAACAGCACTAGCTTGTTTGTTGTAAGCCCATCAGCGTGGTTGCCCCCTGGTGCCAGAGTGAAGCGCCCCTCAATGTGTTTGGAGATGCCGAGAAGATCTTTATGAGAAAGAAGAATGACAATATGGTCCAGGATGGGGGGGGCTGCGAAGCTTGGCTAAGCATTTTGAATGTATTCGACAGGCTTACCGCCAGAGATTCTCAGTGAACTGAACTGAAGCGATATTTTGGGGCCGTGGAAAAGATGCTAGGAGATTGTCGGAGTAGGATTGCGCACGAGTTCCCCGCACGAGGGCTCCCCGCAAGGAGCGCCTGCAGCAGATAACATCCCTCAAGTCGGAGCATTGGCATAGACAATGGCAAATTCAAGACAGACGAGACCATTCTCAGATGACATTCAGCCCCGGCTAAAGCAGGCGTAGTATTTATTCAATGGTGCTTGCTGGAGCAACTGCGACGGAATCATCATCGCTTTGCTGGGAGAGCTCGGAAAATTGCCTGCGAGACATGGCGAAACTATTTCAAAAGGTTTCGGATGCTCATTGTGAAGCCAAGGTGAGCTAGAAATCCGAGAATGGTTGGATCCTTCCAAATTGACCCACTTGGACCAAAATTAGGTTATACCTAAACACTCTTTGGCTTCGGCTAATTCGTGAACCTTGTGCGAATTGAACTTCTTCACAGCGTCAGATACAGATGCCTCATTCAGCTCTAAATGGGATCGGCATTGTTTGGGTAACAGTGTCCAGTCGCTCTGCGATATTAGGCCAGTTTCGGCTCGAAACAATCTATTCCACTGGCGAGAGGATAGACGCTCCCTGGACAACCAAGTCCAAGAGGATAGGGAAATCGGTTGTGTATTCGTCTAATGCATCGATCACTAATGAGTATCGTTCCACGTGATCACTTTCACCAGTCGTGCCCAGGCTCCTTGATCTTCTTCTTCAACAACACACAGACATCACATTCTCCCGTCGGCTTAAAGAAAGGAACTTTGTAATGAATACTATGAAGCCGTTGATTCCTCGTTTCTCCGCCTTGCTTCGCAAGAAACCATTTCATATGCTTTCTCCGGGGCCACCTTTACCGCCCGGCATACTCGTTGATGAAGAGATCTCGCCAGTATACAATTCCAAGTACTTCTACCCGGTGAAGCCAGGAGAGGTACTCGCCGATCGTTACCAAAACTTGGTTAAGGTTGGCTGGGGCGTGTCTTCAACAGTATGGCTCGCGCGTGATTTGCAAGGGTAGCCTTGAATAATTTCTGTCCAGTTCGAAGCTCTCCCTGTCTCTAACAAACATACAGGCATATCGAAGAGCCAGAAAGCGTCGTGGCACTGAAAATTATCAATAATAATGCGAGTTCCGCTGGTCATGAGCGCGAAGTTAAAGAGCATATTTCCACGGCAGACCCATCACATCGCGGTCGGTCGCTGATCCGAACATTACTAGACTCTTTTGAATTTAAAGGCCTAGAAGGTTCTTATCTAGGTCTTGTGTATCCGCCTATGAGGGAGTCATTGTCGATGTATCAGCGGCGCTTTGACGACAGAAAGATGCCACTGCCCCTCATTAAAACATACATTCGGGCCCTTCTTACGGGGCTTGATTATCTGCATAAGGTATGCAGGACAGTTCATACAGGTAAGTTTATCTTCAACTTTAATTCCTGTCAACAACACTAAGCCCAAGTGGCTGCCTAGATCTAAAGCTTAAGAACATCATGGTCTCCTTCGAGGATCCAACCGTGCTTGGTGATTTTATGGATTCTCAGCTTGCAAAACCGATGGCTTTTAAGATTGATTCGACGGGACGGCCAGTGTATCAATCTCGTAATGACTTCGGCCCACTTAAAAGCCTGAGATATACCACAGCTTGTCGACTTTGGCTTGGCAACCAGACTCCAGGAAGACGACGACTGGGGCGTTTGGCCTATCCAGCCAGACCACTATCGGGCACCAGAGGTGATACTGGGTAATGGTTGGCAAATGCCTGCGGATATTTGGAATCTTGGCGTTCTGGTGCGTTCCATTGTTCTCCAGAGTTGGTGCATCCGCTAATGCCAGACCAGTTGTGGGATATGATCGAAGGCAAAGAGCTATTTTAGCATATTCATGATCCAGAAGGTCGCTACGATGCTAAACTACACATCGCCGAAATGATTGCCTTACTCGGTCCACCTCCTCCAGAGGCCATACAAAGGTATCAATACATACGAGAGTACTTGTGGCCGGAACCTGTCAGACGAGAAGACGGCAGAGTATGCGAGACCGCGGAAACGTACTTCTGTGGGCCATTCTTTGACGAAAAAGGTATTACTGGGTTTCCTATCTCGAACGAATTCTTAGAACTCACGAAACATCTCAGGTCGCTTCCTGTACGAAGACCTGATCCCTAACCGCAAACTAGGCGACACAGTCTTATTCCTTGGGGGAGAGGAGAAGGAAGCGTTTTTAGACCTCGCCAAGCGAATGCTTGTCTGGCACCCAGATAAGAGAAAACGGCAGGCGAACTGGCTGAGCACCCTTTTCTTCAACCGAAACAAACAAGCTCCTGATTTCTGCGAGCTTCTACTAAAGGATGAGAGACTCTAGGCAAAACAGCCATTTACTGGTTGACTCGGAAATCCAAAAACCGGGTGCTGGTCTATCTGATTTTCCATACAATTTACCTGGCGTCCTCTACAAGAATCAATGCGACTCCAATGGGCAGATACAATGTAAACGCGAGCACTAGAAGGCTACGAGAAAATATTGGGGGCAGCCTCACACTTGAACTACATTCCCGCCTTGAACACGATTGAAATAGGCCTTTTATGTGAGAAACAGGGAATTCTGTCGACGCCCTGCTGTATCATCGGCAGGCGCCATGGCGCTGAGACCGTTTTTGGAAATCAAAGTCAATAGTCTACATGGCTCGTCTAGTTGTAAGCTCGCTGCATAGTCATCGGTCCGAATTATCGCCAAACAAGTGTAGGGAATGAAAATAATGTAATCAAGTGTGAGCTTTTCTGTAAGCGGCTAGGAATGCAACCCAAATACATAAATCACGGGTGTGTAGATCATCGGGTTAAACGGTACTCGAATGTGATCATTATAGGCTTGAAAATTCTATGATTGTGCAAAGCGAATTAAATATTTGCATATTTCGGAGAGATTTCGTCCTATTTGAGAGTGATGGTTCCTCTTCTCCGAATTTAGTCCTACAGATTGGCTACCACCGCATGTCAGTATGAGATGCTTGTCAATCATGTCTACCTGAGCACAGCTGGGCGATGTTTCAACATACTCGTGGTCTTTATAGAGTTCGTATTATCCATCGGAAACCTTCGCGGCGGCAGCGCCCTCGGACCGCGTGGTGGGGCTAAGCGCGCGCGCTCAGCAAGCGGGATAGCCACCATCCCCAAATGCATAAAGCAACTCATGAACGAGTCTACCGTCGCAAAGCAATCGATAACTATCAAGTCAGCCTGTACTCGGCAGAATGACCCGTCTCCTTCGCATCGCCGTCCTTGAATGCGACACGCCGATCCCGCCAGTGCAGGCCAAGTTCGGCGGCTACGGAGATATCTTCGAAAGTCTTCTGAAGAAGGGACTAGAGGAGAGCGGCTCCACTGCTGAGATTGAGGTTAGCAAGTGGCATGTTGTGGAGAACCCCGTCTATCCTGACCCCAACGAGTGTGATGCGTTTCTCCTCACAGGTAGCAGTATGATTGCCTGTTCTTGTGCTTAAGGACACGGCTAACTATTGCAGAGCATGATGCTTTCAGTGACGACCGTTGGATCCTGACGTTGACTGAGTATATTCATGACGTTGTCAAGGCTCATAAGAAGCCTGTTGTTGGGATTTGCTTTGGTCATCAGATCCTTGCGAGGGCCTTGGGCAAGCGTGTTAGTCGTGGAGATAGTTGGGAGATTTCTTCCTCAAAGATTACTTTGACTGATGCTGGGAAAGAACTTTTCGGAAAGGATGAGTTGGTGGGTTCTTCGATAAGATGGATGAAGTATGTTCTAATAACGAATAGCATCTGCATCAAATGCACCGCGATATTGTCCACGAGGTGCCCGAAGGGTGCATCAATCTTGGCTATAGTGACCCATGCGCAATCCAAGGCTTCTACATGCCCAATCGCCTCTTGACTGTTCAAGCGCATCCCGAGTTCAACGAATATATCATGTCGCATCTTGTTGAAGCAAGACATAATGGCGGTGTGTTCAACGATGAGCTAGCCCAAGACGGAGCGGCGAGAGCAGGAAATCACCACGATGGAGCTCTAGTGGCGAAGAAGATTATAGAATTTATCAACAGCTCAGTAGCATAACTGATTTTGAAATTAAAAATGAAAGCAAATTACTCAAATGGGTGTCAAAGGACAGGAGCGCGAGGAAGTTCATAGTTGATAAGGGGAACGCGGAATGCGATAAGCGGCGATTGACATCACTCGCCTTATAAAACCCGATTTGCCCCTCCAGAGCAACCGCGCTCTTGAACCACTGAGGCATTGCATATATTCCACCCATAATGTCGAACCAGATCCGCACTATCAACCCTGCTACACATGAGGTGATCTTCGATCAGCCGGGCACCTCGCTCGAGGATGCTGGTAAGATGGCAAAGGCCTCCAAGCTGGCCTTTGAGTCTTATCGCAAGCTGAGCTTAGATGAACGGAAGGACATTGTCAAGCGCGCTCTTGCCATTCTTGCTACCAAGTACGATGAGCTGGCCAAGGAGCTCACGACCCAAATGGGTCGACCGATCAGGTAATTCGTTCTCGTCGAGTCTTTCCATTGACTCGACTGACTTGTCGCAGATACTGTGTCGGAGAGATCAAGACTGCCGCGCTTCGCTCAGAGTACTTGCTCCAGATCGCCGGAGAGGCTTTGGCTGATTTGCCTGGTCAGCCTCAAGCTGGCTTCAAGCGTATGGTCAAGCACGTCCCTCTCGGTCCCATTCTGATCGCCGGCGCTTGGAACGTGAGTAATGAAACCGACCCGGTCGCAAACTATACTAACCAGCCAACAGTACCCCTACCTGACCACCGTCAACGCTCTGATACCCGCCCTGGTGGCAGGAAACAGCGTCCTCCTTCGTCCATCCCCTCAGACCCCGCTCTTCGGAAACCGACTCCTCGAGATCTTCACCGAAGCTGGACTCCCTTCCAACGTCCTTCAGATTGTTCACATTGGTAGCCTGGATGTTCTCGACCAAGTGGCCCAGCTTCCCGAGATCCAGTCGATTTCATTCACAGGTTCTACCGCGGGCGGTATCCGCCTCCGGGAGGCAACTGCGAAGCAGGTAAAGCCCGTCAACCTCGAGCTCGGCGGAAATGACCCCGCCTATGTCCGTGCCGATGCAGACGCAAAGAGTGTTGCTGAGAATCTGGTTGATGGTGCAATCTTCAACTCTGGCCAGAGCTGCTGCTCTATTGAGCGTGTCTACGTGCACGAGAAGATCTATGATGAGTTTGTGCGCTGTGTGCAGGAAGAGCTGGCTACGTGAGTGCCCCTTGGCTTGATGAGAGATTTACTTCTAATTCTTGTATAGATACAAGCTCGGCGATCCCCAAGATAGCAACACAACCACTGGACCGGTGATCTCTGCTCCAGCCAAGGTCAAGATTCAATCCCACATCGACGATGCCTTGAGCAAGGGCGCAGTCGACTCCACTCCGGAGAACGGCACTTTCGCTCTGGCCAAGACATCCCAGAAGGGCAACTTTATTGCTCCTGTCGTCCTCACGAATGTCAACCACTCCATGATCACCATGAAAGAAGAGACCTTTGGCCCTGTCATGCCCATTATGAAGGTTTCCAGCGATGAGGAAGCTGTCGCTTTGATGAATGACAGCGACTATGGTCTGACTGCGAGTGTCTGGACTAAAGACATTGCTCGTGGCGAGGAATTGATTGATGACATTGAGGCTGGTACTGTGTTCATCAACCGTTGCGATTATCCTGCTCCGGTAAGTTCACCTCCAGTAATCTTGGAGTTGGCTCATACTAAGATACGTTTCACAGGATCTGGCTTGGACTGGTTGGAAGAATTCTGGTCTGGGATGCACATTGGGTCCTCGCGGTTATGACGGGTTCACCAAGTTGAAGAGTTACCACGTCAAGTATGCTTCTTAGAGCAACATTATAGAGCTAGAGGTTTCAAATGAAGCATCCATCAAACATTCATCTATCACTTTAACAAACAATGGCTGTACTACAGCTTCACAAATACACGAGCATCACTATCGAACTGAGAGCCATCCAATCCATTTCACTTTCATCCTCATGCGTGGCAAATCCCAACTAACAACCCCCGGTGCCAGCCCCACTGCGCGGTCCGGGACCGCGCTGCAGTTATCCACCTACGCGGCAATCACTCAATTTGCCTAAAACATAACTGCAACCCCATGAAATGCATCCCAGCTATCTCAAACCCCAGACCGCGAACCAAGCACCCCTCATACCCCGCATGAACCAGGGTACCGCGCCGTCGGATCGATACTAGATACCCAGGCGCGCGATAGAGGATGCCCTAGAACGCAGGGTTACACATGCCGAAGTGCAGGGATCCATCGTGGATATCGCGCGCGTCAAGTTAAAAAGAACTGAGTAAGATGAAGGTCATGAGATACTTCTGTGAAGAAAGCGTAGATAACAAGTTATAAATTGAGATCCCGCATACATTCCCTCTCTCCAACATCCATCCAACCGTCAAATCTACTTTCAATCAACTTCCCCAAATCCTATACAAATAGAAAACCATGGTCAACCGCCTCCAAGGAAAGAACGCCATCATCACCGGTGCCGCTGGCGGCATCGGTCTCGAAACCACAATCCTCATGCTCCAAGAAGGCGCCTCCGTCCTAATGGCCGACATCTCCCAACCCGCCCTCTCCTCCGCCTTGACAAAAGTCCAATCCCTCTGTCCAGGAACACGGGTTGAAACAATCCAAGTCGACGTGTCCTCCGAATCCTCTGTGAAAAGTATGGTCGAGAAAGTGGATTCCTGGGGTGGAGTGGATATCATGTTCAACAATGCGGGAATCATGCACGCGGAGGACGCGGACGCGATTGCTACGCCGGAGAAGATCTGGGATTTGACGCAGAATATTAATGTCAAGGGTGTTTGGTTCGGGTGTAAGTATGCTGTAGAGAGCTTCAGGAGGAATGGAAAGGTGAAGGGGAGTGTGATTAATACGGCGAGTATGGTTGCGCTTGTTGGGGCGGCGACGCCGCAGTTGGCGTATACGGCTAGTAAGGGGGCTGTTTTGGCGATGACGAGGGAGTTGGGCATTGTTCATGCGCGCGAAGGTATGAAATCATTGTTGTCCTTTCTTTGAGATTGGGGGATTATTTTGCTAATAGATTTGGGTGCAGGATTCCGGTTTAACTCTCTCTGTCCTGCGCCTCTGAAGTATGTTCTTCTTGTTCCTTGCTTGATTCTTGCTGACGGTGATTTAGCACACCTCTCCTTCAAGACTGGCTGGGTGATGACAAGGAGAAGCGTTTCCGTCGCGAAGTCCACTTCCCAAGCGGCCGTTTCGGCGAAGCTATTGAGCAGGCCCACGCTGTGATCTTCCTGGCGAGCGACGAATCGTCTTTTGTCAACGCGACCGACTTTGTCGTTGATGGCGGTTTAACAAAGGCATATGTCACACCCGAGGGGCCGGCGACTGCCGCTCCGAAGAATCAAGCTTCATGATTGATGTATCTTAGGCAAAAGATTGAAATGAAACATTTTCATTTTCAAGCTGTTTCAAATTGTTCAGGCAAAAGATATCCAAATTTGATTCTGCTGCATCGTTCGACATATGTTCCAAGGACCTGCCTCAGATAATGGTAATAGCCACATTGCCTCTAGGAGTTGTAGAGTCCGGTGCATGTTTCCAAGACCGAAATGGCATGACATGTCGATTAGTCGGCTTCGTAGGGTTTGTTGCTGTATTGGTGTTGACAGGCAAGAGCCTATCACGGCGATCGGCCAGCACAGGCCTGAGTTGATCCGTGCTTGTGGAGATAATTCGTCCAGGTAGCCCATGGCTTCTGTAACGGCATTCTCGATCAAGCCTTTGTATATCCCGTCGGGTGCATATTGATAGCCTCCAAGAGACGTGTAGAGATAGATCAACATGGCCTGCTGGAAGATCGAGCCAGCTAGGTAAACTTCAGGCATGACAGTTGGATAAGGCGACCAGCGCAGGATTTGGGCTTGAATGGAGGCGAACATTGCGATGTCGTCCGCGGTCGGTGAAATGGTCTGTGCTTCGTCCATCATCCATTGCCGGCCAAGATCGAAGATGCAGGGAATTAGAAGGAGAAGCTCTAGCCAGCAGCCGCAGAGATTGCCGACGTATTGTGTGGTCAGGAGTTCGCGAGCCCGTTGCTCCAGGTCAAAATTTAAGAATAATTGCCCGCTTAGACGGGCGTCGATGGAGATCATGCTCACGGTCGCGGTGTAGGTGTAGTATTCTATGACGAAGTTCTTCAGTTCTCTTGGAACAGCAGTATCACTCTGTGCAAGCAGTTTAACAAGAAGAGAGTTAGCAGCCGACAAGTGGTCGAATATCGTGCCAGTCACGTCTCCCTTGGCGGTCTATGGTTGGGTTGTCAGTCTGTGACCATGGAACTGTGGGGTGATCGCAAGGTACCTCTGTGAAGCACATTAGGAGAGCGCCGACCAGCAACATCAGCGGGTTGGGTTCCTTTCCCTCGATGAAATCGGTGACTCCGTGTCGGAAAAGCTGGATCGCCTTTGTGTAATGGGAGTGAGCGATTGCGTCCGACTCATCGCGACGCCGAAACGCCCGGTGGGCCGCACTTTGGGTGATGACGAGTTGTAACAACAGATCGCTGGAAAACGCTAACGGCACAATTTGCACTAGGAATGGGTTGATAGGTGTAGAGCCATTAGCCATACAGTCGGCCGTCGTGCTCAAGTAATGGCTGAGTAGTTGGTAACTATCAGCGTCGTAACCAGGAAGCATCGACATGGTCCGAGGCACCAGATTACCAAACGGTACCGTCGCCAGGGAGCTATCCATGCTTCCCAGCGATGTTCTGCGATCGATCATCTCCTCTTGCATATCTTGCATGGCATCATCCAGACCCCTGTCAGCGACGACTGATTGTCCGCCGCTCGACGTAGAAGAATGTCTCGAGGCCGGACTCGCGGGCATCTGCATTCCATCGAGGTCGGCTACTTCGAGGCTTGCTCGCCGTTCGTTCCTTTTTTCTTATCGTTCATATCATGTACATCCTGTGCGATAGAATTACCTCTCCTGGCACATTGACTGGCCAGGAACACCCTAAATCATTCCGCAGACAGCCCCCGCAGATCGGGCGTGCCTCGTCACACTTCTTCTTGCGTCGTCTGCATGTCCAGCACCCTGTGCGGACGCGCACTATTCTTGTTGTTCGTTGTCGATCTGGCATATTGGGGAGAGAAGAATCGCTAGTGACAGACGAGCGAGGAATGCGGAACGAAGGACGGGGCACGACCGATAACGAGACCGCGGTCAGTGTGGGGTAAAACTCTAATCCGCAACAAATCATCGCTTGTCATTTCCGGATAACGTGGTTTCTCCAATTTTAAGCCCAGAGTCGCAATCGCCTCCGCTTGGAGCCATCTATGCTTTCCCTTCCCACCATTTTAGCCGTCGTACGACCGAGCACATTGTTTATTTAATGTCACTTGATAATGGGAACTATGAAGAACGAACGTGAAGTACTAGGTATCGTAGCCTATTCCATTGGTCCAAATAAAACGACGGGAAAGAAATATAATGAGTATGCAGGAAGCATGTATGAGACCATCACTTTACACTTGGGCCTTCTTTCGGAACACATTTCGGCGATTAATAAGAAAATTTGCAAGGAGGCTTGTCAGACTACATCGTCGAAGGGTTTGCATCCCAGCTGTAAATTGAATCCAGCATTCGAACCAAAGACCAAATCAATTTCGGACGTATTATTAGCAAAGGTACACATGATGCAATTATTGCCAGTTCGAACATCAAATTTGGAGTAATGCTAGGACGAGAGAGTATGTGGTTTTCCAAAGACAGAGTCGACTTCCTTCGAATTGCTACCACTATCTAAGATCAAACTTTGAAATGGTGTCTATATTGGGGGCATAAATCGAGTCATCACCCTCGACGGATATGATGAAGCAGGAGTTAGACGTTGAGTGATGGAATCCTTGAGAGATCAGACCGCATTGCTTCTTGATCTTACGCGGGTCGCGCTGGTCGGCAGCAATTGCCAAAAGAATCATTCGCCTCGGCTCCCACGAACCACATCGCCACAATCCGCCGCCACCAGCTGAGCTCCCGCACGATAAAAACCTGCCTTGACGCTAAATCAACACTTCCACTTTCTCGCAAGATTGTATAGCACCAGTCATGCTTCCCTCGCTTTGATGTACTCGAAAATCCGAAAGAAACTCATAGGTCATTAAGTTTGAGAAATGCAGGTGGTTCCCTCTCCCAGCGCTAAAATCTTCACTTAGTTGCTCGGAACCATTGACGAAGGTTGTGGTCGATAGCAGGTCTGCCGGGGATTGGGCTGCACGGCTTCCGGTTAGTTATATCTACATCTCTTTACCAATCAGGCCATCATTCGCGCGTATCTCTAACGTGCAACAATAGGTCCGGAATCATTTTCTTTTTGAAATTTAAGCTTAGTGGTCATTGATGAAGTGAGAAATATCTTGGGCAGAGACAATCCGATGTGTAGGTGCATAAAAACTGGGAGGAATCGAATCCTTCACCCCTTAGAGCATGTAGAAGAGCCAACACAGCAGTGATTATAAGGGAACAATGCAATGATATACAGGCGAAGGAAATTGATGAACTAGAGCTCGAAAATCTACTGTTTGCTCTGTGCTATACTTATGTTGACGTCAAAGTGCCTTCTTTATGAACCACATGCCAAGGGCCTGCCGTCGGGATGCCGAGTCATTGTCATCCTCGGCTTCAGATCCACGGCTCACGCGTCGGGAATCACCTCTCAACAATGCTTGAATCCCGCCGAGCATTTGCTCATAAAGCCCCAAATCCGCATTTTTGCCTTTTTTTTTCCTGATGAACGGACCACTGAATCTCTGGCAATTGAGAGGTCATAATGGCGAGTTTGACGCTCGATTCACCAATGGTTGTCGCCATTCTGGTGATCGCTCTACTGTCATACAAAAACTTACCCGGGATTTGGCATGTGAGTACCATTGCATCCCATGAGATCCAAATCCAAGACTAATTTTACACAAAGTTTCGATTTTTCCGAGCCGTATTGACCCGACTCTACATCTCTCCCACAACTATCGATGAACTTAGTCCAGAATGCTTATTCCTCTCGGCAATTCACCGCACAAGAGCCCCACTAAGCGAATGCGACTACAACATCCACAAGTCCAACTCAACCTATTTCATGGACATTGATATCTCGCGGGGCAATCTCTGTCTTGTCCTCTTCAGCCAGCGATTATCATTTCGCCCCAAACACAACACTGCTTCCATGGCTCTGGGCGGTGTACAATGTATTTTCAAGAGAGAGATCAAGCCATATCAGCCTTACGAGGTATGGTCTCGCATTCTGAGCTGGGATGAAAAGTGGATATATATTGTCACTCATTTCGTTGTCCGAGGTGCTCATCGGCCGGCCAGGTTTCGTGTGCAAGGCCAATTGAACAGTGAAGCCACAGCGCGAGGAAAGAAGAGAAACCAGAGTGATAAAGAAAAGGGCAAGACGGTCTTTGCGTCAGCAGTGTCTCGATTCGTTTTCAAGCAAGGGAGGAAGACAATTGCGCCCGAGAGAATGCTCGTGGAATGCGGCCTTCTACCTCCTGCGACGGCAGAGCTTGATTGCGAGATCTCTGCTAATGACACCAATGATTGCTCTCAGTCGGAACGACGATTAATCGAAGATAGACGCAAACGGGATTTGGACATTGCGCAATTGAAATTGGGGTGGGATGCTGTCTACGACACCTTTGAAGGTGATGTTTCTACGGCGCTGGGAAGGTATACGGACCTGTTCTGGAGGTAATCTGAGGCTGATTCCACCTGAACCTCTTCTTTTGCGCTGAAAACGGACGGAATATCAAATGAATCCCGCAGAGCCTTGCATTGGTTTTTGATGAGGCCTCGGCTCAAAATTGAAAGCCGAGGTCGGGCGATTAGGTTATCAACAAAATAGAGGTAGAAACTTACGCATATATATTGAAAGGGCTTTAGAGGATTGATATGAACACCACTGAGTCAGGCTATTTGTGACCTTAATGGACCTTTTTCACTAAGTCTTGAAGAAGAATAGCCCAATCTCCCAAATAGTAGATTGGGAATTTCTTTCCAGAGCTGTTGTTTCCTGGTGTCATGAAGATTTTGTTAGTGGCTGTCTATGTAGGCATAAAGGCTATCTCTTTTCATCATTAGTCAGTTTGGCCGAGTGGTTAAGGCGATGCACTAGAATTATCTACTGGACTGATCACAGTTCGGCAATGCATTGGGTTCGCCCGCACATGTTCGAATCATGTAGCTGACGTTCTAGTTTTTTTTTGGTTCCTGTTCAGTTTCGTGGGTCCACAAATTTGGTATGCGGCGGTCTAACCAATCATATTTACAAGGTTGCAGTGGGGGAATATTTTTGGCTTAAAAGGCATGGGAAAGGATGAAAGGTGAGTAATTTCTGACTGATTGGAAAATTTCATTTGTAGCTTGATCATTTTCATGAAGGCTAGGAGCCTGGGAGCACTCAGACCATTTGAGTTGATCGTCAGACGATGACTGAGAAGATAAATATATCAGTCATCGTACGCTACTCAGATCTACTTCATGAGGAATTTGATCCAGAAAAAATACAGCATCATTATCCAGAGAACCAAATAATGATGATAATTACTCGAATAGAAGTTCCGCAGATGAAAGACACTAATCCAATCGACAGTTTCATTTCAGGGTATAAAGCAAGCGAGGGGAACATTACATTCACACAATGAACCCACAATGAACCCCCACGAGGAATAAGACCATGAGTTGACTGTCTCATCCATATCCATGGTTATGATAATATCTAATAGCAGAGTTTATCATTAAGCGTACCATCGGCGGAAGGGAAAGTATTGTTCAGCGGCGACCGGATAAAAAGGATGCGACAAGAGTGCCAATGCAAGCGATGAAAGCCAGAAACATGAAAGCAGTATCGGCCTCTACGGAAACGCATCGACTGTGAAGGTGGGATTTATCCCAGTAACAAATAGTGTCGCCTTTGTTGTCAGACCAGCATCCTCCATTAATGAGCTTATTCTGGAAGGTGGTCCAGGGGTCGCCGCAGTGAACACCTTTAAGGGTAACGGCGTAAACCTAGTAGATAATGAGTCAGGTAATTTGGCGAAACAGGTTACGTTTGGTGATTTGGAGTTACGTACAATTCCACCAATAAGGAGTGCAAGAGACGCAACTCCGTCAATCAGCCAGGTGATGACACCATCTAAGCTGTCCACAAAAAGAGCGACGATTCCGACGAGAGCGGCGATGATTCCGAAGGCACCAGTGAAGGCAGCATAGCCAGTCTCGGCTGGTGCTTTACCGATGCCCTGTCCCCTGGCAAGTGAGACAGAGATACTGAGGACGACGACGCTGAATAGGAGCTAAGACCGATCAGTGTTAGTCATACTCTCAAAACTATGTTGTTACCTACCTGAGCCGATCTAGCAATGGCGGTAACAATCTTCATTTTGAATACTTCACGAGGTTTCGCCAGAAAGTCTTGAAAACTGGGGTGCAGAAGCAAAACGTTTGGAGGAGTCTGCAGCTTATTTATTATTCTTCAGCGGCAAAGCAAGCAGTGGAGGCGCACTGCACCGAAAGCTTTTCCTACATACCTCAGGAGACAGCCTTGTCTACCAGAGCCGCACGGGGCAGGGGTTTTGACCCTAAAGGCAAGAGTTGGGGGCTGTATGTTGCATGAAGCAGGGCTCTGGCCTCTGGCCCATGAAATGTGATTTGACAAGCTCTCATAGTGTGCTGGCAATTTCCCTGAAATCTTCGATGATCCCCAGCACTTGCTTGAAATGAGGGCTGGTGTTGTCATGGGGCGGGACATGGTAACGCAAATATTCAGTACTGAAGGTCTCTTCAGGAGCAGCGAAATAGCCCGGGGCATTTATAACGATCCGAAGCACACAATGCCACTCAGGCGGTCCGTGGTCCGTAAGAAAGGCTATCTTTTAATTCACAAAAGGCCCTAAAAATCAGCTGATCGAGGTCCGATGCACTTAGACCCGAATGGCCCAAAAAACAGCCTGAACCCTCGCATAGCTTAGCCTCACAAAGTGGTCGCCAGTCTCACCCCGCTTTCCCACAAAGGAGAAGGACTGCGATACTCTACTGAAGGTTTACTGCATTAGGCTAGTAATAGGATATCAAGTCGGCCTCGCGATCGTATCTTTGCGTTTTTGACTGCCAGAATAATCAGGCGGCCAAACGCGGAAATGTCCGACCCCGCCCTGGCTCGTGCGTAATTTTCCGAGGATGAGACTCAATGACAATAGTCTGACTCACCCAGTCGAAAAGCTTGAATAAAGCCTAGTTCATGGTTAGGTATGATTATATGGCTTAACCATTGCCCTTTATGGATAGCTTCTCGTTAGATGATGTGAGCTTGGGCTCGGAGTCCAAGACGGGCTTAGGGTGAGACGGGTCAATAAATAGCAGCCTTCTCGCCGGCTACAGCCCTGACTCACAGCCTGAATAAAATCAAAGATTGCTTGACTGATAATTCAACATCACTGTCATCTCATAGTAAAGTATCTTGACCATGGAAGCGCCAAGAATTGATTTCAAGATCTTAACGGCCACCGAAGAAGACGCCTTCACGCTCGCCCATGTGGAAGCTATTGCCAATGACGAAGCGAACAAAGCCAGAGGAGAGACCAACCTTTCCCATGTCATTTTTGGTCCTCCCAGCGATGCGAGGAAAGAGTTCCGAGCCAAGGGAATTATCGACAAGATGAAAAACGACAAGTACGCGCGGTATTGCAAAGCAGTTGTCGAAGAAAACGGCGAAGAGAAGATTGTGGGTTGGGCGAATTGGTTCTTCTATACCGAGCTCCAACCCATTGAGTTTAAGGAGATCGACTGGCCCGCGGGAACGAATTCAACGGCCTGTAATGAGTTCGTTCGGACGCTGACGACAGTGAGGGCGAAGCATCAGACGGGCAAGAAGTTTGGCTGTAAGTGAATGTTCAGTGTGGCTAACGGCTTACGTATCTTCCCATGATATTAAACGTGAATAGACCTCCAAGTGCTTGCAACGCTGCCCCAGTATCGCGGGCAGGGAATCGGCTCTGGCCTCCTCAAGGTCGGCCTCGCCGAGGCTCGCGAGCTCGGCCTGACTGAATTCTTCCTGGAGGCATCTGATGATGGCCACGATCTCTACGCGAAGTTCGGATTTGCCGACGTTGAGCGTATCATGATAGATCTTGTACCCTATGGAGGAAAGGGTGAGGCGCAAGTGAGAGCCATGAGTATTCTCCCGAACTAAGGGTCACCATATGTGGGGAATTTCATTTTTGTCTTCGTCAAATTTTTACGAGACGATCAAACATTCTTTACTAGTCTATGATTACTGCACAATATTGCAAGTAATGGCCTTCATCTGTGTTATCCTGGAACGAGAGCTCAAGAGCTCACTGATTCTTCACCCTAAGCTGTCATCAAAACCCACTTTTCGGACGGAATATAGAACAAGAAATTCAAGGATCAGTATGCGATGAAGAATTCTTCAGGTGAATCTTAATGAAGAAAGCAGCAGATGAATCCATTTTATAATGAACTCATTGCAATGAAGAGATGGAACAGAATGCAAAGTTTCATTATTATGCTCAATTTACAAGACCCAGAATCACTAGACTACTCATTTTCCTCGTCCCCATCCTCGACAGTCGCGGCTCGAACCCCATTCTCCGCCTTCGGCTTGGTCGATTCAGTCTTAGCTTCGTCCTCGGCATTTGCCTCTGACTTCTCCGTCGCAGTCTGATTCGGCGCCGGGCGATTTTCCAAAACAGTTTTCCCATTTGTATCCTTGTTCCCAGGTAAAGTGTTCTCAGCCGCAGACTCATCCGCCTGGGAAACAGCCGAGCTCTTGCTCTTACGCGCCCGAGCATTCGCACGGCGAATAAGTCGATTGTGATAGTCTTCCTGCTCGACCTCGGGGTCTTCATGCAGGATTCGTCGTGCAGCTTCGCGGCCGACCACGGGGAGCTTGTCGACGCCCTGGACTGAGCCAGGGATGAGCTTTGGATCGAGAAGACCAATTTGGACGAGAACACTCGCTTGGTCCCAGTATGTGTGCTCGGAGTAGAGGCGGCCACCGCGCATGCTCACGATACTGACTAGTATGATCTCGACGCGTTTGTTCGTTGGTGGGATGCCGGGGAGCATCCATGGGATTTCCTGGCTGTGTTCGAATGAAATATACAATTCGTCGACAACACGATCCGGTCCGGCTGTTCGTGAAAGGAGACGGATGCGCATCGAGGGTGGCAGGCGGCCTAAGAAGTAGTGCTCGTAGAAGCGGCGAAGGGCTGGCGCACCGATGGCTCCGCTAAGTGTCGGGCCGTATGTGACGCTTGGTGTCCTCTCCTTGGTATATCCTTCCATGGTTTTGGAGAGGTTCGTACCGAAATATTTGCCTAATACTAGTCAGCGCATGTCTCTCTCAGGACCAGGAAGTGGTGCATGACTTACCTTCTTGGTGATCCTCCCAGCGACGCTCCAAGTCAACCTCCCGACAGAATCCCTTGCGCAAAGTTTGAACAGTCCGAGTCCAAGCGATATCTGCTGCAAGGTGATCGTACTCTTCCATGTCGTGCTCTGCGAACCCAGGTTGCGCATACTCGTACGTAAACGTCGAATATGCCCAGTCCATGCGCTCGCCGGTCCCAATACCAGGGTTGATGGGCTTGGTATTGCGACGTTTCTTTCCCTGCAGCCCAGCGACCTGGGGCCGAGTGGTGACATCCACGGACGTGCCAGCCAGATGTACCAACACTTTCAGGGAATGGGGGAAACGCTGTCGAGTATCGGGGATAACGCTCGGATAGTATGCGATAAGGGCGCAAAGGCGACTCGATTTCATAGGGTTCATGTAGAAGTCCAAGCAGAAATTTGCGGCCTCGCCGTATGCTGTTTGCGGGTCAGTTCTTTTGCTCTCGTCTTGCTGGGAACCACATACCAATTACCGCGTAGTTTTCTCCGACTCCACATCCCTCTTTGACGCCCATCAGCCGATTCGCATAGTCCTTTCCACCGCCGTTGAATGGAAGGTACACCACGTCGAAGCCTTCATCCTGCCAATCTTTGATCGTTTCCATGTCGAATTCGTCCGTCTCCGAGGTAATGCAGACCCGCGCATTGTTGTCGCCATTATTATAAAGGAGGCCACTGCTAAGGCCTGGGGCGTTGATCGAAACGAGAGCCATTCTGTATTCGTATGCGACCGCGAATGTTCTTTAGGGGTTGTGTTTACTTGTCGCTAGATCGTCTCTTCGCTCCGTTCGTCACCGTCTCGAGGGGCAAAGTGAGCTATTAAATGATAAAAAAGATAAGAAAGCGCCAATTTCAGACTGATAAAGCATCAAGTTACAATACTAGAGGAGGATTCCGTGTTGTGGTGCCATTCATAACGGCTGACGGGCGCTACGTCATCGGCGCTGTCATGTTCCCCCAGACGTCATTACAGTCGCAAGCCACGGAACCGACCAGGTCCAATATATTAATCGGTCATATTAATATCAATTTAGGGTGAAGTGAGGGTCGAGCAGGCAAATTAGACCAACGTGGGACATTCTGGGAAAGGCGTGACATAAAATTGTAATCTTGTCGATCGCATTTGGTCTACAGATCTTCCAACGTGAGCGTTTTCTGCCTTGAAGTAATTGTGGATGTTCAAAATATCTCAAAGATCGTCTGTGTAGACCCTCGGTTAGGACTTACGTTGTGTATGTATTCACGTATGTCCTACTCCCTCACCGAAAATTCTCCATGGGTCGCCCTCGATTGAACATATCGTACGTCAAGGTCCAATGCATTTCGAGAGGCTAGTTTTACGATGCTAGTTAGTAAGCGTCACAGGGCTGGGAATAATCGGGAACATAATTTGCCACTCCAAAACTCCGTGAGACTGCTCCGTCGTACCACACTTCCGGGGCTCCACTCCTGGGCGATTGATTGGTGTCCAACGAGGGGTTGATAGCATCGGGTTAGAGCGACGGGTAGGAATATACATGTCATAGCTTGATGGCTTGACTTTAATTGGAGCTTTAAAACAGCCCCAGCCCTATAGACAATAACTCAATTGCAGTAATATCAAAATGGAAAAGTATGCGAAGCATAACCTTGGGTAGACTTGCATCAGAGCGCTAGGACCACCTGAGCCGCGGAGGGTCCATGTGAAGAAACTTCGATAAGGTGACAGCCTCCCCTCTTTCCGCACACAACTCCCCAACAAAACTGTTCAACACAGTGAGATGTCTCTTGTTCAGCACGTCTCTGCTCTTGAGGGCGTTGACTTCGAGCCCGATCCCGTTGTCGACGAGGAATTCGCCCCGATCGCACGGAAGATCAGCTATGATGTGTTGCATCCGGCGTATGCCGCCCCCGCCGTCGAGGATGCTCCGCCTGCAACGCCTGCATACAAGCATTCGACTCTGAAACGAGGAGGTATGTGTTCTCGTCGCCATCGTGAGTTGAAGGGAAATGTGCTAATGTTGAGCAGCGCAAGTGGCGTTCACAATTTTCGCGTGCTGGGTCGCGTCCGGTATTGTGTTCGGATTCGCTGCACTCAAACCGGTGCTCGTAGAGGAGGGCGTGTACCATGAGAATTGCTCCAAAAGTGAACTTCGCGAAGGCATCGAATTGTGCACGCAGCAGGACCTCGCTCTGAATTTTTTCTTCACCGTCGCGTCGATCACAGCAAATGTCTCCGCTCTCCCGGTGGGAACAATCCTTGACCGGTATGGGTCACGTCTCTGCGGTCTGATCGGATGTTTCCTTCTGGCCCTCGGAAGTGTGCTGATGATTTTATCTTTTCATCAACCTGGGTTTCAGGGATTCATTGCGGGCAACTTCTTCCTCGCGCTCGCGGGCACATTTATCTTTGTGCCATCGTTCCAGATCGCCAACGCGTTTCCCAGACATGCGGGCACCATCGTCGCCCTTGTGACTGGCGCTTTTGACGCGTCGGCTGCGGTGTTTCTCTTCTACCGATACGCGTACGAGGGCTCCGGCAGAACTTTCACACCCGACAAGTTCTTCATGGGATACCTGGCCGTTCCTGTCATCATTCTTCTTGCATTGGTGACATTCATGCCAAAGCGTGATTACCAAACGCCTTCTCAACTCGAAAGCAAAATGGAGCAAGCAGAAGATGCTACCCGGGATGTGCACTCGTCAGATGATGAAATTGAGAATGCTGGAGAGCTTATTCGCGTCCGGAGCAAGCGTGCCGACCTACGAAAGCAGAAGATTCATCAGATCAATGAAGTTCTTGGTGGTGCCGATGTCCGACAACAGCGGGCAGAGTGGGAGGAGGATCGTCACCAGAAGAGTCAGGTCTGGGGTGTGTTGCATGGTCTGCCAGCCCACAAGCAGATGGCGACACCGTGGTTTATCCTGATCACTCTTTTGACTGTGCTGCAGATGGTTCGTATGAACTATTTCATCGCCACCATTCGGTCGCAATACGAGTACATGCTCGGCTCTGAGGAACTTGCCGACAAGATCAACGACTTTTTCGATGTCGCCCTGCCGGTTGGCGGTGTTCTGTTTACTCCCTTCATTGGATTTCTCCTCGATCGACTGAGCGTGCCGGCCATGCTGGGTCTGATTGTCGCTTTCACCACAATCATCGGCATCCTCAACTCTATTCCTGCACTGTGGGCAGGATACATGACAGTGATTCTATTTGTGCTGCTGCGACCGCTTTATTATTCCGCAATGAGGTAACAAGCCCACCCCCCCCAGCCCCATAACAAACCCCAATTTGAGGCGTTTCTAAACTCTGAATCAGTGATTATGCCACCAAGGTTTTCGGCTTCGCTACATTCGGTCGCGTTTACGGTTCCATTATCTGTTTATCAGGGCTCGTAAACTTCTCTCAGTACGGATTGGATGCTCTTACCCACGGGCCATTCCATGAAAACCCAATCCCTATCAATGCGGCTTTAGCAATCGCGGGATTTGTGGTTGGCCTCACCCTCGTGACCTTTGTGACCATCGCGAGCAAAAACTACACCCCCTTCGAACACGAGAATGAAAGAGAGCCTCTCATTAGGGAGGAAGATGAAAATGACGATGAGGCATCATTTGGGACTTTCAGGCGATAGTGCCTGAGCCCGTAAGTCTGCATGTGTGCGGATAGAAAAGATGGGGTTATCATTATGTAGACTAGATTGCGTTTCTACAAGGCAGATTAATGAACACACGACAAGCCTCTGGAGCAATTCATCAATAAGTTGTGAGATTCTCTTGGCCCTACACCTTCTTTGTACATCTACACGAGCTTTCCACGTGAGGTTAGCATCATGCCCACCGGGTATCTCTGTCATATCCTAGTTGTCCTTCTTTTAAATTCCCGGCCTCTAGGTTGTGATTTGCTATCTTGATTCAATCGGCTACAAACAGCTTTCATATTGCAGAGATGAAGTCACTCCGCATGGCCTGTCGGCAAATTTAGACCGCCAAGATGGGGCTCATGCCTCATACGATCTGGGCACATTGAGGGGGTAAAAGATATATGCCAAGGTATCCAGCCATGATGTCTGGGCTCCATTCAACGTGTCCGCCTAGACGGCGCTTTTAAGACACAAAGTTTGCCCTCGTATACAGCCTGGGTCGGGAACTAGCCCTTCTTTAAATTGTCCTGCAAAGAAACCTCCCCAGCTTCCTCCCCGGGCCATTTGAGCAGGTGACAATGAATTCTAGATCATCGTGATCGAAGTGAAAAAAAAGAACTCGTATCCAATCAACATCCTTTTCTACGGACACAGTGCCGTATCGAGGCAAGACCGACGTCCAACCACTGCCATACCAGACGGAAACGACAACATCCGGAGTAAATCCCACGATAATCTAAACGAATTCATCAGACATTAAACTCCACAGCTGCCGCTTCTGACGCACTTTCAACCAACCAACCCTCCTAATCGACCGGATATATCCCTACATTGCCAAGTTGCCAAGCTCTCCCCCGCATCTTCTCCATCCAGTCCCCCAGACCGGCGCCTCCAACACCAGCCAACGCTCAATTTGACTCGTACTTCCAAGATGTGGGGTTGGTGCCCCTCCTCCCCGACCTCATGGCCGGACTCGCGGTGTACTTGTTAACATCGAGATGCACCGAGGCACGTCTGTTCCAGTATCGGCTAACGTAGCCGCTGTTCAGCGAGAAAAAGCTGGGCATTTCTGGGCACCGGGACTGGGGAGAGTGGATGAACTCAATCAAGGTGGCTGGATGGATACGATTGCTGTCCGGGGTAATGGCTGCTTTTTGGGGTCTAGCTTGGATTTGATGGCACTGCGTGACGACAAGGGATAAATGGAATCTGTGTCTCTCTGTTCGGAGCTCGGAGCATTCTCACTCTTTCGTCTTACCTTGATCTCATTCTATTTCCACATATACCCTGCTCATCTCTTTTCTCTATCCTTGCCTCAGTATCATCAGTACGCTCAGCCCTAGTCCCTTGACTGACACTGAAACAATGTCATATCCCGACGAGAAACCACCCGGTGTGGAGGGTATTGAGGATATTGCGGAGCGCGTCAGCACCGAAGATGAAGAGTTTACGCCAGAGGAGCAAAAGAAGATCATCCGTCGAATCGACTTGCGCTTGGTCACTATGACCGGTCTCGCCTACTGTATTTCGCTCATGGATCGGACGAATCTAAGCATGGCTGCCATCGCTGGGTATGGACCCTCACAGCTTTGAAAAACCTAACAGCAAACTGACCATTCCAGTCTGAAGAAAGAATTGGCCTTGAGTGTCGGCAATCGCTATGTACGTCTCAACTCTCCTTCCCAGGCTATCACTTACATAAACAGTCAATTGTGGTCTTGATGTTCTTCGTTCCCTATGTTATTTTCCAACCTCCCATGACAATCATCATTCGCAAAGTCGGACCAACCCTCTTCCTCGGAACCATCGTTATGACCTGGGCTGTGATCATGATTGTAAGATTCTACCACTATCAAAGCACCACGATGAAGACCAAGGGCAACCACTAATGCCATGCAGGGCACAGGGTTCGTGAAAAACTGGGGCCAATTAGTCGGCCTTCGCGTTCTCCTCGGTATCTTAGAAGCAGGCTATTTCCCAGGCTGTGTATACCTCCTCTCATGCTGGTACACCCGCTGTAAGCCCCATCCACCTACCACATAATACGAGACTCTCAACTGACCCCACCCAGACGACGTCCAAAAACGCTTCTCGATCTTCTACCTCATCGGCTGCGTCGCCTCTGCCCTGGCTGGCATCCTAGCCTTTGGCCTCATGCAACTCAATGGCACTAATGGTCTGAGCGGCTGGCGCTGGATCTTCATCCTCGAAGGCGTGATAACCGGGTGCATTGGAATCCTCTGTTTCATCTTCCTAGTCGACTTCCCAGACCGAGCATCCAAATCTTGGAACTTCCTCTCGGCGCGCGAATGCGCCTACATCGTCCGACGAATCAACGATGACCGCAAAGACGGGAACCTGGAAGCATTCTCTCTACGCAAATTCCTCCGACCCGCACTCGACCTGAAGATCTGGGGGTTCGCGATGATCTTCTTCTGTCTTACAACAGTGACGTATGCGATCGCGTACTTCTTACCGACGATCTTGATGGAAGGCATGGGATTCGGCGTCGGCGAGGCTCAGTGTCTTGTTGCGCCGCCTTATGTGTTTGCCGGTATTGTCATGTACTGCACTGCGTGGATTGGAGATCGGTATCACGTGCGCGGAGTGATAATTGTGGGCAACGCATTGCTTTGTATTATTGGGTTGCCGATGATGGGGTTCGCGACGGGAGATGCGACGCGGTATGCGGGTGTGTTCTTCACGGTTGCGGGTGCGAATGCGAACATCCCGAGTTGTATGGCTTATCAGGCGAATAATGTGCGTGGGCAGTGGACCAGGGCGTTTAGCTCGGCAACGCTTGTGGGCTTTGGCGGGATCGGAGGCATTGTTAGTAGTCTTGTGTTTCGGGAGCAGGATGCGCCTGGGTATCGGCCGGGCATGTATGCCGCGCTCGCGTGAGTGTTTCTCCCCTTGAACTGGAGGTGTCACGTGCTTGGTTCGGATGGCTAATTGTGACACAGGTGCAACATTTTGATAGTCATCATCGTTGGGGCGCTGAGTTTGTGGTTCTGGTTCTGCAACCGACAGGCTGAGAAGGGCGAGCGGGTGATTGAGGATGAGCCGAGCTTCCGATATACTATCTAGTGCTATAGCGGAGCACGGGTATAGCGATAGCAAACAGATTGGTACATGGCAATGACCATGGTTATGAAGTAACCTGGGAGGCCGTATGAATTGCAATATTTCAATCCATCTTTGACATTACAAATTGAGTGGGATTGCCTTCGTAGGATGGGGGTTTGAATATCCCAGGTAGATTGTAGTTTGAAGGCTCCGAAGTCCCTCGGGCCACAGAAGGCCTAGGAGACCTCCGCAGCGGGACCCTTGATAAGTTTCCCGACGGAAAACACGGGGAAAGTCGTCCGATCGCGCTTTTGGCTGTGGCGGTGGGCCATGAATCCCCGGTAAAGCAGTCCTATTGGCACGATAAGCTCTTATCCAGGACCGCGCAAGTTTCCCGTTGCCCGCCCCTCGGACTTCCCTCTTTGAACTGTGGAAAAACGATTATGCAATGCCTGTTAATTATTTATTGATTTTCTCTGGTAGAACTTATTCTTTTCTTCATCCCACTCTCTCGTTGCTAGTCACGTTGTGTGTGTTGAGGTGTTCAATTCCCTCCTCTACGTCACTAGCTTCATCAATGGCGGCCTCTTGGTTTGCCCTGCGCGGCGGCCGCCAGCTTGCCCTGCGCTCGCGTGTGCGTGCCACTCCCTCAGTCGCCCGGACGGCTTCGCTTTCGCCCTTGAATGCCTCGCGACGCTTCTTGACTACTTCGACTCCTCCGGCGACTCGCCGTGGCGTCTATACTAGCTCCGTCAACGCCCATGGCGATCCTCATCCCCAAGATATCTTCCAACCCCTCGATACATTCCCTCGTCGCCACATTGGCCCCTCTCCCGATGCCGCCTCCGAGATGTTGGCCGTGCTGGATCCCCCAGCGGCTTCTCTGGACGAATTCGTCAAGCAGGTTCTTCCCGAGGACATCCTGTCCAAGAAGGATATGAAGGTTACTGAGCCTACTGCCGACATCAACTTGTACCGCTCCCCGTGCAAGGCGGTCTGGGCGAGACCGACATGTTGAAGCTCCTGGACACCTATCGCAAGCAGATTGATGTCTCAGGCAAGACCTACATTGGTACCGGCTACTACCCGACCATTGTTCCACCCGTTATCTTGCGCAATGTTTTTGAGAACCCCGCCTGGTACACCAGCTACACTCCCTACCAGCCCGAGATCTCCCAGGGTCGTCTGGAGTCTTTGCTGAACTTCCAGACCCTGACAGCCGATCTGACCGGTCTGCCCTTCGCCAATGCTTCCGTGCTGGATGAGGCTACCGCCGCCGCCGAGGCAATGACCATGTCCTTCGCCACTATGCCCCTCTCCAAGCAGAAGAAGGCCAACAAGTCCTTTGTTGTGTCCCACCTCTGCCACCCCCAGACCATTGCCGTGATGCAGTCGCGTGCCGAAGGATTTGGAATCAACTTGGTTATTGGTGATATTTTGGCTGACGACTTCAAGGTCGTCAAGGACCAGGGTGACCACTTGATCGGTGTTCTTGCCCGGTATCCCGACACCGAGGGTGGTGTCTTCGACTTCCAGTCGCTCAGTGATTCCATCCACGGCCAGGGTGGTACTTTCAGCGTCGCTACCGATCTCCTCGCTCTGACCGTTCTCAAGGCTCCTGGTGAGTTCGGTGCTGATATTGCTTTCGGTAGTGCCCAGCGATTGGGTGTCCCCATGGGCTTCGGTGGTCCCCACGCCGCTTTCTTCGCTTGTGCCGACAAGTACAAGCGTAAGGTGCCCGGTCGTGTCGTGGGTGTCTCCAAGGATCGCCTTGGCAACCGTGCTCTGCGTCTGGCTCTTCAGACCCGTGAGCAGCACATTCGTCGTGAGAAGGCTACTTCCAACATTTGTACTGCTCAGGCTCTACTTGCCAACATGACGGCTATGTACGCTATCTACCACGGTCCCGTCGGCCTGAAGTCTATTGCTCAGCGCATCATGTCCATGACCTCCCTCCTCCGTGAGAAGCTGGCTTCACTGGGCTACAACGTCCCTATCCGTTCCAATACCGAGGGCGGTGCTGTTTTCGACACCCTTGCTATTGAGCTCGGCAGTGCTTCTGAGGCCGACGAGGTCGTTGCCAAGGCCCGCGATGCTTCCATTTACCTTCGCCGTCTCCCTGGCAACAAGGTCGGCCTTTCTCTCGATGAGACTGTTGGCCGTGACGAGGTCAAGGGCATCTTGGATGTCTTTGCTGCCCATAAGAACGTTGCCTCCGTCGAGGTTGACGGCACTCTCGGTATCACCTCGATTCCCGCCAGCCTTGAGCGTACCTCGTCTTTCATGACCCACCCCGTTTTCAACACTCACCACTCTGAGACTGAAATGCTGCGTTACATTCATCACCTCGAGTCCAAGGACTTGTCTCTGGCTCACTCGATGATCCCTCTTGGATCTTGCACTATGAAGCTGAACGCTACCACAGAAATGATCCCTGTGTCATGGCCTGAGTTCTCCCAGATCCATCCCTTCATGCCCGCGAAGGAGTCCAAGGGCTACATCCAGATGATCGATGACCTGGAGCAGCAGCTTGCTGATATCACCGGTATGGCCGAGGTCACCGTTCAGCCCAACTCTGGTGCTCAGGGTGAGTTCGCTGGTCTGCGTGTCATCAAGAAATACCAGGAGGCTCAGGGTGGTTCCAAGCGCAACGTCTGCTTGATTCCCGTGTCCGCCCACGGTACCAATCCCGCCAGTGCCGCCATGGCCGGTATGAGCGTCGTCACCGTCAAGTGCGACATGAAGACCGGTAACCTCGATCTTGCTGATCTCAAGGCCAAGTGTGAGAAGCACAAGGACGACCTCGCCGCTTTCATGATCACCTATCCCAGCACCTTCGGTGTCTTCGAGCCCGGTGCCAAGGAGGCTATCCGTCTTGTTCACGAGCACGGCGGTCAAGTGTATATGGACGGCGCCAACATGAATGCCCAGATCGGACTCTGCTCTCCTGGTGAGATCGGCGCCGATGTCTGCCACCTGAACTTGCACAAGACCTTCTGCATTCCCCACGGCGGTGGTGGTCCCGGCGTTGGTCCCATTGGTGTCGCAGAGCACCTGCGTCCCTTCCTCCCCTCGCACCCCACAAGTGAGCACCTCCAAGCCAAGCGCGGCGACAACTCCTCCCCACCCATCTCCGCTGCCCCCTGGGGCTCCGCCTCCATCCTCCCCATCACCTTCAACTACATCAACATGATGGGCGAACGCGGCCTCACCCACGCAACCAAAATTACCTTGCTCAACGCAAACTACATCCTCTCCCGCCTCAAGTCCCACTACCCGATCTTGTACACGAATGAACACGGCCGCTGCGCACACGAGTTCATCCTCGACGTCCGCGGCTTCAAGGAAACATGCGGAATCGAGGCTATCGACATCGCCAAGCGTCTCCAGGACTATGGTTTCCACGCACCTACCATGTCGTGGCCCGTTGCCAACACCCTCATGATCGAGCCCACCGAGTCCGAAAATAAGGCTGAGCTGGACCGCTTCTGTGATGCGCTCATTTCCATCCGTAAGGAGATCGCCGATGTTGAAGCTGGCAAGCAGCCACGTGAGGGTAACGTTCTCAAGAACTCCCCTCACACTCAACGTGATCTGCTTGGCGCGGAGTGGAACCGCCCCTACACTCGCGAGGAGGCCGCTTACCCGCTGTCTTACCTTTTGGAGAAGAAGTTCTGGCCCACTGTGACTCGTGTTGATGATGGTAAGCATTCCTCCCCCGAAACGCCTAATTTATCTTTTTGAAGTCTTGCTAATTCTGTAACAGCTTTCGGTGACCAAAACCTGTTCTGCACGTGCGGCCCTGTCGAGGACTCGGACTAGATATGATACCCATGCTTTACAGACCCTTTAACATTATGGTCTGATCTTTATCTTCTTTGTGTATACATTCAACATTTTGCTTATTTATGCCATCTGGCTGGTGCTGGTGCTCTGATGATCATGATTTCATTTTAGACAATTTCAACATGAACTTAAAGAAAAAAAAAACCAAAACCTTATGTTGCTTTCTTCTCCTACTCGTAAAGTGCAGCAATACATCGACCTCTGCCTGGCAAAATGCATCAAGTATATTCATTTTTTTTTTTCCATAGCATAATATCACGTCCTGACTCCAATTTCACGAAATGCACGAAACAGGAACAACGTTCAGATCCCCTAAGCAAAACCGACACCAACCAGCGCCTAATACCCGCGCTGATTGCCCATCCCCTGGCCCTGCTGCTGCTGCTGCTGCTCATTCATTCCAGTCCCAAGCTTATTTACGTTACCCTGACCTCCAAGCTGTCTACCCATAGTATCGCCTTGGTTATAGCTACTTCCACCCGCAGCATTACCACCAAACTGCTGTCCCATCTGGCCACCCATCGAACCTCCCATCTGGCTACCCATCGGACCTCCCATCTGGCTACCCATCGGCCCTCCCATCTGGCTACCCATCGGCCCTCCCATCTGGCTACCCATCTGACTGCCCATCTGACTACCTATTTGAGGATCCTGACAAGGAGCAGCATGCGAAGTCTGTGAGCGAGACTTGTGCTCCTGTGTGGAACTAGAATAGTTCTCTTCACTTGATACATGATTGTCCGCGGCGAGGGGCGGCTGTCCCATGCCTGTGCCCGTGTTGCTCATGTTACTCGCGGAGTTGAAGGAGGGTGCGCCCTGGGAGCTCTGGGAGCCCTGGTATCCCTGACTGGGCTGGGATTGGAATGGATTCGTGGGTTTGTTCGGATTACCCCGGTTATCTAGACACGATAATTAGCCATGGTAGTTCGAATAAAACCCATTGTTGTAACTGTTTATGAGGGAAAGAGAGATGTATACCTTGGTCACTATCTACGCGCGGGTCTAGCTTGTTGGCGGTCTTCGATTCGTGGGGACCGGCGTTGATATTGCCTGAACCACCACTGCCGCGCATGGTGTTCGATCCATAAGAATCACCACCGAAACCGGAGTCGTCGTAGTTGCCTCGGTTATCTGGTTTTTTTCTGGTCAGATAAAGATTTTTTTTTACATAATTCCGAATTTAGGAACAAGTTCAACGTACCCCGGTCACTATCGACGCGCGGATCCATTTTGTTCGCAAACTTGGAATCGTGCGGTCCGGCGTTGACATCTCCTGAACCGCTACCACGCATAGTGTTTGATCCGTATGAATCACCGCCGAAGCCAGAGCCAGTATTGCCCATGGTGTTGGTGTTGGATGGACGTGAGGTTCGAGTCTCCATGCTGGAAGAGTTATAAGGCTTTGAGGTTTGGCTTTGGTTCGTGGGGTTGGAGCTGTAGGTGTTCCGGGGGTCTCTCTCGTCGCGATCGGTCATGGCGTCTTTGACTTTGTGCATGAAATTGGACATGGTGAATATATCAATTTGCAGATAAAAGCTGAGTTTGAAATTTGAGATCTGGTAGAGTATTGGACTTGAACTGATTATGAATTGTTGTGGTGGAATGTGTTCTAGAGTTTACTGCTAAGGCTATCTGTGTGCTTAAATGCTTCTCAGCCACAGTTCACCCTCAGATATGATGACATACTCGTTCCTTACGATGACCTAGTGACACCATAGCCCGAGGCGTCACCTGAATACAGACAATAGTCCCAATGGATGAGAGCCTATGAATCTTGTCTCTCTTCATCGTCATGACGTGTCAAGTAGGCTTAGACATCCAGATGGGGTGGCCGGCTGCAAACGAATGGCACTCATCGTCATGTCCCAGATATTCAAAGACTAAAGTAGTATATGAAAGAAAAACGATGGGCGGGGAAATTGATTATACTTTTGAGAAACTGGAGATCGTGGGGTCATGACCACAGTTGCTCGGGTGGATTCCGTGGTTCACTCAGATCGATAGTTCACGTTCAGGTTTTGAGAAAGATAACCCGAGAACAGGTGACATGACTACTCAGATGATGAAAACATAGTTAGTTCTATTTTTCAAAGAATTTAACCATATTAAGGGTTGGAGATTGTTTCGACCCTTGAGTCCGGTCCTTGATTCAAAGACTGCGGGATGATGATATCTGGGAGGAATCTCGCGATACCTAGCGGTAAAATAAGTGAGGTATAACGCAGTGGTTAATGAAAATGTAGCTGGGCGAGTAAAGCCCGCTCGCGTAGATATTCACGCGATTGGTTTGATCGCAATCTGCAAAGGAGTTCTGCTTGAATCAGCTTCCTGCAGACTCCTTGCCCAGATAGTATTGAGTGGGGTACCGTAATACTTCTGAAATTTTGATCCACTCGACGGTGAAGCGATGCCAGCCTCGCTCAATCAGTTTAGAGGCTTATGTGTAGACATTGTGTGGGCAGTAGTCTTCGCCATGATTACTCTTTCTCCACTTTCTTCAATTTTCCGTTGCAAAAAGGGAAAAATCGGAGCATCTGCTCCAAGCTCGAATAAGCTTGACATACCTCGTTAGAAAAATAGGTCTCAAAAATCCAATCAAAATATCAATACACTTTGTGAGCCGCAATATAGGTTAAAGTACTCTGAGAAGAGTTCGCAGCCATTGTCGACCCCGTATAAATATTTGGACCTGTCCGCTGCCGTCCGTCCGTCCTCAGGCCAACTGACTTCGCTCTTTGACTCTTCAATATCTTTTCTCTTGCGATCAACGTCAAAACCGTGTTCATTTTATGCAGCCAGGATGTCCCTCAAAAGCTCTGTCGCACTCAGGTGATCGTAGTCCACAGAACATTGCATCACGTGGCGCGTACAAAGAAACAAGCCAAAAACTTGCTCCTAATTTGATGGAACACGTATTTAATATTCCGGGAGCTCTCGTTATATAAGATTGTTCCTTCGGTAGACCAATACACCTTTACTTTGGTGCATAATAAGAATGGAATCTGGCGGCCGAAGAGCATAACCTAGAAGATTTTTCCATCCGAAAACCATCGTGTCCAGATTCTTGCATGTTTTAGCCGCCTGAATACCACATATCAGCCACCAAAGACTTCGAAGTCAGACTCTGGTGTGGGTTGAACACTAACCGAGATACTAGAGATTCCGGCGTAATCATCATATGTTCCGTGGCAAATATGGAAAAGCCGAATACCAGAGATTGAAGGTTGTGGGACTAGCATCTTGCGCCAGCTTTCATTCTTTCGTACAAGTGGAACTATGACTGAGGCGTTGTCATGGCCAAGTCGAAAAAGTTGAACTCGTAGTGTTTTACCCTAGTGGGAAAGAAAGAAGGAAACGTCTGCTTCCAAAGCGGATTGATCACCCTTTTTTTCCATTCCCCCTTTGAATTCCATGATCGGAGTGAGAGAAAGAGCTTTTTGAATTGACAGCAACTTGCTGATTAGCGTCCTCCAGTCCCGAAAAAAACTCGTTGTATTCAACCGTGTCAGGATCGTCTCCAGAAACCATGGAGTAGTGAGGACTTTGCTTTTTGCAATTTCTGTCCCAATATGAGACTGCCACCGGATGGCAGCTCCGTCTCTTGAAATTCCCTCCACACTAATTGCCATTCTATCCGGTTGAGCAGCGTCTCTCGATCCAGATCCACTCCAGAGATGACAAGAAGAGCTCTAGATCTTTCCTTTTCAGCGCGGACGTCGACGTGTCCTGGCTGGGCTTCTCTTTGAAGGCGGGATAGCGTGACCGCGAAATTCCCTGTTGCATACTGAAGTTTTCCACTCGCTCGCGTGTGGTGTTCGCTTGCCCCTCAAGGGAACTAACGCGGCTCTTACAACGAGAGATCCGCGCCCTGGTCTTGGCGGTGGGTCTAATCAATAAATGTCAAGTGTGTGTTGGTGAAGCCGCTTTTGAAGAAAAGTAATTCGTCTTGTCGAGACGGGCCTGACCATGACGCACGTAGGAAATCGTTGCTGGATTTCTCCGTACTCTCTGGAAGCTGCATCTTCGTATCGCAGCCGGTACATTTGTTAAGATCCCAGGAAGATCATCAGATGAAGCTTGCTCTTCGCCTTCGTGTGCTCCACTTGTATCTACACGCCGGCAATATCACCGCTTCGGAGGCGCCAGATAACTTTTCGCTCCACATGTCGTTATCGAACTTTGATAAACGGTCACATGACACAGCGAATGGGAAACGTGGGAAGTAACGCATACTATAGGACCTTCGCATGGCGAGATCGATGCCATGCGTCTCGTCTCATCTCGCCGTGCTCCGCTCTGATGAGTAATACGCTATCTAACTCTCATTTTAACGTTGAGAAGCGGATTAAAAGTGAAAGCAGTTAATTAAAGGAAAGCAACAACGCAAATAGTTGAAATATGATAGCTGTATTATCATCATAATAATCAAAGTGCAGATCATGACTGAGTTCAGGCATTGAACAAGACCTAGTCAACTTAAAAAGCTCAGCTGGAAGGTTCAAGCAAGTTTAACAACTTTAGACCGCTTGATTACTGTACCGAAACAGATCCCACCAATTAAAATCCGTTCTAAGGGGCTGTTATGTCAGCCTTGCGTAATCAAGTAGTAAACCAATGTACTCATGATCATAGTCACTGTTCAATGAACGAGGCCTTGGCTCGCCTGGCGCTTGCTCAATTTGAATCAACTTGACTCTCGTTGGTGGGATTAGATTCCAGGGTCCCATCCAGCACATCGACTTGCACACCAGGGGTTCAGTCACGGTGGTTGGCAATGGGCACCAAATTCAAGTTTAAATTCAACCAACTCAAGTGTTTTCGAGGTGAATCTGATGATTATCCCCGCATTACGACCCGTCACAATGACGCTCAGCAATATCCTCTAGATTCAATTGGTTGGAGCGACTCCGTTACATGGCACACTTCGCCTTCAGGTCTTGGACTCTGGCATCATGTCCAAGGTCGTGGCACAGACATCATGAAGTAGTCGTTTCGCAAGCTGAACCATTTCAAGGCAGTGCAAGATTCGTAGATTATAAAGTAGGCCTCTCTCTCAGGGTCATGTCTAGGCGAGTCTCTTGATCTACCATTATGGCCTTTATTCTACGTGACCTCAGAACAACCAGTATCAACCGTCTCAAACTACCCATTGCACGCCGCACATTTACGATATCGTCCATTACCATGGCCTCCAGAATCAGCGAAACCATCAAGAATGATCACCGCGAGATAGAATCATATTACGATCAGATTCTCAACGCGACAGAAGAGACTGAGAAGACAAGATGGCAGAACATGTTTACCTGGGAACTGGCACGACACTCGATTGGAGAGGAACTTGTTGTCTACCCAGCCTTTGAGAAGTACGTGTCTGGCGGTGTCGACATTGCCAACAAGGATCGCCAAGAGCACCAATCAGTACGTCCTAAATTATACCCCGTAGGCAATCACAATCATCTCATTGACATGATGACAGGTCAAAGAACAATTGAAAAAGTTTCAGAATATGAAGGCGTCGGATCCTGAATTCATTCCTACCCTCAAGGCTCTTATGGATGATCTGTCGCAGCATATCAAGGAAGAAGAAGCGGATGACTTGCCCAAACTGGAAGAAGCTTTGTCACAAGAGGAGAGTGAGAAGTACTCGACATCTTTTGGGAGAACCAAGATGTTTGTTCCCTCTCGCTCTCATCCCAGTGCTCCAGACAAGCCACCGTACGAGACGGCTGCAGGCCTTTTGGCGGCACCATTTGACCATATTGCCGATCTCTTCCGCAAGTGGCCTCACACCTCAGGAATGCCCAATCCTTCTACAAAGTAAGATTGGCTTCGAAAGGTCTGGAAGCGCTATCAGTCTCTGGTACTTGTTATTTCTAGTTATAAATTAAAATTGAAAGCATGGTTCTGTCGCACCTCTTCATACTGAACGGTCCGTTGTATCTGGAAGTCTTCCTGGCAGTGTGGCTGGGCCGACCATACATGACGTCAAAATTGTCTATTCATGAGTTTTTGATGGAACAGGAAGATTGAGTAAAGTTCCAGTAACCGTGTTCTCGAATGAACAAGAAAAAGATTCAATCGTTAGGGCAAGCTGCTCTCATCAAGGCCGTCAAATGATGGCGACTACAACCAGAACCATATTGAAAGAATAAACAAAGTAAGAGCCCAGAGGCAGCTAGATCATGGCTAAAGAGGTCGCCGTTCCAGAATACATGTCACGACTTTCCCGGCTCAGATGGCAAGAAGGAATCTACGACCGGTTGGTGGAAGAATAATAGAATCCATAATGAACAGTCATCGTCGAATAAACAACGCACCACAGGTCAAATACACAAGGCAGCTCAAGAGACCGCTCCTTAATTAAGCCTATACAAGAAACAATTGCGAGCAGGCGCTATTGCTTTCATCCACATTGAGGGCTTTCTGTTTTCGCCCTGACCTCTACTAGTTATAATCTTCTTTGAATCTCCACGTGTCAACGTTATCTCCGTTTGATTGGAATGCTTATCGTTGCCCCTCTTACAATACCATACAGAAAGCCCGCACCCGCCCGCACAAAGAGCTGGTGAGATATCCTGAGACCCCACGTATTAGTGTAAATTACAAGTATTACAGCGGAGACAGCCGATCGCCGACTTTGGCGCCCGCGAACTTCTGGTCCAGTTGATTTTAAGACCTGCCACGCCGCAAGGTCACTGACCACTTTGCGATACTACGCTCACTAAACAAGCAGGAACAACCTTGATAATCTCTCCGTGTTGCGCCTGCCCTTTCTGGTGAGGAGTCTTTCAAGAGAGCTGTTCATATATCAATCTGCCTTGCTGCTGTCGACATAGAGTGACTTTCTCCCCTGGACCCAGGTCGGCGCGGCTCTTTTCGTGCTTTTAGAACTGTTGCGTTCTTGAATTTTGCTTAGATCTACACTTACTAGACGCATTATGGTCGACTCATATGAATACACCATCTATCGGGGCACGTTCATCCAGCTGCCTCGCGGGGACTCAAGCCGAAAGCCGGAACTTGTTCGCAACCAGGGTGCCCTATGGGTCTCCTCTGCCGACGGGCGGATCAAAGGAATTGACTGGCAGGCTCAGGACGATGCAAAATTTCAGGAGTTAATGAGACGCCATGGCTGGGTGGACGTGGATACGGCTACCAATGGCAACGACGCCAACGATTCCACTGTAAATGTCAAGATTGTCACTACCAGTGAAGAGAGGAATGAGTTCTTCTTCCCTGGATTCATAGGTACGATCTTCAGCCCCTGCGTTCACCAACACTAACTGAACATCTCCAGATACCCATATTCATGCGCCACAGTTTCCCAATGTCGGACTGTTTGGCTCTTCCACTCTTCTAGACTGGCTAGAAACATACACCTTCCCCGTGGAATTAGGATTCGGATCTAAATCCGATCCCAAAAACCAAGACAAGAACCCTAAAGACGCACCGCCTTCAGCACTGCGCATCTACGATCAAGTGGTTGCTCGAACTCTTTCTCACGGCACTACGTGCGCCTCCTACTTCGCGACAGTCCATGTCCCAGCGACAAATGCCCTTGCTGCGCTCTGCCACTCACGCGGCCAACGCGCTTTCATTGGTAGAACCTGCATGGATAACCCAGACTTCTGCCCTGATTACTATCGCGACCAATCTGCCGACGACTCCATCAGCGCAACAAGATCAACAATAGAGTACATCCACACTTTGGACCCAAAGGGAACTCTCGTCAAGCCTATCGTCACACCCCGTTTCGTGCCAACCTGCACTCGTCCCGCTCTAGAAGGTCTGGGCAAATTAGTCGCAGAGTATAACCCACCGCTGCACATCCAAACGCATATCTCAGAAAACACAAACGAAGTTGCCCTCGTCAAGGACCTCTTCCCCGAATGCCCGAGCTATGCCTCTGTCTACGATACATACAATCTCCTCACGCCGCGCACTATCCTCGCTCACGCAGTTCACCTAACAGCCGACGAGCGTGCCCTGGTTCGCAAGCGCGACGCCAAGGTCTCTCATTGTCCTGCCTCAAACGCTGCTCTTGGCTCCGGAATTGCCCCGATTCGCGCCATGCTCGACGAGGGTATCACTGTCGGTCTCGGGACCGATGTTAGCGGTGGGTATAGTCCTAGTATCCTTGAAGCTGCACGCCAGGCTTGTCTATCTTCTCGGCTCTTGGGTCATACTACTGCCCATGCGGAATGCAAACCGGTTAACGGATTTGATAAGACAGAGGGTCGTGAGAAGCTTTCTGTCGCTGAGAGTCTGTATCTCGCTACACGTGGTGGTGCTGCAGTCGTCGACATGGTGGATGAGATCGGTGGGTTCGATGAAGGCATGATCTGGGACGCGCAGCTTATCGAGCTGGGAGGTGTCGGTGATTCGTGTGAATGCCCACTCGATGTGGTGTCCGATGGCAATAGAAGCCTTGTGAGGCCCGGTCCGGTAGGGAATGTCGATCTCTTCGGAGCTGAAACCTGGGAGGAGAAGATGCAGAAGTGGGTATGGAGTGGTGATGATCGCAACACCAAGGCTGTTTGGGTCGGTGGGCGGTTAGTTCACCAGAGGGCTTAGATTTTGTGTACCAGTAGACTTCTTTATGATTGTATGCATTCATTTTTTTGTCTTTTACTTGCGTATATCTCGCGGTTTGTGGATCGGGATGTTAAGCCCGCGGTTATCCGTGATATGATAGATAATTCAATTTACTATTTGTCAAATAATGGCCTGCTGGTAGCCACATGAATTCCTGGGTAAGGTGATGATCTCACTGAAAAAGCTCAACGCAATTAAAAATCTGAGTGTTCCAATCACAATTAGCCTGATTGTATGGAGAGAATGAGCGGGTGGGTAATAGACAAGACTCACAAGATTGGGACTGAGATACGTATCCCCCGAGCTACCGGAGACGACAGAGACGGTGATCTAAATCCATTGATGCACTGATCCAAAATCCGTGGTAAGTAGCCCATTACCGTATTGGTTCCCGCGACAATAGTTCTCACCGGGATCGATACATCGTAAATCTCGCCAAGACCGCGGTATGCACCTCGGGTAACACCTCGCGAACTCAGATCGGTGGGAGCGGAGGGGATAGACCCCTTGTAACTGTTGACAGTAGCTTGAGGACGACCACCTGCAAAGGAAAGAGTCGTTCCGATTCTCAATGTCGCAGCGCCGGTTTGTGAGGAAGTCGTCGTGAAGCTAATTGTCAGCGGCGAGTTAACGGATTTGAAATTGCCATAGGAAAGTCGCTTTCGGAGGAAGCGCCGACTTTGTATGTGCCCGGGCTCCATGAGGACATTCGGTTGTCCGAGGGATGCATGCGGAGTTGGTTCGCAGCGTTACGGAAGCCGGCTGGTCTTTCTTATATTAGCATGGATGATAGAAACAGTACAAGGAGAATTTACTGTCCATCCCAATCACCAATTTTGAAGATGGTTGTTCCGGTATTCATAGATCCAGAGATATTCTTTGACGTTGTTGACCCAGCCGTGATTTTCACAGATGATGTAGCCACGACATATTCGCCTTGGTAATAGACCATAGTATAAGTGCCAGGCTTCATCGCCGGCGAGGTGAAGCTTCCACTTGAAGAGGTATATGTCCAGTATTGCGCGGCGTCATTGTACCAGTGGACCACCCAGTCTAAGGAATCGTCCGCTCCCGACGCAGTACCCTTAACGTATCCCCTCCCAGAAGTGGCGACGTATCCCTCAATGTTCAGGTCCGCAAAGAATGAGGTATCGATGTCGGTGCTGGGGGTACCACTGCGGCTAAAGTACATCAAGTATGGGCCGTGCAGACCCTGACGGTAGGATTCGGTTTGGACGTGGCCCGAGTTCTATCAAGTTAATACACTTGAGGATGTTTTTGAGGGGTGAGTCCATACCATGTACCAGTAGAGACCGGTATATGAGCCGACGTTGTTCGTATTAATGTCGCTTCATGCTGCCAGGTAAGTTGAGGCTCTTCGAAAAATAGGTAATTCAGACTCACCGATGGAATGGTCCGCCAGCCGCCTGTTTCGTACTGGTTAATAATCATGCAGACGCGAATGGGCACTACCAGATACGCCTGGAAGTTGTCAACCTACAAAAATGCAACCGTGGGTATTGATACATACAGTGTCTGTGGTCATCGATGAATCGATCGCTGGAGTAGAACTTGCTCCGTGTTTCTCCATCGACAAGGAACTCGCCACCGTAAGCGTGCGACGTCTTCATCGTTTTGGTAGCCACTTACAACATCAGATCCCTCGATAGCAGTACCGCCGTCAAGTTTAGAGACATCGCCGAATGGCTCCTCATTGGGGAGGAGGTCCGCGTTCAGCCGGGCAATGTATCGCAGTTCTCCGATCGAAGGTTCTGAAGGAGGTCAGTACTCATCCTGGTCGGTGCCCATCAAATACGAACCGGCAGATGTATAAGTTGCCATATAGATAATCGGATCCCCAAGGTACACAACATAGTAATGAATCAACGTATCAGTCTTACAAGTTATCTTGATGTAATCACCTATCTTAATCATTCTCCTGTCTCTCGCATGGTTCAGACTTTGCTCACTAGTTGTTGTCGCAGAAACCGTCGCAGTGCCAAGACCGGATCCAATATGTGATCCAGTCGACTGATACTGCAGCTCTGAGCCATAACAGTTGATCGAACTGATGTCACAATTATTATGATTGACGGTGAATTTCAACGGGTTCGATGAACCAGCATCAACCACATAGGAGTCAGTGGTGGTAGTGAGACCAAAAGCCGCATTAGCAACTTGACCCCACAGAGCTAGTGATGTGATGAGCAGACTGAAGGAGAACAACTTAAGGCATTTGGCTGGGAATCGTCTTCCCTGAAGCTTGCATAGGCTGCCTGATTATTATAGCGATAGCTGGCGTCCCAAGTCTTGAGCTAACCCTGCATTCTGAAAGGTGGAGATTTCCCCCCAATTTCCTATATTCCCGCGTGATGTGCGAAGATCCTTCTGCCTTAATCTTCGGTTCCACCAATGTGACAGAATGTTTGAATGTTTCGGATACGGGGTTGAGCCCTTTGGACACGGCTTTCATGGAACCTTTACCGAAGAGAACATTTTTATGTCTAGTGGCCCGGCTTTATTCGGCAGCTGAGGACTCATTAAGTATTCACGTCCGTACATGTCTTGGCGTAGGCGGCTTGCTAAGAGTCCCTACAATCCCGGTGGAATAATGGCGGTTGAAATACGCCGGGTGGAATAGAATCCAACGGGCAATCATCTGAACTTGTATAATATTACCTCCTGGCTACGGAGCAGCTTGAAACCCGCAGGATTACTGTGGTGTTGGTTTCACTTTATCGGTGAACAGGAGCAGGACTCGGCGTCAGCTTATCTTCTAGTGAAGACCGATGGTTCCTACCACTCTGCTGCCAAGAATTGGACCCGCGGGGTACATGAGGGCGCTTTGCGTGTAATCGCTGGATGGTTGAGTACAAAGACCGTTCTGCGTGAAGTGTTCAAGAGCCGAGCCTAGCGGCGTAAATTCTAAATTTGCTTTCAAATAAAGATCGAGTTCCTAAGGTCTATTTATCTAGTCTCAGAAAGTCTATGATTGGTGGTCTGTCACATTCCTGATCGTTAGGCATTCCAGGGACTGTTGCTCGCCGCATCCAGTACCACATTCTTCAGACCAAACAAGGGATGACAATTCAAACACATTATCTTTCTGAATATGCCAATTAGCGAACACTAATGGCCAGTAAAGTCATGATTCTTTTCTTTCTTTGTTCACGATTCTTGTCCACAACAATGCTAAGCCTAAACCATTGTTCACGTCATATCATGCTCTCACATCCTGAGTGGCCTCTTTCCTCAGGTTCCGATTTATCTTGGCTCCGGGACGATCACCGAGCCATCAAGACCCCGGTTTCGGGTCCTCCGCCACCCGGCAAGACTCTTTCGCGTGGTACCTTTTTTTAGGCTGCCTTCCCAATTCGTCAATTCGGCCACTATCGACAAACACAACCTATCTCACTCTAACCCCCCAGCACTCGCTTTAGGTTGCAAGTCTAAGCTCGGTATCTTTCATATTTGTACCTCAAAATGACCGTGACTGTGACCCACACCTACACCCGCACCGACGGCCCTCCGACGAAAAAACTCTATGCGTCGCATGCACTACCCTCATACTCCAGTATGCAAATGCAGGGTCCAGCACCGATGTGGAAGGTGATAAGAATCCGCCCCGCAGTCTTGTTCTAACACTGTTCCTATCGTCCCTGAAACGTGATGCCAAGATGGCAGGTTGCATTCAATCCGCACGCAAATGATCACCATCGGTCTCGGGTGTGCCCACCGGGGCCCCGTTGGTCCAGTCAGATCGAGAATGCACATGGACAACTGCGTCTGTTTATGCGTCTGCCTTCGATGCAAACAATCCTTTTTTTCATATTGTTCTGAACTGGTGATAAGATTATTAATTTGCATATACACCCACGGCGGATCGTCATGTCTTTCTGTTTACAAGTCTGATCTTGCATCGGGTGATGTAGATTTTTGTTTGTGCGATATATTGACAAAATGAGGTTCCTTGAAGTTGCTGCGGCGGTAGCTGCGATGTCGGGCTCGGCTGACGCTATGGGATTGACTTCGCTTGCGCGGGATCTGACACTGGCGTCGAGTCTGGGGATTAACTCGGGTGATCTACTGCGTCAGCGGAAGTCGGTGCATGAACTTGCAATGGAGAGCTCGGATCTTGTCTTAAAATCTCAAAACGTTTCGGTATGGTGTGTGTCTTTTTGCTCTGCGGGTTCGTTCTAACCTCCGCAGATTCCAATTGATCACAATGATACCTCGGTCGGTACCTACAGTAACCGCTACTGGGTTAATGATGAATATTATCAAAAGGGAGGGCCTGTCGTCATTTATGATGTCGGTGAGTCTGATGCCGAGTCATCTGCTCATTCGCTTCTGGGCAACTCGAACTCATTCCTCTCCGAGTTGTTGTCAGAGTTCGGTGCCATGGGGATTGTTTGGGAGCATCGGTTTGTTCAGCTGAAGCATTTCCCATACTGTGCTAATATTTGGTAGATACTACGGAGACTCTCTTCCTTACCCTGTCAGTGTTGATACGCCTCCTGAGCATATGATTTACCTCTCAAATAAGCAGGCTCTCGCCGATATCCCATACTTTGCACAGAATTTCACAGTCGAGGGCCACGCCGATGAGGATCTGACACCTTCTTCTACACCTTGGATCATGGCCGGAGGGTCTTACTCCGGTATGCGATCTGCTTTTACCCGAGATCAGTATCCCAAGACCATCTTTGCCGCTTGGTCATCCTCGGCACCGGTCGAGGCCAAGCTCGACATGAGCATCTATTTCGAACAGGTCTATGATGGCATGGTCTCGAACGGGTACTCGAACTGTACTAAGGATATCAAAGCGGCACTCGAGTACATTGATGGTGAGCTGTCCAAGAACGATTCCAGCGCGGCGGCCATCAAGAAGCTTGTCTTCGGCGAAGGCGCTGAGGTGAACAACAATGGAGACTTCACCGCAGCCCTTGCCGGAGTTTATGGCTTTTTCCAGGCCGAGGGTCTCGGTGGTGGCACTGGTAGTCTGGGGGGATTTCTGTCATCATCTGGAAACGGATCCAGTGACTCTCGAAACCGCCGGGCCCCTTGGCTTTGCGCCATACCTGGGTAACGAGTACGTTGGCAAGCGGCTCGCATCATGGTCGGCCTGGAAAGAAATGGCCAACCTGAACTACAAAACCAACTGCGGCGGACTCGACGATTCCCAGCCCTTGTCCTGCACACTGAATCCCAAGTACACCGACGTCACCGACATCAGCTGGCTGTGGCAAGTTTGCACCGAATGGGGATACTACCAGAGCAACAACTTCGGCTCTCACTCGCTTCTTTCCAGTTACCAGACCCTTGAGTACAACCAAGACCTCTGTACCCGACAGTTCCCCGAAGCCGTCAAGCGGGGCATCATCCCCGCCTCACCCGAGGTCGACAGAATGAACCAAGAGACCGGCGGCTGGACTATGCGCCCGTCCAACATCTACTGGAGCGGCGGCCAATTCGACCCCTGGCGGACCCTCTCCGTCCTCGCCACGGAAAGCTTCGCCCCGAAGGATGTAGCCTTCACCACGGAGACTCCCAAATGCAACGTGGCGACGGGTAAGGATTCGGTCTTTGGATACATTATGCAGAACGCCGAACACTGCTTCGACATGCGATCCGGGTTCGCTCCGGGTAAGATCTCACGTGGATACTTCAAGCAAGCGCTCAAGGAATGGCTGCCTTGTTTCCAGAAGACGTAAACAGATGGGCGCAGTGGACATGTCGGGGTCCGGGGAAGGGATCGACACGGGTGTGATCCGTAAAGTGACTAGACCCGATTCATAGCAGCTTGCGAAGGTCATCTCGGGCTTCCGGTTCTCACGTGGGGATCAACCGAGGAAGTTTGAGGTTTCTGCACGTTTCTTGTCAAATCGTAGCGCATGGGTTCCAGCTATTTCATCATTACTTTTCCATGCCATCTATCCAATTTCAACTATTATTATTTATCTCTTGTCCAATGTCTTCATACTTAATTCTCTACTTTCAAGTTACACTAGATCCTCAATCCCCGAAATGCTAAGCCCAACAGTGATCATAACTGGCCTAGTTGCCTTCCTTGTTCTGCGTCACTTGGTGCAGTTGTATCACCACTATACACAGGCCAGATCCCTGCACTGCGAGGCACCACCACGCGGTGCTTCGGCCTTCTTCGGCATTCCGGCGTTCTATCGCCTGACAAGAGCGGTCAAAGAGAAGCGGTGGATCGATTATCTGTGTGATCAATTCGCCATTAATGGGAATACCTTCCAGCAGGAATTCCTGAATAGGAAGTTGTTGACTACCATCGAGCCGGAGAATGTCAAGGCTATTCTGGCCACCCAATTCCAGGATTTCTGTCTGGGTACGCGACATGAGCAATTCTATCCACTACTCGGAGATGGCATTTTCACCTTAGACGGTGCGCGCTGGTCGCATGCGCGAGGATTGTTGCGACCGCAATTCAATCGAGATCAGGTCGCGGACCTCAGCATGCTGGACGATCACATCAACCACCTGATCGCATTGATCCCAAAAGACCGAACCAGCTTCGATATCCAGCGCCTTTTCTTCCTTCTCACCCTGGACTCGGCCACGCATTTCCTCTTCGGTGAATCCGTCGGCTGCATGCTCCCCCTTCCGAAACAACCGGCGTCCTCGAGAAATCCGCCGTCCGTAGTGCCCAAGGATTCGCCGACGCTTTCACGACCGCACAAGACTACCTCGCCGCCCGGGCGCGTGCACAAGGTCTCTACTGGCTCGTGAACCCCAAGAAATTCCGCGAAGCCAACCACCAAGTCCACGAAGTCGTCGATCATCATGTCAAGATCGCGCTCGAATCAAAACGAAACCCAGATAAAAACAAAGATGATCGCTATATCTTCCTCCAAGCCTTAGCAGCAGACACCGATGATCCGAAAATGCTCCGCGATAATATGCTCAACATCCTTCTCGCCGGCCGTGATACCACAGCCAGCCTCCTGAGCTCAACATTCTTCTACCTCGCCCGACACCCAGCCGTGTTCAGTCGTCTTCGACGTGAGATAGTCGAAGCATTCGGGGATAGCAAAATTTCTATCAAAATAACACAGACAAAGCTAAAAGACATTCAATACCTCCGCTACGTCCTAAACGAAGGTTCGTCTCACCTTCCAATCCCTCTTCAAAGAAAAGAAAAAAAAACCTAATTTAAGACAGTCCTACGCCTCCAACCACCAGTCCCAGTAAATTTCCGCGTCGCCACAAAAAATACCTCCCTTCCCGTCGGAGGCGGTCCAGATAACCGCTCCCCGGTATACGTCCGCAAAGGCCAAATTGTCGCATATAATATCTTTGCAATGCACCGCCGTACCGATCTATGGGGCCCCGATGCGCGAGTATTCCGTCCCGAGCGCTGGGAGGAGAATGCGAAGCATGGATGGGAGTATTTGCCTTTTAATGGGGGTCCGCGGATCTGTCTCGGTCGTGAGTTTTCCCGAATAAGACGAAAAAGAAAAGAAAACCGGTTGAAATACTAATGTTAAGGTTTCTGCAGAACAATATGCGCTTACAGAGGCAAGTTATACTGTTGTAAGGTTGCTGCAGCATTTCGATACACTTGAGAAAGCGGACCCGCATCCGAGGTCGGAGCCGGTCAAGCTGTCTAATTTGACTATGATGCATGATTCGGGGGGTTCCGGTCAAGTTATATTCGGCGGAAGTGCTTTGATTTATGATGAACGTGTTCACTGGTTTGTGTGATGCGTGTAAATATGGAATCTGATCTGGGTGTTGGATATCGCTCGAACTCATTGCGTTCTGGATGTTTGGGACTTTCCGGGTTCAAGATTAAAAGAAAATCGGAGATTTAAGGAGTACTATGACTTGCACAAATATAGAGTTATCCTTCTGTGCGCATGTGTGAATAGCACCGGTGATCGAAACAATTTGGAGTGAACCCTACATTACTGGGTAGAGGTACATACGTGTACAACCTGGGGTCAAATAGAAAGCTTCAATTTTGTCAGAGAAGATGATTGAATGTGGAGATATGTGTAAGAGTGATGAATTAATGCTATAGTAGAAGTAGGCTAAGTAGGCTCCAACAAATCTCAAGTCTCTTCTTCGTCCTCTTCTAAGTATGGTCAACCTTTCAAGTAGTCTAGTTGCTCAAATGTAATGAGTCTGGTCATTCATGATAGGGTCTAGACGATTGCAAGGAGACGTCTATCTTGGACGAGCCGAGCAGCTATAAGCAGTATACCGCCGAGAATAAGCGAAACGCCTGAGAAAAGCGAAAGAGAAAGATAGCCGTATTTCTCGGCCAGTGCACCACTGATTGGAACATTTGCCATGGCCCTAAGAAGAAACTTAGCACTGATCCAGAAAGCAGAAGATGGTGATCTCACGATAGTGAAACGGAAGCCGACACAGTCCCGAGAGCAAGACCCATCGTGGAGGGCGTGGCAACCTGGGCTGCACATGCTTGCTGGAGTGAGATGATCCCCTTTTCGTTGTCAGCAAGACTAGAGTTATTCTCCTTTATGGACAAGAACAACGTACCCCAGAAGCAAAGCCGTAAGCAGCCGACCATACTCCCAAGCCAGCTACCGAGTCCACCTTCGTCCAGCACAGTGCAATCAGACCGGCCAGCAAGGTGGACACGATCACACAATTGAACTTGCCATACCGATCAGCCATAAATCCAGGGACGACCCGACCGAAAAATGAAGCCCCATTGACGATGGAAACGGTGTAAAAGGCAAAGCTGGACGAGAAACCCTTCGACACTGCATATGATGTCGTGTAGAAGAAAGGCGAGGAACATCCCGAAGTATGTAATAAACATAGCCAACGAAAGCAATTGCAAAGCCGGTTTCTTGTAGAGTAATATGGCCTCCGCCTTGCGATCGACCTTCTCGGCTTCAGTCGCAATGACCAAATCATCTTCCGCCTTCCGCTCAACTTGGGAAGCGACAGTCGGTGGTTCCTTTGCAACAAGACATGCAAAACCAAAACATGGAATCATGATAAACCCAACGATCCGCATCGTCCACGGAAATCCAATCCCACCCGCCTTCAACAACTTGTCAATCACAATTGGCCAGACCACGCCACCTAGCGAAGAACCCGCAAGGACAATCCCCAGCGCAGCACCGCGATTCTCCGCATTAATCCACTTCCCAACAAGCGCCAACATAGGCCACGTAACAAGCGCCATGGAAATACCTAGTAATACGCCCTGCGCAAGGAGAAACTGATAGAATTTCTGGCAGAGCGAAGTCATCATGATGGAAAAAACGGTGCCGATTGCACCCGCCCAGCACATTAGTCGTGGGCCGAATACGTCGAGGATGATGCCTGATATGACGGATATCGAAAATAGGAAGAATATCGCGGTGGCGCCCAGCCAAGCGATTGTGGATTGGCTGTTCATGGAGAGTTGTGCGGAGGCATAGTATTCTTCGAAGACGCCAAATGAGTTTAGGAAGCCGACTGTGCAGAAGAGCGAGGTGCTTGCGCCGGAAATGACGAGCCAGGAACGGGATTTTGGACTGTAGAAGTTAGGGAGTTCTTCATGTGTAATTTTTTTGGAAGGTCTTACACATTGACATGGGGATCGGTTTTAGTGGACATCTTGTTGCGGTCATGGATTCGTGGTGAGAACGGGAGCTATACCCATGAAAGGTGTCAATGGCAGATAAACCTTACAAACTAGATAAAAACATGGTATTGTGACCGGGAAGCTCTCCCTCTATATAGAAAGGGAGCCCTGGCGAGCAAAGAAGCCTTCTTTGCGGAGTCTCCGAGCTATAAAGTGTCTGCAAGCTGATAAGCCAATCGGAGCGCGTTACGTCCGGACTCTCCGCGGACTTTCCGGCGGCCCATCAGTGAAGCTCTGAACTTGGGTCCACCATTGCTCTATCCAAGCATCAATGTTGACATCGGCAAGGGAGAGAAGTCTCTTCCTCAGGTAGTCGCAATCATGAAACGCAGGTCGACAGCGGATTCCAGTCCAAGTCTCACAAAGCAACCCCGCCAGAACCCTGTATCCTGCGAGTCTTGTCGAAAGAAAAAGCTCAAGTGCGATCGTAATTTTCCATGCGGCAGCTGTACCACGCGCAGACTGTCCTGTGTCTTCGAAAGTCCGGGCCCTTTACCACTAAGGCACTTGGTCAATCAGGGGAGCCAAACGGAAAAGCGACCTTCGTCGAATAACCAGGACGTGCCGCGACAACAGCGGACTTCCCACGCCGAGGCCCGGAATATTAATCGAGATGATGCTCTGGAGACTGCAGACTGGTTAGAAACTATTGTCATGGGGCATCGTGTTCCTAGTGCTGTTTCCGCCCTGCAAAGAGACGAGCTATCACACTCCTCGCGAATAGCCGTGTCGCAGGGAAACCCAAGCTCCGAACCGTTGTGCTTTCTGTTTGGTAAGGGCAAGAGAGCGTCATCTGAGTCTCCTGCAAGTATTCAACTATCAATTTTCTTACCGTCGAGAGCCGAGGCACTGGCTTTGTTCCATTTCTACCTCAATCATCTCGACTACCAATACCACATCATCATCCCCAGTCGCACGAAACGGGATATCGAAGCCATATACAACAGATCTTCTGAAGAAGAAATCAACCTGCAGCACTTTGCTCTTCTTTTCGCCATAATTGCGACAGCCTCGTTTCACCAGCTTTTGTCGACTGATCCAGCCAGGCTCGCAGAGGCTTCCAGTTTTGAGGCAGCGTTCTTGGCAGGCGCGGCTTTGATCCAGAGCGATTATCTTTCTTGTCCCAGTATTGAAGGACTACAAGCGACGATGATCATCGGGCACCATTTGTCGATTGCGACGCTCCATCCGGCTGTCGGCTCACTGTTTTTGCATGGGTCTCTGGTCAGTCAGGCTAAGAGTCTCGGGCTTCACACGGTCGACTCCCCGCTATCAAAGAAGCTTCCAAATGGGGGTGATAGAACTTCAGCTGAGCTTAAGAGAAGACTCTGGTGGGACCTAGCTTCGTATGACTGGTGAGTCACCCGAATCAACATTTTCATCTTCTGTTATCAACATCTGCACAGGCTACTAGGATTCCTTAGCGGACCACAGGAGTGGACCTACACGATTAGTCCCCAGCAAATGAACGTACGCAGACCATGGAACCTCGAAGATGAAGACATCGAAACGAGCGAAACGGAATTGCCACTCTCAAAACCAACCTGCATGTCCTATACACTCCAGAGACTGCGATTAGCTGAAATATGCCGCGAGATCGTGGACAGTACTGCACCCAACCATCTACAAGGAGTTCAAATACCATACGATATGATCCTTTCTTTAGACCGTAAACTCCACGACGCATATGCCGAAATCCCAGCCTTCTTCAGATTCGATCAATCATCTCAACGCAAATTCGCCGCCCTCTATCGCGACAGACCTACAATTGCCTGGCAACGCGCCTTCATTCATCAAGGATATCACTCTCGTTTTTGTCGCTTACATCGACAATACTTTCTTCGCGGGGCCAAAGACCCTCGATACTCGTATTCGCACGTCGTGTCCCTTCAATCAGCTCGCAAGGTGCTTGAGATTAAACGAATCATGGACGAGGAGGAACCGGTGTTTGCGCCAAACAGCTCCTTATTCTGGGCGGTGATGCATCATGTTTTTATGGCTGCAGTCATCTTGCTTCTTGACGTCTGCTTCAATTGGGATGATATACTTGCCGACAAGCGGAAGGATGAAGTTCTCGCCGCTTGTCGCATGCTTAGTCGAGCGCAGCAGTCGTCTTCGGTTGCGAGAGAGGGAATTGATGCCATGATGGGGATCTTGCGGAAACATTGGAAAAAGGAAAGGAGACCGCATGACGGGCAGTCTGAGCCCGTGATCACTGGTCTCCACAATCCATCTTTCGAGCAGGTTCTTCAAACGGATCGCCAGCTGTCCAAAGGTGCGGGATCTGAGGCTCCCAGGATAGATTTCTCGGCATCTGGCTTCGAGCACGTCCCGCTAGAGGATCTATGGTCCGAGATTCTAGATAGCAGCGGTGATGTAGGACTGGGAACCCCTGACTGGATGGACTTGCTGAATGAATTGACCAATGCAACTTGCACCACCTGAGTAATAGACAGCTTTCACCTGAACCCGTTCAGGTCTTCGTTGTGTTTATGCCCATCTTCTACTAACTTGGTGGGGAACGGAGGCAGCCAATTCGCGGCGAGAAAGTCTGACAGGTCCAAGGCTGCCGATCAATGAGGCTCTGCAGAAGTAAGCAACACATCACATGATGTTTTGCTTCGTCTTTTTCTCATGTTCATGCTTCGCGTCAGCTTGGTATCACCCACTCGCTTGCCACATCCAGAGACTTTCCCATGGGCAAGATGATTTCCAACTCACCGGTTCAGCCTTCTAACTCTGGGATTCAAGCCCTCGCAGACCGCATCAAGAACGGCCAAATCACCCGGGTTGTCGTCCTGGCTGGCGCTGGAATCAGTACCTCAGCCGGGATTCCCGACTTCCGCACCCCAGGAACAGGTCTCTACGATAAACTTGCACCACTGCATCTTCCATATCCGGAAGCTATATTCTCTATCAGCTACTTCGCACATACGCCTGAACCGTTCTATGCAATTGCCCGAGCGCGCCATCCCGCAAATCTTAAGCCAACCATCTCCCACGCTTTCTTGGCGCTGCTGGCGAAAAAGAACATTTTGCATTACCTGTTCACCCAGAATATCGATGGCCTTGAAGAAGATGCGGGGGTTCCGGTAGACAAGGTGCTCTGGACACATGGCAATTGGAAAAGCCAGCATTGTCACAAGTGTCATGCGGAATATCCAGATGATCTGATGAATGAAGCCATCAAAACTGGTGAGGTGCCTTATTGTCTCAAGGCAGAGTGCGGAGGCGCAGTGAAGCCCGATGTAGTATTCTTCGGGCAGTCTCTTCCCGCCGAGTTCGAAGATAGGCAGAAGATGGTCGCGGAGGCGGACCTCATGCTTGTCATAGGGACTAGTTTGAAGGTTGCGCCTTGCTCACAATTACCCCGCCTGGTGAAAGAGGGCGTTCCAAGGATTCTTATCAACATGGAGAAGGCCGGAGATCTGGGAAATAGGACCCATGATCTGTGTATTCTGGGGACCTGTGACAATGGAGTACGCGAGCTTGCGGATGCCTTGGGATGGAGAGATGAGCTGGAAACTTTGTGGAAGAACGCAGTGGATGCCAAAGTCGATTTTAAGGATCTTGAAGGTGGTCCGACTCTAGATGAGTGCATTTCCAAAATTGCGAGCACAATGAATGATAAGATGAAGATTTCTAATGGGCATAAGCGCATGCTGGAAAATCATCTTACTAGCAAGTTTGCTCAAATGATGGCGCAACCGCCTGCACAACCATGATACTAGAATGACTTGACGATGAACACAAATGTTCAATCATCCTTCAAAGGCGAACCACAATCTCCATGCCACGTGTATAGGGTAGTGCTCGCCATGTGGCGAGGACGGAAGTTTCCAGTGGGCTAAGGCTTCGGCCTCGAATACCTCGATGTGATGCCACTATGATGCGACACCAAATCCGACCACAGCTCATAATTTTAACCACGTCGCTTTTCTCCTCGACCCATATTGTCTTGAAAATCTCAGGTCACCTCTTGTTCCGGCTGCAAATATCTCCCGATGGCACCCGCCTTAAACAATGCCAATACACAGGGAGAACAATCTCCCTCTAATCCACCGGTACATAACCACACACAACCCCGATGGCGAAGCAGTGTTTGTGTCCCATGCCCGAGTACCCGACTACATGCCCTCGAAGCCAGCCGGCGAAGATGGCGAGATAGCCCTCCTCTACGCGACAACGACCATGCCCACCAACGTTGAGGACGAAGTTGATATCGCCATGTACGATGAATTCCTGCATCGGCCACCCGGGCTAACTACTGAAAACGGTGCTGTCTTCCGCATGGTGGATCTTCGTCCGGGGAAAGTTACGCCCATGCATCGCACTGTGAGTGTGGATTATGGGATTGTATTGGATGGGGAGGTGGATTTGATATTGGATTCTGGAGAGAGTCGGGTATTGTATCGAGGTGATGTTTGTGTGCAGAGGGGTACGGCACATTCCTTTAGGAACAAAAGTGCCACGGACTGGTGTCGCTTACTGTTCGTGTTTTTGCCAATGCAGATGCTCACCATCAACGGAAGGGATTTGGATACGGAGATTTATGATGATCCTTATTCAAAGTCCGATGAGGGGGAGAATAACTAGATTCAATCTATGGAATCATGAGTCAAAATCTCATTGTCATACAATATCATCACTCTGGAATCGAGAAAAATCTTTCTTGAGCTTTCTACTCGACTGTGACTTGGACCTTTGTCTTATCTGAGGAGAGTAGTTAGTCGCCATTTGAAGGCAAATGGAAAGTGTAAGCTCACAAAAGGCCACATGATCTTTGATGTTCATCGCCTTCTCATAGGGCTCCGGGTAATACCATGCTGCATCCTTCAACTCTTTGTCTGATCAAGTCATCAGTACCTGCGGCTTTGAGGCTATTGGAGTTACTCACCCCCGACTTTGATCGTATAGTACTTCGCATGGCCCTTCCAAGGACAGAGAGTGGTCGTGTTGGTCCCCACAAAGGTCGACCTATCTTTTATAGCTGTTGGTGGGAACTTATTTCACGAAACGTTAGTCGCAACTCGCTTAGCAGAAACGGTTCTGCTCGTACATAAACATTCCCTTCGACGTTCTCCCAGACGTCTGTCTCCGCGAGCAGCACGTCGCCTATCTTTGCTTTAGCAGACGGCATGATGTTTTGATGATTTTTGCTGGTTCTTGGGATATAAGGGTGGGATCAAAGAGTGTTGTTTGTAAAGGATGTCAGCACGATGGGTGGTGTCGTCACGGGGACTGGTGCGGGGAAGGCTCCCAATTTAGCATCTGAATGCCACCTCAATTAGTTCACGTCAACCGCATTCACAGGAACCTTATCAATAAATATAACCGAAAAGCTCTCAAGACAGGGGAACCAAACGTACTGACCCAAATTCAGTATTTGGAATTTGCGATTTCAGTAGCTTATCTGTTTGCACTGTCACCTCAAGTCTACTTAGAGGGCATCATTTCAACCTCCTACCATCGAAGCTTCAAACCTTTGATTTCTAATATTTGGTAGACTGTATCGGGTTTTTGGGCTCTTGGAACGGGGTTAATTGATTCGTTCATCGCCATTTGTCAGCCAAAAGTGGCCCCATTGCTGAACCGTCCCTTTAATTTTTTGACAAGAGCTCCATCTACACTACATAGTCTAATCTCAATCTGTAATAGTGCTTCACCCCCAAAAGAGTAGCTTCTTTCTCACCTCCAATCACGTATCTTGCTTCGTACTTTGTCGAATCCTTTGGCCCCAAGATTATCAATCTTGGATTATCAAGCAGAGTGGAATATCGTTGTTTGATTTGACTCTTTTTCGGCATTAAGCACTAAAGTAACCTTACAACAATCAACTATCATAGGAAACTGACGAACTATAAAATCTATAACCGCCAGCTAATGACCCGAGCATCAGACAACATCATTTTAGCTCCTTGGACATTCGCCAGCACCATCAACAGCATCTTCATCATGGATAAGCCTATTCGTCGCGTCGTCACCGCCCATGACGCTCAAGGCAAGGCACACTTCGCATCGGATGAGATTTTGACTCCATACGACCCAAATACCGCGCCTGATTTCACTACCCCGGGTCCAGACGCCGGCTTCGGTGTCATCCAAATCCATCGGTCGCGCGGCTTCCCAGTTGACAACATGCGACCATTTGATGACCCACACAAAACACTCGTTCCTCTGGCCGATACAAAGGGTCCTTCTTGTCGCATCATCGATCTACCGCCTGCTGAACAGGGATGGATGCACCGCACTTTGAGTCTCGACTACTTCGTGGTTCTCTCTGGTACTGTCGGTCTTGTTACCGATGGCGGAGCTGAGAAGATGCTCAAGCCGCATGATGTTGTTGTTTGTCGTGGTACAAACCATGAGTGGGTTAACCGTGGCAAGGACTTTGCTAGGGTGTTTGGTGTGGTCGTTCCGAGTAAAGAAATTGTTACTGCGGATGGGGTGAGATTGGAAAAGACACCTGCTGGGCCTATTTACGATCCTCCTGAGGAGTAGGATTGCTTCATGTAACTAGATTACGATCTTGACAGATACAGAGCGCAGAATTGAGACTCTGATCAGCTCCGGATGTATGGAAATAGAACGACGTCTTCTGCCCACGCTTGAGCGCGGGGGACTCCACAACATCGGACTTCATCCGAACAGATAGTAACCCCAAAGCTCACCCCACGCGGAGTCTTTGCAATTACATCTTCTTATTCCAAAAATCGTCAAAATGGGTGCACCGAACCCCTCGTAAGGACCTTGAACTGAAATATATAGTCCTATGCTAACAGCACCAGATACGTTCTCGTCACGGGCGCCACGGGCTTCATCGGCGCCCATGTGGTCGACAACCTTCTCGCCCGCGGCTTCTCCGTCCGCGGGTCAACACGATCGGCTTCTAAAGGCGAGCAAATGAAAGCCGCCCGGCCACAATACGCTTCTAAGCTAGACTTTGTGGTCATAGAAGACTTTACGCAGATTGGTGTGTTTGACAGTGTCATGGATGGAATTGACGCAGTGATTCACGTCGCCAGTGTAAGCTCCTGCACACTCAACAAACACATTCCAAGCTAACAACTTACAGCCATTCTTCTACAACACAACGAACAACGAACAAGAACTCATTCTTCCCGCTATAAATGGTGTCAAATCTATTCTCTCGGCTTCAGCGAAGCCAACCAGTCAAGTCCAACGCATAGTCCTAACCTCCTCGTTCGCTGCTGTCGTCGACGTAAACACCACCCCTCCTCCAGGCTTCTCATACACAGCCGCCGATTGGAATCCACTTACCTATGAAACAGCAGTTTCCCCAGACTCAAACTCAGTAATCGCATATCGCGGATCGAAGAAGTTCGCGGAATTAGCCGCGTGGAATTTCATCAAGAACGAGAGACCACAATATGATCTCGTCACACTTTGCCCGCCTATGGTGTTTGGTCCTGTCGTTCATCCCGTTCCTAGTCTTGATCAGCTCAACGAGTCGAACGCGCAACTATGGACCGTCGCTGCGGGCGTGGATCCGCTTCCGAGGGCACGAGTGCCTGCCTGGATTGATGCGCGTGATCTTGCCGAAGCCCACGTCCAGGCTCTTCTTACTCCGGAGGCAGGGGGAAAGAGATTCATTCCTGCTGCACCTGAGCCATTCTCCTATGAGTATGCGGCTGATATTATGAAAGAGGTTTTTCCCTGGACGAGGAAGTCTGTGACTAGCAATTATGAGAGTGGAGGGAGGCCTCGTGCGGAGTATGGTGTTGATGGAGAGACAGTTGCGACGGAGCTGGGTGTTAAGTATCGGACCTTTAAGGAGACAGTGATAGATTTGGTCGGACAGGTGAAGGAAACACTTACTTAAGTCGGAGTTTTGATTTGTGACACGTTGGTAGCAGTATGCAGATAACTTGGGCCAATAATGCGGGTAATGAAAGCTCACGAAGATGATGGTACTCATGGGTGCACTTGTGGACTTTCGGAAATGAGTTTGAAAGATATTTGTGTTTCCTCTACTCATACTCAACCCAACACTCCCGGATCATCGCTGATCCCTTTTCTGCAATGGCATGGACAGTTGCTTGGATTTGTGCTCTAATCTATAAAGCCATGATGCTTGCGTCGATGACTCGGAGGCCATGGATGCCGTAAACGCGGAGTCGCTCAACAACAACTCCATCTTTGATTCCTTCTTTGGCACCCATAGTGGAGGTACCGATTGCCTTCTGGTAGTGAGTTCCTTTGCAAGAACTTATGGACTCACCACTCACGATTGTTCAGAGCGGATGGTCCCACCTCAATAACCCCCACGTTGATCTTGGGATCTTCGCTTAGACGTGCCGCTACAGCCAAACTAGCGGTGCCACCGCCCACGACGATACAATCAAATGCCAATTTGGCGAAGTCCTGGATGGAGCGAGTCATGATATTCTTGGCAGATTACTGAAGCGGGGAAGATGCGGAGTCAAGGGTTACTTGGACTTGGGAGTGAGACATACGTCAACTTATCTCAGGCTGACTTGCGGAGATAGGATTGTCGCCCACTTTTGCGACTGCTAGCGATTGACTCATAGCGAAGCACAGGCCGTTTTCCAAAAGTCGGCGTCTCCTGATAATCAGGCCCGGGGTTCAAGAACGAGATCATTTACATTGTAAACATGCCCCTCCCTCATCATAGGTAGGAAGCCTTCGTGTTGCCTCAAAGTTGATGACGTTGTGGATATCCACATTTCAAAGTAGCAGACAAGGAAAGTCCCCTGTCACATCACACGTAGCCCTCTGAGCGATATGTTATGGTCCATAAGAGTTCATCGGGAAATGAATACGAGAACGTACGAGAGGACTGGGCTAGTCCTGAAAAGGAAAGTAGGCACATAGATCGCACTATCAAAATTCCACGATTGGGTGTCATCTTGACCAAATCGCTCAGCCGTCCCAAAGGTTGGTATTTTTTGCATGGCAATCGTACTCGAATCGGCTTTTTGCATACGTGGCAACCATGTTTTGAGTGCTAAATATGAATCGCCTCTTCCGAGTTGGGATTAGCAAGTTTTTCTGCCGTCTGAGAGCCCCACCGCTGTTTTTTTTCTCCGGCAGAATTCCAGGTCCAGTTTTGAAAGGCAAGAATCTCCTTATTTTTTGAGATGAAACCTCATTTTTCTCTCACATGTGGACTATTCAGGGCCATACACTCCTCACATACTTCTTATTGATACATGCCACAGAAAATATAGAAGGTTAACAGATGGATGTTAGCAACTCAAAAGCCTATTGAGGAGAATATAAACAGTGAACAATTTCCACCGAAGAGTTAATTTGCAAAGATAAATTTTCTTTTCTCAAGTCGGCTGTCTCGTGTCTGTATGTTTTCCAACGTCAAACTTCAGGACATTTAATGTAAATGCGTGCCCTTGGAGATACGATTGAATCAGCGAATGTGGCGGTGAATGTAATCTTGGCGAACCTTGGCATTTTTACGAAAATCAAACCAAAAGAAGAAGGCGGTGCCCCTTATAGGGGTACGTGAGCATCAAAAGGGGCACGCGGGGATCAATCTCCTATTTAAGTGAATTCGCACCAGGCTGCGCCCGTCGTATCTGATTCCTCTTTCAATCGAGCCCTGGAGCTTCCGGGGATTAGATCGCGGCACTTTGAAGACTAAGACTGTATAGACTTCTCAGTATGGTTATGGATGGGATTGGAGCGGGAGAAAACCTTCAAAATGACTTTTGTGAAAGCTCACAATATGATGAAGAAGAAACTTTGATCTCAAGATCTGAATCAATTCGCAACTCCGGTAATTCATATCACATCTTCCGCGCAGAATCAGTCGTCGAGTACACGCATGTTGTGTCGGCACGTGCGTTCTCAGTCTAGATATTCAGCTAACCTTGGAATGTCATCTTTGGACAATTCAGAACGCGCCACGGTCGCTCAGGACAATTCTCAACAGTTCAGGAAATTATTTCCGAATCGCGACTCATTGCAAAAGAAATACAACTGCAGGATTTGCCAAAGACCTTCTCTTGCATATAAACACCATGGCAAAGCTCTGCTGTCATTTAAGAATTTACTTGGCTTCGCTTTTTCTGCTGTCGCAATCATCCTGTCAATTGCTGAGGCTCCTGCATTATTCATATTCATTTGGAATTTGATTGCCATTATACCGTTATCGATCACTCTTACTTTTGCGACAGAGAGAATCTCCAAAGATCTTGGCGAGACTTCCGGGGCCTTATTAAATATCACGATCGGTAACCTGGCTGAGCTTATTATATTGTGAGTGATAATTTACTTCCCACTATTCAAATGCCTGTTATACTAACTCATACCGTAGCATGTAAGAGAAATTTGACTTGTGCTATGTCAGTTGAAACTTATTTTCTTTAGCACTGCACTCATGAAAAACAACATAAAAGTTGTCCAAGCATCCCTTCTCGGATCCGTTCTCGTCAATCTCCTTCTTGTCCTTGGATCTGCGATCATTGCTGGCAGTATCATTTCTCCGGACCAGTCATACAACAATGATGTGACTCAATCTTTTGTCGTTTTGTTGAACCTGGCAGTGTCGTCTCTCATGATTCCTGTACGTATCCGTGCATTGATCAGAGTTCTGGGTCTAACCAGCACATAGAGTGCCTTCTATGGTAGCGTGAAAAGCGTTGCCTCGGCGGACCGGATGGCTCTTGCCTTCAGCAGAGGTGTCTCCGTCATCCTTCTCATCATCTACTTTTTGTACCTTGTTTTCCAGTTCAAGACTCATCCGCATCTCTTTCGGTCTCATGTGCCTCGGCTCCAGGATGTGGTGGCCCAAAATCGGTCATCTTATGATCACCTCATGGACATTGAGTCCCACCATGACCCCGAGACAGATTCCATCAACACCCCGATCCATCCTGAGATGCAGCAAACTCATGCGTCTTTGAATTCAACATCAGTACCTATTATCACACTTTCGGAGCCGGGTACCCCCATGGTCCCTATTGGCTCAGCCGAGCAAGACGATGCAGACTATCAAATATGGCACGATCACAACGAAGACACTCAAGACTCTCATCGCTGCAAACCCATGATCCTAGCGAACCGCATCTTCTCACTCTCCCTGCTGATCGCCTCTACAATTCTCATCGCGATATGCGCAGAGTCCTTCTCCACAAGTTTCTCCATTCTCAACGAAAAAGGCATCCTCGGCGAATCATTCGTGGGTCTAATCATTATCCCAGTCGCTGGAAATGTAGCCGAAAATGTGACAGCCGTGATTGTCGCCACGAAAAGTCAAATGGACCTGGCAATCAGCGTCGCCCTCGGCTCTGCGATTCAGATCGGTCTCTTGGTTGCACCGGTGATAGTGCTCGTTGGGTGGGCTCTGAATAAGCCTATGACTCTGCATTTTGATTACTTCGGGATGGTTACCTTGGTCGGTTCTGTACTGTTGGTCAGTTTCATTATTTTAAAGGGAAAGACGAATTGGTTGGAGGGCGCTATTCTTTGTGCTTGCTTTGCGGCTATCTCGTATGTTTTGACCAATGGGGTACTTGCTGTTCTCGAAAGCTGACTTTCATAGGGTTGGGGCGTTCCTTTTGCCAATTACTTGATTTCCTACTCGGTACATGCATCTCTCAAAAGGTATGCTGCTTTCACGCTGAGCCTGCTGCCCTGCTTATTCCATTCATTCATAAGTCCGAGACCCAGCTCAATTCTTTTTTTTTTTTGCCAAAACGCCACCTGCAATTAGCCATTGCCGGCTCGACTCTCCCTTGCATCCTGATTCATGTACATAATTAGGTAGAATTTAGTGCCAAAACTCGACCCTTTGGACTCCGCTCTTTCCCGGACAAAAGAGTCATTGTGTCTCACTAGAATGAACATTTCAACAATCACTAGTAGCTAGAACAAGAGGGCCATGGTAGGTTTTCCGTAGCTGATGGCCAGGCATTATATCAAATCCTGTATTGACACTAAAGCTTGTTACAATACCGAGATGCCGGTAGTTTGTTCGCATTTGTGGCGGCTTCGTGTCTCGCTCTCAGGCCCCGGTCGGGCGTGGAGAAGTGGATATCTGCACGGCATCCCGTAACCCAACACAAGCCACGTTCGGAATTCTGCACAAACTGTTAAAGGAGCTCAATCTACGGCTGAAGTGAGAAAGTTAAAGGAATTCAGCGATAAATCGAGACTCTATTTATTCATGGAAATGCTACCGCAAAGACCCCTAAGGTCGTTCTGGGTCTCAACCTGCCGCGCATGGAGCCAATTTTGGCTGAAACACCGGCCTGCGTGAAGGATGCAGAAACCCCTGCATGCGTCATTTTTAACTAGCCTAATCGCTCTACTGTCAACACTATAAGCTGACCCTTGGCGTTCCAGAGTTCCTCGCGGAGCCCGGTACCCCTGACTTGTGTTCGTGGTTCTCGGTAATTCTTTTAGTTGTTGGTGAACATCGTCACAGTGGGCCCGGGCAGCCGCAACCGAAGGTTGAACTTTGAGTCGCAATAAGCGGAACCCGTGCCTGAAGATTGCGTCGATCCGGATTTACCGAGTCTCTCTCATCATTCCAGTTCAATGGTGAAAGAACTTAGCCCACGAGCGTCTCATGCTTGTGGAGAACATTAGCTAGTTAAGACTCCACCACTTGCTAGCTCGTCCTTGATTACTTTTGTTCCATTCAAAATGCGCCGGATTTTCCGAGAAACAGTTTCCAACACTCATATAGACCGTCAACGGACGGTTTCTCAATCGGACCAGTGAGTATACAGCCAAAATGTTGACTTCATCCTTGTTAATTCTTGCCTCTCTCGGCGCTGGACTTACTCAGGCGCAGACCCTCGAGGAGCTCTACCTTGAGAATGCGCCCTCTTCGCCGCGCCCCTACATCATTTCTCACTATGCGAACTCGCATGCGGTGACCATTGGCAGCCAGCTGTACCGCTTCACCGTCACTGGTTCCTCTTCTGACAATGCCTTTACTCTGATGAGCACCAACTCGCCCTCTAGTGGTGACCTGGGCGTCTTGCCCCGTATTCACCGCAGGCACTATGAGAACTTCTTCGCGTACAAGGGTCGCTTCCAGCTTTGGGCTCAGAAGGGCGATAGTGAGCAGCAGGCCCGTCTTCTCACCCAGGGTGATTATGGCTCTGTCCCCAGAAACACCACCCACACTTTCCAGACTCTTGACCCCGACTGTGAAATGGTTGGAGTAATCTCACCGGGAGGCTTCGAGTAGGTTCTCTTCAGGAGCCAACCAGAAACCATTCATTGATGTATGTTATAGGGATCTTTTCTATGCCCTCGGTACCAACTATACTTCTGGCACCGACACTCCCTTTGTGCCCCAGGCTAGCAATGGCTCCTCCAGCCCCAGTGGCTCCGTCATCTCATCTCTGCAGAAGTATGATGTTTATGCACAACTCTCTTTCGAACCTCGCCGTGACCTCGTCAACGGCACTGCCCCGTCGATGACAGCGAATGGCACACCGGCGCCAACCAGCTTGGCAGTCCCGGCGAGCCCTACTTCATTGCCAATGGTTACGGACCCAAATACCTCAACTCTAAGTACGGCTACCAGATTGTTCAGCCTCTTGTCACTCCCAAGCAGTCCCAGGACACCAACTACACTCTTTCCGCTATGATCCTCAGTCGTGCTACTAAGACCAACCCCCCCTCAGTGGACCCTGAACGGCGCTGCTGCATTTGAGGTTCTGGAGGGTGTTCTTTCTATCAAGATCGGCGATTACCCTGAGGCTACTCTCTACAACGGTGACGTAGCATTCATTCCTGCCAACATTCCTTTCACATACTATACTTCCGTCGCGTTCACGAATGTGCTTTATGTTAGCAGTGGCTCCAAGGGTGTCGACTCTCAATTGATCCGTGGTGGAAAGAGCTGGGATTTTACTACCTTCCCCAAGTACTGATTGGAGTGATTTGGTCTTTTATCTTCCCGTATATAGATAGAATAATCTATGGCAATTATTAGCTTCCCGTTGCTGTGTCAGTGCTTACTCCTCGCCGTTTCCTAATCGCTGATGGATCTTGAGCACGCCTCTGAGCGGCTTGAGCTCCTTACCGATTGTCACTCAGTCAAGTCAATCCCCTTAGTGCGATCCACTAGAATGTTCTGAATCCCTTACCAAGCCAGATGTGAGGCAGAGGGTGAGCGGTCCATATAAGCTCCTAACCCTGTGATATTCTTTATCTGGTTTGTCACCGGTAATATTGAAGATCAATGTTGTCCTACGCTCGGCCAAGCATGATGGGGGCTGGTCCCTCAACATTGCTCAATATTCTCGTGATGACGCCTCATCGTCTAGAACCCCTCTCCCCTCTTTCTTCATTTCTCTCTGGACTACGCCCTCAAATATCGCTGTGGAAACGATTTGGCTGTCTGAATTGAGGTTCAAGCAATTAATGGAAGTGAATACAGTGATGGGCCCAAACATGGCGTACACCTAGCGAGGGAATTTCCATTTGCCCGCCAATGGCCCCGCAGCAACTTTAAGCCATCAGTTTTCAATCTGATATCATATTTAAGCACAATCACTCAAGAGAATGCAAAATCCAGCAGAAATGTTGTTGGCTGCACGTCAATTGACTAACTCAAACTTGAATAGTTAGTTCGACCACCAATTGAGCTCTGTTCCTTGTTCTCTTTTGTACCATTTCTTGATGTAAAGTATCAACGAAAAGGCGAATTGGTTCTATTTGATTTCAAGTCGTCTTGGGCAAATATTGTGATGAGACTGGGAACAACAATTTATGTGTCTGACAGGCTGCATTGCATAAGCCACCCATCACTCAACATCAATTGAAAACATGTGACATTTTAGTTGTGCACTTTATATTTTCATTCGCTCCTGTATGGGACCGACTTGAAGACGAATACGCATCTTGGCATGTCAGCGCAGGCGCTGCAGAAGCATGTTAACCCCTAATTCCGTCTCAGACATATTGCTTGGCGCACGACCGATTGTTACGAACGTTGACTATGTATCCACTTCCCCAAAGTCAGAACACTAAGTCTTCTTCCCAGACCCTTGGCTGCCGTAAAACTTACTTCACTTCACTATCGGTTTCGTCCACTAAGTCCGACGACCCACACGCAGCCACAATTAACGGAATCAAGGCTTTTGCCCATCCGCAGATTCTTGTTGAGTAATCAAAATCCTAGAGTCAATATTCTGCCATCTTTTGAACGCTCCTTTGACTCGCATATACTTGCTTTTGGTAATGCTTAGATATCCACTTACTCTGATGACGCGGCTAAGATCTTCCGTGCACTCCCGAGCTCGGTGAGCCGCGATGCTTCATACAAATGGCGTTTTGAGAGAATACTCGTGAATTTGACGGATAGCCAATGTCCGCCTCACCTCACTTTCCTGAAAAGCAGACTTACCAGAAACTTGGGTCCGATAACGCTCGAAGATCAGACATTAGTCGAATATTGCCCACAAGGGAGGCTGTTTTTGGTGTGTCTCTAAAAGTACCGCCCAAAAGCAGTATCAGTCAGACTGTTATTGAAAAGCTTAGCTTCATAGAGTGTTACAGGTCATATTCAAAGTACCACGTAACAGCCACTCTAAGTCTTTTGTTCTTTTTCAATTGAGGGAAAAAAACCCCATGTAGAGAAGGACGGGCCCAATGCGAGAGCGGTGATCGGAGTTAGCGTAATATCGGACTTGATACTACTATTTCCTGTGTGAACTTGCGCAGAGCAGAGAGGATCTATACAATTTTTTTTATATAAAGCAATTGTTCCCACCCCTGCTATTCAAACTATCAGATACTCGGATCTGGCTTGAGCTTCTAGATCTTCTTCTTTATAATCAACAATCATGAGTGCCCACGAGTTTAAAGTCTTCAGAGGAACCCCTTCGGGGGATATCGTCGAGACCGTCACCCAGGTACCGGCCCTCGTCAAAGATCAAGTGTTGATCTTAGTCACACATTCGGGAGTCTGTGGTACCGATGAGCACTATCTTCGATCGGGAATTGCTTTGGGCCATGAGGGAGCGGGCATCGTCAAGGAGCTCGGCCCTGACACCAAAAAATTGAAGATGTAAGAGCCTCCTCCCAACAAATCGCGTTTCGAATTCCCCTGATCAAGACTAATATCCTCCCAGCGGAGACAGGGTGGGCTGGGGCTACGTGAATGGGGGCTGCGGCAATTGCCCCTCTTGTCTTAACGGATTCCACATCCGATGCGAAAGCCCAAATCCTCAAGTTTATGGCCAAGACTTCCTTGACTCAGGAAGCTTCGCCACAAGCGCAGTTCGTTCCGAAGCCTTCTTGCATGTTATCCCTGAAGGCCTTTCATCCGCCTCGGCAGCCCCCCTGATGTGCGGCGGTTTCACTGTCTGGTCCGCTCTGACGCTTCACGGTGTCAAACCTAGTGATACAGTCGGGATAGTTGGCGTCGGTGGGCTCGGACATCTTGCTATCCAATTCGCAAAGGCAATGGGGTGCGAAGTTGTGGTCTTCAGTACAACTGATTCCAAAAAGGATCAGGCAATGGAACTAGGGGCATCCCACTTCGTGTCCACTAAAGGCAAGTCGGAGCTAATCGTTTCGAAGAAACTGAATCATCTTCTTGTCACCACTTCACAGAGCCCGGATTGGGATCTCTTCATCCCGATCATGGCAGCTGGTGCTACGATTTTCCCTATGACGGCGACCGATTTCGAAACCAAGTTGACCATCTCGTACATGAAGTTCTTGGTCAAGGGAATGCGTCTTATTTCTGCTATGCCGACGACAGCATCGTACGGGCTGATGTTGGAATTCGCGGCAAGAAACGGCATCAGTCCTGTTATTGATCGGGATGAGTTGACCGCTGACGGCATTGTCAGGAGCATGGAGAAGTTGAGAATGGGAAGAACTCGATATCGCGGAGTGCTGTACGGTGTGGAAGAAGATTGATTTCTGCTCATGGGTCAGGGATATTGGAAAATGACCGCGCTCATGTCCGATCGTTCTAGATCGTTTACAAGAGTTTCTCTAGATTTCTGTTTCCTCGTTTTCGGTTGCTCTAGGTCATATTCTCTCTGCTGAAGTTTTCACGCTCAAAACGTGAATACGAGAGCGCGCTTGACTTCACTATGGCCTAATGCCAAGTTTACTCCTTTGATTAGCTGAGATCTAGTCGCCTAATGTGTGAATCAATGCGTGTATTGGACTTCTTGCAAAGACTTAGGTATGAATCTTTCCCATTAAACCCAAGGAAAGTGGCAGCAGCCCAAAAAGTAAAAGCCCTCGCCCGGTAGGCGTCATCCTGTTCATGTAGTTGCGTATGAATCTAATGCAGGTAGACTTGAAGGATGGATTTCTCACAACTTTTCTTCCAGTTTGGACTCAGCAATAGATTTGTACGTGGTGGCAGAGAAAATGACTGAAGATGGAGATATGTGTAAGAGTGATGGATTAATGCCATGGAAGAAGTAGGCTAAGTAATCTTACAAACAGGTAGAAATAATAATATCCAATGAGTGTTGTCCTTGCGACTGTTTCTTCTCGTTGGCCTCTCAGTATGTACGCACAAAGCCCACTCAAGCACGTCTTCATTGAATGCTCCTGACACAAACTCAGTCTCCTTTCTCTATAATCCGCCAATTGTTTGAATTGCAGCCAAGTCACTCTTCATCTCCAGCTTCTGGGGCCTAAGCCCGGACCAAGTTGAACCGCTCGCTTTCACCACCATCATATTCAGCGAGCATCAGCTGCCCATTCTCGGCGATGCGCAAAAAGTAGCCGCTTCCCGCTTCAACAAGCTCATAACTATCTCCACCTTGGTACTCGGGCAAGAAGGATTGAGGCCTCTCCCCTGCATAGCAAGTAGCTCCAGCCTTGGAATCACCGCAGTTGATGTATCCACCAAGGTTGTTTTGGACTTCGAAGTAGCCCCCTTCTTGGGGTGTGAAGGACCAGATCTGGCCAGGCTGGCCTTCCTTGGCTTCGAAGGAGAGAGGCTTTCCATGCTCTTGCATGCTTTCCGTCAGGACTTTGGAGGCGGATCCAATGAAGTAGGTTCCCTCTCGCAGGCAGTATGCGGACTGGCAGAGGGCCGCGAGGGTTAAGGCGAAAAAGGCTTTCATTTTGATGGGTTGTTTGTTTGTGAAGAAAGGTTTGAAGTGCGCAATTCCTGGCTGCGTTCAGATAATGTGAAGATGATCTTGATTACACTCGAGGTGAAGGAGCGACAACTGCCTAATATTTATAGCTTTCGGTGCCGATATAGATGCTGAGCATCAGCGACCTGTTCGAACAATCCAGTAATCATCAAGTTAAAATTGCATAGACTATTGGCATGCGCGTTGAGATATATGCACCCCAATATGATTCTCGCCATGACTACCAGCTTCACATTATGCAGGGGGGCTAGATGAAGTGGATTTGTCGATGGATGTGCTTATGAATGTGATGACACTCATAGCAAACATGTGTGACCAATAATATCAAAACGTATCAGTTTACGTTCAATGAGAGTGGGCAGTAGATAATCTCTGCTGATGACTGACCTTGTCATCCATGCCGCTTCGGAGAATCTATGCCAGAGGCCAGCAACGCGTTGAGAAGATGTTCCGTGCTTCCGACGAAATCATGGTTGGATCACAAGCCCAACCTGCATTGCTCAAGTATACTCAAGTACGATCTTCTAAATCTACACGAAATATCTCAAACTATCGAAATTGAGGGTCCACATGATGCACGATCGTCCTTTGCTGGGTCGGGCGAGGTGGATCCCTGCGTGAGGCTGAAAGTCCTCGAAGCGCCGATATCTGAAGAATGAGGTCAATTATTTCAGAAGCCATCAAGAGGCTATTCATTTTGATAGTGAACGCTTGAATGGCAATTTGACCATACGGATGGAGGAGCCACGCGCGATTGCAAGTGGCTGAAATCTAGTCTCAATATTTCAGCTCGCACTTAAGCCATGCACGCCACAAAATTATCTCAATTGGACTGATCTCAAGCACAAGATCTCTCTGCTAAATTGCAACCGATCATTAATCGGGTCGCGCTGTAATTCATGGATCCAAATGGCGGTCAAAGTCCGGATACAAGACCTGGTATGCAAAGCCTTGCGGGTTCAGCTCAATAGAAGTGTTTGCTTTTTTGGTCGGAGGCCGGGACCTCAGATTCTCTGTTTGCACATGTTTGAGGCGCGGCGTTCAGAGCGAATCAATCGATCACAGAACGATCATCCACATTCGGACCTGCATGATTCTCGGTAAATAATACCTCCGACCACGTATTCTCGCCATAGGTTACATCGATCACAAACCCCATGAGATGAGCGACCGCGGAGCCCCCCCACCATTCCCAGCTAAACTACCAAATCGATCTCACCATTATATTCCCCTCCCCCCCCCAAAAGGCAAGATGACAGTCACTTTGGTGGCTGAAGAAAGTCCGTTAGTTCTAGAGCGAGCAACGCTAGAAGATATTCCTGCCCTGACCACCCTATGGTACGAGGCATTCACAGATCCCGCTGCGCGACACATCTGGCCCGACACGCCAGGTGTACGCCAGTGGTGGGACGATGCGAATCGTGAGGATATGAGCGAGAGGCCATTTCAGCATTATGTCACGGTGATCGACCCTAAGTCGAAAGATGCCAATGGCCGACCGCGGATAGTCGCGTATGCCAAGTGGGATCTGTCCATGCCCGAAGAGCGAGGACGTCGGTTCCCGCCCTGGCATGAAGATATGAACAAGCAAGACTGCGATGACTTCGTCGCAAAGCTCGAAGGAAACCGACAGCGTTGTTTTGGTGATACAAAAAATTACTGTAGGTCGCTAGTGTCTTTTGTCTTTAATGTTGATGAGCTGTTAATGGTGCAGACCTGGATATGCTAGGAACACACCCCGATTACAGGAAACGCGGGGCTGGATCGATGCTGGTCAAATACGGCTGTGATCTGGCCGATGTACATGGCGTAGGAGCTTATGTCGATGCTAGTAAGGCTGGGGCGCCGCTCTATGCCAAGTTTGGATTTGTTGACGAGTCGGGACCTGACAGTGGTGATGTTGCTGCGATGGCGAGACGATATGTTAAGGTCTAATGAGGTTTTCGAGGTATTTGGTCCGGAAGTTCACATAAGATAGTATGAAACAACAGACTTAAGGACTAGACGTTGAGCTATAGTTTGGATCATCCAATTGATGAGGCGGTACAGCCCGGTGAACCGCCCTAGACTTTCCAAGATTCATCCAAGATCTTTTCCAACCTGATCAACATGTCCTCAAAATACTCTTCCCCTGGACGGCACCACTGCACCCTTCAATCCTTTCCAGAGCTACAATTATGATACATCAACTTCAGGGGTAGGAACATCTCGCCCGCCAAGAACCTCCGCCCGCGTCTGTGTTGACCCCGCGCAGTCTCACCCCATCCAAGGCCAAAAACATCTCGCAATCCGTGCAGCAAGCTTCCACCAGTCTAATTATAATCACAATCTCGTCTTCCCAAAGCTCAAAAGAAATCTCAACTCTCGGCCATCACACCGCAGCGGCCAATCACCCTCCTGCAGCTCACCGGTCTCCGACCGGGCGAAAGCCAAGGCCGGCCAAAAATGCGGAGGGATGAGTACGTGCTCAGAACAGGGAAGATGTGCACTGCAGGGGGGACTGCGATGCAGTCAGTAAAATTACAATTCTGTACCTTGCACCTCGATCTCCGTGTCCTCGAAGGAGAGTCGATTATGTTCATGACAGACGCGATCAACGTGAGACAATCCCTGTCTTCACCGGAGTTACAAAACACCACTGCAATCCCCCACTCCGAGAGATGCGACGCCATGCAGGCCTCATTGAGAACGACTGGTTTCAAGGCCAATGCCAAGGCCGTGTTTACCAAGCGCGTGAACGGTAGCAAAACATCTCCTGCACATCACCCGTTGCTCCAAGACGCTATTACCAAGCACCGCGGCCTCAACCACTCGCTTCGTCAACGATCGTCCCCTCGCTGAATAACCTGACGATACTGCCAAGATCATCCCATCCACCTCAACACTTGTCTCTGGCTTTCTATGGACTATGATGAGACCATTTCGGCCCCGATTCTGGGTTCTTCCGAATTTAGACCGTCGCCCAGGTCTCGTCGCCCGACTCGAAGCTCAACCACTGCTCAGTCTCCGCCTATGTCGATGTGATCCTGCAGCCTCTAGCCTTAATTAACCTTCGGACCACTTACACGGTGGCTGATCCGCTGTCAACGAGCTAACGATTCCTGGAAAAGCGCATTGTGTGACACGTTCTCAATGAGCAGCGAGGAGAGGGGGATCCACCTGTGTCACATAGTTTCGGATTCTAGCCCCTGCTGCTAGTATAATCACATCGCCTTGGTTGGATGTCTAGCCCACGCCCAGATGATGCCTAGTTTTCATCTCGGATCAGACCGGCAATTGGCTACAATGGACCCAGTTGCATGGATCAATTCCCTGAAGTCGATAGATTTAAACGTAGCCTGTGCCCGGGTGTTCAAGTGCCGAATTCAATTGTGTTTTGTTTTTCTCAGGTCAAGACTCTTTGCAATGCAGATGCTTGCCCTCTTCGGCCTCTTGGGCGTGGCCAATGCGGCCTGTCCGTACATGACTGGTGATACGTCTGCTCTGGAGCGTCGTGACAGTGGCGATGCCACTTCCGATACTGAGGAGTTCTTGTCCCAATTCTACCTCAATGATCAAGACGTGTTCATGACCTCCGACGTCGGTGGCCCAATTGAAGATCAGAACAGTTTGAGTGCTGGTGAGCGTGGCCCGACACTGCTTGAGGATTTCATTTTCCGTCAGAAGATTCAGCGGTTTGATCATGAGCGGGTATGTTCATCTGAAAGTACTTCACCATATCCTCGATCTCGGTTTATTGATGCAATGTCGTCTAGGTCCCCGAACGTGCCGTTCACGCCCGTGGCGCCGGTGCCCACGGAGTCTTCACATCCTACGGCGACTGGTCCAACATCACCGCAGCCTCCTTCCTCTCCGCCGAGGGCAAGGAAACCCCCCATGTTTGTCCGAATCTCTACCGTCGCCGGCAGCCGCGGCAGTGCAGACACAGCCCGTGATGTACACGGGTTCGCGACTCGATTCTATACAGATGAAGGAAATTTCGGTATGGCCCATACCACCTACCATTGAACCCCCATCTAACACGGTCAGATATCGTCGGCAACAACATTCCCGTATTCTTCATCCAAGACGCTATTCTCTTCCCGGACCTGATCCACGCCGTGAAGCCCCGTGGTGATAATGAGATCCCCCAGGCTGCCACTGCCCATGACTCGGCCTGGGACTTTTTCAGTCAACAGCCCAGCTCCCTGCATACTCTGATGTGGGCAATGGCCGGACATGGGATTCCGAGATCAGTCCGCCATGTGGACGGCTTTGGAGTGCACACCTATCGCTTCGTCACTAACAATGGCACTTCGAAGCTTGTCAAGTTCCACTGGAAAACTTTGCAAGGCAAGGCTAGTCTTGTGTGGGAAGAGGCGCAGCAGACCGCTGGCAAGAATGCGGATTTCCTTCGTCAAGATCTGTTTGACTCGATTGAAGCTGGCCGGTTCCCCGAGTGGGAGGTAATTACCTTCCTACCCCGTTATAAGTAGATCTCCTCTCTAACCAACCTTCAGCTCGGTGTTCAAATCATGGAAGAAGATGACCAACTACGCTTCGGCTTCGATCTTCTCGACCCAACCAAGATCGTCCCCGAAGAACTAGTTCCCATCACCCCTATCGGCAAGATGCAACTTAACCGTAACCCCCGAAACTACTTTGCGGAAACCGAACAAGTCATGGTACGCCTCCAAGCCCACCCCCAAGACTCCACTGGAAACCCAAATACTAACACTCATCCTACAGTTCCAACCAGGTCACATCGTCCGCGGCATTGACTTCACAGAAGACCCCCTCCTCCAAGGCCGCCTCTTCTCCTACCTGAGACACTCAACTCAACCGCCACTCAGGACCAAACTTCGAACAACTCCCCATCAACCGACCCCGCGTCCCAATCCACAACAACAACCGTGACGGTTCCGGACAAATGTTCATCCCCTTGAACAAGGACGCCTATACCCCCAACACAGGAAACGCCGGCTCCCCGAAACAAGCCAATCAAACCGTCGGAAACGGCTTCTTCACCACCCCCAGCCGAAGCACAAGTGGAAGACTCGTGCGAAGCGTCAGCTCAACATTCGCCGATGCGTGGTCTCAGCCGCGATTATTCTGGAATTCGCTCGTTCCCGCCGAACAGCAATTCGTCGTCGACGCAATGAGATTCGAGAATTCGAACGTGGTTTCTCAGGTCGTGAGAGAGAACGTGATTATCCAGTTGAATCGAATCAGTAATGATCTTGCGAAACGTGTCGCCGAGGCCATTGGGGTTGATGCTCCGTCTCCGGACCCGACTTACTATCATGATAACACAACTGCGCATATTGGTGCGTTCGGACAGAAGTTGTTGAAGCTGGACGGGTTGAAGGTCGGTATTCTGGCTTCGGTTTCGAATACTAGTTCTATTGCGTATGGAAGTCAGCTTCAGAGTCTGCTTTCCTCGGCGGGCGTTGATGTTGTTGTTGTGGGTGAGCGGATGGCGAATGGTGTGAATCAGACGTATTCGGCCTCGGATGCGACTAATTTCGATGCGGTGGTCATTGCCGATGGAGCGCAAGGATTGTTTGGCTCGAGCTCTGAGGGTGCGAAGAAGGGAGCTTCTACTTTGTATCCTGCTGGACGGCCTTTGGAGATTTTGACTGATGCCTTTAGGTTCGGTAAGGCAATTGGGGCAATTGGACAGGGCAGACCGTGTTGAGCGCGGCGAAGATTTCTACGAAGAGGGAAGGAGTTTATGTTGCGAATTCGGTTGGTGGTGGATTTGGTGACGATTTGAAGGAAGGATTGCGGACCTTCAAGTTCTTGGATCGCTTTGCGCTTGATGCGTAGGTGGCTTTGTCTATAGATAGCATCCAGTCTACACCTTAATGGTTGCTATAATGTACATCATTAAATTTGCAACTGAATACATAGTTAACACTCTTGAATTTGCAAGTGAGTAAGTAACAAGCACGGTATTGAGTATGAAGCCATCAATCAATTACTCTTTTCATCTTCAGGTCTTGTCTTGTCTTGTCTTGGTCTTAATTCCGTGGCACGAATTGCCGACGAAGCTTCATGAAGGAGTCTTGATCCGCTTTAGGCGCAGCCACACGAGCATTCATCCTTTTCTGTACACTCTGAGATGAGTTGGCCTGACCAGCCTGACTCTGTCCAATGATGGCCCATTCAGCAACAGTCGCACCAGTACCATTGTTCGCTGCCAAATCAGCAGCATCAAGTCCCTGGTTACCAATAATAAGGAGTGAAGCATACTGGGCAGCGAATACAGGACTGGAGAGCGTGACATTCGTGGTGTTGCTAGTAGGCATAGCGACCGCGTCCAAATTAGTAGTCGCCGGGTTGTATGGGAGCGAGACCTGTACATCATTGATAGATGTCACAACCTGGAAGCTGGAGCTCTGGTTGGATGACTTGTAGGCCACCACAGGGTCGTTGATGGATTGATTGTGGAAGAGCACGGTAATGTTGACTGGGGGTGCTTGAGCCCAGTCGAAGTAGAATCCGGTGACCATAGATCCGGCCTCATTGCCCAGCGACACTGTCACGGCACTCATGTTTGCTGCCAAGGAGGGTTGCCATTTTGTTGACGTGGCGCCGTCTACTACTGAGATCGGGAATTGGCCTGGTTCATAGGAGTCGCTTGATTGGACCGGTCTGCACTGCGCCAGGTTCCCGGTGATTGTGTTCACGGAAGAGATCTGGCGATTAGGAAGGACGATAGAGCCCATTGTGGGAAGAGTGTAGGTGGTGATATTGCCTTCGCTACCAGAGTTTACGGTGATACTGGTGTTGGCAAAGCGTTGGTCCGCGGTGTTGAGAGGCGGTGTATCAATGGCCCGGCTGATTGTGGTGTGGGTGTAGTTAGACCAAGCTTCGATGGGCCATCCGCGCCAGAAGAAAGTGCGGTATCTCAAGTATGGAATCTGCATAGGCAAGTTGGGATCCACGTGGAGGGTATCATCAGGGGTCAGGCGAAGACCCAGGTATCCGAACAGTCCGACTTGGTTAGCACCACCGTGTCCAGTGAGGAATGGGAACGCAGGGTGAGTGCCTCCGTTGATCGTCGCGTTGTCGACAAGTTGTTCTGACATCTGGAAGAAAGGGGGGCGGGCGTATGGAAGGTATGAGTACTGTCCGTATGTGTACGCTGAGCAACCAGAGGGCGATACCTCGTTCGCCACAATCGAAAAAATGGCCCAGGTCATGGCGGGCCCATCAGGTGATTGCTTGTTTGCATACTTTTTAAGACGAGTCAGTAATTTGATCCACTCAAACTTCTTGTCTGTAACACTCACATAGTCCAGGTCATCTAACGAATCTTGCATGGTATAGTTGGAAGTGTAGTCAAGTGGATAAGTGTTGAGAACAACATCAGCCTGCTTAACCACAGCACTTCCATTCATAGTCGTGAACTCTAAAGTCACTCCGTTCTCACGGATGACCAGCACATTCTCCGCCATCTGGTCCCAGGTTGAGTTCTCCTCAAGGCCAAATTGCTGGCGGAAGGAATTGGTGTTCTGCAATGTTTCAGCAATCAGTGGCATTGTGAAACCACCGGCATCGACCATGTTGGCGTATTCATCCTGTAGAGGGTCAGTTTTGTGTGCGAGGTAGAGCAAAATAGAGCCGAGTGAAAAATACGCACAGGATCAGTCATGTTCGTCAAGGTCCACTTAGACCCGTTCTGCACCAGCAAGTCTGCGTAAAGTGTAGCAATAGAGTCGTAGATCGGGAAATGACTTTCTTTGAAAGTCTGAGTATCACCAGTTGTAACCCACCGGTTGATCAGGGAAATCCCAATATCCCCGTTGATGTGATATTCATAGTCCCAGCAGGGACCGGTAGATGTGCAGTTGCCGAAACGACCACTTGTCCATGGATAGATGGCCGCGGATGAAGAAAAGTGCGTCTTATTCTGTGATCCAGCATAGTTGGTCTTGATGTTTTCCTGGGCCATGGCATATTTCTCTGCACGGTAGTTGGTAATTCGCTCCGCGGCTTCAGGGTGAGACGTAGTCAGACCCGGTTGCATCCAGACATCAGCATCCCAGAACACCAGTCCCGCGTAGGAATCCGAGGTCAGGCCGCCAACGGAAATGCTGTCGACATTCACGGCAGCTCCGCCCGCTTGTTTGATGGCGTTCTGACCAACAGTGTTTTGAAGTAGGTAGTAAGTGTTGGCAACCGCAATGACCGAGGAAGCAATGATGTGGCTATCAGCTGGAAGACTACCATTCCCGGGGAGCGCATAGCTATCAACGGAGTTATCGGGCATCACACTAGCCCACTCCAATAGATGGGCTCGAAGAGACCTGATATATCCATTGGTCATAGCAGATGTGACTGCCTGCTTAGCCACCTGCTGTGGGTCGGCGAAAGCATCCGTGGATGCTGCTCCAACGTACTTGGTCACGCGAACTGCCTTGCCTGCCTGGAAATTGACATTTACAGACTGGGCAATAGAGGATTGGTTGGTGCCGACATAAGGCTTGCCAGATACAAGCTGGCGAGATGACAGGTCGACATTCGCACTGCCCGTGAGATTTGTATAAATAAAAGCAGTGACGTTGGCGATGCCGTTGGGTCGCACTGCCGTGAAGATTGCACCATCATCTTCGCCAGAATTCACAAAGTCGGTTCGTACCGCAGACGTGCCATCGATCACATTGACGATCGTTCCATTGGAATCAGCAGAGGGGATGACTTGCATATCTACCACCGCTTGGTTGATGTAGTATTTGTTGGTGAAAAGTCGGTAAATGATCTGGAACGAGCCCTTGTCGCCCGCGGGTGTCCAGGTATATGTCCAGAGCAAGACACCCGCCTTGAAATCATAGGTCGAACTGAACTTGGATATAGTGCTGTTGTCGACCGTCGCATCCAAGTAAGTATCATCGCCCAGATCCAGGACCAGTCCACTCCAGTGAGGAATACCACTGATGACACTTTCGCCTCCATACTGCCAAAGCCAATCAGCGTTACCTTCGTCGGTCCTAGGCTGGTAGTCAAAGAAGCCAGCGATGGTTGCAAACGACTGGCGTCGGGAGAAGAGTGGCCAGCCGCTGATCACATCACCACCGTCTGCTTCTTGGTCCATTTCAAAGAAGGGGCCAACGCTTGCAACGTTGATTCCAAGATATCCATTAGCTACAGAACCGCGTGATTGCATGCGGCCCTGCTCGAGGTTGGTGGTGGTGAGAAGCCAGTTCTCCTCATCCCAGGTCACGCCATCGAAGCCGGTCTGATACACAGTGCTGCTGAAATTGCCAACGGGACCTGGGCCGCCGTATCTTCTAATCGATTTTAAGACGCGAGCTTTTGTGGAGGCTCCATCCACGAGCTCGCTTGAACACAAGAGCAAGGGCAAGGCTGCCCGAGCGAGAGACTCCAGGCGAGTTAGCCTTGAACATTGTAGGAACGCAGGAGTTGAGTGCTCACCGTGAAGTGCATCTTGCTGAGTTCTCACCCTGAAGGGCGGTAGTATCTGAGGGGCGCGTCTGATGGAGGGTTTCTAGGGACACGAGCAATCTATGTAAATCAGAACTGGCCAGACAATCTGGGAAACCTTGTGGGAAGGCAGACGACTTAAATCAGAAGAAGGATGGAAACGCACGGATGGCAAAATAAAATTTAAGTGCATCCCTTCCCCAAGGGCGAAAGGCAGTGCCGATCCAGGAACCACCAAATACGGGCGCAACGTCTCCGAGATCGCACGGCGTGGGGAACAGCAATCCTAGCTAAGTTCCGGGGTGCACCTGCCCCGTTTGAGGCAGGCTAAACGACTCGAATATGTGGAGCCGCGTATTATTCATTCAAGATGGGTGGGAATGTCGTATGAGGCTGCCACATTGAGGCTATACCGGGCAAACCGGCTGCGGGGAAGTGCCAGCCATGACAGCGCAGTGGCGTTCTATTTGCCCGAGGCCAAATCTGGGACCCGAACAAGTAGTGGCCGAAGTTGGCATCGGCGTGCCGTGCATCGTCGTCATCAAGGCCCAAGTCCTCAAGGTTTGTGTGGGGAAGTCGCGGATCCCCGGTTTCCGTCGGGCCCCGCAATTGGCCCGACAAAAGACCGTCGACCGTATATGGCAGGTGGCTCAACAGTTACCAGGTTATGCCATTCCTGGTTTAGATCCTAGCACGTTGTTGGTGCGCTCTCTAGGTGTTAAGAAATGGCAGGAAGCTGCAGGAACTACTGGAATTCGAGGTGCCTTGAACTTAGAGCCTAAGGCACCCTCAGCCACCATCCTGTTTCAACGGAAGTATGGGATACTTGTTTGCTGCCATGCCTCTCAGTATTACTTTGGCTATACAGATCATTTCTCTAGTTTCGCAATAAGAATGCTACACTCGATGAGATGTTCAATCCTCTAACCAGATCAGCCGCAACACGTCGACCTGTCCCGACGCAAGCATTGCTAGAACATTCGGTAGGGTCTGCCAATTCCTCATCCGCAAATTATAACTTAATCCACCAGTCACATGTGGGTCTATCGGTATCTTTCTTGGATCTAAGTCGCCTAGTAAGGAAGGAGATTTTAGAGCGATGGTGCCATGACTTTGCGTTACGAGCCGTTCGGTCTTACAATTCTAGTTGATTCGTGCAATCTTGGAAGAGATGCAATGGTCCATTGTTCTAATTGAGAGGAATATAATCAAAAAGATCCATGCGAAATTCAAGACAAATCGAAAGAAACGAGAACAATCTTTCAAGAGTGACAGACTATCAAGGGCAGACCATCTACCAAATTGAATATGAAACACTGTCCTTACAGTAAATCTCAGAATACCCCAGAAAGCTAACGTGCGAAGGGAGAAGCATGCTATTTACTTGGATGAATACCTCATAAAGCTCTTCAAAAGAGACCGCTTCATACCGATATCTTCATCTGTCAACGGAATACCCATCATATCATATTCCTCGCCCCAGGCCTTAAGCCAATCAAGATCAACAAGCTCTCGATCACAATATAGAGAGGGTCCACTGGGATTGAAACCTACAGCCGGCATCTCAAGAGTCTCAATCAACTCCTCGCGAGTTTCTCGGATCGGAGACATCGGATCGTCGACACCGTGTATCGTATCGTGAAGCGCTGACCAATGAGCTTGGATATCAGGACACGTAGTTTGTGAGCGCTCATTGCCAACAAACTGTTTAGCCATTGCAGGAATAAGTTTCCTCCAATACAGGATACCGCTATCGACTTGGCAGTGGTCGCGGCCAAGTAGAAAAATCAAAGCCTCGGCAAGTGCCATAGGTTGAAGAATCTTGACTGGGTAAAGATTCTGCCAATCGACCGACCAGCTGTGGTGGTCGTTGACATTCATAACGAGACTGCACTCTGCGGAAAAGTCAAGGAAGGAATCAGGGAGCCACCAGAGGGTCTTGGACTTGATAAATAAGGAGATTGTGTCGATTCCAATCACACTTCTCATAGAAGTTTTTTCATATGTAAGCCATCCGAGAGTAGGAAGATTGTGAAGGAATGGAGTGTGGAAATGCGCATCGGGGACTGGATGGTGTTGGTTGGGTTGAATTAAAATACAGCCGGGGTCGACGCACAGTTGGTGTTGATCAAAAGAGTCGAGTTCTCGAACGGCTGTGTCGAGCAAATCGTCAGGAACAACGAATTCAATTGTCCGGGCCTCAGTTGCCAGGTGTTCCTCTTCAGTGAAAAGGTCAACGGCCTGTTCACCCCAAAGGATATTGGGGACTTGGGCAACGTCTAGGATGCTGGAAATAAAGCCGGCCACTTTTGCTCGTAGAACCTGACGTCGGCTATACCATGTGCCATCAGGAGGATTATTCCAAGAAATAGTCATTGTGGAATGAGAAGAAAGCTTTGACAACTTCAGTGCCTAAAAAGAAAGTGTCTAGAGAGGACAGACCTACTCACCGTGTCTGCAAAATTGAATAGACTTTGCTACAGATGGAGCTACCAAAATGCATGGGCTCGGCCTTATATCTCCGATTCCAAGTTGCGCTTCGCCTTATAGTTAAACCCTATACAAGACAGCCACTGGATCCTCTTGTTTCGATTGATTTGAGACGAAGTTCACGCATAGTCTTTAAAACCCAGAATTAACGAGCCTCCAGAATTGCCTAAAATTATAAGTCTTTGTTGTCGAACGAACACAATAAGCCCCGTGTGGGCGGACTTGGACCTCGTTTCATATTTGCAACGGAGTTGAGCATGAATAAAGGCTGAATAAAGGTTCGGAAGGTTTTGAAATAAGTCTCAACTTTACTTTCAGCGTGTTTACGAAATCAAGGCAATTGAGATCAAGTTTCGAGGATCTAGGGGAAAAGTTTCTTTGTGGAGTTTGATACTCGTATTCTTTCAGCAACAAAGCGGAAAGTCCACAAATAGTTCCGCATCATCGCGAAATGTCTCCTTCATTTCAATTCGCTAATAACATCAAGGGGACAGCGTTGTATGGAGATGACCAGGTCACTTGTCATTGTCATGGTACTTCATCTGCGGGCTCACTGGTCTCGTAGTACAAGCTCTGGTATAGATGATAGATGCGACAACTCGGGAAGAGCACCCGCTTATGTTTATAGTTTTCAAGAAGTAGACGTCAAGGAAATACGGATCTGAAAAAGCATACATAAGTGGAAAGCACTTCAAGTAGGCAAGCCCGAGATGATCGAGCCAGACGTGGATTTGAAGATTACAGTGACTGTAGGTCTAGGATTGAGAATTAGAAATCCGGGTGACAAGGTCTTGTATTCAAAATGCGACTCCACTCAAGTCTTTGGCCCGCTGCCCTCAGAAGTCCGCATGTACTTGTTGATTGGGCATCCACGCCCAACATGTGCAATGCGTAAGGCAAGCGGGTTGATGCTCAAATATTTGATCATGGGTCTCTGGCATTCCATATCCAAGTGCCGTTGTCAATGTGATATATTGTTCAGCGGAAACATGAGCCATGCAAGTGTGAGGGTGAAAGCCTTGAGAAGCCACATTGAGCAAGAGCAATGCAGCAGACGCTTGATTCCACGGGTTGTGCTGTCCAGTCAGCTACCCTTAGAAACCATCAAGGGGCAGTTCATTATTCACGTCATCACAGTTTTGCATCGAGCTTTTCATCGAGCCCAAAGCTCATGGTTTCTAGATTGCAGACTATGCATTCTAAACTTCTCCCGGATTTCACCCCTCATCCTCCTCGCTTTCCTCATCAGAAATCTCACGGTGGCCATTTGGCGCATTCGAATGCATTTGGCTAGCACGTGGAACATTGTTGGACTGTCTTCGGTTCGCCGAGATAACGGCTCTTTCGCCCACAAACTTATCTCCAGGCCATTCCTCTTTGCACACTGGGCATTTCTCAGCCTGTTGTACACGGAAGAAGTTCCGCATGCAATGATCGTGAAGTCGACCAGGGCAATCACGATCACCACACCTTTGGCCCTGTGAATGAAGTCAGCTTTATCCCAGTGCTCTCGATACGAGCGATCCTTACCGCTGTGACAATATCCCTGCAAGCAGCACAAAACTTGATACGCTCCACTTTGCGCCCACTCTCCTTCACGTAGTTGTATGTATCGCTCAGCCAGCTTCGCAGTTCCATGAGTGCACGGGGTGTCAAGCTGAAATAGTTTTTTGGGCTTTTCTCCAACCAGCCTTCTACAAGGAGATTCTGCATCATTGTCTCAGCCTGTGTCATTGTCAAGGATTGTGCTGCTCCGCCTTGGTTCTGTTGCGATTCAGCATTTGTCGACCGCCGGCGGTTGGCGTCTGCTGAGGAAACCTTGGCTAATTGGGTAGCTTGGATAGGCGTGATAACCATTCCTTCAATGATCTTTGTGTTATTTGTGTCGAACATGAAATCGAGGACGCGCTTGACGAAGGCGATCTCGTTGGGGGTATAGGTGCTTGCAAGTTGGGTCAACGCGTCGACGTGGACGTTGACGAGAGCGTAGACTCGTTCGGGCGGACCCTCGGTGGTCTCTTGATGAGGATCTCTTGCGAGTTGGCGGAGCGAGCTTCTGATTTCGAAGTTGAAGGGAGAGATGGCGGTGTTGGCGGAGGAGATGTAGGAAGAGAAAAGTTCTTGGGTGATATCCTCAGTATCGACAGTGCAGCCTTCTGCAAAAATACAAAGGATCAGTACAATTCTTAGATGCGTAGCTGAGCTTCAGATTAGAATAGCACACCATGCGCTGAAATTATGGCAGCCAGAACTGGCTGCGCTTCATCAAAGGTCATTGACGAGCGGGCCATGAAGGCCTGCAGGAAGGCGCGATTGCAGTCATTGTAGGTGAGATTATCCATGCAACTGATTTGAGGGTCAAGCAGCTTGACCAAGGTCTCCGGGTTTGGGTGATACTGTCGAGTTGAGGCCGAGACCAAGAAGTTGAAAGTGACGCGATTCGACGCGCCGCGGGTGCCAAGACTCGCCGCCAACGGAACTATGCGAAAGTATCACTTTCCACTCGGATTCCTTGCCTATTCAACGTCTCTAGGGACCGAATAATGATATTTGTTCAGCGTAAAATTCATTTTTTTTTTACCTCAAGACTGAGATTGATTCCATAAATCAAGCATCCATCAGATATATTGACGCTTAATATCCTCACGATAGCTGACCTTGAGTAGAGAGAATCCACGTGTGCTGCTGTTCCCTACCTCCTCTCTGTTTAGAGACTATTGAATCAGAACTACATTTGATTTTACCTTGCCCTTAATTTACTTTGAACCTAAGCCCGACTAGAATGTTGCAGTAAGGAATCAAAGCCACCTAGGGAGATCCATCCCTTGATTCCAGAATATGAAACTGTCTGAATGTTGAATACGGAATTTTTACAAGGCTGTGTTGCGAGCGTTATGTATCTTGTCAACTCAGCTGAGCCCTTTGCTAGCGGTCCACTGCTTTGGCACCCATCCTGCTGCTTAGATGTTGAAGAGGCACAACTACGTCTCTCCCTACGAACTTTGCCTCTCTCGAACAAACCAGTGAACTGGCATTTTCGGTCTAATAATTTGACAGAAAGTCAACTGTAAGCTTCTCACGAACAACGCAATGGTATTTACTTTTGGAAATTGAAATATAATTACCCCTCTTTGGCATGTGTCAACGGAATCATCATTGGCCCCGTGGGCCGTCACAACCTTCTCCACATGAGTCGAGAAGCCTATACTACTGGTCCTTTGCCTTTACATAGTATTAAGTGTCTAGTCGTCGAAAAGTGACTCACTTAGCCATGATATGACGAATTTGCCCGTCCTATAACTGTAGCTGGCGTACGAAGTAGTTAGCCAGATAGCAACCGAGAGATATAACGGACCATATTTGCTCTGTGCTGCTTTCATGGCGGACCTAAACAAGAGAGACCGTGCTCATCTCCATCCCTTCACCTCCATCTCTAAGGATCGTGCTCTGGGCCTCCAAATAGAGCATGCACAAGGAATCCACGTCTACTCGAACCACGGAACAAAATACCTCGACGCACTCTCGGGCCTATGGTGTGTCAACGTCGGCTATGGACAGTCGCAGCTTTGCGATGCAATCGAGAAGACGTCACGACAGATCTCCTTTGCGCATACGATGTTCGGTACTTCGCACGAGGCTGTGACATTACTTGCTGACAGACTTCTCCACCTTTCCAAGTCCGCAGACAGCATCAACGATGCCAATACTAGTTCTAATCCTATGCGAAAAGTGTTTTTCGGTCATTCCGGCTCAGATGCCAACGATACCATCCTGAAAATAGCCCGTCTATACTTCTTGACCCAGGGTCAACCACGCCGGACCAAGTACCTCTCCTGTGTGGATAGCTACCACGGCACGACTTTGTCAACGGCCAGTCTGTCGGGTCTACCGGGTCATCATCGCAACTTTGGCCTGCCGGATTCTTCATTCCTGCACGTTTCGGCACCAGATGTGTTTGATGCGCTCACGCGGCAGGGATTCCTCTCTGAAGACGCTTATGTTGACTATTTGGTTGACGAGATGGAGGAGGCCATCACTGCCGCTAATGCTGCTGGTGGAGACGGAGAGGAGACCATCGCTGCGTTCTTTGCCGAGCCTGTTATGGCCGTAGGGGGAATTTTACTTCCACCGGCGACGTACTTCCCGCGGATCAAGGCCGTGCTGGACCGACACGGCACCTTGCTCATCGTTGATGATGTGATCTGCGCTTTTGGGCGGCTCGGACACTGGTTTGGTTGGCAGACTACTAACGTTCAGCCGGACATGGTCTCCTTGGCCAAGGGTCTGACGAGCGGGTACATGCCTATGTCGGCGGTGTTAGTTGGCGAGCGTGTCTGGTCAGTATTCGAGCGGTATGAGTCTCAAATTGGTGTCTTTGGTCATGGTTTCACCATGTCAGGCCATCCAGTAGCTGCTGCGGCTGCATTGGCGAACATCGACTTCATTGAGGAGAACAAACTTCTGGACAGGGCCAGGGAGATTGGTTCATTCCTGCTGCAGACCTTGACGAACGCTACTCGACACATTGCCACCGTCGTAAATGTGAGAGGGAGAGGGATGCTCGTAGGAATGCAGCTGGCCGGGCTAGATGCCAGCGAGGTCTCCCGCCGTTGTCTAAGCATGGGTTTGATCGTTCGGGCTATTGTCGGACGGAACACAGTTGCGCTGGCTCCACCGTTGATCACCACCATGGCAGATGTCCTGATCATCGTGGAAACGATCTGTAAGGCTCTGTCTAGTAGTCAGCAGTAATTTTAAGCACAAAGTAGCTTCATGTGATGACCATTGAGGATAACAAGACTTTTGGTTGGTTTGCGGAGCTGATACAGTCAGAAAGAATTGAAAGACGCTCGGAGAAGAGGCTAAGATGAGAAGCTCAGGTCAATGGGTCAATGAATTGCCTAATCAAGTACAAATTTACCCAACCACGCTACTGGCGTTAACCAGAGGGTATACGATACAGTATTCTTAATCTCTCTGTTAAACAATTTGTATTTCTTTTTGTACGAACAGGTCTGTGGAAGAATTATGCTCGTGTCAAAAATTGATGAATTCGCAGGTCTGATATCATGACATAGAATACAATGCTCATCAGCAAAAGATGCAGCCGAAACCCCGACCCCGGGCACTTCGCCACACAAAGGTAGAGGCATCCGAACCACCCACTGACATCACCCAACGCCAAAGTAGAAAACACGTCGGCACCGAAGAAACCCAGAATTTGTGAAAATCACCCTAACCCCCTAAAACCTCCGCCGAGTCGGCTCAGGACTGGGGCTGCGGCTAACACTGCGCGCATCTCGGCCGCGCTCCTTCAACCACTTCTTCGTGCTCAACCGTATCTCCCGATCCAACTCCGGCGAGGGATTCTTACGATGAATGAAGTTGCAAAACCCGCCTCGCACACACCCCTCGCCGCTATTCAGTCGACAACACGCTTCTCGGAAATCTGTCACAGGCGATAGTTCGCAGTATATGGGCCGCGCAGCGTACCAGCGGGAGTTGAGTGTGTCGCACGCTGTCTGGGCGTCTTCTTCGTATTTGAATCGCGCGTAAACGTTGCCGATCAAGTCTAGATGTGTTAGTCGCGCGACTGAGATGACAGGGACAGGGTTGAGACTTACGATCGTTGTTATTATCGCAAATGACGAGCTCTTCGAGCTCGCCGTACTGGCACAGCTCGCACCATACATCTTCGTAGAAGGCGTCGAAGTGGTTTTGCAGCTGGCTTGGGTTCATCTTGCTCTTGGGGTCGTAGGCTGGGTTTTGGTACATGTTGGGCATGAGAACAGTCTGAGAGTAGGAGGGCTTGACATGCTTTCGGGAGCAACGGTCACCGTGTCGGCATGCGCCGATCTTGTAGTGAGAAAGAGCAGTTGACCTTGTCCTGCTCGGTACCGAAGATAGAAGCGAGATAGTTGGCCATGATGGGTGATTGTCAGGGATCCTCGTGGGCCAACTAGTGAGAGATGCGAATTGAAGGAGGTGGAGGTGATCCGCGCAAGTCAAGCGAGGGAGGCGACGGGTGAAGAATTGGCGAGGAGCGGCGACTGCTTGGTGATATCGGATGCCTGAAGTTTCTGGAGAGCTCCAGTGGCGGCGCTGACTAAACCCGGGGAGCTACCATCGGCCGCGGAATAACTATCTTCCGATGTATAGTCAAAAGCCCGTTTGTCATCTGGTCATTCATTCTGTCTTCGGCACATCATTATTCAGATAAAGCTCTATGTAATTTCTCCATGGTGGTCAGTTTGGGTCTAATCTTTGGTCCGTCAGCCTTGCATAAAGCCCGTCCAACGATCCAACGTTGGGTCGTCAGCTAGCTCATTGGAGCCTCGAAGAGCCGTTCATTGAACTGCGAGCGCCCCCCATCATCAGCCCACGCTTTCTTCGCCAGAATTATCTCAAAAGTCATCCGGTTACGGTGCAATCGGAACATCATAGTTCCACTCCCAGCAACTATATAAATACCGCTACTGAAAGGAGCTCTTGCACATCTCCCAAAAAGTATTACCAAGACTTCCGAGCGTGGAACAGACCCAAAAGTGTACCCAATTTGAACGTGTTTACTTTTATTTAATCATTTATTTGTCAACGAAGTATTGAGCGGCAATTTCACGTCGCATGCTAAAGGACAGCGGTCCAGGGGGAGTCAGGGACGATGCAAATCAGTCGCGAGCTAAGGTCCAGCTGAATATCCGGATGCTGATTTGAATAGGTCTGAAAATCCTTCAATGACAATGTTCTTATTCCCTGAGTTGCTTGAGATAGGTTACATGCAATTGAAAAGCCGATGATGCCTCCTCGGAGGATGACGGTTGCCGACTCTACTTTTAAATAGTCACAATCGGTATAAGCATCACAGTCAAGTCATCAACTCCAGGTCTTCAATCCACCTTCTTTCTTTGAGGACACTTCCTTGTATTGGATCGGGAGCATAGAAAAAGTCCTGCGGTGTGGTAGTTGTGAAGAACGTCTATCACTTCAAGAGAGAAGGCACTCCTCGACCCTTATTAACGAGAAAAGAATCACAGATCTCCATGTCTGTACATTTTACCTTAGGACATTAGGTCCATGTAGTTATCTCGGCAACACAGCCACAGGTACAAATTGTCCTATCGAGGCCTTTTCCATGGTTTGCACCATCACAAGTGGATCCCCAGTACGATCCCTTCCAATGGGACATTCTACGGACAGGGGTCAGCTAGACTTTGCTAAGCTATATATCTTCCTGGCTATTAGTTTAACACAGTCACGGAGCCGGTTTCACTAATGACATAGTTAGGTGGTTGTTGATGGGCTCGAGTCTTCATCCGAGTGGGATAGTAATCGTAGTGCGGGGGCTGGCTGTTAGGCTTGGGTGTACCAACCCAAACTTGAAATTATTGAGGGATTTAGAAGGAAAGACAGATGATGAGTCTTAATAAGAAGGCTCTTTCTCGGTTCAATTTTGGAATGTAGGAGATTTGAGCAGCATGACGTCTGCTGCGCCGAGGCTCCGCGGGATTATTATTAACCCCGCACCTAACACCTTTCGGAGCTAGATCTCCAGCTCCTCTGTCCATACTGAGCATTGCAGATAGCGTTTGACCTTTACGCATTGGAATTTGAAGAAGGTGTGTTTCCCTTATACTCAATGCCTCGCCCATTTGCTTTTTGCTCAGCTTGGTGAGGACTTCACAAGTAGCCCAGAGGCTTATAATGAACGGCCTCGAGCCGAAGAGCCGGCCCTCTCGAGACGACAATTGAGCCCACATCTGGATCAGCGCGAGCATATCATATTACTGAGAAGATCCTTCTGACAATATTGGCAGCATCAAAGATGGCAGTCAAGACCATCATCGTCACCGGTGCCTCTCGAGGTAAGTAGCCCCCAGGCCTTCATCGGAAACAAAGCTCACAGTCATCACAGGAATTGGCCTCGCGATCGCCAGGTATCTACTTTCAGCACCGCAATCCCACAATGTCGTAGTGGTAGCTCGCAGCGTCGAGCCCCTTCAGAAGCTCAAGGAGCAGTACAGCAAGCAAGTCGAGGTGGTGAACGGCGACCTGGCAGACTTCTCTCTCGCCCAGAAGGTAGTCGATACCGCTATCAAGGCCTTCGGACAACTCGACGGCATGGTTCTGAACCACGGTATCCTCGGCCAAGTCGGCACTATTGCCACAGCCGACCTAAAAGAGTGGCAGCAAGGATTTGATGTCAACTTTATCAGCTTGGTAGCGTTCGTACGTCGCCCATTTCTACATTCGGATTTTTTCCCCCCCCGAAAGAAACGATGCTAACATGAATCTACAGACCAAGGCAGCTCTGCCGGCTCTCCGCCAGTCCAAGGGGAAAATCATCTTCACCTCCTCCGGCGCCGCCGTGACTGGCTACCGCTCATGGGGCCTCTACGGAGCCACCAAGGCAGCGATGAACAGCTTGGCTTCGTGCTTGGGCAACGAGGAGCCCGAAGTTACCTCTATTTCCATCCGGCCCGGCATGGTCGACACGGACATGCAGCGTGAGCTTCGTGACGTCCATAGCGCAAACATGGACCCGGAAACACACTCCAAATTTACCAATGTGCACAAGGACGGCAAGCTCCTGCAGCCTGAGCAGCCGGGGCATGTCATGGCAAAGCTGGTGCTCAACGCACCGAAGGAGCTAAGCGGCAAGTTCTTATCGTACGTTTCTCCAAGACTGTTCCCTACCACACTAATGCTAACAAAATTTAGGTGGAACGATAAGGAGCTTGAGGTTTTCCAGTAGATTTAATATTTTCATTGATTATATATACGAATGGAGACTGTACAGCAATCAGTATGAATGCCACAAAATGTTATGAGTGTGAATTTTCAATTGACGGTTGTAGTCAGCCGAAAGATGAAAAGCATTACATATTATAAGCATCAGGTGCAGAACACCTTCATGTTTAGCATGGAATGTAGGGTGTTCATCATACAAAGAGGGTATTATGATTGTGAACGAGGGCTCCGTACCTAACGAGATTTTTTTGTTGAGTGTGTCGGCTTTTCCCGAATTTGTTATCAGACTGTTCTAGATTCTTTCAGGAAGTTAGCAAATGCTTTCAACTTCGAGATCATGTGCAATGCAAGCAGTGAAAATAGGTTCAGTTGGTCCGTTTGGCTAGGACAGGTATGGTCACCATGGTTTTGTATGATAGGGGCGACAACAAGGTTCATCATGTAGAAAGCGAGGAAAAAAGCAATGGTGATTTGAGCTTACCGTTAGTGACAATCCTCGGTTTGAATCAAAATCAAATCCATCCGAGGAAAGTGGGAGTCGAAGACTCTGCAAGGTGATGAAGGAAGAGGAAGTAGCGGGAAAAATCTCGCGATTAAAAGTAACGGAGGGCGGTGGGTTTTGCGTTTTTCTGCCGGCAGGGAAATTTACCCGCAGTCCGCAACGGAGGCCTGCACTGCCTTGATGAGACCCACGTGAATCTCTGAAAGACTTCCTGGCTTTTCTCGCTTATCCTTACTGCTTGAGCTGCTGTTCTTGATCGCCGTTATTGTCTCGATTCTAGTCATGTCAGACAGAGAGTTCAGTTGTCAGTTTTCCCCTCAAACCTGGCACGCGCATTTGCTGACATGTCTCCATTGAACCAGCGAACGATGATCTGTCGCTTCCTAAAGGTAACTCCAGATTATTTGCATTTATCTACTCCAATCATTCGGGATGCATCACTCCGGTGATCTCGTTAAAGACATGGACGCTTCATGGATCCCCGCAGGTGGATCATGCGCGGTTTAGGGCACTTACTGACCATGCCTGAATAGCGACGGTTCAAAAGATAATCACCGAGATACCCCTCCTTCGTCAGGACAAACATTCTCCAAAGATGCGCGCGACCTCCTCATGGAGTGCTGTGTGGAGTTCATCACCTTGATTTCCTCCGAAGCCAACGATATCAGTGAGAAAGAAGCTAAGAAGACCATTGCCTGCGAGCACGTTGAGAAGGCACTACGCGACCTTGGCTTCGCAGATTATATCCCCGACGTTCTGGCCGTTGCCGAAGACCACAGAGAGCAGCTGAAGGTGTGTTTCATCGCGTCCTGGTGTGGAGAGAGGCCAGCTGACTTAGGTTTGAACTAGTCGCGGGAGAAGAAGCAGAGCAAGATGGAGCAAAGTGGGCTCTCGGAAGAGGAGCTTCTTCGGCAACAGCAGGAGCTCTTCAGGTCTGCTACTGAGAAGTACAACCAGGGCCCTGAATAGCGACCCAATGAAATCTCATGCTGGTCATAGAGGAAAAGGACGTTGGGCGTTTTGCGTGTTTCTCGGGGGTGCTGGATTGGAGTTTTCAAGGTCTTTCTTCAGTTATGAACTCTGCGATTGATGGCGATATATCTAATGAATGATAATGACGTGCCTGACATCCTTTACATCGATTGAAGTAATTCTTAGCTCGCGACAGAGTTTTTCAACCTGCGGGCATTCCTTCAATATCCGGTTATGATCTCAAGTTCATCATTTTGACAAGATTTACATACAAAATGGTGATAAGCCTATATGCCGCAGCTGACTTGATCGGCTTCCAATGGAAGGCAGCTTCTAGCATTGGTTTTTATCAGATGCTAAGTGGTAGTCTCACATGTAGCCGCCTTCAGAAGTGTATGTGCGAGAAGTGAGTCCCGTACTGATTATCCTATGTCGAAAACAGACGATGCAGATTACCCGATGTTCACCTGATTTTCTTGAGATGTTTCCTTGCAGCCTCATTTGCTCCACATCGACTTCCATTCCAGTCCCGTGACCACCGCCAAGAATTCACAGACACTAAACCAAAATGAGAAGGCGCCCGATCACTCGAGATCGCAAAGCCGCTGCGGCTCGCGAAGCTCTCATTTATTTCGAACGCGAATTGACCAAAATGCCGCCGTTCAAGGATGAGCACGTCCTGGTATGTCGGGGCTTAACATGGACCTCTACCGGAAATTTCTGCTAACCATTCTAGTTAATTGCGCCGGGCTCGCAAATGACCCTGGCGCAGCTGGGCCTCCCCGAAACGTTCACGCCCGCGCGATTCCGCTTCCCCACGCGCATGTTCCCCGCTCAGAAGGAGGGAGAATACGAACCTTACCGGATCCGTGAACGCAGAAATGAAGTCAAGGTCAGCAATGGCAATGGCGCGTCCAAGGCCGCTCCAAAAGAGGATGTCGAGATGAAGGATGCGGAGTCTGCTGGTCAGGATGTCGCGCCCAAGCCTGAAAGCGAGGGTGCCGATGGAGCTGAAAAGACCGAGGAGAAGACTCAAGTTGTCGAGGAAATTCTGTACGAAGAGGATGTGACCACTGAAGAAGGGGCTGTCTATCCAATTCAGGATGGGCGCATCGTCGACTGGCCCTGCTTCTATGCTCTGTTGACTCACATTTATAATGCTCTGAGCCCGCCTTTCCACACCCCTATTCTCATGATTGCCCAGCCAGTCTGGTCTGCGCGCGATCGCGAGGCTATTACTCAATTCGTCTTCGAGAAGTTCAAGGTGCCCGGCTTCAGCCTTCTGGACTCTGCACTTGCTGCGTGCTACGGCTATGGGGTACAGACGGCCACAGTCGTGGATGTCGGTAAGGGCAAGGTCGATGTGACTGCGGTCACTGATTTCGCAGTTAACGAGCACGGTCGGGGAATCGCACTGCAAGGGTGCGGCGGCGATGCCATGACCGATCGCCTTCTTGAAATGCTAGGTCCTAGGGGATTCACAAGGGAAATGTGCGAGCAATTAAAGCGCAGTAACATCACGGAGATTTTGCCACCGGGCACTCCACTGCCTGGTGCAGCTGCTACTGCTCGCCAGGGGGCCAACCCGGCAAGTGCTGCCTCTACTGGAGTGGACGGGAACGACTCTGCCCCGCGGGGACCTGGCGAGGGTACTCAGACTGGTACTGAGACCAACGGAGAGGAGGACGAGGGTGTCCTTGACGTGGCAGCGATTGTTAGCGGCAATACTACCGAGTACCTTGCCAATATGGAGAAGGACAAGTCAGCCAAGAAGGGCGGTGCTGCTGACCCCAGGTCTAAGCTCCCAAATAACAAAAAGGAGAAGGCCGCTTTCCAATTCGAGGAATTCGTGCCCATGGAGGAGGAGAGCGCAGTCGGCGGCGCCAAGCGCTACATGCGTCATAACAGGGAGATCGAGGTTGGCGTTGAGCGTTTCCTTTTGACATCTCCCAGCCAGCAGATCGGGGACCGTCTATCCAGTGGCATTCTGGAGGACATTGCAACACAGATTCACCACACCATCCTCGCTGTGCCAGATGCCACGAAGCGTAGTGAGCTTTGGGACTCCCTGATCATTGTCGGATGTGGCAGCAAAGTTCGAGGTAGGACCATGCCCATATATACGTAAAGCGTATAGCTAACTCTTCCATAGGCTTCACTCAGGCTCTCCTTGGCGTTATTACGCAAAAGTTCATCCTCTCCCCATCTGCCACCATCTTCACATCTGAAATACCGTCCACCTTCACCACTCCTCTCCCCACTGGCGGTACCAACACGCCCGCTCCTATGGGCCAGCCTGGGCCAATGTATCACCCTGCCGCTCACGGTGTGAACCCTCTCCTCGTGGCTGCTACCCACAATAACCCCGGCATGGTTGCACCAGGCACCCCAGGAATGGATCCCAATGGCACAACTCACTACCGCTCTAGTGGTCATTCTCAGACCCCGACATCCGCCAAGACCCTCCGGCTGCCCGAGTACTTCCCCGATTTCAAAGACCAGGGCAACAGTAACGCCCCTGGAGCCAGCGCGGGCCCATCTGGTGCCTCTCAGGGTGGTCACGGCACCGAGGAAGCCTGTTTCCTCGGCGCTCAGATGGCTGCCAAGGTGTTCTTTGTGCTCGACCAAGGCCTGACCAAGGGCTACATGAGCCGTGTCGAGTATAACGATAACGGACCGTCGGCCATCCACGAGTACATTCTGTGAGAATGGGACGACTGTTCTACGATTCAGCGCAAGGGTTTCTGCTTTGAAAAGATTTCATTTGGGCGATGGGGTTGATTTGTTTCTAATGCCTTTTTTGTATGCCATGATGCCTAGAAAAGGGACTCTGGTACAGGTGAGGAGTTTGGCTTGTATTCTTGCCCTGGCCTTTCAAATAAAACTGAGTCTCAGTTCTATTCTATTCATATCCAGCGTAATCTTCGTCGTGTAACTAATGTATACTAATACTCGTGATGACATGGACGACATATTTCTAGGCACCTTGGTCACGTGAATAGTGGGTCCTTATCGTCCCCGTCGCCGCATCTTTCGCCGCGGGTTCAACTCACCTTCACTTCACCATCCTCACGTCTCTCCACACCATTTCCGATCTCATTTCCTACCACACAATATGCCCCGCGCCGAAGCAGGCTCTACCAAAGCCATCGGTAATAAGATCAAGGCTAAAGGCCTTGGTCGATTGCGATGGTACTGCCAAGCATGTGAGCGGCAAATGCGAGACGAGAACGGTACGTACCGTCCAGCCGTGCAAGCTTTCACATTCTCTGACACCGCGCAGGATTCAAATGCCATGTTGCTAGCGAAAGCCACGTCCGCCAGATGCTCATCATTGGCGAGGACGCCCGCAAACACATCCAGGATTTCAGCAAGGAGTTCCAAAAGAATTTCGTCGAACTGTTGAGGACCACGCATGGTGAGAAGAAGGTTCATATCAATCACTTCTATCAGCAGGTGATTGCGGATAAAGAACATGTAAGCTGCCTCCTTCTCCGGTGCACGGCGCAAATTAACAGTTTGACAGATTCACATGAACGCGACGCAATGGAAGAACTTGTCGCAATTCGCCGCGCATCTTGGAAGGGAGGGCATTTGTCGAGTCGAGGAGACGGAGAAGGGATTATTTGTCTCATGGATCGATAATAGTCCGGAAACGATGCGCAAGCGCGAAGCCATCATGAAAAAAGAACGACAAGATAAGGGTGACGAGGAGCGCGAACAGCGCGCGATCAAAGAGCAGATCCAGCGTGCACAGGCCATGGCCAAGGTACAAGAAGAGGATAATCCCGAAGATAAGATGCTGCAGCGCGAAGACGGCGAGAAGGTCACATTGAACTTTGGGTTTGCTGCGAAACCGAAGCCAGAGACAAAGGTCGCTTCACCGGTTGCCGAGACCGAAACAAAGGAGACACCCGAAGATTCAGATGCGCCAACACCAGCTGAATCTGGCCCAGCCGCACCTAAGATCTCAATGTCTTTCGGCGCCCAGAAACCGAAGAACGTATTCGCCTCGGCGGCGAAGAAGAATCCTCTTGCTGGGAGGAAGGGTCCTGTTATGGCTCCTCAGAGGAAGATGACGGAGCAGGAGAGGATCATGAAGGCTGAGATGGAGGCTAATGAACGGAAGCGGTCGAGACCGGATTCTGGGTTTAATAATAAGCGGCCGAAGATATCGTTGAGGTAAACCGCATTTTTATGTACATGGCAGCATGCTCCTCTTTTGTCTTTGATATACCCCCATGCCACTAGGCTGTTACAAAATGGAAGTTCAAGATTTATGATGTACATGCTCTTCACGATGTCCAACAGACTGCTAGTTTACTGACGTTCTTAGGCACTTCAGTTACTCCTTTGGCCAGCTGAATTAGGTAAAGTGGCTCGCAGTTTCCATATCCTTGTTGGTCCTCTCTGGTGGTATTGGTTTTTCCAGGTTCATTTCACCCTTGTTTTGGTCGTATTGCTCATGCTACCTTGATACTGAGCTTTGGAATTGTGATCATCAAAGACGATGCTATCGTACAGATGTTACCAATCGAATTCTGCATCCGGTGCCCCACATCTCAAATATGTACGTGGCGAGGACAAGTTGACGGGCAAAATTCCAAGGGCATGTTGGCACTATATATTCACGGCAACCGAGGTCACCAACTAAACCACATCAGCCCAATTTTGAAGCAAAACATGCTTCTCAGGATACATAGAAATGAAGTACCCCCTAGGACTGTTCCTAAATACCATTGAACGCAGAAGCTCTTGAGTTCGACATACGTCAACGAACCTACGACGACCATCTCAAGTTATCGCCCAGATCTGTGTACGGCCCAACTGCAGGACCGAACCCACAAGGTCATATCTTGCAATATGCATTCATAATGTCAAAGCTGTTGGATCAATACATGAACAGCCCGGGTGGTCTAGTGGTATGATTCGCGCTTAGGGTTCGACCTAAGCACTCCTGCGCGAGGTCCCGCGTTCGATCCGCGGCTCGGGCCTGTTAATTTTTTGCTTCCGAAATGTATTGAACATGCATACCCGAAGCAGCCTTTTTGTTGATCCTTTTCATCCTCAATTTCTACCATCTCGTGTTCTTGTTTTCAAAGGATGGATGGTGCGATTGAAGGGTGTAGGTGTAAATTGCCTGAAGCTTGAGATAAGCGCGCCCTTAGAATGAGGTGTAATTCAAAATTGCAGTACCTGAAAGATCCATACATTCATTCCATTCCCGAACCCCGTTTCTAACCACACCAGGGTTGCCGATTGGTGTCCGCCACTAAAGAAAAGACATTCGGGATTCGGACACATGCCCGAATTCCACTCCCGGTCGTAGTTGACCCTGAATATATACCATCCTAGGAATCCACGCATTAGTATGCTTCTAGGTGTCACTTCAAGCCACACGACTCTGTCACCTTTGGCTATGGGTATTGCATCGACTGCTATATATTTCATTCTCCATCCGTATCAGCTAGGAGTGCTGGTTCAATGGTAAGTCTTTATCCGTATCTGTTTCTTGACATCTGTTCATGGTTATCCCAGGAAACTACGCAATGGTCCCATGCACAAGAGAGGTGAAACACAAGAATCGGCAACGGCCAAGATCTGCTTCAACTTCTTGGATCAGACAGGTCGTAGCTTCAGTCCCGTCATTCAAGAGCTTCACCCCGAGCTGCTCTTGCCTGTATGCGTATTCTACTTGATACTCCGTGGCCTCGATACGATCGAAGATGACACCTCTATTCCCCTCGATGTGAAGGAGCCGCTCCTTCGGGACTTCAAGGACCACCTAGATCACGATGGCTGGACTTTCACCGGCAATCGGCCGGAAGAGAAGGATCGTGAACTATTGGTGCAATTCGACAATGTCATTGTGGAATACAGGAAATTGAAGCAGCCCTACCAAGCGATCATAAAGAGTACAACCGATAAAATGGGGAATGGTATGGCCGATTTTGCGAGAAAAGCGGCTTTCGGAGACATCAGCGTGAGCACAGTGGAGGAGTACGACCTCTATTGCTGGCACGTTGCCGGAATAGTTGGTGAGGGCCTTACTTACCTCTTTTTCGAGGCTGGGCTGGCCGATACAACTTTGATCAATCATTCGCTGTATAGATCAATGGGTCTCTTCTTGCAAAAGAATAACATTATTCGCGACATTCGCGAAGACTTTGACGATGGTCGCCAGTTCTGGCCCAGAGAGATTTGGTCCAAGCACGTCGATAACTTTGAAGACCTTTTTGACCCTAGATGTATCGAGGATGCCCTGAACTGCGGCTCTGAGATGGTTTTGAATGCACTGGGACATGCGTGTGACTGTTTGTCGTATATTGCGGGCTTGCGCGAGCAGAGTGTGTTCAATTTTTGCGCCATCCCCCAAGCCATGGCTTTGGCTACACTGGAGTTGTGCTTCCGCAACCCCACAATGTTTGAGCAAAACGTCAAGATCACGAAAGGAGCTGCGTTGAACTTGATGACTGAATCTAGTCAGGATTCTGAGGGTGTTGTGGTGGTCTTTTGGCGTTATGCTCGTCGGATTCAACAAAAAAATGACCCCAAGGATCCGAATTTCTTGAAGATTAGTATTGTATGCAAAGAGGTTGGTGCTTCATAATTGATGATGTGTTGTCAATGATTGCTAACTTGTTTAGATCGAGAAATTTGCCGAGACCTTGGCGCCAAAGAGTGTTGAACGTACTAGAAGGAAGGAGCAAAAGATTGGATCTTCTACCGGACGAGTGGTTCTTACATTGACCATCGCCTCAGTCTTTGTAATGGGGCTTTCCTGGTTTTTAGCTCAATAGAAAATTTGATCGAGCTCCTATCAGGCAAAGGTCCGGAGGATAGAAGTGGACTTTAAATGTCGTCGCAAGAGAGGTATATCCCATCATGAACAATAATTGCGGCACAAACCTTGCGAACTCATACGCACTACTCTAACAAGGTTCCAGACCACTATTTCTGTTATGATTCTATTCCCTAGCTGGGTGCATGAGTGGTACCTGCTCATTCCCACACTGATGCCGCAGAAGTATGGATTCGACTCACTGCAAAAAAAATTGTGTCACACCCCATTGGCGATCGGCTCAGTTCCCATTCGATGGACTCCTGGAAAGCTGGTGGACTAAAACTTAAGACGCTTTGCATCGAAAGTGGGTATTCACGTTCAACGTAACTAGAGAGTAAGAAGGATCTACAGTAGATACTGCTAGAGAAAGGTTACAGATCGTGCTTTCCGCTCTCTAATCATGCTGCCCGTCATTACCTGGCTATATCTTAATTGTGGCTTATGATGTACATATTGCCGCGCCATTAATGTTCTTTTTCTGTTTGGATAGTCTCATCATTGGGGCGACACATCTTCTCAGTGGATTGAGTTATGGGTATAGAGGCTTAAGAGCGGGGGATGACAAGGGTGGAACTGAGCTTACTACAATGTAATCTCCTTGCTGCTGAGATTGGTGGTGATAATCCACATGTTCCAGTCACTGGGTTTGGCTAATTGGGCGCGATATATACTGGTTCGTAGCTGTTTGGGTCGCCGGCCATGTAGCTTATATGCTTCTGTGGACATAGATTGAGAAAAGTGCGAGAGAGCAAGGTATTAACAGTACAGAGTTATCCATGTCACATCCAAGTAAAAGCAGTCAAGCCAGAGCAACCTTGACTTCATTGACCCTCTGCCGCGGGCACGGGTAGCCCGTTGTGCCAGAGCACATTCCGCTTCTGCTTCCGCATCTCCTCAACAGCCCTTTCCTTTCGCAATTCGCGAGCTTGCTGATCTGTCAGGAGCACGAAGTCATAGGTAAGCAAGGGAGTATCCATCTTGACGTCATACTTAGATGCCATTGCCGGATCTGTCACCTTGGACAAGTCGACGATCAGTGATTCCTTAACTCCAAATACTGGGTCTGAACTCTCGTATGGATCACCGCGTGGATATAGAGCCCTTGCAGGATGTTAGGTCATCACTTTGTTCACAGCGACAATCACTCACGTTATCAATAGGTCATATCCAGGCTTATCCAGCATGAAATGTACATGGCCAGGACGGTTTGGATGGCGCCCAAGTGCCTGAAGCATCTTTCCTACCGGTCCATCCATGGGTATAGGGTAAGGAACTGGGACAATAGCTTTGAAAAAGAAATTGCCCTCTTTGTCGGACCGCAACACCCCTCTTCCATCGGGTCCCGTCCTATTCGGATCCTGCACATCGTAGAAGCCCTTTGAGTCCCCTTCCCAGACATCAACCTTGACGTCTGAGATATTGTTCCCATCTGTATCTTTGACTTTACAAACAACGAGCAATTGCGTCGCGTCTGGATCGTTATGTAGAACGGCTCCGTTGTCTTTCTCCTTTGCGTCGTGCGTGTGAAAAGGCCCCAGAACGGTCCCCTCAGTCGCAGGTTCATGTCGTGGATGGTTAATCGAATCAACGAGCAAACTCACTCCCAGTGTATCGGAAAGAAGAATCATCTCGTGCCGTAGATCGTTGCTGATCTGGCCAATTTCAGTCAAGAATTGAATCCCCGCTTGCCATTCTGCAGTCGAAAGTCTCGTCTCGTGACAAAATTCGTGAAGGTGGTTGACGATACATTCAAGGAGATAGCGGAGACGTGGATCGTGACATTGTGAGTTGACGATGTGTACGTTTTCGGTGATGTTTTCCGTCGTGAGATCTTTCATTGGTGGGATGTCTGTCGTTGGGGGCTTCCAGCGACTCATCTTGAGAGTAATTGAATGAACTGGACATAGAATGAAGAGAGTGTGGAAGCGAATCAATATTATGACTTAACTTTGCGAGGAGTAATGACCCCACAAGATGTTCATCAAGCAGAGATCGCCCCATGTGGGATTCACGGGGCAGTCTTGAACCCCACATTCCGAGTTTGAGGGGCGCATACGAAGAGAAAAGTACTTGATATACATAAACATCATTTGCCTGACTTTATCTGAGCCCAGCGATCACCTGAAATGGCTGTAGGGGAAAGTCACAAAACAAATACACTAGGACTCACGGCGTTGAATGGACCTCTAAACCAGATGACGAGGACCAACATGCTTCGGTGGGACCACGATTGCCAATGTGAGCTTCGGAGTAGGACAGTTTTCTCCAGGCTGGATTTAATTCATACCATGCGATTTGAGCGACCCAATAATCTATTCAAGCCACTGTGGAATATAAGTAGAACTTAACCACATGATAATGAAAGATACTGTATTCGCCAGTCCAATCGCAAGACGATATATTACTCACTTGTTGCGTATTGTGCCGACTAGGTGTAGGGCTTCTCATGGCTTTGATACTGGCAAAGATGAACGAACATTCTGCGAAGTCTATGCGCCTCATAGGTGGGGTCAACCTCCCGGGGGTAGCACTTACAAATATGCTATGTGGGGATGCTGCACAAAACAAAGACAAAAAGAAACTCTCCCTCGGGGAATCGAACCCCGGTCTCCCGCGCTTATCAGTTTTAATGACAAGCGGAAATCATGACCACTAGACCAAGGAAGATGAGATGACTGAGTTACTGCTCGGCCACTTGGGTGGTTGATAGGGGTGTTTGACAACTTGGCTTCATGAAGCCATCAGAAAATCTTCCGCGACAAATGATTGAAGATGGAAAGGTATGAGGGTCACGTCGATGGAAAATTCGGTCTAATACGAAGATGCTTTCAAAGAAACACATGATCATATTCAAAGTGATATCTAAAGTCTAGAGAGTCGAATATACCAACTCCTCAAGGTTAGCGTACGTAGTAGGGGCGCAGACAAATACCATCTCTGCTTTGCGCACCATTCAGGCAACTCAGCCTCTCCTAGCCTCCCTTTTCTTCATCGGTGAGCCTGTACACGTATTCTGACTAATCGTCATGTACGGCCTCAGACCCTCAAATCTAGGTTGCAACGACTGACACCTCCGAATACTGAGAAACAACCTCCTGAAGCGGACTCGACGATGTCCGACGAAGCCCAAAATCTAAAAAGGCAACGACAGTTCGGTGAATAATTTCAAAAGCTTCGGATCCATCCAAGATTCCAATCATAGATTGAATAGCAGGTACCTCCTCCACAGGTAGCCCCAGGAGCTTCACTAGAAGCGGCAAGTCTGAGAATGTGTAATGCTGAGACTGCGACAGTTCCAGCTCTAATTTCCAGCCCCGCAGATTTGACCAGAACTCCGCCCATGATGGGTCCGTCGCCTGGGTTTTGTTTTCGTGCCCGAACAGGAAAAATGGTCCCTGGAGCCCTTTTTGAAGGACTGGTCCGAACATTGACCCGTCCAGGTTCGCTCCAGCAACAATTCGACGGTCCAAATGCATGGCGGTGGCGGTGGCCGCACCCCCGAGCGAGTGACCGTACATCGCGGCTCGCCGAGTATCCAAGCCTCGAGCTCGCCGTCCAGGGAGCAGGGCTGCTACTCCCGCGTTTGTACCTAGCTGTTCCAGCACAAACATAATATCCTGCGCTCGGGTGTCGACATCCAGCGGAACCTGCGCGTCACTAATGTTCGCAGCAGTCAAGATGCTTCCATCCGGGAACTCCAGAAATTCAGTATCATATGGATGATCCACAGACACCACAACATATCCAGCGCTGGCCACAGCTTGTGCAATGGCACTGTAGAATAGTCGCGTCGTGCCAAGGGCAGGTGAAAAGATCACCAGTGGATACGGGATGTGATGGTCCTTTGGTGGTTCTGGGCACATCTGGAGTTGAATGGACTGAATTGATCCATTAGATAGTCCATACGTGCCGTATAGGTCGGAATAGAATTGGGCAGTCGCTGCAGGCAAGTAATCTATCTTCTCGAGATCGACTCTGCAGTCCGTGGGGGCAAATATTGAAGTCATAACAGCACGTTTTCCTTGCTTAATGTCAAACGGATCGACTCTGGTATTGTCAATCATTTTTGCTGTGTTGTAAAACACGTCGTATGGACCGGGCGGGCTAGGAACCACCACTGCAGTGACGGACACAGCCACAATGGGCAACAGACAGACAACTTGAATTATCATCATTCAATGAATGATGGAGTTCAGATTCACGGTAGACTTCAAATGAAACAACTTATAGAGGTAGATGTGAGATTCCGTTAATAGGCTGAGGACTGAGTCTTATACATGTTGGTGGAGCGATCGAGCATCTACAAGCAGAGCCTCCATGAGGCTTATCAAGCACCTCAAGAGAACTGATCTACTCAAAAAGGAAATCATCGCGCGTCGACTAAAGAAGGTGTCCTTCACGATCAACCAGGTGGATCATGTCTCGCCCGAATACTTCCCAATCAAGTTTAGCGCCGCCTATATTGCAGCCTGCCAGCCCAGGTCTCGCCCGAGCATATCCATATACACTGAATTGTACTCATACGTTCGCTTTCTGTATATCCTGGAAAAACGCTCATTATGCCCACATCAGCAAAATCGCAGAAGAGAACGGTCGGGCCTTTGGACAGACGAAGGCGGGTGACGCGCTGCCTCGGCTGCGCGAAACGACGCATCAAGGTATGGCCAAACTCCGTTCTTTCGCGATCGGTGCAGCTGAATTATCTTAGTGCGAAAAGGGGTTTCCCATGTACTCAATGTACTCGACAGAACACGATGTGTGTTCCTCAGCAGCGATCGGGACGTGGTATGGCCCTTTTCGTCAACCAAACCCAACAGAGTGAAACAGGCGGATGCCACCAAATTTCACATCGGGCCAATGTAAATGGGTATATGTTGGGAGATGACCAACTCGCTTTCATAGGAAGAGACAAGTGTACCCGTTTCCTTGATCATTTTGTCTCTTTCATGCAGCAGAACTTGTTCACGACGAGCTTCTCATCAATAGTTGCGGAACTCCTGCCTCTCATCTTGGCATCTCCGATTCTGTACCATGCAGTGTTAGCGGTCGGTGGCTTGGATGCGAGCCGACATAGTGGAGGACGTACATTGAAGGGAGAGAAGCCCCCCCTGTGTGGACGCTATGACATCTTACCATACGTCAATGAGTCTTTTGCGTTCTCGCCTTGGGGATAGAAATGTGGTGCAAAGAGAGGACGTGCTTTGGGCTACATTTTTCTTGGGACTTTACGAGGTATAGTATCTATACGACGCACCTCTCACCAACATTGCGTTCGACTTTGGCTAATCAACATCCACTTAGTTGCTTTCAGACGATTCCGGTGAAGGTTGGGTCAAGCACATGCTTCATGGGACATCAATGATGCTTCAGCTCACCGGACCAAGCAGTTGCATATCATCTCCTCGAAAAATATTCTACGATCTGTTTCGTGTCCTTGAAGCCAGCCGAGCATTGCTGTATAATGAAGAAACAATCCTCTCTCAGGAATGCTGGCTCCGATTTCAGAAAACTTTGTCGAGTGAAAAATCTCAATGGGACCCAATGGAAGAGATCATAACTCTCATGATTCACACGTCATGCTTCAGCCTCAGGTGAGTTAGCTCTGACGAATGAGCGACTCGTTCTTCTCTAATATGAGGGACAGAGCCAACGACCTAGTTGAGAAGATTCCTGAACCAGAACGCTTTACCAATCCATCGGTCGCTCTGCTCGCAGCTGAGGGACTCGTGGTTCAAGATCAAATTTACAACTGGCACTCAAAGACTTTACTTCAGCTGTTAAAGGATGATCCCGATGATTATTTGAACTTAGCGTTGCTGTACTATCACGCGCTTCTCATCTTCCTCTCCGGCAACTTCGATTATTTCTCCTACTGGGACCATATCCCAGCCCCGGTCTGATCCCCAACCGAGATTATCGACCACTTGGAAGCGATCCTAGACCGTTCAGATGATTTGTTACTTCATTCCAAAATTCCGGGCGTGATGCTATTTTTCCCAGTGACCGTTGCAGGATCTCGAGTCCGATTCGACAATCAAAAGTCCAGAGTTCTGGATCTGCTTGATCGGGTATTCTGTAAAGGATTCGTGGTTGCGAACCGGGTACGAGATGGTTTGCTTGTACGATGGGCTGAGAGGGATCGAAGAGAAAGAGAATTCTGTTCTATGGGATAATCAATAGTTGGCGCGCCTTGCACCCTTTTCCGAAGCTGATTGAAATCGGTAGATGAAGCCATCCTGATTTCATGACAAACTCCCTTAGAGCTTGCCTCAGAGCAGTAATCCTCTCAACAACTACGGATTCTCCAACAAAATGACAAGAAGCAAAAACATACAACAGCAGGGATTCGCTGGTGGTCACCCACCCAACTACTAACCTGCCGGCGTGTGGCTTAAGTACGGCTGAGCGGACGGGAAGCCCTGTTCTCCACACCCTATGGTCGTATGTGCCAGAAAGTCGTTGGAAAAGGACTTAGTGCTTGAATGTAGACAGCCACAGGGTATGGCAAGGTTGAGTGCGCAATAAATCCAAATGGAAGCATCATACCGCCAAGTCACTGTCCATGGCGCCATTAATTGTTTTAAAATCTCGAGAGGTCATGATATGACTGGTAACTCGTCGAAAAGGCTTTGGGATATAGAAGAAAACTCATTGATGTAGTGACCACCGCTCGCGGTTTGTGTCTCTGCTCATACCGCGACCTTCTTCAAGATCTCCTTGTCCTGGGTCTTATCCTCGAGCTTATTCACGATCTCTTGCGCAAAATTCTGATCATTGGCCTACTTCTCGACCTGTCATGTCATCCCTTTGTGGCCATCGTCTCTCGGGCTCTCTCCTCACTCCAGAATATCTGATCTGGTCCTATCTCTCGTGGGTCACTACCCATCCTAGTTCCCAGACACCGGCATCTCTCCCGTTCAGAGCCTACCGCTCTTGGAGACAATTCTCCCAACTGGTGCAGCGGCTGAAGATAAGTTGGCCATTCTAGTTCGGTGGGACAACGGCAACACTGGCGTTTACGAACATGCTATCATTATGGGCACAATCCTAGACGAATTTGGCATTGAGTGTATGAAGTAAATAATTAAAGCCACAAGCAATGATCTTGATGAGAGATAATTTGCAGGGTACGAAAGGTAGCTTTTGAAGGTTATTGAACGAGCCAAAACTTCGTGTTCGTGTTATGTACGCCGAGTATGGAACCATGTTCACATGTATTCCTCATTTGCCTTTAGTGGAAAGTGTGTTCCATGGCCACTCAATACATTCTCTCAGTAGAATACCTTCTCTCGGAGAAGGGTAATCTAGAGCATGTCGATAATGTTGCTGTACCTTGTCATCATTTGCTGGCGATGAGAAAGTGAAATTTTTTATCTCATACGAGTCCTATTCCGCAGTCCACCAATGAATAAATTATAGTATTCAATTCGCTCTTACCCACATAGCTTATCTGCCAGAATGAATGATATCACTCAATAGCGTATTTTGTTTTCCGCTGAATGGCAAGTTGTAAGATATGAGCAATGCTTTAGTCGTTACCTGGCGAGTGCCCCTAGTCAGCTGCATTGCTTTTCACCCTTGATAGACAGCAGGAGTAATTGTTATCCCGCAGTGGCATAGATTGGCTCTCGTGTCGTCTGCGCGACACACTCGGTACTGACAGCCCTGCCCACGCTTGTTGGGCCTATGAAGATGGAAGATGAATGATGAGAGATATGATGATAATGGATTCTAGAGATGAAGGTATGGATCTAGCTATCATGGAGGCTGAGGCAAGGATGCGGTGAAGAGGGTCAATACGAACAGGGCCAATATATCTCAAGCTAGGCGTGGATATACTTTTGACAGAGGTGGTGATCGCCGCTTCCGATACCTTGTCATCTGTTCTGAAGGTGTCGACATCTTCTTCAATCCCTCCCCTTGAGTCAGCGATTGACTTAGCTGGGTTACTTACAAGTGCTCATACCGTTGTCCAGGAGTGGCGTCCGAAACACTAATGATGCACCGCGGACAGCGCAAATTGGCTGGCTCAGTAATCCAAATCTCTCGTATGACAGATGTCAGATATGTGAAGCGACAACGATCGACTTACTCGAAACAAAAGATGGATCGATTGGACGCATACTGTCTGCCCATGGGCGAGCGACATCTACATGCCGTATTTGCTGAAGGCATTATGGCCGGTCGACCACAGCGCAACTCCTTGCCTGTTATCACACCTGAAATACCCAAAAATTCAACCAATAGTGTGGGGAATGCAGCTTCGATGAACAATGTCCGGTTCTCGCACTACTGGCAGCAGGAACCATGGCACCAGGAAAATAGAATTGAGAACAGCGCGCGCAATAATTCGATCCGAAAGAGCTCCATAGAGTCTCGGCCGACTGATAAAGCTCAAGCGATCGTTTGGGTTGAGTGGACATAACTTCTTCTGACGTGCAGTTGCATTGATGTTCTTCTAGACGGTGTCACTGCAAAGATTCGAACAACTCTTCATCTCCAAAGATTCGAACAACTCTTCATCTCCGATCTGATCAGCCTGTCGTGAAGCATGCAGCTACGTCGACCTTGGGGTGTATTCGATGCTTGCGGTTGACATCCGGGCATAGGCTATGAGCGAGCTAGGAGTTAATATCCTAGTTTTGAAGCTTTTGACGGGTATCACCGTGGATGAGATTGTCGCCAATGTCTTGGATGTCACTCAGGGATGACAGGCGGCCATAACCAGGGGTGTGAGATGTTTCATCAGCTTTGTTTTTCGCACCCCAAAGATTTCTGTGCTCAACATTATCTTTGAAGGCTGCACCGCATCAAAATTGCCCACTGACTTGTCCCATGCATTTCCACTTCAAGATGTCTTGACTAAGGTATCTCTGAGTCATAAGGGGGGGGGGTCGCCCAAATGGATTCAAGGTCAAAGTAGTCCGCATTATTCAGACAAGCGAAACTGACAAATACGAAAAATTTTACAGCTCGTAGCTACCGAAACATTTGAAGATCTACCCAGATGCGACTCGGACATAACAGATGTTCTAAGCTGACTACGATCTAGTCCGGGTCCCCGTCAGCTGGGTGCCCGATCTAGCCTTCTGGGTATGTAATCTACCCCTTGGGTGCAGGCGATGAACTGAAAAGGCGCAGGAGCTCGTTCTCTCCATCAGCTGCAGCCACGCTATGCGGGTAATGTAAATGAATTGGTTGGCCGTTGGGAGAGATAAGCACGGAACCCCCGCTATCGGCAAAGACTATAAAGCCAAGGTGTGGGGCGCAAAATGTTATTATCCCAGACCCGAGTCAATAAGAATGCAAGTGGAGCAAAACACCATCATCCAGAATGAGGGAGATTCAAGGTCTATTAGTTTTCCTCCTAGGCATTCCAGAATCATTTGTGTGTTCAACACTTCTCGTGAGAGAATCTGAGAGAACCATCTCTCGGCAATTCGTATTGTGATAATTCTGAACCGTCCTTCTTATCTAATCTAGTCGTCCTGTGCGCATAACGTATTCCACGGCAAACCCGCCACCACGGCAAACCCGCCACCCCACCCACTTAATTCTATATCTATGAAGCATTTAGATAACCCCAACGCCTTTATATTCAATTTAAACCCTATCTGGACATCTATTAGCCCTATGGCCAGGATTTCCGCATACACTGCATTTATATTGCCGTCTGTTGGTGCTGGCACCGGGCACCGAAGCCGTCTGTGTGGGTGGTGCGGTGGACTGCCCACCACCTTCTAAACCACCTGGTAGACCAATGCCTTGCTCATGGGCTTCATGAACAAATAAGCCCTTATCGCGCTGTATTTGCCTTTTAGATAAGGCCTTTCGTCTCTTCTTTTTATAGTTTTCAGCGCGTAGATCAACCACTTCTTGCTCCAGTAGAAGGATACGCTTCATGACCTTTTCGCAAGCCTTATAAGCCTGGTCAAATACCTCTTTCGTAGGCGTAGGTGGGCTATCAGACCGATACTTAATAAGGCGCTTTGCTGATGCTTTATGCTTCGAAAGCTGTTTGATATTGCTTGGTGTTTTAGGGCAATAGATACTTGATCGGCTTGATGGTCGGTCTGGTGGTGTAGGCGGACGAAGCTGAATATTGAGCCTATCAATAACTTCTGCCGCATTTAGAGGAATTAAACCGGTCGCTTTAAATGCATTTTGAATGCCTCTAGCCTGAAATGCGTCTTCGCGTGCGCGTGGGTAGGCTGCAAGGAAATCAAGCTTGTCGATATGGTTTATACCCATACGCGTCTGTTGGTCTACTAGGCGACCGTATGACCGCTTGAGAACTGCGAAACAGCCCACATCTAGCGGTTGTAATAGATGCGAGCTATGCGGTGGCATACATATCGGGATAACGTCATGCTCAGTGCATATACGGTCGAATTCAGGCGTAAGGTGGCTTCCATGACCATCAAGAATTAATAGCCTATACCGACCACGTATCCGGCTTGCGGTTAAGGGAATAAAAAGCTTTTGAAGCCATCGAAGCCCAATATCATCAGATGTCCATCTATTCGGAGAAACCTCAAAGCGCCAGTCCCTTGGGGTATCGTGGAACTATAATTCAATATAGCGCTTGCCTTTAAATATAATTAATGGCGGTAAAGCCTAGCCTAAAGTATTAACTGCTTCCACTGCGGTCACCCATTCACGATTGCCTGGCTGTAAGACAGATCTACGGCCATAGTATTCAGACCTAGTAACTACCTTTGCGGTAGAAACGAGGCCTATTGCGAAGCCTGTTTCATCGAAATTGTAGATATCATCAGGCGGAATACCATAGCGCGTAATAGTGTCCCCAATAAGCTTAAACCACTTATTTAATACCCGTGGATCCTCCTGCTCTGCGCGTGAATAGTTATATCGACGCGAGAAACGTGTTTGAATATCCGGTGTGCGCTTAATATAGCTTCCAACCCAATTCACGCCGACCGTATTAGATCCGGTTGCCGCGAGGAGAATATTAGCCATTCTGCGTACCATGGCATGCCTCGGGGCTGCACCGCGGTCGTCCATAGACAGAATCCACTGGGTAAGCGTATCCTCGTCTAAATGGGACATCTTATAGGTATGGGCGCGTGTGATAGCCTTTGAACTGCAGCCATTGATCCGGTCGCGTACGGTCGACCGCGGCACATTGTAGACGCGTGCAGCGGCAGCAATAGAGGGAAGATCTTTATTCTGAATAGCCTGAATTGCAAGTTCGATCCTACCTTCTCGTTGGATAGAATCCTGCTTCTTTTCAGACCGTATTGGTGGCATAGTGGGGGATTCAAAGTGGTGGGTGGTGCATGGGGACGCGAATATTGATGGGGTGGCGGGTTTGCCGTGGTGGCGGGTTTGCCGTGGAATACGTTATAGTTTCCCTTTTCAGCGACTGATAGTCGGTTGTTTCTTCCGGAGTAATAAGCTACATATTCGGAGGCTCACCACTTCTCAATTCTTGTTGGCGATTTTCAGCCAAGATGCTTTATATTCCCTAATCCAACCGGGAGCTATCTATCGAGAGAGTCTAGCTTTCACTCCCTTCAATCTACCACCATGGACGCCCAAGCGCTGGCTGACTGGGACAATTGCGACAAAATCGACACCCTTTTCGTGGTCATCTGTAGCGTCATTTGCTGGGGAATTATCCCTGCTGTTGGTCTGGGTTATTCAGGATACTCAACGCGACACAATTCCCTGGCGTCCTTCTTTCCCGCATTACTGGCGGTTATTTGTGTCTCCCTTCAGTGGTACATCCTGGGCTACTCGCTAGCCTATGGCGAGGGCAATGGATTTTATTGGCGGTTTGAAATATGTCTTCCCCCAAGGCGTACTTGCGCAGCCCGTGCGCACCATTCCAGCCATCTTGTTCAGTGAATTTCAGCTTATCTTTGCCGCCACCGTTGCCGCAATTGCCGTTGGAGGTGCCTGTGAACGAGGCAGACTGCTTCCCCTGATCCCATTTATTTTTGTGAGTGGGTTTCTTGGCCCGTGATGCAGTCAGACTTTCTATCTTCAATTTCACTAACCGAGAATGGGGACAGCTCTGGTCTACCTTCGTATACTGCCCGCTGGCGCACATGGTTTGGTCTGAATCTGGATACCTATACCAAATGGGGGTCCTGGATTTTGCTGGTGGGACCCCTGTTCACATCTGCAGTGGTACTACTGCGACGGCTATCTCAGTTTACCTCTCGCACCCTCTGTTCCGTTCGCGAAAATCCGCTATGCGGACGCCATCGCATCTGAAACTCCACAAGCCACATAATACCATCTCCCAATTGTTGTCCTTGGTCACTATCTGGGGGTCCTGGCTCGCCTTTGACGCTGGCACCACGCTGAGTTTCAACTTCAAATCGGTCCATGCTCTTTGCGTTACCAATCTCTGCGCAGCTGCCGGAGCGCTGACATGGAACCTCATCACCTACTATGAAAGCGGCAAATTCTCCCTTGACTCTACGTTTCTCGGAGCTATCTCTGGGTTAGTCATGATTACCCCAGCGGCTGGGTTCATCAGCATGACAACATCCTTGTTCTTCGGCTCTGCCGGAGCATTGATTTGTCGTCAGGCGCTAAGAATCAAATTCACTTCTATTGCCCATCGACTGAAATGGGTGGACAACGGTGATAGCTTTGCCACACACTGCGTTGGAGGCTTTGTAGGGACTATTGCTACTGGTCTCTTTGCCAGTCGAGAAGTAGCTGCTTTTGATGGAGCGACCGAAATCATCGGCGGGGCTTTTTTTGACGGCAACCTACGGCAGGTCTCCATCCAGATCTTTGAAGCCATCATCGGTTTTGCCTGGACTTTCGGGGCTTCCTATCTCATTTTTGCCTGCCTGGACTGCATCCCTGGTCTAGAGGTTCTGGCAATAGACAAGTAAGTTTATGCCGTCTCTCATCAACCCAATATCACTTGTGTCAGAGTCAATGTCATACTAATAAATTCCTATAGCCACGTCCTTTCTGGATTGGATACCGTACAAGTGGAAGAATCACTCCACAGTGCACAGTGGAAGGACGAAGAGAACTATTCAGCTCTAGAATCATTGGGCAGCGTTTGTTTGGTGTAGACCTAGGCATCAACGTCCAATGCTAGGGGGTAAAATTCGTGCTCTTAGCCGAAGACTATTTTTTTTTCAAGAATATTAAGCCCACCTTCAGTTCCATTGGGGAAGAATCAAGCCAACTGATCAATAAACATACGCAATAATATTACGGAAAAATAACGCATATGCTTATCTGGCCAATGCGATGTCTTTTCCGAAAGTGATGATAGCCTATTGCTCCCGCGCTACGCCGCACTCCAATATGATTGCCAATGATTGTTGGAAGTTAAGGGGAGACCCGTCGTTTTCTATCAGCACAAAGGTTTAAGCCACCTGAATGCAGGCTCATGAGGCCGTGAAGATGCCACGGTCAGGCTATCATACAGTTCGAAGTAGCATGAGGCCATCCTTTAAGCGAAGCCGGGGAGGATGTATCAAATGCAGAGAACGAAAGGTAATAATCTACACCCCTTGTTACAGAAGATATGCAAGCTGATCGACATTTTATAAGAAAAAATGTGACGAGACTAAGCCTGCCTGTCGGAATTGTGCGAAGAAGAACATTACTTGCCCTGGTTATGAGATCTCAGTGAGATGGTCCCAGAAACATCAGAAAACAAGTCAGCGAAAAAAGGGCAGAGTCATTAACCAGTTCCAAACCTCCACTTGTTTCTTGCTCCGTCCTCTCGGATCATCGAATGTTTAGTTCAGATGAGCATTGCGAGAAGGGTATAACTGATAGTCCTCCGAGACAACAGCAGGATGCTGCTGACGCTTTTCCGAATGAGATATTCAATGATCTCATTATCGACTCTCTCACTCACTCCTATCTCAATTCTCAGGGGTCGCCGATCAACGAATCTCTAGGCTCGCGGGTTGACTTTTGTGTTCGGGCAAGCCAAATGCACATTCCGCCCGTAACTCATACAGACCCTGCACTAGATTGCACAATACCAAAGTTGAGAGAATACGATGGATCTCCCAGTAGAAAGACCCATAACGTCAAGGAATCCTACTGTGCTGCCGATACCGATGTTATTTCGGAATTGATGATGACTCTCAAAAAGATTGAAAGTGCTAGCTTGTCGCAAGTGTTGACTGAGTGGCCTCCTCTAGTATCTCGATACTTCCACATGATCGAAGAACCACCGTTGTTTCCTTCCCTGGAGAACGAGACTACGACATTGGTTCAATATTACTTCCGTGATACATGTGCAACGTGGTCATCTTTTGACTCGGAGAAGAACCCGTTCAGAACTTCCATCGAGGGCATATGGCAAAAGTCCCCTCTCATTTACTACGCCATTCAGAGAATGCAGCTGTTCATCTCTCCAATCAGTTGCCCAGCATGCAAGCTACGGCATTTAGCATGCGAGAGAAAGCGCACGTTGCCGTACTTCAGCAGCTGCAAAATGCCTCAGACACGCACTCGACCAGCGACGACCAACTCCTTCTCGCGACGTTACTTCTAGGCGTGTCTGCCTGTTGGCATGACAGTAGTGACCTAGGTTTACCTTACCTGCGAATTGCCAGATCACTTGTTCGTGCAAGAGTGATGCGTCAAAGCTCAAGTCACTACCGTCCACTGAATCGCAATTTCAGGTTCTTTTTTGAGGCCTTAGTGTACTGGGAGATGGTCGTGGCGTTTGTTTCTTGTGAAAGCTTCAGACATATTCTGGCTTGGACGTCGGACTTCTTTCCTTGGACTGGGCCCGTAACTGCCACCGTGATCCCACATCCGTGGACGGGAATTGCCCCTCGAGTTATGTTACTATTCGCTGAGGTCGGCCATCTAGTGCAGAACTACGCGACGACGGATAGACGGGCGAGAGAGGATCTGAACCTGGTAGCATCAGTGACAAAACTGTGGAGGAAGACCTTTTGTGGGCTTCTATCCCCACTGAGGATCAAATTGCAGAGGTATATGATAATTTAACCAGCAAAAGTGACTTCGTGGTTTTTGCCGAGGCCACTCGATGCGCAGCACTACTGCAGGTGTATCGGTGTTTCCCGGACGTTCTTCGACGGAGACTGGGTGCAGGCACCCTCAACCTTGAATCTTATCTCGGCATTATCGAACTCAACGTCGGCAGCAACATGATCGATTCATGGCTCGTTGGTCTGGCGATGCATGTCTTGAATCTTCTTGCCTCCATTCCCGCTTACTCTGGCGTTCGTTGTGTCCAGCTACTTCCGCTTGCTACGGCGGCTTTTGAATTGCGCATTGATCCCGGGGCTTCCTATAGCGATGTGGAAATAGCCAGGTTTCGTGACTTTGTGATTGGGAGGTTACACCTGCTGGGCGCTAGATTGCCGTTGAAGCCTATTTCACACACTATGCAAGTTCTACAAGAGGTATGGCGAAGGAATGATCGAGGCGACGACGTTTTTTGGCTCAATGTCATGATGGAAAAGAACTGGAAGACCTTTGTGGGTTGACGCATAATCGTCTCGCCGTCAGTGATCGAGGTGACTTGTTCCTAGCAGACAACCCAAAGCCGTGAAACTAACACCCATGCCGCGCTTACAGCGCTGGCTCTGGGAAAATCGAAATGGCCCTAGGGAGGCTGGAGAAGACAGGCTCCTCATCATGCGAACGTGAGGAAGTCCCATAGGTGCAACAAATCTTAGTAGAGTAAGGCAATATGAAAGTCCTCGCGGCGCACCTTGTAGATCTAAGGCTGGGGATAGTGATGCATTTTCCTGCTACTATACTCACTTCAAGTGAAATAGAAAAAAATATAAACATACAACAGCAGGGATTCGCTGGTGGTCACCCACCCAACTACTAACCTGCCGGCGCGTGGCTTAAGTACGGCTGAGCGGACGGGAAGCCCTGTTCTCCACACCCTATGGTCGTATGTGTTCATGTAATCTTCAAACAATATTATAATATATTCAATCTTGGGCGTGCGATTTGGCAAGTGGCTTTCGGCAGACTGGCAGCCTAACATCCCGCAGATCTTCGATCAAGCTCCGACCTTTCCGAATGGTGGTCGATTATGGTGGATCAAAAGGTCAATAACGGTCGGAGTTTGAGTGCCGACACTTTCTACGCATCATATTCGGTGATATTCACACTTGCAAGATGCGACGATCGGGACCTCGATTTGCTCGGACAATTCATTTCCAGGCAATCGAGTCAGCTTTTCATGTACTTCAGGGGCCAATACAGACCCTGAAAATGCACTGAACATACTATATTACTGGGAATAGAGTTGAAACTATCTAGTTACGTATGGAAATCCTTGCACCACCCACCGCAGGCAGCTTCATTAGAACTTGGTGGCTGCAAGAGGTGACAGAGGTACGTCTCCCAATTTTGAGGCGCGCTATATTATTGTGCGAGCTGCCGCAGACCATCCTGATCAATGCCGAAGAAATGCTTGATCTCTTTCCATTAGCGACAAAAGTGATGTTCTTTTGCTCAGTTTCTCTCGCGTGCATTTTCTTCTCGTGTTTGTTCAAACTCCTGGCACGTAAGTGTCCAGTACAACCACAAAGACTGGCCAATTGAGTCACAGATATGGAACTATAGAAGATAAGAGTAAATATCTGGGAAAATATTATAAGCCAACGTATGGTTTTTCAATTCCGATGGAAAGAAGCGAGGTACAAAGGTATTAAGACCTACGTCGAAACCGAGTATGTCGCTTAGAGAAGGCGGGCATTTTATCCCGGGCGGTCTTCTGACACCGTAGCTCAGAGGCCGATATCAAATAAAGAGACATGTTATCACTGACCTGTGCCTCCGTGGGGTTAATGCCTTACCGAGCGTGCTGCGGCTATTGGGGGCTCGCCATTCCAAACACCTCTAAAACCGACGAATTGCCAAGAACAGCACCCTTGCTGTCGATCCTTCCCCTCGGTGATTCACCAACCCCCGAATGACGCTGCACAAGGCTATGCGCCTGTCGGACTTCGGGCTGCGGGGCTCCGATGACTTAATGTTGCAGTGCATGCAACTAAATGGCTCATACCGTCCCCCACATTGCGTGGTCCTGTGGTCGATAACATAAATACCTTACTCACATAAGAGCTCCTGAGGCAATAGCCGAGGACAATCAAACGACTATCGATCATGGAGTCTGTCAGCCATATGCCTACAATTTTAGGTTGTTTGATCGGAATACTATGTCTCGTGAGATCCAGATTGTCGCATGATTCCGTGTGCCAGGCATCTTCCAAAGCTGACTTCAATGTAGCAGTATATTTACAAACGGCTGTCCAACCCGCTCTCGCGGATACCTGGCCCTTCAATCTCTAGATGAACCGATCTTGTCTACCTTTACTATTGGCTCGCCGGTCAAGTTCCATACTACGTCCACGATTTGCATAAAAAATACGGTAGGCACCTCAACAACCAGGAAAGAAACAGGAGTAGGAGTGGAGTCAAATACAGAGCTGACCAGTGGCCCAAGGTCCGATTGTTCGAACCGGGCCGAACAGAGTCGATGTTTGCGACATCAACGCAGTGAAAGAGATCCATAGAAACAATTCGCGTTTCCTCAAATCCGCTTGGTATCGCACACTCTTACCCAACGGCACAGAGAACGTCTTCTCGACCACCGACCCGCATTTCCATTCGACTCGCCGTCGTTTGCTAGCATCGCCGTTTTCAGACTCGTCGCTCCACCAGCATGAAGGCCTGATTGAAGGCCGAGTACGCATGGCTATTTCAAGGATGGCGGAGGAGAACAAGTCTCGCGGGGTGGCCGATGTATTCAAGTGGTGGCTGTTCATGGCGACCGACATTATTGGTGAACTTAGCTTTGGGGAGTCATTCCGGATGCTGGAAGCTGGCGAGGTAGTCTACACAGTAAATTGTGAAGTTTCAGAGTCAACACTAATGACACACTGCAGAAAACTCAATATTCTTTGGATCTCGAGCGAGTCTCAGCCCTCCAACCGATTCGAACAACTTTTCCGACAATGGTGAAACTTGGGAACTATCTCCCCTTGCCTATCGTCAAGCACACTCAAGAATGTGGAAAGCGGATGGCCATGTACGCAAGCCAATCCGTTGACCGTTATAAGAAGATGATCGATGAGAATCCCTCAAACCCGAAGAAGACTTTGTTTACCAAGCTTTTCGACACCGAGAAAAGCGGGGTGTCTCCCGATGATATAAAAAAAGAGGCGCAAGGGTACATTGTGCGAGAAGCGACACCACAGCTGTTACTTTGACCTACCTCACCCATGCCGTCTGCGGAGACAGCCGAATTCGTGACAAGTTAGCTGCCGAAGTGGCCGCCTTGTCTGAGCCAATTCATGACAACCACCTTCGAAATCTGCCATATCTTAACATGGTCATTAACGAGACACTTCGCTTGCATACGGCTGTTCCTTTTGGGCTGCCTCGGACTGTACCCTCGGAAGGCGCCAATTTCAATGGATACCTCCTTGCGAGTGGAGCGACCGTTTCAACACAGTCCTACAGTCTGCATCGTGACCCCATAGTCTTTCCTGATCCATTCACGTAAGATAGAGACACTTCGTCTATCAAAGAGACATGCTGACAATAGTTCAGTTTCAAACCCGAGAGATGTGAGAGTCCAACCAAGGAGATGAAGGATATTTCTATGCCATTCGGTGGTGGATCACGCAGTAAGTCAGATGGATGGCTTACAAAGACACATCGGCTGACGCTATCGATAGTCTGCGTGGGAATACATTTAGCTCGTATGGAACTCCGCTTGGGGGCGGCCCTATTTTTCAGGGAATTTCCAAACGCTCGTCGATCCGACAAATAGGGAATGAGCGCTAGGGACATGGAAATGCAGTCTTTCTTGTGGACGGGTCCAGAGGGACACCGCTGTTTAATCGAGACGTCATCCATGTAATGAAGCACGAATCAAACTCTCTGTAAACATGGAATTGAGGCGATCATCGTTACGGGAAATTTTGATGGGAACCTGAATCATAACAAATCTCGCTCCAAGAGTGGGGACCTTCCTAATTGATGGACGTCGGAAGCATGAAGCATAGAATGCCGCCGAATAATGATCGCTCTTTAAGATGTTTGATCCATATACGCTCTTTGGTAAGTTTGAATAGGAAAATGGCAGGATAGGTCCAAGTTACGACCCCGCGGGCCCATGATACTAAGCCCTTATTTATTTCACAGGTCACGACATCAGCTCAAATGAATAGTAAAGCTTGGAAACCCAGATGAAACATGCGGTAGCTGCATTTGCGCATTAACCAAGAAGCTAAATCTCTTCAAAAAAATATCAATAACGATCATAATAATCATAATGGGCCCCCACGGTCAAAAAGGGGTTTCTCCCGAGGCCACGAACTAATATACGCAAAATGTGGAGAAAAGGCCCGAAGTTTCTTTCGCCCGAGAGAATAATCCCGGGAAGCCTTCGGTCTTGCCAGCAATTGTTTCCAAGACTATTCGCTGTGAATCAATGAACTACCAAGTCAAATAACACATTCCAACTTCTACAGCCCATCGCCTCTACCATTCACAAGATGCGATCGTTACTCAGTACCTTAATCCGATTTCCCCGCCTCCACGTCTCAAGCCCCAAACTTGTGCCTCGTCATCGAACGGTCGATCGCATGTCCTCTCCACCTTCAGCTCCCAACTAGCTTCCAACTAGCTTTCTCAATGGACAATACGCTCGCTTTTAACATCTTGCTATGGAAAGATTTCGAGTCCTCCCCTGAAAGTTTATCGCTCCTTCTGTCCGATCTCTGTATAATCTAGTAGCCATCCTCTCAGTGGACTTTACCCCGGATCTATCTCTACTTATTTACTGCCAATTTATTCCAGGACTCTTTAGAGAGCACAATAATCTTCATTTCGCTCTCAAAAGGCTCACAAAATGTCGCCATCCGAATCTGTCCCCACGACCGAGATTGACCCTTCCAACCTGGAAGCTGGTGTTGAGAATCAGGATACGTTAGATCAAGAAGCAACTCAAAACAGAGACTACGTACACTCAGTCCAGTCAGTCGACTATGGTCGCTTTGGGCCACTCGCGCGTGTCAAGACTTCGGGGACTCTCTACCCTCCCTTCGCCGGAGAGTTTCAGCCCGGTGCCTTCCGTCCTGGTCCTGTTGAGCAGCGCAAGATCGGCAATCCTGCTCCATTAGGCCTGTGTGGTTTTGCTCTTACGACGTTTCTTCTGGGCTGTATCAACATGAAGGCCCGGGTATCACGGAGCCTTATATGGTAGTTGGTCCAGCGTTCGCCTACGGTGGTCTTGTGCAGCTTCTCTCCGGAATGTGGTGAGCAGAAAGTGTCGATGGCGAAAACGGTAAAAAGTGCTGAAGATAATGAACAGGGAGATGGCCGTTGGAAACACGTTTGGTGCGACCGCATTAGCTTCGTACGGTGGCTTCTGGATCTCTTTAGCAATCACTTTCACCCCAGGTGGATTCGAGATTGCATCAGAACTCATCAAGACCGATAATGGGTCCATGGGGATGTTCTATGATTCTCTCGGTCTTTATCTCATGGTGAAACTTGCCCGCCTTTCAGCCGGTAGTGCTTCAACAAGCTAATTTATGTTTCTATAGGGATGGTTCATTTTTACCTTCCTAATGCTTCTGTGCACTGTGAAGTCAACCGTAGTATTCTTCTCTCTCTTCTTCTCTGTCGATCTTTCCTTCCTTCTCCTAGCATTAGGATACTTGGTTCGAGACAGCGCGGGAGACCCAAGTCAAAAGATTCTCACAGCCGGTGGCTTTTTCGCTCTTCTTGCCGCTTTCCTCGCGTGGTGGGCTGCCCTTGCCGGTATCGCGGACACTAGTAACAGCTTCTTCATTATTCCTGTCTGGCACTTCCCGTGGTCTGATAAGGGCAAGAAGTCCCGCCGCTCCGAGGGGTAAGTGAACTGTATGTCATTTTCGGTGTTTTGGTTTCCTGAGTGAGAACGGAGATTTCTTCGAGTCGCCTTTGTTTTGATCGGAAATTATGCTGAGAACTATGCGATCTTCCTCAATTGATGAAGAAACTGCTTTGTCTTGAGATGGAACAAGAGACAATGTGGAATAGTGAATTTTTTTTTCTATATCTTCACTTCTTTTTCGATGATGACTTATCAGCTTGAGTGAAGTAAGCTTGAGTATTGATAGCGTACTGTGGGTTTGTTGGTATAGTATGAGCGAATCCGTTTTCAATTCATTCATTCAGCATGAGTGCTAGGGCCTGTCATATCAGTGTACCAGCTACATATGGCCATTGACAGAATTTGGAGTAGACAGCACTAATCGGACATGAAGCAGTTCATTTCTACCCATGGATCTTCATCAGGTTCATCAAAGGAACCCCTTCAAAGTGTTTGGACAATTATTCCAATTCCGGTGACAGCCTAGTAGTGAGCCCATGGACAGAATCTATGGATCTCTTCAAAGAGGCTGCGCCATTTTAGAAAACCCTACCGATGTTCCAGAAGTCAATTAATTGAACATGCCAGGCACTGTTCCCATACTTTCCAGTATGTAGAGGGAAGTCTATGGAAAGGTATCCTTACAGAGCCAGAGATGAATGAGGACTGAGTCTCTCTAAAGAGGGACTGCTAAATATGCAACATACTGCCTAAGCCTACGCCTACGAGTTTATTTGTGCCCTCCCAACTTGTCACCACATGACAACACGAATTCTGCATGTCCTCTTCTGGACAGCGACCTTCATCATCCACCCTGTGGCAGCCAAGCAAAGACGCCCGTAGCACCTCATGTGGGTACAAAATGCTTCAAAATTTCAGAGAAGAGGGGTTTCATCTCAAAATGCACTGTACAGGCGAGTTTTTCCAGTCATGATAGTCTTATCAAGAGTGCGTACAAATCTATGTACTTCTCTATGTGCAGAATGTGTTATGCAGGCCTCTGTCATGTCTCTTCCTTGATGAGCGTGGAATGCCAGCCTGTTTTGTGTAATTTGGCAGACTACGGCTTTAGTCTCGCTGTCAGTCTTCGCAACACTACTCCGAAGCAGTATGATCTTTCTGAAATTTAGGACAACAATCCAACCCCAAATTCTCTGTCAAAACGTGATATGTTCGATATACCTGCAGAGGAAGACCGCGGCAGTGTGTTAGCGATAGATATAGTATGAGGAGCCGAACATGCAGAAATTCAAGATTCGATGGACGAGCATTCTGGAATTTCTCTTCAAGTTTACAAGAAACACCTCTCTCGACGCCGCTTGTCTATCTGAAGCTTACGGATCATAATCGTAAACTTTGGATCTTCCCACTGTAAACAGTCTATCCTCAGCATTTACTTCCGTCACTGCAAGATTGGTCGCACTTGTAAGTGCCAATCCAGTTGTCATCACCATACACATCTAGACCCATCAGCCAGCCATTCAGAACCTGGTGCAGATAATCCAAATTCTGAGGAACCCCATTTGATTGGCCCTCCGATGAGCACGGATAATCCTCCGTGAGACCCTTGTTATCGTTCAAGCTATTGTTGGCCGTGAACCACCCGTTGTAGGAGCCAAATGCCTCGATCGCATTTCCGCCAGTCGAATAAAGTTGCGACTTCAGGTAGTTCGTGCCGGCATCCACATTGCCTTGAATTGAATCAGTGCACTCGCCATTGGGATAATTTTCGCACGAGACTTGCATCAGTCCAGGAGTCGGGCCACCGGCATCTGCGTTGCATGACGACTCTTGCATAGCGATCACAGCTAAGATAACTGCATCCACGCTGTACTTGGATGCGGCACTTTGGAAGTATTGATCGTACTGAGAGCAGGGGTATCCAATGCCATTATAGAAGTCCTCAAGGGAGATGTGATAGACGTCATCCAGGGCCAAGTAAGGCGGATTCCATCCGTCGGAGGTGATGCCGGTGTTCAACCAGTCTTCGGATCTGAATCCAAATTATTAATTTACTTGTAAGCTCAAGGTCAGAAGGTAGAATACCCGTTGGGGCCGGTACTGGGCGTCACGTCCTCCGTCGCACCCTGCGCATTGGGGTTTGTGCCGATACCCGGGTTCACGGACTGGACATTTGCGCAGGCAGCTGCGACCAGCATAGCAACCAAGGCGGGTTTCTTGATAATACTCATTTTGATTATGGGATTCAACGTTTGACGAACAAGATTGGAGTATCTGGATAGAGATATTGTTCGAGCGAAGTTGTTGCCATATTTATAGCAGTAGGGACTTGTGATTATTCAAGAGCAGTCGGACCTATTTTTTCTCCAACAATGTAACCCCAAGGATCATCAAAGCGTTCCTTTGGAAAACAACCAATGAAGCTCTCCGAGGAGCAAACGGCAGTGTTGTGCATGTGCAAGAATTCATGAAGCTGAACCAAATTCCCATTTAGTAAACGGGCTAACTGAAAAGGTGAACTGGGGCTTATCAACTGCGCAGTCCTGACAATCTGCCCCCGATGTTGTGGAGCATGTCATTGGTGGATCGATCGTCAAACCCTGGGGCCACACCGGAATGTTCACAGACTTCATTGGAGAAGCTATGGAGCGGGTCGGCGGGGCCTGGACGATCTTTGCCTCTACTGTTCACCTGTTGAAACAGGGCGATGGAAGCCGAGGCCAAGAATAACTAGTGCAAAGATGAATTTTCCAAAGTAAAGAGTAAAAGGTAGATTGTACCCGGCGCACATTTGACTTGAAGTCTTGGAGCAATTTCCCGGTTCACATATCCCGCACGTTTTCTATTCGGCTAAAAGCATGAATTGTGAAATTTCCTAGGTTTAATAAGCAAGCCCTCCTTTAAAGATTCCCAGACCATTCCCGTCAATAGATATTTTTGATAGCGTCGTGTGAGTTCTAGAAAACACTGCATACGCCACTCAGAAGCCACAAAAGACATACAACGGCGAGGTTAGCGGGTCCTCGCCACCATACAGACTGCAAGCTACTGCCATTATCCTGTAGGAGTCGGTGAGCTTCATGCGAATTAGTCATTGATCGTTGGTCATCACCAAGCTCCATATTTGATTAAGCCACAGACATGGCAAGCGTCGCCCGCTCTTCCGCCGTGCCCTCCAGCCACTGCCTTGTTGCGAATGACCACATCAGTCGCATGGCTGGAGATGGGGGACTAATTTTTCAAAAATCAAATCTGGGCTACTGGGTGCAGATAGTTGTACATTTCCACAGCAGAGATCAGACTATCGTAAGGAGTAAATCAACGTATTCAAGACGATTAAAGCTACGTGGAGCTAGTAATAGCCTGATTGTCGACGGTGCTGCCTGGATACCCAAAGACGCTAAACAATCCATGTCACGCATCGATCCCTCGATTCCTCATGCAAGGAATTTCGAGAATATGTTTGTTTTCACAACTCTTTTCAGTGATGAAAGCCCAAGATCTACGAGTAGATCTTTTACACCCACTCTCGGAAGGTTCTCGTGGATGACCAGACAATCTTTCCATTTACCCACTGCGACCGTGTCAGCAGCCAAATTCCTGTTGTGATTTTTGGGTAACAGGCATGACTTACTACGGACTTGGGCCAATATCGGAGACACTTTCTATTCGCACTCTAACTTACTCCCTGATCTTTACTCTCTAGCCCGATTTATGTCCGGCTGAGCTCTTAGCCGGACTTGCTGGGTGTTGACACACTGAGACAATTCAGTCAACGCATTAAGCTTCTGACTGACCGGATTCTGGGAATTTTCTAAAAACCTCTCACTGCATTCAAGAAGACTACTTGAATAATATTCGATTAAGAAGAGCAAGATATTCGACTCGTGCTGCGTTGTTTTTTATTTGAAGATGTCTCATTACGTCCTCAAAGTGCGCATTGCAATAAAATACTCAAATTCACAACATACTAGGAGCACGGATAAGATTGCGTTGTCAGAACCTCTTTATTTCATTTATCAAATGCAGTAAACAGAGCAAGACAATTGATAATAAGCTGAGATCAAGTTGCGATCGTGTTACGATCGTCTTCCGACTAGCCTCCACCATGCACTAGCTTCACGGCTGGTTCTAGCTCGGCTTCTTTTTTGGATAGGATTTAGATCTAATCGAGTATTCTCCTTGAAGAAATAACGATGATCCAATTTTCAATTTAAAAAGATGATCGTAAGTTTGAGCATTGAATGAGATGACTAGAGGCATTTGGCGTTTGAACTACCTAGTGCTAACTTCTAGTCCTTTTCTGTATCTATCAATTATAAGGGGCAAATAGAGTCACAAGGCTTCGAAGGCTCGCGGAGATATTTAGCTTTGCTTTCTGTGAGTGAAATTTGCCTTTTTTGCAAAGCAGCGATCAAGTGCTAGAATATCAGTGATGCAAGGTTAATCGTGCTGTACAAAGCTCACAGGTCGATCTAAAACGGAGTAAGATCGATCTAAAACGGAGTAAGACCGAAGTGCAACTGAAGCTCTTTCAATACAGAACACCCACTCCATGGTGATGTTGGCGCTTGTTGATCCATGCTTGAATATTTCCCGAATAATCCGATTTTTGGGCAGGGAGAACAGAAATTGTCCCAAGGCGAAAAGCCCGTGTGTCGTGATCTGAGCACTGTCGTCACGACGCACACGTGTCTCTTTTATCTTTCTAGCATTATTTACAAAGAATTGAAAGCAAGAGGCGTTCAATTGATTTCTTATCATTTTCATGATAGTGTTTAAAACTCAGACTTCCCAACGCCGAGGTTGTAGTAAACCTTCGATAAGTCCGACCGTCGGCACAAGCCGCCCTTGAACAGACTTAATCGATCCTGACAATCTGAGGCTTTATCGGCTTTGCCGATCATCGCTTTGCGTTTCTGAGTGGCGTGCAAGCGTACTGATCCTGCCGATCAGAGGCTAGACACAAGTAGAGTGGAACGCCGAACGGACCTAAGATAATCTCCGGTCGCCCAGTAAGAACTGTTTTTGCGTCCTTGAATTTGGGTACCCAGTGGCCACGAGGCGTCTCCGCTTGATTGCTGGCTTCAATAAAGCTCCGGGGAAATTTATGCTTGCCAGATTTTCCCCTTCCGCCAAGTCTTTAGTCAAACTATGAGACCCTTGGATCGCTGCATCCATATATCACTATCAATAGAAGCTAGTATTACACCCAACAACAATCGCTTTCTGAACTGACAATCATGCACATTCCCGAAGCCCCATCAAAACTGCGATTGCTGGAAAAATCAGCCGGCGTTTAGGGCTAAGAGCAATTACGTGTTCCACGTGAGTCAGGGGTTTAAGCGTTTCTTCAGCAGTAGCGGGAGCAAGTAACCAAATGAGACCACCAGATCTCCACCAAAGTGGGGCCTCGGAGGCGAATAAACATGGACAAGGTTCGATAGCAAATTCTTAGTGAATCTTTGGGGCAAAGGGCCACTTTTGATGGCCTTCGTCAAATCATCAACTTTCGTCCTGGCTCTCTGCGATTTTGATGCAGGACGTGGGGCTTCCATTGATAGTGGATGTTCAGGGGGTCGAGCCACTTGCTTTAGGGAGAGCATATGTTATAATATAACGTCCCCGTTGCCTTCAAATGAGAAATTTTCAATGATCTCCATCGACCCCTGTTTCACATCTTCATAGCCTTCATGTCGAGCTTATTGCTGTCATGGATGCTGGCTCCTGGGCCTCACGTGGAGACGAAATGCTCCAGCGTCGTGCATATGACGATTCCTCGTCTGTTGCAGCTAATTCCCCGAATTCAGGCGCAGGATCATGGGTTATAGACCCTTTGCCTGGATTGCAACGAGGTGGTCTTATTGCAGTCGCGACTTTGGCAATAGTCTCGCTGGGAGCCACGTTCTCTTTGCTTTCCTTTTTCACTTATCGTTTCATTTTTTGGAAAAAGTACTACAAACGTTACATCGGATACAACCAATATGTCGTTCTTATGTACAACTTGGCGCTTGCAGATTTCATTCAGGGATTGGGATTCATCGTTAGTCTGCGGTGGATCAGTCAGAACTCTCTTCACGCCACCGATGTCGGATGTTTCTTGCAGGGTATTTGGCTTCAGATTGGTGACCCTATGAGTGGAATGTTCGTGCTTGCTATCGCTCTGCATACCTTCATGCAAGTCAGTCTGGGCCGTCAGCTCAGTCACAAAGTCTTCGTGTCTATCGTGGTTGGTCTTTGGGTTTTCGGAGTGATCCTCGTCATAATTCCTATCGCCATCTACGGCCGCTATGTCTGGGTGCCTTCGGTCGCATGGGTACGTTCTCCATTCTTCATTTTTCTCTTTTTTAGGCTGTCGAACAAATGGCTGACATCTCCTATCTAATAGTGTTGGATGAGCACCCAACACCCTACCCTCCGTCTCTGGACACATTATTTCTGGATCTTTGCAGCTCAATTCTTGAATCTTGTCCTTTACGCCATAATGTTCGTCCAACTCCGACGCAAGATGTCACAATCGAAGATTCTGGGCGCCAGCTACACCGAGAGTCTCCGCCGCCTGAACCGAGTCGTCTCTTACATGGTCTTATACCCCATTGTCTACATCATTTTGACACTTCCACTATCTGCAGGCCGTATGGCATCCGTCAGTGGACATGGCCCCAGTGTGGCCTACTTCTGTGTCGCAGGTGCTCTGATGACTTTGTCCGGATTCTGCGATGTGCTTCAATATACCTTGACAAGGAAAAGTATCGTGTTGGAGGCAGAGACTCGATCCAAGAAACGAGACGACGGCTACTACGATCTCTCGACCGGACAGAAGAAGTCCAGGAATGGTAATCTGTATTCAAGCGAAGAAAAAGGCCCAGTCTCTACCGTCTGTGCTGCTATGCCAGGCACCGATTCCACCGACCACATTGTTCCCAGGGACATTGAAATGTCGCCTCAACCTGCACACGTTTACCAACACACGACCATCACAGTCACGCACGAACCAGCTTATGAGGCGCGATTGTAATTCTGTCATGAAAAGCCAGCCTGACCCTACGTTATCTGGCAGGGTTGTTTAATACGCTCTTTGAACCATTTTTTTTCCTTGTACATATTTACTGAACATATACCCCAGCCAATCCTTCATATCACTTTGAAAATGATCAAAACCACCATGTGGCTTTCTCTTCTTGAAGTTGAAACATGATCGGGAATAAATCATGAGTTTCACTTCCAAGGATCGATAATGTGTCGCTTGAGTATCTCATAAACTGTGAGCTATGTTTCAATAGAGCTTCGGTGAGAGAAGATAACCTTTTCATATTTGTCAAGTGCAAGAAACACATCTTCGTACTTCCTGATTTGATATGGCTCTCTTCGAAGAAGCACTTGTTTGTGCTTGTTGCTCCAGCCTTTGACGCTCCGCAGTGTCTGTGCATTGTGGACAGCGCCTCCTAGCATCGGATCCAATATCAGGCTGCATTCCTCATTCGCAGGACTAACAAGAAGTGGATCATGGATGTCTCCTTCCAATTTGTATTCCTCTCTTAGAGCCATTACCTCCTCTTCAACTCTTGTTCTCGTTGGAGAAGGGTCGTAAGGTGATTTGTGTCGCGCTACTTCGTCATCTGTGCCAAATTGACAGGTTTCCGACCGTACGGGATTTAGCAACTGTCTCTCAAGTAGAGCTTGCTCTTTTATCTGGTCAGCCCATGTTTGTACATAGCGTGCTGCGCACAGATTGTGGGTCTGAGTGGAGAGAGTAGTCTTTGTTGCTAGTGTGCATGACTTCCTTGAGATGAAGTTTCTCATATTGAATGAAACCACCATTATGAACAGGTCGTTTCTGAGATAAAAAGAGATGAAGTGTTGCCACACCGTTTCCAGGGGCCGGACATCAATTTGTCCTCTCAAAAACAGTAATAGACTTCTTGAGTAACACATGACATCACGATTTTGGATCTACCCCACGTACCATGAAGAGGTAATAAGCTATGGTACTTTGTGAAGTAATAAGCTATGGTACTTTGTGAATATTTTGAGTCTATGTGTTGAAGGTAACTGGCAAAAGGAGACTGCTACGGGTGCGTGCGATGAAAGCGACCGTGCCTGAAGACATCCATAATAACATTTTGTACTTATCATACTCGACTTTTCCTTTCGCGACGATTCGAATGATGCAATAGTCTCATGACATCTCTTCAGCCCTGAATACGAGCTTGCCATCAACATTTGCAATATGTGTAGCCAAATTGAGATCATTCGGGATGAATTTTCCAGACGAGTCTCTGAGCTCGGAATGGAGGATAGGGATATGCTCTGGACCTTCAGTAGAGAGGCTTATGTTTCGTGCGCCCGTGCTGAAGCCTGAGCTATTCCAATCGAAGTGTCCTGGTATTTATTTGTGATAAGTCTTAGTTCGAACAATCGCAAAGCATCTAGGCACCACTGACCATCTTTGTTCCCAAGGTGCTTATCAAGAAGAATATCGTCCTCAACTCCAGCACCCTCCTCATTGTTGCAAATAGCCACCAAGTAAGTTGAACCTGGCGTATGGTCCAGTTTCAGGTGAGCGTCGCAGGCAGTTTTATTGAACATTTTAGCTTAGTGGATGTTAAGAGAACTGTGCAATTGCTGGCTGCGGGAATACTTGTGATATGAAGTATGAACAAGAAAATGAAGTCTTTTACAATTGCAGTGATCTGGATAATACGGTGGCTCGTGTGGCGAGATGGCGAGTCTTCCTACATCATCTACTTCAACATGACGTGTTTCCTTCCGAATGTTGATGGCAGATGACCCAACCCCTTCTTGGATATATTTGCCACTGGGATGGCTGGCGGTGAAGACACGGGCAGCGGCACCGATAACAATGGCAAAACCAACATGTAGACCCACTGAGCGCAATCATTCGCTCCTTGAGATATCTAAATGATGCAGATGCAACAACGAAAGCCTGGGGTCACAAGTATTAGGCGAAGAAGGGTTCCGTGCGAGATGAGGAAGCATGTAGTGATTTTAAATACAAGACACATTTTGTAGAATTTAAGTACATACGACCATAGGGTGTGGAGAACAGGGCTTCCCGTCCGCTCAGCCGTACTTAAGCCACACGCCGGCAGGTTAGTAGTTGGGTGGGTGACCACCAGCGAATCCCTGCTGTTGTATGTTTTGATCTCATTCCTTTTTTTTCCTTTTCAACTTCGGTTGGCAAAGGCATGATATCCTCAAATTGTACGTTAAATCTGAAAGGGAGCCTCCTTGAATAAACCAGACCTCATCGGCCGTTGCCGATGTACCAAGCTTCTCTTTATCCCTAAAATTTTATCAATGTCCTGATCTTATCAGATACGAAATAGGTACAGAAGATTCCTCTAACAACTTATAGGAACTACATAGTTGGCCCGAGAGACCTGTTTCTGCTAGTCCACGTATTTGGTCTCACATTCAATGTGACGCTGAGGTGGATCTCCTTATATTTACCGTGATACGTATTTGAACTCTACACCAGAAGCGTATAGCTCGTAGTCTGGTAGGTTTGTCTCACGTATATTTTGAGGTGGGTGTGAGTCAATAATTCCACGTTTTGTATCTCTTCGAGTATCCCAAAAATTCAAACTTTGCATCATACGCTATTCCCTTTTATCTTACCTTCCGGGTCGTATGTTATAGCATCGCATCTACCCTACCTAAATTCCCAAAAACTGCTCTCAGTCTCCCAGATCTGTTCAGTTAAGGGCTATGACTAAAAAGGGCTTGGAGATATTGCAGGAGGAACACGCTTTTATAGCTATAAAACTCGGGAGTACAATAAGTATCAGTAGTCGAGTCACGGGAACATAGTATGACATGTAATGCTGATAGCCAGAAGCAAATGCCTGCCCGATTCAAGGCGGCAGAACTTTAAATCTACAAGACCTTGAACTTTCCAATGACCCAGTGGCAGTCGCTGAAATTAATTCTTGTCATTGTAAACAGCTTCTAGAGTAAAATTCAGACTGGACCCGCATAGTCACTTTTCTGGTCAACATATTGTCTACCTAACATGAAGCATCTTGGGGGATGTAGCTACTTTTGAGGCAGTCATTGTCCCACAGCTTTGGTGGCCTCCTTCTTGTGGATTGAGATATTGAAATTTCTGTTTCACGTTACTCAGAGTGATCACCCGAATATTTCATTGCTCAGTGCGCGGACCATGTTGCTTGAGGATGTGCTCTAGGTCTATTCGGCTATAACAAAACGCGGAAGTACCGAGAGCTCTATATGACTACCAGCCACAGCCTAAGTATATTTTCACGCATAGTAAGTAAGCAAAACAAGGGGGACGAGCACTTTATATCCAATGGAGAACCCCTTTCAATAAAATAGGACGAGAGTTTCTCTTTCTCTTCGCATCCGCTGGCACTGCTGCTTCGGCTCAAGAGGGAGTGGTTTTCCAAAAGGCGAAAGACGAGCAAATCGTCCACGAGGGCGTGATGTCGCTGCTGAGGGCACTCACAATAACTATCGTCGATGTTAGATGCCGATGGACATCCCATCCCAACCCGTTCTCCTCGGTTGAGCTGGGTCCCGAAGGGAGTAGCAAGAAGCTGACAGCATTGACCTCTGCAATGGTATCGGAAGGTTGACGCTCTCAGTTGCGGAGCGGAAGCAATATGCTAGTCCTATAACTGCTTTAAGGGTTGCTTTCGGGTCTTCGAGGCAATTTAAGGTTTATAACTAGGCCAACAATATATTATAAATTGTTCGATTTGGGCGGTTTTGGCTGATGCCCTCGGACGTACACAAAATCACGAAAATGCCACCTTGAAAGGGGGACAAAAGAGACTAACAGAGAGCAAGAGGCGGTCGCATCTCAGGGATTCCCAAGATGAGAATCAGAACCGCAAACCGGCAACCCGATTTGTTCTACTATACTACGACGAATGAAAGTTCTGTACAGTATACTATGATATTAGCCCGGCTAGAATGGCAGCGTAGAACCATTCTGCAAGGTAGAGAAAAGACCTTAACCGAAAAGCTTCATCAAAGCGACCGAATGCGAGAACGAAAAAGTAAATCTTACTAAGCGATTTGTGATGCCATGACTCCAAGATGGTACCACGGGTAAGGGGTCGGAATGCTGCTCAGCGGCGCTTCCCGTCCACTGAGGGAAGTGCTTTACACTGTGGATTTTCGAATTCACAATTACTGCCCAAGTTTTTAACGTGAAAATTACTTGTAAGGAACCATTTTCACACGTAGCCTAAGTGCTGATTTGTGACTGTGATTGAGATAGTTTGAAAAGGAGATCATAATTCAAAAAAAGGTCCAGGATCCCGCGGGCGACATTGCAAGGCTGGATGCGTAACAATACGAGATTTCTCAATGACATATTGCTGTTCTTCGCAGGAATCCTCACTCTCCTCCGAGGGAAGCTCTTTCTCAGTCACAGAGACTTCATAGAGCATGGGGAGGAGAGCTTGAACGTGTTCCGGACATGCGAAAACATCCCTATCTGCCCCAGAGTTGCAGTTGTTATTGTCGGCATTGGAGTCTCCGAACTCATCATAGTCATATTCATCTTCCATGATAAGCTCCGGTGTAAGACTAGATAGCATGTTGGAGTGCCCAACCAAGATGCGAAGATCGCAGTCCTGCTTGGAGAGAACCCGCTCGAGCTTTCTCGCGCACATGCGATAAATTTGATTTTGACCAGCGGCCATGTCATAGGCAAGAAACCATCTGTCCTTTGAAACACTTATTCATGAGAACATAGTATATTTGTTTCCTTCGGGTTTAATACCTGTTGCGTCAGCAAGGCGCTTCTTTGTCAAGAAAACGGGTGGAGTATGCTTTCACGATGGTAGCGATTTTCAACCCAAAAAGTTTCATGGATGTGCAACTCTAGATTAAATCACTGGTGGTCTAGATATATATAGCTTTATCTACTTTCTCACTACCGCGCGTATTGAGACCGAACATGCGACTATGTTCCTGTCACAGAGGCGATGAACCTTGGTAGGAAGGCAGGCCAGACTCCTCTAGATGTGTCCCGGGTCATATAGCCACCCAAACCTCAACCACACATGGTCACGTTCAGTTGTACGAGGTTCAACCACAATACAGAGACTCGGCCGAGATCAGGTGGTTCTCATCTTGAAGTGGTTCGACATCTGCTGGAAAGATCCCCCCCGCTCCTGTTTCTAATACTTTCTCACTGCTTGAATTCAACCTCAGTAGATTTTTGCCACTCTCTTTCAAATACGGAGCTCTCTTATATGAATTTGAATCTGTTCACTGTCTCTGATAGCCGGAAGAATGTGCTGATGTGATGAGTATGACGCTGACCATTATAGCCTGCGTCTGATGGCCTGGTCATGGGCGTGTATACTTAGCTAACTAGACACTTCCCCGTTGCCCATTGAATTTTCGGAGTTATTTATAATTTCCATATTTCTACGGTTGATATTGATGCCCAAGTTGCAGATTTCCTCTAAGGTTTAGCATCGGCTGAAAGTCTTGGTTTTTGTCTACTTGGACAGAACGGGGTTTGAATTGCATGATTCAATAGAAGCAACATGAAAGACTGAAAATACACATCAATAAGTACCACAGAACAGGAATCGACAAACAGTGGAGTTTAACAAATAATGGAAAACATATTGCTTCTTAAAAAGCAAGGTAGTCAATATTTCGCGGCCCATAGCTGGTCCTCCTAAGCATCAAAGCTTTCTCACGAACAGTCATCTGCTGCACTTTCTGTTCGTGATCGTATTCGTCTCAAATGTGCCGATATAAGCCTGATGTTTCGAAACGATTGCTTCTCATTACAAGGCCCCCAGAGTGGTTTTCAGAAATTTGCAAGGGGCACAACTTCATGGGCGCCTTCAAGATACATCATAGTTGCAATAGACATCTCCGTCGCCAGGACTTGTCCTCGCAGGCCCTTGTTTTTGAACAACCAGCGGAGTGTTGCAGGATCATTGTTCGGGTATGACGCTCACCAAACTCATCCGTCTTGTTTATCTACAAAAGAAAATAATCTAAGAATGGGATCATGTCTAGGCTACGGTTAATTTCATCCGCGAAGAGGCAACACTAACCACTTAATTACTGGACCACACATGAGTCGCTCAGGCAAAAAGAAGGTAGACATTATTTCGAGGTACAGAGCTAGAACAAAACAATAAAAACATACAACAGCAGGGATTCGCTGGTGGTCACCCACCCAACTACTAACCTGCCGGCGTGTGGCTTAAGTACGGCTGAGCGGACGGGAAGCCCTGTTCTCCACACCCTATGGTCGTATGTGATAAGAATGGCACACGACAGATATCTGAAGTACTTCTTGATGAGCTTAAGTGTGGCATCGCGCGTCAATTGGGTCTCGCGCCGTGTCCCCAGCCTCGGCAAGGAATTTTCGCCCCAGGATTGTAATCTCGATGTTAAGAAGCCACCCACGACCATGGGAAACCATGATGCTTCAACGAAATCGAGCATCGCTTTCAACGTGCTGATTCGTGAGGCAGCGTTTGGCCAATTGTTTACCTTCATAACTGTCCGAGAGGATGACTGAAAGATGGATATATGTATAAGAGTGATGAATTGATGCCATGGGAGAAGTAGGCTAAATAGGCTACAAACGCCTCAAAGTCTGTCAAGATCAGTCACGTTTCCGAGATTGGGTTCTAAGAATTGATATTAAAAGTGATGCTAACGAGGCAAAACCGTGCATATTTCTCAAGCTGGAAGAATACGTGAGCGCAAGTTGCAGTTTCTGGGTCGAAATTCACGAGCACACGCAGAGCCAATAGTTGAAGAAACCATGAAGATATCACTCGACTCTTCCCTGCTGGGCAATGTTTGTCGTCACTCTCCAGACGCACCATTGAGCAAAGCAAGCCGACCTTTGATCTCATTGATATTGGCACCTTTCGGCATGATGTCTGGAACCGACAATCAACTTATGAACAAACAGAATATGAATTTCAACAAGGCAGAGCCGTCTCCACGTTCATCAATATGCGACAATATCAGAAATCGGCCTTTTGCCGTTAGCCGGCTACTATTGACGTGTGCGAGGCGACGAAAACAATTTACCTGCCAAAGCCAATTGGGTTTGTCCTACGATCCACATTTTGTCCCCCGCATTTGAACTCCCCTGTGTAATGTTGGAAGTTCCAGGGGAAGAGATTGGGAGCACAGACCGACTTTCTATCAAGTGAGTCATCAGTCTTCTTGTCCATGTCGCAAGCAATGCAAGCAGAGCCACGAGGTCGACTTGTTCGGGCATATTCTGCCAATCCATGATATCTCAGAGCTATTCTTGGGAGAGGTTGGCACCACGCTTACTTTTTCTACAGGCTGGAAGTGACTGTCATCAACGATGTGGACGTCCTTGTCTAGTTTAGAGCGGCAGCTCTCGTATTTTTATCTTGTCATGCACTTCTGCATGTATAGATAAGGCATAGATATGAGACAGGCGCATTAGCGCGTATAGTCAGCACGGGTGTCGACTAACGTCTGGAAGTGTTTCCTCTTGGTGTTGTCCCCTGGAAGATAAGGCTTTTTTCTATGATGTCAATATGTTCGTATTCAGGGTCTAAACACTCATTGTCTGCCTAGAAAAAACCAAGAGAATGGCCATATGAATTTCGCTAAGGATGGCGCGCGCAGTCAAAGATAAATTTGAATTGGAATCTCTCCGGCTTACCCGCCCGGACCACACTGAGGTGAGCCAAGCCCTTCGCTAACACGAGGGTGCTTTTGATACTATTTATATGACGTCTTTGACTTGCAGCATATGGAGGGTCGCGACCGGTATAAAAGAGTACCGCGAAACTCCTCAATATCTCAGTTTTTAACACTGGGAGCGATAATTCATTCTGGAAAAATGCCTCATCTCAAACTTCGCGACGGAGCCGAGCTTTTTTACAAGGATTGGGGCAACCCCAAGGGTCCAATCGTTACTTTCTCGCATGGTTGGCCGTTGAGCAGCGACAACTGGGAGAATCAAATGGTTTTCCTCGCTGATCATGGCTATCGAGTCGTTGCTCATGATCGACGTGGTCACGGACGCTCAACGCAGACTTGGCACGGTGGCAACATGGATACCTTCGTCGACGATCTCAAGGAGCTATTCGAGTATCTCAATGTCAAGGATGCTATGATGGTCGGCCATTCACACGGCGGAGGCGAAGTCACTCATTTCCTTGGCAAGCACGGCACAAGCCGCGTGAAGAAAGCCGTCCTCGTGGGCGCGGTGCCGCCTCTGATGTTGAAAACCGGCGCAAATGCCGAAGGACTAGACAAGTCCGTCTTTGATTCCTTCAGAGAAGCTATGCACAAAGATCGTGCGCAGTTCTTTTTGGATGTGCCCAGTGGTCCCTTCTTTGGTTTTAATAGACCCGGTGCCAAGAAGAGCGAAGGTCAAATTCGGAGTTGGTGGCAGCAGGGCATGAACTCGAGCTTTAAAACAACGTACGATTCGATCAAGGATTTCTCGGAAACTGATTTTACCGAAGACCTCAAGAAGATTGACATTCCCGTGCTTGTTCTTCATGGTGATGACGACCAGATTGTGCCCTTCCAGGCCGCGGCTGCTAAGTCAGTGAAGCTTCTGCCTCAGGGCAAGCTCAAGGTCTACCCGTGGGGATCTCATGCAATTCATAACATCAATGTCGATGAAGTGAACGAGGACTTGCTTGCATTCCTCAAGTCATAGGATGAAGCAATACCAAGAGCTTGTCAAGAGTATTCCCTCGGTTCATTATTACAAAAGGTGGACCGCAAAAGTAGGTGATGGTAGAATGGGCGTGAACGGAAGCCAATTGTAACGCCATTTGAAGTGTCCTTCTCACCCAAATCCTATACTTTGACATCTTACCTGATGTAATTATTTCCATCAATTTTGATATGCGCTCTGGGACCATACACTTTCTCAAATTTCGTAGACAAGGTGAGTAAAACACTATAAAAGATCTTTTTAGTCTTAGGGAAGAAGAACACCGATACCGAAATTTAAGTTCAACACCCCAAATTTACCTGGTGGCACGCTTGGTAGTTTGAAATCGGTTCTGACACAGATTTGGTGTGTTATCTTCCATAACGTGGCGTCAAACCACCAGGACACAGCAACTTGAACGTGATTTAGAAGAAGGTTAATTCAGAATGCTAGAGGCAGCTAATAAGGTAATAAAGCCTGAATTAACACAAACAAGAATCGTTATATCAGCTGCAGATATACATTCTTATGCTTGTCCATCATTAGGTATTAAAGCTGATGCATAACCTGATGTGATGACAAAGCATTGCCGCTTTGTCATCATGATCCCAGAATTGCCGCTCAATCAAAATGGCAGTGCAGCGACTAATGCATGATTCTGAGCTGGTAGCAGCTTCCTTTACATCGGAAATTGTCCTTTCTCTTTCTGAGAGAAAACAAGCTCTGAGTTCATTCTGGAAAATGTAGCAGTCACAGCTTAGCCGTCACGGGCAGCCTGCGAGCCAGTCGACCGAGAAGGGAATTCTACACTTTTGCACTACACATACTGATACGCATTGGCCTGGAAGAATCCATGCTCAGTGTTGACATATGAGTATATAGAATACAGCCTTGAAGAATGGAATACACATTGGCGAGAATGATGGCCCGCGCAGAGATTGCTTCCGGATCCAAAGTCTCATAGCACCTCTGGAACGCCCAGTACTGCATGAATTCCTACATCATCAGCTTGAAGCCAGTAATCATCGACTCGCCAAGGCTGGATCATATGCTCATTGGATCAAAGATGATCAAACCTAGAGGTTTCGCATTGAATCTCAAGAATGAATTTTAAAGGTTTTTTTTGCTGATCCTGAGTCCGCAAATGGTTCACCAGCACGAAGAGACTTTTTGTGATAAATCTTGAAGCTCAGGAAAGACGACGGCGATCACAGGCCATCTCCCGAGGTCTATCCATTCCCTTTCCTTTCCAATTTTGAGATACATGTGAAGATCTTTCTTCGACATTCAAAGTAGACGGAGAGATAATTGTCCCGAACCCTTCGCTTTTCCCCCCTTGATATGTTATAGCCTCGCCGCCTCCCCTGATTAACGACCGAACACCAATGATACCTTAAGTTTGAACAAATCCTAAGCCTCGATATAGCACCCGGAGCTTTTCGAAAATATGGCAAGCTTTATGATAGCAAATCTGAACCCACTGAATTATGTTGGTGGAGTCAATTTTGTACCGGACCAGGATATTCCCGATTTGTCGGGAAAGGTCATTCTAGTCACAGGAGGTAGGCCAAACTCATAGCCTGCAAGACCGCATGAATAGCACGAGTGTGGTGATCTAACAGAATCATAGGAAACGCGGGTCTGGGCAAGGAGTCGATCCTCCAACTCGCAAAACACAACCCGGAAAAAATCTTCCTCGGCGCCCGGTCGGAGTCTAAGGCGACCGACGCCATTGCTTCAATCAAATCATCCGTTGCAAATGTTGAGGTCAGCTGGATCCCGTTGGACTTGACATCCATCAAGTCCATTCAAAATGCAGCCGAGCAATTCAAGGCCCAGTCTCAACGGCTGGACATCCTGCTCCTGAATGCGGGTGTAATGGCGCTGCCTCCCGGTGAAACGGAATTAGGCCACGAAATTCAACTCGGCACCAACCACACGGGGCATTTCCTTTTGACAAAATTGTTATTGCCTACGTTGCTTCGTACTGCGGAGGAGCCTGGCTCCGATGTTCGTGTTGTGTCACTCTCTTCGGTGGGGCATAATCTTGCTCCGGACTTTGAGACAATCCTAGATCAGGAGAAACTGAAGAAGGTGAATACCAATACTAGGTACGGAGCTTCCAAGGCTGCAAACATTCTCTTCGCTGCCGAGCTCGCGAGACGGTATCCGTCTATCACGTCGGTGTCTGTCCACCCTGGTATCATCTTGACGGATCTGTACAACTCGATGAGCGGACGTTCGGCTTTCCTTGCTCTGGGAACCAGGGCGATTGGTATGGTGGGAACTTCAGTCCCGGATGGAGCACGCAATCAGCTGTGGGCTGCTGTCGGCGCGAAGAAGAATGATCTCGTGAATGGCGCGTATTACGTGCCTGTTGGCAATCTCAAACAGCACAACTGCTATGCAAAGAGCGAAGATATGGGCAAGCGTCTCTGGGAATGGACGGAAAAAGAACTTGCGAAAGCGTCCCTTTGAATGTCTTGTTGTGGCGTGTTTCTATTGGAGCACCCGATACACAATGTCTGTTGTGTTTGAATAGAACGACCAAAGTGATTCATAAATGACCCGACCCTGGGAATTCCCCGTATAAGAAACAATGATTCATCTGTTGACTAGCAGGTAAGAACGGCAACAATTCAGAATGACTTTTCGCCGATAACCATTGTGGTCTGATTTTTGAATTTCATCTTCACATGCGAGCGAGGCGGTCGGATCACAGGGGTCAGCAGCGTACAAACAGTCAATGGTTCAGCTGATGACAAGACATTACATGCGCAAATGATATGCAGCAGTTACAATTATGAAAGAGCGATCACCGACTTTGGATCTGCAACACATCGAGAATAGACGGACGAGCAAACGAATTGCTGAAAAGAAGCAAAATTATGCGTCTGGTTAGGATTCAGGCTGAGTGTTGATCTAGTGAAAAATCAGGATTCTTTCAGCGGTTATTTGCTGATGTCAAGTCAGTGATAGTAGGCAAAACTTGATACAGTGCAAAGAATGTAGCCAGAAACTTCTCATCACGGGAGGCAGCCGAGAAGTGCTGTCATTCATCAACGGAAGTCTACAATGAAGAGCACAAGGAAGATGAATTCTTGTATTACATTACTCTATTAATAATTTACAAGGAATCAGATTGGCGAGATGGGCAATCAACAGGAGACAACGCTCTATGCCAGCGAACATTAGATCGACTTGTACGAAACACCGATTGTGGATCGATCAACTTACAAACTCTTTCACCATCTTGATGTCCCCTTTGAAATCATCTTCGTGGGCACTGCCCTGTGAATTCCTTGGTTGCATGGCCATCTGGGCTTGTCCTCCTATGATATGTACGTCATTTTGTTCATAGATCTCATTACCCGGAAGTTGATATGTGCTGCGATCTTGTAATGGTAGCTCAACATCGCTCCAGCTGGTAGTGTGGGAGCGCTTGGTAGTCCTCGCTGAAAGATTGCGATTATAGGAATTTGGATTGAATTTAGAAGAGCCGTAGGCATAGGAGCCCGTGCCAGTCTTGCTCGAGATCAAGGTTTTGAAAGGTGGAAGGCAGCCGACGATAACCGCTTTTTTTGTAATCAATTTTTTACTCAGCGTTCAGAGCAGGAAATTGACTCACATATTGATGATTCGGCGATACTCCAAATAGCCAAGGCTGCTTGGTCGGAGTATGCTTTGCCGGAGATTTCGATCGCTCGAACAATTGCCGCGGCGATAACAATGAACCCGAGTGAGAAGACAATCACTAAGCCAACCTTTTGCTTCGCATTGATCCTCGCGTTCCAAAGGATGCGAAGCGGGAGCGACATAACTGCGGCCTCACGTTAGCTCTAACTCTATCATGCCGGACTATTTGGTCATACTCAACAAGTCTGTGATAATATCCACCGCTGTACTGTAACAGATTGAGATGACAGATCCCTCTTGGTCAATCGGCTTCACACATTTCCCTGTGGAATGTAAGCAAAGTCTAAATCGAGAATCCCGCCACAGTAGAGCGTAGTACACACCGAATTGGAAATAGGTGGATGCTGGATGGCACGTAAACACTGACGCAAGCCAACATCCGATGTAAGCGATGATTGCAATGATTGTAGTCGCCCACCATGCTCGACGATAATGAGGCAGACCGTCCGAGATAATCCAGAATAGCGCAAGGAATGACCCCTTGATTGCCCAAAGAACAGACCAAAAAACACCAATGATAGCGAACTCGTAATATGTGTAGAGAGTACCGTGGTACATAATATCGGGTCCCGTCACATCGAGGGCCATGTAATAGAGATGCGGTGCCTGCAAGGTCTGCAACACAGCATTTGCAATGAGGAAGCCCAACGCTAAGAGTACAAAATAATCATCCGCCAATAAGCGCTTCATCGTCATTAACCGGATTCCGATTCGGATACCAGTGAATAGAATGCCCAGAGCAGCACCCGTCCATGTTACGGCAATGAGGCCATCAACGGATAGTGTGGTGGCAACACCTTGAGGTGCTGGGGCACCCATGGTGACGATGGTGCAGTTGCAGGCAGGTGTAGAGACAAGACTGGCGCATTTGTGGCAATCAACAGAGAGAAAAATTCGGAGAATGTACAGGGCTGAGATGCCTCTTAAGAAAGATGGATCACATCGGAATTTTTTTCACAATTATAAAGTTGTGGGATCCTTGCTTTGCAATGCACCCGAAATCGACTATTGATCATGGGTATGGGGGGGTTATCTGCGATGACTGGGCTTTGCGACCCGAGTTGTGTTTAATGCCCAGCAAGCGAACAAAGTCCGTCGGACTCGATCAAAACAAGCCCCACATTATAGCTGCATCGTCCAGAATGTGAGAAGCCTTTTCACCTATGGAATGTGGCTTCTGGTCATGGCAGGCTGCTATTGCCTTGTTGAAACAGTGTCGGAGATGGGCTTAACTCAAGAATGGGCATTGACGTGCAGCTGTGATTGAGCTCTGCCACGAGCCTCCAGATGCTACCTGTCTCGACAGATTGGTCGTGTCACTCTTTCGGAATGAAATCACATCGATACTCCATTCAAGGGGCATCCTGGATGCTTGGATTTGTCAACAGCCCTCGGGAGCATTCTGTCCAAAGTTTTCGATGTATCACAATGTATCACGATATATCACCCTATTTGCTCCAGGACTGACCGCTGACCGCTGACCGCTGACCGCACGGTAAACAGAGTAGAAATTTGCAATTTGGATATCGCCCGACCGGGGTTTGGATTCGGATCGCACGGCTTGGGGCAGAAGATTTCAGGACGGAGTCGTTGCATGACTCAGTCCATGGCTAGATGTAGACATAGGGATGAAGGCACCAAGGCCGAAATGTGGCTTCACTAGCTTTGATAGTGGGGTTGTGGTCTTTCTTCTGACTCGCTCCATCAGCTCCATCACCTTTTTGCACCATGGTCGCCTGCATATCCTTTCGATTGCCTCGCAGTGCGCCGTTTGAGGTTAACCACAAGAGGTCCAAGGGGTCCAAGGGGTCCAAGAAGCTACTCAAATCCTCAGGGTAAACTAATCCATCGACTCCGCAAGGACGTGCGCTAATTCCCTAGATTGTCCAAAAGACGGTATCCTCCGACATGCTTCAAACCATCAGGCGCAGAATCAGGAGCGATGTCACTTTCTCCGCAAGGGGCTCGCTTTCCTGTGAGATACACGCGATGAACCAACGTGGCGTGTTTCTCTATCATTCACTTTTAAGTCTTCCCACGAACCTAAGCGAGAACGAGCTCTACGCAAACCAAGCCGGATGCTTTGATACCCCCTTCGCGCCACGGTATGAAGCCGTTTAAATAATGCGGAGCGCCTCATTGCCTAGACCACTTCTCATAATCTCTTTGTGCGCATATCCAGGCTTGAAATGGTATCAAGTCTGTTGACTGTCTTGGCTCTCGTGAGCCTGGGACTCGCTGGTTTGCAGGATTCCTGCAAATGCGTACGTTTCATCCAACTTCTCGGAATGGAGGGATTGGAAAATAACAGATACCTTCTCGGTAGACGCCAGGAGACCCGTGTTGGCCTTCCAAAGACTCTTGGGACTCGCTGAACACAACAGTCGCGGGGAAGCTCATCCGCAACCTCCCAGTCGCCATTTCGTGCTACCCCGGCCCCTACCATAACAAGGATGAGTGTGCCCAGGTCTATTCGCACCGATTCAATTCCACATTCCAGGAACTCTCTCCTGTCGGGTACTGCTACCCGACCGATGATGTCTGTCCGCCGGTTGATCTGCGCAAGGATACCCCTGGAACGTGCATCCTTGGCCCTGCTCCGGTGTATACGATTAACGCTACCGAGCCGGCAGAACTCGCTGCGGGTATGGCCTTTGCACAGAGGCACAATGTCCGGTTGGTTGTCAGAAATACTGGGCACGATATCTTGGGAAAGTATGTGGTATTCTTCACTCACGTCTTGGAATGCTCTGACGGTCCTTGCAATTTTAGGTCCGAGGGTTATGGCGCGCTTCAAATCTGGACCAAGTATATCCAGAAGGGTATTACGATACAAGAAAAATATCGCCCCTCCGATAAATGCTCCAATAGTGACTGGACCGGTGCGGCGCTTACAATTGGTGGCGGCTATGTCTGGGCAGATGTGTATGAGTTTGCCTTCAAGCGCGGTATTACGGTTGTCGGCGGCGGCGATCCGGTATGTCTGAGAGTAGTCCCGCAGGGGAAAAAGCGAAGTCTGATTTTGTGTTCACAGACCGTGGGATGCATTGGTGGTTATACACAAGGCGGTGGTCATTCCCCTGCAAGCCACGAATACGGCCTTGCCGCAGACCAAGTACTCGAGACCCAAGTTGTTCTTGCAAATGGCTCGATCGTGACCGCCAACCCGTGCCACCATGCAGATCTACTTTTTGCGCTCCGTGGTGGTGGAGGTGGGAGCTATGGCGTCGTGATCTCCATGACAGTCAAGGGATATCCCACCAAGCCCGTCGTCGCTCAATCGCTTACCATCATGCCTCTCACAAACAACACAGAGATACTTCTAGATGCCATCACACAAGTTTGGGAAGACTATCCACGCCTCATGGATGCAGGCTTCTCAGGATATGGGACTTGGTCCATCAACAGCCCCACTGTACTCTTCGCTAAGCAAACGGTTGGCTATGTACATGCTGTTGCAGCTATGGACAAGTCCCTCAATGATGCCAAGAACACTTTCCAACCTCTCCTCCAGAAGTTGGGAAAGTACAATGAGACTTCACTCTGCGTCTCAGTGACCTGGTTTCAGTTCCCCACATATGCGGCTTATTACCGTGCCATGTCTGGTGTCCACCAGACTGTCGGCTCGTCGAAGTCTGCTTTAACATCACGCATGTTCAGTAAAGCCGCTCTTACAGACAGCCCTTCCGATCTTCGCAACATGATCGGTGTCATCGCAGGACAGCCGGAAGAGCATACTATCAATAGTGTTGAGCTTGTTGGCGGCGGCAAAGTCATCGCCAATAAGGATGATCAGTACTCAGGTGTCAACCCTGCCTGGCGATCCACTTACGTTGTCAATGTGGTTGCCAGAGGCTGGGCGGAGGGGAACGATATGCGTACTGTCCAAAATATCAAAGCCGACATCACTTATCACAAAGGTGGGGCAATGAGACGCCAGACGCCAGATGGGGGCAGCTACATGAATGAGGTACGTTTGTCTGTTCATTCAAATGAAAAGAATTCTGCTAATTTCATGAAGGCAGATAAGAATGACCCCCAATGGGCATCTGACTTTTATGGCTCCCACTACCCCCGCCTTGCTGCAATAAAGAAGAAATATGACCCGAATGATCTATTCTGGTGCCACACATGTGTAGGTAGCACGTCTTGGCATCAGCAGTATCTGGATGGCAAAGACTATGGGCCTCTTTGCCGGACTGTATGATGAATTACTCCAAGGAATCACAGGAATGACGCGACCTGCATAAACACGTCTCTGTACATCATTGAGTTCGCGAGGCCTGACTCCAGTCGTCGAGAGATTTGCGTTTTCCAGGTAGAATGTTGCTGGTAGAAGCAACTGTATATCTGTACATACTCGTATCTTAGAATTTAATATAAGGATATGAAATGGAGATAAAGTTGGGATACTTGAACAATGATTACATTTATAGTGTAAATCGATTAAAACCAGGAATTTACAGCATTCAGATACAATAGTCCCATCGAGTATCTTGGTTTAGACTCAAACTTGAAATAAGTATTTCGAGGCCATTTACTTGGCTTCTTTCAATCAGGTGCTAGTATATGACTCCAATACCTGGCGCAAGATATTCATTACTCAATTCGATGGGCTGCTCTTCGTTTGTCGAGCTTGAAAGGAGAAGGTGTCTCATATTGAGCCACAGTGGTCTTTGTAGGCCTTTGCGTATAGTATAGTATAGAAAGGATTGTTCCTGGAGATCGATTGTGATAAAGCAAATTTTCAATGATCGGGGCAGAGGAGCGCTGATGAAGGAACTTCTCAGCTGCCGGTGAGAATGTAAATTTAATATTAATTTCGAATCAAGACAGTAGCATGGCCATATATCTGAAGAGTAGATATCTAGCCTAGGAAATGACCATTCGTCTTGGCGAGCTGTTCGTCATAGTAGGGCTGGAATGCCAGCCATCCCTTGCCAGGGCCGCCGACGTTCGCTTTCGAATATTTCGCCTCTTCGTGACTGATAGTTATCTTCGCATGACCGGACCCTGCGGAAGCTGCATCGGCTAGAAGCTGTGCCTGGCAGCTCTTGTCTAGGCTGATAAACTACACGACATTAGAAAATGACCCAGATCACCACAATCTCGGATTACGACAATGACGTACCCAGAAGGCGGCTTCATCGACTGACTGGCCCACAGTTAGAAGCCCATGATTCTGCAGAATGACTGCTTTGCATTTGCCAAGGCTTTTGGCAATACGTTCACCTTCCGCCTTGTCTACAACAACACCTCCGAAGTTGTCGTACACGGCATGATCCTCGTAGAAGCGTAGAGAGTCCTGGGTCAACATTTCAAGCTTCCGACCGAAGCATGAGAAAGCCTTGCCATAGACACTATGGGCATGACAGGCAGCGTGAACATCCGGTCGAGCCTTGTGAATAGCTGAGTGGATAGTGAATGCGGCGGTATTGATCGGCTGGTCGCCTTGGACTATAGCACCTTCTTCGTCCACAAGTATAAGATCTGAGACCCTAATCTGAGAGAAATGCATAGACAAAGGGTTGAGCCCTTGCAAGGTTCTCCATCAGACAATAGAATGACGATGAATCCGAGGGAAACGTACAAAAATGGTCCGTGAGAAGGGGATCGCGAACAGATATGTGACCAGCGACACCTTCATCAAATCCCCGGTCTGCAAACACCCGGAAGGCCGCTGCGAGATGCTGTTTGCGATATATACGTTCCTCCAGGGGCGACTCAAATTTTGGATAGGTACGGATTTTCAGAGCTCTACCATCCTTTGTCTTACCTAGAGACTGAACCTGTTCGGGCGGTGGACGCGAATGCACACTGGCTCCCGTTTCCGATGGAGGAATGCTGACCTCAACGGGACTGAGAGTCGCCGACGGAGACATATTAAGAACAGCCTGTTTTGGAGCTGTTGAAATCACTTGTTGCATTGGAAGTCGGAATGGAACTTTGAAGGAGCAACCACAACCATATGGCATAGAAGTGTTGACTACCGTTTATGGCGGGGAAGCCTCGGCAGTAGCCCTGCTAAACCCCGCAAAACTGACCTCTCGGAATTATCGACAGACATAGTCGGAAATTTATCCGCGCTCATAAATGACGATGAAGATCCAGTGACCGACCCTTGGCCCTTGGCGGTAAGTGACGAGGAAAGAGTCGCAGCCTGGCCCCGGCCGTGGGACAAGATCTCAATGAAGTTCAGTTTAGCATCAAGAGGATTTGGAAGGTCTAACAATTATTGATTCTGAAAACAAGCTCTGGGCTCATTGTAAGACCTCGACTCAAAGAATGCAGAGAAAAAACTCAAATGCAAAACCACCGACATCACGGTGGACAACAATTAGCAGTATTCGGATTGTTACACAGGGCTTGATGTTCTCTTCGATCGGGTTTAGGCAGGGCTAGTGAGCTTTTGCCAGTGGCTTCATTCATACCTCGTCCCATGACTCGGCAGAAAATAGCCGACAATAAGAAGAATGGGATCTGTGGTATAGATATAATACCAAAAGCGGGGAAACCTCTTCAGATCATCCCAGCACCTAGAAGTTCGTCGCCATCCCATTATTGAGTTACTAGAGATTGTCTACCTATTGAAGTAAATGTGTGACAGAAATAACCTTGTTCAACATAGAGGGTTGCAGTTACATTCTGCACTAATCCTGTGCCTGCATATTGTGATTCAATCATCAATCCCGGAGGAGGTTATTCTATTGTCCGTATAAAGGCTATCACACGCTATAGGAGTCACTTTGTCTCGGCAGTCTTCAATCCAGCGTCCAAAGTGAATTAGAGCGAGCGCTGTCAAGATTTGACTATTGCTACGCAGTCTGGCCGATTACTCGGTGGAGGTACAAAATCCAAAAGAAAAACCTAATACAATCAAAGGTCATTATCCTGAATGTGAGACAGCGACCTGTGTCAAGCCCAGTGGAGTGGAAGGCAAGATCCTTATAACTCTTATGTCTTCCATGTTGATGTCGAACAACCGATTAAACAGTACCAACTTCCTAGCGTATCTCCAGTCACAAACCAGTTCAAAGAAACTTGCCAAGCCATTTCTAAAGAATGAAGACTCAAGCAATATCTTACTTACTCTATCTTTTGGGTCTCTTGCCCACTCTCTTATTTGCTACCACATCTCCTACCCTTTTCAACGAGACCCGAGGCCCAGAAATCTCGCCTCAAGGCTCAGACTTGGCAAGTTTAATCAACAAAACTTCGGAGGTGTCAGAAAGACCGGCCCAGGTTGGCGTCAGCTGCACTCTGGAGTATTTTACTATAGGGGCGTTTTGTAGTAAGCACATCATATCATACGACACAGACTGAGGAATTAACAATAATTGCACCTAGCGAGCCCTTTTGATTGTTTTATTGCACCTCTGTCATTCCACTTTGTTTGCCCTCAGACCTAAGCCAATTCCGAAGGGAGCATAACACACCTCTCAGCTCATTCACTAGGTGGATCATGTCTTTCATTCATTCAAATTGAAATCGCACATTATTTTTAGTCCCGAAAATATACTTCCGGTCCAAGGGTTTCCCATGTCACCTTCAAAAAGTAACCTTCCTCAATTGTACAAGTCGACAGGACTCTGAACCCGATAATTGTCTGAATATAGTCTATACCCTAAGTTAATCATTCAGAAGGGATAGACCACGATTTACAAGAATTGACAGTCTGACTAAAGATTATTAGGTGGCATGAAGGGTCAAAATAAACTTGAGATGGGCGCAAGTTTGTCAGTTCAAACCTTGTGCTTCTAGTATTCCTCAGCTGTTCTGTGCTATTCGTTACCAGTACCAGTCTTTAGGCTTCAGTATTTCCAGTACTATCCTAGTGGAAGAGAGAGTAAATTCTATCCTAACTAGACTCCACAGCTTGACATGCTTCCACAGGAGGGTACGAAACTCTCTATTTGAAATTCCCAATATGTGCCTCGCTCGCAGCACTTGGCACCGCTGGCAGAGGTCTAGAACTCACTTACTTTCTTTCTTTCGGGTTATACAATGTTACTTTTGCATGGAACTGCTACCCACTTTACAAACTGAGCTTGATTCAGTACATGTGAAGTGGAACTTGCCATGCTTATAAGTATGCCAGTCTCTCCCCGTACGATATTCTTCTACAACTCACATTCAAACACAGCTGAAGTCTCACTCGACAATACTTCAAGAACAAGTCTATTCTGACCAGTATCAATCAAACATCAAAATGCAGTTCCAAGTCATCCTCGGTACTCTGGCTCTCGCCATGATGACTTCCGCTGTCCCCACGGCCCCTGCCGTCGAAAGCGTGAAGCTTAGTCAAGTCCAGGTCAAGAACCTCCTTGACGTTCTCAAGACTCAGTCGACACTTGCAGCCGACCAGGCCATTAGCTGCACCGTTGCCTACACTTTGGCTTTGAGTTAGTTACCCCTCAGTTTCGTTTAAAGATGCTTACTGATGATATCAGGCGCAGCTGGACCGCCCTACACCATTGATCTGACCACCTTTGACCTGTCCAACTGCACCTACAGTGGCCCCTAGTTGCCTGTAGTATCATGATCAACGAAGTCTGAATTGGTCCTGCATTCCGGAATGGCCAATCTCAGCTTTTGTGTGGTTCCATGTTAGCCGCCGTCCGGTGCTGCCACACATGATGATTTATTCAGTAACTGGCTGAAGCAGAATGAACGAAAATGATGATCGAGATTTGATTTCTCAACGTAGTCTGTAGACTTTTCAATCTTTAGAATTTTCGTATCAACAGCGGGAAACTCATCAATCAATGGAAAGTGACGTTCGAGAAGTGCAATTGCTTCTTTCGGCTAGTGTGGACCCTTGTTTCACATAGGTCAATCTTGAAACGTCCCTAAGCCCTTCTTTAAAATGCTCACCACTTTGTAGAGTACTCCTAATGTTTTAAATGAATACAGACCATGGCGCTCAAGAAAAAGCAAGCTAGCTACACATCGGAGTGGCGTTACCCCTGGCGCGACCTCGCTAATTTAATACTGCGCATTTGCCCACTCACAGTAAATGCAGAGATTCGAGCTTGAAACTCGGACCCTGACTGCACTGTGAGCTCTCCTTTAAGGAAACTGTCCAGCGAGTCTCCTATTATTTTCCTCACAACCACTCCGGCCGCATAATTCTAGATATAAATGCCGTTTCTTCTCCCCATTCTGTCGTACTAAATTGTCTCCAAGGTTTCATTCGTCTTTCTATCGAGTCTGGATACTCGAAGAGTCACATTCATTCGAACATTCACTACGCTAGGTGCTGGTTCTTTGCTTATTCATACATTCATTCAAGTTTCACTCCAGCCACCTGACCGAGATGCATTTCAATATTATAATCGCTCACTTTGCTGGCTTTCTCGCGGTCGCATCAGCAAAAGACTCGCGAACATTTGCTGTGAATCACTTCTATGGCCAAGGCCCGCTGACTGAGGGCCGAATGGATCCTATCGTTAGTCCCGGTACAGCATCTAGCCATGTACATGCTATCCAAGGAGGAAGTAACTTCAACCTGACCATGGAAAATGATGCCTTGCTTGACTCTGCCTGCACCTCTTCTTTGGTGGCTGCAGACAAAAGTAACTACTGGACTCCATCTCTATACTTCCAAGACCCAGCGAATGGCAGTTTCATCTCAGTTCCAATGTTCTACATGAACGTCTATTATTTGTCCGTTCCCCGACCAGTCTCTTTGGAGCACCAACTGACATGAACAGCTTTGAACCCACCGATGATGAAATTGAACCTTTCCCAGTCGGTCTTCGCATGGTCAGTGGGAACAACAGTGCCCGAACACCACCACCTGGCGGCGCTGCCAATGTACTAGACACGAACGCTGGCACCATACAACCCGTTCAATGGACTTGTCCTCGCTCTTCGTACGATCCGCCTTCATACCCTGCAACGTCTGATGGCCTGCATGGCGTCGGCATTCAAGATCCGAATAACAAAGGAGCTGGAGCTGGCTTCCCGGATATGAACTGCGACGGCTACGCGTCCCCTCTGCGAGCTGATATTCACTTCCCTTCATGCTACAACCCTAAAGCTGGCCTGGATGCTTACGAGACCAACATGATATTCCCTAGCAGTAAGGGGACTACTGGCGGTAAGGCGAATTGCCCCGAGGGTTGGATTCACCTTCCGCATATTTTCTACGAGGTATACTGGAATACTCCGCTGTTTGCAGAAATGTGGGAACAGGGACAGGGCTCGCAGCCCTTCATTCTAGCCAACGGGGATCGTACTGGTTATTCTCTTCATGGAGACTTTGTGAGTATTATGCATTTACATATCGCAGATGTAGTGACTAATATAAACATGCAGATTGCTGGTTGGGATGTGGATGTCTTACAGAAGATTATCAAGAACTGCGATGCCGGAGATTCGGGTATGGACAAGTGTGCGGATGCTGGCATGATCAACGATTCCGCCAATAGCTGTAACATTGCAAATCTTGTCCCCGAAAAGATCTCTGGTGTTCTAGAAAAGCTACCTGGTAACAATCCTCCAACTGGATGGGGTCAAGGAGAAGCTGCACTACCCAGTACATCGCAGTCAACAAATCCCAAGGCAACAACCAGCGTGATATCGACATCGAAGACAGAGACCGAGTCTGAGTCAACCACTACATCTAAAGCCTCTACGACCCAAACTGATAATACTAGCTGGTCTTATCTCGGATGCTATTCTGACAATACATCTACCCGAGCATTGAGTGGAGTTCAATTCGCCGACCTGGGCATTGGAAAGGTCACTTCAACTGGCTGCATGAAGTACTGCGGCGACGCAGGCTTCAGCTTGGCAGGCACTGAATACGCTGGACAATGTTTTTGTGGAAACAAGATGGAAGGAAGCTCGAAGATTGCGGCAGAGAATTGCGACATGCAGTGTGAAGGTGACGCCTCTCAAGTTTGCGGCGGTAGCTCAGCCTTAAGTGTGTATGAGCAGGCCGTAAAGATTGAATCGAAGAGAGCGAGTGCACACTTCCGTCGCCATATGCACGGAAAGCATACTTAGCCATGTACTCGCGCTGCGGGCGCAAATGTGTCTCAAGAACGGTCATACTGTAAATAAATCAAGTCTTGTGTTGAGGTCAACGTTGATTTTCCTTCTCCTGGTCGACATTTCTGGTGGGCGAGCGGCACTTGAAACCGGGCTGTCTGACAGCCCGAAAATGGAGATATTCACGGAGCGCTAGCGACCTATTCTGCGTAAGTTAATCGTATTCATGCTTGGCCCTCGAAGCAGTAAATACTACGAACTTTGAAAGTTTGGGCCTGTCTTGGGACGATCGACCCCAAACCGCTGCTGCCGTGGGTAGGCGACCCATTTGCTATTTGCAAGTCTACATCTATTATAGATCTATATCAAGAATCCCGTGAAGAAAAATTCAAGAGCAAAAACATACAACAGCAGGGATTCGCTGGTGGTCACCCACCCAACTACTAACCTGCCGGCGTGTGGCTTAAGTACGGCTGAGCGGACGGGAAGCCCTGTTCTCCACACCCTATGGTCGTATGTGTCTGGAGTTTCGCTGGAGTAAAATACATTCTCGTAACGTTACTAAAAGTAACTGATTGACGGCTGCTTTAGCGTGGCTGGAACAAAGGTGAGAAGGGTGAGTGCGTAATAGGTAGGGTGAGAAGTAGGGTGAGAGTGGGTAACAAATCACCCCGTCGCGCGACGGCCGCATTGACCTTCTTAGCTGAGCGAAAGTAGAATATCACTGGGCCACGATCTCCTTTCTAAAATAGCAAGCATCTTGGCATCTGCATATAGCCCTTGATGGAATGGGGTCCGATTGGGGACCAAATGAAGTGATTTTCGAATTAGTTACCATTTCGTGTATGCTCTGCCCGGTTCTCGTGGCGGGAAAATTCTGTCACGCAAACTGTTGTTTTCGTTGGTCGTTTGCACTTGAGTCAGCTCTTGCACTTGGTTGTTGATCTCGTCGCGTATACCAGTATAGGGGTCGGGAATATTGGCGCTGATACGTCGGGAATGACCGTGGGCAGTATCTGCAGCGCTTTGACGCACACGACGCGTGGCATTCTCTGATAAATCACAGGTGATGCTGTGCCTATGGTAGTAACAATTCGCGCATCCGGACACACTAGCCACGGTGGGCAAAAAAACCTTAGCGAACTGGCTGAAGGTAGGCCAATACATTAAGGTGCCCCATCGAGTGACATTCGGCACGCAAATCTACGGAAATTCTCCTCGGAGCAGGACTGAATTACGCCGTGATGAGCCCAATTGTTAGCAGTCAAAGAGAAATACTCTCGATCCCGGGGGCAGTAGTGTTTGAGCGGCTCCACTCTCTAAAGTATGAACTCCCAAGCTATCACATAGGCCATAGCAAAAAGGATGTACAGTTTGAGTGGAAATTACTGTAGCTTCTCCGTCTTTGCCGCTTTGAAATCAAACGAAGTTCCCACTAGTTTGAAAATCTTGTTTATAAGGTGTACGTCTTTCGAATGCCAGTCCAAAGCACATACTTGGGTCCAATGCTCTCACTGTTTCCCAACGAAGCTTTTTCTCTAGTTTAAGAGGCCGCAAACTTCAACGGGCGTGGGTTTCCCCACGTATCAGATGGCAAGAATCTCCAAGCACCGGCATGTTTGCGGGCAAGCAAGTAATGAATGAGGTGAGTAGATAGTGGTGGCAGTGCTGGCCATTTGTTGCCCCCCCTCGAAGGTAATATCGCGCAGCCCAAGAACCATAGGCGGAACCACACACTGATGTGTATTGATTGACTCATTAGCAAGTTCAGCAAAGGCTTTCACAGAGGGAGAAAAGGGGGGAGCAGCAGGGGGGAATAGAGGAGAAAGTAGAAAGGTTTTACCTTGTTTTGTTTAGCTGCCTCGGCCTCGCACCCTTTGTAGACTTTGAGTAGAGAGGGGCCATCGTAGGTGGCCATAGACAATAGACTGGTGATTTCGTGGACCAGGTGCGCACGAAAGCTAGGGGCCATCTCCTCAATCAAGTTACGTACGGTTGAGACTTGATATTCGTCGGGCCTAGTCTCCCCGTACGCGAGAAGCTTTTTCAGAGCCGGTTGAAAAGTATGGTGCTCCTCGATATTCCCTTGTAGGAAATTGGGCTGTTTCATAGCCTCCTCGAACTGCGGGAACATTTGCTCTTCCTCCATTACATGGTGGTGGGACACCCATCCAGCCCAGCTACGAAGGAAGAACAAGAAGTCTCTGATGTCTTGCGACTCAGATAGGTCAGCTTGGAGGTATAGTGAGTTCAAACCTCGAAGCATCGCATTATGTGCAAAGGCCATCTCATTAGCGATATAGATCGCCGCATGCTTGGACTGTTGCGTTTTGTCTTAGCAGGTGAGCAATAATAGAGGGACAACTGATGGATTTGAGAGGCCTACAACGTCTCGTGTCTTTGAGGGGGTTTCGATCAGGGGCCAAGGACCGTCAGCCCAAGAATGGGCCTCCTGGGAGCGACTTCCGTTGGCAGCCATAACAAAAAATATTGATGCCACAACAGGGTAAAAAAGAATATGTGAATGGGTCAAATGTTGATTAATCAAGGTAAAAGCAAGAAAGGACAATCACGAAGGGCAGGCAGGGGAAGCAAGCTACATATGCAGTGCTGCCTAAGGCATTAATAGGGGATCCTTATAGGTAGACTGCGACATTAAAAATGGACGTGTGGGCTAGGCCTGGGTCTTCGAAGCGAGCGGCGAATCCGTCGAATACGAGTGCTTAGTTTCCCCCTCAGTGTTTCATATTTCCTGCTACCTGTGTGCATACGCGGCAGATTTACACTGCACTGGGACTTGGAGAAGCTCGGGCGCTGGCTTGGAGAGTTGCGTGATGCCATTCAGCCGCTTGAACCTTAATCTGTCACAACTTACCGCTCCTTTACGCACGAACGTGGGTAGCTAAGATAATTCCAGCTTAGTCTCCCTGGCAGCAACTTAGTAGCTCCAGGGTTCCTAATGCAAGTCTCTTGAAGCAGTCCTTCTTTATATAGGATTTCAATACAGCCGGACCAAGGAGATATTGCAAACGAGCCTCAATACTTTATTTCCCTAGTCCTTCTAAATCTCCTCCTGGATATCTCTCTAAACGTCTTTCTCAAAACTCCCGCACAGATAGTTATTACCGCTTGAATGGGCCCCCTTACAGTATCTTCTTGTTTCGGCTGTAGTGACATGGAATTTCATCGAATGGGTAGCGTATGGAGGAAGAGGAGGTTGCTTCCATGAATCCCCGTGATGGGGGTGACATGCATGTCGGGACGAAAGGACCGGAATTTACATACTCATATTCAAAGATGGTAGTCTGTCAGGGGCTTCCTGTTGGGGTCGGCGTGGAAAGGGGCAAGACCAGGGAGGGCATGAATGCTCTCTTCGAGCGACTTTCCTTTCTTAGAACAGTAGTCAGAAATGACTGAGTGAACAGATTCCTACATGTCGATGGACTCCTTGGGGCGCTCCGGGCTGGTGGAGGGCCAGCCAGCGTTAGAACCGGCAGGAAAAACTATAACGGGACAAAGGCAAAGACGGAACGAAGCTTACGGAGTAATTAGGGTTAATTATTAACCAATCCGTGAGGGAACTGAAATAGTTGTTCCTGGTAGGAGACAGTATCTGAAACAATGATATGTATGAGATGCTTGGGTAGAGACGGAGGGCGGAGGGGAGTGGTGGCCCTTGTGAGCTGCAAGTTTTAGATTATGTCTGACAATATTTGCTAATCTGAAACTGAAAGGGACAATCTCTCTACAATGTCGAATAAGACACCAGGAGATTACTAGGTCACTTTATGTATTAGATGGGCTACACAGTCAGGGCAGATAGAGCAATTGATTATGAACGGTATGAGTCGAGACCCCAGCAAGAGGGAGGCCAATATCTACCACATAGTAACTCATACATGGATAACAAAACAAAAATAAGAAATCCCGATCATCTCGTTCGAGCCCAACTATCCTCGGCTTCTTCGGGCCAGGCTTTCTTGCACTTAACGGGGCGCAGGGGGAGATCCAAGAGGCCGGTCATGCCAGCAGCGGGCGTGCTACCTGCTTGCGACCTATCAGTATCTTTGCAAAACAGGCATAGAGTGACGTGGTTAATGGAGTCCGAGTCGCGCCAGGATCTTGCACCGGTTCACAACGTGTTTAAGCCAGACGTGTTGAGCTGACATGATCCTCACCATCCCCTTTCGTTGAAGGGAGATAATGTGACACGTGGCATCCGTTGGGATGGGAGAATACTTTTTTGGCTCGCGCGGGGCCATTGTAGGGAAGATTTCAGGGGAAGGCTTACCTGTGGTCTTCGAGGCATAAGCCTCGCTGGGAGGCCGGGGTCTTGGCGGCAGCCTCTTCTACCAGTCGTTAGTATCCCACTCTGATTCAACAACACGGTCTTAACCAATCCGTCAAAACAGCCGTTCTCGCCAGTCGCTTGCACGAAGGTAGGAAAGGCGTGAGACGTAGCATCCATCGAGCTGGATACTTGTGCATCTAGGCTCGTCTGGGGCAAGGGTAAGGAAGACTCACCCGAGGCCTTCGAGGGACTCGCCTCGCCAGAGGCGGAGGCGGCGGAGGGATCGGGGTTCCCGGCGACATCCTCTGCTAATCGTCAGTACTCCGCCCTTGATCGACGAAACGGCTTGCAGCAATAAATCGAAGCAGCTGATCGATCCAGCATGGGGGCACCATGGACTCGTCCGCCCATCAAGCATGTGAACATCTCAGATGGGGTGATCCATTCATGCTCCGCTCGACCGACCGAGTGCGTCCATTGCGTTGGGGGTTCTACTTACTTTGCGGGCCAAGGGGTCCTGCAACGCGTTAGCCTTCTAAGTGGTGCATACTGGGAAGCTCGTTTCGCAAAACGCCTTTCATCCCGACGCCACGATGATATTTCCCAATCCGCGGTCCAGGCCGGAGCCGATTGGATTCTTCGCCGGCGTCGGAGGGGCACACCTTCCGATGAGCAGCCACATCAACATTGGAAGACAGAACTTACGCTTCTTGCCATAACGCCAGCCATGGTGAGTTCTCTAACGAACACGGGTCGTCTGTATAGCAATCCAGTGTCATGATACGGTCCACCGAGTGGCATGTACGCTGGTCATTTCCCTTCAGTGGTCGGGGCGGAGGTGTGGGGAGCTGGGGGAGCCTGGGGCGGAGGAGGATGCCCAATTGGGGCGGAGGGGCCAGCAGCGGAGGCGGCAAGTTGGACAGCGCGCTCCGTATTAAACGCCGCCGGAGTCTGCGCGGAACTAGCGGAAGACTTCTCGTTATTAGCAACGCTTGATTCATGACTCGACAGCCTCGGGTAGAGTCGGTTCGTATTTGAGATCAAAGACCACAATAAAATCAGACGGAACGTTCGCCACGGCAATCTCAGGTAGGCAGCTTTGATTAGAAGTGAATAGCGTCAATATGTCGATGTGAATGCCGCCATCCGCCGTCTTAAAATCAATCCGTGGTTATGCAGGACCAACGACGTCAACAAGTGTCGAGACGAGTCAAATGATTGACCCAAGGCTTGACCTGGCTTGCCGGATAGGCTGCCCCATGAGACGAGATACATTGAACCCCATATCAAAGAAGCTTCGTTGTCTGTAGAGGCCACTGGACCGATGAGTGTGTGGGCGTCCAGGGAGACGCGATTCTCGTCGCCATCACGCTGCAGCAGCGCTTGACGTGTCGGAATCGGGCACTTGATTGTGGTAGATTGCTGCATGCGGTGGGATCCACGGACAACCACGGCCAGGTAACTCCACAATGTGAAGATGCCGCCAGCTCAAAGGCTCATCGTGCAGGAAGATGGAATTCATGTCGACATCCCGCTGCCGCTGCGTTGAATACAGTGGGTTTGGGAAGGGCTGGGTGATGTGCGTGCGCAAGATGAGAGAGCCACGTCCCGTGGAAGTCTTCTTCTTCTTCTTCCAGCTTTGTCGGCTGGGCATGGTTGCGGGCGGGGGAGGTAGCGTGATTTGTACTGTTAACTTGAAACAAAAACACAAAACACTGGAGGGAAACCAGGGGAGAGTGATGCGAAGACGAGTTGCGGAGGAGAGAAAGGCAGTGAGAGTACGTATACATCGGTCCGAGGTAGGGGGCGCGCTTTCCCCATTTCGAAACACAAAATACGACCAGATGTCGCTGAGTGCCTCGGCGAACCCGCTGTATTTCAATATCTGCCTACACGTCTATTCCATTCCAGTGTCCATCGGACATTGTGGAGCACTGTAGGTAGCCACACCATTGGCGTGTAAATGAGCGGAAGTCTGTATCTAAGTAACACTGCAAATTAAATCTTGTGGGTTTGACACCCTTGATCGACTGTCCTGGAGCCTCATAAGTGTCAGTCGAAGCAACGGCCTATTAGGCCTCTGTCACCCAGATCTCAGTAAGTCAGACTGGAGGCAGTGAGGAATAAGTCGGTGGTACCTACCATGTACTCAGGTAATAGGAAACGGCAACCTCAGGTGCCTAGCCTAGAAGAGTGAGGATTCTCGTTGCTGTTGCCCTCTGAATGCGCTTCCTGAACACCGCATGTTTCCATGATCATCATCACCACCACCACCACCATTACCACCACTATGTCTCACGTCCACCAAAGCTTGGTGCGCGACATTCAGGGATGGCGAACATGCGCCGAATACCTTACTTTATTGCGGAAGAGCCCTGCTGACATCGACGTGATCCCTTCCGCGTCTAACATGAATGAGAGAACCTATATAGCCTTGAGAGTGTTGCGGCCGGATCGCAAAAGCCGGGAAATTTCCAGAGTTCACAAAGGAGCTCACTGAAAGGGCGTTCCAATACTTGGCACGGGACACACCGTTTCAGAATTACCTGGACCATATCGGCAATGCAGAGCGCGATGTTGCGGGACAGGTAGAACTGGTCGCTTTCAGCTTTTGCGGGACTGTCAGCTCGAGATTCTTTCCTTGACCCCAGACGAGACCCTCGACACACCAGAAGTTGATATTCCGGCCGCTCCACAAGCCGGGACTGGAATCAACGTGCCTGTCCGACGCTCGGGTCGTACTCACCACCCGTCGCGTTATTACCAGAGCTCCAGCTCCAGCTCTTCCGGTTCATATGGCGGAATTCGTCCGGTCTTCGCATCCGCTATCACTGCTGCTTCGGCTCAAGAGGGAGTGGTTTTCCAAAAGGTAAAAGACGAGCAAATCGTCCACGAGGGCGTGATGTCGCTGCTGAGGGCACTCACGATAACTATCGTCGATGTTAGATGCCGATGGACGTCCCATCCCAACCCGTTCTCCTCGGTTGAGCTGGGTCCCGAAGGGCGTAGCAAGAAGCTGACGGCATTGACCGACGGATACCTGGAAGGCATAAGTGGGCCGAAGAGAATCTATGCTCTTGTTGAGGCGAAAGCAGCCATTCGCCACAGAATCGCACGCCCGGAGGTCCTTTGGCAGGAGGCGGCCGAGATCATCGCTTGGATCATGACGGACCCCTTGGGGAGCTACCCGGAGTGTCTTAAAGATATGATCCCAGACGACAAAGATGCGGGACGCGGCTCTTGGTATGTGAGACTGAACGTCGAAGAACACGAGATCGAATGCTGATGAGCTCTCATAGCCGTATGCTTATCTCTCAGGACCACAAAGAGATATTCATGACTATCGCCTCATATTCCGCGACATATACGCAGTACTTGCAGGGAACAAAAGGGCAGCACGCAGACTTCCTGACCTTGTACGAATATGGACCGTGGCGGATCCAGTCACGCACCCACATGGAGCATTTCGCACGCTTGGTTGTGGGGTTCTGCATGGCGATCTCGGATGACGATAAGAATAACCTCGACATCCAGATGCATGACGCCTGAACGTGAACATGTCGCGTGCCCCTAGAAACAGGGCCTGCGTGTCCCCGACATGATGTGAGCCCGAGAAATAGGGCCTGCGTGTCCCAACAGCAACGAGCATGGGCCCCTCCGTGGCGCTGTTAACTAGTAGCCTCTTCTTGAGGTGAAGCCAACACGTGCTCCGAACCGTTATAAACTGATACCACTTAACAACAACTAACAATTCGGGGGTCAGTATCACTGCGAACGATCGGAGAAACACGAAATCAAAAAGCGAATGATCATTAGCATCGTTGACTATACTTAAGAATTATAGCAGTGCCGAGAAAAGGGCGACGTTTCAGTGCTGAGATCTAACTTACCTGCCTCGTAGCACGATGTAAAAGTTCATGGGGCAGCAGACTCCCCGTGGCAGCGTCTATCTCACAAACAGTCAGTCATACATGGCAATGCAATAATCTATGTGAAGTCACGGCATGGAATAAATAAGGATGAGACTGTGGCTATGGTACACGTGACCCAAGGGCATGTCAGAATTGAGATCACATGACTAGTATGGTATTGAAAAGTGCCATTGACATTCTTAGTCTAGCGGTCAGATCTCCAACAGGCCACTATACCAAATTCAACCGAGAATCCGAGGGCAGTGACGTCGCCCGCGTGTCGTACTTTTCCTTACTGGCTCCGTTCAACCAAATTAGGCAACTCCCTACATTCTGGAACAGCCTTCGATAGTGTCCTCTCGGGGTAATCATAGTCACGTGCAAGCTGGACGGGCGACACACGCAGTGCCGACAGGTACGAGGGTACGTTACCCACCACCTGCGTCGATAGTCACGGTTTGCATCTTGGAGGTGAACCTGGAAGGGGTGCGCAGCGTTTCCCGAAGGACAGCCGCTTGAATAACGTCTGGGTGTTCCAACACTCATATCATCAATTCCGTCTCACCAGCGTCATCTGACGTGCTCATATCGTTCTCTCTCGATGCGTGCCCCACCTGTCGAGACGGATTCGAAAGCAAGACACAGGGCGAGAGTCAGGGCCCGAGAAATTCTCTGGGCAACATATCGGCAAATCGAAGATTGCCAATCTATCTTCCTCTCACCCACCGACTTGCAGGCTTTCGGCGTTGAGGCATATCAAGTAGACATCAAAGACGATGGTGTTCTACAATTTGAGCCTAGTTTCTTCGATCCCCATCCGGCGGGTATCCTTCAAAAATATCCAATCGATGCTGCCGCAAACGACTATGATGTCCGTCGGTTGCCATGCGTTCCTACGCTCCAAGACGCCCTCGAGACGGTACAAAAGAGCCTCCCTGTCCCGGAAGACCCTCTTAGAGCGGCTCAGAATTTGCTTGAGGAGAGACTTAAAAAATACCACTTCTGGGATGACACTCACTGTAGTCGGATTGAAAACCATATCAGATACGAGTTCGGGGCAACACGAAAGGGTGGACCCCCAACTTTTGGTCTTGGCGATCTCCGCGGCTCATGGGAGGGGATGTACGTGAATAACTGAATCCCCGCACTATGACTAATTTATGATACTAAATCTTTCGTAGACGCACAACATATGGGGACCCGGTTATGCTTGAAGCAATGCCTCTGGATTGGAAATCCGCGTTATTTCTAGAAGCCCATGACGAAACTTCACCTCTTCCACATGCTATTTGCACTATCTCTGCGGACGTCGATGCGACACTTGCAGATCAGAACCTTACTCTCCACGAGATGAGAGCTATTATGAGAATGATAATTATTAGAGCTCGTGGGCCTCGCCGAAAATATCCCATCTACCCAGTGAGTGCCTATAATATATAGCGGAACAGAAGACTAATTACCATTGTACCTTGTAGTTTTTGCTTCTCTCATTTATGGGTAAGCAGCATGGCAGAATCACTCAAATTGTCGTTGAAGAAGGGCGAATTGTGCTCCAGTATTCCAAACTCTGGAGCTTTGAGGTCGAAGCTACAGCGCCATTGGATCTTTTCATTTGCTACATGCTCAGTCAGCCCATCGGGCTCAAGAGGCCTTCTTCCGCTGGCTCCCGCTTGCGTTTAGATCCCGTTACTGGCATGCCTTTGGCATAGTCGTCGGGGCTGGAGACACACGGGGCAGAGCAAGTTGCTATGTCTTTGCATACTTCGGGATTGCTCGGATCGTTCTACCTGATATTTGCGCGAACCACTTACGGACTGATCCGTGAGTCATTGCACAGAAATACTGTTTCTCTCACATTTGACAATCAAGGATAGCTATTGAATACAGAACAAAGGTTAGCTAGAATTAATATCACTATCTCTGTATCAAATTCCCTTCAAACCAGTGCAGCGGATAAGACCTCGGTGAGTATCAGTGGCTCACCATTGCGCATCCAGTCTTGCTTCTGGGCCTCGTAGCGGCTGCGCTACTCCGAGTCCATCGCCCTGCCCGTGTATGACGGCCTCTGCCATGCCTCGCATCTCGACGACAAGGAGACTCCACCGCCGCCACACAGTGCCGGATCGAGACTTTCGCACCTCCTTAGTCTTCAAGAGTCTGGTGAGCGCCCTGGAGGCCGCGTTTCCCAACCTGACTATCCACACCACCGATCTCATCCCTTGGGTGCTGCAGGACTACGGTCCGCGACAGCCTCGGTCGTACGCGGAGTCGAAACTGGCCATCGTCGGCATGGCCTGCCGCACGCCCCGGGGGAGCAACGATCTCGACCTATTCTGAGAGCTGCTTGAGCAGGGTCGCGATGTCCACACGACGGTGCCCCCGGACCGATTCGACTTGAAGACGCACTACGATCCGACGGGACACAAAAACAGGGTAAAATCTGCCAACGGGAGCCAAAAGATCGCACATTTTGCCGGCGAAAATCCTCAGCAAAACAACGAAGAGGCCCGGGAGCAAGGTCGCTTGCGAGTGCCAGTTGGCGTAGTTATCTGTCTTCTGGGCACTGTAACGCTGCAAACTACTGGCCTCGGAACGCGAGTCTTGACCTAGCACTCGTAGTGAGGGCCCTATGACTCGCGCTTTTCCGAGAGCTCAGGCGCGACTTCATAAGATCAAGTATTGGGGGGTTTCTGCTCTGCTCCTCACCTGCCGCTAAGGCATAACCCCTTGATTTTGGGCATCTTGCCTTTGCCCTCGATGACCAAATTAAATTCCCTCTCCATGTGCTGATCTATAAGCCTCATATTACTACTCAGGCTATCACTTGAAACAGTTGATTGTTTGATAGCTCAAGGTCTCAAGGTGCTTGAATCAAGACAAAACGTTGGTTTTTGACCCTAGTGTGACGGCTCGGGTATCTGTTTAGGTGTGACCTCTTTCTGTGTAAGGTGCAGAAACATTCGCATTACATAACTCCGGTTCAATTGACCAGAAATTAGTTTTGAGCAGTGACAAGCAAATAGATGTTCATGATCATCGCTCATCCATCTCAAGATCCTTAGACTAGGACCAAGGATAGTCATCACATATATAGAATCAATCGCGTGCGGAAATCGCCTTCCACTCCGCAAACTCAAAATACGCCGGGTCAAAGCATGGTTTATCATAAGCACCCTAGGCATAGATCGCAAAATGGGCCCGGTCTTAGGCAATTCCTTTCCCGGTCTGCGATTCGTCAATGCTATGCTGGAGATCTCACCCAACTTGACGAGGCCGGTGATTTGTTCTGCTTCTTACACGGAGAAGTAAAGTTCATATCCTGCGGGGTATGCGCGGATGACAATCTCAATAGGGTGACCCTACTCGGTATACGCCCTGACTTGTATCCTTCCATACTCCATTAGATATTGCAATGACTTCTATGAGTGGCAGTGTCTTAGTTGAATCGGATCCATATGATGATGGCAAGAAGGAAACCTCTTCAGAGATGGTCGAGACAGCCTCCCATACCCACGGACCTGCTGAAGTGGTGGAGGGCGCATGGGTTTCCGCGAAGAAACATCCCAAAGTGATACTCTACAGTGTCGCTGCTTGTGTGAGCTCAATGCTTTGGGGATTTGACCTTGGTATGAGCCTGCCCTTGTTGTGCATCAAGAGCCAGTTCATCTGACTGGGAACTTTTCACAATTTAAGGAGTCAACTCCATAAAGGTTGCACTGTCGGAATATAAAATGGTCTTTGGCTATGAGTATAGAGATGACCTGTTGATCTCAGCCACCTGGAATGCTCTTTGGACAGCGATAACATCGCTTGGAATGTTAATTGGGTGGGTCACTAATATACCCTTACACTTGATTGATAGGGCTCAGAATCTCGAATCTAACACTGTACAGGGAGTATCATCTGTGGGTTGGTATCAGGTCGTGGCGGTCGGAGACTGGGGTTTGCAATAGGTTCTGCAATCTCTCTGCTCGGAGTTGGCCTTGAATATGCTGCCAGCAAGCCTGACATGCTTCTGGCTGGTAAAATTGTAAAGTCTCGTCTTTCTCATGCAATGTTGTCTACGTGAACTCATCGTCTGTGTCTAGATCAACGGCCTGTCTCTTGGCTTCTTCCTTGCCCTGGGCTCCACATATGCGTCTGAGATCGCACCTACTGCCCTGTGCCCTTCCTTAACAGCCGCTGTCGACCTTTTTATCATCGCCGGTCAACTTATGGCCATCGGCATTGGGAACACTGGCTTCGCTATACTGACCCCAGCATCATATAAGGTGATTTTTTGCTGCGCAGTGGTCATTTCCCTGTTTCATCGCCTTGGTTGCTTTCTTCATGCCCGAAAGCCCTTGGCATCTCTGCCGTAAAGATCACATCGAAGCGGCGAAGAAGAGTCTACAGAGGCTACATCTGAAGACCACCGACACAGGCTTGATTCTGAAGGATATTTAGTCTTCGATTGCTGCCGAGAATGCTATCGCAGATATTCAAAAGGACGCATCGTACTGGGATTGTTTCAGGGGCACCAATTGGCTTAGGACTCGCATCTCCTGTGGAATGTTCGCCGTGCAAAAATTCACCGGTATCGCATTTTACTCGCAGGCTTTGTATCTCCTGGGGATATCTGGTCTGCCCACCGCTCTTACCTCTCAGCTGGCTTTCGGGGGCTTCGGGGTAGCCATGTTAGGAAACATCGTCTCGTGATTCATCATGAATTATGTTGGTAGATTCTTCCTATACCCACGGACCCGCTGGGTTCTGGAATTTATGCATTGTCTTATTAGGACGCCGACCCCTTCTTTTGACTGGTTTCGTTCTCGACGCCCTTTGTCTGATGTCTGTTGGGACTGCCGATTGTTTCACCACTTTCGCCGCTATGTACTACATCGGATATGTCATGAACTTCGCCCGATTGTTCTATGCTCCCACAGTCGGGGCCGTCAGTTGGACGATCAGCGCTGAAGTCAGTTCGGTCAAGTTCCGAGCGAAAACGGAAAGCTTGGCGATCGTCACCAACGCATTCGTCAGCTGGGTGATGAACTTCATTACCCTCTATCTCATTAACACTGATCAGGGTAAGCACTTCAGATAATCGATCTTCGATAACTACGAGCTAATAAACCCTATCTTAGCTAACCTAGGAGGTAAAGCTACATTTATATAGATAGCTCTCAGTTTTTCAAGTTAATTTTGGGCTTAGTTTCAGGTCCCAGAGCTTAAGGGCCGCACTTTCGGCGAGCTCGACGATATCTTTACCCAAAAGATCCTGACTAGACATTTCAAAAAGGCGAAGGCTGATTACAACGAAAGACATAAAGATGCTTAATTTATTCAATTCCTTATCAATCAAGTTAGGAGAGTCTTATATCAATGCAAGACCAGACCTCACACTTCTCGCAAATATCGAAATCCAAAAAAAAAATTCTGACTACTTTCTAATACTAAAGCGTCCATTTCTTCTCCTTCGAATTGGAGCCACGAAAAGTCTCTGCTAAAATTTTGAACAAATATAAAAAACATACAACAGTAGGGATTCGCTGGTGGTCACCCACCCAACTACTAACCTACCGGCGTGTGGCTTAAGTACGGCTGAGCGGACGGGAAGCCCTGTTTTCCACACCCTATGGTCGTATGTACTGATCAAACTGTTCTCATGGAACCTATCCTTTTGATGAACATACCGAGTCGAGTGGTGTCGCTCGAGTAAGAAATTGATGAGCGCCGCTTTAGCTTCACGCGGCCCGGGTCTCGGAAATATTTCTTGCAAATCTCGACTCATATTATAATGGATGAATTCGCTTGAAAAAGTAATGTGAGATAGATCTTGATGACTTAAAAAAGGCCTCTAGAATTAACTGGCCAAGTCTGCTTCCACTCGGTGAAACACGAAAGCAGGCGCGACAAGGACGGAAAAAAGATCGTAGGAAAAAGCAAAAATCAAGCCTGAATAGTGGCCTACGGTACGCGATTGAAAGACAGCATAGTTAGAGGTCACTGCAGAAACTCAGAAAGAGCTAGTAGTGCCACTGAGATACTTTAACTTCCCTTGCTTTGGCAGGGCGCCATTGCTAAAGCCTGATTATTGCTAATACGAGATCATCGCTTCGCGTCAGCTATGAGGCCTTAGCTTCCTTCGGTCTGTCTGCCTTGGCCATTGCACAGGTTCCAAGCCACACTAGCCTCATTACAAACTTGCTTTCTTCCTGTACACGGGCAATATCACCCTGCGTCATGTGGCGCGCAGGTATGGACCGCAGTGTATTAGCAGCCGACATAAGAAGCTCCAAATCAATCTGCGCCTGTGGATCGAAGGGATGAATGACGATGTTAAGGAAGAGTGACATGACGGCGGTAGTCAAATAGGATGTGAGGAACCTGTATGGCCATTCTCAGTATCTTACATGTCCTATTCTCTCAGCCGCTCGAAAGAAAGCGGCGGATCAAAGTAGAAGAAAAGGCGGACAATACTTACCGAAATGCTTGTTCTGCAACTATGCTGGCGAGAGCTCTCAGACATGAAAGCGTTGACCGGCTCGCTGCGAGAGAAATATCGAAGCTCGAATGAACTACGGCGTGAAGATCCTCGATCACATCAGCAGCATCGGGAGTGCATTTCCTTACTGTCGTGTGGACGACAGTCATGAGATGGTGATATTCCAGTTGTAAGGATATGCGCCTAATTATTTGCGGAATGTCCTGTTCGGATACACACGAATAAGTATTATGAGAGACGAAAAGCGCAGGTCGGAGACCGTCAGGGATGGATAATCGCCAGCACTCGATTTCATCGTCCAGTTTCCTGATATGGAGGAGAAGTTGTTCATCGTTATGCTTCAAGGCTTGGGCAGAGAAGAGTTGCTGGCACACAGTCTCTTTTAGGTAGCTCAGCCGAAGATCTCCGGGGAAATTGGGGGTGAGGTACTCCCGTGATTGATCAGTAGCGTTGTAGGGATAATTCAGCCCTGGTAAGTATGTATCATAATGTGAGACGACATCAGGCGCTGTCAGGTCACAATAACCCTCAGTGAGAAGGGGGGGGATTTCCGGAGCGAAGCGAAATGTCTTTGTCGAGCATATAGCATAACCAGAACAGCATTCGTATTTGGTGGTTTTCGCGGTCCATGCGGGACATATCGCGCGCATAGAGGATTGATGGCTTGAAGATGTGCCCCCGCAAGGAGCAGACTATGCGACAGGCCATGGAATGTAAGAATGCAGCACTGTGCCAATGGCCACTGAACGTATGTCGTAATTGCTAAAGTATGAATTGAGCATAGGTTTCAAGGGAAATGAGGTTGTGTGAGACCGGAATTTGGTCTTACCAGTAAAAGTATTGTCTGAAGCGTCTCTAAGCTGATATTACCGGTAAGGTGCATAAGAAGGGCATTCGCCTTGGCCGCACACACGCCTGGGTCTATCGATGGGGTGCTCTGATGGGGATTATGTGACCAAATAGCAATAGAAAGAGCGGCCAAAACACACGCCCTGGCTGCAGCTTCTGAGGGCGTAATCCTATATGTATCCATAGGCTTGTACGCAGTGTGCAGAGTTGTCTCAAACAAAGCTTGGTCCAGGACTGGGAAGGTCAGTGTGAATGGAGACCGCAAAAACTCCTTCAAAACTCCTCGCGTGGAACTTTGGTCAGGTAAGTCACAGACCTCTTGAAAGGATAATGAAGGAAGAGCTGAAAGAGTCGAGGGCTCCATCATAGGGACACAGAATTCGGCCCATTTCACATCTTGATCGGTTCTTTTTGAGAGCCACTGGCGACCTGCTTCTGAGAAAATGGGCATACCATTGAAAAACCAGTTAGGTCCCAATTGATACGTGCCCACGCTGGTCCCGCCGTCATCATGGGCAGTAGCAGATTTAGGAGTGTCGGAGGCTGTTTTCGGAGAGGCTAATGAGGATGTAGAGCTTTGGAAAAACACGACTTGCTCCCTGCCACTTGGCAAGGTGGAGATCAGAGGGGAGTCGTCACTTGAGGAATCAGGGATCCGGGACTCTTTGGGATCGGCCAAATCTTGACGCGTCGACTCCTGTCTGTGCTCAGCTTGGGTCAGAGCACTCTCGAGCTGCTGAATACGCTTCAGTAGGGTCTGTACGTCGCTTGATGATTCCCTGCAACAAGATGACCGGACGAACTATGAGTTAGAGGGAAACCTATATGTGTACGATCCTGAACCTAGCGCAAAGGAGAAATCACATACCCGGTGCGCTGCTTCTTTGAAGGTCTCTCCCGATCAAAAGTACACTCGAGGTTGCGATAAGCGCAACGCTCGCAAGGACCTTTGGGGTCAGGAACCGAGCACACCGTCTAAATAGGGAAGCGGGGTCAGGGTCAGTAGAGCCAGTAAACAACACAGGGAGCCAACCATGGGGCACGTCGAAGACTGTGGCTTACCTTTTTCGCATAACATATATCGCACGCTCTCTTGGAGATAAATGCTTTTTTAGGAGGCATAGCCGCGAAGAGCGATTGAACGGCACTTGGGTGTCGCGGAGGGAGATTCCGGAGGTTTCGGAGGTTTCGGAGGTCGTGCTCTTTGCCCACGCAACTATTGGAGCTGCTCCGAAACTCCCGAAACCGCCGGATTCTCCGAAATCTCCGGACGATCGCTTGGATCTTAACAATGTCGATCCGAGTCGGGACAATGCATGTCTCTTATAAAGAGATGTCTTCCCTGACATCTTCTTGGATGTGATGGTATGCACTACAACCCGGAATCCTGACCAAATCTCTTCTCAATGGCGAGAATTGTTTCCAAGTGCCACAAGCTTCTGGAGTGTGAGATTCTTCGTCGCTCCTCACAGATTATTTCGGTCGTTGGGGATCGAGCCTACATCTTTGGTGGGGAACTGCGACCGCGCGAGCCTCGGGACAATGATGTACACGCGGTTTTGTTGAGCAGTGAGTTGCGAGGCGTTGATCAACCTTGAATGCGAGAGTCCTGAGATTGACGACGACGCTGAAACCCATTGCCTAAACCTAGATAATGCCTCGATTAATTCCGAGCCTGCGACAAGCCATTCGCCTTCCCCGCGCGTTGGATCTGCATCTTGTACACTGAACAGCAAGATCTACATTTTCTCTGGCCGTGGCGGTGTTGCGATGGCACCTCTTGAGGAGCAGGGCGCGGTCTGGGAGTTCGACCCTGCTGTGGCACGCTGGTCGTGCATCTTGCCATCGGACGGGAGTCCAAAGGCGTTCCCGGTGGCACGCAGCTATCATTGCATGGCTAGTGATGGGAGAGATACCATTTACCTGCATGCAGGTTGTCCTGAGAAGGGAAGGTTATCGGACTTGTGGGCTTTTAGCGTCTCCCGGAGAAAATGGACAGAACTTGCCCCAGCATGTGATCCTCCGCGTGGAGGTAGTTCGATTGCCTTTACAGATAACAACTTGTACCGGATGAATGGGTTTGATGGGATTACCGAACAAGGAGGGAGCGTGGACATTTACTCCCCTGAAACAAAGTCTTGGGCTTCGCACGTTTATTCACCTGATGGCAAAGTAGGCCCGACCCCGCGAAGCGTGAGTTGTTTGCTGCCGATTCGCTTGGGAGACCGGTCATTGTTGATCACCTTGTTTGGTGAGCATGACCCGAGTTCATTGGGTCATCAAGGGGCAGGAAAGATGTTGAGTGACATGTGGGCATTTGACATCAGAACTAAAACATGGGAGGAAGTTGTTCCGGGGGAGATAAATGTCCACTCGCACGGGGCTGGTTCGGTGCTGATGTCGTCGGTACAGATACGATTGTGATTCATGGTGGACTGGGAGAGTCGAATGACCGATTGGGGGACGTGTGGACCATTAAACTCGCTTGATCTTTGAATGGGAAGACTCGCAATTGATCTTCGCTGCAAGGCAGCATTACTTGCTGATCATAGACCGAGAAGCTCTTATGGTCGAAAGGTCCTTTCCTAAATGCAATGATATATCTCTAGTTCAATACGCGCGCATACTTTGGAAGGAATCTAAACTGCCTTAGAGATTGGACATTACGGCTGAGATTCGATATTACGTTTTTAAGGCGAGCCATGGAGAGTCATCTTACCACCATCTTTCCCAGTGATCTTCGGCGTTATGGTCAAAAAAGCCGATGAGATTGTGCAGGAATTTAATGACTTGGTACGTAAGTAAAAAAACAAAAACATACAACAGCAGGGATTCGCTGGTGGTCACCCACCCAACTACTAACCTGCCGGCGTGTGGCTTAAGTACGGCTGAGCGGACGGGAAGCCCTGTTCTCCACACCCTATGGTCGTATGTGCTTTTAAAGAAATTTCTTCGTATTTTATTTAACAATTTACAGAATCCTCGTAGTAATTAGGGGCTATGAACTTAATGATAGCCATCGCTAGTGCAATCAAAACTAACGAAGAGTCACAATATACTAGTGCTTAAGAAAATGTTTCGAAGATTTTAGACATTATCAATAGCGACTTCGGAGCTGTCTTTCTTCCATTGTATTTAAATCTATGTACTGTGGGTGATATGATATATATCCGAGGTGCTACATCCCAAGTCATGCCTGGGTCCCTTTCTGATTTCGACTGCAGGTGACTGCCTAGCCTTCGACACCTGGAAGTGGCCACATTTGAGACTCGCTAGATCTAGCATCCCGGAGAATTGAATAAACTGGAAGACATATCCGTGCTCAGGCTCCATCTCCTAAAACCCCTTCACTATCAGTCATCTTGGAAGTTACCATTTTTGGTCTCATCTTCCTAAATTTGCCCCATCTCTTAACTTTTCTCATTTGAAACCAGACATATATACCTACTTCTTTCTTCTTTTACTCGCAATACCTGGATTTCTTCGGGGGTGGGATTCCGACAAGTCGCGCTCTCGCATCATTTGGCAGAAACCCTCCCCCTTCCGGTCCAAGTGAAGCCCATAATTTGCCCATCTCCGGATGTTTAAGATTTTCAGATGCCGACATACAGCTTGGCGCACAAGAGTGACATCAAAGCAGCCACCATTGTCCTTAGAGAGACCAAAGGAGAAGTTCAGGAACTCGTCCGTCGGCCCCCCGGCCAATCCTAGGCCTTTGCCGGCGAGGATTTCCGCAACCGCCCAGGCCCGTCCTGACCCCTCAGTGGAACGAAGCACGAAAGACTCATGCGCAAGCCCCGCATGAAGGCTGATCGAAGCAATTTAAAGGGACCCGACAGAGACTTCAGGGTGGATTTGAATGGATTCGAAATAATGGGGCTTGCACCGGGATCAAGGATCAAAGTCGTTCTGTCGTGTCGGGTGGGGTTTCCATTTCGGTACCCACAGCCGTTGTCTAGGCCGGCAGTTGACTCTCAGATGGTGATTTCATGACAAAAGACCAAGAGCAATTGCCAAGATGCGTTATTTGTTGACGAACATTGGCAGCTGTCATTGTATGGGCAGATGTATTGATGATGTTCATATCATCCAAGAAAGACCCAGGTCTGGTTATGGATGGTGATTTGACTATCCAGACTTGCACCACGCCACTGGACTTGAGCTGCGTCAGCGCCAAAGCGTTCAGGAACTCCAAAAATTGTTCCGCGGTTCCGATTTATTATTGCTCACCCTTTTGGTTCCTTAGTGGATGTGATTGGCCAAAGATGCGTAATTGCCCTGCCAAGACTCCACAAAATAATTTAATTGGTTGAATAAAGGCTGGAATGAACCAATCGTGATACTTTGTAGCTTGCCCTGATTCCCCACTCGGGCCAATCCAAGGAACACCACCGTGGCCCGGAGCTGAGAAGAAAAAAGAAGTCGCATTCGCTTCATTCAGGAGACTCTCTGTGTGGTGCTTTGTATCTTTACCCTTTGAATGCTTTGTACCCAATAAAGTAGCCAATCCAGGTATTTCGAGGGCACAGCAAAATCGGCATGTAATGGTGATGCACTTCACTCCACTTTGGCCTAGAATCAATCCAACGTAATCCAATCCCATGTAGCTACTAAGTCTCTAGTCTCCGATCGCTCTCCATTGCCGACGAATCCCCTTTCCCCACTGTATATCCACCGAGTCCGGTCGACCTTTCCATCTAGCCACCGTTGAAAAAGTTTAACAGCGGTTCCCACCTCGAACGGGGCTTGGCCGAGCGTGCGACCTGTGTGTTCATCCCAGCACGTCCCAAAATTCCATTGATCAATCGCTTTTCAGGAGCCAACACAAAGACCAGTCATGCTAACCAAGGACGGAGCCAAAAGTATAATGGTCTCCCGTAGCTATCCTCACGAGAGCGTACCCTGGGTCTCCTTGCGGCCCCTGACCATCCAGTCCGAAGTGTTCCTCGGTCAAGCCAGAGATCCACAAACCAATGCTGATGGGATGCGAATATAGAATCCGCCTTTGACTCGCCGGCAACTTGAGAATGGCCACCGTCCAACGTCTCCACCTTTGGACCCGCGGATGGGAACCCGATCTCCTTTGCCAATAGTCGGACTCAATTTCAAGCGGATTCGCCAATCGAGTCACGTCAACCCACTCGATGGCCATTCTTCTAGGGCTTCTTTCTGTCTAGAGCCCAATGCTGCCACTTTACCCTAATTCGCCGCTCTTGACGTACACCCCTGCCCCTCATTTCAGCTCGAGACTTCCATGGATGTCTCTCCCCAGGTACCAGGCACAATGGCTTGCAACTGGGTTCCAGACTTCGTTGCGAAGAGGCAATGGGTGATGGCGGGACCCCCGTCAGATTCTGATTCTCCCTCTTGGGTGAAGTTATTTAAATCTGTCACATCACCCTGTTTTCGTTTTCTCTTGTCAAACCACTCACACTCTCTTCAAAGAACTACACTCCTTTATAGTTTCGAAGTCATCCTACTTCAAGTCATTCCTTTTGACACACTCTTTTGATCCTTTGGACTCTTATTGTCTTTCTTTTCTACACGGTCTTCACCAAGTCAACCTACTCCAAAAAAAAATGCAGTTCACCAAGTCCATTCTGCTCCTCGCAGGCCTCGCTACCAGCACCTTCGCTGTTCCCCATCCCCATGGTTTCCAGCGCCGCCAGGCCAGCGCCACCACCGCCCCTGCTTCTTTTGCTTCATCTTCTTCTTCCGACTCTGCCTGGACGAGCCTCCCCGCCTCCGGTGCCGCATCTACCGCTGGATTCGGCGCCACCACTGGCTCCTCCGGTAGCGACGTGACCTACTCCGGTAACGTTGGCAACCCTTACGGCTCCAACATCATCCAAGTCTCTGCCTCCGAGGCCAACCAGTACAAGTACGTCGCCCAGTTCCAGGGTCAAAACACCGACGACTGGACTGTCGTCATCTGGAACAAGTATGGTCCCGATGGCACGATGGACGGCTGGTACGGTAACGCCTGCCAGAGCTTCACCCTGTCTCCCGGCGCCACCGTCTACATCGCCTTTGACGATGACTCCCAGGGTGGCTGGGCCGCCGCCGAGGGCTCGTCGATCCCCACTGACTCCAACGGTGGCTACGCTGCCACCTGGGGTGAGTTCGACTTTGGCTCCACCACCAACAACGGCTGGTCTGGCTTCGATGTCTCCGAGATCCAGGCGGTCAACGCTGGCTTCTCTGTCCAGGGTATGAAGATCTGCGATGCTATCGGTGGAACCTGCTCTTCCATCACTACTGGTGGTGGCAGCGTGGACAACGCCTACACCCCCGCCGAGACTGCCGTGGGTGGCATCGGTGGCAACCTGCCCTCTGGCAACGGCGTTCGTCTGGCTGTCACCATTGACTACAGCGGCTAAGCAGATCGTTTGTTGATGTGTGAAATGAATTCCTATAGACTTGCCTTTTTTTTTTTGTTGTTGCTTGTTGTGAGGGGGATTCGGCCTATACCCACATGTTCCGATTACGGATTTCTACTTTCTATGTCGATATAGAAAACCTAGGCTGGTCCTTTTTTTGTGATTCACTCTTTTTTTTCCCCTCAAAAACCTCAATTTCAGACTGGTTCGAATGACTCTTGACTCGGATTCTTCCCATTGAGTAGTTTCTTCATTGGATTGTGCTGTGGCGTCCGTAACCGCATAGTGTTGCATTCTTAGGAATGCAATTGACTAACCGCTTTTGGATAAGCGCGGCGAATTCGTCACTGTCGGATCATCAAGCCGGCTAGTCGTCGCCAGCCCATGTTTCAGATCGTTCTAGACCCTCAAAGGTTGCAATTCACACGTCGTTGTTGGAAGAATCGCGGCGCTTCAGGGGGCGCTTCCACGCGTCTACAGCTGGGTTGGAAACACGGCTCTTAGCCCTGTCTACTTTTCTCTGCGCCCTACACAACCCATCCGCAGTGCGATGGTCCCAACAGATTCGAGACTAGGGATGGCGCATTATTATAATCCAATGATATCTGGCTCTCCGTCCAAGGCTATCTGCCGGATTCACTTTGAGTGCAATTCTGTCGCAAGCTTCCGGGTTCCATCAATCGATCAACACGGCACCCACGACTTGACAATTTGAGAAAAAGCGACAGCACAGTCCAGTACCCAGGTGCTTCTCTTCAATGATACGAATTCACGATATGGACAAACACATCACCTCCGGTGCATTCCCCACTACCAATAGCTTTCCCATTTACAGGAGCGCAGCACTGTCATAATGCCCAATCTCATTCACGCCGCTCAAGACACGCGCAGTAAACCTATCGTAGACATAGTCATGTCGAATTCCAGAACAAAATTTATCTCATTGAGACTTGCATTCATACCATGAGATATAGATAAAATCATTACCGACCGTCATATCCGCTATTTATCAATCTGAACAAAAAGCTACCTCTTCACCACTATTTTACTTCTGGCGCTTGCTCATCAAAATCCAAAAGTCCAGCGGCTTGATGCTGAACGCGCCATTGGCGTGTAATTGATAGTTCTTGTCAGCGAATTCAAAGGTATTCTCCTTGATGATGCTCGCGAGGGTGAAGAACGACCATTGCCAAGCCCATAGCTTTCCAGTGCACTCGCGCTTGCCGTTGCCAAAGCCCTTTTTAGCAGAGGCGGGGAGTTTATCCCACTTGTCGCCGATCACACGCTCGGGGCGGAATTCTTCGGCGTCCTCACCGAAGACGGACTTGTCGCGATTAACGGCACTGAGGATGGCGATCATAGGCTGGTTGTGTGGGATTTGGTACTCGCCACCAGCGAGCAGAACGGGTGCCTTGCTATCAGAGGGGATGGGCTCAATATTGAAGCCTGGGGCTGTAGCAGAGAGACGGATGGTTTCGCGGAGGCAAGCTTCCACGTAGTCAAGTTGCTTCAGGTGAGCGAGGTCGATGGGTCCGTCTCCCACAACGGAGTCAATTTCCTCGCAGGCCTTCTTGTGCGCTTCCGGGTTCTTGATCAAGTAGTAAATGGCATAGGAGAGCAAGTTGGCGGCCGTGGCAGCGCCGATGAAAATGGTGATGATCTCGTCGAGCATCTGGGAGTCCGTGAGCTTCTCGCCGCTCACGGGGTCGACACGGTTGATGATCGCATCCAGCATGTCCTTGCGGGATTGCTCGGGGTTGTTCTTGCGGCTGTTGACGATATCTCTGGCGTACGAGCGCATCGTCTTGGTGAAGCTAGAGAAACGGCTCTGGTACAGCCAGTTGAGGACCTTCGGGCGAGTTGGGCGCTTCAGCGCCTCCATTGTGGCACCTTCCCAGCCCTGTACCATAGCCCAGCCCTTGGTGGCTTCCTCGCCCTTTTCCAGAACGTGAACACGTTGATTGAAGAAGCACTTCATACAGGACGCCAACAGGATCAGATCCAAGTCGTCCGACGCCTTGACCTTTTGCTTGGGACTGGCGCTCCATTTCGTAGTCAAGTCGGGAATTACTTCGGCCATGTCGTTGAAGACTGCATCGGTTGCTTCCTGGGTGACGTGCGGGTACATAATACCATGGGCGATGCCCCAGCTCTTTTCGCCCTCGTACGCGGTGAACAGACTGTCGTGAACTGCATACCTGATTTCAACCACAGGGCCTGTCACACACTTTCGGAATCGGGTCTGGTCGCAAATCTCTTCCAGGAGGGCGACGCTGCCAACAAAGACTAACTGGTGACCCAGCACATTAATTTTAAAAATGGGCCCTATATTATCGATCATGAGTTGCATATTCTGAGTACTGTCCAGAGTGAAGCGCATCTCACCATATTGAGCGGCCAGCTTATTCAACGAGGTCCAGGTGTTACTGGGGTCAATATCGAACACATTACCCAAAATGGGAATACCTGGCGGCGAAGGGATCTCAGTAGGCATGGCGAAGATGGGATATCACGGTGTTGAACAAAGAAAAAGCAGACAGGGAAAGGAAAAAAAGATAGAGAGCTTCCAGGCGCACGGGAAGCGGGGGTGGTGAGCAGCTGAGAAGACTACTTAGCTTTTGACCAATCTTCAGCTAGTCACTCCGATCGACAGATCTCATCGATCCCATTCATTGGACCCGGGAGGAACATGGCGCCTTCCCAGTCTCCATCGTTCGACATAGCTTCTGTCTAGCTGAAGAGATCGGCACGATCGCGATGTAATAGCGCAGATTCGCGGGTGCTGATCGAGCGCTGATAGGTCGATGGATGAACTATCTGGGGCCCATCTGCAGCCAACTGGGGCTATCTGGAGAACCTGCCGCGCTAAGGGCTGTAGTGCAACCATTGAGGGCAACGGGTTCAGCACAATTGTCAGCCACCTACTGCAGAATTTTAAGCTCTCATTGCTTCATCGGTCCCCGCGCATCTTGACCGCTCCTGTGTTTCCTGGGTTCGATAGTCCCCTGCCTCTAATTTCTGGTTTTTGGGCTATGTGACCTGTACGCTTGGAGATAGCCCGGAAGGTGATTGGCAGAGTGATTAATATAAAAAAACAATCACGGGAGGTCTGAGTGGCTGTCATGCAATTCGGTGGGTGGGTCCGTAGCTGAGGGCATTGACATCATCTTGATGAGGTCCCAACCCCCCTCGGGTGGACTGGGTGGATGGATATTGTGCATCCCAGGGCAGGGATTGCTTGTGGTATACTGCAGGGATCTCGAAATCATGGGCCAATACCCATATCCGCCGATCCCCGCCGACTGTGTGGATAGCTTGAAGTTACCAAGCTCTATGCATTCGCCCAGAGAATTGATTCTCGTGTCCAGTTAGCTCTCCCTATTTAGAAAGTCTTTTGAGGTAATCCTTGTGTTGACAATTTTCTGTGTCGGTGGAATCCAGGGACGAACTCAGACGAGTGGGGTCCGCCAGATGAAGCCGCCGCCAAAGCGCTGCAGGCCACCGTCAGCCTCGGCATTGAACGACTGCTTCGAACGCATCACCGATCGCTAGCGCCCTGCGCCTTTGTGTTTCAGACCGAAGTCAATGACAAAACCATCTGGGTGGTAGGCATTGGGCCTGACGCGCCTATGTACGACACGCGGGCGGGCGGGCGGGAGATCCACCTCCGACCAGAATATCTTCTGCCTCAGATCTCGCAAGTGTGCAGTGGCAGTCGTCAGGATCCTCTGCAAGGTGCAATCAATCCACGGAAGTTTCTCCCAGCGGCTTATCTGGAATCGCTGCGTCGGTTTTTCCCAGCAGCCATCGGGGCTCGAGTATTCGTAGCAGGTTTTCTCGTTGTTCTGTTTCGCAATCGCAGAGACGTCGAAGCGTCGTGGCTGGAAGGCTGCGTGCCGTCATTCGGACTGTTACGACTGGGATACGATGTCGCTGTCCATTATCCCGCGGAAACATTGCCGGACCGTGAGGTTGCAATCACCGAATCGCCTGAATCAACTGATTCCGCGGCGTCTTTGGGTCTCAAAGTGGAATTCACCGATGGATCGCAGGGTATTTGTGTCCCAACACACGCGTTCGTCGACGTGAATAACCCTAAAGAGAACCTGACCCCTAAACGTACGAGTCTGCTCAAGAAGACCAAAGCGACGTTCTCCATCGCGACCGCCATGAAAGTGAAAGAAAGTCTCAAGGTGGGAGCGACCGTCGACTCATCACTTGGAAAGAGCGTGTGGCTGTGGCAGCCCAAACAGGTGAGTCTTGTAGATGTTGATGTGCATCTCCGACTAAAAACATCAGAGACTGGGTTCCATCTCGTCCACATTTGACCATCGTATCGCACGTTCGTCCACCTTTCCTAAGACCATCGATCATGACCTCTCGATCGTTACTGGAGGCCATCTGCCAAAGATCGGAAACCCTCCGCGCGCACCAGAAATAATTGGCTGGGGAGATTATAGAGATGCCTTGGAGGGCCAATGTGCGTTTGCCATGACACTCAGCGTGCGATCCGAGAAGTCCAAGGAAGCCGAAAGAGACCCATTTGGCAAGATCCAAGAAGCTGTCGTCGAGGGCACAGAGTACCTTTGGGATAGGAAGGCGCGGACTCAGTCTGCGGCTCTTCTCTGGCGTACCATGCTCGACGGAGTCGACATACAAGGACAGTCAGGTTCGGTTCTGTGTCTGGGTCAGCTCACGGATCCTCACTGTCGTGCCGTGCTCTTCAAAAATTTTGAGACACCTATTTGCGGCCGACACTCTGAAGGTGATTCAATTTCTGGCCTTGGAGACGCTGCCTCCTTCAGTATCGACGGTGGCTTTCTTCTGCCGACAGAGATCAGGGATGCTGTAATCATCTGTGAGAGCACAGAGTAGTCGACAGTTAGAGAAAGCAAGTGATAGAATGAAGCTATGAAGGAAGAATAGAAGAAGCTATACAATCTGAAATTAAACAGAAATCTAGATCACCGGCATCGGAATAGAAGTCTCTTCAGGCACGAGACTCATCCCAAGAAGACCGAACCAATAGTTCAAATGAAAAGCACCATAATTGCTAACCCACTGCCCTCGAATGCGCCCGCATTCCAGAAGGAAAAACACAATATCACAGTCTGGCAGATATTGAGAGGCAGCGTACGCTATTTGGCTCCTCGGGATTTCTCCATCCTTCTCATCATCTGCTGGATATTCCGACTCCCAAGCATACTTCAGCAGTTCTTTTTTTTCGAATGCATCCGTGCCAGAGTAGTCCTTCCTCTGGCAGAGGATGAAATTCATTCAAGATATTCATATCAGGGAGGATCACGTCATGTATTCGTAAACAGTGCCCCCTCGGGTGAACTTTCACTTTGGTATATGCCGGACCATTAACAGCCTTCCCATCCTTTTCGACGAATCCAATACACGATCGAGGAGGTTGCTGAAATAACATTCGTTTCCAACTTGCCCCTTTTTGGAGAAAGAGTCGGTCGGTTTCAGGATCGATCTGGGGTATCTCTGCCCCTCCTTCTACTGGCGGTGCCCTCCAATCGCGTGCTTGTCTTGCGCAAAACCTTGGCCATATACATTCCTCTAGGAGCGGGTTGCGAATGCTCGGCGTCCCGCGTGGTAGAGTATATCTGATAGGCTTAAAGAACAGGGCGGCCTGTAAGTCCCTTGAGTTCTGAATCAGGGAACACCATTTACGGCAGACCCTTCGAGCGGACGTGAGTAAAGTGCGCGTGTGAGTTTGTAGTAGGATCATTTCCAGGATCTCGGTTACCAAGAAAATCTTGTGCGGCTCTGATGAAGCCATAATTCGAAAGTTGAATTTTGGACGGATCTATTGAAGGATGATAATTCAAAGGTGACGGTCCGAGAGACCTGTTCTGATGAGGGACATCGTTCAAAGGGGACCGTCAGAGGGACGTCGGTTCCCTCTACAGTGCTACGATATCGGGCAGCTTGAAGCACTGTTCTATGAATGCCCCCTTGGGCAACGCCATAATCTAACAAAATCTCAGCAAATGAAAATAGTTAAGGTATAGTTTTGTTACCCAGTAACAGACCTCAAGGTCTGACCTCTCTACGGGTCCTCGCGTTTATTTAGGGTTTCTATGCACACTTGCACAGAGAGCATGGGTTTTATTTTGCGTTTTCACAGCTTCCCCCTTGACATCTCATATTTTGCATTCCGGATTCGAGCAGAAAATCCAAATTGGAACCTCGGCTCATCCCATCTTCTTATCGCATCCTAGCCCAGCCCTGCATAAATTGGCATCACATTTGCGCCTCTTCGGGCGCCAAGTCGATCGGTCCGTCCAGAAAGTGCTCGGCGCACCCGAAACTCGGCACGTTTCTTGTTGGGCGTCGGCCACAACAACGCATCGGGAATAGCGCCCGGACGCCATCCTTGATGAGCTTTGTGCCACGTCTTATGAGTTGGTCACTCCACAACGGATAATGCATGACTCCACAATGAAGAAGAAATAATTAACTATATTGGAATTGGATGCGAAGTACCTCGGCTCTTTCTTTTTCGGGATTTCTAGAAACAAAAGATCTCGTCGCTCATCTTTGAGACTGGACCGGGCTTCTGGAAGCCTAGTTCTGCCAGATCTTTCTTGGTCGCGTTAACCATGCCTGGTGGCCCACATAGGAAAATCTTGGTGTCGGGTGAATGGGCGGGTAGGTGCTCGGAGAGAACTGTCCGGTCCACGTAGCCTGATCCGTAGGTCCAGCCTTCTGGTGCGCTGTCGAGCATGTACCACAATTTGAAGTTCTTAGGGTAGCGACGCGCGAAGGTCTCAAGTTTTTCGCGGAGCAGGATGTCTGACTCAGAGCGGTTCGCGTAGATCAGGCTGATTTCGGTGGTATCGGTTTCGTTCTCGCAGATTGCGCGGATCACTTGGTACATCGGGGTTATACCAGTGCCACCAGCGACCATGCCGATCTTGCGACAGAGACCTTTAGTGTAGCGCATTGCACCTTTGGGGCCGCGGAACTCGACTTCATCACCAATGGAGAGGTTGGCTAGGTAACGACCGCTGAGAAGGCCGTTGGGGTAGCATTTGATGACCAGCTCGATGCGGCCACGGTCAAGGTTGTTAGAGGTGGGTGTGTAGGATCTCGTTACGGTTGTGCCGTCGATGTTGGCCCTGATGGCTACGTGCTGGCCGATCGGAAGACCGAGTACGCTATTGGCGTTCGGCAAAGCGAAGATGAAGCGGAATGTGTTTGACGAGAGTTGGACCTTTTCGACCAGAGGGATGCGCTGGTAATTTTGGGGCTCGAGGAATCCGCGAGTAAGGTGGGGATCGATGCGAACAACCTTCTTAGCCTTCATGCGAGGAGGATAGCGCATGAAACCAGAGTCGATCTTCGTGAATCGGCTGGCCTGCTTAGCGACCATCACACCGATCGTGCCAGCGACAGCGCTGGCTGCGAGGAAACCATTCACGAAGCCGCCGCGTGGCAAGCGGAGACCCTTCAATTGATGCGGGAGGAGCTTGGAAATCGAACCCAAGCCATTCAAGTGGTGAATTTTTCCCCGGCTGCAGATATAGAGTACTGGAAGCATCGCAGCCATGGCACCGGCCACCAGTCCAGGAGTTCGTAGTGAAGAAGATGGCTTGGTGTCCTTTGGCGCATTCTGGGACACCACACGAACAGCCTTGGGACGGACAAACTGCTGAGCATCCTTGAGTACGCCAACCAGGTATGGCTGCATAATCTCGCGCGCATCTTCGGAGTGCCCGACATCTTCATACTCAGCGGTGGCATCTGTGCCAGCAGTTTCGGTGAGAACATCAGCACCTCCAGGGTGATCTTGCAGATACTCCGTGATATCAAAGACTGCTATTGTTAGCTTTTGACCCATGTAGTAATTCCATAGACTCTAACCTTGTCCGTGAATCACAATCCACATATCGGTCTTCGATTTGTGTGCAGCCACATCCTTCATCGAAAGCTCAGGCAACTCGACATCGGCCTTCCATTGCGTCTTAAGCTCTTTCGTCTCAGGGGCCGTCATCATGCTTGAATCGTAGAATAATGCACTGTTTCAAACAGCGAAAGCGACAATTAAAAGAAATTCAAACCCCATCGAACAACTCCACTGATAAAAAGGGCCAGCCAACAAAGACCCTCCAAAATATAATCAGACAACTTCCATGCATAAAATGCATTGCCCCTTTCCAATCTCAAGGCAATCCAAGGGAACCGTGCATTATGCCTCGGAAATGAAACCGTACATTCATATCCACGGCCAACGCCAACGGAACCACACCGCGGGACGGGCGCTTGTCCTCAACGGCACCCTGAACCCGATGCCGATAAACTGCGATCCCGAAAAACAGCTCCATTTGCTTCCCTTTTCCAGGCAAGCGTAGAAGTCTGTCACCGTCGACACCGAACCCAGCGGGTCTGTTGTGCTGATCGTAACTGCGAAAGGTAAGCGCATGGTGGACCCGCGATCGAAAAGCCTGAAACTGCCTCGGTAGGCTGTCAGGCCGCCACGGCCTGTCGCGAATCGAATCGACATTAATGAAAATTCGAGTAAGTTATGCGTTTTGTTCGTGTCGATGAGATAAGACGTGGGTCGAAAAGTGAATTTGGGTTGGATATTCGATGGCTCCAAGGGAATTGCGTGGTTTGTGCTATGCCGCTATAAGTAAACACCCTCGGGCACTTGGTCTTGGGGCTAGTTCGGGTTGGCATTTCAGATCGCAATGGCTGTAAAACAATTTTATTTGCTGGGAGAGCCTAGCTCGTCAGCACGGAATGTCGAGGTGGATTCATCTCTTGACGCCGAAGGACTTCAGCATTTGATTGCTGGGCATTTTGCCATTGTTGAACCTAGCGGTGAGTACTTCAAGGCTTTGAGCTACACTATTAGGAGTTGAATACTGACAGAAGAAAGGCATCTCGTTCCAATCTGACGAATCGACCCTTTTCACTGTGCCAGAGGTTCTGGCCACCGAAAATCCCATCGCTATCACGATAGATGGCAAAGCAGTTCGAGAAATTCCCGGACCAAAAGGCCTTCCTTTTGTAGGAAACTTCTTCGAGATCTACCCCGACCACTTGGGCAACCACCAGCGCCTGTTCGAACAGTATGGCCCTATCTTTCAGACCACCAATATGGGCCGTACAGTTTACCACACCAATGACCCTCTCTTGTCAACGATTGTGTTTGCCGAGTCTGACTTCTTCACGAAGAAGATCAACGAGGCTCACCCCTTGTATCCCATCAAGAACAAGGAAGCTGGTGTTTTCCTTGGTGATACCGATACCCCCGAATGGCGCGCCGCTCACAAGTTCCTTCCCCCGGCCTTAGGGCCCAAGGCTGTGCGCCACTATGCTCCCACCATGCAGGAAACGGTCGAGGATGCTTTTAAGGTGTTTGATCAGCTCGATGAGCAGAAGGAGGTGTGGAATGTCTACCAGTATATGTTGAAGCTAGGCTCGCAGGCCGTGGGCAAACTGGTTCTCGGGATCGACTTTAAGCACTTTACAACGCCCGATGCTCCCCCGCACGAGCTGGTGTACCGTATTGCCGAGTCATTAGAGCTGAACAAAAAGGTGACTGCCCGAGGCAATTGGTACGCTAAGCTGCCTTTCGGTGATCCTCAACGTCTGCGCGATGCCAGATGGCGCATCATCGAGATGGTCGAGGAGTCGATTCAGAATGCGGCTCGCGGTGGCATCGAGGATCTCCCTCTACAGGACGCAGCTTTGCAAGCATCCAACATGATCGACTACGCCATTCGTGCCACCGACAACAAGGGTGAAAAGTTGCCCAAGGAAAGTCTCATGTCCGCCCTAGTCGTGGCCACCGGTGCCGGCTTCACAACCACCAGCTCCCTCCTGTCGTGGCTGCTCTACTCCTTGGTCACCTACGATGGTATGCAAGAGCGTCTCCTTCAAGAACTTATTGACCATGACATCGACGCCGACACTCAACTCACCGCTGACCTCACCGACAAACTCACCTTCATGGACTACTTCATCAAAGAGACCCAGCGTCGCCATAACCCTTCCTACCAACCGGCCCGCACTGCAAAGGTTGATATGATCCTCCCCGGCGGATACCGACTGCCTCAAGATGCAATTGTCATCCCAGCTCTACACCACGTCCACAACAACCCCGCTGTTTGGGAAAACCCCGCTCGCTTCGACCCCGATCGCTGGGACACGGAGAAGGTCAAGAATCGCCACAAGGGCGCATATATCCCCTTCGCGGCCGGTCCGCGTATGTGTATCGGGTTCAACTTCGCTCTGCAGGAGGTCAAGGTCTTCTTGCCCAAATTGGTTTACCGCTACAAGTTCACCAAGGAGAATGACGGGCCGATCGAGTACGATCCCATGTTCCAGCTCATCCGCCCAAACAACCTGTACGTGCGTGCTGAGCGACGCGTGAAGTGGCCGTTCAAGAGCGAGTCTGCTTAAATGGGGTCAGAGATGTTTGAATGCATGTAATTGTATAATTCACAGAATCGATCGTGAATCTAGAACAATCAACTCCGATCCAATTAATCACCCATGCTGCCTAGTCCGAGACCCACTTCGAGCCGTTTCCTGTTTACTGCCGTTCTGCTATCGGCTTCAATCTGCCGGCTTCAATCTGCCGGCTTCACTCTCTCTTTCTCTTCAATCATGGCTGAGTCTACTTCGCGCCCGGTGCGCATCATCGCCCACTTCCTTGAGGAGGTGGGCCTCGTCACCATGTGGCATTCATCGCTCGACGTCAAGCTTCTCTGCGCCCAGCGCTTCGTGCGTCTATTCGCCTACGGCGGCTCAACTCTGATCCTGGCGTCGTACTTGTCTGCCTAGGGATCGCTGATGACCATATCGGCTTGTTCATGACTTTGACCTTGATAGGAGATGTCGTGATCAGTTTTTTCCTGACTCTGTTCGCAGACAAGATTGGTCGGAAGGCTGTGCTGTCGCTGGGCTCGGTGTTGATGGCCGGCAGTGGCGTTGTGTTTGCGCTGACGGGCAATTATTGGGTCCTGCTTGCTGCGGCGGTCTTTGGTGTTATAAGCCCAAGGTATGTACTCTGCTGCGTTTGGTGGCGAGATATTTGAGTTTTAATCGCTAACTTCCCCGCAGTGGAAATGAGATTGGGCCCTTCCGTGCCGTTGAGGAGTCCACTTTGGCCCATCTCACGGTGCATGAGAAACTTCCTGATGTCTTTGCGTGGTACTCGCTGGTTGGAGCGGCCGGTACCGCATTGGGTCAATTGGTGTGCGGTTGGATGCTTACCTCGCTGCAGTCTCTGCATGGATGGGAGTTTATCCCGTCGTGTCGGATTATGTTCGTCGTCTACGCGGCTGTTGGTGTGATTAAGCTGATATTTACCCTGGCGTTGAGCCGGAAGGTCGAGTATGTGGAGGAGGAGCCGGTACCGCAGAACGATGAGACTCGTCCGCTCCTTGGAGACTCTGCGACCGTTGAAGAGTTTCCCAAAAAGAAAGGACTGTTTGCGTCCATTGAGAAGGGTCTTTGGTCGCTCGTCATTCGTCTGTTCATTCTCTTCGGTTTGGACGCTTTTGCCTCTGGATTGGCATCGATGTAAGTCAAGGAGTCGTGACCGGTGAAGATTTATTTGCTGACTCGACCAGGGCCTGGATGACATATTTCTTCCACCGCAAATTCAGCCTGCCCGAAGGTGAACTCGGCACTATCTTCTTCGTGACCAGCAGTATTTCTGCTGCTTCCATGCTGGTTGCATCGTCGATTGCCAAGCGTTTCGGTAATGTGAAGGTAATCATCTAATTCCTCCTAACCGATATTCTTGACTTACCCATTTCTAGACCATGGTCTTTACCCATCTGCCATCAGCTATCTGTCTGGCGATGATCTCCGTGCCAAACAGCCTGCCATTCGCGCTCACATTCCTCGTTCTGCGCGCTTGTACCCAGAGCATGGATGTGGCCCCCCAGGTCGGCGTTCCTGGCCGCGGCTCTCCCATCCGACAAGCGTACAGCTATTATGGGCGCCGTCAATGTCGTCAAGACCACGACTCAGAGTATGGGTCCTCTTCTCACCGGTATCTTGGCTCGCAACAATATGTTCGGGGTTTCCTTCATCATTGCGGGTGTTCTGAAGGTCGTCTACGACCTCGGCATGCTGACCAGCTTTGCCGGCAAGGAAGCTGCGAAGCGCAAGCAGACTAAGCAAAGCGACGACGAGGCTCAGTAGAATACATCTCGGAATAAATAAACGCAGCCTGGGATTGCGATCACAGGGCCAACAAAAGCTGATTTTTTTTTGTCTCACTAGTCTGTGGCATTGTTAGCCGATCTAACAAATGATAGAAATACAAAGGGGCCCCTCCCCAGAATTCTAGATTATGAGAGAGTAACAGTCTTGCATTTAACTTTGAATCAAGGCTCCAGCGTAGCACATTCGAGGTATCTACGTGTTTAGGCAGACGGATTCTCCCCAAAAGTTCGATCTACACGTCCGCACTCGACCCGTTTCCCATTCTACAACACCTCAGCTGTGGACGCAGACGAGATTCCAGGCAGCATAACGCAATTTCAACAACACAATTGTCATATAATCATTATCATCGGATGGGTGAGGCTATACCAATCAAGCTTCCTTGGCGGGTGTTGTCATGAGGACCACCGACCCTGAGATTATCCTCTTCCTCGACTCTGAGGATTTAACTAAGCTGCGAAAGCCCGAGTCCTCCATGAACACATCGCGTGTATGGAAGTGCTCGCATGCGCGTTGTGACGCGAGGCCTTATTCAAAGAAAGCGCTGCTTTTCAGGGCGCTTATTCGGCCTCTCTATGCCCTCGTGTTTTTATTGTACGTTTTCGTCTTGCGGGTGATTCATATCTAACTGTTTTCAGCGGTCTCTTCAGTCTCTTTACATTCACTCGGAGCGGTCTTTTCTCGTTTTTCGCAGATGCTCGCGATGCTCACCTTTTCCTAAATCACCAGTCACCTCTCTCCTCGATTTGGCCGACTCACGGTGTTGACCCCGTTGCTTGTCATTCCCATAACGACTACTGGCGCCGTCTTCCGCTCTTCTCTGCTCTTGCGGCTGGCTGCATTAGTGTGGAAGCGGACGTCTGGTTGCACAATGGGGATCTCCAAGTCGGACATACACGTCAAACTGTGCTCCCAGGACAGACGTTGCGCAGTCTCTACCTCGACCCGCTCCTAGAGATGCTCCAGAAATATAATCCAATTGCGAATGATTCAGAAATCCCAGAAGAGGTCGTCGGCATCTTCGCTAGAGATCCCAAGCAAACTCTCGTCCTTCTCGTCGACTTTAAAGGAGCTGGAGAACTTATTTGGCCTCACCTCATGGAACAACTGCAGCCCCTACGAGAAGGTGGATACTTGACCTACTTCAACGGCTCGGAAGTCCAAAATCGCCCCATCACAATCGTCGCGTCGGGCAATGCTCCCCTCGAGCAAATTCTCCAAAGCACAACCCACCGTGACGTCTTCTACGACGCTCTGTTGGACGTCCTCACCCACACCACATTCTCAACCGTCAAGGATCTCAGAATGGACGGGTCTCTTTTCAACGACCACAATAGCTACTACGCCTCCGTCGACTTCCACCAGTCCATTGGCTCACTTCCACTCGGCCGTCTTTCTCAGGGTCAGCTCGCTAAGATTCAGCATCAGATACTTGTTGCGCATGAACGGGGTTTGAAAGTGAGGTACTGGGGAACACCGAAGTGGCCGATTGGTTTGAGAAATCATGTTTGGAGGGCACTAGTTCGGGAGGGGGTGGATGTGCTTAACGTGGATGATTTGCATGGTGCGACAAAAGTGGATTGGAGGCCCAGGACTTGGTGGAACTGACTTTGCTTTTGCGCGTTTGAATCAATAGCAGCGTGTTTCTCCTACCTTTGATGATGAATGAGCTAAAATACTCTCAGATACATAGCAGTGCTCATTGCCTTGCTGCATCATTTTTGATTATATAGAATAGGTAGCGCCGATTAGAAACACTGCATCTGTCATATGTATCCACATCCTCCGGGAAATTGCTCAGAAGTCTCCTCAAAGAACCATTTTGAAATCAGGGTTTCGGTCGTCATTATATCCTGCATACCGGTCATACTTCCCATCCCTTTTATCGCGATTAACTTTAGCGCAATAGAGCACATTAAACAAAATCCTACAGATATTAGCCAACATGGACTATCGAGAGAGACAGTTCAGACTCACATAAACCATGCAAACACAAGCAACCCCAGAATAATTGTATGTCCCCGATGAAACTGTGGCCCATCATGAGATGGGTAATTAAAGGCTGGTACTCATTATTAATATCATGAATTCAAGATTAAGGAAATAAGAGAAGACATACTTGCGACAAACCCTCCTGCGTTCGCAATGGCCAACTGCAGTGCCGAAGTCGTTGCACGCTTGTAGTGACCGGCCGAGTTGTTCGACATCCACACCAGGATGCACGGTACGCTGGCATACTGGCCGGTAGCCATAAGGAATGTCATACCATATTGAGCGCGCGGGGAGTCAATGTTGGCGATTGCTGCATAGCCGGCAATTGCGATAGGGAGGGTGAACAGCATCACAACACCGCGAAGGTGGAGATGATCTGAGATGAATGCCACCACAACTATGGATATCAGTAAAGGAAGGGGGGTCAGGATGATCCATCTGGATGTTGAACATGCTGCTTACCGGTGATGACGGCGGCGACGGCGTACGGAATGACCGACCAAAGTTGCACTTCGTTGGCATCCTTGGCAAAGTCCAGATTCTTGATAATTGTCGGTAGCTGGGGAGTATTAGAAAGAGGTGATCCGGTCCATTTGAGGGAAGTGTCATACAAAGAGACCAAACGAGTACAGTCCAGATAGGATCGCAAAGTACGCACTAGCGGAGAGCCAGACCTGGACGTCTAGGACACCTCGTCGGACTTCAGACCATTTGAATGACTCCACCTCGGCAGCCAATGTCCTGTTTATGTTAGCATCAGAAGGCTAGGCAACTATGGCGTACATACCCATCCGGCATTCGAGGATTATCCATCAGAAGCCTCTCGCGTGCGAACTCTTTCTCTTCGGGGGTCAAGAACGATGAAGACTCCAATGAGTTGGGAAGAAGGAAAAAACTGAGTGCACCGCAGGCGACAGTCTATGATACCGTAAGCTGGGGTTTGACAGCAGATGATGATTTTACTTTTGCTTACCAGTAGACCTTCGATGATGAAGATCCAGCGCCATCCCTCCAGGCCTCCACGCGGGGCAATTGCTGCAAGACCACGGGCAAGAAGACCTATCATAGTAGTCAGTGATTATGTCGCAGACAGACACCTGGGATGATGTCCTCACCACCAAAAGCACCGGACAAAGAAGCCGCGGTATAAAAGAGACCAATTCGTAGAGCTAAGTCTCCGCGTTTATAGAAAGCCGACAGATATAGAACCTATGTAATGTTAGAGTGGCCATTCCGGGGAATCCAAATCCGAATCCGAATCCAACCTACCATTCCCGGCAGCAATCCACCCTCAGCAATGCCAAGAATAGCCCGCACACCAACAAATCCGCCATAGTCTCTCACGAACCCCAGACACATGGTAATGATACCCCAGAGAACAGTCAAGAAAGGTAGCCACAGTTTAGGCGATGCTTTCTTGAGTATAAGATTGCTTGGCAGCTCGCTGCAGATGTAAAACAGATAGTAAACCATCAACCCGATATCATACTGGTGGTCGTTGATGTTGATGTCCTGTTCTAGGCCGATAATCTTGGCATTTCCGACATTTGTACGATCGAGAAAAGAGCATAAAAAGAGCAATGCGAGGACGGGCAGGATTCTAGCCTCGTTAGCTAACGGCTCGACGGCTATAGTGAGAAACCTACCGTGTGTCTAGCTTCAGGAGAATGCGACGCGTCAATTTCTGCTGCTGCAGCTGATCGCCAAACCGATTTAGCTCGCTCGTCTTGGCTTCTTCGATTTCCATTACGCTTGGTTTCGATTCCATGATCGACTATGCGCGTAGAGATGCAGGTGGGAACACGAAGTCAGAGACCGGACGAAGCAGATAAAGGAACTCGGCCATCACTTTTAAAACCCGAGCTGACCCTGCTATTGTTTCCCCCGCATTTCCCCAGATTTCAAAATGCTTGGGATTTGCTTGGTTCTTTACAGGATACGAGGCTGTATTTTGTATTATCAATGTCACACTCGCGCCGAATGTCTCGGGGTCGCGGGGTCCAAAAGTGGATGCCGACCTCGGGATTTCGGGCCCTCTCAAATGCCAACCGTCGGAGACTCTTCTCGCTCGCAACAACAACCATGTCGAGGCTCTCTAACAGTTTGAAGGCATTGATCAATGCCCCTGCCGCACGACCGTCTACCGTGCCGGCTCCGGCGAATATCTCTGCCGTCTACAGCAAAATCGCGCAGACTGCTCAGGCCAAGAATGTCTCCCAGCCTTCATGGGTCGCGCTGTCGGTATGTCGTCAGAGAACCAATCCACCCCGGCAGAGACACAGAGGCTGATCGATGTCTAGACAGCAGCAACAATGACCATGAACTCCCCAGAGTCCCTTGCTGCCTTATACCAGCTCGCCTCCAGCACGTCCCCCGTCGAAACCGCCGAACTCATGCGCGAAGTCGGCCTCAAATGCATTAGCTTCAACGGCATCCCCGCACAATCAACTGTCTGGGCGCTTTCAAAGCCACCCTCCCCGACTCCGTCACTACTCAGCTCTCTACTACCCCCACCCGCGGCCCAACACCCGAGAACATCACCTCGATTAGTGAGCGCGGCCGCGCCCTCTGGAACTCGATCTACCGACCCTTCGAGAACAAGCTATATAACAAGCTCGCTGATTCACACCCGGATCTACCCGTTGTGATCCTGAACAGTCACTACGGCTCTCTTCTCTCAGATCCGGCCCGGAATACCAGTGCCGCGGCTGGCCGCGTGCTGACCTCCATCGTTGCTGTGGCTTGTCTGCGTGCGCAGACTGGCGTGGGCCCGCAGGTGACATCGCATGTTTTTGGACTGCGCAAGGCTCTTGAGGATGGATCGTGGGCTACCGATGTGGAAGGTGAGGAGGGCGCGCGCTGGTTGGCGAGTGATGAGGGCAATGAGTGGATCTTGAATAGCGTAGATGCTATTGTTGAGGCAATTAGCCAGGGCTCTGGCTCGACTTATGCACCGGGTAAGGCGAAGTTGTAATGTCTATAGGAGCTCTGTGAGATCTGTATATACTGTCATGATAGAATGATTATAACTTTATTGCGACTTGCATTGACTTGAATACAGCTTGTTCCGATGAATGTGTATTGTATTGTTCTATGTAAGAAAAAAAGAAAAAGGGAAAAGAAAAACAAAGCATTCGCTGCGCTCTACTCCATGATTTCCAGGTTCTCGGCGATTGTGAACTTGGCGTCTGTCTTGCTGCGCACTTCTTCGACTTCTACGCCGGGAGCAAGTTCCGTTAATGTGAGCTCGCCGGTGGCTCGGTTGACCTGGAAGACACACTGCGAGGACTGTGAGCTAAGTGCTACTTCATGGGGCAATTTGAGACTTACCAGGTCGGTGATGATGGTGCTCACGACATTGGCACCGGTCAGGGGAAGGCTGCACCTCTGCACGATCTTGGGCGATCCATCCTTGGCGACATGGCTGGTCGCCACCACGATCTTGGTCTTACCGGGATTGGAAATCAGGTCCATGGCGCCGCCCATACCCTTGAAGACCTTTCCGGGGATCATGTAGTTTGCGAGATCACCGTTGGCGCTCACTTGCAGGGCCTATACACTCAATTAGCAACGCCGCGCAGTTGAATGGAGCTATACTTACGCCGAGAATCGACACATCCACATGGCCACCGCGGATCATACCAAATGACTCAGTGCTGTCGAAGGTGGCAGCACCTGGCACCAAAGTCACGGTCTCCTTGCCGGCATTGATGATATCTGCGTCGACCTCATCCTCTGTGGGATACGGACCCTGATCGAGGTCAGCATGAACCCTTCCGAATCACCGAGATATTTCATACCATTCCCAGAATGCCATTCTCAGACTGAACCCAAACCTTGACATCTTTGGGCAAGAAGGATGGTGCCAGTGTAGGAATACCTGCACATGGTCAGAACAATCAAAAAGAGAAGAAGTGTACAGCTGCAAGTTTTCAATACTGACCAACACCAAGGTTCACATAGTATCCCTGCTTCAATTCCTTCGCCGCTCGCCGAGCGATACGCTCTCTCTGAATCTGAGCCTCGCCTTTCGTCGATCCACCTGCTGCCTCACTTTCACGCAGCTTCTTAATCTCAATGTGCTTTTCGTCCGTCGCGGGAACAATGCGGTCCACAAAGATACCTGGCAGGTCCACATCATTCGGGTCAATCGACCCAACAGGAACAATATTCTCGGCTTCCACGATAGTCAAGGTAGCAGCCTTGGCCATGATCGGTCCAAATGCCTTGGTGGTGTATCTACGGAAGTCAGCATTATATTCTGCCGATATGATCGTGATGCAAACATACCGGAAAACACAGTTTCCAGCCTCATCGGCTTTCCACGCCCGCAAGATCGCCACATCTCCAGTCAATGCAGTCTCCATCAGATACGTTTTGCCATTGAACTCACGGGTCTCCCGCGGCTTGCCAGACTCCAAGACATTGCCGGACTCATCCATTCGAACGGGGATCTTTCCCTCCTGGATGAATGTGTCTTTTCGATCTGAGTTAGTATCTCGTACAATATGATCCACTAGATGGTACTTACGAACTCCGGTCGGGGTAAAGAACGCCGGAATCCCCGCACCACCAGCCCTCAACCTCTCAGCCAGAGTACCCTGAGGACAAAGCTCAATCGCAATTTTCCCGGACAAATATTTCTTCTCCAAAGCCTTGTTGTTGCCCAAATACGAGAGAATCAACCGATCCAACTGCCCATTATGCGACAGCGTTGATAATCCACCTTTGCCCGCCGAACCGGCATTATTCGAAACTGCCGTGAGCGAATGCAATTGATCTTTCCCGCGTCGACCCATTGCATTGATCAACGTTTCTATTCACTTATTAGCGAGGTCCCGAATCTCTCCGAGATTCATGCAACTCACCCGCAACACCGCAGAGTCCGAACCCGGAACTCAAGATCGTCGAGCCGCTCTTCACGTCCTTGACAGCTTCATCGGCATCTTTGTACAGCTTGGACCCTCCGCGCTCGATCTTCGGGGCGAGATTCCGTGTCGGTGCCGTGGAGTATGCGTGTATCTTGGGGCGGGTTGCAAGTGTCGGGCGAATGCCGAGATAGAGGCGTGGTCGGCATGATGTTAGTGCCTTGCGCGAGAGCTGTGTGGTTGTGACTCGTAACGCTGCCATTGTGAGCGTTTGGACTCTATGGAGAAAGGATCAAGGGGCATGCGATGGATATTAATACTAAGCTACGTGCTGGGTGAACGACACTTCGGGGCTACTTCTGGATGCCGAGTGGCGGGGCCGGGCGCCGTGTTTCCGACTCAGGTACATCGGGTTACCCGGCTCGAATGATTCTAGAAGGTTTATGGAAATATCAAGGTTCACTTATTGAGTAATGGGGTGTAGAATCGATATGGATGTTTCAAGCATGAAGTCGTCTGCGAATGCGTTGCCATTTACCGCGGAGCTCACTCTTGGGTGAGATCGGCACTTGACTAGGCTTCGAACTCGATGAACCCTTGGCCTCTGCTTGAGACAGAGCTTGTCCATTTCTCTTGCTCTGATCATTCAGACTGTGTGGGGTCTTTTGCGATTTGTCTCCCATAGAAGACTTATATGCGGGGATCGTGGCGTCGGAGTTGTCGGCCTTGGTGTCGTTCGAGGCAATGTCGTCTGAAAAACTTCATGGCTTGGTCGCGCTGACGCTGCTTTGCCAGTCCGCGTCGAGCGGCAGCTTCAATATTGCTCTCCCCGAGCATGGTGGTGCCCGCTGGCCCTGGCGCTAGCATCGTGAGATCGACCATGTTGGTTCTCTATGAACATCGGAATTGAGAAATGGGAAGCAGGGTAAATGTTCGGTGTGAAGGAGACGGATCAATTCATCGCGTTCTTATATGCAGATCTTTGGTACTCTGACTATGTACATTGCAAGCGCCAAGGGCAATGACGTGAAGTGTTTCGCACGGCTCAGTCTCTGAGCCTCGGTGAACAGTGGATCTCAACCATTCTAAGTTAATGGCCGTCTTGGCCGTCTTGGCTGTCCTGGTATTTCCCGAGGTTGCACATTTAGACTGTAAGTCAGAAACTAGTAATAGTCAACTCTTCAGAAAGTGAACTCCGTGCTGGGGAAGTCAAGCCAATCCCAACTGAGCATATCGTCAACAGGCACGTCCGGTATCGACGCTCCAAATGCACTACCAGCACGATTGACCGCATCGATGATCTGATTATCGGACATGGAGGAGAATTGCATCGGCTCGGTCCAGATGTCTCCTGGGGGTAGGGCCTGCGTTGTTGCCAACGACTGATCACCTAGGCTAGTGGTGGGTACAAGAGGATCTGCGATGGCGAATGGCCGTGCATCTGATCGGAGCTGTTGACTAGGTACAGCCGGGCCTCGTCGGATCAATTCACGCAGATATTTACCATATAATACCGATGCTCCTCCACGGTGACTCGGAGTGGCTCCTATTCGCTCTAGGACTCCTGCGGTCTCCTCGATCAGAGTCCGCACACTGGGAGCTAGACTAGACCGACTGTCGCCTGGGGTCACACTAAGACTGAGAGCTGAGCATGCTGCAAACGAGATCATGATGACCGTGTTGTTTGGCATGGATTTCAGTCGTCCTTCCCCTTGGATGGCCGCTCGGAGAACGTTCAGGGCAGAGGAAAGTCCAGCTGCTCGGAAAAAGCGCTTTACTGCAAGTGGTGCTGTGGGATGATTGATGACACCGCCGTAGGTGGATAGCTGAGTATGTGTCACTAGAATTTCGACGTACGGTGGGAGCGAGCGTGCTGCATGATGTTAGTTGGTTGGCCGTAGATATAATTGTTGGAACTGAACTGACCTCCAGCTTCCCTAATTGCCAATGCCCACGTTGCGTACCAGCGCTCATAGAAATCCTCGATGGTCTTTTCAATACTATCAAGGGATAAGCGATCTCATCCTGAATTACTTTATTCGCGACACATACGCTTGGGCGGCTTCAGATCCGGTATCAACCGTTCGATAATTGTCGCAGCTCGCCTTGACCTTTCTGAATAGATCATCCTGGTATTTTTAGTACTTTGTTCTATATTCCAAGCCGCGTCACTTACTAGGTCTCTGCGTAAGACTGCCATCGAGTTCATCGGTCCGTCACGACGATCTGCGATGTCTGCCCGATGCCAGGCATCGCAGTTCTCAACAAGTGATGTGGGGGGGTACAGTATAACTTCGTCCTCGAGCAAGGCAAACCCTGAAACACAGTAAGAAAGCATATTCCATCATCATTTGAGCCAGACTCACCCTCTCTCAACGACAAACAACGCAATCCAAGTCCTCTCTCGTCTTCGCAGTAACCGACGACCCCACTCCGAGTAAGGTTCCACGTCATCGAACCCATCCATATGCAACGCCCGCTTCGCGTCAATACAGTCGGCACGAGCAAGACGATTTAATAGACCTTGGTCGAAGCTCGAAGACGGGGTGACAATTTTGTTCAGCGACAAGTCTAAGGCAACGGTGAGTGCCATGGCTATATAAGAACATGTATCATCATCTCCCAATCTGTCCCCAGGGGGCATCCATGGGACATTCACCATAAAGGCGAGCACTATTTCCACTGACTTATAGCGATTCGTTACCACGCGCTTCGCAAGCCACTTGCAATGCCTCGAGAGTCTCTTCGATAATGCAGCGGCAGACGATAGGAAAAGTGCGGCCGCTGCCATGATGGACGTGAATAGGAATGCCGATTGTGCGCGTACGAAACTTGGCGTATGTACCATGGGATCTAGGCCCCATCGTGTATGTGCGAGGTTCTGATAAAAGCTAGGAGCCATCAGTATCCGCGCGTCTCCAATTGACATGGTTGAAACGCCTTACAAGGAGAACAAAGATTCAGCTTCGTCAAATGTGACAAGTCCCAGATCAACAGGGTCTAACTCAGACCCAACATCCAAGTGGGCTCTGGTAGGCACAAAGAACGACTTTGCACTCATGTCAAACCCACTACTCTCCTGCGGCAAGGGCGCAATAGATGGTAGCGGAGACTTTGGGACATGTCGTACACCTGTTGGTGAGAGTTGAAGATCTGAGGCTCTGGCAAGCAGCTGCAGAGGATTCTCCGCATCATCGAGAGCAAGACTCTCCTCCGCACTCGTATCCCGAGCCGGAGACGGTAAATTACGCGACCGATCCGGCGGCTCAAAGACTTCTTCACTCTGTAATTGCCCTTGAAACCGAGTGAGCAACTCTTGCAGCCCCGAGATGGCTTTCTGTGCATCATCCGGCCCCTCTGGATCAACCTTGGGCCGTTTAATGGCCTGCTCGATCTGATGAATTGCCTTTTCCAGACCCTTCCGCTTGCTACTCTGGTCAACTTACACGTCCCGACTACAATGGGAAATACTTACTTCTTCACACCCTTCTGTCGTCCCAGATGGTGGCTCGGCACGATGCAGTCAACATCTGCCTGGCGACACTTCTCGCATCGCGCATGGCCCGCCGGTCGATTACAGCGGATCTTACTGCGACGACAGTTGAGACACGCGGGCTGTTTTGCAGGGCCGGTGTTCCCGGTCCGTCCATCGGTGTGCTGTCCAACTTCATACAGAGTTTCCCCACGGATCGTCGCACGAGCCAAACTGGGCTATCGGCTTTGCAGAGGCGCAGTGGTCATGAAAAACTTCTGCTTAATGAAGCCATTTTTGGTTCAACCTGTCACCAAGCCCTGCCGGGCTAGCTCAATCGGTAGAGCGTGAGACTCTTAATCTCAAGGTTGCGGGTTCGACCCCCGCGTTCGGCTATTCCTACAAATAACCTGAGATATTTCTTTTTTGTTCCCTCGTGAAAATGAACCGAGCTTGTGCGAGATCAATTTGGGCTGGATGAATCTAGTTTTTGATTACAATAATCATGTTTCGTTGAAATCATTTTCGATGGTTCGGAAAATGTTTGAGGTTAGGAACGGAAGGTCAAGGCTGAATAAATATTGGTAGTGAAGCCTCAAAGAACCTGTACTTTGCAGACATGCAGAAGCGGCCCCTTTCGGTCTACCGAGAAGACGAGAAGACGAGACGACGATGAAGAACATCACACATCCGCACAAGATGGAATATTGTAGATTAAAAGCACCTGGTTTTAGGTTATAGTCATAAGAACCGTGTTAGGAGCATATATATACAGCCCCGATAATATCGACAATCCATCCCCCTTGCCACATGAGCGTAACCAGAATGAAACCCATCAATCAATTCGCTGAATCAATGGGCCCGGCCAATCTCTTCACACTGACTGATTGGTCTATCCCGACTGAGTGATCCATCGTGACTAATTGCACCATCTCGACTCACAGCTCCTTCACGGCTGACATTCTGCTCTTGATCAACTTCGTCTTGACCCGAAAAGACACCCTCGGTTCCGGGAACCAACGGTGCCCTAGCCGGATGCGGCGCAGGATTCGACTCCTGGCCCATCTCAGGGTTACGAGCACCAGCCGCCATTGGCGGCCCATACATCGCCGTCTGAGGCGGCGAAGCGTTCAGCAAAGGCGGCCCAGCATTCTTACCAGGCCTCTTGCTCTGCTTCACGCGCATCGGCGCTGGTCCCAGAACATCAGGATACTTGAAGCGGAAGCCCCAGACAATGAACAGCTTGAACTTTTTCCAAGCACTCATATCTCGCCACTTCTGCTGCAAGAAGGCCGCATCCCCGGCATTGCGTGAGCGGTATCCCTTGCGGAAACAGCACAGACAGAAGAGTGAGACGGGTAGAAGCATAAAGGCCCAGAAAAGAGGGAATCCTCGTCGGGTCTGCCAGCCCGTCATGAGCCGTTTGAAGCGGATCCAGGCTTCGATGACGCCGAGTATGAAGAAGAGGCCAACCCAGCCGAGGATACAGATTAGGATGAGTGCTAGCGGGGAAATACCCCACCACGACGAGTCGTTATACCAGGCTTCGTCCGTGCCCTCATAGCCGCCGTAGTAATAACCGCAGATGTCGCTGCCGGTGTACTGGCACTTGGAGCCTGAGTATAGGGCCGTGGGCGGGCTTGATCACTCAGACAGGCGAGACTGGTGCTCGGGACTTGCGTCGGTTCGACCCAGACGTAGACGTAGGTATACGTGGTCGGTGAGAACGGAGTGGATGTCTTGTCCACGGAGAACGAGGTGGAAGTGGCGGTGCGCGGGAGCAGTGCTTCGACGCTGCTGGGAGGGGTCACCGTGGCGTAGGTGGTCGTGGTCCATTGAGTAGAGCAGCCTGTGGGCGCGGTATAGGTCAGGTTGACCACATAGATGGTAGTTTCGTACAAACTGTAGTCATCGCCGTAGGCCAGGTCATAGGCCGCCGTGCCGATGGTGGCGGTGTATAGTTCGTTGACGACGGTCACGTCGCCTGCATAGTAGCCGGTCTCGACGTTGGTGTAAGTCGATACAGCTTCGGGAAGCGACGTAACGGTCGGTCGCACTTGCTGGTTCACGGTCGTCACGTACGGCGCGACGTTGGACGAATAATAATAATCATAGGGATAACTGGTGATGCGCTCTTCCTCCCAGTAATCAGTCACGATCCAGGGCGCTGCGCGAACGAATGAACAGTAAAGAACGAGTGTCAAGAAGCACCAAAACGAGCGTGCGGCCGCCATGACGAGCCCTGGAATTTTTCCCTCCAAAACCACGGGCAAGTCATGGCGGCCACAGGGTTTTAAAGATCCCAGGGCCCTTGCGACGCTAACCAGTTGCCAGAGGCTAACAAAGGACCCTTAGGGACTAGGACATCCTATTTTGGGGGCCAGCGAAGCCTCCCACGAACCATTTCAGGAATGGTGGAAATGAGTCTCGCTGTGACCATTGGCTGAGACGGATGCTGGCCACCGATCAGGGTCCATCGCCGCCCCGTCTCGCTTATTTGGTCCTCACGAGAACTAGACAGGTCCATCCACCTCGGACGGTCAACTCCCGGATCTTCATGCAGTTGAAGAAGATGAACCGGTTCGGTGGCAACTGCCTAACCGAATGGTGAGGATTCCAGTGATCTTTGCGGCTGTGGTGAAAGGACGGTCGGGCACCTGGGACCTTTCTAACACAGCTACTATGGCCTGACATGGCAGGAGAGGAAGTGAAAATATAAGAGGTACTGATGGAGGAGAACAGAGAAGTCGAAGTGGCAGAGAAAGCGAGTCAGCGCTCAATATTGATTGCCGATCTCTCTACTCCCCGCTTCATCTGTTTAGCGCGGGCGAGAGAGCCTTTTCTAGTTCGGCGTTCCTTCTCAGCCGCATTGATCTGTTTGCTACATTCGTTGTGAACCTTTGTAGTCAGCGTATCGGGTCAAGTGTATTCAATGAATAAATAGAAGATGGATATGGATATGAATATACAAGTTTCAGTTCAACGCCAAGTCCGGGACAGCAAAACAGAAAATAATCACAACCACTCCTAACGCAAAAATGCCGTAAAGTCGTAAAGTAGACTGGCCTCTTGCTCGAACCGACCAGTTCAAAATCCAGGATATGCACGGCAAGAGAGAGAGAGAGAGAGAGAGAGAGAGAGAGAGAGAGAGGGGGAGACAATAAGAAACCACCAACTCAATTAGCAGCCCGTAAAGCTCTCAATCTCGCTCCAAGCCCATCCTCAGCTTCCGCATCTGGCTTGACAGGCTCAGCGTGCTGCTGAATATCCTCGGGCGCCTTGCCAGACTCCAACGCCAGGCGCATATCAACGCCCGCGTCATCTGCCAATTGCTCCATCATCCGGTCCACCTCCGACTCGCCCTCTGCACCATACTCCTGCATCGAGATACCCTGCGCAACGTCCTCGATCGCACTACTGGCGATCTTGAAGTCCTCGGACCGGGCGAGGAAGTTGTTCGCGTGCGAGACAAGGTGTTCGAGGTTCACGCTCTTCGAGGCCGCGTCGAGGCCGCGCGACGCAAGAGCGAGCGTCCGTGATGTGTCGCGGGTGCTCTGTGCGGCTTTGAGTTCGTTGATAATAACGTCCGCACGGGCGGCTTCGGATTTGAGGGTTACTTGGCGGCGTTTCTCGCGAACGGCGGAGGCCGCGTGGATCCGGGCAATTTGGAACTCCCGGTTTTTCATCGCCTTGTCTGCTTTGGCCTTTTCGGATTTGAAGGTGGCTTCTGCACGGTTGGCTTCTTTCTTGAGTCGGTTCGAATGGAGCTGGCAGGTATGAGTCCTGGGCGTGCGCGGAATCAGGCGATGCGGGGTGGTATCTTACCTTCACATTGGTGCGGGCTTCAAAGATGGGATCTCGGCGGACCATGATGGCGATGAGGGAGGCAATGCCGGTAGATCGTAGCGACGTGCAGGGGAAAGGTCGGGGACAGTAGGGAGGGTCGAGACTTGGGGACTGAAGAGGGGAAGTGAGAAGATGGCGCGTGGCAAACGTCACCGCATTCAGCGCATTCTTTAGCGTCGCTCTATTTTAGCTCGGCCAATTTGGCAGGGGTTTTATCGAGTTCATATCCATTTCATTCCTATGAAGGCGGCCTCTGATACAGATACTTAGGCAACAAAATTGCTCTATGGCTTACATATTGCCACCAGTGCCAGACAAGGCGGCGGCGGTTCATCAATGATAATCCAAGCGAACTACGACAAACATCCAGATTCAGATCAAAGAAAGAAAACGAGCCAGTCATTTCTTTTGAATAGATGAAAAGATCATATAGTATACAGCAAAAATAGAAGACTATCCCCTATAGTTGTTTGCCCGATAGCAGAGATGTAAATTTCTCGCCCGGTGTAGAACTCCAGGAACCCCCAGTACTCCGTTGAACCTTTCCGTAACTGCGTCGCCGGCCGGATTTGGACTTGGTGGTCCGATGCCGCCTTGACTGGTCGAATCTATCGATCGCCCATGCCAATGTCAATAACGACTCCCAACTCGGTCGGCCCTCCGGGGCGTCGACCGACCGAGTCTGTCCGGAGAAACGCTCACTAACCGCTAGCTGCAATGCTCTGCCCGTCGCATCGCGAAGTGGACGCGCCAAGGCTGGGCTGCACGCTAGCAGTCGAGTGAGCAGTTTCATCCGAAAGACCGGTCGAGTCGGCACCTTCGAGGGCGACGGACTCGGGGTCGAAATTAACCAAAGAATCAAAGGGAAATGCTGATAGATCTCCTCCGTCGAGAGGGCCAAAGGCAAACCCGTCTTCAGGGAAAGAAGGATTTGACTCAGCGGGTGAATCACCGTGGAATAGGCGGCGGAAGTCATCGTCAGAAAGAGGAGCTGCAACGTCATTTGCAGCGTCAGGTTCGACGCCCGAGAGATCGAATAGAGGGAGGGCGCTTCCAGCTCCTTCGAGGCCAGCGACGGACACTGCAGGTCGCACAACACCGCTGCAGGATGTTGTGTCACGTCGGAGGCCTCAGCCAGAGTAGAAGGCTGGAGGGTCGGGGAGTAGTCGGTAGCGGAGGGTGTGGGGAAGGGGATGCGTTCCATCGGGAGGTCTTGGCCTTCCTGCTTGAACAGGGTAGGCGTGAGGGTAGGGGATTCGAGAACAGGAGAGCCTTGCTTGGGGGTGCTGCTGCGAGAGCCGCGCACCTCAGCGGAGAGCTGAGCCACTTGTTGAGAGAGGCGGTTGTTCTCCGCCTCCATCTGGGACAGTCGCTGGATGAGGAATTGGTTCTGTTGTTCCATGCGGATCTTTTCGGTCTCTAGCTTCTCCATCTCGAGACGCTTACGCTCGCGGGAAGTCTGAGCCGCAGCGCGATTCCGGAGAACGCGCTCGATCCGCCGTTGTTCCTTCTCATCATCTGTCTTGGCACGCTTTCTGGAAGAACGATTAGTATGTTGTCCTTCTTTGCATCAAAGAGGGGTAAGGGTAGAATGTACCGTGGTGGGAGGTTGGTCTTGGGCACGGGAAGTTCCTGACCCCAGGACTTTCTCTTCTTCGCGGGCTTTTTCTCATCTTCCAGGATGTCCTCCGGCTCGGGCGAGTCCAATGATGTATCCGCGGGGGAGACAGTCAAGTGGAGCTCGGGAGACGGGGATGCTGATAATGACTCCATCGGGTTGATTGTGTCTGTCATAGTGGATGGCCGGTGCCAGTCTGGAGGGGAAAGATGACTTTCTATTGAAGCGTAGTCAAAGGCCACGCTGTCATCACGAACAGGCACCGGACGATCCAAGCAATCCGGGGAAGGTGTGAGTCAGCGCGAGAAGGACACTTGTTCCTTGGGGTGAGTTGGGCTGCAACCGGGCGAAGGCCACGGTTTAAGTAGAGGCCAGCGTGGTCTCACCTCATTCATCCCTGGTCCAAGGTGGGGCCATCGAAAGGAAGTCTCGGGTACCTTGGCCACCATAGTGAACAACCTGTAGAAGCAAGTACCTCTTACTCGTCAGCCTAGCCCCCCTCCTGCGCCCCTGGATTCCACGGTACGCTTGGGTTTCAGCTGTGTCTCGTCTCACACGTACACACCATAATATTTATGAATAGATCTTGTCCCCCAAGATCCTCAGGCTCCCAACTTGAGGTTCAAGTGTGATCCTGATCCTGATCTTCGTAACGGAAAACGCGACACCCTAAGGCCTCTTACCGTACATCTCTCACACTCCACAGTCCTATTGACTTCCCAAGGAGGTATTTACCCCCCCTATCTTCCCCATTCTAATAATGTCTCCGTACTCCATACTGTGTATCTGGAACGCAGTGGACTCCCCCTGGTGCGCATCTCAAGGCCAAGTTCCCCGAACATTCGGAGAATGCCCCTATCGCCACTCTGATCCTCCGGCCCTTGTTGGCCGCTTGGAATGCAACTCCTGAACCAGGTCCTCCCGATTTCCATGCACATTGGCGGAATTCCCTCTTACCCCACCGAATGGCGCCGAACAACACGGAACGCGCGGAGGGGCTGGATCCGTCGTGGCTGAGCCCCTCCAAGGAGATTTATCAAGGAAAGGAGTGACCCCTCCTACTCAATGTGGTCAATGATTCGTACTTGTACTGTAGATGCTTTTTTTTTTTTTTTTTTTAAATCAATAATATCAATAATCCTGCAGGTTATTCCGACTCCACCTTCCAGGCACCAGGGGGAAACTCCAGTAAAAAGTCCATACGCAACATGCAATACGCAGCACGCGGTCAGAGTACGGAGTACCTTGGCATCTGAAGCATTGACTCCGTCGGAGTCCGTACAGTTGTACTCCAAAATACTCTACAGTACATCCCGCGTATCCACACCTGCAGGCTATAGGTAGGAAATCACCTCTCATACGCAGAAATTCCCCTGATACATTGCTTTTTAGTGCATCTAGACATTCATTCCCTGACACACACATCACCCCGCATCAAGGTCCCCCCCCCCAACTTAGGCAGATTGATCCCTGAAACACCCAGAATCCTTTGCTTGTGGCCCTCGACCCTGTGAAGCGGATTGACCGAGATTACATTGAGACTCACTCTGTATCCGTGCTTAATGGTGGCTCCTATTCTGTTGTGTGGTCGGATGGGGGCAACTTCTATTTAGATAGGGAAAAAGGCCACGACATAGTTCGAGAATTCTTTCGTATACTCCTCCGATGTGAGTGGGCTTGTCACATGCAAATCGGTGTAGGAATTTGTCGTCGGAATATTTTGAGACATCGCAGGGATTCCTCTCTAGATGCCCATGTACCTAGTGTGACCGTACTTAAATGCTCTAGGCAAATCCGAACCGATTCACACAGACGAATTTCTACTTCTCCTTCTTCCCCGATCAAGTCTATCCCACTAGGACTACATAACTTATTGATCTTATGACCGTCTCGCCAGGAGTATAACCTTCGCCAAGTTCTATCAGCTAATCCCCACTAGAGGCAGATACGGGAACGCGCCTTAGACGGAGCCATACACAGTCCCGATTAGGCAATTCTCTTCATGCCAGGTAGATGCGGGAAATGCTGGTACTTCAGACACTCCAGAGGCGTTAAAAAGCTGTTTATAACCTATGCATGAATAATCGTGGGACATTGAAGGATTCCAGAGATGTCAAACTTATGGCAGAGCTGCATTCAAATAAGGTCTTGCGCTGCTTGGTGCCTTTGTTGTTATAGAGTTATAGCACCCATTGCCTTTCCATTCCAAGAAGGATGTCATCAACCTCTTATTTGCATATCATGTCCACGACTGCGGCGATGGCAACAATGATCATGCGCCACCTACGGGGCCCTGTGGTTCAAATCCTGTTGAACCAAATATCACATGACAGTGCTGCCCCAGGGCATATGTGTATACAAGAAACTACACCATGGTGATTTGCCATGACACATGGAGATCTGCCCATGGAACAGTAAGCACTCTCTGTTCCAACATCAGACATACGTATGCACGGTTGAGATTCAAGTCACTTCCGAGAGGAAGTAGAATAGGTATCAGGATGATGAGATAGGGACTAGAATGATGATCTCATCCACGAGATTCCATGAAATGTAATGCACACGCCTATATTCACTGATGAACTTTGAAAATATTGAGGGATGGTTGGGTGACGATGATGAGATACAGTTCGAATGCATGTAACATAAAAAGACCAGTTCTGATGTCGAAGTACATTCCAGAAAATCCAGTTTTTACTTAGACACAGATTCCCTGGGGGCCTGGAACACATTTCTCGGCGGGTCCATAGCACCATACACAGATGCGAATTGCATATTGTACTAGCGTAGGTGGCACTTCAGATCGATATCAAGATGCTGTAAACCTACATGAATGCCGCTATCGACTATCGTAGGTTTGTACTTGTTGGCGCGCGTACTGGAATTCATGAACACTTCAATTTGCGCTGGGAAAAGGGCGGGAACAGAAAGAGCTGCTACAGGAGGAGCGGTGCCAGATATCCGTTCAAGTGTCGTCATTGATAGTGCATGACACAGCAAAAAGCGGGAAATGATCTCGACCCATTTTTTCTTGTTTCTTATCTTACGTTTATATTTTGGAGCAGTTGACAATTACGTCGAACCCCATGCAGGTATCTCAAGTACTGAGTGAAGATCGATTCTTCTACATTTATCTTCAATGAAGCCAAGCTCAGATCGAGCTCATTTTAGCCATCGTACGTCCTTGCATATTAGTCGTTTGGAAAGCCTTACAATATTCGAGTCGTTGAAGTATATTATGGGCTACTTTTCGGTCAGGGCATGTTCCCAAATCGGCAGCCCTGTGAGGCCTCATGCTCCACCCCATCGACGAAGACATATCTGACACTGGTGGGCTCCTCGCAATTATACAGATTATGGTCTCGCCAAACTCTGACTCACTTGGGCAAGATACCGCAAGGTCTGAGTGTAAGTCAAGACAAGACTGGTTCTAGGGCCCTAAAGTTGACTAGAGACGGGTCTCCGGGCCCAGATTGGGATGGCGCCAGTGTCTTTGCCTGAACTTGGGTTTGGCCCCCACGACATCCCCTCGAACTTCGAACTCAAGTCAACGTAGCCAGCATACCCGCTACACCGCATCAATGATCTTCAAGAACACAGAACAGAGCTTTGTAGCTCGCCAAGGACAGCCAAGTCCCAAGATGGGATCTGTGCCACACGCTCGAGAGGAAGGGTCCTCCGTGCAGCCAATCGTCCACGGACTTGTCGCATTTAGCTCGACTTGGCCTCGTTGCCCGGAACCTGAGCTAAAGATGGTAGCATCGGGCTGCGGCTCAAAAAACCTAAGTGCATCTCGTTTATTTCACGGGTATATTCAAGCATGAACATCTTAGACACGGCGTACATAATTCACAGACTCACATAATGAACTGGTACGAACTTGAACGCGAGCAATTATCTCTAACAGTCGCTGTGTTGATCCCAATGGAGGCCAAGGCGCGTGAAACGAGGTATTTACCAGGAAGACGTATTCACAATGCTTTTGCTTTTGGTCCGTAGACCCTGTGGTAATCTATCGACTCCACTAGTTCTGATAACAGGGGAATTATATGCACAAATAACACAATAAACGCCATCCATCAAGTACGTGCTCATGACCAGGTCGTAGGTGGTATATGCAGGGGAGTTTTGAAGACAAAGGGAAAAAAGACTCGAAGAGCTCTTTACATATCCATGTCCATAGTGTCGTCACCGGCATCAAGGGCATTCTGCCTCTCGGGATCAGGGACAACCACTCCCCGGCCACGACCGGCGAGTAGTTCACGCCTGACTTCAGGCCCAATGTCCTTGTGTCCACGGACCAAGAGAAGATCGAGAAGGGCTTCACGCTGGTCCTCAGTGATGTCGTTACGATATCGCTGGGCAAAAACCAACAGAGACTGGTGCCACAGAACTGGGAGCCTGTAGGCCTTGCTGTTACCGGCATTACCCATCGAGGTATCCTCGGAGGGATCAGCGGCACGGAAGCGCAGGAAGTGGAATACCAGAGCATCAATGACCTTGTATGGCAGGGCATACTTCTTCTCCAGGAAGACTCGGATAAACATGTTGACGGCACCGGTGCTTTCGTAAGAGCGGCTCGACATCTCAGCTGACAGATCACACATACGGAGCAGGGCCGCAGCAGAGTGCAACACGGGAATAGAAACACGAGCAATCACTGAAGAGACAATGTGCGCCTCACGCAAGGTGCAGGTGCCGCTGGAAACAAGAGGGAAAAGCAGACCCTTGAAGAAACAGGCAGGCTTGTAGAGAGCCTTGCGCAACGAGTTGTAGGTGTGAACATTGAGCTTCTTAGTCTCATGGATTTCCTCGCGCACGCGATCCAACAGAACAGTCGCAATAAACTCTTGAGCCACATGAGGCTTGGACGAGATGAAAATGCGAGTTCCAGCATAGACGGCGTTGGCGGTCCATCGCTCGGGCTGGGTGATGTCGAGAAGAGTCGGCCAGTTGGGAACAGACGGAAGAATCTTGAAAGGCTTGGGAAGGGGACCAGACTTATAGCGCGAGAGGATCATGCCAACCCTGTACTTGCAAGTTAGCGCAATTCTTTCGGTGCTAAATAGCTTTCACGTACTTCTCGAAAACCTCCACAGCCTTAGCAGGGATCTGAACGGCATCCTCTGCAACGCCACCGCCTTGAATGCGCGTGGGGTCACTGTGTTGGCCAGCCTGCTTGGCTTCATGCTCGGCGATTTTCTCCAAAATCAAATCTGCAAGGTTCGTGGTTTGACCCTGGGCGGAAGAGTCTCGCGCACCGCCGAAAATGGGATCCGACTCGTGGCCACCGGGAATAAACTTGTTGAACATATCGAGGTCGTTGGGATCAACCTCCTACAGTCATGTTAGATTTCTCCATTGCCATCCCTATAGATATGGCGATTCCTTACCAATTCCTCAACTTCCTCGTCAACCCAGTCGTCATTCTCAAACTTCTCGTCATCCGACAGCGGCTCATCCTCGAAACGGGTATCAAATTCGAAAGCAGCGTTATGCTTGGGCTCGGTGGTACCCAGGGCAAGTTTTTGTTCTGCGGCATCCTCGTCTGCTAATTCCTGTCCCATTTGCAGAATGTTGCGCGACATCTTCGCATCAACATAGCGCTGTCCATTCTCGCCATTTTCGTCTTCATCCGACTGGCGCTTGCCCTTCTTGCTGCTCTGTGTTCGGAGGTGCCCCACGGCACTGATATCCTCTGCGAGAGGGTTGTGTCTGCGGGCCGCGGCTGCGCGGGAACTGGTGGCTTTAGGCATGTTGAGACTGTTCTCTGCCCAGATAATCCAAGACGAAGTAGAAAAGAAACCTGCTGGACTGCTTGAGATGTGTACCACGAACCGTCAATCAGTTGTGTGTAAATTTTGGGGTCATGTGATCTAATCAGTTATTTTTTTTTGCCAGGCGGAGAAGTTTTATCTCTACCGCCCTCACAAATTCACCGCCCTAATGCCGATGCTTTTCTGCCGCGCGTAGCCGGACTTTCGCAGGACCGCGTGTTTCACCAGGACGACGAGTGCTCATTCTCTTTCTCTGCAGCTGTGCCTTATACTTCTGAAGCTTTAATAGGTGTAGCTTGCAATCCAGCTGCAACCTTTAGGATATCCAGCCGCAGGTCCCACCTTGCGCTTGTGCCTATTGAGACAGCTCCGTGTTCAAGCCGATTAATTGCGCGCGCATGATATGAGGTTGGTAAGCTCTCACCACTTACATGATGTTTAATTGATTTTGCCCTTAATTTTTTTTGGGTGCCTTCAACTGGGCTATCATTGCGTGAGACCTTCGGGAGTTGGCTAACAAATTACTGTTGCAGGAGCTGCTTTCAATCCGAGAGCCCATCTTGCACAACGACCTTTCAAGTCGCCCTTGCGTTCCGCCTCTTAAAATCCCTTACCAGCTTACTGGCATCTGAAATCTCACCATGGCATCCGGCCAAGCCCCCAGGTCCTCCGCACCATCCTCGAACATCAACTCCCCCGTTATCCCTCCCAACAATGGCCCTTTCCTGAACGGCGCATTATCGGATTTGAATTCGCGATCCTCACCGGCACCAGCAATCCATCTTTCTGCACAGGGGGACAATGCTCGCGCAAAGCGGAACAAGCGTGATAGTCGCAAGAAGCGCGAAGCTAAAGGCTTGGATATCGAAAATGCGCCTCCTCCCAAAAAGCGTGCAACCGCCGCAAGCACCGCCATTCCCAGCTCGGAATTGTCAATGCTTCGCCCATTGCTTCTCGCTGAACCCTTCGAAATGGATAAATTTCCTCCGCGCCCGCGCCAAATGAATCAGGTCTGCAGGAAATCTTCTAGCGTGCTAGGCCAAAGCTGGGATTTCTATGAGGTGATTGATAAACTCACCAATAAGAATGGGTTCCGGTATAGCTATGCCATCGCCGACCAAGGCTTTCCGCATATTAAGTACCGGCAAACTGACGTGAGACCTTATCATGCCCGGTTCAGCTTTGAGGACTCTCTCCTACAGCCATTTATTTCTCTGAAGATGCTAGGGCCATGACTACCAACGATGCGTGGCACACGGCTCGAGCAAATGTCTGCGCTCGAGAGGGCTCATATTATTACGAGGCACGAATAATCAGCGGTGTGACTCCCCAAGGCGCTTCGCAGAATGGGTCCAGCACTCCATCCCGTGGCCATGTCAGACTTGGGTTCGCACGTCGCGAGGCAGACTCCGATGTCAACGTCGGTGTCGACTGCTACGGGTATGGAATCCGTGATGTTAACGGCGAAGTCGTCAACCGCATGCGGTGCGAGTTCTTTTTCCCAAAAGGCGAATCTATTAACGAGGGCGATGTAATTGGCATGCTGATTACCCTTCCGCCTTTAGCCATCCACACAAAGATAGTCCAGGGCACCTACGATCCCGCTATAGATGGCGATGGCACAGATCCTGCATCCCGGATTCCCACTGCTACCAACATCATCCGAGATCGCATTCCTTTTCACTCCAAGTCCGATGATTTTTGTTGGCAAGTATCTAACGTTTTCTCTACCAAACATCTCCGCGACTACGCTTTCAATCTGAAAGAAACTCCCACATTCGGCCCCCCTTCTCCGTACAACAGTGAAGACCCGTCCTTACGCACATTGCCTGGATCTAGCATTACTATCTTCAAGAATGGTGTCAAGATGGGCACACCCTTCAAAGAGCTCTATGCTTTCCTTCCGCCGGCGAGTCGGCTTGCTAATGGCACAAACAATCTCGGGATCGGAGAGCGTGAGAATGCCGACGACGGCATGATCGGTTACTATCCAGCCGTAAGCTGCTACGGCGGCGGTGCAGTCGAGTGCCGCTTTGAAGGGCCGTGGTGGGTTGGCCCGCCTGACAGCACCGAAACGGGCGAGCCGATCCTACCAATCGGTGATCGCTTCAATGATCAGATCGTCGAGGACGTGGTCGCCGATATCGTGGATGAGGTTGAGGCCATGTTTACATGGGGCGGAATTGATGGCGACGTGATCGGCGGCGGGATGGATGGTGCAGTCGGGGGCTCTGAGGTGTTAAAAGGAGGCGTCGGTGCTGCCCTGGATTCCGCAGTCTCGGGCCCCGGGGTCTCTGAATCTGCCGCCAACAGTAACCAGGCAACCCCAGCTGCCACAGGAAATCTAGCGCTAGATGATACCATGAGTGTCGGGACTGCTGGTACCCCTCTTCCTGCAGCGGATGTCCCGGCTGTCGGGGCTGATGAAGATGTTGAGATGACTTGAAGATCCAAAAGGGTCAGAATGATCCGAATAGAATGGAAAGCGACACAGCTATAGGGACGGGTACGGCGTTCAAGGAGTTTCTCATCAAGTTACATCGATACCATTTTGTTAACGAAACTTAAACACGCGATCGTCCTGTTCCACGAAAGTTAAGGCCATGAAGATGGGCGACCTGTTCTGCAAATTCTGAAACAATCAACTTAGAATGAGGTATAGATGTGGTATCGTTGTAGTTATATATATATGAAACAGGTTGAGCTTGCTATAGGCTCTCAAAAACTTTTGCCCTCGAGCAATCCGCCAACCTTCATGACCAACTCGTCATCTCCGTACTGGCCCACGACTTGGATACCAGCAAGATCACCAGCGCCCGAATCGTGTGAAGAATGTGAGTTTGTTACCGGGACGGAAATCGCTGGCAAGCCTGCGAGACTGGCGGGGACCGTGAAGACATCGTTGACATAGGCATCCAAAGAAGATGAACCACTAGAGGGCCCTGTCACGTCGGACAGTCGAGGCGGCGATGACGGCGCAGTGGGACATACCAGAACATCAACCTGTTCTGCACTGAGGCTAGCGTCCTGAGCTGCAGCCAATGGGTGTTCAGCAGCGAACACGGCGTTGAAATCCTGCTGGACCAACCGCCGGACACGCTGTGCCTGGATGAAGTAGTTGTCCATAGCATCAGCGCTCAAGCTGAATGTACCTAGCAAGATTCTTCGCTTCACCTCATCGCCAAACCCCCTTCCGCGCGTGTTTGCATAAAGGTAGCCGTCCGGCTGTCCGTCGCTGTCTGGTCCCTCCGCCCGGGTACCGTATCGTACACCATCGTACTTGGACAGGTTCGACGATGCCTCGGCGGGGGCCAGGACATAGTATGCTGATAGTGCATGCTTGGTGGCTGGTAGGGAAACAGAGTGAATGGTATGTCCTTGCTCCTGCAAATGGGTCAGGGACTGTAGCCAGGCACGGCGAACTGACGGTGTGAGCTCGGAGATATTGTATTCTATCGGGAATCCTATTCGGAGAGGAGTTGAGGTTAATCGAGATGCGAGTCGAGGGGCCTGGAGCTGGGACAAAATCCGTGACCTTGTGGAAGTAGGGAGACTGGTCGGGTCGCGTGCGTCATGCTGATTGAGGATACGGAAGACGTCCTGAACCCTAGACGTTCTTTTTCCTATAATTCCAACCGTGTCCAGGGAGTTGGCATATGCGACAACGCCCCATCGTGATATTAGCCCGTAGGACGGCTTGAAGCCAACGGTCCCCGTGTATGCAGCAGGAAGCCGGACAGAGCCTCCTGTGTCTGTTCCAAGTGCACTGTAGCATTTTGAACCCAGTCAATAGCCAGTTCTAGGCCCCGATGTATGTGTCCGGTACTCACGCATAGCATTGATCTGCAGCCACGGCTACCGCGCTCCCACCAGAACTACCACCAGCGGAGAGGTCGTGTCCGCTGTCATCCCGTCGCGAGTTATTCACGGGTCCAAATCGCGAATTCGTAGAATGTGAACCCATCCCGAACTCATCCAGGTTGGTCTTACCAGCCACGACTGCCCGGCATTCTCTAGTTGTTCGATCACTGTGGCATTGAATGGGCTAGTAAAGTTGCTCAAAATGCCCGAGCCGCATGTCGTCGGAAGGTCGCGCGTGCAGATGTTATCTTTAATGGAGATCAAGCGGCCATCTATGGGGGGAGCTGGAAGTTCCTGTTCCAGCAATCTTCTGTTAGTCATTGGTTACTGAACTGAGGTTGATGGACGCACCTTGCTCGCGACGCTTGTCTGCTTGCTTGACGCGGTCCAACCACTGTCCCGAACGGGGCAGTGGGGTTATGAAAGCATTGAGCTTGTGTGCATGTTGATTAGCGATGCATTTCTCTGCTTCGCGTAAAAGGGACATTTAGAACCGTGACTCGTGAAGGTGTGTGTCGACCGCGGGCGGAAACCGATAAATCGATATCCAGATGGCCCGTGCTTCTGCCTGGCAATGATCTATGAGAACCTGCTTTTGTGGTCTTTGAAGCAATTTACAGTATTATATTAATTATCTTGGTAATTCATTCCACAAGGCTTGCAATTTTCTATTTACTGATTTCCATTTCAACATTCTCAACGTGCTGATATACAACTTAGACTGTCTTACACACAAGCACCCGCGGGTCGACATAGGCTCTCACGCATCCTAGAGCCTCCCAGATCTAAGCTAGAAAGGGACTCTGATCCCCCCCAAGGTTTGACATAGAGCATCAGGCTAAATATATTTTCGCAGGATTGTAAAGAAACCTTGATTTTTTGTATTCAAGCAAAGAAAGCCCGTCGTGTAAGATCGCTAGTGGACCTCGGAAAACGAAGCCGAGCTATCCAGCAAGCCGCAAGGTCGACATTATATCCCTTAGTGAAACGGAAAATAACAACAGAAAATACCGAATTCCGAACAGATCGGGTCAAGATGAAAACATTCGAGCAAATTCTTCTGTGGGGTAATACTTCCGAGCGGACGAGAAATGTATAGCCTGGCAGCTTCCTTCGGGCCGAGCTAAACCGCCAAATAGACGTCATCTTCCCATTCCCTTCCGGCCTTTGTTTCTTCCACCAACATCCACCTATAGCCAAAATGTTGTCGCATGGTATCATAAGAGCTGCAGCCAACGGTGCTCGTGCCTCCGGTGCCGCTCGAGTTGCGATTTTCCCGGTCGCCGCTAAAGCTCAATGCGCTGGAGTCACATTTTCCGTCGACGGCCGAAGGCGCATTTCTATGTACGGCTACACACAGGCAAAAGCGTTGATCTACTCGAAATACGGCGAGCCAAAGGATGTCCTCAAGTATGACTTGTTCCTGTGAAACTCATGATTCCATGAACTGACCACTCTTTAGCCTTCACAAGCATTCGATCTCTGCTCCGCACGGTACCCAGGTGAACCTCCGTCTTCTCGCCGCGCCTATGAATCCCGCCGATGTCAACCAGATCCAAGGTGTTTATCCTAGCAAGCCTCCGTTTGAGACGACGCTGGGAACTGCTGAGCCGTCGGCTGTGGGTGGTAACGAGGGAGCGTTCGAGGTCATTTCAACGGGTGCGGGCGTGAAGAACCTGTCCAAGGGCGATTGGGTCATTATGAAGCGCACTGGTCAGGGGACCTGGCGAACGCACGCTCAGATGGACGAGTCACAGCTTATCCGCATCGAGAACAAGGAGGGCTTGACTCCCATCCAGATCGGTACTGTCAGTGTCAACCCGGTTACCGCGTACCGGATGATTCGTGACTTCTGTGAGTGGGACTGGATGCGCGCTGGGGAGGAATGGATGATCCAGAATGGTGCCAACAGTGGCGTCGGACGCGCTGCTATCCAATTGAGCCGCGAGTGGGGTATCAAGACTCTCAACGTAATCCGTCAGCGGAAGACAACCGAAGAGACGGAGGCCCTCAAACAGGAACTCAAAGATCTAGGTGCTAACGTCGTTGTGACTGAAGAAGAGATGCTGAATGGTGGTTTCCGGGATATGGTCAAAGAGGTTACTCGTCAGGGCCGGGAGCCCATTCGTCTAGCCTTGAACTGCGTCGGTGGAAAGAATGCCACGGCTCTGGCGAAGACTCTGGCTCCAGACTCCCATATGGTGACCTATGGGGCCATGTCGAAGCAGCCGGTTGCGCTACCCTCTGGCATTTTGATCTTCAAAAATCTCGTGTTTGACGGATTCTGGGTTAGCAAGTGGGGTGACAAGAACCCCCAGCTCAAGGAGAACACCATCAAGGATGTGCTCCAGCTTACCCGAACAGGCCGCTTCAAGGATATTCCTGTCGACAAAGTCGAGTGGAACTGGAAGTCCGAGGGCCCCCAGCTGGCCGAGAACGTGCAGGGCACTCTGGGTGGCTACCGCAGTGGAAAGGGTGTTTTCACCTTCACCGGCGGCGACGAGTAAAAAAGTCGATGTACCATATGGTCAGGCAGTATTTCTACATAGGCGTTATATGACTACTGTGTTGCCAGTGACTGGCATACCCGGAAGAGAAAAAGCAGTGTAGTAGACTGAGAATATCTTGTGTTACATCTCGAGGTCAGGACTCAGTACATAAGTGGATCACCCGCATTTCCAGTGCTTCTTCACCCACGCTAAAAGCAAATCAGTCAATGTCGTCGACGGCATGTATACCTCACTGTCCTTGAAGAAATCGACATCAAGGCTGGCAAATTTGGCAGCCATCGCCAAGTGCGGCTGGATGAACTCAATGTATATGAGATCGACCGTCTTTGGTACTCCCGACTTGTCGGCTGACAGCAAGGTTTGGATACAGTTGGGAACTTCGTAGAAGGCAATGGGCGAGTGAACGGTATCATCTCCATCAGTTCCTGCATCATCCTTGGTCGTATACCCCGGCAGAATGTTCTCATCTAGGCTATCGGCTGAGAGATGGGCTTGGTGTGACCCTGCCATGTCATAGACTAGCCGCGGGTTCAGATCATCTTCTTCAACAACTTCAGCATTGAAGTATGTAGCTCGAGCAAGATTTTCAGGACGTGATAAAGGGAGGAGCTTTGAGTCTGACTCGAGCGTTTCTAGAACCTTGGGCTGCTTGTTGAGGACCTCCATCATCAGTTGCACCTTTTCGTAAGGGACGTCCTTTACGTAGCGGAAACTGTTGGTGAATGGTGATATAGTCCATATGGTATCTTGCGTGAACTCGCCCTTGAGAATGTCGAATCGCAAGGCACCCGTATTCAATATGGCCACTGAAGGGACCTCACCACGAGATTCATCTTTAAGAGAATCAGGCAGCACCTTGGTCTGCAGCCACGTGAAGACACTGTCTGGGTTTGGGTAAGGAACTCGGGACGTCCAAAGGGTTCGTGGAACACAGCCATGGACGTGATCCAGTCGAAGAGCACTCCGAGATTCAGCAATGAGTTGAGAAACGTTGAGGCCACTTTCAGTCGGAAAGGACTCTTCATCTAGGCCAGTATGTTGGTAAAAAGAGTAGAGATTGTTGTCAATATATCGTCGCCTAAATACGGGGCTCGATGCAACACTTGGCTGATCACCTGTAGAAAGCCCGTCAATCGACGCAAAACCGATTGTCTCCATGAACCGGCCACTGGCAAGAGCAAAGGCCTTGGAATCGTATTTTGCGTAATCGCGAATGTGCTGGTGGCCGCCGAAGAATTGGATTGGAGTGTCCCAGCGAATTCCCCGAATTTCTTCAAATATGGCCCGATATTCGGGCGAATGCGCCGGGACGTGGCCGGCGATTAAGAATAGATCGACTTCCGCGTCCCGGACAGCCTCCTGGAACCAATCTTCTTTGATAGTCTTTTCCACTGGCTGAACCACAGTATTATTATAATTCCCGTTAAAATCAAACAAGAAGCCGAACGCTACGATGCGGATGCCCTGGTTCTTGGTAGTAAACTTTTTGAATCGCGGGGCGAGCGGGACTAGTTCGTTAGTTTCGGGATGTCTGATATCAATATTGGAGGCAAGGTATTTGCCCCGGAAATTAGGAACAGTAGTCAGGAATTCGGCCTCCGACGTGTTCTGTTTGTAAAGTTCATGGTTCCCAGATGTGATCACATCGATGTGTTGATGATGGAGAATCTCCGAGAGATAAATGCCTTTGGGCTCGGACGAGTCATAGAGACCGTTGCCCTCGACGCGATCTCCGGTATCGATGACCAGTAAGTCTTGGCCCTGCGCCTCTACCTTTTCCCGCATGCGCGTCGCGAACGAAACATAGTCCCCCCCAGTCCGCCGAGTATGAAGGTCTGCGACGCGCATCAGTCTGGTTTAGAGCCTACAGCACAGACACTGCGTAACATACTCCTCTAGATGACCGGCCAGCCAGCCATGGGTATCGGTAGTATGAAGGAAATTCAGTTGTCCGAGCTCGAGAGCTCGAAGGGGCGCGGAGATGGGAGCGGGCGCGGAGGGCTGAGCGGCGAGCGCCGACGGGAAAGATACGATCCAGGGCAACACCGCGAACAACATGTCGTATAGCCCCCCTATGAGAGCAGAATTTCGGGAGAACCGAATCTTTTTATTTGGTAGACAGGATAGAATCGGATGAGATACTGAGAGAAGTCAAGAGAGATGCAAGGATATAGCTATAGAACGAGTAACATGAGGAAGCTCCTACGGTTACGGAAGGAGCTGCCGGTGAGGTGCTGACTCAGCGCCCAACATCTTCGGATTTGCATCTCAAAGATTCAAGCGCGGTCTTCCCGTTTTCCCAACCTTGAAACTTTTGGTCTTCAATCGCCTCTGCGGTTTCTCTTGAACCTTGCGGACCTTCCAATTGTTGCTTCCCTTCCTTCTCTCTCTTCGACTTCCATCCTAACTCTCCGCCATGGCCGCTCCCCGTCTTTTCCGCCCAGCGCTGGCTTCGCGCCTGGCTTCCACCCCTCTTCGCTCTGCGTTCGCCAAGTCGTGCGCTCCTTCATTCATTCGCGCTCGCGGATATGCTTCGGAATCCGGTACCAAGGATGTCACAGTCCGTGACGCTCTGAACGAGGCTCTGGCCGAGGAGCTGGAGCTCAATCAGAAGACTTTCATTCTGGGTGAGGAGGTCGCACAGTACAACGGAGCGTAAGGAATCTCTCTCCATTCTCCAGAAGGGGAACTGTCTGGTCGAAGACATTTATCGCTGACCTGGATCTCTTTTCCGCAGTTACAAGGTGACACGAGGACTCTTGGACCGCTTCGGCCCCAAGCGGGTTATCGATACCCCCATTACTGAGGCCGGTTTCACCGGTCTCGCCGTTGGCGCTGCTCTGGCTGGTCTGCACCCCATTGTGAGTGATTTTGGAGCCTGCAATCGAAAAAGACAAGACCGGGGAAACTGATTTGTCGGATCTCCTTCTAGTGCGAGTTCATGACCTTCAACTTCGCCATGCAGGCCATCGATCAGATTATCAACTCCGCCGCTAAGACTCACTACATGTCCGGTGGTATCCAGCCCTGCAACGTGACTTTCCGTGGCCCCAACGGGTTTGCCGCCGGTGTCGCCGCTCAGCACTCCCAGGACTACTCCGCCTGGTACGGCAGCATTCCCGGTCTCAAGGTCGTCTCCCCCTGGAGCTCCGAGGACGCCAAGGGTCTCCTGAAGGCTGCTATTCGTGACCCCAATCCCGTCGTAGTTCTCGAGAACGAGTGAGTGATGACCCAAATAACTTTTTTTTCTTCCCAAGGAGATCGATCCGTGGAACTGACAGGTTAATCTTAGGCTTATGTACGGCCAGGCTTTCCCCATGAGCGAGGCCGCCCAGAAGAACGATTTCGTCCTGCCCATTGGCAAGGCCAAGATCGAGCGCTCTGGCAAGGACCTCACCATCGTCTCTGTCTCTCGCTGTGTCGGCCAGTCCCTCACCGCCGCCGCCGAGCTCAAGCAGAAGTATGGTGTTGACGCCGAGGTTCTCAACCTGCGCTCCATTAAGCCCCTCGATGTCGAGGCCATCATCGCATCCGTTAAGAAGACCGGCCGCCTGATGGTCGTCGAGTCCGGCTACCCCATGTTCGGTGTCGCCTCCGAAATCATGGCTCTCGCCATGGAGTACGGCTTCGACTACTTGACTGCCCCTGCCGTCCGTGTCACCGGTGCTGAGGTCCCCACTCCCTACGCTCACGGTCTCGAGAACATGGCCTTCCCCCAGGAGGACACCATCGTTAAGCAGGCCGCCAAGCTCCTGCGGTTGTAAGTGCAGCGCCCGAGCGCGTAATAAAACCATGTGCCTAGTACCATTCCATCTGTCTCATTTTATATTTGTTTGTTCCCCCATCATGTCGTTGTTTATTCTCGCCTAGGCAGATCTTGGAAAGCTGTGTACGATTACCTTCTCCGGGTCTGTGCCTCGTTCCTCACCCAGCGTAAATGCTTTTGTTGTGTCTTAGATTGATAGACATTGGAAGTTACAATTTTTCTTTCCATTCAGGTCATTATAGATTTGTGAAAAGTTTCATGCAAGGTAGTTGCCCAAACACCATGCCCTGATCCAACGCCCCAGATGCACATGGAGTATACATGCGAGTTGGTCATGTAGAGCCGAGACCGACACACTCCGCAAAACAGCCTGTTGGTTGACGGGGGTCATAGTATCCGCCTCCGTCTCGATCCCGCGCATACTCCTGGTCTGTATCACTTTCGCCATCTTCTCGCACTGGCTCAGAAACCGGCTTCGATGACACACGCGGTGGTTCTTTGGCGGTGGTGGATTCCTCCTCCTCCTCATCGTCGCCTAAGACGTTCTTTTTCACCGGCGCTGCGGGACCACCTTTGACAGCGGCGAAAGAACTCTTGAAACCACCTTTCTTGAAACCTCCTCCGCTCTTCGCACCAGTGACCCCTCCACTTGGAACTGGGCCACCGACAGGTGCATCAATGACCTTTAACCCGGCCTCCGCATCGGCCTTGCGCTCCGCGCGACGGGCCTTCTCCGCGGCATTTGGGTCGCGGGAAAGCTGCTTGAGGTCCTGAAGACGTTTGCGATGTTGGTGATCATATGAAGAGATATGTGCCTCGTACTCTGGGTGCCGTGAGTATGATTTATTGCATAGCGTGCATGTGAAGGCGCTGAGCGCGGACCGCGCCGACTCGGTCTATTCCTGTCAGTGGACGTGACTTGCGAAGAATGGGGTGTTGATGGCTATCTATGAATCGTACTTTAGGAGCAGGATTAGTGAAACCTCTCTAATTACATGTTAGCAGGCGATAGAGTAGGCAAGGTCCAGGGAAGATACCGGCGCCATTTATGTGAAGTGGTGGGAGAAGCAGAGTTAGGCCTATCAGAGACGTCCCGTTGGGCGGACTCGAAGCAAGATCGTCGTCCCAGACTTTTCCTTGTTTTGCCTTCATCTTTTCTTCTTTTATCGACGAGCACCTTGTACGAGTGATGAGTTTTTGATATACGAATTTCCCTTTTCTCTTCAATTGGTCACGAACACTCGGCCCACAATGAACGTCAAACCACAAGACATCGACACCAAGTCGGTCATTTCCATGCAAGAGCTAGACCCCTCGCCCGTGGACGACTCCACCCCGATCTTGAGACACTCGAAAGCGGCGAGTACTTCCCTCAGCCCGAGGCAGACAAGCCGAAGCGTACCTGTGGATTTTCGGCCCCGAAATTAGGTCTCCGAGCCCACCGGTGGGATGCATTGTGTATGTTGCGCTCAATCCCGCGTAAACCTTCACACTCACATTTTCTAATCAATACATGCAGTGTCTGGCCTTCAAAAATACTCGACCTACCCACCGACGGCCTTCTTCGTGCTGCACTTCGCTAACACCGCACTCTTCCCACTTGTGACCCGCTCCGTGCCCGCAAGCGAGCCCTATCTCCTGCTCACGCGACCAATCTACCAGGCTCCAGGCCTGGAGCATCTCATTCTCACAATTCCAGTCCTGACACATATCATCTCTGGAATCGGTCTGCGCAATATCCGTGCATCACGACGCGCTCGGTTATACGGCGCGGAGACACGCGCTCAGCGATCATTGCTCTCCTCCTGGCCTCGATTCTCTCTTCAAGCTCGCACAGGGTATTTCGTTGCGCCATTGATTGGTCTTCATGTGCTGGTCAACCGTGCTACACCGTTGATCGTGGAAGGCGGGAGTTCCGGTGTGGGTTTGGGCTATGTTGCCCATGGTATTGCGCGCAGTCCAGTGTTCTGGAACCTTTTCTACTTGCTATTTGTCACTGCCAGCGTGTGGCACTTTGTCGGCGGTTGGGCTACTTGGATGGGCTGGAGAGTGACTACAGCCCGCAAAGAGCGCAACAGCAAGGGATCGCTAGAAGGCTATCTGGGCTATCCCGAAAACCAAGACCGCGCGAAGAGACAGCGCAAGATGTGGTGGATAGTCAATGGGATTGCCGCAGCAGGTGCGGCTCTCTGGCTGGCTGGCGCCCTCGGTATTGTTGGACGTGCAGGTGAAGGCTCGGGTTGGGAAGCGCAAGGGTGGAATGAGATGTATCGTCAAGTGCCTATCATTGGCGATTGGTTATGAGGGGATAATGGAGGATGATATGAACATACATTGTACTCTAGCATGTAATTACGACTAATCATTAATCGTGTATTGTGACTCTCGATCGAAGTATCTCAAGATGCTGGCTGCACGCGACTCGACAGCGCGAATAAGAGCTCAAACCATAGGCGTGTGAGGGCTTCACACCCAATCTTGATGAAATTCTCGAAGACTTGTAGTTTATTCAAGAATGCTCATAGTCGAATGAACAATCTGCAGCGTGTGTTTTCCATCCATATTCATTGAGGCTCGTAGTTCCATAGTGGGCGGTGACTCGGTCCGTGCGAGGAATCTTTTTTCCTCCGACGCCGCGCATTTTCACTATCAACGCACCTCGTCCATGACCTTACGACTCTCCATCTTCACCTTGGCTCGACGATGCGCACTTGATAGATCCGTTGCTAGCGCACAGATTCTACGAACAAATACCTCTCCCCAGTTATTCCAGAGGCCATTCTGCCAATCGAGGACAATGGAGAGCTCCACCGATACCTCCAAGTTGGTGCAATTCCAAGGCACAGATTACCAGGTGATTAAAGAGGGCCGCGCGCATATTCTTAACCCTCCTGCGCAAGAAGCCGCTTCGAAGGCAACGCGGAGGGACCTCAGAGAGGAAGACGAGTCGCAATCCGTTTTCTACAACCCGATCCAACAGTTCAATCGCGACTTGAGTGTCCTTGCCATTCGGGCCTACGGAGAGTCTCTGTTAGAGTCAAAAAAGCAGAAGTTCAAGAAACGCATACAAGGGAAGAAGAGGAAGCGTGAGGTGGACTCCGAGGATCAAGCATCCAAGTCTGCCACGGATGGTGCCAATGAAGTGAAGCCGGAGGGCGAGCAGACTGGAAACGCAAAGCAAGAGGCACAGTCTGACTCGGAGCCTTCTTACACAATTCTGGATGCTCTTTCCGCGACGGGCCTGCGCGCACTTCGCTATGCCTCGGAGCTTCCGGTGTCCAGAGTCGTGGCCAATGACTTGTCCGCCTCTGCCATCAGATCGATGAAGACGAACATTGAATATAATGGGCTGCAAGATCGGATCCAACCTAATCTCGGTGATGCGCGCACATACATGTATAGCTTGGGCGCACTTCAGAAATTCGACGTGATCGATTTGGACCCTTACGGCACCGCATCCCCATTCATTGATGCTGCCATCCAGGGTGTCAGGGACGGTGGATTGCTCTGTGTCACTTGCACTGATGCTGGCGTTTGGGCCTCGACTGGATATCCAGAAAAAGCATTCTCCTTGTACGGAGGTGTTTCGATCAAGGGCTCGCACTCTCATGAGGGTGGATTGCGGTTGATTTTGAACTCTCTTGCCATGTCTGCTGCCAAGTACGGACTTGCCATTGAGCCCCTACTTTCTCTGTCAATCGATTTCTACGCCCGTGTGTTTGTCCGAGTGTACCGCTCCCCTGCTATGGTCAAGTTCACTGCCGGCAACACAATGCTTGTGTACAACTGCGATTCTGGATGTGGCGCTTGGAGCACGCAACCCATCGCCGCCACGAAGCAAAGGCTTGACAAGAAGGGTAACCCCTTCTACCACTTTGGTCTGGCGCAGGGTCCTTCAGCTGGCACGCACTGCGAGCACTGCGGCTTCAAGACTCACATCGCGGGACCTATGTGGGGAGGCCCGCTGCACAACCCTCACTTCATCCAAAAGATCCTGGCTATTCTCCCCACTCTCGATCCCGAAACATACCAGACAATTCCTCGAATTGAGGGCATGCTAACCACTGCGTTGGAAGAGGATCTGGATCTCACTCCTGTTGCGGCCAAAGCCGGCCAGCAACCAACCTCCGACGCTGAGACAGCCGACACCATTTCCCAAGACTCTGAGTATCCCGCCATCATTCCCCGGATGGATCCTGCTGCATTGGAAAAATATCCTTTCTACTTCAACCTCGGCTTCCTTTCCAAAGTCCTCCACTGCGCCACTATTCCCATGGATGAATTTCGCGGCGCCGTCCGCTCTTGTGGCTACCGCACTACTCGGAGTCATGCTAAACCGAACTCCATCCGCACTGATGCTCCTTGGAGTGTGATCTGGGAGATCATGCGTGAATGGGTTCGCCTGCACTCTCCCATCAAGGAAAGCTCCGTCAAACCCGGCACTCCCGGCGCCGCAATCATGGCGAAGAGCCGCGACAACTTGCGCAAGATGCACGAAGGCGACCAGTGGCTGGCACAGCTGAAGAGGGATCTTCTCGATGCTGTTGAGTCCGGCAAAGATGTCAGTGACCTGATCACCAAGGTGGAAGCATCTCTGTACCGGTCTGGATCACGACAAGCGTTGAAGCCCGCCGTAGGCTCCTCAGACGAGGTGCTCCCTGATCCCAATGAGCCCAAGCCTGCAAATACCATGAAGCCAAGCACTATCGCGCGACCTTTTGAACGGCCGCACCCTAAGTACTCTGGACATTAAGTTTGATGCAGCGCTGGGCCGTGAGGCGTCAGCTGCACACACGAAAAAGCGCTTGGTGCGGTATCAACTGAACCCGCGTGCCAACTGGGGCCCGCTGAACCGTGCTGCCGTGGCATCGAAGCGATCATGAGATGTTTATTCAGTTGTTGTAGATATTAAGAAAGCCCCTTCGTCCACAATTAGACCCAATCACATAAAGTACGTTCTACTCGGGTCTCAGCAACATGCGTGTCTATTCTATCATTCTTCTGGAGCTCCACGAGTTTACAGAGACATTTCCTTGGTATAGCACTGCTTCGATTCCTTGAATCCTTCTAGTCCTCAGCTAGGTGTTAGTCGCGTTCATACATGTTCAGACTCTGGTGTTTTGTGACGCCAAAGTGACGGGCCAGGACTACATGGCTGAATGCATAGCCGGCGGGGCTCCGGTAGGGTGGGAAATTACAGCTCCACCCTTAGAAAAGAATGAGTTATTGAACGAGATTATGGCATGTCATTACTCCCATTATAACACCAAACGAACCAGGAGACGAAGCTGGCCCGACTCTAATAAGAAACCAACGAATAAACGTAAATCACAATCATCACGTCTCAGAAAGAAAACGAGCCGAGAGAGAAGCTTCCATGGCGATTCCCACCAGCATCTATGTAGGCAGCTCAAGATCCAAGAATATACAGCTATCTCAAAGCTGCGAGACCGCAACGGCCACGGCCTGCGAGTCGCTGTGGCTGATGCTGACATTGACCGACTTGACACCGGCCTGCTTGGCGGCAGCGGCAGCGGCACCGTGAAGCTACATGAAGATCACCCGTTAGCGTTGTTGATCTCTTGAAATCGTAAAGAGATCGTCATTACTTACAGTCACAACCGGAGCGCCGTTGGCGTCGCTTTCGATCTCAATTTCTTTCAGGGCAGCGCCGGCTCCCTTGCTGCTGACACCCAGGGACTTGAACACGGCCTCCTTCGCACTCCATCGACCGGCAAACGAAGACTGTGGAGAGGCAGCTTTGCGGCAGTACTCCTGCTCACCAGTAGTGAAATTACGTTCAATGAAAGTGTCGTTGGAGATGTTGATCGCGTCAATGTTCTCAACGTCGACACCAATCTTGGAGTTCTCGGCGGCATTGGCCTTGGCCAAAGACTCAACCATTTGACGAGTTCCCTCGGCAGTATCAGCCTTTGGGGGCACGGAAGAGTATTTCAGCTCAGAAGTCTTCTTGTCAACGCTTACACGGTAGTCAGGGTTCAAGAAGATCTTGCTCTGCTGATCATCCTCGTAAGGGGCCTTGCTCTTGGCAACGAAAATGCTGTTGTTGATCAGGCCGTTGTGGAAGTAGCGGTAAGCCTTCTTCTGACGAGCCTCAACCTTGGTCTTATAAGCATCGTATTGGGCCTGGTCAAGAGTGGCGAACAGGTACTTGGGGTGGATACCAATGACTTGAGCACCCTTCTGACCGAAACCGAAGGAAGTTACAGAGAACGCCTTGATACCGTCGGTTTGGATGCTGCGGCTGGGGTAGACGATATAATCGAACTTCTCCATGACCTTGTCGACATTGTCGGCGTTGCGGTTACCGGGGACGAGACCACTCTCCAGGACCTGCAGACAGCCGTTGAACATCCAGGCACCAGCAGCACCTTTGGGATGGCCGGTGAGGTATTTCTGGAAGATACCCATCACGGCGTTACCCTTCTTGCGACCCAAGTGCTTGAGCTGCTGGCAGATAACGTCGGACTCATTCTTGTCGTTGGCAACAGTTGAGGTACCGTGGAAGGAAGCGACGTCAATGTCGTCGACAGTGAGACCCCAGGTGGCCATGGCACCGCGCAGGGGAGCGATGCGCGAATCCTGCTTCCAGAAGTTATTGCCCAGGCTGAACTGCGCATCCTTCTCCTGGCGAACGGCCTCGCGCTCGATGTGCTGAGCTCGCTCGTGCATGTACTCAGAGGCATTGAAGCTCTCGTCGCTCTGGGCCTGCATGGCATCAACCTCCTCCTGCAGATAGAGAAGTTCGGACTCCTGCCATTCCTTGATCTGCTTCTTGCGCAGGTCAAGCTGGCGGCGACGGTACTTGATATCCAACAAAGGCGACGGGAACTTGCCGGGGTTCTCACGGGCAGTGGTGAGGACACCCTGACCAGGAGCAGGGACGGAGCGGCCGATCTTGTCAGTGGCGGTAGTCGTCAGAGCGATGATACCGTGGATGGGCACACCCATGTCAAGGGCGAGCTGTGCACTCATGATGAGCTGCATTCCGCAACCCTGAGACTCCATGAAGCCTGCACGAGTGGTGGTGGTGGGACGAGACATCTCCTGCGGGGTGCGACCATGGGCGAATTCGTCCTCGGCGTTGCTGGTAGCCTTCATGTTGGCGAATTCGTACGATCCCTCCTCCTGGAAGTCGTCGAAACCACCGACGAAGCAGACACGGGCCTTGCCCTCAACAATAGTCTCATAGCCGATGTCAACAGACTCGACGGCAGTGGCACAGGCACCGACGGGGGTCTTGATGGGACCGGTGGAAGACAGGAGCAACATGTTAACCCATGCACTCATGGTGTTGATGAAGGACTCCTGCAGGATATCCTTCTGCAGAGGCTTGTCTAGGTAGCGGTCCTTGTACATACCGCGCAGGGCGTGGGTACCACCAATACCGGAGCCAATGCAGTTACCAACCTCGGAGAGATGGACGTACTTATAGAACTCGTAAGGGTCGGTGATACCGGCAGAAAGCATGGACTCGGCAGTACAGACGAGGACAAAGAGAGTGACAGGATCAACCTGCTCAATGATGTCGTCGGGGATGCCGTATTTGCTGGCATCCCAGCCGGTGGGGATCTGACCGGCCACAAGGCGGTCGAAATGGAGCGCCTTGGGGATGAGCAGGCTGGCACCCTTGCAAAGGCGCACGGTGTACTCGCCAGAATCGGGGATCTCGAAGATCTCGACCTTGTCACCGTGCTCACGCTTGAACTCCTCGGCGGTCTCCTTGGAGGCCTCGAAGGGCTCTAGGTCCTCTTGGATGACAATCTCCTGAAGCAGCTGCTTCTGCTTAGGGTCGTAACCCTTGAACAGCTCGGGCTCGATTAGACGGATACCGGTGTGCTCCAGGATGTACTTCTCGTACTTGGGCTTAACGTCCTTGTCGTCAACAGGGTCCCCGGTCTTAGCATCAACCCAGCCAGAGTAGGCCTTGCCCTTGAGAGGGCCGTTGTGATGCTTGATCAAGCCCATGATCCAAGCCATCTCAACACAGCCCTCCAGAGAGAACTTGCCATAGGCCTCCATCTGCCAGCGGGTGCGAGAGTTGCCCCAAGGGCCAACCTCGGCGAAACCGGTGACAACAACGACCTTGTCCAGGTTGACCATGCCCTTAAGAGATTCGTTGATGGGCTTGACCTCCTTCTCCCAGTCAGGAAGCGTGGGGAACTCGAATTTGATGTTGGCGCGGGGCTCGGCAACGACTCGCTTGTACAGAGCGCTGCTGTCCTCGCCATTGACAATCTTATTCTCGATAGCAGTCTCCTTGATGACGGCCTGCCGAATGTCACTATCAGCCATGATGTCGGTGCGGAGCTTGGTCATCAAGCCCTTAAGATCGGGGATGAACTGCAGGCCGCCGTTGAGATCAGCGAAGACGGGGTCGTTCTGGCAGAGGTCAACAATAGACGGAGACATCAGACCAAGAAGGTTGAAGGCCATCTCCTGCTGGGAGAAAGTGCGGACACCAAGCTTCTCGACACCCTCAGCGACCATGTTGTTGCCGCTCATCAGACCAGTTCCACGGGTCCAGCCGATAACTGCACCGCAGATGGTGAGGTAGTTACTCCAATTCTCAGAGTACCAGCGATTGAAGAGAGTCTCCAGAGCCAGCTTGGACTCGGAGTAGAGTCCGTCATTTCCGAAAGTACCGTGGTTGGGCGACAGGGGCAGGACAACCTGGGCGGGACGAGTTTCGAAGCCGTGAGTCTGCTTCTGCGTCTTGATAGAGCCAAGGAGGCGGAGCAGGTTTGTCAACATAATACGGTGAGCCAGCTCAGACTTGGAGTCAATGTTGTCATCTCGCGGCCATTCTCGGGAATGGCAGCGAAGGGAACAACAAAGTCGAGGTCCCACCCGAGGCCCTTCTTGGTGTCGTAAACATAGTCAATAAGAGCCTCAACGTCTTGCTTGCTACCCTGGTTAAAGGGCACGACGACAAGCTGGGAACCACGAGCACCATAGCGGGCGTACATAGCCTGGTAGTACTCTGTCACCTCACGAGAGAAGCGACTGGTAGTGACAATGACCTTAGCACCACCGCTGATCAGGCCCTGCAGGACCTCGGCACCGATGGAACCGGCACCAGCACCAGTCATCAGAACATTCTTGCCCTGGAAGGTAAGACCATTTTGAGCGGCCGACTCCAAGACCTTCAGATAGGTACCGGTGAGCTTCTTGTTGTAGTCCCAACCGTGCTCAGCCTTCTGCTTCAAATGCAAGAAGGGAATGGTCTCAACCTTGCCGGGGCGGGTGGCAGTGCGCTTGAGACCGTTGCGGCCAGACTTCTTGGTGCTACCATTCTCCTGAGGCATGATCTGATTCTCGTTCATGCTTAAAGCGTGCAGAACATCCTTGTAGAGAGCGTCAAACTGGAGCTGCGATGACTTAGAGAGGCGATGTTGCTTGCGGATGAGCTTGTAGACGTTCTTGAGGTCATTCTGAACCTTGTTACGGTTGCTGTACTCGGAGATGGGACCGCCCTCAGCCATCTGCTTGACATAGTGCTCCAGCTTGCGGGCACTAGCACGGGGAACCTCTTTGAAGCCAATGTTTCCACGCTCGTCAATGGTGGTCTGGGGACCGGTAGGAACGGCGACGTCCTTGTAGACAGGGGCGACATCCATCACCTCGCGGCAATTCTCAATGAGCTGCTGGCCGAGCTCCTTAGCCAGCTGGTAGGTCTCGCCGCGCTCAGTAGGGCAGTTGTCAATATGGTACTGCATGAATTCGAGAAGAAGAGGGTTGGAGCGGTTCATAATGCGAATACACTGGCTCACAATCTCACGGTCCACCACTTGGAGACGGCCGAAGATAATGTCGTAATACATGCTGAGGGCATCCTGGCGGGCCCAGTTCCACGAGGAGTCGTAGACACGGGCCTTGAGGGGGTCGAAAGAGGGTTCAATGCCTGAGGCGTAGAAGTCGCCATGCTCTGCCTGCCACAGATCAAGCTGGGCCTGCAAGGCCTTCTGGGTCTCTTGGGAGGTGACAAAGGCCTTGTCACCGGCGCGGAGATCCATCTTCAAGTAGCGGGCAATCACCTCCAATTGCTGCTTGAAGAGAGCACGCTGATCCTTAGTCAAGGCATCGATGGCCGCAGGGTCCATCATCATGCCACCACCACCACCACCAGCGTCACCACCGGCCGCGGGAGTAGACAGGTTAATGCCAGCACTGGCGGCGTACTTGTTGGTCACGTCGTCGAGGAAAGCTTTGGCATCGGGCTCGGCGCCCAGACGAGCAGCGGGCTCCATGGTAATAGCAAGCAAGAGCACACCGTCCTGGCGGCCGGCGCCCAGACCCCACCGAGTCTCGAGATATTTGCGAACAGCTGTGATGTTGAAACCACCGGGCATCTTGGAGGAGACCATTCGAGCAATGAGGGAAGATGATTGCTTGCCCAATTGGCCGTTGAAAGTGGCCTGCATGGCCGCACCCAACTCATCCAGAGGGGTGTCTTCCGGCTTCTCCGGTGTCGAGCCAAATTCCTTGCCCAGATCACCTAGAATTTCGTTTTGTAATGTAGATTTACCTGGCAGAAAAAGGATGTTAGGTTTGTGAGAGCGATTTAACATGAATTGATCGCGAGCTTACCTCCGACCAGATCCTTAATGGCTTTTGACAATGGTACATCGGCCAGACTCTTCTTTAGCTTCTGCGCAACCAGGGATCGCAGAATATCGACGGCAGATACTGGGGCATCCTCTACGGCCGCGGCTGGGCCAGCACTGGGAGGTGGAGGGGCAGCAGCCGCAGCAGCCGGTGCAGCAGCGGCGGGAGCAGCAGAGGGAGAGGCGGCAGCAGGTTCGGCGACAGCTTCCTCCTCGATGGGATCGACATCGTAGTAAATCTCCTTGGCATCCTTGTTGTAGCACAGAATTTGACGCTGAACGGATGTGGCGGCATCGTATGCCTCGTACTTGGAAGCTAGCGTCCGGCGGGCCATTCCTCCCAGAGTATCTGCGGGACCAATCTCAACAATGCGCTCGGTGCGCTGTTCGGCGAGGATGACATCCTGAGTCTCAATCCATCTGACGGGAGAAGCGAATTGGCAGGCGAGCAGCTCCACCAGCAAGGTGTGAGCGAGCTCTTGCTCAATCTCGGGACGCATGTTGTGAGGGTATCGTTAAGGTATTAAGGTAGGAGTAGGACGCACGTCCTGAGGGTACGCGACGGGGAATCGTCGCTGAATGCCCGTGGAAGGCTTTCCAAATCAGAAAAGAACACACACACACACACACAAAAAAGAAAAGGCAACAATGGCTTGGAGGAGAGGAGGTGAGAGGATCCAAGGGCCTTTGGAGAGAAGGTTCAATTCGAGGAAAAAAAAGGTGGGAAAGCGATAGGCCGATAGGGTGGTAATACGCAATACGGGTAATTTTGCGACCTCGGGTGGGGAATTTCTGGTGGCTGCGTGCAGCACGATGAAGGAGATGGAATGTTAACAATCCGGCGGATATAGCGACTGTTCACAATTGAAAGAATGATATTAACGGAGAATAGCAGCGTGGTCGCTATCCTGTATGCTTCTTCAATTCATCTAGACTAGGTGGTCAGTCGGGTCGAAGGGATGGGCCCAGAAGAGTTGAGGACGTTGGGGCTCCCGCGTACCATAGCTCCGGATTTAGTGCGAGGCGGCAGATGCTCCGGCCGAAGACTCGCCGGCGCCAGTGATTGCAGGGGATTGCATGGTGGGGAGGTACCTGATACGCGCTGTACCAATAAGACCAGGCCCAACACCCCATCGTCCCAGTGTCCCAGCAATTGTGAAATACGGTAATCTCGGAAACTCCAGTACCCTCAAAATTACATGTTGAACTGCGATTGGGGCGGGCCACCGCCCTAAACCGCTTTGAGTCGCAACTCGTTCAACAGCGGATCTTTTTTTTTTACACTGAACATCCCTCGTGTACTCCTGCCTCTCCCTTTCCTTGTGACGTTCTATTTCTCTAGTTATTTGGTTTTCTTTTAATATAGTGTCTTGTTCGGACACTGAATTGAGGATTGTACGTGGCTATTCTCTCTTTCCCGATACCGCCAATTCTCCCCTGCCGAAGCTCAAGCTCCTGCTCATGCTCATGCTCATTACTCTCCAGATCCTCGATTGAACACGAGTCCCACCTGGGTCTCTAGAAGAGAGAGGGCTTTCATCATGTACGGCACATCGACTGGTCCTCAGACCGGCATCAATACCCCTCGGTCATCTCAATCCCTCCGCCCTCTAATTCTTTCACATGGCTCTCTCGAGTTTTCTTTCCTCGTCCCCACCTCGCTCCATTTCCACGCCTCGCAGTTGAAAGACACCTTCACTGCTTCATTACCCGAGCCCACGGATGAATTGGCTCAGGATGATGAGCCTTCTTCCGTTACCGAGCTGGTCGCCCGCTATATCGGACTGGCTGCCCGCGAGGTCGAGGAGGGGAGGATGATTCTCAGGGTAGCTACCTTGAAGTTCTCAAGCTCGCCTTGAATGAGTTCGAGCGTGGCTTCATGCGCGGCAACGACGTGCATGCCGTGGTGGCTACTCTCCCTGGCATTGTGGCCAAGAAGAACCAGGTCGTGGAGGCCTACTATGCTGGACGAGCCGCCGCCGGCCGGCCCACCAAGCCCTACGACTCTGCCCTGTTCCGGGCGGCCTCAGAGGATGCCGCCGGCATCTATACGGTCTTCGGTGGCCAGGGCAATATTGAGGAGTATTTCGATGAGCTCCGTTCCATCTACACTACTTACCCCACCTTCGTCGAGGATTTGATCGTTTCCTCCGCAGAGCTCTTACAGACCCTCTCGCGAGAGCCTGAGGCCAGCAAGCTCTACCCTAAGGGTCTGGATATCATGCGATGGCTCCAGGATCGGGATGCCCAGCCCGATACCGACTACTTGGTGTCCGCTCCTGTGAGTCTGCCATTGATCGGTCTGGTCCAGCTGGCCCACTACATGGTGACCTGCAAGGTTCTGGGCCGTCAGCCCGGTGACCTCCTTGAGCGAATCAAGGGTACTACCGGTCACTCCCAAGGTGTCGTGACCGCCGCTGCCATCGCTACCGCGACCACCTGGGAGTCATTCGCCAAGGCCACTCGGGATGCCTTGACAATGCTCTTCTGGATTGGTCTGCGCAGCCAGCAGGCCTATCCCCGCACATCAATTGCCCCCTCAGTGCTGCAGGATTCCATTGAAAACGGCGAGGGAACTCCAACCCCCATGCTTTCCATCCGGGATCTGTCTCGCACCGCCGTCCAGGAGCACATTGATGCCACCAACCAGCACTTGCCCGAAGATCGCCACATTTCGATCTCCCTGGTCAACAGTGCGCGCAACTTTGTGGTCACCGGTCCCCCGATCTCCCTGTACGGTCTAAACCTGCGCCTGCGCAAGGTCAAGGCCCCTACCGGTCTGGACCAGAACCGTGTCCCCTTTACTCAGCGGAAGATTCGGTTCGTCAACCGCTTCCTCCCCATCACCGCCCCCTTCCACAGCCAGTACCTCACCTCGGCCTACGACCGCATCATTGAGGATTTGGAGGACATCGAAATTCCCGCCAAGTCTCTGGTTATTCCCGTTTTCCATACTCAATCCGGAGAGGATTTGCGCCAGCTGGGCGACAAGAGCGCCGTCCCTGCTCTGGTGCGCATGATCACTCACGATGCCGTCAACTGGGAACAGGCTACTGTCTTCCCCGGGGCCACTCACATCATTGATTTCGGACCTGGCGGTATCTCGGGTCTGGGTGTCCTCACCAACCGGAATAAGGACGGTACTGGTGTTCGTGTCATCCTGGCGGGTGAGATGGATGGCACCAATGCCGAGGTTGGCTATAAGCCGGAGCTCTTTGACCGTGATGAGCACTCGGTCATGTACGCCTCCGACTGGGTTAAGGAGCACGGCCCACGTCTGGTGCAGACCTCCACCGGCGAGACCTACGTTGACACCAAGATGAGTCGTCTCTTGGGCATTCCTCCCGTCATGGTGGCCGGTATGACCCCCACTACTGTCGCTTGGGACTTCGTGGCCGCGACGATGAACGCTGGCTACCACGTTGAGCTTGCTGGTGGTGGTTACTACAACGCCAAGACCATGACTGAGGCTATCAACAAGATTGAAAAGGCTTGTCCGCCTGGCCGGGGTATCACGATCAATCTGATCTATGTCAATCCCCGTGCCATGCAGTGGCAGATCCCTCTGGTCGGCCGCTTGCGCGCTGACGGTGTTCCTATCGAGGGTCTGACCATCGGTGCCGGTGTGCCCTCGATCGAGGTTGCCAACGAGTACATTCAGACCCTCGGTATCAAGCACATCGCTTTTAAGCCCGGTTCTGTCGATGCTATCCAACAGGTGATCAACATCGCCAAGGCTAACCCCAAGTTCCCCATCATTATGCAGTGGACTGGTGGCCGTGGTGGTGGCCATCACTCATTCGAGGACTTCCACCAGCCCATCCTTCAGATGTACAGCCGCATCCGCAAGTGCGACAACATCGTTCTTGTCGCCGGTAGTGGCTTCGGTGGAGCTGAGGATACCTACCCCTACCTTTCTGGTACCTGGTCTTCCAAGTTCGGCTACCCTGCCATGCCCTTCGATGGATGTCTCTTCGGCTCTCGTATGATGATTGCCAAAGAGGCTCACACCTCCAAGAATGCCAAGAAGGCCATTGCTGATGCCCCCGGTGTCGACGATGAGGAGTGGGAGAAGACCTACAAGAGTGCTACTGGTGGTGTCATCACTGTCCTCTCCGAAATGGGCGAGCCCATTCACAAATTGGCCACCCGTGGTGTTCTGTTCTGGCAGGAGATGGACCAGAAGATTTTCAAGCTCGACAAGGCGAAGCGTGTTCCCGAGCTCAAGAAACAGCGCAACTACATCATTAAGAAGCTCAACGATGACTTCCACAAGGTGTGGTTCGGCCGCAACTCCGCTGGGGAGACCGTGGACTTGGAGGACATGACCTACGCCGAAGTGGTTCACCGCATGGTTGATCTCATGTACATCAAGCATGAGTCTCGCTGGATTGATGTCTCCCTGAAGCGCCTCACTGGTGATTTCCTGCGCCGTGTCGAGGAGCGTTTCACCACTGTGAATGATCAAGACTCGAAGCTGCAAAGCTACTCCGAGCTCGACACACCATACCCGACTGTTGACAACATTCTGGCCGCTTACCCTGAGGCGGCGTCTCAGCTGATCAATGCCCAGGATGTGCAGCATTTCCTTCTGCTCTGTCAGCGCCGCGGACAGAAGCCCGTTCCTTTTGTCCCTCGCTCGATGAAAACTTTGAGTATTTCTTCAAGAAGGACTCTCTCTGGCAAAGCGAGGATCTTGAGGCTGTCGTTGACCAGGATGTTGGCCGTACTTGTATTCTGCAGGGTCCTACGGCTGCTCGCTTCTCTACTTTCATCGATGAGCCTGTGAAGGACATTCTTGATGGTGTCCACAAGGGCCACATCGCCGGTCTTCTTCGCGATGTGTACGGCGGTGACAAGAGCAAGATCCCGGTGATCGAGTATTTCGGTGGACAGATGCTCAGCTCCGAGGACCAGCAGGAGATGGAGGGTCTTACCGTCTCTGAAGAGGCCAACAAGATCAGCTTCCGCCTGTCTTCGTCTTCCTCCGTTGAGCTGCCTGAAGTTGACCGCTGGCTTCGTCTTCTGGCTGGCGACTCCTACTCCTGGCGTCACGCCTTGTTCCTGGCCGATGTGTTCGTCCAGGGTCACCGCTTCCAGACCAACCCCATGAAGCGCATCGTGGCGCCCACTGCTGGTCTTTTCGTGGAGATCACCAGCCCTAGTGAACCCTCCAAGACTGTCATCAGCGTCCGTGAGCCCTACCAGTCAGGCAAGTTGGTCAAGACTGTCGAGGCGAAAATGAATGAAAACGGTCAGATTAGCCTGACCCTCTTCGAGGGCCGCACTGCCGAAGGCGGTGTTGTCCCCTTGACCTTCCTGTTCACATACCACCCGGAGACCGGCTATGCCCCCATCCGTGAGGTGATGAGTGATCGTAATGATCGCATCAAGGAATTCTACTACCGTATCTGGTTCGGCAACAAGGACGTGCCCTTCGACACCCCCACCACCGCCACTTTCAACGGTGGCCGGGAGACTATCACTTCCCAGGCTGTTGCTGACTTCGTTCACGCTGTCGGCAACACCGGCGAAGCCTTTGTTGATCGTCCCGGCAAGGAGGTCTTTGCCCCCATGGACTTCGCCATTGTGGCTGGCTGGAAGGCCATCACCAAGCCTATCTTCCCTCGCACTATTGACGGTGACCTGCTGAGATTGGTCCACCTGTCCAACGGCTTCAAAATGGTCCCTGGTGCTGAGCCCCTGAAAGGTTGGTGATGTTTTGGACACTACTGCCCAAATCAACGCCGTCATCAACCAGGAATCTGGCAAGATGGTCGAGGTTTGCGGCACTATCAAGCGTGAGGGCAAGGCCATCATGCACGTCACAAGCCAGTTCCTTTACCGGGGCGACTATCTCGACTTCGAGAACACCTTCCAGCGCAAGGATGAGGTGCCCATGCAGGTTCACCTCGCCACCAGCCGGGATGTTGCTATTCTCCGCTCCAAGGAGTGGTTCTGCATGGACGAGTCTGACATTGAGCTCCTCGGCCAAACCATCACTTTCCGTTTGCAGAGCTTGATTCGCTTCAAGAACAAGACTGTGTTCAGCAATGTTCAGACCGTTGGTCAGGTCCTGCTTGAGTTGCCCACGAAGGAGGTCATCCAGGTCGCCTCTGTTGACTACCAGGCCGGCACCTCCCACGGCAACCCCGTCATTGACTACCTTCAGCGCAATGGAACTTCCATTGAGCAGCCCGTCTACTTCGAGAATCCCATCCCTCTCAGTGGCAAGACTCTTCTCGAGCTGCGTTCTCCGGCTTCGAACGAGACCTATGCTCGTGTCTCCGGTGACTACAATCCCATTCACGTTTCCCGTGTCTTCTCCAGCTACGCCAACCTGCCGGGTACCATAACTCACGGTATGTACAGCAGTGCTGCAGTCCGCAGCCTGGTCGAGACCTGGGCTGCTGAGAATAACATCGGCCGCGTTCGTGGCTTCCACGTCTCTTTGGTGGGCATGGTGTTGCCCAATGATATGATCACCGTAAAGCTCCAGCACGTGGGTATGATTGCTGGTCGCAAGATCATTAAGGTCGAGGCCATGAACAAGGAGACTGAGGACAAGGTTCTCGTTGGTGAGGCCGAGGTTGAGCAGCCTGTCACCTCCTATGTCTTTACCGGTCAGGGTTCTCAGGAACAGGGCATGGGTATGGAGCTCTACGCTAGCAGCCCCGTGGCCAAGGAGGTATGGGACCGTGCTGATCGCCACTTCATTGAGAATTATGGCCTGTCCATCATCGACATCGTCAAGAACAACCCAAAGGAGCTTACCGTCTACTTCGGTGGTCCTCGGGGTAAGGCCATTCGCCAGAACTACATGTCGATGACCTTCGAGTCAGTGAACGCCGATGGATCAATCAAGTCGGAGAAGATATTCAAGGAGGTCGACGAGACTACCGCCTCGTACACATATCGCTCTCCCACTGGCCTGCTATCTGCCACTCAGTTCACCCAGCCTGCTCTGACCCTGATGGAGAAGGCCAGCTTCGAGGACATGCGCTCTAAGGGTCTGGTGCAGCGTGACAGCAGCTTCGCAGGTCACTCTCTGGGCGAATATTCCGCTCTGGCTGCCCTAGCTGATGTCATGCCCATTGAGAGCTTGGTCTCCGTTGTCTTTTACCGTGGTCTGACCATGCAGGTTGCCGTCGAGCGTGACGAGCAGGGTCGTTCCAACTACTCCATGTGTGCTGTCAACCCCAGCCGTATTTCGAAGACCTTCAACGAGCAGGCTCTGCAGTACGTCGTTGAGAACATCGCGGAGCAGACCGGCTGGCTTCTGGAGATTGTCAACTACAACGTTGCTAACATGCAATATGTGGCTGCTGGTGATGTAAGTTTGCTGACTCTTATTCCCTTTTTTTGAACGCCCTATACTAACTTGTTTTCCCAGCTCCGTGCTCTTGACTGCCTCACCAACCTGCTGAATTTCCTCAAGGCTCAGAACATTGACATTCCCACTTTGATGCAGACTATGTCTCTTGAGGATGTCAAGGCTCACCTGGTGAGCATCATCATGGAGTGTGTCAAGCAGACCGAGGCCAAGCCTCGCCCTATCAACCTGGAACGTGGCTTTGCCACCATCCCTCTCAAGGGTATCGATGTGCCCTTCCACAGCACTTTCCTGCGCTCTGGTGTCAAGCCCTTCCGGTCCTTCTTGCTCAAGAAGATTAACAAGACCACAATTGACCCCAGCAAGCTCGTTGGCAAGTACATTCCTAACGTGACTGCTCGTCCCTTCGAGATCACGAAGGAGTACTTTGAGGATGTTTACAAGCTTACCAACTCGCCTCGCATCGCCTCAATCCTGGCCAACTGGGACAAGTACGAAGAGGGCAACGAGTCCGCCGCCCGTGCGGCCTAATAATGTTGTGATTCCCCTCGTCTCTAATGTGTTTATTCTTTTGGTTTCTCCATAGAAAGACCTCTGTTTTATGCAAATCGTGATGTGACATGTCTCAAACTTGGCGCAGTTGAATGTAAATGTTTTGTTCTAGTTTCGTTATGAATTGGATTTTCTATTCATCCCATCTAATGGGTCATTTGGAAATGCGTCATTTATCACGACGCCCTTCCATAATCAAATTCTAGGCCAAGGCCGGTGTATCGTACACACGTTTGTCGCTATAAAACCCTTGTAAATGATGGGAAGATACCTTCTCAAGTCTCCTTCCAAGGACCGGGACGCAGCATACGGTCTTCCTTGCCGTACACACTGACTTTCTTAACAATCTCGATGAACCGTTGGTGGTTCTCTTTGGATGGTCCAAGACGAGATCGGAATGCTCGCGAAAGATCACCGGTCAAAATACCCGACGGCGGAATAGCTGCATGAACCTCTGCGGGAGTGGGGAACGATCCAGTTGGCCCAGGCGTTCCACGACCTTTTCCACTCGAGTCAGAATCTGTACCATCGATTTGGCTCGTGTCAATGGAACACATACCTCGAGAAGTCCCCTCGGGGCTGCTGGCTCGACTGCCAGAGAAGGCCCGGCCGGCAATAGGGCTTCCAGCTCGAGAACCCTGCGGTGTACCACCACGAGAGGTCGCGGAAGGTGGGTTGAGCTTCAGCTTCTTAACCTTGCCGCTTTCACTTATCTCCGGTCCAGAGCCTATTCCGATATCAACATCACTGCCAGATCCGGATCCGCCCAGGTGAGGGTTTCGGACACGCTTCTTGCCAGCCTGCAAGCAAAGTTATTAGAAACCACGAGCCTGGAAGACAATAAACACCATGCACTTACCTGTGATGCAGAGGGAGAGATAGGACGAGAAGCTGGCTGAGGATTTGGCTGCCAAGACTGATGCTTGTTCTTCATCTTCTTTCGAGAAGTGTCTGTCCCACTGGCATCAGAGGCATTAGGTGACCCTGGCCTCTTCAAAGAAGCGGATGATTTCTTCAGCGGATCAGTATGCTTCGGTCGACCCGAAGGTGTGTTGGAGCCCTTGGAGGATGATGCTGACTCCTTCTGGTTCTTTTCCTCCTCGGCCTTGCGTTCTTCTTCCTTCTGTCGCTCAGACTCGCTGTCATCAGAGCTCTGCGGGTAGAAAGATCAGCGTTAAGAACTTGGTCCTCATAGTGTTCGAGTCTTACCTCCTCATCAGTGTAAGGATTTACATCGGAACCGCTGCTGTAGTCAAAGTTCCGTTCTCTCTTCTTCAGAGCTTTTCTAACTTTCTTGCCCTGGATTTTGCGAGCTTCACGCTCCTTTTTTTCGCGAATCTCTTCTTCTTCGTAGTCTTTCTCTTCCTTGAGATCGAATACATTCGCCTTCAGCCGGTCCTCCTTGATTCTCTTCTCAGCAGCTTTGGTATCTTCGTCTTGCTCGTTAAATAGATCGTCATGCTCTTCGTCATCTGCAAAGCGGTCTTCTTCGAAATCCATCTCACTAGCCTCAAGTCCCTCTCGTCCGGCAAGGACGCCTTGCTTTCCAGCAAAGACCTTTCTCTGCTTGGCAAACTGCTCTAATTCCTTCTGCTGTTCGACCTCTTGTTGTTTCTCCATGAACCAGCGCGGGTCCTTGATTCGCTTTGACATCAACTTCTCCGCCTCCTCAATAGTCAACGCCTTGAACTGACTTTTGGCACTGAATTTATACCATTTCTCGGCAGGAATCATTCGCATCTTTCCGTTGTCAAGAACGAACACGGCATGGGTTTCTGATAGCGCTGCCTCGTAGTTACCCACCCAAACATTTCGGTTATCGAAATCCTCAAGGTGCCACGGAAGCGCCTCCTCGTATTTAATCCGCGCCTTCGCAATTTCCTCGGGGGTTAGGTCCGATTTGAAGACCTGTTGCGTTTTCGCCTTGGGGGCGTTCGGTCGTTTGCCAAGTGATCCCACAGAGGGCGCGATCTGGGCCATATTTTCAGCGCGCTCCTTCTCTCGAGCAGCTCGCCTAGCATCCAATACTTCTCGTTCCGCCTCGTCGAGCTGTTGACCATCGGGTCCCAAAATCTTCTCGGCATTCGGATCCTGTGATCGTGTTCTTGGATCCCGACGATGTAACCTGACCGGTCGTGTGAATTGTGATTCGTCGCGTGGGTCGACGCTTCGTTTGGAGGCAAACCGGGCGATGTGGAATTTCATTCCCTCTCGCAAGGCTCGTTTTGTCGTCACCAACGGATAGTCGACGTATTTTTGAGACAACAGCGGCCCGCTGAACCCGTTTACCGCGTGTTCTGCCTTGACAGGCGTAGATAAGATCCCTCCCGTTAGAGAGGGCTGTTGGACGTTCGAGATGGGGGGGGTCGCGTAGGTAAAGTCTTGGTTGCAACTCTGCCGGGAGGAGGAGCTCCAGTAGGTATTACTGGTCTTCTTTTGGGCCGAACAAGCGGGTCGGCGGCTTTAGGTCGGCGCATTCGCATAGGGGGGAGCTCCATTCGACGCCCCATTCGACCCTGTTGGCGTGCCAATCGAGGGGTTAGTTGGAGTCGACATATCGCAGAGAGAGCACTGTTTCGCTTAAAAACAAGTGGTATGTTATCAAATTGCATCAACCAAGAAGACCGATGGAGTCGGTTTCGCAGAAGGGAATTACAACACAGCGACGAAGTGAGGATGAGGTCAACATCAATGCTGAGTAAGCGAGGCCTTGGCATTCCCGCGCTTTCGCTCCACTTTTACTGGTGTTTTAGCTTCTTACAAAAACACGGGTTTCAATTTTAACTGTCTAGATGTGAAGAAAATTGCTATATATAGTGATTATTATCATAACCTTGATTCTTCGTCTCATCCCGCTTCTATAGAACCCCATGACTTCTCTGGTCTTCACTTCACCCTTCCGAATGTTTGCCCAGGTTCCAGCTGTTTATAAGGACATGCAATCCAGTCGCATCCCTATGCAAGAAGTAACAGTTAGTTATTAGAAACATTACATAATATAAGCAGAGGACTAGATGCTCACCTGTTTATAAATTTCCGTCCCCCACCATCGGAACCCATCAACCCAACCTGGGTAGATGCAAGCAAAGAAAACAACGATCACGGCAAATGCCAGTCCAGAGTCCAATGCTGCCGAGAGAGTCATCGCGTACTTCTCCCACCAAGCTGTCTTTCGTCTCCGAATCACATAGTTGAACATGAAACAAACGACAGCCCAAACAGAGAAATTCAATCCTGTCGCCGGTGGGATCCAACTGAGACTGCCGAACAAAATAGGAAAATTGATCATGCGCCAGATGTTCTTTTTGCTCCGTCGTCCGAGAAGCCAAGCCACCAGTGGTGCAATCGCGCCAAGCAAGAACGCCCATACAAGTGGTCGGTAGAGACCCCCAGGGCCAAAAAAGCGCTGAGGTCCTACCACACCCCAAAGAATACTACCATTGAAATGTACCCGGGCAATAGGACAGTTGAACCCATTCATCGCCTGTGGAGTGCACAAGCCTGGGATAAAGGCAAACATCCAGTTGAGTACGCCAATCTGGGTTAAACTGGAAACTAGGGTTGCCATCATCTGCACGCCAAATAGGATGCGAGGTGGGATCTTCATGTAATGGCCGAGCTTCAGGTCTGAGGAGAACTTGATCCCTTGAGCCGAGCTAATGTAGGAGTAAGTCACGAATATCATGTTTGCAACTGGTCGACCGGGGAAGACGATGCCGCAGAGAAGCTGACAGATCAGATAGAGACTGCTGTGTTGATTGGTGACAGCCATGATGATTCCAACCGGGATGAAAAACACACTCGTGATGGAAAGGGCCAGAAATAATCCATACCATGGTAAATGGACCGGGTAGCTTCATTCCAATATCAGCTTCAATAATAACGAAAAACACAAGACAGGAAGGAGGCACGTACTGCTCCACAGTGTAAGTGGCGATGGCCAGCATTGTGACAAGCACGATGAGGTACCAAGTGAGCGGGGCATCTTTGTAGCGCCTCATCAAGCGGCAGTGGACATCTTCCACGCCCAGGGGCATCTCCCTGTTCGGATCATGGGAGCTGACTCTCGACAATTCATCACTGCCACGAATAGGGCGAGATCCGTTTTCCGTTTGAAGAGGCTCATATGTCTCGAGATCAGGCATCTCCCTTTTTTCCTCAAAGGCCTTGCGTGTTTGATGCAAAATGTCTTTGCCATACCAGCAGACGGTGTGCGTGACCAGAGAAGTCAGGGCAGCAAATTGAACACCATAGGACAACACATAAGTAATGGGGAGATAAACCGGTGAATACTCCTCGTAGGCCTTCTGGTCGAACAAGAACTCGGAAGTCAATATACGGCTCACGTTGTATGGGTGCCCGGTGTTATCAAACACTGCCGCTGACAGGATGGGCATGTAGGATGAGAAGAGCACATTTTTATAGTCTGTTCAACCTATAAGACTCAAGTGTACATAAAGTAGGGTGAGGCTGCAGCTTACACAATATAGGAGCGATGATCCAAATCACCACCACGAGACCGGTCACAATGTTGGCGGCGGCCCACCATGGAGTAAGCAATGGAGATCCAATATACGCAATTTGAGCCCAGTCAAAAGTCAAAGGAAACATCCCAAGACCAGATGCAACACCAAACTAATATGCAGTCAGTAACGGATTCCATGTCATATCAGGCAAAATTCTCACCAGATTCGACACCACGACATTCTTCGGAGCGAACCAAGTGATGACGCTGAAATAGCTGAGTGCAGGCATTAGCAAGCCCGGGACGAAGTACCAAAGAAAAGCACCTCCCCACACAACGATGAAAAATTTGTATCGAGAGATGCTCCACCCATCGGCTTTTTTGTTGGAAGTCTTGTGCATCGTGGTAAACATAGCAGTCGACATCAGAGTTCCGGGCCAAATCATAGCCGATGGGCGCACAAGGAATCGTCTGGTGAGACCAGCGAACGCGTAGCCCAGGACTTGAGTAGAAATGATGAGCAGTATCTGGTACATTATGGGGACCTCCTGCTCATAAAACTTATGCTGCTCCACGATTACCTATTTTTACGGGTCAATATCTGCAAAATCAAAAGTCCCGATTGTTACTGACATCAGTTGCAAAAGCAAAGCCGAAGGAAACGTTGCTGCTGATATAGACGCACGCATGCTCCTTCTCATTCCAACGACCTTGGGCAAACCACTGCCGCACCCTTGACATCCAGGGAGTTTTTGGTGCGTCAAGGTCGCCACAAAGCGACTCTCGATGGTGAAGAGCGCCATTTTCGAATACTTCGAGGGGATCACTCGTTCTCTTAAAAAGTAAATCCCAGAATTTCCCAAGTGGATGAACTAAAACAAGCGCAATGATGGGCGTTATGGCAACACTTGGGTAGCGGAGAGAAAAAAAAAGATTGGCAGCGGAGCCCGTGAGAGAGAAAAGTAGCGAGAGAAACCACATGCGAGGGGCTTTAAAAGCAAATGTCAGTACAAGATGCTCAAATATTGTTCAGATCCCTCCTAGACAGCACACTTACTATTTATAGAAAGAGAAATGTCGTCTATCGCGGGCACGGTGGCTCTCACTTGAGCATATCTATAGCATCATGTCTGATCAGCAATGGTCTTGCAGACATCACCATTCCGTGTTCTTCATTTGAGTACTCGAACTTACGGTGAATTATCAGGCGGATCATCATCTGTGGGTTTCGTGACTTCGTCCTCGTTATCCGAGAAATCTTCCTCGTCATCACTTGTCATGTAAGCCGAAGATACCGGGGTCTCCTGCATTACAGGATTCCCTGGCACGGCAAGACCAGTTGCAAATGAGTATTTTGAATCGGCACCCATTCCAATGTCGGAGGTGGCAGCCGAGGGTCGTCGATTGTGACCTTCCGTGTACAGTGAACTGCTTTTTCGCCTGTTCGAGGATTGTGATCTTTTCGTTCTTGAGCTTCTACCACCATTAGAGGGTCCCCCTGGGCAGTTCTCATAGCTTGCACGCAATGACCTATTAGATACTCTGCGTGTATTCGACCGAGCGGCAAGATTAGCATCGTCGTTAGACTCCTGCGAAATGCGCACCGCGCCGTAAGATGAAGAACCCAGCGCGGGCGATGAGCGGATGAGAGGAGTACGCGCCATCATTGCCTGGAATCGCTTAGCGAACGACGAATGGTCGGGCGAGTTCACGAGGGGATCAGGCGAGTCGCGGCTTCCATCGTCGCACACGTCAGAGTCGGGCAACTCAACTCGGTCCGATGCGGGAAGCCACTCACCCCTCGGGTTCGGGGGACAAGACAGCTTCCGCTGCTGCAGCGGAATGTCGACGGTGATTGTGGTAGGAGATAGGGCAAAGATGCAAAAATTGTCGAATCTGAGGCTCTTTGGGCTCTTTGGGGCTCTTTGGGCGCCTGTTTAGGATTAGAGTGTGCAGTAGCTCAGTTCAAGTGAAACGACTTTTAGGAAAATCGGAGTGGATCAAGCCCCACGCATTCGGAGGTTCGACCCCGGGTTCAACGCAATGCCGATTACTTTATAAGCTGCTTCTTCATAAAAGTCTGATCAATAGTCTATAGGATTTTTACATTCCAAATTGCAGGTATTTCTATCTCCTCCTCTCTCTCTCTCTCTCAAAACAGTTCCGTGACTTTCTCATCTTCGTCTTCCGCTGGCGAAGCTTCGATCTGAGCCTGAGCCTTTGATAACTCAGTGTCATTCTTTTCCTCTTCACCCTCCTCATCACGCATAATGACCTGAACAAGGCGGTCACAAGATTCCCGGACATCATCGTCTTCCACGTTGAGATGGCATTCCCGAATAACGGGATACACCTGCACGGCACGCATCTTGTCTCGGCCCTCCCGGGTCGTGGTCAGCAATAACAGAGTCTCCAGATGTGTCGTGATGATGGTTAGATCACTGTCGCGCTTTTTATCCGGGGGCAGTAATTGGAGGTCTGGCAGCATCGACATCGACTCTTCGTCGGGGAATTCCTCTGGGCCCGTGATGGGTAGTAGAAGATAAGGCAGCAGGTTGACTCCATCCTCGTCAAAAAGCATTGGATGAGAGGCAACATCGAATGCCACATTCTTAATGGTGGATGCCACGCCCTTCCGACGGATGTCACTTTTGTGTTCCGTAAAGACGGTCAGCTTGGTGATAGGGACGACCCCGTCGTACTCCTGTCGCGTGGTGAAATACGCTCGTCCCTTTTCGGTTTGTGAAAGGTCGGCGAAAACATAGGATAGATAGTCGTAGTTGGCATGCTTGTTGAGACTACCCTCCGCACCCTTTACGAAGCAGTCCATCAATTGGTCGATGGCGTTCTCGGACGTGGAGACGGACTGGGGGGCCTTGCGCTTCAACGAATGAAGTTTTTCGAGGTGATCGGACTTGACAAGGTTGGCCAGTAGCATGGCTACCTCATCGACATTCGGATCTTTGGTATTCTAGTGTTGCGCATCTCGTCAATCAGGCTCGCCTCGATCTATTGAGGCTGCACCTACCATCAATTTCTTCAAGAGCACCTCAATGAACTGGTCATCTTTGGCCAGGAATGTCAGGATCTCGTCATCGCTGGACAGGTTGATGAGTATAGTCAAGGCATTTTTCGCGATGGGCTATGAGAGGGCTTGAATCAGAAAGGCGTTCTTGGAGGAATCGGAGAGGCACGTACCGAATAGTCTCGAGCGAGGAGCTTCAGGTCGGTAACGGGGAGTAATTGGTGTCGCTTAAACAGATCGGGCTGTGCCGTAGAGAAGCCGACGAGGTTCTCACAGGCTTGAAATCACGTTAGAACCGATGCATTCGTTGGCGTCAAGTCCTTACCAATCTGTCGAATCTGGGTATTCCCGTGGTGAAGGAACTCCACCAGCTGTGTAAGGTGTAGAGTCAGCAACCCAGGGTTCTGTTGCATAAGTACATCGACTCACTTCTTCGAGCTCGGTCGGCATCGTGCAGTTTGTTGGAAGGTCGATAATTCACGGCGCCCGCACGAAATTTTTTTTTTCCCCGAGGTGGGGGTTTTCGACGTCACCGGCGCAACACTTCTCTACAGTACACACCCGACAGTTTCAAAGCTGAGTGGAATGCAATCTGACGGTTTGACGGCCTGACACTTTTATTTCAATTTTAAATCAGTTAAGGTGCCCTTCTTAGTACCACGGGCTGTGTTGCTGAGCGGCGGGGGTTGAGGGAACCCCCCCCACGCTGCCCCTCCCTAAAGTTTCTAGTGTAGTCCGGGGCTTGACTTTCTAAGCTCTACCTTCTCTGTCCTCTCCACAGACATGGCCGCCCCTGACCTCGAAGAGATTCATGATTTTCTGGTATCCTTGGCCTTTCAGGCTGGGGATATCATCACGAATGCCCTCCCAGGCACTAGTGACACCGGCTCGAAATTGAACAGTATGAAGTTTCTCGAATTTTCGTGAGCAAAACCGAAATTAATCTCTTCAGGTGCCGACCTTGTGACACAGTATGACCGTGCGGTTGAGAACATGATCTCGAGTGCCTTAAAGGAGAGATATCCCGATTATGTGTAGGTGATTACTGCAGCAAACCTGCCTGGCTCCTGCTCATCCTGTTGTGCCGAGTAGATTCCACGGCGAGGAGACCTATAATCCGGCTCATCCATTGACCGATGCCCCTACCTTTATCGTGGACCCGATTGACGGAACTGTCAACTTTGTTCACGGCTTCCCATGCGCCTGTGTCTCGCTCGGTTTCGCCGTCGGCCGGATGCCGACTGTGGGCGTGGTCTACAACCCTTCTACCAAGAATCTCTATTCTGCCATCAAGGGTCAAGGGGCTTTCTTGAATCGTAAGACTCGTCTTCCGTTGAAGGGAAATAATGTGGAACCCCTGACAGGCTTGGCCAATGCCCTCATCGCCGTTGAATGGGGATCCGATCGTAGCGGTCAGAACTGGGAGACCAAAATCCGGACTTTTGAGAAGTTGGGCCAGTCAAAGGAGACAGGTGGGGCAATGGTTCGTTCTATGCGGAGTCTGGGATCCGCAGCCCTCAATATCTGTGCCGTGGCAGAGGGCACGTTGGATCTCTACTGGGAGGGTGGATGCTGGGAGTGGGATGTCTGCGCTGGGTGGGTGATCCTAGCCGAGGCTGGAGGCATCATGGTCGATGGCAGCCCGGGAGGTTGGAAGACTCGCCTCGACGGGAGGAGGTATCTCGCAGTCCGTGGCGCCCCAGCGGGCCAGAAGGAGATCGTTGAAGAGTTCTGGAGCCACATCCAGGGCAAGCTGGAGTATTAGGTGGAACTTAAAGCGTCGGTCATTGGTTTATAGTTTCAATTAATTACAGGGTATGTTCAATACATATATATATATATATATATATATATACATTCTCTACAGTGAGCTTTCCACGATCCGAAGGTTGGCTGTCTCAGGCGTTCAGCCGTGGGGATCGACGGAAGCCGACCTCGTCTTCTTCGTCCAATCCGGACTCACAGTCATCATCCTCATCCACCTGTCGATCAGTCCACCGTGCTGAATCCTGCCGAGAGACGCCCGTGTACTGGGACCGTTCAAGGGAACTCGCAGTCTCGTGAGATTCGTTGTCGGCGGGGAAGGTGTCAGGATCCTGAGAAGGGACCGACATGGTGCAATGGCTGTTTGCCGCAGAACGATCACCAACATCACTCTGTCCTTCAACCTCGTCACCTGAGCTAGTTGGTCCAACATTCGGGGACTTAGCACGATCGACATTCTGTTTCAGTGTATCATCGACCTGGACGGTGGGAGAGTGGCCAAAATGCGTGTCAACAAGATGCTTCACCACGGGCCATCCATACGCATTGGTAAACATGCGCCGCACAATGATGTTGTTGTGTGCATCGGGCTCGAGGCGGACGAGCACCTTGCGCCAAGAAAGATCACGATGATAGGCTCTCGCGATTTTCTCCTCGACTTTGAGCCCACTCCCATGGTCGTTGGCATCGGGCTCGAAGGTGGAAGAAAGATGAGTTGCCGAAGCAGGAGCCGGTTTGGAGTTTTTGGTTTGCAGCGAGCCGAATGCCAAGGTTCGTCGCTTCACCGGCAAGGGATGGGGAATATCTTCGGGATGATAGATACGATCATGGAAGATCGTTCGAGGACGAGCAGCCGGGTCCAAGATAAAATCCGTGGGGGGCAATGGTGGCATCAGCAAGTCTCCTGCCGATTCAAAAAACGTCGTCTTCGGAGGTGTATGGACGCCATCCTCTTCAAACATAGAATTGCCTCGCACGATGGGAGCCGGTGATTCATTGGGGTCGAAAGATGCGACAGTCTGGCTGCGCCTATAGATTTTAGAACCTTTGCCAAGAGTTTGCTTAGTTTCTTTCGGGCGAAACAGTGCGAGGAAGGAGTTGAGGGGTCCGGAGTTCCTGTCGGATTCACTCTCCTTCGGTCCCGTGTCCACCGCGCGACTGCCACGCGAAGGCATGCGAGTCAGGAATTGACTATGGCTTGGTGACGATGGATCATCCACGGCAACAACTCCCTGGGAGGACTGTGCTTCATCGTAGAGGCCCTGGTAGCTTTTTTTTGTTCCATTGCTACCATTTCGCAGCGCGGTTGTCATTCGAGGAGATTTTGAGTTCGCCCCCGTCAATTCGGCCCAGCCCCATTCGGCCATAGTGCCAACAAGACCATTGTCTCTTCTCGCCTTCTCAACCCGATCAAGGCCACGCCAGTCCAAGAAGAGGAGACACGATGTCCTTAGCGGAACAATTCCATCGTTCACTACATTGGAGTAAATGGTGCGATGCTGGAATTTGTGAAGAACCTCATGTGCGGGACCACAAGGCAGGATTCGCAAAAGTGGCTTTGCGCCGGGATCTGACTGACTTTGGGCTTTTGATGAGTCTCCTCGGCCACCGATGAGAGCACTCCACCCACTTCGCACCCTGGGCGCTGTCCAGCTGAGACCGAGGTCTTGTCCAGTCCGTCCAACAAGCCCCAGGTCCAGAGCAAACCGCACATACATTGGATTTTCATTGCTAAGGCCTAGAAAGGGAGATGCGAGAGCAATGAAATTGACCGGTCTGATTCGGTCAAAAAACTCGGGCGAGTGTTTCCGGATATATGCGATAGCGTAAGTTTGAATCAATCCACCGAGAGAATGTCCAATGAAGCTGATGCTGGTGATTTGATAGGCCATATTCTCTCCATTTAAGAAATCACCTCTGTTCACTGAGGCGTGGGTTTCTAATGAGGGCTCAGCCTGGTCTTTGCGAGCACTGAAAGGGCGGGAGAATGACTTCGACTTGGACCCTTTGAGGGGAAAGTATGGCTGATCGGGATAGGTCATGAGCAAGACATATTTAGCCAGGCGCTTGCCAAGATATTGAATGCCACGTTCAGTTCGCACGGCATTTCCAGAAAAGCCCCGGACAATGACTTGCTCGTCAAGCTCGTCGTCGGTGTTATCATGGTCACCTTTGGCGGCTCTCGCTTGTTCACTCGACTTTCTGGCGGCGGCATCAATACTTTCTTTCAAATAAAGCATATCGGCGCCTAGATTACTGTGCAAGCCATGAGTAATCACGACCAGATGAATTTTCTGCCTAGAGGCCTTGAAGGCTTGCGTCTCGCTGGCACACTCTGATCCCGGATGTTCATTCACCTGGATTTCCGAGCGATTACCATCCGGCGTATCGTTCGCTGGGACCGGTGTCCCCGATGGTAAAGGCGGGGTGTTCCACAAGCTAGTCGTATCGTCGACGCGTAATGTAATGGATTTCGAATACACTCCAGTTGAAGCAGTGACTTGTTGGCCCTTGCTTCCTGGGAGCCAATGTTCATGAAATTTACCAGGGGGTCCAATTTTCATCGAGGCGGCGCCTGAAGAAAAAAGCTCCACGGATTTCGCGTCGCGGCCAACAAGCAGCTCAAAGTGGACCGCGGCGCTATTCGAGAAGATGACCTGGGACACGATCTCGATGACCCAGGTCATACTTCGGTCTCCGTCTGGTCCGAGCTGTCCAACAGCAAGATTATGGGAATCTCCGAAGCGCGTGGGCATTTTGATGACCGCATTCCAGCTGCCTCCAGCTTTAAGATATGGCTCAAACTGGGGGGGCTCCTTCGGTGTCTTGTCGGTCATACTTACTGTTGGGATCGAACTTGGAGGGGTAGCAGGCTGCATAGAGCGTATATGGGCCATGGAGATAAGCAGCTCGAAGAGGGATCGCGGATGAGTTCTTCACCCTCACATGGAGTTCGGACGGAATGGGCAGGATAGGGTCGGCAGCTGGCGTGTATGTCAAGGTATATCTGTCAACTCGGATCCATTAGTTTTTTGCTCGATGAGACGTATATGGGTGCAAACCGGAAGAGCCCGGAGCCAAAGCAGTGAGAATATGGGCTTCTAGGTGTTCTGGAACTGACCGTGCTACTTCCCCTACGCGAACACTGCCGACTTGATGAATGAACAGCATATCCGCAGCTTGTCCAGTATCCACGGGGCTCTGATGCCACCCGGCGAGTGTGTAGAAGCGGGACGCGCCCTCGACGCGCGAATTGGCGTGGTCTGGGGTCTGCGAAGCGATGTACGTTCGAGGAGTGATCAGCATCGAATGTTACGTGCAGTTCCATGGTCCAACAAGGCCAGATTCAAGGCAGGACTAGGACCTGGCATGTCCCATTTGGGTGAGTCGTGGAAAATGATCCGGTGTTGGAGTTGGTAATGGAACAACCTTATCGGCCTGCTCTCGGAAGGTGAACGCGGGCGGTCATCCCGCAGATACGATCCTCGTGCTTTGAGGATGGGACTACATCTGGTGGTATAAATAACAGCGTACCTATTTCATCGGTATTGGGAGCTACGGGTTTTTAATCTACAATAGGACGGGGCATATATCTCGTGGGGTTATTGGTGACATCTTTCCAAGTCGGCATATCTCCACATGAGATAATTAAATAGATTGTACCTTCAACCTGGCTCAATTTTGAAATGGGACCAGTGTGAGGCCCAAAACATCATGGCTTGATCACATTTAGCAGCTGACGAGACTCTTTGTGAAGCTCTATCCAACCTCCCTTTTCGACTGCCACAATCTTGCCATCGATACAAACTCGTCTCCATCTTTCTTCGTCCTCATAGAAATCGATGCGTAGACGCTCCACCTCATCGTAGGTCACGGTTTCTTCGCGCACGTGCTTGCCTTCCTCATAAGCCATGCTCATGAGGCGCATTGTCTCTTCAGCGGGTAGAGGACCGAAGCGCAGGAGCCTCATTTGTCCACCGAGAGGTTCCGAATCGGGCGAAATCAGAAATTCCTTCTCCAATCTGGGGACAAGAGTTGCAAGCACATAAGTGTGCTCGTGGTCCTCTATTGCCTTCTCGCAAAGATCTCCGGTCTGCCTGTCCATTGTAGTCAAGGTGATCTTTCCCTGAAACCGATGAGGATCTGTGCCATCAGATGGGTAGAGGAGCTCATTGGCTGCCATCTTAAACCTCTCGGATCCGAACTTGCGATATTCAATAGTGTCACTATCTGCGACCAGTGCCGCATGTAATCCCCAGCTCGCAACCACTGCACCGTACATTGTGCGGTGAGGAGCGTCGGATTCGGCATCTATCTGAGAACGATGGCGACCCTCGTCAACAACAAGCCGGCTACCGGCAGAGAGCCTGGCAGCGAAAATGGGCACCGGAACAGGTTGTCCCTGAAGAAGTCCAGTGAGGCTAGAAGCCGGGCCAGACCGTAGTCCAATCGAGCTTGCCATCGCGTTCCCTGTCCCACAGGGGACCAAGGCAATATGCGGTGGAACGTAGATCTTGCGATGAGTTCTGTAGAAGACATCAACGATGTCGATGAGGCCCCCATCTCCGGACAGGAGAATAATAGTCTGCGGAATCCCCGCACAGGCTCGCTCGAGGAATTGTGATTGAGACAGTCCAAGGATCGTCTGGTCTGACTGGGTTTCATGTACCTGGTGAGAAATGGCCAGATAAGTCAGGAAAGGCTGCACAGCACGCTGGAATACTGTTTTTGCTATTCCTGTCCCAGACTGTGTAGATATCACAACCTGTACGGGCTCGCCTTGTTGGAGATAACTGGGAATCTCCCTTAAAAACGGGGACAATCCCTTCACCAGAGAAGATATGCATATTTTTGCAAGACGAGGACATATATCGTCTTCGTGACCTTGAGTTTGGTCCAAAAAGAGCACAAGGTGTTCTGATTGATGTCCCGGCCGGGGGAGCACACCCACAATATCAGTCAAGTCAACATGCCCCTCACCACCTGCGCGGTTATTATAATTTAGTACATTTCCTATCACGGCGGCACTGCACGCAGCATTCTGATCGGCCTCTACTGCCGTCATTTTCATATATCTGGAGGGAGGGAGTGGTGGATTTAAACTGCAGGAGTCAGCCTGGTGTTATTCCAACTGATAAGCATTTGGTGGGGCAACTTCTGTTCCTGGACCTCGTATCTGTCGGTGACTACGCAACGAGCCAACCTCTTGTGCTTTCAAATGCGTTCTAGGATCAAAAGATGGATATATACTTAGATCTAACGATCCAGATTCAAAGCATGCTTGTATACAAAGAACGAAAGAATTTACATGAGAGTATACAATACAATACACATAAGCATCCCCTGCCCTCTTAACACACCCGCATCGACTGGGGCTTCTAGTTCCGTATGAGATACCATGACTACAACCAAGACGGCTAGACACGCTCCTGCTCCTCTGATCGGTTAGAAACATGCTTGTCACTTAAGTTGACGGCAATGAATGATTTCGGGAGTTTGACCCTTCAGTCGATAGTCAGCTTAATGCAAAGAAAGATCAACTTCATATGATGCTTACGTATCAAATTTTGCCTTCAGCGTTTCAATCACTTCCTTCCAGTCTTGATGGGCAGTCAAGCTGCGCCGAGGAGCACAACCGATAGCGTGCCGCGAATCAAGTTGCACGTCAAGCGGGTCGAAAGCGTGACAGCCAGGGCTGATGGAAATCCTGATCGAGTAGGAATTAACTTCTGATTCGGCATCTCGTGCTTCGTATAGCTCGAAACAGATCTGGGAGAGATAGTCAAGCTCCGGAATAGCGCTCCGAGCGATCTTTGTCTGGATCCCACCCTCCAAAATACAATTCATAAGTGTGTAGATATGGGACTCTTTCGTGAAGTAGAAGAAAGACTTCGCATCCGCAGATGCCTGAACTTCTTCTAGGTCACGAACGATTTCTTGAAGGAGAGGAAGCGACGTAAGAAGGCCGATCTCAAGCTTCTCACTGTCGGTGATGCCGTATTCCTGAGGTGTCACGTAGTCGAACAGAACCTTCGCCAGTTTGTACAGTTCACGGAGCTTAGAAAGTCGCTCGTCCATCTTGCACTTGCTTGAGCTAGAGCCCGGGAAGAGCTTGAAATAATGGTCATATGAATCATCCAGTGCTCGAAGTTGTGGTAGTGACTCGATTGCTTGGAGTCGCTTTTTCCATCCGAACCGATGGGCAAATATCGAATTATCCGTGCGCTCATCGATCTTTTCGTTTGCAGGGTCAAGGCCAGTCTTGGTGCTTTCTGTGGTTGAATCGGAACTTGTGGAGCTCTTTCCCTTGACACTGCACTTATCGTCTTCCTCGCGGTCACTGTCAGGGGGCATGAAGATCCATTCCAGGAACTGCCGATTGTGGAGTGCATCAAATTTCATACTGTCATAAAGCTCAGACAGTTTGCTGGGATCCACCTTCTCAGTGTCACAAAATTCTGCAAAAAGCTTTTCCCATCTCTCTTTGAAGAGACGCGGGTCTTCTCCGGCGCACCAACGCCCCTGGATTGTCGAAATGTTGTGCAGATCCGGCTGTGTCTCTGGCTGACTGCACAGACCAATGTCCTCGGGATTTTTAACGGTTGGTGAGGGCTGTGAGTCCCTCAGGTCCAATTTCTCAAAGTTGTGGCGCATCACACTTCGATGGAACTTCATGAGGGCCACCACTGTAGCAAGGACAACCGAAGGCTCCGGAATATTTCCATCTTTAGGCCAAGCAAATTGTGAGGGTGCGGACCCTTCTCGCAAAAGCAGCTTCAGCTTCTTCTTGACCTTATCCATGACATCTTTCGCAGCATTAGAGTCATCTAGAAGATCCTTTCGGACCTGAATGAAGTCCTCGGGTATTTCCTTCTGGTCGAGGAACGAACAAGCCCAGATTTGAGCTATAATTCGCTCATGAGTAAGATGTTTGAGGGATCTGTTTTTGTCTAGGGGGCATTTCACGTACCACTGGTGCTCACTCTCCGTTCAGAACTTGTGAACAGACGAACGTTGTTCAGGGCCTCCTTATTCATCAACTTGAGGTCATCGCGCATGTTCAATCCAAGATCCTGGGATTGATAACGCGCTGCATGCGTGGGTTCTCCTCCCCACTTGATGACAAGTTGGAGTTTGTCTAGGATCAGGTCATTCTCCACAGCCGAGAATCGAGAGAAAGTGGCACCGGAAATTGAGTCGCTCCGCGTTTGGGGCCTGCCAAATGGGTCGTTATCGTGCGCAGGCTCGCTGACTACGGGCGAAAGAGGCTCCTCGGAGGCTACTTCGCCCGGCGGTGCTGTGGGTGTAGTAGGTGATACCTGCTCTCGCATCTCTTCCGGCCTCCGCTTCCGGAACATGGGTTTAATCTGTACCTTCGTTCCAGGCCATCCGCCCTTCTTTTCAAGAGAAGTACTAAGCAGCTTAAGCTTCTCCATATCTTCCAACCCTTGTTCCATTGCCAACTTCACTGCATTGGAGACACTTGACAAAGCAGCCTCTCCTTTGATCACCACTTCTTCCTGGTGACCTTTCAGAAGATCTACAAATGGCTGGCTGTGGAATGTAAACTTGAACTTTTGCTTCGGAGTGCGATCCGCATGTCGAATGACTGCCACCATGCCTTTCAATTTCCACGAATGCTTCGAAGCAGGAAGTGGTGGAGGAGCTCCATCATTAGGATGATGCAGTGATAAGGCCGGGGACTTTGTGTTAGAGGGACTATACCCCCGGGAATCGGAGCGCCCATCGCGAGAGTTCAATTTGCTGAGAGTGATACCGAGATCAGTGCTCTCAATGCCTGAGGATGATGCCAACGAGGGGGCACCAGTCGATGCATCCGAAGGAGCTGGTTCGTGGGATTTGTGAAGTCGAGAGGTACTTGGAGACTTCAGAAGCGTTTTCAAGGCCTGTCGGTGAGAGCTGGCCGTGCTTTTCCGTGATGAACCCATATCCGGTGAAGGCGGTTCGGAACGCTCTATCGATCCCTCGTACTTTCGCCTCTCGACTAAGAAAGTGTCTCCGAGGATATTAGCGCACTTGTCGTAATAGTCGTTATTGTCCTTGACGAAGCTCCAGCCATTGACATCGATGACGTAGCTTTTATCTCCAACACGAAGCATATCAAATCCGCAGATTCTCTGTCCGAAACCATTCGAGATTTTGGAGGCAATCGCTGCCTCTTCCTGGCTTAATTTTGTAATGTACCGCAGCTCCTTTCCGTGGGTGTTACGTCTGACAAGCCCATCAACCACGGGGGACTTGCGCGTCTCGGCATGGCAGAAATTGGGCCCGACTGTGTACGCTTTCACGTCCTCGGCATTGTCCACGCGTAGGAATTGCTCGTACAAATAGCTTGTCCCTGACTCGGTCAGAGACCGAGGCACAGACAGAGTTGGGTCGTATTCTGAGCTTTTGTTCCCGACTTTACGGAACAATTTGCGTCCTCCGCCGCCATATTGTTGATCATTGGGGAAGTAAATGTGAATGTTATGATCCTCGCCATTAACCGGCTTTTCCACAAAGGGCTTCCGGAGGACTTTGCCGTCCACCACCAGAGCTTCCCCGTCTTCTGACATTGAGACTTGCTGAGTCTTTGGGGCGCCACCGCCGGTGCCATCCTCCGGACCCTCCAATTTCACTCCTGTGAGGTTGTATATATGCTGGGCTAGCTCCGGTGATTCCAGAATTGGCCCACCATCGCGGTTTACCTCCATTCTCTTGGGAGTAGGAACTCCCATTTGGTCCAGTATTTTGAGACACAGCCGACGATCCCAAAGCACCTTCTGCATCGGCAGATCGTTGACGCAGAACGGCTTCCGCAAGTTGGCATATGCGATCGCTTTGTCTAGAGGAAATCCATCCGAGAAGAACGCAATCAAAAAATCGCAGACGGGCCAGTTCTCCACGGCCTCATCGAGAATGACCTTGTCGCCGAAGACAATGACCTCAAAATTGCCCTTAGACTGAAGTCTTGTCAGGATATTTTGGCTTGGCTTGCTACGTGCTTTGACATCCAAGGCGCACACACCGATCCTCCAGGGTCTCGGGGTATTGGTCTCCATCTCGCTGGTGGAACTGGCGGCGGTGCTGGCAGCGGTGCTGCCGCTGAATCTGCGGGCGGGTCGGCTAGAAGAACGTGTAGATTGCCCGAAGCGAGGCGAAGAGCCTTTATCTGTCTCCGTCTTGCCCGGCTTCACGGGGCTGTTTTGGCCATGGTGCTTGGTCGATGTTGTGGACTCCGTCAGAGGGTTATCTTTCGACTCCGATTCCATACTCAGCAAGCCTGTCGAGTCAGGTGTGGCTTTTGAAGAGCCGACATCCACAGGAGGGCCGCTACTCCGGCCATTGTCGGTATCCATGTCGCGGATAAAGGCCAAGGTCAAAGACGAGAGATGCGGTAGGGTGGAGGGGCAAGGTGGGGAGGAAATCGAGTGCGACTCCGGGACGTATCAGTTCCCTGTCACAGTCAAATGGGTGAGATCATGCTCCGATCACAAATTGGCTTCACTGAGATGGATATGGACAGAAACAAGGGTTTTGCCTGGAGGCGGAGAAGATTGACCGAGACGCAGACGGATACTTACTTAAGAATATTTGCGGCACAAAACCAACCAAGCTTTGCCGCTTCGACTACGCTGGATTCCACACCATTATCAACTCACCATGATTTTACGCGAAATAGAAAAATTACTTTCAGAATTCACTCTGTATCTCTCGACGTCCGCTAGCCTGCTCTGCTCTATTCTGCTCCGCCTAATTCAGCCCTCGCCCCATCCAATTGCATCAACGAGCTTCTAGAATTGAGCCAATGACGGCGACGGAATTCATCTTCTCATGGCATCGTTATTGAAATTCTCTCGTGCTTTCTGTTGGAATGTTCAACTTGCGGACGCCGGCAAATCGTGCTCATAGGCTATGGGGCGGGACGGAAGGCGGTCAGAGCTTTCTTGCGGATAAAAAAAAATCACCACACTATTCGAGCAACCTTTGGTCTGCGAGTATCGAGTAGTTCGCTATTCAGCAATTACTTTCTGCGTTTTCGTTGCTTGAAAGTCTCGCTATCTGTTATTTTGTCTGATTTTTTGACTTTCACCTCAGTCTCGTTGTTCCGTCGTAATACGTGCGGCCGCTACAGCATTGCATTTTGCCCGCGACAATATGCCGGCAATGGCCAGCGATACATTCGGCTTGCCTCTTGCAAAGAGGCAAAAGAGGGTATTTGATGAGAAAGCTCGAAAGGAAGGCCGTCATGGCTCCAAAGTCTTTGCTCCTTTTCGGGTACGTCAAGAACTATTTCATTTAGTTCAAATCTTTCTGCTAACTCGCTGGGTGTGAAGACGTTAGGACTCGTGTCACCGACCCCCGTTCCCTTTACTAGTGTGCGCCTGGGCAAGTCGACATTCCAAATTACAACTTCGGTGGGCCATTCCCTCCAGACGTACGACTTGCGCCGAGGTCTGAGCCTGGTCTTCTTGAGTCGACCACAAACACCCGAGATTATCACCGCCACATATGCCTGGCAGGACAAGGTTTTCGCTGCCTGGGGCCATCTTCGACCTCGATCCTCTGGGGGGAGTCTGGGTCTTCAAACGCGGCAAGCGCGTCGCAAGTCTGGACAGTCCGGCGCTTGATGGGCCCATTGAGCGGTTGATGGTGTTTGGCTCGTGGGTTATTGGCTGCTGGGCAGGTGGGCTAGAGATCTGGAACACTATTAGCTACGAACACTATGCCAGTCTGCGGCCCCGGTCGACCCCCGGTTCGTCAGGGGAGCAGGTCTACGTGGGAATCATGTGCAATATGCCCACCTATCTCAACAAGGTTTTCGTGGGGCGTAGTGATGGCGCGGTTGATATTTGGAACCTTCGCAGCGGCAAGCTTTTGTACACAATGCCCCCTCCATCGTCAGATGCCGGGCCGGTGACTGCCATGCATCCTACTCCGGCCTTATCCCTTCTGGCCATTGCCCACAAGAGCGGTTCTTTGTCGATTCATGATGTCGATTCTGCCCAGTTGGTTTTGCCCTTGAGGAATGCATCGACCCAGGCTCTTCCGGTGACCTCAATTACCTTCCGCAGCGACGGTCTTGGTGCTGGTCACGATGGACGGAAGGCTGGCGTGATGGCCACAATCTCCAGCGGGAGCGGTGATATCACTATGTGGGACCTGAACGATGGGGGCCGTGTGGCAGGTATTCTCCGCGGTGCTCATAGAGTCTCAAACAATGAGACCGGTATGGGAGTGAATCGCGTAGAATTCTTGGACGGACAGCCAGTACTGGTATCGTCGGGAGACGACAATGCCCTGAAGACATGGATCTTCGACGAGACGCCGTTTTCTCCAATTCCTAGGCCGCTCCATTCCAGGGGTGGTCACTCTGCTGCTGTCAGTGCTCTCGATTTCGTGCCCGTGTCCTCAGATGGTTCCGAATCCGGCGGTAAATGGCTTCTCAGTGCCAGCAAAGACTGCAGCTTCTGGGGTCTTAGCTTGCGCAAGGACAGTCAGCACGCGGAAATATCCCAGGGTAATCTGGAACGCAAGGCAAAGAAAATGGGCCCTTCCGGACATTCAAACTCGTCTGTCGCGGATACGCTCAAGGCACCTGAGATCACTTGCCTCGCCTGCTCTCTCAATCGTGATGGGGGTATGGGCGTGACAACCTCGGGCCCGGTCTGGTCAAACCCCAAAGCTTCCAATGCCGACACCTCCAACGCAACGGGCTGGGAAAGCGTGGTTACTGGCCACCGAGGTGATAAATATGCGCGAACTTGGTTCTGGGGCAAGAAAAAGGCGGGACGCTGGGCTTTCGCCACCAGTGATGGGACTGAAGTCAAGGTACGTAGCGCTGAGTCCTTTGGCAAGAAGAACGTGATTCCGCTAACTCACACGTCAGAGCGTGGCTATGTCTCCATGTGGAACTTTTGCGGTTATAGGTTCAGCGGCCGGCTCCATTGATATGTTTAATATGCAGTCCGGCATGCATCGCCAAAGTTTCCCACCTCGCTCGCCCCGGTCTCGTGGTGCGAAATCGCGCGCAAACGACGATTTCACTGTCGGCTCTAGTCATACCAAGGCTGTCACTGGCTTGATGATTGACAATCTTAACCGGACGGTCATTAGCTGTGGTCTGGATGGGAAAGTCAAGGTATATACCTCTGATATCGTTCCGTCAGTCTGACATACCTAACTCACCTTGTCTCTGTAGTTCTGGGACTTGCTTTCTGGTTCGTTGTTAGACGAATTGGATTGGCATCCAATGGCAGCTGTCACAGGCCTTCGTTATAGTAAGACCAGCGAGTTAGTCGCATTCAGCTGTGATGATCTCTCAATTCGTGTGATCGATCTGGAGACCAGAAAACTTGTCCGTGAATTCTGGGGCTGCGTGGGCCAGGTAAATGATTTCATTTTCTCCAATGATGGACGCTGGATTATCGCGGCCTCGATGGACTCGGTATTGCGCGTTTGGGACCTGCCCACCGGTCATCTCATCGACATTTTCCGGGTGTCCAGCACCTGTGTCTCCCTTGCCATGTCATCCAGCGGCGACTTCTTGGCCACCGCGCACGCAGGTAGCATCGGAATCAGCCTATGGAGCAACCGTAGCCTTTTCATGCCGATTTCCACCAAGAACATGGACGAGGATGCTATCGAGGACATCGGCGTGCCAACCTCGTCTGGTGAGAGTGGTGCAGGCCTCGTTGAGGCAGCTTTCCTGGATACGCCCGAGCAGGATGATTTTGAGGGACCGGTGCTGGCAAGTGACCAGCTTCGACAAGATATGGTGACACTCAGCCTGGTTCCCAAGAGTAGGTGGCAAGCTCTTCTTCACCTGGACTCTATCAGGGTATGTATATGATTGTTATGAATTTTTTCCTGTCCAAGGCTGTTGACGGTCTCACTAACGTCATCGCAGGAACGCAACCGGCCCAAAGAAGCTCCGAAGGCCCCTGAGAAGGCACCATTCTTCCTCCCCTCGCTGATCGGTACCAGGGACCCCCAGTCTACGAGCGCAATCACTACTGAAGCGGCCGTGCTGGATCCGCTTACGCAGGGTACGGAAGCAGAGCGTTCGCGGGTTTCCAAATTGCAGGCTGGGGGCCTCAGCTCCTCGGAGTCTCTAATTACTAGGCTTTTGCAGTCTGGTCATCGTTTAGGCAACTACGATGCCTTGATCGAGCATCTTAAATCTTTACCTCCAGCCCGCGCGGACTTGGAAATTCGCTCTTTAGATCCACGGGCGCGCGGCGGTTTCTCTGAACTGTCCGGGTTCGTGACCGCTCTGACGATGCGTTTGAAATTGCGAAGAGACTTCGAATTGGTTAATGCATGGATGGCAGTCTTTCTGAAGATCCATGCTGATACCGTCGGGCTATGCTCTCATCGGGATGAGCCTGAATATCGGGTTCTGCAGCAGGCTCTGGTCTCTTGGGCTCACGAACAAGAGCAAGAAGGGAAACGCCTGGCCGGGCTGGTAGGGTACTGTCGTGGAGTTGTGGGATTCCTAAGATCCGCACGCTAAGCCACTCGCTGTGGTGGTTCCGTGTTTCCTGTACATCTATATCGCATATGTAGTTTCACACCAAAAAAATGGCTTTTGATCAATTTGAATTATTTGCTTCAAGCGGAGTTTTGATATTACTTGCAAGTGGGCCTTTACATATTACAGAACATCTGAAGAATATATCTGCCAGATGTGAGGATTCCACTGATTCCCATTTGTATCGGCCTGACTAAGACAGTCAAATAGCGGGAAAATTCTTCTTCACTTCTACCACTCCTATCTCTTCAGGTTAGACGATGGGGATCTCGCATTTGACGAAGTACCTTTTGCCCTACGCCGAGACTGTTTCGCTAAGGAAAGCATCCGACCAGGGCCCTCCATGCGTGCAGTCAGTAGTGATTGACGGACCTAGTTTGGTATATCATGTCTACTACCGACTACTAGCGTGGACAGACCCAGCTTACGACGTTTTGGACATCCAACCTACCTGCGACGAGGTCAGTCGCGGTGTCGTAAGTTACCTTCTGCAATTGATTGATCTGGGCGTTGAAATGTGAACAACCGTGCTCATGCTGAATATGCCAATGTAATAATTAACCACAATTTTCAGACATAATATATGTTTCGATGGTGCCTTGCCCTTTTCCAAGCGAGGGACTCGACTTGCTCGGCTTGAAAAGTCCAGACACCGGCTGGAATTGACCCGACTCCAAAATGTGGTTCCTAGTCATGAATATCAACATCGTCCAGAGACTTCACTTCGGCATGCTCAGCTCTGGCAGATCCGAAATCTTCCCGCTCGATGGAGGAACCTTCCCGAAAACCCGTTCATGGTGTCCGCGGTTTTCGAGGACTTGCGGTCCCGGTGGAACAAACAGCTCATAATATCGATGTTTCAGCGATCCGATCTCCCTCTGGGGGAGGCTGAATATCCATGGGCTGAGATCACAGCAATGGTCCCCGGAGAAGCCGACATCGAATGTGCCCGGTTCGCCAAACTCACAGGCTCGGCCGTTCTCACAAACGACTCAGATCTGTTGGTTCATGATCTAGGTCCGCTTGGTGCAGTCGTGCTCCTTAATTCGGTGCATATGCTCCAAGACGCACCAGATTTGGTCGAGCTGGAGATCCGGGGCCTGCGATTACAACCCACCGAACTTGCCAATCGACTCGGGTCAGTGAATCTTCCGAGATTTGCCTACGAGCTGATACAAGACCCTCACCGAAGCTTTACGGAGCTTGTGCGACGGTCCAAGGACAACTCCGGAACGGTTGAACGGTCGTCTGATTACATAGAGTTCATCCGCGAATATCAACCCGATGATCGAATGTTGGTCAAGAACATACGAAGTGTCCAGACGTGTGACCCCAGGGTGTCTGAGCTATTCTGGCAGTATGAGCAGCCGGATGTCTATTGTTGCGCCGACCAGCCTCATATGTACCTTGGAATCCTTAATGAAGATCACTCCAGGCGATGTGCCTGGGAACACGGTCGCTTTTACAGATCTATTGGCTATTCCCTCCTCAATCTGTCTCGATCAGCTCCTCAGAAACTCTCACGTGTTCAGGAATTTGTTCGCAGAGGAGGTAGAATCGTTGCTGAGCAGATCAGTCTTAGCAGCACAAACACGACGATCTCCGACTTACGCACTCTACAAGAGCGTATAGATCTTGCGCGAAGAACATTTCGGCATAATACGCCGTCTGTATTCTGGGTGTTATTTGCCTTGTCCGAGATACACTGCGACTCCTCCCGCACGACTGCGACACCCAACGCAGCACATCTTGAGCGATTCCTCAGCAAAGGATTCATGGGCAAACGAACTGACTGGACTGACATCCATCTAATGGCCCAGATACAGGCCATACTGTATTCCCTGCGGATTTTGAAGCAGCTGGCTGAGATCAATGCGGAGAATATTCCCGTCCAGCACCAAGGTATTCTGGCAGGTTTACCCCCACTACATCTTCTCATGATGTCGCGGCACGATATAGTCAAAAGCTTCTCTACGAATGGACTCGCCCGCAATTCGGTCTCCCGGTTGTTTGAGACATATAATTGATACGGCGGGGACGAGCCAACGCTTTCCCGATCGTTACAATCCCATGCGCTTCGTGTGAGGTTCTACCCGACGCTCAATTTTGCATTGGGATTGAAGATCTCTTTAGATCGCGCAGATCCTTCGTCCCCGTGGGATGAATCCTGTGAAGAGCTGATGACGATTCATTGGATGTTTTGGCACAACCTTAGTTGAGACCCAGACAGGCCCAATCGCTAAGGGGCGCCATTTGTTCACGAAAATAGGGCATGTTTGTCTAGGTACATAAACTGCTCTTTGCAGACATCAGGCTGGAGCGCAAATCTGACAGTCCGTAGCTTGGAGAAGAATGGGATTCGCAGATTTGACCGAGTGCCCTCATTATGTCCCGTGGTCGAATTTGAACCACGTACCCAGGTACCAAGCGTGAATTGAATGTAATGAGAGGGTCACTCCAGTGACAATCATTACACAGTTGGGCGTAGAAAATGACCAGCAGGCTATGTTGTCCAAAGCGGCGCCCGCGCTGACCATGAACGAACTCGCGAACCGGGAAAGTCCAAACCATGTGAACGATATATCGACCGACCTATCCGATAGCGTCGGTTCATGACAAGTGACTACCCGAACAGACCCAACCGGGGTAAAGCCTGGCGTGATAGGAGAGGAGAGTTCTCACTTTTCAGGAGCATCTGGAAGTCGCTCAATTACGTATTTCCCACGAGCAACGCTCATGATCGGTGCTCCAGGAATTTTGCTGTTTGGGCGTGAGAATCATAGATATAAATTGCCAGAGTAATTGACGTACCGAATGCGTCTCTTCAGATCGCGATCGTTGGTTGCCACGATATACACGCGATGCTTGATCACTCGATCGACAAGGCAGTCATCTGCATATGTACCCTTGTGGTCACACCTTATTCTTTCGAAGCGGGGGTCTTTGGCGACACGCAATGCAAGTCGATATTTTTGGCCCAGTTTCTCCAGCTCGGCAAGCACGCAGTCCGTGATGACAGGGATGCACTTGGCATATAGGCAGTCCATCATGGTGGGAATGACCTCGAGCTTGTGTTGTATGGTGTGTGAGATGAAGTTGGTGTCGACAAGCACGGAATATGGGGGGGGCCAGAGCCGTGTTGTATTGAAAGAAAAGCGACGATGGAGCCTGCGGTCTGTCATAATTTCAGTAATCTTGCATCACCTGTCAAATGGAATACAGGGTTCGAACGCTTCTTTGACAACATCATCCTTTCCTGTCTTGCCCTTCTTGTCCGTTTTTTCACTCTCTTTCCTGCACTTGTATGTCAGCAACGATCAAAGATGGGGGAGAATGCTATGACATACAGACGGTTATCGCGAAGAGAAATTGCTCTCTTTGCCTGCGCAAACTTGCGAGATTTCTTTTGGACACCCATACTGGCGTGGAGAATTGTAGGAGGAAGGCGGAACGCAGACAAGCGGCTCCAGAAATATTTTTGGCTATCTGGGAGCCTGAGGCGATCACTCTTTATCTGTCGATGACTAATGCACGGCATGGGATCTGCCGAAACTGACCGCTTTTATCTCGCTTTTCGGGAGCCGCTTCGAGTTCCCCGCTCGCAACTCCAGCCTGTAGCCGGACCAGGCACATAATACAAATTATTATAGGTGAGTGGCCGTAACAGATCACACGAGAGATATCCAAAGACATCCAGAAAAGATGTCTAAAAAAAGGAACAAAAGGAGATTTAGCTTTTTAAGGAGCTTCTGGACGGGTGTCCAGAAATTTTCGAGAAAGAGCTGGAATCAGGTATAGATGCCCATTCGAAAGACCCTCTTGGGAACATCTAAGAGATCTGCAGCACCCATTGCGTGACCGTGCGATATGGATCTCTAATCAAAAATGCCTTCCATTTTTATTGATGATCCTAGATAAATTGGCTGGAAATCTATCGAGAAGATGATCGATTAAGCTTTTGCAAAAAATTTCGTAGTTACAAAATTCGCTGATAATACGAGAGTCGTTCTGACACATTAGGAGTGAATCGAGAGTTTTTAACGCTCTCGATTCCTCGTGTCGTAGTATGAGAGAAACGCCTGGACCTCATAACCGCCCGCGAGCCGCCCTCTGAGGGCCGCCCACAGACCCGCAGTTTTGCGGGCGGAGGGCGGGCTCTTCCTGCCCGCGGGCCGGGTAGGGTCTTTAACCTACCCTCAGAGGGCGGCTCGCGGGCGATTCGAGGGCCGACAAACATAACAAATATATATAGACTAACTAGAATAGGAAGTAAGAATTGTTAAGGAATAATGTGGTTATTCCTTAATATGCAGGTGTGGGTATATATATGGATTTGAGGATGTCGACCTTAAGGGTCGAAATAAATGGTCTTTTGGCTAAGCGGAAGGATGTTGCCCTCAAACAACCTCCTTTACAAGAATAGTATAAAAGTATAAGTTATTAGGCTTATATATCCAAATTAGGAACAGTTAAAATTTTTTATGCAAATACGGACGGATAAGGGCCGCCCGCGAGGGTCGGGCGGAGGGCGGGAGATGCCGACCCTCAAAATGTTTTTTATGAGGTTTAGAAACGCCACTCGGAGGTGAGATCAGTTATACACTGTATTTGTATTTTGTACAATCGTTATTCCATTATTGTAAGGCTGATTCCCGCGCTATACCTAATATTTTTGAGGACAACGATGATGTGAGACCACACAGTAGTCTCTAGGTTTAATTAGGTCAGCGAGGCAAAAGCCTTTATATGAAATCTAGTTCCCTTTTATGAAAGAGACTCAACGACGACCCTCCTAAGGGTTAGTGGGTACTATCTAAAATATAGACTGCCCCTATCACGAGCGGTAAGGACCAAGTCCCCGCTATAGTGCCAGAGGACTATCTATCTTAATGCCTGCGGCTATAATATAATTTTATATTAATTAGAATAATGTAAAGAATCTACGTGTTTAGGGTGGAAGGCCTATCGCTTAGGTAAGGAAGGATATCTAGGCTAATGTAAAGGATCTATGTGTTCAGGATAGAAAGCCTGTCGGTTAGGTAAGAAAGGATGTCTGGACTAGGTGTAGTATTGTAGAAGCAAGACTGATTCTTGCTAAGTCTAGATTAATTGGAAACCCTCTCGATTTAAGTACGAATTAGGTCCGAGACTTACTTATTCCACTGCGAGGCAAACCTTCACCGCTAGTCCTCAGTATTCCTTTATAACTACCTCCCCTTCTAGAGACGACGGGCCCCGGAGATAATCGAAATTTTTTTTTTTTTAGTCGTTCTTTGGTATAACATTATCTGGTGGCACGTGACCCCTGGGGTCGGATTATGTGATAGGGATAAGCCTTAGGTGTCGTTATACTTAAGGTATATTATATAGGAGTTATAAATAGTATTAGACTCCCTCTAGTTTCGCGGCAGACCTAGCCGCGATAGGGCAATAATATTATTATACCGCGCGAGGTCGTGTATTTGGTTTAGCTAATAGCAATATATATTTACGTGTGTCTTTTCCGGTCGCGTATCGGTGGTTTTCTAGTGTGTTATTATTATTTACTTATATATATTATTAATATCTTTACTTATATATTTCCTTACTTCTCTCCCCTCACTCTTCCCCCTTTAATAACTCTCTTCTATCTCCTTAGTGCTTATATTTAGTATTGTTTTAACTTCTTTTTATTCGTTCTTCGGCCATAACTTATTGCTAGTTTAGCTTTCTCTTTATTTCTTTTCTTTTTCTCTATTTTTGTCGTTATTTCGCTCGCGAATCAATATATTTGCCCCTTTGTCCCTTAGCTATCGCCCTCTATAGGACGTATCTCTGATCCCCGAGCTTACTTAGTGTGTTCCCTGCGTCCGTCGCTCCCTCCGAGACTGGGATAGGTAGAGCGCCTTCTCGGTAGTTTATATATATAATACGCTAAGTTCTGTCCTATGTTAGATATATTTCTGTGCTAATCGTCCTTGCCCTTCGGTTTATTTATCTTTTTTATTCGGTTATATTTTATTACTAACCTGTCTAGGTTCCCCTTAGTATATAGGGTGACTTAATTAATATAGTTAATTTAGTTAAGTATATCGCGGATATTTAGGCTGTTATCACTAAGTCTGCTAAGGAGGCGGATAAAGATAGTGAGTTTATTACTAGTGACTCTATTTGGTCTAGTGCTATTTATATCTGTGCCGAGGAGGCAGTTCGCGCCTTTATTACTAACTTTCTGCACTTAGTATCTCGTCACTCTAGTATTTATAACCTAGGCACTACGCGTGCCACTAAGCCTATAAGTTAGAAGCCTATTTAGTATAAGTTTCGCTAATAATTCTATAGGTTAACTTCGCTATTTACTAAATGTATCTGGCCGGTTATCTCCCTATTCCTATCGATAACCTTAGCCCTAGCGTATCTAATATTTACTGTCTCTTATAGGAGGCTTCGCTAGTCTCTCGTTTGTCCCCTATAGATATTATATTTATTTCCTAGTGGGTTACGAAGCTAACCTTCCGTAATAATATTTTGGCCACGCTTCGCCTTTAGTACGCGGATAGAGACGCTAATAGTGCGGCGATTATTAATAATATTGTGGCCTATCTTTCTCTTATACTTTAACCTTTCGGTCTTATTTTCTTAATATATTAGTATATCTTCGTAGAGATTTCGTGTGTGAAACCTTAAATACCTAAATTTGTTCTTGCTATTTTTGTGGTGGCCAACTTTGGGTCGGGATCTTTTCTTAGGATTTTAATAAACTCTTCTGCCTTTTCTCTTTTTCCTATAGTCCTATATTATTTCTTAGGTATTCTTTATATCCACTTCTGGTAACTATTAGTTATATTTTGCGGGCTATCCCTTTCACTTAATTAGGAAGTGTGTCTTATTACGGAAGATTTTCTCGTCCTTAACCTCCTTAACCTCCTATTTATTATTGTCCGCGAGCTCTGGTATTAGAAGTGGGTTTATATCTGATTTACGCTAGTGCTAGGGCTTAAGGAAGGTTATAGGGAAGATATTATATAACTAAGAGTATTAGTTAGGTAAGCTTAGACGATACGCTTATATTCTGACTATTATAAGTACGCAGAATAGTCTAATAAAGCGTAGTAAGAGTTTTCTTATAGGTGTCTTTAGCTTTAAGTTACGGGTTAAAAGAGCTATAAGATCTCTACGCTTAAATTTAATTAGGGTATAGCGTTTATTATAGTGCTTCGCTATAGTTTCGGTAGCTCTTCGCTATATTTTCTTTATTTTTTTACGGAGATCCTATAGCTTTTATATTCGATCTATTATAGCTAGTACTTCCTCCTTTAGTGCTCTAGTCTCGGAGCGTAATTAGAAATTTGGGGAATATCCTATAAGGGCTTAGAAGGGCGAGATACCTATAGTAGTATTTATAGTATTATTATATATAAACTCTGTAATTCGTAGTAGATTCGGCTATATTTATTACTTAGTATCTATAAAATACTATAAGTAATACTTAAGGGTTTAATTTATCCTTTCTGTTTGGCTATCTATCTATGGGTAGAAAGCTATAGAAAATCGGAGTTTTATCCTTAAGTAGAAATATAGTTTTAACCAGAATATATTAGTAAAGATAGGGCCTCTGTCGGATACGATACCTTCTGGTGGGCTAAACTAGAGTTCGATCTTATAATATATTATAACGGTAAGGGAACTAGCGTTAATCGCTATTAAAATAGGGATAAATCGGCACTATTTCGTAAAGCGGCAGATAATAACTAAGATTACGTTATAAGGCTTATTCTTATAGATTACTAAGGGTAGACCTATAATAAAGTCTATAGAGATTTTGGCGAATAGTCGTGAAGGTTACGGTAGGGATTCGAGGTTACCGTACGGCCTATACCGAGGTGCTATAGTTCCTTAGTAAACAGAGTAGGTTTTTATATATTCTGTAATATCTTAGTATATATTTATCTAATAATATTTCTGTTATAGGAGCTCTATTATCCTATATTTCCTAAAGTGTCCTGCTAGGGGATTATCGTGGTAGATTTATAGTAATTTCTATTTTAGGTTACTCCCTATAGGGATATAAAGGCGTATTCTGTAGCGTAATAGGCTATCGAGGTTAATAGACTATCCTTTTATACGCTATTTCCCTTGCGAAATAGCTATCTTTCGGCTCTGAGTCTCCGGATTATTATCCTAGATTCTCTTAATCTAGATCCGTAGATTAGCGCTTATATACTCCGTATAAGCATTCTTATTAGTACTAGCACTCTATATTATACTCTGGGGTAACTATTAAGCGCGACTTAACTCCTCCTAGATAGCTTAGTTAGCTATTTTTATATTACCCCGGCCTCGATTCACTTAGGTATTAATAGGGATTCGTATACGGAGTTTAGGTTCTTCCTAGTTATTATACTCTAACTAGGATTTGCTAGCTAAGAGGTCTCTTAG